AAACCCCTAAACCCCTAACCCCTAACCCCTAACCCCTAACCCCTAACCCCTAACCCCTAAGCTATTCATCACTTTTGACTTAATTTTTTAACTATTTTCCTATAGTCGAATCGCTCTAAGATTCGAACTGAGGGTAGATTAGATAGTTATATATAAACTTTCGAAAAGAGATTGCCGGATTTCCTCCCAGGGGGCAAAGGGTTCGGCCTCCTCCCTCTGGAGGGATCGGGGGGGGGGGGGGGGGGGGGGGGGGGGGGGGGGGGGGGGGTTTGGCCATAGTGGATCTGTATTGAATGTCGCTGGTTGGCTACAGAGTGACCCGCTTAGGGATTTCAGGGCCGAAATCCCACCCACCCATGGGATAGGGGTGTGTGAATAGGTAAAGGGGGTGTCAAAATAGGCTGGGGGGGGTGTTTCCTCATCAGAACCCCAAATTAATTCCAAGATTCAACTGTTTCATTCCACTTTAAGCCATTCTCCGACGTGGACAGGCCGAACAGCGTGGCTGATTACAAGCTGGGCAAAAATGGACATTGTTGACGTAGAACCAGCCAGAGTAGCAAATACACTGGAGATTTCAATAGGGGTGAGCATAATATAAGGTTGTTTTGATCAAGAGTTTCTTCAACATACACATTGCCAGTATGGATTCGCCGGCACCGGAAATTTGATGAGGGGCGCGACTAGGTCGTCCATAGAACTAGCCTGGCCGTCAGAAACGGCGTCATTGGAATCTTGCGACAAGTCACTTCTAGCCTCCAATGATGAAATCTTCTGGCATGGATCCATCAATTCAGATATGTAATCGATTTGAGGCAGTGGCAGGTGAGGTTAAAGATTGGATTTGGGCTGTGACCCTGATCATACACGAAATAGCTCACTATTTTGTGATTCTGAAACGGCGATGGCAACTCAGGCATGTGGAATATGATAGTGAGAACGGAGGTCAAAAGAAAGGGGTTTTAAACCGACCGACTAGAAGCGATTTAAGACTTGATGTGGACCGTGGTCAGCATTGTCAGCTTAATCTAGTATTCTTGGCTCTGCCATGTCAGACTGACCGTCTGTGTACCTTCTGGATTTATAGTTGTTCATGAGCAGCTAGCCTTGTTTTAAATGTTCTATTATCTGCGTTTACCTGCCTATTTGGATGCGGCGAGCAAAATTATTGCGTGAGCTAGGAGCCTCTGCATATTGCTACCTATAAATATCATCCTGGACTTCTAGAACAGTTGTGCGGGGCCCGAGGGCTCCGGCGGCATAAAACGCCACAAACGCCACAATTTTTCTGGGTGATGTAGGGGATTCGCGCAGTAATCAAAAACTGGCCAACCGTACGCGAACACATATATTTCTTGGCCCGGCCATACAATTACTTTGATTGCTTAGAATAGCCTCATGCAGCGGAAATCAGTGCGCGTGAGACGTTGACGTGTCTTTGGCGAAGATAAGGGGGTACTCATGACCCAAGAATCATTGATATAATTTAGTACAGAGCATAAGTATGTATGGAAGGTAGCAACGCCTTTTTTAGCAAGCGATATATTTGGGATTATTTCAAGGTTAACACGCCCGTTCTGACTTCATAACCAGCCAGCTTATACTATAAGTATCTCTGTACTCCTCCAAGGCCCATGGAAATTTTATTCTTTCTAAACATTTCTCTGTACACTGAATCATGGGAAGTTCCAGTTCAAAGCCCGAAAAGAGAAGACCCAACCCCTGTGGGCAGCAAGGTTGCCCAAGGTCGAGATCGCAATTATATGCAGATGGAAAATTGACGAAAGATTCGAATTTCTGCTTCCAGCGTAAGTGATAAATCCTGAACAAACCCACAGACTGCTCGGTCAAGGTCCCTTTCTATGCTTTTATGAACAAATAAAAAGTTAAACAAGTTATGGGCCGTGTCTTCCACACATTCAGTCGTACTAATCTGCGCTACCCTCTAGACACTTGTGAAAATCCACATTGCGCCAACTTTAAGACGTCCCGCCAGGACCAGTGTTCAACCTGCACAAAACGACGTAAGTTGAGCCCTATCTAACACCTTATCCACGTACCTTTTCCTTCCTCGAGTGTAATGAACGGCTTTTTGGCGAGTGTAGCTATTAACTTTTTGTAAGAGGAGGAATACTACCGAAGTGGACGGGTAATTTGACTTGAGGAGTATGATTACCGATTACTGAGATTCTCTGGAAAGTCAGGATTTTTCTTACAGCGACAAAACCTGACGAAGTGGAATTGGCATGATATTGTGGAGTCTCCCCCTTGATGTAATGTATACTTCGTAGCTCGATAGCCGGTTAGACGTAATCTGCGCCAGAACTCGCGAATGGGTGAGTGTCAGGGCAATGGGCTCTGGACCATTTCCGTGTGCAAAGTCTTCCAAAAAAAAACCACTTGTGATATCCTGGTAGGATATCACACTAGAGTTTCCACTATGAAATGCCCTTCCTGGTTGCACCAGTCCAGTCCAACCCAATACTTCAGTCCCACGCGTGTGCCCTGACAATTAGATATATTAATCCGCAACCCGAACTCGCAACCCAACCCCACAAACACGATGGGCAGACTCGACTAACCCGCAATCCGCCGCGGGCCCCAAAACCCGCGGCTACATAGTTTTCCCGATTGAGCTATGCCAAATGTGATGTGGCAGGGTTTACTAAAACGTAGGTCCAATTTGACGAATTTATCGAAGATGAAGAAGAAAGAAGAAGAAGAAAGTAAGGAAGAGATCTCCCCACTAAGTACATCCAACTACCTGACCTCTCAGTCAGGCAGGAACAACATTCTCCATGCTCCATCTTCCTCAACCTACTACAACACCGCTTTCCCTGTCAAACAGGTCCTGATTTCTGACCGGGAAATACACTGACAGCTCACAGATTCCCAATGCCAGCTATCGGGCAACATCTGGGGTCAATGTGGGTCTATGAGATCGCGCACAGGTGTCAGGGACCCCGAGCTGAGTGGGGTAAAACATGTAATTTTCAATTGAAAGAAATCGGGAAGTCGGGCCTATCCCGAAGTTTGTTCAAATTCTTCGAGGCTCAGCCAACAGGACACCTTCTCGACGTTCCCCGGTCGAGGTCCAGAATTACCAAGCGTAGTAGAGAAACAACACCGATATCTCGCCTGAGGCACCGGCCTAAGTCGCAGACATATTACTGGTCTCAGATCTCCGGTTGGAGGCAAGCAAGTAATTTCAAGGTTACATGCTCTTTTATGAATCAGCTTTTGTTTCCTATTATGGCGCCGTGGGTCAGAAATCTCGCCCATCACTTACATTATTTATGAAAATGCAAACATTTCGCGTGTTTGTAACGTTCAGGGCCCAATGGCGCCGAAGAGCCCACTGCTGGGCCCGAGGACCGGCCGAAAATCCAGCCCTCCCCGCGCTGGGCTGGTGCGGAAGTCTAGGCACTCATTCGCTTCGAGGGTCTATTCCACACAGCCTTGTAAGGCTACATACAGTTTAGACGTTTTATTCCTGTGAATTTCTACGAGACTCTACTCATCGAAACCGGGGTCGAAGCCAGACAAAAACAACAGATATATCCATGTACTGGCCGTTTGCTCGCAACAAGACACAACATTTTCATCATGGAATGGAAGGCTGACTCGGCCCATATTAGATTGGGCATTTGCCGGAACACTTCATAGGTAAAGACTGTGAAAGGGCGATCATGTTGAATGGCCTCGCACCCTTTGTCAAAATACAATGAAAGAAAAACGGATTTTTGAGGACGAGGTCATCTCATCCCAAATCCCGAAAATGCCTTGCACAGAGTTCAATAGTCATTTCCGCGACTGATCACCTCTTTGCATGATTCCCTGAGAAGAATGGTCTGATAATCAAGACATTAGCAATAAGTCCCGGCAGAGATTCTATACACATACATGTTCGAATTGCGCAGAGTATGACCCTTCAACATCCATCAGAGGTCGGTAGACCTCGACAACATCATTGGCTGCAAGGTGGTTCATCTATTCACAATGAGCATATCAAACAGGAGCGGGGATCATGGTGACTTACGCCCGCCAAGTAACGATTGACTCCAAGTCGCTCAAGATATCTGCGACAGAAAACAATTGTGCCGAAGTTTTCGTTGATCGTCTTGTAGAGTGCCTTGGCAGAAGCAAGGTGCGTCTGAATCTTCTTGGGGGCATGTGGGTTTTTTCCATACCCATAGACTCCAGGCTAAAGGCATGCATGTGTCAGTGGGCTCAAGGGGCTTGGAGAATTTGACAAACGTACCCCGTCCCTCAGATAACCACGACCAGTCGTCCCGAATGTCTCGATCGCGAAAATCTCGCCTTCCTCCATCTTTGTATTGTCCGAGTTTTTGATGAAAGGCACGGACTTGCCAGCGTGGATTCGATATTGGTCGATGTTGTGTCCGCTGATATCACGGACCGCCTTGACAGGAATCGTTCGGCCATTGATATCCACTTCGTAGCTTTCCATGGCCTCTTGAATTGCAGCGCTGACGTCGCTAATGCGAACATCAATCCCGGCGTTCTAGTAAAGTTAGCCACGAATCCAGACATGAATCAACTCGCATACCTTGATCCCGGTATTGGTTGCGTCTTTGACGGCAGCAAGCAGATTGTCATAGGTTGGATCGAACGACATGGTGAAGGCACTATCAACAATCCAACCGTTGATATGGACCCCGAAGTCAACTTTCATGACATCCGTGGAGCTCAAAATTGTGTCCTTCTGGCCAGGATTGGGCGTGTAGTGTGCCACGCAATTGTTCAAGGAAAGCCCAGTGGGGAATCCGAGTCCGGAAACGAGACCGTCGCCAGGAGCTAGTCCAGAGTTGTCGAGCAGTGCTCTTACACCGTCCTCAATTCCGACTGCGATATCCGTGAGGGACTGGCCCGGGCGAACCACGTCTTGAGTCCAGCGTCGGACCTGACGGTGCACCTCAGCTGCCTTACGGTAGTCGTCCAAGAAGCTGTCATCTTCTAGGTGATGCCGGGACTTGGACCGAGATTCTTCAGCAGTAACGCGAGCGGTATTCTCAACTGGGGACTCATAACTTTGCAGCTCGCCCTGTGGATACTTGCCCCCCATGAAAAGATCCTTGAGCGGGATTCTAGGGGGCGAGGATTGGTTTCCGGGGTGAACCAATGACTTCTTCTTGGTCTTTCTGCGTTTTTTCTTCTTTGGAAGAGACGCTGGGTCAGAGCCCTGCTTCATCGACAAGGTAACAGCTCCGGCCGTATCGTCGCCATCGGGGTCATCATCGCCGCCATCATCGCCGAGGGATCCGTCACCGTCCCGGGAGAGGTGGACACCCCGAGGTTCTCCGCCGGTGGCATTGATTTGGGAAGAGCTGGGAGGAGCGTCTGTCAAAGTTTAGCTATAGACTTCACGTGCCTGTGAGGCTGGATGTGGATTTGACATACTTCCACCTCCCTGGCTCTCATCATCCGCAGTCTTTGAGCCCATGTCGACATCAAGTAACAAAATTCCTGTGGCCAAGTGAGCAACCTCGAATTACGAAATGAAGAGAGTCAGTGAAATTCTCAAATGGGGGCCAAAACGGTGTGGCGGGCGGTATGGATTGAGGGGCAGTATACAACTCCTCATCAATTTCCCCCTTTGGCCCCGGCGAGTCCTTTCAGCGACCTTGGTTGTCTACACCTTTGCAAGATATTCCTTCGAAGCCCGTCAATTCTCGACCCGCTGGTGAACTATGTCCATTCAAGCAAGTTCACGGACTTCTAACCACATTGGGCTCCAACCTCCAGCTTTCGGTGTTGATAAGTACGGATTTCACCTCGGAAGTAACGTTCGCAAATCCACCAACACGTCGTTGCGACTCTGAATTCCTCGGATTGAATTCCTCGGACGCGGGGATATTCCTACATCCCCAATGGCGGGCTAGCTATTGCAACGCACGACCCTGTGCCTGGCAATCCCCACTTTCTCCGCTTCGCGTCATTCAGCATGCGCATCCCGCCATAACATTAGCCGACCATCCGCCGATACTCCGGCCCATGCTTCTATGGCTTTTTTCTGGACACAATCTGTCATAATGGGAGGTAGCAAAACATCACGATCGCGTTTTGGTAAGTGACATCGAGATGCAGTAGTAAATTTTGCTGACCCATCAGGCTGTCGCACTTGTCGGGCTCGTAAAGTGAGATACTCCGGGCACTTGCATCATGCGGATGTAATCGAATTAACACGGTTATTGCACAGGTCAAGTGTGACGAAAAGCCGGGCAAATGCGACAATTGTTCGCGCTTGCGACTAGTCTGCTCTGGCTACACGACATCACCGAGGCCACCCGCACCTGGTGATGCGAGCTCTTCCGACCGTTCGAAGAGAAAGCGAACTTATAGGTCTTGCACCGGCTGTCGGGCCTCAAAGACCAAATGTTCTGGGGAGCGACCAACATGTCAGAGATGCCGAGACAAAGAGGCACGATGCGTTTACGCAGAGTCATCACAGCCTACTTGGGTGCGAAAGATCAATATAGGGGCCACAAACGAACCAGAGTTCTCTCCATCCGTGACTTCTTCGCCAGCTCGATCTTCGGAGCAAAGAAAATCCAGTCAAGATAATTTGCTGGGATTAGCGGACGCTTCGCCTCCGCCACAGCCGCAGCAACAGCAGCCATGTCTTCTCGTTGAAAATTCGGAGTTGCTGCCATCCTCACTGGACTGGTTGGTTTCTTCGGGGTCGATTCTACCTCCAAAAATGCTTACAGGGTCACAGGTTAGCTACGCCGCACCTTCCTTCACCACCCAGGATCAGGACTTTAGTTGATGAATATTTCAACAACATTCATCCCCTTCGTGCCTTCACGTTCATTCACAAACCGACATTTCTCCAAACACTGGACGGCAAATTGTCTCAGGACTATCAGAGCCATGCTCTCTTGCATATTATGTGTGCCCTTGGAGCTCAGTAAGCCCTGAGAGATGTTCCTTTTATTCATGCTCAACAGCTCACTCGGTCTGTGATAGATTCTTTGCTCTGAACTATAGTGAGAGTGTCCAAGCTCTCCCCCCGAGGACTGTGTTGTTTGCGGGCAAGCAATGGGCTAGAGTAACCCAACGGCTTATCCTTGAAGCGTTAGACACGGTGACAATCGAAAACTTGATGGTGCGTTCTCCGTGACCTAACCGTTTTGGTCTCATGAATCATATCTGAATATATTCAAGGCAGCTGTGTTACTGCATGACTATGCAGTCCGTCTAGGACATTTTGCAAATGCGTTCATGTTGAGTGGGATCACCACCCGTATGACGCAAGCATTGCAAATCAACCTTGAATACAACACTGACATTCTATGTCGTGACGACGTTGAGGGGCTTTCTGTCACTGAAAAGGAGTCTCGTAGACGTTTGATGTGGAGTTGTTATGTCATGGACGCCCTCGTTGGCAGCGGAGTTGACCAACTCACCCTCATGGATGAAAGAGATATCAAGATTCAGCTTCCTTGTAACGAGCGCAACTTCACTCAACAATTACCCTGTCTTACAGAAACCCTTTCCCCGGGGAGTTGGCTGAAGATACTCCCTGGACACTTTGAACCCCATGCTCTGTTGCCCAACATGGGCATGATGGCATATTTCGTCCGGCACATCTCAATCCGGAAAAGGGTTCTCAGGTATGCGTTACTTCAGATGTTCCCGTCCATTTTCTTAATTCCGTGAACTAAACCTTTGAATTCGAGCAGGTATATCAAACATCTTGGAGATGCCATCGTGCCTTGGGATCCCAAGTCCGAATTTTCAGCTTTAGACTCTGACTGTAGGGCGTGGTATGCGTCATTGCCCCCAAGCCTGCAATTTACACAGGCAGCAGTCTACATCCGCAAAGATACGTCACAACTAGGCGCCCTTTGCTTGCTGCATTGTGCCCACTATCAGACCATATGCGATTTGTATCGGCTTGGAGCACCGGCCCTCTACAAGCTCCGCGCAGCCTTTGACTTTCCGCCGGAGCAGCGGCATTTTCTTCGCCACCTCCAGCAGGTTCTTTTTGATGCCGCCCGGTCTTTGGCGAGTATTATAGGAGAGACTGCCCGCCATGGACCCCGCATGTTGGCGGACTCCTGGCTTCCAACTATCCTTTATGACAGCTGTCGTATCATGATATACCACTTGACTCAGATCCTCGATCCGGAATCGGAATCCACAAAATCATTGATAGTATCAACGATTCCCCTGCTTCGAGACAATATCAAAGGACTCAGGTTGATGGGATCCCTCAATTCTATTGCAAACTCATTGGTTAGTCAAACTTTCTCATCCAGCCCTCGGGCTCTGTGGGCTCTAGAGTTGCTCATTTACCCTTCTCATTCAGTGCTCGGCGGCAGAAACGATGCTTGATAGGTCCGGTATTGAGTCGGAGATAGTCCGACAGAACATCATTCCAGATGACCCATATCAGCCAAATCAGGCTGCGGATCCAAGGTAAGGACTACAGCTCAATAGCCTGAGTGGTTCGCTCACACATCACCACAGTGAACTCTCTTTGGAGCCTCCAGTACAAAGTGCTCCGGATTACGTGCTCAATCCGTTAACCATCTTCCGCATGGCCCGAAAGTCTATTCCGGAACGACACGCCCCAGAAACGGTTCGCACCTCCTCCGCGCCCAGTAGTATTCGTCATGATCAGAGTGATGGTTTCGACCCCCCATCTTGTGAAGCATCCAACAAGCCAGGGCCTGGGGACACTTGTATCGAGCAAAGCCTCGGACAGGCCAGTCTGGAAGAGCTACAAACCTTGTTCATGTCGGATTTGGGCTGGGCTTGGCAGCCCTCAGACACGGCAGTTGGATCAGGAACCGAGGGTGCCGGTCTCCTCCCCTGGGCTGGAGGAAACACCACCTCGCAAGTGGAATCGTGGCTGCCCGTGTTTCCTTTTCCTCATAATTAACTACATCGGCCCCGGTCTCGCCTATACCTTCGTTTGCCGGAAGTGTCCTTGGTTTCATGAACGCTAATGGTGAATATTCTTGATTCATACGTCTGCTTCGACCTCTGAACATCAATATTGCCCAAGTCACTCCAATATATTTAGGACAATTTAATTCAGATGATTGATGAAGAATTAGCGTGCGTTGATCAAACTTATTGTCGGTCAGATAATATCCCAAACTTGTCTTTACTCGGCATCCAGTGGACAAACTGGCGGTGTATCATTCACTTGAATACCACCGCGTTTCTTTTCCAGTGTGTCATGGTAGGGTAGTCTCCATCCTCCCTCAGACTCGGGAGCCGCGAGCCAGAGCCGCATCAGGTGCCGCCGGCGAGCAGGGTGCCCATCCTCATCAACTGCTCCGGGGGGGTGATCTGTGTAGGCAGTGCGCGCGTGGAAAACCTGCGCATTGCTCAGGAATTGAATGTCGCCAGGGGCCAGAATCATGTGCAGTGATAGCTCGGCGCAGGTCTTCTCAAACACATCCAGAGCATGTTTCTGCTCATCTGACAGGGGAGGAATGCGTGCATCTGGTCCTGAGTTGAATCGAGCCAGTGATGTTACGTTCATCGGGTCAAACTTTGCATATACCCGGGGCTCCGAACCAGCGTCCTCATGTTCAAGGTAGAAGATGCTGCCTTTGATCCAGTGTTCTTCGCCCTCTGAAACTTCACCCTTGCGATCGAAGTACCAATTTGGCTCGCACAAGGTCTTTGCAACATCGGGGTGTCTTTCCTGGAGCACATTAAACACATGGTGCGTAGATGCAATGTCGGACTCCCCTCCAGACAATGACTTTGCAATGCAAAGAAGCCCGACAATATCAGCTCCATCGGTATGGAAGTACTGACTAGGCAGTTTGTTAGCAATGATCTTCTGCGCTTCTGCGCTCATGGGGTTCTTCCGTCCTCGTACCGGGCGTTAGTTCGGTAGATTCGAACTCTGTCAGTCTTTGTGGGATCTTCGCCTAGATCTTTAACATGGCCAAGAACGTGGCCCCGTCCGTTTTGACTAACGAAATATCCCAAGTAGGTACCAAGTCCCATATATGCGGTGGCACATTTCTGCAGGTTCCATTCTCGAACAGGAAGACCTCTGAAGAGGAAGAATCCCTTTCCGTCGATGAGATCCTTGCGAAGCTCTTCCAGTCGCTTGGAAAGAAGTGGAAGCAAGAAGTTTGTCTAGAGAGATGTCAGAATAGTGCGTGCGATCCCAAATTTTTCCTCATATTTCATACCTTCGAAATACCGGTCAAGGGCGTGCCTTTCTGTATGAATTCATCCGAGGCAGAGCTAATTTCCTCGATCTCCTCTGGACTGAAACGGTGCGTCCAGAGTTCTGGGTTCTCTCGATAGTCCTCAGCCTTCCAGACTGTGGGCCCAGTGTGAATCACAGGGAAATCTTCGTAAGGTCGCACCTGTGAGTACACGGGAGGGTGTTGTCCGGATGTTTTGAGGCCGTCTGGGAAGACAGATAGCTTGATTGGGCTTTCCAACTGTTGGGGTACGTCCGCCGTCTCTAGGATGCCTGGTGCCATCTTTAGATAAAATTTGAAGGGAGGTTTCTGATACTGTGTCGCAGTGATGATGAGTGTATACCGTATTTCTCCACGGCGAACCAATTTGAAATAGGTAGGGCGATCGTGATTTATATGTGCCAGACTCCGCATTTGCATCAAGTACAGAAGATCACATCAACGGCTTGTCGCGACGATCGGCTGCGTCGCTTCTGCTTCCATGGTTCCCCAGGTGTGGGTCCGGACACTAGTCCCAAGTGGGGCTAGTGGGGCTACTTTGGGAAACGCCAAAACATCAGGAGTATACAGTACACGCAGAGCCTGAACACTGCAATCTCTCTCCAATATCTCTCCAACGGACACTTCTTTCATCGAGGGCCTTTCTGCATCAAAAGTGGTTCCAAAAAAAAAAAAACTAAAATTCGTCAGAGCCTCACTGCTTCAGATAAAAAAAAATATCACAATCCCAGCCGGGAAAATGGCGAAACATCTGCCCAGCGACTTCCGGTCCCAGGGAATCGAACCCGTGATCGGCAATCTAGAAGGTCAGGGTGCAGATATGGCTCCCTGTGTGACCAACTAGACCACCGCAGGTTTGGTGAAATATAATACCTTTCTGTTCAATATCTCTTCACTCCTCCTTGTGTGTCACGTGACTCATAGTACTGCCCACTGCAATAACATCCCTGAGGCTTCTGTGGTGAATTCTGAGGCCGCCACGCTGCTTTTCGGGCATTCAAGTTCGCTCCAAGAAGCCAACTTCATTCCCTTGTCCCCGACTCTGGTCTTCTCTCGGCGGTGGATAGGCTCAATGCGAGGTGTATGTCCTTCGCGGCTGGTCGGCTAGTGAAAGCATCTCCGGGGTCCACCTTGGCATTGACATCACGCAAGATGTATCAACAATGTCGCGACTACTTCATGCTCTGTAGCCTGAGTTCAATCTTATATTACTAATAAAACATACTACCCTACAGCAGGGTCCAGCGTTGATGTTGATTATTCGTGCGCACACAGCCATGAGCATCCGTAGGTAGTCTAGAGTTATCACTGGGTCAGGCAAATATACAATCTAGGAACACCCAAGGTTGAATGCATATTGACGACTTCCGAGGATGGGAAATGCCCCAGGTCCCCTGGTCTGATTATTGAACCCGAAAGCAGATACCTAGATATCTTTTTGTGATATTGAACTGCTCCTTGCTGTGGTTGGAGCTCACTTGCGTGACTTCAAGGTTGAAAGTTGTTTCAAACATTATTTGACGGCGACTCCGTCACACTGCGATACCGAATCGGGCGAGCTATCTCCCTTTTTCCTGGTCTCATATAAGGGCAAAGTATTGATGTCAAGGAGCTGCATGTACCAATAGTATGTTCCTGTGTTTTGTTTTAGTTCATATTCTGTATGTTGTCAAGGCTCACATACCGCAGAAGAGCCCCCCACCGATGATGTTGCCCAACAATGTGGGAATGATGCCTTTCCAAATATAGAGGCTCACTGTGATTTCAGGCGCTCCAACCCAAATTGCCAGTGGGATGAATGTCATGTTCGCGACAACGTGGTCAAGCCCGAGAGAGACGAACGCAAAGGTTGGCCCCCATATTCCAATCACTTTAGATGCTAGCTCTTGGCCCTGGAAGCCGAAGAAGCAAGCCAGACACACCAGCCAATTGCAGCCAATGCCTCTTAAGAAAACAGTGTGAAAACTGGGCGCGACCTGCTTTTTTGTCGCGAAAGAGATCACCGCTGATCGAAAGGGGTCTGCCGAGAACACATCCCCGTCTGTGTTTTTCAGTTAGCAGAGTGACCGAGTACTTGAAGGTTTTGTCTCACATCCAAATATGATAGCCACCACGAATAGCGATCCTGCCAGATTGCCAAGGAACGTGACTCCCCAGTGGATCAGCATTTTAGTCCAAGATAAACGGCGATGAAGGGCTGCGATGGTTGTAAACTGGAAGTCTTTAGCCCAATCTTATTGACGACAAATTGATTTGCCTTGGTCTTCCAAGGTTATGGACAGCCATACCATGAATGACCCCGTGCATAGGTCAGCCCCTGTGAGAATAATCATACACAATCCATACGGAAAGACCAATGCGCTGATGGTCCGCATCAGACCAGGTGCGTTTTCTTGAAACCACGGTGTGGCATTGGTACTCAAGACAGTGCCGCACGCAAAAGCCAATAGGCAGCCCGCCGAGACAGCACTCAAGAATATTTTGTCCAGGCGCATGTTGCCCTTTTGCGCCCCGACGGTCGCAAGGATCTCCGTCACCTCTTGGGCACCGAGGGTCATCGAGTGCATCGTGGCTATGTTTCGGTCGACTTTGGTCAAGGATGTTATTGTGCCAACAAGGGGCAGTTGAGCCAGCAGGACGATGAACACCCGATATATACTCCGCTTATCTTGATATGATCGGCTGGATGTCAGGGAATCGATTATGTGCTGATCGAGATAACCCATTAAGGTTGTGGATAGGCTGGCGATCCCGCCAAGCAGCAACTCACAGAGGCTGGAGTTATCGGCCCACGCATCTTGCCGAGATAAGACTGTAGTTTGAACCATCCATCTCCGCGGAGATTGTCTTGGCAACTGTCTCGATCACTTTGTCCCTGCATGTGAAGTGTTAACTGTGAAGCCCCGGGGCCGGTGGAAGTGATTACCTATCGATGACGTTTCGGCTCAAGTGGCGGAAACCCGCGCACCGTTGACTTCACATCCTTTCTTCTCACCCGCAATCGTTCGGACCTCTCAGAATCTCAATCCAACATGGTCAAAAGCAGAGAAACCGTCATTGAGTACGTTCCACGGCCCTCGAAAAACAGAGTCGCTGACAACAATTTAGTGAGTTCAATGGCATCGTGAATATGACTCCGACGGAGCTTCGGGAATGGCTCCAACAGGAGCAATCGACATCATCTGGGTGGAACAATGAGTCCGGCGAGACCGTTGGCCACGAAAGGCGAGTCAGCATCCCCGGGCGCCTTCGGTGCAAATGATGCTAATCACGTCCGATCCCCAACAGTGGACGGAAAATCGTCGATATCCTCGAGCATAATCCGTCGGAAAATCCATCGGACTACCGGGATCAAGACATTGACCACATGCGCCGAGTGGTGTCATATTGCAAGCGCCACCTGGCACAGGAGGGACAAGCCAAGTTAGACACCGACAGCAAGAGCTATCGCTCGCTCAAAAATTGGGGTCATGATGCGCTCAAAGAGTGAGGAATCTCTACTAAACCGGGTTTTATGCAAGAATCACATGTCGGTTCAAGTTTTCACGGTCGCATTCTTGATTGAAGTTGCGATTCAATATTTCCAAGAATCCCCAGCGAAAGCAATATCTCAATGTAAGGATGTAGCGAGATGTGACTTCACGTGGGGGCCGCAGTGTGGGGGGACATCCCACAGCTTGTGAAGTCCAGGGGCTCCAGCGCCTGAGCATGCCTCGCAAAGCTGTTTCAGAACTCGGCTAGAATGACGAGATCAACCCATGTAGCGGTGGCCTCATATGTAAATCTGGTGGAAGTCAGATCACCTCATGGGGGTGCATTTCACGAGGGCTCGGCCAATCACCGTTTCGGTGCAGAGGGTCATCGCTTGACTCAAAGGCCGATGCCAGTCACCGACGAGCAAAGAATGCCGAAGGTCGAATCACAACCTGCTGGACAATGCAGAACCCCCACGACGCCGAGTTTCGGTTTGCCTCGGTAATCACGGGTTTCCCGGAAAGGGATCTCCACCCCGATTCCTGAGTGGCCGGAGACCGAGAAGTTGACGAGGATCGTCGGTGATTGGACACTGCCGAGCGGCACTAAGAAGCTTAGGGCAAGGCTGTTTCGCTAAAGGTCTTGGCTCTCCAGACGATCGAGCTTCAGAGTGCGGAGACGTGGGGGAAAAATACCGGGGAAGCAGTTGCATGACGCGGGGCGTGGGGGACGACCCCATACATATACCTGGAGAGCTGGAAGGGCGGAAAGCCTGATCATCCACCTCAACCATGTCGAAGCCAGACGTTATCCACGACGAAGCAACCCGAAACAAGCTCACAGATACCAGTGGTATCGAGCGGGTTCCATTAACCGAAGACGAAAGCAAGAGGATCTGTCGCAAGACCGATCGGACGATTCTTGTCGTGCTGGCATGGGTTTACTTCCTGCAGATCCTCGACAAAACAGTCTTGGGCTACGGGGCGACCTTCGGCCTACAGACTGACACAGGCCTCACCGGCAACGAATATTCCCTGGTCGGATCCATCAGTCCCATTGCGCAACTCGCATGGCAGCCCTTCTCCTCTTATCTCATTGTCAAGGTTCCCCACCGCATTTTGATGCCAGCTCTGTGCCTGGGGTGGGGAATCGCGCAGACCTGCATGGCGGCGTGCCACAACTTCAGCACCTTGATGGCAGCCCGCTTTTTCCTCGGCTTGTTTGAAGCGGGCTGTCTGCCACTCTTTGGTGTGATCACCAGTCAGTGGTACCGACGCGCGGAGCAGCCGATCAGGATTGCAGCCTGGTACAGCACGAATGGCCTCGCCACCATCGTCGCTGCTGCATTGTCCTATGGACTGGCACAGATCGAGTCGGATGTATTGAAGTCATGGCAGATGTATGTACTGAGACCACAGGACTCTGGGGAATGAGTTGCTAACCGAGGTCTGGTGCGCAGTATCTTCCTGGTCGTCGGCTTGATCACCGTGGCATCCTCCCCCATCGTCTACTGGCGTCTGGATAACGACATCTCAACTGCGCGATTCCTCACCGAGGCTGAGCGGGCCCAAGGAATCGAGCGTCTTCGAGCCAATCAGACTGGAACGGGAAACACTGAGTTCAAGATCAGTCATGTCCTCGAGGCTTCTCTGGAGCCAAAAACATATCTTTGGATTGGAATGGCGATGCTCCTCAACATTGGCGCCAGTGTCACCAACATTTTCGGTCCGTTGATTCTCAGTGGGCTCGGCTACGACAAATACAGAACCACCCTGCTCACCATGCCATTCGGTGCCTTACAATTCCTCATCATTCTATTGGCGAGTTATCTTGCCCAGACAGCACGCCTCAAGGGAGCTATCATCGCGGCATTCATGTTGCCCGTCATCGCAGGTCTCTCCATTCTTTATGCCGTGGCGCGAACCAAGTCGGTTCAGAGCGAGCTTCTCGCTGGCTACTACCTACTGGCATTCTTGTTCGGAGGCAACCCTTTGATTGTTACCTGGATTATCGGCAATACCGCAGGCACCACCAAGAAATCGGTCATCATGAGTTTGTACAACGCTGCCAGTTCAGCTGGTAACATCATTGGGCCGTTGCTCTTCAACGAGAAGGACAAGCCATCCTATCACCCGGGCCTGCGCGCATGTCTTGGGATTTTCAGCACATTAGCTGCTGTGGTACTCCTTCAATGGGTCAACCTGTGGTTTCTTAACAAACAACAAGCCCAACTCCGAGTGCGAAATGGCAAGAGAGCGGAGATCGTGGACCACTCCATGCAGACGCATTACCACGAAATGCAAGAAAATAACTTGGAGGACGCTTCCATCGATCCAGTCCCTGTTGGCGATAATGCATTCCAGGATCTTACTGATCGGGAGAACGACGAATTTGTCTACATCTATTAGTTCGAACTGTTTCCAAATTTTGGGGGATCCAGACGTCGACGCCATCCACGAATATATATATTGATTAGCTTGGAATGCCATATCATCTAAATTTCAGTCAGCCTCAGGTACTAGGTAGCACATGAGTATAATCTTCCCCCCCTCAGATCTAGTATCTCACCTTGAAAGGTTTCTGTATCACTGGGCACCTGAGGTCTTCCCAAGGTCTTTGGGTTCCAAGGTTCGTCTACTGTAGCTACCGAGTGGGATTTCAAGGTTCCAAGGTTCCAAGCTTAGCTCCCGGCACTTAGCCTCCAACACATTAATGTCGGGTATCGTATTGTCATATCTCTGAGCTCCAAGGTCGTGCTCTGGTTTCCAAGGATCGTGAACCTTAAATGAGAAGCGTAAAATTGGAATGCGTACTCCGTACACCTGAGCGGTTACAATACAGTTACAATCACAATTACCGGTTGACGGGAATTCCACGGTTCCTTCCCGCGGGAAACAAACATCGCAAACAGTGCAAACCCCACATGCAAACACCTGTCTGTTTTGACAGTCCTCAGTTCACTCCGTACTCCATACCTGGGTCAGGTCCGACGGAAGCTCGAAGATAGCCAAATTCATCATTTAGTTTGCATTTTACACGCTGCTTCTACCCGAAAAATCTCTTAGCCTGGCCACCGAGACTAGCATATCTCTTTGGATGTCCAAATGATGACAATGGGAAGGCCCCGAAACCCGTGGACACAATGATCGAAAATTCCGCTGCCGTTGCCATGACTCGGCGAGTCAAGTTCTCGTGAAGATAGTTTTGGCTGATCTGCAACTCATATGTAGTAAGTGAGTCGTAAATAAGGGCCTAGCTAGAGCCTCCCTGAGAAGGGAATCAGTGTTCCCAAGCAACCCCGGCCGCGCGTGGAACGAGAGCCACGCGCCTGGCCAGTGACACACCGCTAGTGCTCAAGAACATACCATCGCCCTCCCCAATCATGTGTTCACCTACTGCAAGACGAGTGGCAAAATCCCAGAGGCACGCGGCATCGGACTCGGATTCGGACTTGAGATTCAAACTAGCCAGCACGGGAACCCCTGGTGGACGCGCATCTTCGGCGCCGGAGCCATGGGAGTTGATTGTCTTCAACTCTTGAAATATTCAAAATGTTGATGGTCACACAAAGCAGGGACCGACCGAGATGCAATTTTGCGCACTTGGTCAACACGCGGTGGATTCCACGCGAATGCGATGATTTGCTCCGTTTCACGCCTCAACGCCGAGATGGCTTCGGACTCGGAAGCAGCTGAATACAATGATAAGCTGATCCGAGACAAGATGTCCGAACTGACCTATATTGAGCATCAATGCGAGCCTCGGCTCATTGATATGTACCGCTGCCCGTCCCTCTCAGCGCAGGAATTCGAATCGTGCGGAGCATTACTCGTCCCGACGGCTCAAAATTGATACCCTCGAGAGGTTGTACTGCAAATCGAATTGCAAATTCGTCGTACAAGATCTTGAACAGCAAGTGAAACCCGCAACACACTATGACGGGTGCTAGTGAGAAAGTTGGGGAGCCCATTGCCATCGTGGGAAGCGCCTGCCGCTTTCCCGGTGATGCAACCACCCCATCCAAGCTGTGGGAGCTGCTCAAAGCCCCTCGTGATGTTCTTAGTGAGATCCCAGACAGCCGGTTCAGCACGAAGGCCTTTTACCACCCCGACGGACTCCACCATGGCACAACAAATGTTCGACACTCTTATCTGTTGTCAGATGATCATCGCTTGTTTGACGCTCAGTTCTTTGGAACGAAACCAGTGGAGGCAAACTCCATCGACCCCCAACAAAGATTGCTGCTCGAGACTGTCTATGAGGGTCTCGAAGGGGCCGGAATCCCCATGGAGAGTCTTCAGGGGTCTGACACCGGTGTCTATGTCGGGCTCATGACAAACGACTACGCGGACATGCTTGGTCGAGATGTCCAAAATTTCCCCACCTACTTCGCGTCCGGCACTGCGCGAAGCATTCTGTCTAACCGAATCTCCTACTTTTTCGATTGGCGTGGGCCATCGATGACAATCGACACAGCATGTTCCTCGAGCCTGATCGCACTCCACCAAGCTGTGCAGAGTCTCCGCAGCGGTGAGACCACCGTAGCGGTGGCTGCGGGAACAAATCTGTTGCTGGGACCCGAACAGTACATCGCAGAGAGCAAGCTGAAGATGCTTTCTTCAACTGGTCGCTCACGAATGTGGGACAAAGGTGCCAATGGATACGCACGAGGTGATGGTATTGCCGCAGTCATTTTAAAGCCATTATCTGCCGCGCTGGCCGATGGTGATCACATCGAATGCATTGTTAGGGAGACCGGTGCCAATCAGGACGGCCGTACGAAAGGAATCACGATGCCCAACCCGATGGCCCAGGCAGACCTTATTCGGACAACATACGCCCGAGCTGGGCTTGATCTTTCCAAAAATACAGACAGGCCGCAGTATTTCGAGGCTCATGGAACTGGTGAGTCAAACAGGATCTAACCGACACATTTATGACCTGCTAACATGGATAGGAACTCCGGCGGGCGACCCGGTCGAGGCCGAGGCCATCAGCACCGCATTCTTCGGATCAACCGCCAACTATGAGAGAAAGAGTGATGATGAGGACCCTTTGTACGTCGGATCAATCAAAACAGTGATTGGGCACACCGAAGGTACAGCTGGACTGGCCGCTGTCCTCAAGGCGTCTCTGGCTCTTCAAAATGCAGTCATTCCACCCAACTTACTCTTGGACGAGTTAAGCTCGACCGTTCGACCATTCTACACCGACCTTCAAATTTTGACCGAGGCCCGCGAATGGCCTGCCCTCCCAGAAAACACGCCGCGCCGTGCGAGTGTCAACAGCTTCGGGTTTGGTGGAGCGAATGCTCATGCTATCCTAGAGGAATACAACCCAAGTTACCTCAACCAAAAGTCGGCAATTGTTGCCAGTGCCGCTATGTCGCCGTTCAATTTCTCTGCATCGTCTGAAAAGTCGCTACTTGCGAACGTCGCGGCATACTCATCGTATGTGAGAAACAACCCTGGTATCGATCTGCGTGCTTTGTCATGGACTTTGAATTGTCGACGCTCGACGCTGCCAGTTCGCCTTTCAGTCTCTGCATTGACGACAGAGGCTCTTATTGCGAGGTTGGATGAGGCAGTACAATCTTCCGCCATCACTCCAAGTACACAGACTGCGAATGTCCGCGCGCCGAAGCTTTTGGGCGTGTTTACCGGACAGGGTGCACAGTGGGCTCGTATGGGAGCCGAATTGCTCGAAAGTTCGCTCATAGTCAAGGATTGTATTGCTCGGCTTGACAAGTCATTGCAGGATTTGCCTACTGAACATCGCCCTACTTGGTCCCTTCGAGAGGAAATCCTGAAGGACAAGCACAGTTCCCGAATCGGAGAGGCGGCATTCTCCCAACCACTTTGCACTGCTATCCAAATCTCACTGGTGCAACTTCTGAGCGCAGCGGGTCTCAAATTTACGGCCGTTGTTGGCCACTCTTCCGGCGAGATCGCAGCTGCGTATGCTGTCGGATATCTGAACGAAGGCGACGCCATGAGGATTGCGTATTACCGTGGTTGGTCACTTCAATACGCGAATGACTTGGACGGACCAAAGGGCGCAATGATGGCTGCGGGTACCTCCTTCGAAGATGCCAAAGAGCTTTGTGACATGCCAACCCTGGCGAACAGAATTTGCGTGGCTGCCAGTAACTCTTCTGCCAGCGTTACACTCTCTGGAGACGCCGATGCGATCGAAGAGGCTAGGGAGATTCTGGAAGATGAGAAGAAATTCGCACGCATGTTGAAAGTTGACAAAGCTTACCACTCTCATCACATGTTGTCTTGTGCGGCTCCTTACATCGCCGCGATACGCAAGTGTGGAATTACCATTCAGCATCGCCCAAGAGGAAGCCCTACCTGGATCTCTAGTGTTTACGGAGAGAACATTGACAAAGTGAATGATAACCTTGCCGACACATACTGGAGCAACAACATGATAAATCCTGTCTTGTTTTCCCAGGCCGTTACATATGCTGTTGCCGCAGCTGGACCCTTTGATATGTCCATTGAAGTTGGCCCCCATCCTGCCCTGAAAGGGCCGGCCCTGCAAACTATATCCGAGGTTTCTGGCAAAACACTGCCCTATACCGGGACGTTGAATCGTGGCAAAAACGATTTAGAGGCCTTCTCTTCAGCCCTCGGCGCCATCTGGATCGCACTGGGGGAGGGTGTTGTGGACTTCTCCGGCTTTGATCGCAAAACGACTCAAGACAATCAAACACCATGCTTGCTCAAAGGACTTCCATCGTATTCATGGGACCACGATAGGGTTTATTGGCACGAATCACGATCCTCCCTGATGTTCCGCACTGAAAGCCAGCCTTTCCATCCATTGCTTGGTGTCAAATGCCCTGATGGCACCGACAAAGAGATACGCTGGAGAAATTATCTTCACCCGCGTGAGGTTTCATGGCTAGCGCACCACCAGGTTCAGGGGCAAATGGTTTTCCCAGCAGCTGGATACATCTCTGCTGCAGTCGAATCTGTTGTTCAGAAATACGGATTAGGATCTTTGCAGCTAATCGACTTCCATGACATCGTCATCGGCCAAGCTCTAGTGCTTGAGGAGAACGGTGGCGTTGAAACTGTCTTCAGACTTTCCATTGATCAAGTTGAAGGAGACCTCATCTCGGCATCCTTTGCCTGTCACTCTGACGCCAACAAGGGATCATCCACAATGTCCCTGCATGCGTCGGCAAAGTTGAAAATTACATTAGGGGATGCCAGGAACGACCTTCTTCCCAAGCGGAATGAGCATTCAGGCCTCTTCCTTGAATTGGAGACTGATAGGTTCTACAACTCCGTCTCTGAACTTGGCTTTGGGTACACAGGCCCCTTCCAGGCGCTGTCCGGCTTGCGTAGGAAAATGGACGAGGCCTCGGGGCTCATTGCTGTCCCGGAACGCGATGAAACTGGACATTCACTCATCATTCACCCTGGTTCTCTTGACGGTGCTATACAGTCCATTATGCTTGCATACTCCTTCCCAGGTGACGGGCGTTTGCGCACCCTCTATCTGCCCACCCGCATTGACCGGCTCTGTGTCAACCCATCGGCCTGTGTTGCTCTCGGTGCTCCGGGATCCAATCTGCCGTTCCACTCTGTGGTCACCGAAGCTCGGTTCTCTGAACTCTCCGGTGATGTTGACATATTCTCCGCGGATGGCGTCGATACCCTGATTCAACTGGAAGGACTTCACACGACCCCGCTCAGTCCACTAACATCCTCCAACGACGTTCCATTCTTTACAGAAGTCACATGGGGCGTGGATAAGCCCACGGGGCGGGGCTTCAACATCGATGACGAAATGAAAATACACGAACACTCCCTGGGTTTGGATCTTGAACGTGTCGCTCACTTCTATTTCAAGGAGATCAACCGCGTCCTTGAACCCGCAGAACGCGCGAATGCGGCTTGGAATCATGTCCATCTTCTTTCCTACATTGAGCATTGTGTTTCGTCTGTTGCCAGTGGCCGGCATAAGTATGGGAAGCTAGAATGGGCCAGCGATACCATTGATAACATTTCGCCAATTTTGGAACGGTAAGCATGCAGTGATTCTTTCTTGGTGTAGATAACTAACTACTCTAGCCACTCCGATCATATTGAAATCCAGGCACTGCGCGAGATCGGCGAAAACCTGCCGGCAGTCATTCGCGGGAATGAAAACCTGCTTGAGATCCTAATGAAGGAGGACATGCTATCCAAAATCTACACTCAGTCCCTTGGAATCGGCGCTTACTTGGATGAGGTTGCTCGAGTCGCTCATCAGATCAGTCACCGATATCCCCATCTCAACGTTTTAGAAATTGGTAAGTGTACCAAAACTGCCTTTTTACTTCATTTATTGTCATGCTAATTTAAAATAGGAGCCGGAGCTGGTGGTACTTCAGAACGAGTGATGAATGCAATGGGATCGGCTTTTGCTTCATACACATACTCTGACATCCTCGACACACAGTTCGATGCCGCTCGTGAAAAGCTCTCGGAATTCCAATCACGGATGGCGTTCAAGGTGCTAGACATTGAACGGGACCTGGGCGAGCAAGATTTCCAGGAGACCTGCTTCGACCTTGTCATTGCTCCCTTGGCCCTTTATGCCACCAAAAACCTTGAATCGACACTCACCAATGTCCGCAAACTCCTCAAGCCTGGTGGCTATCTCATTTTACTCGAGATTACAGACCCAGATACAATGCGCTTTGGACTTATGCTAGGGGGTCTCCCGGGATGGTGGCTCGGAGTTGAAGAAGGTCGAACTTTGTCCCCATGCATCTCTGTCAGCAAGTGGGAAACATTGATGAAACAGGCAGGATTCTCGAGGTTCGAGGCAGTGGCACCCTGTTCATCAACCTCGCCTGTGCCGTTTTCTGTCATGGTCACCCAAGCGGTTGACCATCGTATCAACTTCCTCCGTGACCCATTGACTCCAGTCCACCAACCACTGGCAGTAGACGCCCTGACCATCATTGGCGGCAAGACACCTTTGACATCCCAACTCATTGCCGATATCAAAGTTGCTGTCCGCCGTCATTACAGCAATATCTACACTGTCAACTCGTTGGGCGATCTCGTTCCTGAAGAACTCCCGGTCATGGGTACTGTCGTCAGCCTCATCGAACTTGATGAGCCGGTGTTCAACCACATGTCTGCCGAGGGCTTGAAGTCCTTCCAAGAGCTATTCAAGAAGAGCAAAAATGTACTCTGGCTAGGCCATGGGGCACAGGGCACCAATCCTCACGCCAATATGTTCGCCGGAGTTCAGCGCACGTTGATAATTGAAATGACTCATCTTCATATTCATTTCCTTAATCTGAACTCACTTGCTGATGCGGATGGCAATATCATCGCGACAAAACTTCTCCATCTTGAAGCTGCTGAAATCTGGGACCAGAATGGCCAGCTTGACGGTATACTTTGGTCCAACGAGGCAGAGCTGCTACTGGAGAATGGACAGTTCAAAGTGCCTCGATTCCGGCTTAATACTCTTCGAAACAACCGATACAACTCCTCGAAGCGACTCATAACTAAAGAAGTTCCTCGTGCTGGACCTGTCGTCACGGTCCAGCCAACCAATATGGGGTACCTTGTTGAGGAACAAAACCTGCGTGCACCGCTTGTGCCCTCAAATCATGTCGAAATTCACGTCACTCACTCCATGTTACGCGCCGCTAGACTCACCGAAACAAGCAGTCTCTTCCTGGTGACCGGCAAAAAGGCACAAACCGACGAGTACGTGGTGGCTTTATCCAACACTCTCAATTCCCGAGTCCATGTACCGCAAAGTCTAGTTGTACAATGCGGAGAGACTGAGGAGCATGGGCTTCGCTCGTTGGTCACGCTCTATCTTCACTTGCTGGCCCTTTCCATCTTCCATAGAACCAAGGCCGGAGATACACTGGCTGTGCTTGATCCTGACTTCTCCTTGGCCCCGCTCTTGACAAGATATGCAACTGAAACAGGTGTGCAACTTGTACTGTTGACTACAAAAGAAGGGCACTGTTCTTGGCCATGGATTCGAATCCACCCGAATTCGACCAAGCGAGAGCTACTGAACAATTTGCCTCGCAACATTGTGCGTCTTATCAAGATGGGTGGAAGCGAGGAAGTATTTTCGCTACTTGGGTCCTGCTTCAAACCCAATTGTCAATTTGAGACCGAGGCCACTTTGACAGCTAACTTGCCTTCATCTGATTACTTATCAGACATGAGTGAGATCACCATGCAGCTCCAAAGGGCGTGGAGAAGGACAGAATACGACCTGCTCCCTGTTGATGCGCTGAACCTTCCGTCTCTAGAATTAGATGATCTTATTCGCGCCCATCAACCTTTCATGACCCAGTCCCTGGTTACTTGGAGCGAGTCCAGACTCTCTGTTCAGGTTCAACCAGCAACAAAACATGTCAAGTTCTCCAAGGACAGGACATATTGGCTCGTTGGGCTAACTGGTGGGCTCGGCTTATCACTTTGTCAGTGGATGAGTCGGCAAGGTGCACGCTACATTGCTTTGTCTAGTCGAAACCCAAAGATTGATGACCAATGGCTGGGGCGCATGGCTGCTGATGGGTGTACAGTCCGTGTTTTTTCCAAGTGAGTCAGACCCTACCCCAGATGATCCTCCTTTATTGACTTAACGTGCTCTAGTGATATCACAAACCGCGAATCAGTGCAATCAACATATCGCCGGATCAAGGAAACAATGCCTCCAATTGCGGGTGTCGCACAAGGTGCTATGGTTCTCCAAGACACCATGTTCATCGATCTTGATCTTCCTCGCCTTGAAAAGGTCCTGCTCCCCAAGGTACAGGGCAGTATCCTGTTGGATGAATTGTTCCCTGAAAATACCCTGGAGTTCATGGTGTTCTTCTCTTCGATGGCTGCGATGACGGGAAACCCAGGTCAGGTTGCCTACAATGCAGCAAACATGTTCATGGCAAGTTTGGCTGCTCAACGCCGACAGCGTGGCTTAGCGGGACATGCTATCAACATCGGGGCCATCGTAGGCAACGGCTACGTGACACGAGAATTGAACATGGGCCAGCAGTCCTATCTTTACCGCGTTGGTCATTCCTGGATGTCCGAGCAGGACTTCCATGAAGTATTCGCGGAAGGAGTTTTGTCTTGCTTGGATAGAGTGGGAAGCGCTGAATTATGCTGCGGTCTGAGAATAGACGACGACGAGTCTAAGATATGGGTTTCGAACCCCATGTTCCAACACCTGGTGTATAAATCGAGCAGCTTGGTGGTCGCCGACAAGAAAGGCAAATCAGGGGTTTTGATCAAAACGCGGCTGTTTGAAGCCACTTCAAACCAGGAGGTTAACGAGATTTTGCAAGGTATGGCCCTCGAAATCCTCCAGTCTGTCCCGCACTAACATTATTATCCAGATGGCTTTATTCTGAAGCTCCAATCCGCATTACAGGCAGATCCAAGTAAGCCGATGCTGGAAATGAGTCCGGATGAGCTTGGTGTCGACTCTTTGGTTGCTGTTGATCTCCGTTCATGGTTCCTGAAAGAATTGGGGGTTGACATGCCGGTGCTCAAAATTTTCAATGCAGCATCGATTCGAGAGCTGTTGGAGAACGCCGTCGAAGCTCTTCCCGCAGCATTGGTTCCAAATCTCAACATTGAGAATCAGCCGGTGAACAGCACCTCGATCGAGCCAGTGGCTTTACCTTCCGTGGTGGACCACTCTGTTAATGCTCTCCCGGTGAGCGCAGTGGAAATAGAGTCGAATGAGCACCTCACGAGCGACCGGTTCGCTATCCCAGATGCAACGCACGCTTACAGTGCTAGTTCCGCTACATCCCTGAACGCCGACGACTCGAACTCCGAAAACAACGAAGATACGTCATCGTCAATTTCCAGTGAGCCTAGCGAGGTGGGACCCATGAAGCGCGAGGTTGCAAGAACCGTTCCAATGTCATATGGACAGTCGCGATTTTGGTTCTTGGGACATTTGGTGGAGAACAAAACCGCCTTCAACATCACACCCACATTCAAGCTAAGTGGTCGACTCAGAGTTGCAGATTTTGCCAGGGCGATAGAATTGGCCGGGCAACACCACGAAGCGCTGCGGACCTTCTTCTTTACCGATGAAGAGCGGAACCACATGCAGGGCATTTGGTCCGAATCGAGTTTGCGACTTGAGCATACTGAAATTTCCGACGAGAACGAGGTCGCAGTCATCACTCAACAGATGAAGGACCATGTTTTCAATCTTTCGGATGGTGAGATCATGCGTGCTCATCTGCTTTCACTCGGCCCTGAAACACATTGGTTGGTCTTTGGCTTCCACCATATCAACATGGATGGTATCAGCTTCGAGATCTTTTGGTCAGACGTGGAGAAGGTCTACCAAGGCCAACCACTTTCCGAGGACGGACTACAATACGCAGACTTTACGTTGAGACAAATTCGAGAACGTGAGGATGGCGACTGGGCTGCAGACCTAGCATACTGGAAATCTCAATTCAAGGAAATCCCAACAGTGATTCCCCTGTTTCCATTCGCAGTTGAGTCCGGGCGCCCCAAGATCGCGCAATTCGAATCCGAAACCACGGTTGTACGTCTGGAAGCGAGCGTCTCGGAGGCTATCGAGCAGTGTTGCCGAATGTTCAAATCAACCCCCTTCCACTTCCACCTAGCGGTTTGGCAGATCTTCCTCTTGCGCTGGTTCAATCTGGAGCATATATGTATTGGTCTTGGCGATGGAAACCGCACAGAGGCCGATATCATCCGCAGCGTGGGTCTCTACCTGAACCTACTTCCCCTCAAGCTCTCTCAACAGCCAGGGCAATCGTTCGGGGAGTGTTTGAAGCAAGCTAGGGATATTTCACAGGGAGCCTTTGCCCACTCGCGAGTGCCTTTCGATGTGATCCTAGCAGAGCTCGATGTTCAAAGGTCGGCCTCGCACAATCCCCTGTGTCAAGTCATTTTCAACTATCGACCGAAAGCTGAGCAGTCCCGACAATTCTGTGGGCTTGTCGCTGAGGGCTCCCTTATGAGTGGCGGGGAGACCTCATTTGACATTGGCCTAGATGTCGCTAATGTGGGTGGAGGCGAAACACTGGTTCATCTCACAGTCCAAAAGAGTCTCTATGGGATGGAACATGCCAACATCATGATCCGCTCCTACCTGAACCTTCTGCATTCTTTCCTTCAGAATCCAGCTACCCGGGTGACCTGGCCTGAACTGCACCCCAAAGAAGACATCGAGAGAGCGGTGGTAGCAGGGCGAGGCAAGTTTTAGACTGTCAACTTTTTTCTCAGTGAACTAATCTTTTCTCTTCGTTCCAGGGCCTGAAATTCGCAGAGAATGCCCCCCTACCATTGTTCACCAGCTGTCTGAAGTCACTTCACTGTATCCCGATCGCATTGCAGTGAAGAACCACGACGGGAGCTCTCTCACATATACTGAGATTCATCACCGAATCAATGTGATTGCAACTGAGCTATTGAGAAACGGAGCCGGCTCGGGAACGCGGGTCGGCGTTTTCCAAGCGCCCGGTTCAGACTGGATTTGTTCCATGCTGGCAATTTTCCGCATTGGTGGTACTTATGTGCCATTGGACAAGAAGGCTGGCATCGAACGACTTGCAATGATTGCAGAAGAAACAACCACGCAGGTGATTCTTCTCGACACTACCACCGTGTCTGACTACGGTCTTTTGCACACTACAGCCGAGCCTATCAACGTCAGTAACCTACGCGGCTCGGTTGCTGGTCTTGTGCCAAATATGGCAGCCTCGGATCAAACGGCCGTCATAATGTATACCAGTGGGTCAACTGGGGCTCCGAAGGGGATCATGATTTCCCATTCGGCATATGTTCACCATGCCCAGTCTGCCAGTGAGCTGTGGAAGTTTGCACCTGGGTCTGAGATTGTTCTTCACCAATCTTCATACGCCTGGGATGCCGCTTTGTGGCAGCTTGTTGTTTCTCTGTGCATTGGCGCCACAATTGTTGTTGCCTCCAGTCTCGTTCGAGGTGACCCTGTTGCTATTACCGATCTCATCCTCTCGGAGAATGTGACATGCACCCTGGCCACACCAACAGAGTATCTGGCTTGGCTTCGCCATGACAGTTCCAAGTTGCGAGCCTCTAGCTTGACCACTGCTATCACCGCTGGCGAGTTCTTGCCAAATGGATTGATCAGTGCGTTCAGAGCTGTTCAGAAGCATGACTTGAGATTGATCAATGCCTATGGACCAGCCGAGATCACTTTTGCTTCCTCCGCCAAAGAGGTCGAGTATAACTTGCCACTTGAAGTTGGATCCCTTCCCCAACCTCTACTCACTTTGCCCAACTACTCGGTGTACATTGTTGACCAAATGCTGAATACCCTTCCCGTTGGAGTTCCTGGCGAGGTTGTCATCGCGGGAGCAGGTGTTGCCCAGGGCTATCTCAATGGCTTGAAAACATCTGAGCGCTTTTTAGAAGACCCGCACGCCAGCGAATTCTTCCGTGAGAAAGGATGGAATTCGATGTACCGGACTGGTGATCGCGGGAAATTGGTGCAAGACGAAGGATTGGTCCTTCTAGGACGCATGGATGGCGACAATCAGGTCAAACTGCGAGGCATGAGAATCAATCTCGAAGAAATCGAGACTGCCATTGTCAAGGCTTCGGGTGGGTCTATCACACAGGTGATAGTCTCTGTTCGATCGGATCCCGGCTCTAGCAACGATAACCAATTCCTTGTTGCCTTCGCCATGATGACCGAGACAGAATCTCCCGAGACTTCGATGCCGTTATTGAACCGAATTCTCCGGGAGGTGCCCTTACCAATTCACATGCGACCAGCTGCGATCGTCCCCATCGACAGCTTCCCTCAAAACACCTCGGGTAAGACGGATCGAGCAGCTGTCAACCAGATCTCTATTCCTCTCCTCGCACCCCAGAACCATGATAGTGCGGTCCTTTCCATCTTTGAAGAACGACTGCGCCAACTTTGGCAACAGGCGCTTCCCCAGGAAGTCGCAAAATACCATGCAATCGACTCCCAGTCGGACTTCTTCCATGTCGGTGGGTCGTCTATCGCCTTGGTCAATCTTCAAGCGCTTATCAAAGAGCATCTCGGTGTCTCTGTGGCCTTGTATCAATTATTTGAGGCAAGCACTTTGCATGCGATGGCGTCGAAGATTCAAACCAGCTCTTCTTCTGACGTGCCGCAAGATGTGGACTGGGATGCAGAAGTTCAAATTACGCCTGATGTTGCACCATGTCTGAATGACAGTGACGCCCATATCATTCCCTCCGGTGTCGGAGTCGTGGTTCTCACCGGGGCCACCGGGTTCCTGGGAAAGGAAGTCCTGCGACTTCTTTTGAACGACGAAAAGGTTCTTTTGGTTCAATGTCTCGCGGTTCGAAAACGGTCTGCTGCGCTCCCTGACTTATTTGCCCACCCAAAGGTTCGCCTGCATTATGGAGATCTGGGCGCACCTTTGTTAGGACTGTCGGCGCCTGAAGCCAAGACCATCTTCTCTTGCGCGGATATTGTCATTCACAATGGAGCTGACGTGTCTTTCATGAAATCATACCAGTCTCTGAAGTTGATCAACGTTGCATCGACCAAGGAGCTCGCCAAACTTGCTTTGCCTAGGCGGATTCCATTCCACTTTATCTCTTCCGCCGGCGTTGCGCGTCTCGCAGGTCAAGAGACCTTCGGCGAAGTCTCTGTTGCGCCTTTCCCTCCCCCGTCTCCGCCAGCAGATGGATACACTGCCGCCAAGTGGGTGAGTGAGGTCTACTTGGAACATATTCATCAGCAATTTGGTCTCCCTCTATGGATCCACCGTCCGTCGAGCATCACTGGAACGGATGCCCCTGAACTCGACTTGATGGGCAATGTCATGCGATACGCCAAGGAAACCCAGAAACTGCCAGACTCAAGCCTCTGGACCGGCGTCTTTGACCTTATCTCAGTGGAGTCGGCTGCAAGTCAAATTTTGGACCGCGTTTACGAGTCCAGTGTTTCCGCCACGCGAGCGAGCGATGTTACATATTGCTATGAGTCTGGTGAGATGGAGATCGGTCGTGATGAGATCATGCCTCTCCTAGAGTCTGGAACCGGGCTTGGGTTTGAGGTTGTTCCTCTGGACGATTGGATCAATTGTGCGGAAGAAGCAGGAATGAATCGTCTGCTTGGTGAATATTTGCGCGGATCATCGGATGGGCAAGTTTTACTTCCACGATTGCAGAAAGCAAGTGGATACGTGGCACAGAACTGAGAATCGAAAGGACAATGAGATCGGTTTCTAGAATTAGGTAGTTATTTTCTATTTGGCCTGTTCGGCGTGTTTAGAGTGTGGGCGGATGCCTCTTATAAATGAGATGTTTTTTATTGTTCAATCCTATATTCTTTCCTTATCCTAGAGTGGTAATTTCAGATATCCATCTACATTATTCCCTGGCAAATAATACGCCGTTTGTGTTTCATTGGTCCCTTTCGAGGGTATTCTTGTTGCTCCTACTACTAGCTAGTCACCCCCAGATGGGCACCAGTGTGCTGCTTCCGAGCCTTCGTAACGCAAGTTCTATGAGACACTGTCTTCTAATTGAATCATGAACTCTAGGAACACCCGGCATTTTATTGTTTTCAACTTCTTTAAAATGCTGAACTTTCATATATGTACACAAGCAATGATGCCGGCTGCTCCCAATGGCCCTGACCACCGCAATGACTTTTCTTCTTTTCTCCTTCTCTTCTTCTCCTCCCCTCTTCCTCTCTTTCCATCTCGAATTTCTCAATCAGCTTTCTTTCTTCCAACTCGAAATCCAAGATGCGAAGAGAATCTCAACGAAAGTCAACACTTTGTCTGTGTCGGCGTGTTGAACACTTGCATGGTTGGCGAACGTCGCAATCAATCACGAATCTCGGGGGCCCGGTAGTCCCTGCCACGAATCACTCGCTGAGCAAATGGCCTCTGTTTTCAAATCGAACGTTGTTTCACTTGTCGGCGATATTCTCATTCTGACATGCATGGGGGATTTCAGTCCCGTCGAGTAGTTGCATGTGCAGGTCCGTTCGGTGCACAACCAGCTCTGCTTTCGTTAATCTGGGCTTTGCCCGCTGGACTGAGATGAGGTACATTTAAGGCAGGGCCATGGCCGATTCTGAAGGTGTTTGCAGCCTTACCTCGGGATAGCATCCTCGCCGCGTTTATCGACATCCCAAAATGACGACAAGCAACCTTCCCGCAACTCAGACAGCCATTATCCAGCACGAAAATGGAGTCCTCAAAATCACCCATGGACTTCCGATTCAAGACCTTGCCCCCCACCAGATGTTGGTGAAAACCGCTGCAGTGGCTCTCAATCCTTGCGATTTCAAGATGCCTTTGCGCTTTCCGACTGCCGGCCTCTGGGATGGCTGTGATTTTGCTGGAACCGTTGTCGCACTAGGGAGCGAGGCAGCTGCACAAGGACTGTTCCGTGTCGGGGACTTGGTATTTGGTGCTGTTCAGGGATCAAACCTCTCTGATCCCATGTCTGGGGCCTATTGCGAGTACGTGCGGACGGAACCCAGTCTGGCGTTCCGAGTCCCCAAGGGAATGGCTTTAGCCGATGCTCCATCCATCTCGGGCACTGCCATTGCCACCCTCGGCGTAGCACTCTTTTGGTCCCTGCAGTTGCCTGGGACCTTCGAAGGCCCAGCCGCCAAGGCGGAGGATGTTCTCGTGTATGGCGGAAGCAGCACTATTGGACTTCTTGCGATCCAGATGGTTAAGCTGTGCGTACTCCTCTTGCATTCTGGATCTCCTCGCTAACCCCATTCTTCTAGATGTGGCCATCGCGTAATCACCACATGTTCACCTCACAATTCGGACTTGGTGCGATCATACGGGGCAGATCTGGTGTTCGACTACAACTCCCCCACGTGTGCAGAGGACATCCGGGCAGCTACCAAGAACGTACTGCGATTTGTCCTTGATCCATTCGCGGAGGCAAAGACAGTCCGACTATGCCATGCCGCGATAGGCCGCACGGGGGGTAGATACTGTGCTCTTGAGCAATATCAGGAGAGCCTCTGCACCCGGAAGACTGTCAAGCATGAGTTGGTTATGGGCGGAGCTATATCTGGACAAGGTGTTCAGCTCCCAGAGCCTTATGGAATTGCCCCTCGACCTGAAATCGGGGTCTGGGCTCGTACTTGGTATCGAAAGGTTCAAGAGCTCATTGACGAAGGGAAGATCAGGCCTTGCCCCATGCAAGTTTTGACTGGCAGGTTTGAGGGCATTCTGAAAGGACTCGATTTGCTTCGAAATGGGCAGGTTTCAGGTAAAAAGCTCGTCGTCCCTATGGGTGATTCCTAAAGCACGCGCCTTTTGGGCTTTCTGGATTAATTCAAGTCATATATATATGCAAGCAATTGAAATTGGTTTTCTCAATGTCCATTCCATAGGCCGTCCGACCATTGACCAACCCTAGAAGAATTTGATATCAATGTACAGTTTTGTGTCCCCGTTCTGCCTCTGCCTCTGCATATGTACGATCTAACTATTCTCCCAAGTCGTACCTAGTAGGCTTCAGGGCTCTTCCAGGTGCCAGGGTTGACTATAATACCTAGTATGTGCTGAGGTACCCCCCATGTCCAAACTTCCCAAGGTTCCAAGTCAAGGGCATGTCAAATGTCACTGGGAATGTTGATTCTAACTCAAGGTAGTTGTCCGTGATTCATTTTTGGAATTAAGAACCTAGCGATTTGAAACCTTGGAATCCTTCGCCCGCATCCCATCCCTCTAACAGAATGCTAAGTACTCAGCGTGGATCTAGATCAGACGCGATTCTCATAGACCATCTTCGTGATGATCTTTTTCTCGCCTCCCACGATGCTCACATTCCGAGTGAGGCATTTTTTGTCGTCGATAGTTTCAAAGCCCCAGATGACTTCTGCTTCCCAGCTGCTGGACTGATCGCGAGCTGACGCTTTGGGGATGTCGCGGGCCAGTTCTTGAATAACTTTCCCGCGGTAGTCTGCCCCCTCGAACGCTCGCCGAATTGACTCCTCTCCGATATCAGCTACATCAATGAATTTCAACTCTGTGCGGACCTCGCCGAAAACCGGCACTTTCATATCCTGCGTCCTTCCGTCCACAATGTAAGATCCTTGGCTGTCGAATGATCCAGGATTGACAATTTGCTTGACTTGAAGCTTTGTTGCCGTGACGTTGTCAGACAAAGAAGCATCTCCATTACAAGTTCCATCCTGGCTGGAAGCATCCACTGGACCGGTCGTTTGGCAAATTTCCAACGAAAGCCGAGCGAATTTCAACGCCTTCCGGATGAACACGGATACCCCTTGCTATTTTGTTTCAGTCGATGCTCCAATTTCGACTACGATGAGCCCCGGGGGATCTTACCAAGGCAAACACCTCATCTGGATCGTCGGATAGCTTCCGATTCTGCGTTGTGCGTCAGTGATGGTAATTCGGCATGGGATTTGGGAAGACTAACAAGCACCCATGTTCCGGTGAGGTCTGGAATTTCACTTGCGTGTGCCGTAGACATTCTTCTTTGCGGTTTTTTCAAGTTATCGATCAAACGGGGTTGTATATTATTTAGTCGAGTACGATATGCCCAGTGTGTCTGTTGCTAGTGGGAGCATGCGCTCTTTTGTAGGCAGGCCCAGTGCACTTTCACAACTGTCCTTACATTTCAAAGTCTCATTCGCAACTGGCTTCGGGGTTGGGTTGTAGAGGCAAGGCTGTCCAGTTGGTCTTGTGCTATTGTTTTTGTGCTCAGATGTTCTAGTTTGAAACTCGATATCGCCGTAGGTAGTTCACGGTCCAAATCACAGAAACCGCGCCAGACAGGATACCGGGATACCCTGACATGCTAAAAGAGCTTCCAGGTTTCTTTGCCTCACTAGCAATACTGCAGAGCATGAGTCCGCGCCAGATCAAACGAGTCGCTCTGCATCCATGATCAATCGCTGCATTCTGCCCAGTGGTGAGTCTTCTGCGCCAGGCACGAGCTCGGAGTTTCAATTGGCCTGCTTGGCATGTCTTTCGCATTGTAACTTGAATATCTTCGTAAGCCTGAAAGGGTTAGTTTCTATACTTGTTATCTTGATTGAATCTCTTATATGAGCTGTATTCTCTTCATAGATTTGGATGTTGTTGTCCTTGTTTTGATGGAAAGAAAAATATCATTTTTTGGAACAGTATATTGCAGCCTCGAAGGGCAGTATCACCGAGTACACATAGTCGTTTTCTTCATTACGGTGCTTCGGGATCAAGGAACCACTGTAGCTCTGACAAGCTGGCGTAAACACTTCATAATCTCCACTAGGGGCATTTCGCATGGGTCTTGTTCTTGTGCAAATACACAGTCACGAATAGATGACGACCAATTGTTCTCATGCGGCGCTTCAGCCGTTTTGAGCTCCCCTGTACCATGCACTTGGTTGTAACCAGAGCAGAGCCCAAGTGCGGCTTCGATATTTCCCATCATTGTGGCGCCAATCTCAACAAGTCTTTGTACTTGGCTGGCAAGATCTCCATCCAATTGAACTGTTCCACGACGTAGCTCTGGCAATAGTAAAATGCCATTTGCTTCGGCTGGGGGGATGATAAGGAATAGTTGATACAGACGAGTGAATACAGCACGATAGATACGTGTCAGATAACAATGGGCTTCAAGAACACTGAGCCACAGCGTGATGTCGTACGATGTGTGTGTTGTGTGACTAGGGGAAGTCATCGTCGTTTGATATTCAAAATCAGTAGATGGTGTGGTGGTTGCGCCCTCGTCTGAGCCATTGTCACTGGAATCCGAATGGTTGGTCACTGAACCTTCGAATCGATAACTCTGGGTCTGGAGTGATCCAAATCTCTCATTGGGTCTGTCACTCACGCCACGCAAGGATTGAACAATCTCCAAAAGCCAGGAGGAATGGTCAAGCAGGCGAGGTATCGGAAGGTTCAGTGTTTCCAGTGCAGGTCCACAACTGTCAGGGCCATAGGAAGAGGGTATGAAGTTGTCAGAAACGTCGTCGAGGACGTCCAGTTCGTGAATAAGTTCTGCTTTAAGCTTCAGTAAAGCTTTGCGAACATCTTGCTGCGAAGGAGCTCTGTGGTGATATGTTTGCTGCTGAAGCGGATCCTCGACGTTCGTGATATCGGCATGACTCGACCAGTCGAAGTCGGACACATTTCTCGAGGTAGCAACCGGGACGGGTTCCGTACATTCAAGTAGCTGGTCTTCCACGGGTGCTCCTGTCGGTACTTCCTTGTAAATATTCTCATCCCACCAGAGGTCTTCGCTCAAAGCTGGTGCGTTGACATTTGGTGCCTCGTACATTTGGTCTTGAATGAAGCCTTCAGGGTAGCCCTACGTGGAAGGATAAAGTCAGTGATCAATAGCTCAGCTTTTATCATGGGGCACACTTGCATAGTTGTAAGGCCCGGCGGGCCAGTGAGAATTCCAGTCTCCCCAGATCTGCGGCGGTGCTGGGAGGCTCCCGGTATCAAGGGGAATCGTGAAGTCAGCTTCACTAGGGGGCAAGAAGAAGTTGCCTTCTGGGACTGTCTGCAGCTCGGCTGGTTCGTCCCAGTAGCTATGCATCTTTTGGTAATACATCCCCCGCGCTGATGTAGATGGATGTACCGATTCAACCGCAGTAGGGGTAAAGGGTTTGTGAAGCAACCCCATGGAGTCATGGCGATCAAGGAACCCAGGGCTTTTGTGCCGGTTGGAAACAAGATCTTGGCTGGGGTTCGACGATAGAGCGGTTGCCGGATGATTCACGCTTGTGATGCATACTTCCTGTGCCTTGAGACAACGCTCGCAAGACATGCCATTTATGTTGACACGCTCACACCGCAGCTTCTGTCCCCGGCAACGATCGCAAGCCGATCTCCGGGAGTGACGGTAGTTGTGAGCTGGATGCATGGCTTTGCTGACAGCAGAATTGGCAGAAGATATGGCAGTCCACGGGTTGTGGCGATGAGTATTGGCGGATCTGGCTACAGTGATATGTGGGAAGTGGGAGTCGATGGGGTTGTCTGCTCTCAGGGAGGCACATTAAAACAGACTTTCAGGATTGAGGTACAGTGGTTTTATTGTCAATAAGCGCGTGGGCAAGAGGGCACGAAAGCGCGTGGATGGGTGTCACTGCATCTGTATGATCTTCCTGACACGATTCACCATGTGCTAGAGCCTAATGCCATATGGCCATTCGCTCGACTCTCAAGTTTGCTACGCTTTCGAAGCGTCAGGCCCTTCCAACAGACCCTCTCACGACATGTGTATGACATGCGGCCATGCGGACAAAATTCTAAGGGGGGGTTCTATTGTATCTTCTGAAATCAGACCCCCAGAGCCCTGGCAAGAGGTGCATTAGAAGTTAAGGAAGCCGTTACACAGGGCCTAATATCAGTGAAGCATCTGAAAGGATATCTGCAGTGATACCAGATATGCTGTTTCATGTCACAAACCTAGACTCAGTTCTGGGACGAACTCAGCGGCTATGAACTGGGTTGTCGGCTATACTTCTCGGTCGAAAATGGTTTGCTTGGCGCTATCGATTTCATTGAGTTTTATGGTTTAGAGGTGCTCCCTCGAGTAGCAAGGCCAAATCTGTGCCCGTCAGCCAAACGCTGCTCAAAAGTCGCCACGAAGTTCTTGAACAGGCCCGAGTATCTGGTTTTGGAACGACATCTGAAATCAAATGTTGAGCTTTAGACCACAGGATGAATCCGGCAGATTAATCACGTTCGTTCTGGAACCTGAGAGTTTGCCAGTTGGGAGTTTTGTTCTCAACTGGAGCGGAGAATAGCAAGGGGGCTGGAGCCCAACTTTGCCGCATTCTTGGCCAGTGCTCGGATGGATTTGCAACTGGGAGGAATTCCCCTTCCCGGCTGCCAAGGGGCGATCAATCGGAATTCACGAACGGTCCCCTACCTTAGGGGTGTGGCGGGAGACGTCTGGGATCAACTCTGCTGGAGGCAGCGAAGGCTAACGGTCTCTCTTGACCTGTTCCCTCCCTTATGCACGCATATTCACGGTTGACATGTTCCCTAGCCTAAAGATCCCTTTTGTAGGCTCTATCTTGGCTGGCTTCATTTCTTCATTTCTCTCACGGGGTGAGTATCAGTCCAAATCTTGCCCCCGCACAAAGCGTCCATTCAAGGCAAATAGCAGGCATAGGCTGACAACGGAGTGATTACATGTTCAAACTTGTGTCTCATGGAATTGTTCCGGGGATCTTTAAATTCTAGTGACTCATGTATCTAAACAGTCATGCAGAATCTTTCCCAGAAGCAATTTTCATGACTTACTACTCGCCCTAGGATGCTCATGGCAGCTCTTGATCATCACACGAACGCCTTGGCTTCCCTTCCGTGGGTGACCATTGAACATATCTCGCACTATTCGCACGTCCTCGACGGTAGTCTCGTGTAGCTCCATCTCGAATTCCCTGAATATTGTGGCAATGGCCAAAAGAATCTCCGCTCGGGCGAGGCTAGGACTCGGTGTTAGTTTCTCCCCACATTCGTCAAAGATTTTTCACATACGGAATGCCAACACACTGCCTTGACCCCTTGCTGAAGGGAACAAGATACCTCTCCAGCGCCTTTCGCTGTTCCGGGTCCATCCATCGCTCGGGGATGAAGCTTTGGGCATTGGGGAAAATTTCCTCGTTGTGATGCAAGAACATACTCGTCATGCCGACGGGCGTCTGTTCGAGGCGGTCAGCAAAGGGCCACCAACCAGCAAGTCGAAGGTATCAAATCTCTTACCCCGGGGGGAATAGCCCAATCTTTGTACATCATGACTTGATCCGGCGAGCTGCGCTGCAGCCTGGTTGCAACTGCATTGGTAAGTCTATGCGACTTTCAGTTAGTACCTCATCATGATAGCAGTGAGGGATTGAAAAAAAGGCGTACCTCAGGCCCTCAAGCATGACAGATGTCTGAAACCCGGTTTAGTCAGTGAGTCTTTCGAGCGGGGATGATACCAAACTTACCAGATAAGGCATGGTCTCATATTCCACCAGAGATGCCGTGCCATCGGGGTCGAGTCGGTTCAGCTCCTCGCGTAACCGCTGCAGCTTATCCGGGTTATGTAGCAGATGGAAGCTGAGTGTGGACAGATTCTTGGCAGTCGTTTCCCCTCCGGCTGAGATGACCGTGAATACCTCTTGGCTTAGGCGGTCCGGCGCCTTCTCCTCTGCAGGAAGTTTGCTGTTGAGCAACGCATGGAACAGAGTTCCCTTGGGTACACTTGTTTTCTCATCCGGAAGAGCGCCTCCGTTGGACTGACTATCTATGATCAAGTTGGCCAGTCGCAGACTCTCGACCTTCTGATCAATGACCGGGCCAATGTCCGGGTTGATCAGGACAACGAGCCAGCGAGGAAGCAATTCAAAGAGGCCGATCACCCATTGGAACTGTTTGAACTGCACACCCACTTCCACGATGGCTTCGATGGTCTTTGACCATTGTGGCGTGAAGTCCGGGTCATCCAGGTAATGGAACGACTCGCCCATCGAGTACTCCACGACCACGTCCGTTGTATAGGCGTTGAAGGCATGATACAGATGCAGCGGGACGTTCCTTTCCTTCCACGCCCGGAGTCCTGCGCAGAGCTTCTCCACCATCCTTCGGAGCATGGGCTCCAAGGTTCGAATGCGCTGTTGCGAAAAGAATGGGTTCATCGGTTGTCGACGGATGCGATGGCGTCGGTGATCCACCGATCCGAAGGCCGACGCGGGTGCCCCGAACATGCCCGTCAAGTGGAGGGATTTGTTCCGGGGCTTGTCGCGCGAGTACAGGACGTCGTAATACTCCGGGTCGTCGATGTGCAGCTCAAAGGGGCTGATTCGCACAATGGGGCCGTACCGGCGATGCATCTCGGCAATCTGGAAGGTATACTGGCCGCCGAGGAGCGAATCGAAGTAAAATTCATACCACATGGTCAGCGCGGCCAGCTTTGGGCCGGGAAAGCGAGCGAGAGGGGAGAGCCACAATCGCGATATCGCCAGCCATCCGGCGTACAGCACTGTGGCCGCCGTCACGGCAAGGATGGGCTGTGGAAGCATGGCTTGCCACCACATGACTCGGACAGAAGATGGGGGAGCCGTGATCTGTCTGGAGGGCAGCCTTTTCGCACACCCCCCGGTCGCAGGACCTTTTTATGGGCAAGCTCTGCTGCCCCACGCCTGTCAGACCATTAGCCATGCTGCTCTCGGGCTCCAGGTCAGCGAGACGCTGATTGGCGTCCGCTGTGTCGGAGCCATCCTATGTCGTACTATTCACCGTCTGGACGGGCCAGCAGAGAACATCTGGGGCACTCTGCATTAGCTGGGTGGCAGCGACCTATCGCGGCACCGCCGTGACGGCACCGGTGGCTGATGTTTCGAACGCTAATTCGGCCGTGGGTCTGAACAATGGGCCCAGAGCCGTGAAGATCGCTGACAGTCTTCCATTGACGCGGGTCGGAAGTGTAATCCTCGAGTCGGGAAGCCCTGATGAGGACCAAGCGCGCGTACTAGCAGTACTGTACTGTATACGGTACATCAACAGTTGAATTGATGCAGGTCATTGCTGAGTACTAGTACTACTACTAGTAGTATACTACATACTGTAGTAGTACTAGTACTGTACAGTCGTCCAGTGTTGTCTGAAGGAAAAGTCTTCAGGGGGTGGAGCCACCCATTGCGGTAAAGCGGCGAACTGACACCCACTGACACAACGCCATTCTTCACAAAACCTGAATCATGAAAGTCAGGGGTGATTTGAGAGTATACTGACCTCGGCTGTACTTTACTCTGGAGTGACTATGTACAGTACTTTAGCCCAGAGTTTGTTATACCAACACTATATATGCAGGGACTCCCACGTGCAGTCAGTTCGCATATCAAATAAATGGAATCAGCAGAATGAGTAGAATGAGTAGTATTTACCGTAATGTCATTGTAACCTTGAATCTTAGGACCGGAGAAATATCCAGATGTCAGACTGCAGTGATGATCTGTTTGCCTCTTGCCTCCCGTTGCCTTGTCTTCAGGGCTATAGGGTATGGGCACCTCGGTCAATTCAAAACATTTTATGTCAACTTTTGTTGCAACTTGGAAGTGGAACATTGGGGATTCTCCTGTAGTATTTCCAGCCCTAAGGTTATCACAATGGTCTCCGAGGTCCCGAGGCTGGAGATATATAACCCAACTGCCGTCTAAGGGCAAAATTCCTACTCGGCCACAGACACTTGCAGGACATCGGCCAAATCTGTGACCAAGGTTTTAAGGTAGAAGAAAGAATACTAGGTATGACTCCGTAACCTGCCCTCCAAGGCTGTCAACCTCAAGTAGAAGCGATGATCACCCGAGATATTTATTCTGTGTGAGCAACTGGGATGGTTCGCAGACTTGACCCCGATTCCCAATACCGAGTATCAATGTGGAATATTCCTGTCATCCAAAAGACTATGGAAGCACGAAGCCTGGCGTTCTTCTACAATGCTCGCCCAACCTTAATCCCTGTCTCCCGACCCTGTCGACGCGATGGCCATCGATCGACGATCCCCCACGAGCGGAAACTATGGAGCTCCGACGACGAGATACAAAGTCTCGGGTCAACGCGCGATTGACGAAACATGGCAAACCCGATGAAAACAGCCAATTACTACAGGAGGTCCTTGGAGGCGCGTCTACAGGACCTGAAACACTCACCTGTACAAAGCCGGCAGTGATGCCACGTTGAGGTTCACTGCCGCCCCACTCGCAATGAGTTCCTCATCACTATACCTCCCTGTGTCCCTGTTGCGCGAGATTATGGTCGTCGACTGGAGGGCCGCGTTATTGGTGGCGCGACACAGCGCATCGCCTGGGCAGTGTGTTGCGGCCTGGCATGTCAGGTGACCGGTGCCTTATCCGTGTAGTTGTAGATACCTAGGTAGATAGGATCATTCATCTTTCCCAGGGCCTTTTCGTCGAGTGGAAGCTCAGCATGCCATGTGAGTAGGACGGCATGGGTGCCTGCATGGGCATGGCAACGGGTCAACGCAGGCCAAGGTCCACGAGAATCGCAATCGGCAGACCGCCAGCTCCCGTAGGGGTTGGCCATCGCACTGGACGCGACGATGAGAAGAGAACCTGAGACGACAAACATATCATTGATACTCCGTGTAGTGGCGAATGTCTCTCGCCACTCTGCCGCTTTCCGGACCGAAGAAAATTTCTCCACGTCCGTTTTCCCCACTGCGTAGCGAAAGCGGAAAAAATGGAGTTCACCTTTCACACACTTTTTCGGAGATTCTTTGCTTTGATCTCTGAGTGATCTGTCGCACCATGGCGGACAATTCGGTTTCTGAGAAGGACACCCCCGTCAACACCCAGCCGAAGAATGAATTCAAGGACACCAAGGCGTCCGACGCCGAGCAGAGCCTCGCGGAGGGCTCGGAAAACCGGGAGTTGAAGCGCAAGCTGAAGAGCAGACACTTGCAGATGATCGCGATCGGTACGTCGCGCTTGATGCCCATGCCCGGTACAGACACTAACAGCATCTAGGTGGAACGATTGGCACAGGTACTTGATGCGCGCACGACAGCTGGGCGACCGACTAATTCGCAGTCTAGGACTCTTCATTTCCAGTGGTACCGCAATCGCAGAATCAGGTCCTGCCGGTGCCTTGATCGCCTATCTCTTTGTCGGTTCAATCGTCTACTCCGTCATGAGCTCCTTGGGTGAAGTCGCAACCTTCATTCCTATTCCCGGTGCCTTCACTTCTTACGCCGCCCGCCTGATCGATCCGAGTCTGGGTTTCTCGATGGGCTGGATTTACTGGTTCAACTGGGCTTCGACCTTCGCGGTGGAGTTGACCGCAACGGGAACCATCATTCAGTACTGGGATCCAAGCTTGAACATCGCCATCTTTATTGGAGTCTTCTGGGTCTTTATCACTGCACTCAACTTCCTCCCCGTCAGTTTCTACGGCGAGTTGGAGTTCTGGTTCTCCACCATCAAAGTTGCCACAGTGATCGGGTTTATGATCTTCGCCATCTGCATCGATCGCGGAGTGGGAGATCAGGGTGTCCTCGGCTTCAAGTATTGGCACCACCCCGGCGCGTTCGCGACCTATCTGGTCGACACCCCGGAATCCGTCGGCAAGTTCGTGGGTTTCTGGGCCGTCCTGATTCAAGCCGGATTTTCCTACCAAGGAACTGAATTGGTCGGTGTCGCCGCAGGAGAGACCGAAAACCCTCAGAAGACCGTGCCATCCGCGATTCGGAAGACCTTTGTTCGAATCCTCCTCTTCTTCGTGCTGACCATGTTCTTCATTGGTCTCGTCGTTCCCTATGACAACCCTAGACTCGCCACCACCACAACTAATGCCTCATCTTCCCCCATGGTCATTGCTGCTGACCTGGCCGGTGTCAAGGTGCTCCCTAGCTTGATCAATGCCGTGCTCTTGACTGTGGTCCTGTCAGCCGCGAACTCCAACGTCTACAGCGGTAGCCGAGTGCTTACGGGATTGGCCAACGAAGGCTTTGCCCCCCCTTGCTTCGCCTGGGTCACCAAGTCGGGTGTCCCATACATCAGCGTGGGCTTCACCGCCTTGTTTGGTCTGCTGGGCTTCATGAACGTCTCCAACGCCGCTGGGCAAGTTTTCAACTGGCTGGTGAACCTTTCCAGTGTGGCAGGCTTTGTGACATGGGCGTGCATCAACGCTTCTCACATCGCATTCATGCGCGCGTTGTCCACCCGTGGTATTTCTCGAGATGACCTCCCCTACAAGGCCATCCTGCAACCCTATCTGGCTTGGTACGGGCTGTTCTTCAACGTCCTCATTGCCCTTACCCAGGGTTTCACTTCCTTCATCCCAACCTTCGATGTCACAGACTTCTTCATCGCTTACATCTGTATCATCGTCTTCGTGGTACTTTATGTCGGGCACAAGATCTTCTATCGCACGTCCTTCGTTCGGTCGGTCGATGCCGATCTTGACACCGGTCGCATGCACTTTGAAAAGGAAGTGAACGTTCCGGAGGCCTGGTACCGGAGGATCTGGACCGGGCTTCTGACCGGTCGCCGTGCGGTCCGTGATGCATTTACTGTCTATCGTTATTAGCGTCAAGTGTCATTTTTAAGGCTACCGGGTCATTTGCAGCCATGTATTTAGCAGACCCATCCATATATATATGATGTGTAAAAATAAAATCCGAACGTGCTCATCTTTATTTTATGTTCTATGTTCTTGTAATTCGCAAAAGGGGGAAAGATTATAACAGCTTAACGATGAACAGCGCAGCACTTCCACTATATCCACTTGAATTGGCGAGCCACGACGCAGATCCCACCCATCAAAGCACTTACGCCAGTGCACACCACAAGTGCGCCGTAACCACTCCCATAAGCACCCGCCGCGCGTCCTTTCCAAGGGTAACCCTTGAGTAAAGCTTCGCTCAATGGGCCGCTGACCACATTGCCAATTCCTCGGCCGGTCTCCATGAACGGGAAAATGACGGTTGCATCCGCGCAGGGATTGGCTTTTTGGACTTCGTTGGAGACTCCGGCCCATGTGGATGAAAAGCCGCCCGCAAGAAGACCGTAAGCAACGCAGAATATATAGAGGGGGGGAATGCTCGTGGAAAAGCCCCACACAAAGAAGACTGAGAGCACGGTACCGACAGTCGAGATCAGGATGCAGGTGGATATATGATACCGGTCCGAAAGAAAGCCCATGAGGACGGATCCAAAGACCTGGAACAGATTCACAAGGGTCACGGTCAAGGACGCCATGAAGTCACTGGCTCCTAGGCTGCGCGCGAATTTCGGTAGGTAAATGGTGGGCAGGAAGAATCCAATTGCCTCCAAAGTGTTTCCAAGCTGGTATACAATGAAGACTTTGTTGTATAAGAAGCGGAAGTTGAGGCGATGGTACGCGATCTCCGTGGTGGTCAATCTGGGTCTGTGGAAGTAGATGAAAGGCATGGCGAGAATGAACAAGGTCACTGAGGAGATCTGAAGAGTTGCCGCTATGCCATATTTGCCCAAAAGCCACTGGATAGCGAGGGGGAAGATGATCCCCGATACACCTGACCCGGCCTGTTGTCCAAGTTAGCAACCATGCACCCGAAGACCCTCACGGGTTTATCTCGCGGAGTCAGCTTCACTTACCCAGACAACGCCGAAAGCGAGACCTTTGCGTTTAACGAACCACTCAGACATAAACAGAATGGTGGGCGTGTACGCGAGACATCCACCGACACCGAATCCAATGCCTTGGGATAAGAGAAGGTGGGTCACGTTGGTCGAGAAGGAGCTCAGTGCTAATGACAGGCACATGATAACCACGCCAATGGTCGACACCCAGCGAGCAATCTTGGGAACCAAAATCATGAGGACAATGGCTAATGGGGCCAGTAGATACGCGATTCCCTGTAGCACGTCCGATTAGCACCTATGCATACACCTCTGGTCTCTGTGAAGGCTCACCATGGCACATGTCCCAACGCTTGCAATGCTGCCCGATCCCTGAAATGGCTCGTGTGTGCTATAGTAGTCTTCAAAAACGCCAAATGCAAATGCATAGCCTACATTGTGTCAGCATAATCTGGAACGTGCATGCGGGGATGGACCACTTACCCCAGACCAGGGCCTCGAGCATTGACGAGGCAATCAGGAACAGCCATGCTTGAGGGCCTCCATCAACTGGGGGCAAGTCTTTGTCGTCTATGATGATCTGGGTGTCGGACTCTTGGTCAGATGGTGAGCTCCGGCTCGCCAGGCTGGTGGGATATTCCTTGGACTCCATCGTGAGTGGGAGAGTTTCTGTGGACGGTGGGCTATTATGTCGTCCGGTGATTCTCAGACGGAGAAATATATGTGCATGGAAGAACGTGGGACAGGCCACATTTGAGGACTTTATCACGGAGTCGGGTGGTTGCCAAATAAGCCATGATCAGCGTGCGAGAGGAAATTTAAGTAACGGAAGCTAACAGCATGACGAAATAAAATCTCCTTGAAGGGCATCTACCAATTGGCAGGCTGGGAACCTATGCAGAAGCACATACCTGGAATCCAGGCAGTTTTGGGTCCCAGTAATGTGATGCTGAATCCCTAGATGTACTAGTTGAGACGACGTAATGATCACATGTCCAGCCCTGGTGCAATGCTGCTTAAATGCAGTATTTGAATCTTGTTCCCCGGAATATGTACGTGGATCCCCATCTGGGCTCACGGGCACGTTGAACAGGTGTGCAGATTGATTTGCACCCGTGGCTTGAGACAGTGCTGATCCCATGCGGGATCTGCTCCAGCATTGATTCAAGGGAAAGTTCAACAGTGTCAGAAGCTGCCCCACTGAGCAGCTGCATAAGCTACCCACTGCAAGGTCCAACTAGGCAATGGAATGTTGATCAGAGTTACCGCGAAGTGTGTCAGGTTCAGGAGGTTCCAAGTTGGTAATACAATAAGTATCTGACCCACCGTCATTGGCAGAGGGATCCAGTAAGGGAGAAGAATTCAAGTGGACTTGGTGGGGATCTCGTTCCCTTGGTGCATTGAAGCTTGGCTGGAAACACGGACTGTATCAGAAGTAGATACAGCCTGGTCCCCCAAAGAGCTTCTGCTGACCCAGTATGTCAGGCCGGTAGTTTAGTCCGCGGAGAAGATGCGGGAAGCTAGTGGACGATCATTGTCACCGGGTGTGGTCCCTGCTCTCTGGGCTTGGGTGATTTGGGCAATTCACTGGGCAAGCATTCCTGCTCACGCAAGCTTTTTTCTCACACCATGTTCGGGGTCAGAGGCGTTTCTGACCAGCATTCAAACCTCAAGCTCCGAATTGTATACGGTTCGATCTTCAAATCTCCAAAATCCGGATCTCTGTGCATGACTGAAGCCTTCAGCCCCAGTGACAAGTGGATATGGCCCGTGTCAACGCGCGTTCGAACATGCATGCCATGCTTTGTACATACTGTACAAAGAGTATATTCCCCGCGAGATCTCCGGAACGTGTAGTACTGTGGGGAGCTCAAGCTCCCGCGTTTTGGATTGCAGACGCGTCAGGAACCACATACTCAGCCTGAATATTCAGGTGTAACATTCTTCAGACATTCTCGATATTGTACTCTATTCTCGATGTAGTCACATAGGGTCGACACTGACAATTGTCCGAGGAAATAACTCAGCAGCTGGCGCTACTCGGCACATTCTCACAAGCGCTGCTCGTCTTGCCACCACTGACGCTGACACCATCCCAAGTCCAATCGGAGCAAGCCCCTTCGGCGCAAAGGATGTACACATTCGTTCCGCTACTCGCAACTGTTCCCTTGACCCCGTCCAAGGTGAGGTCGGTGATTGGTACACCGTCGGTCGGTGTGCCAGTGGGACTGCCATTCTCGTAGTCTTGTTCGATCACAATCCCATATTTGGTGATTCCCGAAAGCGTGATGTCCTTGTAGGTGACATTTTTGACAGAGCCAGTGGCCTCGTAAACGGTCTTGATCCGCACGCCTGTACCACAAGTCAATACCAAACAGACAATGCCCAGCGCTGATATACCCTTACCATTTGTGGAGTCTTGGATCTGCGAGTTCTCGATGATGACGTTGGCAACATCGTTGTTGCTGCGTCCGCCGACGGAGCCGATGGACAAGCCATGTCCACCAGAGCAAAGACCGCCAGTGAACGTGATGTCCTAATACCGTCTCTTAGTTTATGGTACAAAGCCCACGGGGTCATGTTCCTACCGTTCCAGAGTTGACTGCGAGACAGTCATCTTGGTTGTAGACCGTCGCACCGGTAATGGTAATTCCCGTGCTTGATCCAACGTCGAATGCGTCGGTGTTGTGGCCTCCCTCGTCGGTGTCGCCATCGCGGTTGTCTACAGTGATGCCACTGAGCGTGAGGTCTGTTGCGCCGTTGATGCTAAAAACCTGAACGGGAGAGTTCACGATGTGGATGTCACTGATGGTGGAGGAAAACATTTTGTGCGCATAGAAGAACTTCGGTTTGGTCTTCCCGCCATTCGAGCCCTTGCCGTCCCACCAACGGCTTCCGTCACCGTTGAGTGTTGCGCCAGAGGCACCTTTGACCGTGATGTCGGTGCCGGAGACCGAGACCAAAGGCCCTGACCACTCTTTGTAACCAAATGTGGTTTCACCTTCAAATATCACCTAGGGAGGGAGAGGTATCAGCAAGATGCGCACGATAGTGGATCAACGTTTCATGTACAGTTGTCCCATCATTCAGACCAGTCAAATCCAAGGTCGTGCCAGATGGCACAGCCACTGCCGACAGTACAATGGTGGCACAAGCAGTCTTCGACTTGCTCGCTGACGAGGCACCAGCAGACCCGGAGAAAGTGCAGCTGGTCGCTCTCTCTTCGAGTTTCGGAGCTGCCGTAACCTGAGCCTTGGCTGGCTCTGGGAGTGCGTGTACTGCCAAGGCTCCGAAGAGACCGAGCATGAGAAGTTTCGAGCCTGCAATCATGGTTGATGACGTGCAGTACTAGGCGGTGCTTCGAGCAAGGAAGGAATCAAGTTTTCTCCCAACTGTCAGGATTGGAATGAGAATTCTCAGTCCATGAAGTCAATTTTGTTCTCTCTTATATCCTACATCCATCGAATATCATCGCAGGTGTCTGTCCTGCTCGGGAAATTGCCTCATCCTTCACCTCGCGGAGGGATCGATCCCTCCAATGCCGTGTCCAAAGAAGACAGGACATAGAGCTCCGCAAATTTTGGCACGTTTCACCTGAGAGATCGACATGGCCTTATGGGGTTGCCTGGGGAGAGGTGAATATTGCCACGAATAGGAGGCGCTTGAGGATGAATCAAGCCATGCCATTCGTGGAACGGACCGCTCGAGGAAAGCTTTTCTCCGCCCTATGCACGGAGTAACATTTGGCACGCTTTCTTCAAGCGAGATTAATCTGCAGGGGTCCTCTAGGGCTGCAGGGATATGTTGAAGAGTAAAAGAGCATCCATGGGTCCAGGGGCATCGCGTCCTCAGGTGTCGAGTTATGTGCAAACCATGCAAACAGAGCAAATTATGCAAACGCAACTTCTGATCTCGATCGGCAATGCGCGTTTGGAAGTGCCGAACCCATTCATGTTTTTATTTGATACGGGCCCTCTTCACTGATTTTTCTCTTCACTGATTTTTCTCTCCACATTTCACCCGAGCCGGTATTGGTGATTTGTGCGAGCTGCAAACGCGGACTACAAAACTGGAGTGTACCAGTAGTACACTCCGTACATACGAAGCCTCATGAATACAGACTAACAAACTCCACCGACCAACCGCGGCCCATGACAGCAAATGAGAACGCTGGGAACCGCTTCTCGGCTTGCCGAGGCCCTATCCGGTGGGGGGATTGAGGCTTGCAGTGGTCACTCCACTTGGTGGATACACGAGTATGCATATCGTACGACCACAGATTTGTATATACATCCATGTGATATAAATGCGTGAGCTCGATTATATCACCCCAGCCCTTGGGAAGAGTGCTTCAACTACTCGCCTGTCCACCATGACCGGTCCCATTGAAGCGCCCCGCCCAAGGCGAATCCCCTACTGGCGAATCCTGACCGATCAGGGCGTTGTTACCCCCGACATCATCGACCATGCCTACGTGGGCTCCGGAACGGAAGAGGATCCTTTTGTCGTCGAATGGATTCCAGATGATCCACGAAACCCAATGGGGTTCGATACGAGCCTGAAATGGACGTACACCGTCATTGTCGCTTTCGCCACTTTTGCGGTGTCACTGGCTTCTTCGGCATACGCTGGCAGTATCAGCGAGGTGATCAAGGATTTTGACGTGAGTGAGGAGGTGGCAACACTGGGTGTATCATTGTTTGTGCTTGGGTTTGCCGTCGGGCCACTCCTTTGGGCACCTCTCTGTGAGCTTATGGGTCGTCAGCTCGTTTTTCTCGGCACATTCTTCTGTCTATCGGCATTCTGCGCCGGTGCGGTTGGCTCGCAAAATGTGTGGACCTTGATTATTCTGCGGTTTTTTGCCGGCTCCTTCGGCTCGTCCCCTCTGACCAACGCAGGGGGGGTCATTGCCGACATCTTCACCGCAGATCAGCGAGGGCTTGCAACGAGTCTTTTTGCGGGGGCCCCCTTCCTGGGGCCCACGCTGGGCCCCGTGGTTGGGGGTTTCCTGGGGGAATATGCAACCGCCGATCATTTTCTGGGCTGGCGCTGGGTTCAGGTGTTCTTGGCCGTCTTTACCGGCCTGATCTGGATCGTCCAAGGGCTTGTGATCCCCGAAACCTATGCACCCCTGCTACTGAGTAAACGAGCTGATCGACTATCTTCGCTTACTGGTAGAGTCTACCGCAGCAAGGTCGAGATCGATCGCGGTAGGCTGTCAGCTCGAGATGCTTTCACTACAGCACTGTCGCGTCCGTGGATCCTGCTCTTTTCCGAGCCCATCGTACTGCTACTCTCGTTGTATATGGCGATTGTCTACGGCACTCTTTATATGCTGTTTGATGCATTTCCAATCATCTTCCAGAACATCCGCGGCTGGGGTGAGGGTGTTGGCAGCCTTCCATTCCTCGCTGTCATGATTGGGATGATGTTAGCTGTCGGGCTTAACATGTATGACAACAAGCGATACGTTCGGATTCACAAGGCCCACGACGGATTTGCACCCCCAGAGGCCCGTCTTCCTCCCACCATGTGGGGAGGCCTTGCTATCCCTGTTGGACTCTTTTGGTTTGCGTGGACAAACTCCGGATCACTTCCCTGGATAGTGAGCGTCCTGGCGACTGCCCCATTCGGGTTCGGCATGGTATTTGTCTTCCTCGGAATCATGAACTATCTGATTGACTCGTACACCATCTATGCGGCCTCAGTACTGGCCGCCAACTCGATCATCCGCTCATGCTTCGGTGCTGGATTTCCTCTCTTCACAACATACATGTATCAAAATCTCGGAATCCACTGGGCGTCATGCGTCCCTGCATTCCTGTCACTTGCATGTGCACCGTTCCCGTTCATCTTCTACCACTACGGTCCCATGATTCGCCGCAGGTGCAAGTACGCTGCCGAGGCGGATAGCTTCATTCGCAGCTTGGCCCAGAAGGCGAAAGCACCCGACTGCGTAGATGAGAAACAGAATGAAGCCAAGCCGGTACCCACTACCACAGACCACGGGGCCTTGGCGGAAATAAACCCGGATGGGGATGCGTCCTCGGTTTCCTCTCGCTCGTCTTTGGAGCGCATTGAGACTGCATACGACGCCAATCCTTATGATATAGACCGCGTGAACACCCAAAACTCGGCCATCACGCGTCGATCACATTCCACTAAAGGTCGTCGATCCTGGCTATCTTCCTTTGGACGCAGCCAAGTGTCGCGGACTGCGTGTGCAGCCTCCAAGGATACAAGGCTCGACTCGCTCAATACCTAATTATCCCATACTTTAGTGCTAATCTCATTACCTCCATAAGCTTCAAATCCAACATTAAGAATTTTGGAGAAGGATAGAAAGAGAAGACGGGATCATTCAAAAGTCATTATCATTTCATGTCCGCAGGTAAGACCTGGGTGCGGCTATTAACAGGATATTTGGCATGATGCTCAGAAATCAGCTGCGTCTGGCAACTTCTCGGGGGTATCACTTCGGAACTTGTTGGTGACCAAACTTCCGAACGAGGGAGACCAATCAACCCTAGGAGACAGGCTGTCCAGTCCCCAGAGCTCGGATACAAACTTAAGGATAGAGGTATGAGTAAACTCGTTTCCTCCGCTAGGCTGGTGCTGCACCACGCCCTTGGACACCCAGGGGGAGATCAAAACCGTCGGAACACGCACTCCCAGACGGTCAAAGTGGAACGTATATTCCTTGCCATCTCCGGAGGCCTCGGAGTAGGTCAGGCTGTCGCCAGCCGGGACATCTGTCGGGGGAGAAACGTGATCCGCAAAGCCGCCATGTTCATCCCAGGTCAAGATGAAGAGGGTCTCGTTCCACTGCGGCGAGTTGCGCACAGCTTCATAGATTCCCTTGACAAAGTTCTCACCCATGTTGATCGGGGAAGGCGGGTGCATTGACATGTAGTTGCAGCACTCGGGGTTGATCCAGGTGAACTGCGGCAAGTTCCCTGCTGCAGCGTCGGTGTAGAATTGGTTGATTGGGACGACGTTATCCTTGCCATTCTTGGCTGTCCAGTCATAGAACAAGGCATCAGGCAAGAAAGCCGGGTCTGACTTGGTGGAGTTCTCATAGTTCTTCCAGGTGATGCCCTTGTCTGAGAGCTGCTCGAAGATAGACTTCTGGGGAAGCGCCGAGGTCAAGAAGTCGTCGTCGTTCTTCCCATGCCCGTGCGAGGTGCCTGAGGTCAGATAGGCCCGGTTGGGGTTGGTGGGCCCTGGCACGGAGGCGAACCAGCGGTCAAAGAGCACGAAGTTCTGGGCGATGGAGTTGAAGACGGGGATATGGTCCGGGGTAAAGTAGTTGATAGCCTCAGCGGCCCGGTTGAGGTCGTCCTTGGGATAGGAGGCGCGCTGCTCACTAATGAAGCCATCCATGGACGCCTTGGCCCCGGAGGCCGGGTGATAGGTACCGAACACTTGCATGTTTCCACCCGAGATGCTGTGATTGGGGTCGTCGGAGGCAATGTTCTTCGCGATGGGGTTGGCGCACACCTTGGCCGAGTCTGGAAGAGACACATTGGCCGGGTTGCAATAGCCTTGCGGGCCATCAATGCTGGAGTCGTAGTCCAGACCGCCAGCGAAGTGGTCAAAGGACAGATTCTCTTGCACCAAGACCACGATGTTCTTGATGTTGTTCATGCCGGAGGAGGCGGGCAGGGCAGAGGCGCCCAGAGTGAGGGCAGCAATGAGTATAGAGCGCGCCATAGTGGTGTAGTGAGCAGGAGACATGCCGGGGGAGAGCAGCTATATAGGCTGTGAATTTCCCCTCCACACCCCCAGCATCCTCTCACAACCCCCTTCCGTCGCATGTGCTGCATGACACCACTCTGCGTGAACAAAAAATCTCCAGGTCGCCCACGCTCAGTGTTCGTGTCGATCCCCCCTGCATCGGCGCATGGGCTGCAGACTGCCTCTTATTGGCCCACACCCCCCCCTCCCAATTCTGAGAACATCTGATGTTCTGCAAATGGTCGAAGAGAAAAGAACCTCATGGGCTTTCTTTTGTTTTCGTCTCGATCTCTCCGGTGTTTACTCCGTAGGTGTTTGCTTCCAAGCTTGTCTGGTTGTCTGGTTGGTTGTTTGCATCTGTTTGCAGTCTTGGCTGAGCTTCATCACCGCTCATTCACCTTCTCCTTGCCAGCCTCCGAACTCTGATGGGGACTCACCTCCTCTTCGGCCCTGGTCTCATGACTGCCGCAAATTGACTCGGCTTCAAGTGCTATAAGAAAGACCATTTCCCTTGGATAGTGACATAGTCACGACAAAGATGCCCTAGGATTAGGGTGAGGGGTAGAGTCAGGTGAGACACACCCTCTACTAGTAGAAGTCACCCGAGTGAAGGATGGAGAAATCAAGAGAGTAAGTCTAGTTTTCCGCAGTCCGAAGCCGAGTACGGAGTAATAAGACTAACAATGTCATCGCAGACCGAAAAAGAGCAGCCTACTCAAACATACGAGCCGACCAATCAGAGGGCTGTCGAGTATAAGATGGGGCCCGATGCATCTCCCCGTTATAGCCACCAAGCTTGGCTGGATCTTGGCCTCGCACACTGATTGATGCACCACTTGAAGCTGCTGCCTACTTGCTGATTGGTCGGTTCGTTTAAAATCCGAACAGCCTCGAAGGTGCCCCGTATATATCAAAAATAGAAGCACCGAGATCTGTACTTAAATCATCGGGAACACCAGATAGGATGGCTCATCAATCTACTCCATCTTCAGTCTCTGTTGCAACATGGCCTCTACAACTGCATCGCCAGCCGCATCCACAACCTCGACCGCGACGTGTGTCACCGTCTCTCCGGGCAAAAATGGATACCTCCCGCCGGAATCGTGTGACGTGATTCTCTACTATGTCCCATCATTTGGGGCTGCTATTCTCTTCTGCGTTCTGTTTGGTCTAGCGACCATACTACACACAGTTCAGGCCATCATATATAAAAAGGTTGGCTCACCGGATGACTTGCAATCGACGGACCCAAACTGACATGTCGACAGCGATATGCCTGGGTACTCATCATGGGGGTGGCATGGGAGCTACTGGCCTTTGTCTTCCGGGTCCTTCAGACACGCCATCAGGACAGCGACGTATACAGCACCCTCCACGTCATATTCTTCCTTCTGGCGCCTATCTGTGAGCACACCCGCCTTGCCAATCAAGCACCCTGAATCAATCTAACTCGACTCAAAAATAGGGATCAATGCTTTCATCTACATGACTCTGGGGCGCATGATCTATTACTACGTACCTGAACGGAAATTAGCCGGCTTGTCTGCCCGTCACTACGGTATGCTGTTCGTTGTACTGGACATCGTTGCCTTTTTGGTCCAACTTGGTGGTGCATCGCTCACGACCAACACCGGCGAGGAAACAAAGCTCGTCTTGTTGGGCCTACACCTCTATATGGGCGGAATTGGAATGCAGGAATTCTTCATCCTCGTGTTTTTGGGACTGACCATTTACCTCCACCGGGAAATTATCCGAATGGAAGCGGGCGGGCAAATTGGCATGGAGAAGCTTCAAACTGGAAGGTTCTCCTGGCGGTGGCTGTTCTACTCGATCTATTTCGCCTTGGGCATGATCACTGTAAGTCAGCGAGACACGTTCAACAATTCCCATGCTAATATGGATATCAAGGTCCGCATCATCTTCCGCTTGGCTCAATATGCCCAGGGGACGTCCGCCAGCAATCCAGTCTTGACTCACGAAGAATATGAATATGTTTTCGACGCGGCGCCTATGTTCCTAGGCATAATCGCCCTGAACGTGTTCCACCCTGGTCATATCCTGCGGGGACCTGACTCCAGTTTCCCCAGACTAACCCGGGCCGAGAAAAAAGATCTCAAGGCACAAAAGAAGGCCATCAAAATGGAAAAGAAACAGAGACGGAACGGATCGAAGGGAGAGTTGCTTCCGGAGCCACGGATGGAAGAGAGACTTGATGGCTCAGCGCGATTCTACCAGGTTTAATGAGTGACGGTGAAGATTCGAGGAACAGAATAGATCAATATGCATGAGTTATGACGAGAAGCCTTCAAATTGAATAGATCTACAAATCCCAGCGAGGCAGTGCTCATTGGACCGGGGCGTTTCCGGGCCCACTTTCATGGGCGGTTGGAGATGCCTAATTGGGAAATCCTCAGCGAGATTGCTGTATAGTACATAGTACACACTCGACTTCTTCGATCTCTGCTTGATCCTTTGTCTGTCTGTATCTTGCTTGCACAGATTGTCTCATGGACTGGTCTGGGACTGGGATTGTCATGCATTCTGAATCTGCCATCGCTACCTATTCCAATCTATGTAGAGTTCGAATTATCCGCACAGGAAAACGCTTTTGCCCCGCCTGATTGGTGATAGGACTTTATGATGCCGACCACAGACCCAAAGGTTCCCGCGACAGTCAGGAACGTCCCCAGAACTATGACCAAAATGCTGAGTCCTACCATAGGCAACCAAGTCCGGGAGCTACTTCTACCTTTTCCCCAGTTATCATATAGCCACATGCAACCGTAGGGCTGGAAGCACAAGATTGTTCCCAGCATGGCACCGATGAGGGAAACAAGGCCATCGAAGATCGGAATGCTGCTGGCGATTATGTAGGCGACGACAGTGACACCGAAGGTACAGCCAAGCCAGCTTGCCCAGTGAACGAGAGTGTTGCTCGTCAGATGTCGGGAGCCGCGAAGAAAGTAGACAAACATATACTTTGCTGGTATCTGTGAGGTCAATCGAGTTAGATGGCTGCTTGTCAGAGTATCATCTGGATCTTACATGTGTGACGATTGTTGTTGTAACGATCAGACCTGGGAGCGCGAAGCCATATGCGATCTGCTTGATTGTCCCGCCAGCCGAGCCCAGAGCGGGCGAAGAAACATACGAGCCACAATAATAGTAGACCACACACCCAACAACAGAGTATATAGCGGTCACCCCTGTCTGGCAAATGAGCATAGCGGGCGTGTATTGGCGAGGGTCGCGCATTTCAGAGATAATAGCGAAGAACCCTGGTGTGCCGGAAAAGGCAAACACAAGATTACAGACTGCCGTGATCCCTTCTGTGAATGTCGGGTTGCCCACAATTTTCACGTCTGAAACCCAAGGGCCTGCGGTCATCGGGGCTGCGGCTGGACGGTCGCGGATGGCGACAGCGATTGTAACAATCATGACTGAATCATTGTTGTGAGTGATTGGACTTCAGAGCATTCCAAGGTTGATGTGGGAGGGCCTACCAGCGACAAGAATACACGGGAGCCCAATCCATGCCAGCCAAGTGATACGGCCAAGCGTGCGAACGCTACTAAAGCCAAAACCCAAAGCAGCGGCGATCAGGGAAAACACAGCGGTGCAAGCACCGTGCGTAGAGACTGCGTTCAACCCAATTGAGATCCCCAAAATACCAGAGCCGCTCACGAATACCCAATCTATGGGAGAATTAGTTCAATTTCCACATGTTAGTATCTGAATACTTACATAGGCAGAAAATCACAGAGAGGACTCCACGGCCTATTGAACCAAACATCAATCCTGCGGCATCATCAATGCCATAAACCTCGCGATGATTGAGCTTAAAAGCGCCGATGACATAGTCGGACCACGTAGTCACGGCTGCGATGACGCATAGGCATATGACACCTGGCACAATACCGAGAGAATCAAAGGCTGTTGGTATGGAGAGAACCCCGAGGCCGATCTGGGTCTTCATCATCAGAATGACAGTGCCTGGGAAGCCCACCTATTCATTGTTAGCCTTCATGGGGATGCTGAATGCGATCTAGATGCACATTGCGATAATTTGGTCCACCCTCCGTTATTTCACCAAACACCACATCCTGAGTGGCTGCCTCTGAAGGCTTCTCCTTGAGATCGTCTTTCCTTTCAGTCGAGTCAGAGATATCCATTGTAGTATTGCACCGGGGCTTGTGGAAAGAGACCTGGGATTCCAACGATGCGATCTTTATAGCCCACCCTCGGAAGCGATAGCCAATAGACTACTTTCCATTTCCCAACGGCCTCAGATATCCTGGACATTGTCAAGATAAACCGTTTCCGGTTTAGCACGGGGCCACGCGATCTCCGCATTTCCCCCGCAACTCCAAAAACCAAGTCCGCCCCTTGCTTTTAGTCTTTCAGCAAGGGAAATCTCGGGGATTGGAGATCTTGGGAAGTGGAGCCGACATCTCGTGGATGTTTCATTGGAGTAGAAGTACGGAGTATCGAGGCGGTCATTGTGTATTTGCTGAATGCGGGACTTGGTACTTCGAGGGTTGGAAGACAAGGTCTAGCTTTTTGTTTCAAGTGGGTCTCGTCATGCATATTTCCAGTTATCTGCAAGAGTGTGGCAAGTTAAGAGAAACATGCGGAAGGCATCTTCCAGGTTTGGATTGAGGGCGGTTCTTCGAAGTACTTGGAATCCAATGACTCGATTTATGAGTGCTTTTCAAATTTGATCATATTCTCGGACTTGGAGCCAGGACTGACTGTTCTGTAACTCAATTCATTAAATATCAATATTACTCTGTTTAGTGTGATGTGCTAGGCTAGCTGCAGTCTGGTTTCTCGGCATCTTGAGTGCCCGGATGAAGGACCATGAAATTTGACTGCAGCTGAATAAGATTCTAAAGATAACGAATTGGAAAAATATCAGTACAACAAACATTATACCATGACTAGAAGCCCCATCTGAAGTTCTTGAGGGATATACCACTATCAGCCATGCGTCATCACGTCCCAACCCCTGGAAATTGGCCTCCCTTAAGGATCTTGGAAAGGCAAGCCCATTAGCCAGGAATAAGGGAGATCTGCTTTTTTCCATCCTTTAAAATAGTAGTTTAGACCCCACTAAATACCATATGCGCCATTTTCACGAGTGTGCCGGGTTCCCTCCTTACATTGTACAACAAACCCACGACTCAGCGGGTTATTTGACCGAACCAGGAAAGGTTCAGTGATAAGAAATGAGGCGAAGTAGACGTTCGAAAGTGGAGCTGGCAGGCAGAGGAAATTGCCACGTCGCATGTCCCCTCTCATTATTCCCATCCTAGGCTTGCCAAAATTGTCCACCCCTGGACATTCAAGGTTCGGGTTCTCTCCCGAGGTCTGCCCTAACGTCTACCTAATGACCACCTGGGCACTCGACGATACGAATCCCATGCTATTATGTGCTCATTTTATCAATGCAGAGTTCTACTACATGGTGAGTCTAAAACCGGCATGGTATGTTGTGTCGACCTAAGGAACGACTCACGGATATACAATCTTGGAATGTGTGCAGATCGGCAGGTACACTCCGTAGGTATAATCCATCGGGAGTCTTAGTTCCCATTGCAACAACACACCAAAGCCTATGAATACCTAGTAGTGGTGCAAGCAGGCACAGGGCTCCCATAGGAATACCATTCCGATTTATTCACAACTAGGGCGTGCCCATTGGGCCGCTCTCATCTCGCACTCCTACTCTCCCTGCCCCTCCCACCAACGCCAACGCCATCAACGTTGGAATGCCCGGCCCTCAGCCTTCGATCACTTGAAATATTTCAGTGATTTCCTTCGTCCGCCGTGTTCACACCAAGTTTCACTTTCAACGACCACCGGCTTCAATCTAACCCAGTTTCGTGGCTGGAGTCATATATGACTGTTTACTTGTTCTTCTAACGCTCGGCATTGTTGCGGAGCCTGACGACGATTCCGATGATGGGTCTCCGGCTCTTGAATTTTTGCTTGGACCAGCTGTGCCAGGTGGTTGAGGAAATCTCGGGGGCGATTTGGGGTCTCCCCTTGGGTTTTGATGCAGTGTTAAAGCCCACACTCAACATCACGGTCTGAATGGCACTCGTGTTTCCCTGGTATGAATTCATTGTGGTCTTGTGCCGTGAAGGGTCACTAATCAGTGTATAGACGGCGATTAATCGTTATGACATGCTCGTAGATAGCCGGCCTGAGCCCAATGACACTGTCGCGCTCCCTGATGCCGCAGATTTCGAAGATCTCATGGCACATTCCGAATGCTACCGGGATCTTAGACATGGGGAAGAGGCGCATCATGCGTGCTTGGCCGCTGCGTCTGCCTTCAGGTCTCGTGTGCAGACCGCCCTCGACAATGCCGAGGGTATCGATGATTTTGTGGTGGATGCGTTCCGCCTCCGTTTGGACGATATGCCCGTCTTGCGCTGAATTGGCCTGCTGGTTTCTTGGGGGTTCGGCGGTGGTTCCGTGTCGCCTCGTTGAATTTATATAAGGATCGGGAAGGAAGACCCTGGATAGAGCCCGGAACATTCAACGGGACGGACAATGGTTCCTCCAAGGGGCACATGGTCTCTTAAATCAAGATCCCCACGTCTCCAAGGGAAGCACAAATGAGAGTCCAGAGAGCCCGAGCCATTAGACAACCCCAGAATATATAGATGCTGACATTTCCACAGTGAAACGCCTCAAACCTTAGAAATAGATATGCTCCTCTCCTCTGTCTTCTCTTTCGTTTTTCTCTCTCTTTCCGTCCCTCTTTATATATTATCCTCCTTCCGGCCTCTCTTACTTTTACTTCAGTTATCACTGTATCCTACCGATATATCATGAGTGACTTGTTTCTCTTCCGTCTGCGCTTCACTTCTCTTCCTACTACTTTCACTTCAGTTGTCACTCTGTATCCTATAGATACCTATATCACGAGTGACTTGTCTCTCTTCCGTCTGCGCTTCACTTCCAAGGTTCTCTTCCTACTTCTCTTCCTACTTCTCTTCTCACCCATTTTCCTCTCGATCGCTATTGCAACTGTGCGACGCTTTTACCAGCCCCCTCCACTGTGTTCCTCGCCGACTACCACAATGTCGGCCTCGGACGACTCGCGGATGCCCGGCGGCCTGTGCCTACCCGCGAGAGTGGTGGTTCCCGAGGGGGGCGCTGGGCTTACCTTTGCCTGGCGAAAAACGAGACCAGCAACAACCTCTTCTTGCGAATTTGTGTATGCCTATGTGCCTCGATTTCGTTGAAGTGACATCACCGAAAGTTCGATACAAAAGAATCACATACTCGTGAAAGAGTTGATGAAAGCTGCTAGACGCAACGACCTTAACGAAGAGCAAGACCTACGAGCAGCCCTGTCCCAGCTATGCTTGACACCAACGACGGGTCGTCGGTTAACCAATCGAGGAGCGATCTGGACCTTGAGGGACGCTGTGGCGGGAGTTGAGACAGGAACCTCTGCAAGGATTTCAGATCCCGCCCACAGAGGAGCTGTAAAGAAGAATCTGTACAGTTTTCTCGTGGAAAAGTCGTCGTTGGAAGAGTCACTCGCCACTAGCGAGAGCCCAACGCTCACTCCCGAAGAAGAAAACACCCCCCAATGTACCTTTCCATAAGCCTCGACTGAATTTTCGATAGCGATCTAAAAGATCAAAACCTTCCATGGGGATGCACGCCGAGGTGAATCGGCGGAGGATTTCATCGAGGACCTCGAAAATTCGATAAAGAAGGAGTATAGGCAGGACCTTGCCCGGTACCCTCGCCTTCGGATGATGAGACTCAGCAAAGATTCTACTACGGAAGAAAAGGAAGTGCTTGAGCTCATGATGGCTGATCTGAGGATCGCCTTCCGACAAAACATCGATGGAAAAGCCAACCAATGATACAGTCAGGTTCGCCCAGAACAGAAGCAGGACTGGAAGGTCCTCAAGGAAGCCTTTTTGAACCGTTTCCGCCCGGAGCCTGAGCATGAGTACGAGAACCTGAAGCAGGATCCCAAGGAGTCGGTCCAAGAATACCCCATCGCGGACGCGCCACGCACGCTTGCCGAACTCCACAGTTTCGCGACAGTAACACAACGACGACAGACGCTCTAGGTAATCTTAGAAAACTGTGGAGGTTTCGCACTTCACATCTAACGTGCACACTTGAGTATTTGAAACGAGAATTCATAACTGTTCGAATATTTACGTTTGAAATTAATCACAAAGCCCAAGCCCAGCCCAGTCTATAATCTTGAAACCAAAGAAAGAAGCGCCCATAATGCGATCATAGTTCAACAAACTCTCTGCGAAGGAACTCGTCTTCTTGAATCTGCTGAAGATAGTTGGCTACCTTGGTAGTCAACGTATCAATCTCAAATCCAAAGAATTTGTACGCAGCCTTGCCTGGAAGGCTGTGGCCGAAGCGCGTCACGCAGATACCCGCATCCGCATACCGCTCCCATCCATTGGGAGCGTAGGGCTCAATCACCACGGCGGGGATACCGCGGTGTCGCTGCAGAGTATCACGCTTGTACTTCAAAGACTGCTTCTCAAACAGGCGCTGGCAAGGGAAGCTGACCACACGTGCAGTGATGCCTTTCTGGGCCTTCAGTTGAGTGGCGACTTCCAGTGCAAAAGAAAGCTCGGCTCCGACACCAATCAGAGTGACAGTGGCCGACTCGGCTTCCGACAGGACATACGCGCCAAGAGCCACGCTGTCCCGACGGGTTTGAGCCAGTTGAGGCAAAGTCTGGCGAGAGGTAGAGATGATGCTGGGGGTGTTCTTGGCTCCAATGGCGGCGATCCAGGCACCAGCTGTCTCCTCGCTATCACCGGGGCGGATATAAAGCAGGTTTGGCATCGCGCGATATAAATTAGCTAGCTCAATAGGCTGGTGAGTCGGACCATCCTCGCCCATGCCGATGGAGTCATGGGTCGCGACATGGATAATCTGCAGGTGCTGCAGTGCACCCATTCGGACGGCAGGAGCAGCATAAAGGTAGAACATGAAGAAGGTCGAGGTAACCGGAATGATGGTGTTGGGAGAATAGGCAGCCAACCCGTTGGAAATGGCTGCCATTGCATGTTCACGCACGCCGTAGTGAATATAGCGACCAGAATAATCACCATTGATGCCACATGTGGTGCGGAGGTCGGGCTTAAGAAAACACAAGGTTAGTGACTCACAAATCAAAGGAAAAAAATCTCACTCACATGCTGGAAGTCGACCTTGCCGGGCCAGATCATGTTAACAGATGGTGAAAGGTCTGCTGTTCCAACCATGAAGGAGTTGACCTCTTTGGCGATGGGGTTGAACACCAGTCCAGACGCAGCTCGGGTGGCAGTGGGCTTGTCAGGGAAGCTACTCGGGATGTGATCCTGCCAGTTCGTGGGAAGCTCACCCCGAACGCGACTTTGGAAGCTGGCTCCCAGCTCGGGATATTTGCTGGTGTAGTCTCTCACCAGCTGGTCCCATTCCTGGACCCATTGCTCGCCACGCTCGGGAAGTCCCTGGAAGAACTGGCGTACAGAGTCTCCAATGACAAAGTGCTCTTCCGGGTTGAAACCGTATGCGGTCTTCATGTCTATGATGCTCTTGGCGCCGAAGGCGGCACCGTGGGCGACCGCAGTTCCTGCCACACTGCTATCCAAGCCAATGACGGTCTTGATGTTAATGAAGGTGGGCTTGTCCTTAGATGCGCGAGCCTCCTCCAGAGCACGGACGATACCCTCGATATCGAAACAACCGTCGGAGACATCAATCACATTCCACCCACAAGCACGCATCTTCGCATTAACATCTTCGGTATTGGTGAGATCGACGGATCCATCGCAAGTGATCTGGTTGTTGTCATAGATGACAGTGAGGTTGTTGAGGCGGAAGTGTCCGGCCAGCGAGATAGCCTCCAAACCAACACCCTCCTGCAGACAAGCGTCGCCAATCATACACCAAGTGTGGTTGTTCACCACATCGAAACCGGGGCGGTTGTAGGTAGCAGCCAAGTTCTTCGTCGCCATCGCCAGACCCACGGCGTTTGCGATACCCTGACCCAAAGGTCCGGTGGTTACTTCAATTCCCTCATGCTCAATCTCGGGGTGGCCGGGACACAGGGCATCGACGCGATCTGAGTGGTATGACTTGAGTTGCTCAAAGGTCATGTCCTTGTAGCCGGTGAGGTGGAGGAATGAGTATTGGAACAGACATGTGTGGCCTGGGACATATGTCAATATCTCTCAGTAAATTTGTTATAACTGAAGCCTACCGTTTGACAGGACGAAGCGGTCTCGGTTGAAAAAGCTGGGGGAGTGGGGTGCATAGCGCATCACGTATTTCCACAGCGAAACACCAATTGCAGCCATACCAATGGCGCCACTAAATCATCAGCTTTTGATCTCCTTCGCTGGGGATATTTCATACCCAGGGTGTCCACCATTGAATTGTTGGCAGAGATCCGCAATGAGGAGACGGAAGGTCTTCAGCACCAGATCATGGTCCTTGGAGAGCTTCTGGACCAGAGGCAGCGCAGACTTATGGGCGGTGACGCCGTTCTGAATTTCGACAGTCATGATGAGCAGAAACCAAAACTGAAGCAGTATGCAATGTCTCTAATGCCGGAGAGACGCGCCTTCAAATAGATGCGAGTGGTGATGCTTAATATTTCCTAATCGGGTTATGCTCAATTCCCCACCCAGGGCCGCGACTCGCGATCTTCACATATCAAGATGCAGAGCTTTCCAGGGTTGAAATCACCTGGCACCCACTGTATATGCGACTTGACTCTTGATTCTTGTTTAGGTAATTTCAGGTCCCAAACGTACAGGCGTAGACTATATAGTATCTCTTGTACCGGGAAACCTATAGTTATATGTTTTCTCACCTGGGCAGTTTGTAGAATTTGACAGTGACATTCTAAGCGTGTATGCATCTCTCTGCTATGCATTCTACAGTGCCTAGGTATCCCAGTCTCTTCAGAATTTCGCATCGAGCGCAGAAACAAGAGGGGCCAGACCGGGGCCCCGCAGAAGTGACGTCCGAAACGGGTATCTCGAGCCACAACCTACTATTTCGGGTGCTTTTGGCCGCCAGAACGCCTTAAGAATGACAGTCTGCCCCTCGTAAAAAAATACAACACATAATGGCTCCTTCAGTACTTGTGGATCAGATCAGTCAGGCTGTGCCGACCAAGTCGAGCGATCGCACACTTCTGCGAGTCTCCCACCCCAACCCGTCGTTACAGGTGACGGCAGATCACAACCTCAAATCGGCCGAAGCACCGGTTTACAGTCCTCGGGCTGGCGAGGCCCTGGTGCACATCAAGGCCACCGGAATTTGCGGCTCAGATATTTACTTTTGGAAGACTGGGCGCATTGGGTCATTGGTATTTGAAGGCGACTGCATCATCGGCCATGAAGCGTCCGGTATTGTGTTGCAGTGTGGAGAGGGTGTTACCCATTTAAAGCCAGGTATGCATGATTAGCTGTCTAAATATCGGCGAGGTTCCATCCAACTGATGCGTTTGCTAGGTGATCGTGTGGCTGTGGAACCAGGTGTGCCTTGCGAACACTGTTTCTTATGCGACGAGGGCCGATACAATCTATGTGAGGATGTTCATTTTGCCGGTGTCTATCCTTACGAAGGCACCATCCAAAGATACAAGAATCACCCGGCGAAATGGCTACACAAACTCCCCGACAACGTCACTTTCGCCGAGGGTGCCCTTCTCGAACCACTTTCGGTGGTGATGCACGGTGTCAAGACTGCTGGTCTCTCCCTGGGCCGGGGGGTCGTGGTGTGTGGCGCCGGACCTATTGGGTTGATTGCCTTGGCCGCCGCCCGGGCCTCTGGAGCGCATCCAATTGTGATCACCGACTTAGAGCCCGCTCGACTGGCCTTTGCCAAGGAATTTGTCCCGTCGTGTATCACATACCAAGTTGATCGTACCAAGGATGCCCAAGGAAACGCAGAAGCGATCCGTGCTCTCTTTGGGTCTCATGAGTATGTCGCACCTGAGACAGTCCTCGAATGTACGGGCGTGGAAAGTAGCGTGTGCACTGCTGCTTACACTGCCCGACGTGGAGGAACGGTGATGGTCATTGGCGTTGGAAAAGCGATCATGAATAACCTACCCTTCATGCATATTTCACTTGCCGAGGTTAGTGTTATGTATCCTAAGGATATCCTTTCGACTTCTTGTTCTGTACTAACCTCGTCAGATTGATCTTCGATTCATCAACCGCTACCGGGATACCTGGCCCCCAGCCATTGCTTGCCTGAGCGGTGGTATCCTCGATCTGCGAAAACTGGTCTCACATGTCTTCCCTCTGGAAAAGGCAGAGGATGCGCTCCACCTGTGCGCGGATACGCGGAATGGCAGTATCAAGGTTCTGGTCGTAGATGAGCAGGATGCTTCTTTATGAAGCGCCAGTCTGATGAATATACATTTTTCTCAATCTTTCGCTTTATGGAATTCATATAGATATCGGTAGTATACAAGGCTTGATTATTAGGTTGCAGGTCGTTCAATTGAGATCAAAGACTTTCATCTTCCAACTTCTATAGACTTCCTAGAACGAAAACGAGGATTGGCAGTAGATGGACTCCACGACGGGTATAGGGTCGGCGGATGAGTGGTCGCCGGCACTCAGGAATGTGTTATGACCGGTGCAATCAGGGCCACTAGAAAGAGGTGAGCAGACGTAGATTTGGCGAGGGTTTGATCCTTACGTGAACAGACGGCAGGGTTTGCGCAGTGAAATAGTGAGAACGTCTCTGCCATTGGTTAGATCGAAACACTGAACGCTCGTAGCTGGGTAGACTCACTCTTCTTCGATGGGATGACACTCATTCAACAGCACATCAATGCCGCGACTCTTGTCTGCCGTTGCAATTCCGACCTAAATGGACATTGTCAGGGCGATCCTTAGAACTCGAGTGACAAACGCACAGTGGTCTTCTTGGCCTGGGTGGCCGAGACCGTGAGGAGCATCATGCTCAGAACGGACAATTGCTTGAGACCATACATGACGTCGAAAGGACAATGTTGCGATAGGTATCAGCAGTACTTTCAGTGAGTTTGAAAGTCATTTGTGCAGGAAATCGAGAAATCCAGGACCAGAGTGTTTGTTTGTGCCCCTTGCATCTGTCAAGTGCCAGGGGCCACGATCCCTTTTCCGTGGGGTTCATCGGAATGCAATGAGATTGAATCCATTGCAGCTGCAGACTTTGTAGATGAGTTGCCAAACTATAGAGTAGACCGAACTGGGAGCTGTGGAGGTGTTAGGGCAACGTGAGTATAAATGGGCGGGTTCCCGCCGATCGCGGCTCTCAACTCACAATGTTCCCCCTCGACGAGCTGCGTCCCGAATGGACTCCTTTGCATCCATACACCCCCTCGGATTCCACCGATGCGCCCACCTTCCCTTCACCCTTGGGCACAGCCAGCTGGGGTCATGATGGCTTCTCCCATGACCCTGGCTTCCTGGCGTCGCAGGAAGAGCTCCGATGCATGCTTTTCAACATAGCCCAGTCTGCCGCCCCGACACGCGCACCAAGCCCTGAACTGCATGCCCTACGCGACTCCGAATTGCCGACTCGCCCTGTATTGTCGAGTCCACGTCGCATTGAATACTTGAAGAACTATGTCGGGCAGGTGGCACCTTGGGTACGTGACCCATCTCGCGTCCCCAACAAAACAGGAGTGTGAGGGAGAGAGGGGGGATATGAGCGCGAAAGAAAGACAGAACCGTCAGTTCAATCGGGAATTCGATCGCTAATGAGTTCGCAGCTCGATATGTTCGATTCGCAGTGCACGTTCCGAGTTCAAATTCCCGCGCTCGCCCGCTCGTTCCCCGCACTGATGAACGCGATTCTCGCTATATCCGCCCGACAAATGGAAAGGAAGGAAGGCATTCAAGACTCGTTCGACAGTCTGGAACTCTATCAGGAAGCGATTCGCTTGCTGAGCCCGCTCTTGCAAATGCGCGACCCCAAAGTGGTGGCCGCCTGTGTCCTGTTGTGTTGTCTCGAAATGATGTCTGCCCGTGCGCAAGACTGGCAGCGTCATTTGGAAGGTTGCGCTGCACTATTCGAGTCGTTCGGAATGAACGGATTTAGTAGCGATCTTTTACAAGCGGTATTCTGGTGCTACGCGCGTATGGGTGAGCGTGATTCCGAGTTCTACCGTCAGATGAATTGTATGCTGATTTGCTAGACTTGTGCGGTGCGCTGATCTCCGATGGAACTCAGAGCACCCTTCTTCGACCCAGCAAGTGGCTTGCGCCTGGATGCCATGAAGACGATGCTGCCCAGCTGTTCCAGGCGGTCCGGTCGCCAGACATGCATGCGAATTACGCCGTCTATCTTTGCGCCAGGGCATGTGAATTAGTGGCTGATCGGACTCAGTTCATGGAGCTAGGTGTGCAGAATGGTTGTAATGGGGAAGTCTTCAATCGTCGTTGTCTCCGACTGTGGGATGACCTGCAGCATTGGCTAGACAGCCGCCCACCGGAACTGTTGCCTGTCCATACCACCACGACGAAGCCGTTTCCACACATCCTCTTTCTGCATTGGGCGGCCATATCCTCCACCCAGCTCTATCACACCGCGTGCATCTTGTTGTTGAATACGATGCCCAAGTCAGTCAAGCTGCCGCCAACATCAGTCACATCCGCACTTTGGCATGCCAGGCGCATTTGTGGGATCTCACTTGCCAATCCTCACCAGGGCTGCTTGAACAACGCGATACAACCGCTGTGGATTGCAGGTCGATTGTTCAGCCACAGGTCAGAACACGCGATCATCATCGACCTGATCCGACATATAGAAGCCGAGACGGGATGGGGTGCTTGCTGGCGCATCCGAGATCTGGAACTTGCTTGGGGGTATCCGGCATCACGTTCAAACCATGCAACAAGACCTCGAATTCCCATCACCCAGTGAACCCCGCGATGACATGGTATCTAGGCCAAGCCGTGGATATTACGTCTCGTCAAGGAGACACCATTCCGCTTGCAGCTTATGCAAGCAGCCACTCGTATCCCACCCTGTCACAATGCGGATTCGCTCAAACCCCTGAGTCACTGCTTGCTGTTGGGATTCATGCGTCATACGTCGTGCAGCCATCAAAAATGAAGCCAAGAGGCACGGATCCCAACACTCTCGCCGATCGTTGTGGAGAGCAATGCTGCAGATGCGCTGCGCATGCCACAATGGCGACATGGCAGCCGAGTGGAAGTCGTTGACTCTCGCAGTCCTCGGCCGGCAGTGCAGCAAGATCAACATGGCTGTATGGTATAATTGATTCCCAAACAGCCCGGCCCCATTAGCGAACAGAACTACCGGGAGGCTCTGCTCTGGACCCGCTAATCGATGATCCATATCCAGCTCCAGCATGGGCAAAAATTCCTGCGGTCGCTCCCGGTACCACTGCTCCAATTCTTCTACTAGCTCCATCCACGCGTGGAGGGGAGGTCGATCTTGGGAGATCTCTTCATTGTGCATGAACCGAATGGCTCTTGCGGAAAGCCAAAGCGGGCGATAGGCGTAGTAGAAGACCATTTCGAACGGGTCAGCCACCATGTCTACCTCGGTCAGGTACGGAAATGTCGGTGGAAGTGGTACGCGTATATCGCTATCGGTCGCTAATGCGACCCCGAGATCTACATGCTCGTAAGTATCATCCACCATGAGTCATAGTTCGCGTTAGAGTAAACATACCGAGTCGAACAAACAGCCAATATATCGCGGAATTGGTATCCCTTCCGACTGCATGTGAGCTTACTGCGCTCAGCAGCTTTTGATCGCATGGTGCCGCTGAGGCCCATGCCGCCGAAATGTTTGATATCCACTCCTTTACTTGGCCCAGAACGCTTAGCAGGGCAATATGGGTAATATCTGGCATTGTTTCCGACTCTTCTCTTGTAAAATCCTCCCGCGGGGGGTTATGTGGATGAAGTTGGTTGAAGGAGGTCTCAGAGAGGCTGAGAACCGCGTTCCATACAGAAGGTGAGACCATTGCCAGCTCTAAACCATTGATGCCAAAGGATTGGCCCAGGTCACAGATGTCCAGCTGCAAATTCTCAGTCAGCGAAGGATGTTCAGTGAGCGCGAAAGGAATTCCTACCCAAGAGGCTATCTCATAGCGATAGTGTCGCAGTAGAGCTTGGATTTCGATGGACGTGCTCTCGTCCTGGATGTGCGGGGAGAAAGCCGAAGGTAGTGCTTGTAACGCAGGATCATTGATCGAGAAACTCGATAGGTTCATGGGTGAATCATTCATGCCCAGGGCCAACAGACCTGCAACTGCTGACTCGTCCTTGTCGCTCAGCATGGGTTGCTTGTCGGTAGGCTCCCAAGACACCTCTGTATGGCTGGCATCACCCTGTACTCCTTGGTTATCCCCACGAGGAGTTTCAACATCATCTTCCTCATTGTGGTCATTCTGGGGCTCCTCGGCAATGAACTGCCAGTGGTCAGATCCCGAGTTTCGCCCGTCTTAGGTTGAACATACCCGGATGGCCTCGTAGCTAGATGAGGTGCCAACTTCTGACGGTCGAACTGTCTGCGCGTTCTTTTTCAAGAATGTCAACTGCGGACCATACTGGCATTGGAAGTTCCGGTCGACGCAGTTGCGGCATCGTGGTTTACCCTCGTCGCCTACATCGTTAGCGCCAGTGCGCCACCACTGCCGACCAGATTGCGATACGTACATTTTCTTCGACGAACTCGACAGCGCATACATCCTGTGCGACACCGGGTGAGCCGGGTCTGTTTCCGGTCCATGTCTAGGTGATGGCCCTGGAGGTGAAGCACAAGGAGAGTTCTAATCGGGAAGGTGTCCAACGCACCCCGAATGGGGAAGTTGTAACCACCGCGTCACCTGACCCCGATCCGACCCGCAGGTGGACTATGCAGACTACCTATACAGTACTAGTTGGTTAACTACCTAGGTAGTAGTCTAGAGCGAAATAGGAAGAGCACCCGGCACTGGGGCCTGACAAGCCGACAGGACCTCTCTGCCTACAGCGCCATAATAGGAAATAGAAGCTGATCCATGAAGTACTAAACTGCTTGCCTCCGTATATCTGAGATATCCGGACACTGGTGCCTCAGGCTACATACTGCTGTTTCCCCACTGCCCAGGTGCACTCCAGTACTGTCGCGGCAGTGTCGCCCACTGCCCATTATGGGTCCACGGATGTTGTCAATTGCCATGACCTCGGGACATTACGTCGATTATTATGGCTACTCGGGAGAGAAAGAGCTCTTGTGGATGTCTCAAATGTATTTAAAGTCGTCTGATCCATACAACATATGTAAAGACAATCTGATCTTTTAATCGAATGAGATCTGCCAGTGATGGAAATATGAAATGTGAGTAACTGAGCCTTTCACTATTCTATCAAACCCCTTTTGAGATCTTTTTTACTATCAATGAAGTCAAGATCAATTGTTTATTTTGGTACACATCATACAAAGTGAATTTTACACGAAACTTATTGGTTCCAAGGTTGAACGGTACAGAATGGCAGGCACTACCCTTATACTATCTAGGTAGTATAAAAGAGAGCTGCTGCTCCATTGGAATTTTACCCTTTTCATCTTCCAAAATGGCACCAACACTGCGAACATATACCACTGCTATCACTGGATTCCAGCGTGATCAACATCATAATCGGCTTCATCTTTCTCTTTCTTCGTCTGGTTGGATAGCATGGGAAATGCATCACAATCCGTAAGCCCCCGTCGTGTTCACGAGTCCATGAGCGTTGAGCTTTGCATCACTGACCGTTCATGTTCGTTATTTAGCAAACGAGGGGGAGATGAAGAAGACAAATACAGGGAGAGAGCGAGCAGTCTAGGGAACAAACATGGTCACTTGACTGGGTGTTCACCTGGGATACCTTCTTTTGGTTGGACTTGCAGTATGGAACATCCATCGAACACATGTGAAGATGCAAAGCCTATGGACAGCACTAGAGCTCAAGCCTTTCTTTTGTCTCTCGTCTGACAGCCCCCTGGGCTGCTAATGGCGCCGCTCGTGCCTCGAAACTGCACACACAGTACAACCACGACATTGTCGAGCTCTGATTACATGTCGAACTCGACAACGATATGGAGTTGCGCAGACGCACAGCCCTTGCAAGAGAGCAGTATAAATGTACTGTTTGCATGGTTAAAGTCAAACCTGAGACGTCCTTTGCTCTTTGAGCAAAGACAAAGACCCCCCAAGACTCCGAAAGTCCCGTCCGTTGGACTTCTTGCCCAACATCCGAGTTCCGAAGGCTCAAAGTCGACTCCCGCTTCATTGAACCGCGATGGTTCCATGCCAATCATGATGCTCGTTCAACATCTGTCGCCGGGATTTGTTATACCACCCTGCGAGGCTCCCCGAGCACCTCCTAAAGAAAATGAGACGTTTGGACTGGGTAAAATCATGGATCTGATAAGTAAGAGATGAATGTTTTTGCTTTCGGCCGGAGTAATTATATTTTTACGACAGACATGTATATATATTAGCGCAAGGAATGAAAAGCCCATGAAGTGCATTATATACTAGGTATAAAGTATGGTCAATTGTTTCTCAGACAGTAAAGCTGCTTCCACTCGTCGACAATCCCACTATACGCTGACGGCCCATACACGCCAGTCAGCTCTTGATAGGTCCCTCCGAGCCGGTTTGGATTTAAACCCAAATCACGCATCAGAGTGTCATTGTACTTGATCAAAGGTTAGCGTATGGTGCGTGCTTTTCAATAAAAGGCATACCTGGATAGCATCCACTTCAAGGCCACTCCCGGTCATTGAGCCAAGTACCGTATCTTCAGAAATCGCATGCTCCATCACATCCAGTGAAAGTGAATCAAGAGAGAGAGCTTCACATGGTTTCACAGTCCCGGGTTTGGCATCCAGTCCTCCAGTTAGAAACGCGGCGACCCAGAGAGCCTGTACTTCAGCGATGACCGCAATTGTAGATGATAAGATCACACCAAGTGTGGCAAAAGAACGGTCGCCCTGAGCCACCAGCTCGGGGGCAACCATCCGGCGGAACAATCGATAGGGAATCAGCTGGCCAGAGTGAGCCCACGAAGGAGAACCACGATCTATAAGACTGCATTTGGTAGCCTGCAAGGTCTTCCGAACTGTGACTTCCAAACGCTGGTCCAAATCCTCCCAGTGCCTTATGCGATCCGCAATACGAGGTCCTAGCAGGCCGGGGATTCTTTCCGGTGATACTGTTTCGTTTTGAGTCTCTGCATCTATATCCTGACTCCCATTTGATATGAGAGCAGAGAGTCCCAGATCAATACGTAGAGAGGCGGGGGAGAACCGAATCGGAACGATTGGTCTATATCCAGTGGCATGGATAACCAGGTCAACGGGTTCAACACGAGTATGGTCACCCAGGTGAACCACAGCACGCTTGTTTGAGCCTGTCGCTGCCTGTTCTCCGGATGACTCAATGCTTGTGATGGCCGATCGGTACACTTTCACATGGGGCAGTCGGATAGCTTCCCAAAGGTCTCCTTGATTAGCGATCCCAATGCCAGATGCGCACGATACCACACTGCGAGATGACCGTTAGCTGCGATTATGGCTCCATGATTTAAACCCACCTGTTTTCCGGACGAAGTAATTCCATCTTCGCATCCGACCCATATTGCGCCGACTCTTCCAAGCCTCGATCGATGGACTGCCAGAACCACCGAACCCACCATCGACCGAAAGGGTTTCCATGCAACAGGCGAATCAGCCATGAGCCCTCCCATTGCAGCCCCCACGATCCTGTCCGTGAAAGGCGTTTAGGAAGCATGTAGCAGCAAGGGGTGAGGTAGGTGAGCAACCGGGTGCTTGCCGCCTTGTCGCTTGGGACTGTCTCTCCATTAGGCAGAGTAGATGTTGGTGGCACCATCCATGCAGCGCCTGATCCCCGATCGCGAATAATCCAATTCACCTGGACTGGGTCGATCTGTTTGGACTTGAGGTGCAGCTTTGGGTCGTTGCGGTGCAGAGTTGCAAAGAAGTGCACTAGATCGAACGATGATTTCGCACCTCCGTATATAGCCACAGATCGTAGTTGGGGGTAAGGCCCTTCCTTTCCTCCCGTAGAGATATCCGAAGGCAAGGGAGGCTCGAGTGGTTGGTACCCCAGATGTTCCCGAGCCCATCCTCCGACGTCTTTGGCGTGAATCACGGGCGCAGCATGCTCAGTAGTTCCCGGTGACTCTGACATTTCAGGGAAGTTTGGCACCGATGTCAATCCGGTAGCCAGAATGAGCTTGTCGCAAATAACAGTTATGTGCTGAGTCGGAGTCGTGGGGAGACTGATGCTCAGCTTCCACTCTTTGCTTTCCAGGCGACAAACGCTCTCGACCTGTGAAGAATCAGAACACCGAGGTGTGGAATTTGGAGGGAGGGGGTAATGATTTACATACGGTCCAATTCAGTCGGATGTGCTTTTCCAGCTTCCACTTTGCAACCCATGCCCGCAGATATCGTCGGATCTTCCAGCCTGCAATGAATTGACTCTTGGTGCCAGAGGCATCATTCTCATCCTCTGGGACAACATCGGCCAGGGGCAGATCGCTGAACTCATACAGTCCGTACGAGTTCTGACTGAGCAAGTTTGGATAAAGACGCTCTTCGGCCCAGGTACCCCCGATATCCGACGCCGAATCGATCACGAGAAGGCGACTTGGGGCTTCTTCCATGGACGGGCTAGTATCGAATGAGCATTCTTCTGTCGGCGCCATTTTTCCAGCCTCATTTCCTTCATCTTTTTCGTCCGTCGCATCGTAGGCCCCTGTCACTTGGTGGTAAGTCTTGGCCGCAATCAGTCCGTACAGACCTGGGATGGTTTAGCAAAGCTCTCAATTATTTTCACCGCTGTCACAAACCTGCTCCAATGATCACTACCCTGTCCATATTTGCGACAATTGCGACAATTGAAATGGGGAGGGAAGTTGGCGAAGACTCGATGAAGTATGGGGAACTCGACAAAGAGAGAAGAACAATGTCAACGTTGATATTGTTCCCAGCCACGAATCCCCCGATTGCGGTTTTTGCATCCTCGATACCATTTGATCGCCTTCGAAATGATATTTCATGATATTCGCTCACGCAAGTTGTCTCTACATGATCGGAGGGAAATCACGGCCATTGGCGATGGCAATGCTCGGAGTCCCGTCATTGTCCAACCCACATCCCATTGTGACCTAAACATGGCATACATGCTCTATCATTGCGATCACGCAGTGTCAATTTCCTGAATCCTTCAATGGAAATGCCGCACTCCTCGCGAGGATCTGACAAGTGGCAACTCCTGTGCCCGGTCCGTACGCGGGCCGGATCCGCGTACGGAGTTGCACATCGCGGGAACTTCTGCCCGCTGAACTCATGCTGCGCTAAGATTGGCCTGATACTTCGGAAATCCCATCAGCTGCATCATCCTCATTGATAGGCATGCAAGTCTCCTCGCGCATACATGCCCGGGCCGTGACCCCCGGGTCTTCAAACTACTTGACCGACACAGGGTCCTACCCTGGCAGAACCAATAATTACATTCTCACATTATGGAAAAAGATCAGCGAATTGTGATAATTGGAGCCGGGGCATTTGGCCTAGGCACCGCGCTGAGACTAAAGGAAGAAGGCTACAAATCCGTCACCGTTCTCGACCGATCAGTCCCCCCAGTGCCAGATGGCTCAAGTAACGACATTTCACGCATCATCCGTTTCGACTATGGCGACCCAATCTACGCTGATATCGCAAAGGAGGCATTTGACCTGTGGAAAACCCCCGATTACAAGGAGGCATTTCACCAGGCGCCCTGCATGTGGGTGTGTCAAGACGGCACCCCTGAACAACCGGTGCAGCCTCGAGCCCAGGAATACAGCGCGAAGACAAAACGAGTCTTAACAGAGATGGGCCAGGAATGGGTCCCCGTCAACAGCGTGGAAGAAGCCAAGCAGCACTTCCCAAAGTTAACGGGCCGCCTCGCAACGCCTGGCTTTGATGGGTTTTACAACACTGCCGCCGGCTGGGCAGATGCAGGTCTAGCGTGTGCTCGCGTGATGTCTCGCTGTGCCTCTGCAGGCGTTTCCTTCATCACTGGTCCGAACGGCCAAGTGGAAGAGTTCGAGAAGCGTCCGGATGGAAGCATTAAATCCGTTCGCACCAAGAGCGGACGGGTAGAAGGGGACCATTTCATTGTTGCGACTGGTGCCTGGACAGCAAGTCTGATTCCGTCTTGGAACTCCATGCTGGCTGCTGGACAGGTTGTTGGATACCTCCGTCTCACGCCTGAGGAAGTTGCCGAACTCAGGGATATTCCGATCTACTTCAACTTCTCCACTGGGTTCTTTGCATTCCCACCACACGAACCCACTGGGTATCTCAAGGTTGCTTGTCATGGTTTTGGGTACACGCGCGCCGAGTCTGCGGTCACATCTGCGCCGCCTAGCTCTGCCGTTGCTTCGCGAGCGAACTATATTCCCCCGGATGGACTCAAACGATTAACGTCGGGTTTGATGGACCTGTTTCCACAGCTAGCCCCGAGAGGGTTCGAAAAAGTTGGACTGTGCTGGTATAATGATACCCCGACCGGCGATTTCATCTTCGACTATCACCCCGAGCATAAGAATATGTTCATTGCCACAGGCGGAAGCGGACAGTAAGTCAGTCGAATTGATAGTGAATGTCGATATGTTAACTTCCCCATTTAGTGGTTTCAAATTCCTACCAGTCATTGGCAAGTACATTGTGGGAAGTTGGCAGCGCAAACTCTCGGAAGAGTTGTTATCCAAATGGAAGTTCCCTACCCAATTCCGCGAGCGCTTCCAGGGTGAAGTTTTCAAGGGAGATGGAAGTCGAGGTGGGCCGGAACGAAGAGAGTTGACTGAGCATGAGGTGGACACCTTCGACACGGCATTGAAGGCTGCTTCATCCAGGGAAAGCAAAATTTAGCATGTATTCCCCGTGTTTAGGAGATGCACAACATTCAAATCAAGACTACCCAAACTCATGGTCAAAATCTTTGGTTTCTGGCTTCATTGCATATTCATACAAGTGTTTGGTTTAGCATTCCGGCCCCCCTGGCTAAATCACAAATGGTCGGCCATATAATCTCCCAGAATCATCCAGTCTGGAATGTCTGGTATAGTTGGGCCAATCACATCACCATTTCGAGTATTATACGGCCACGTAGGGAAAGGATTTGGGCCGATAGAGTCGGAAATTGGGTCGAAGGCCAATGACCCATGATCGCGGACATTGTGAGCTGTTGAACGTCTTTGATCAGCTTTTTCGGGTTCTTCAGGTGTTCCTTCCACCGCGGTAGGCATGTCGTTGCCTGTTTGCCCGTGGCCATTTGTGGTATCTGGGCATGGGATAGCCAAATCGCTGAATTTATTGAGCTTGCAGCCTTCAGACGAGCTGCCAAAGTCAAGAATCTCCCACATAAGCGTTTCATCTTCGATGGACATTCTTGGCATGCTTGAGGGTGTTGGCATTTTAGACAAAGCTCCAGAAAACCCCTCTTGGTTGTAATACAGAGAGCCATAGTTCTGATGACGAGAAGCCAATTCGTTCACTTTGTTTGCCTGCATATAGGGAATTAGTAAAAGTGATTCGCGCTGAAGTTTGCCTATGCACACTTACCAAAATGCTCATGTTCTCCCAATGCATGGAGAGCTCTGTGATGAACTCGACAAGAGTTCTGAACTCTTTATTGACCAACAGGGCAATTTGGGGGTTTTTGCTGCCAGTATGCTCGAGCTGAATCGTAGCTGCGATGGCAGCCAAATACCCCAGGAATGGGTCACAGACCTCGAAGTCCACCTCGGCCATCTCTCTTATGAAACGAACAATCCATCGAGAGTGCAGAAGCGATGTTTCAAACGACTTCTGTAGGAACGTCGCAGAGATATTCCCGTTGAAATTGCGAAGCTTGGTCATAATGACAAACGGGTGGTGCAGGAGGCATTGAATCGTGTGAAACAGAAACTGCACGCACACCCAGGTTGAAAGATACGTACGTGATTCGGGCTCCTCTCGGGCGCGCCGTTTGAAATCGACGTTGATATATCGATGGGCATCTGCGAAGTGCGTTTCGAACTGCAACCACCCGGATTCAAGGATCGCAAGGGCAGATCCAGTCTGCCAGGGAGGCAGTGTGTTCTCGGGGAATGGCTCGAAAACCCACTCTGTTGTTTTGCCCCATAGCGAATACAGCCTGAGCAGACAAGCCAAGACACCATAGTCGACCTTTTGGCCTTGTTTTCCAGGGCCATCGTGCAAAGACCCATAACTCAAAGAGGAATCACGAGTTCGCGATAGTTCCGCTTCTGGGAAGGGAAACGGTAGAGTAAATTGCTTGTCTGCGAGAGATAAGGAGTAATTCCGAGAAGCGCTATAGGTGCGATCGAGCATAAAGAATGCCCATGTGATGCGCTTTCGGGCTTCAGCCTCAGGGTTGGTATTCGACAGGTAGGAGTCATGGTGTCTGTTCAAGTTTGCAGACTGAAGAGCTCGCATTCCAAGAGCCACCGAGGCATATCCTCGATGGGCCTTTCCATCGGAAAAGTCCACCTGGGCCATCAGGAAGGTACCCTGGAGGAATGAGAGACTCATCACTCCATGTCGGTGTTGGTTGGACAATACCTCCCAGGCTTCTTCTGCAAATCTTTTTGTGCTGGGTCGGTCCCCGAATAAGGTTTCACAAGAGCGCCGAGGGAGGCGAGATGTGAGAGCCACCAGTGGAAGCACAATCTCTGGTGGTAATGAGCCCGGAGACTTCAACAGCCACTCTTTTGAAAATACACAGTATGGTTGGTCATGAACATATGTGAGATAGTATTCAATCTCTTTCTCAATGATCGGAGAGGGCAGGTTCTCGCTGGATCAGGTTAGTTTGACTGTAATGTTTAGGCAAAGAACTGAATGATGGGACATACTCGTGCGTGTGCGTGGTGATCAGGTTGTTCTCTGGGGAGCCAATTGTATCCAGCCCATAAGGCTGATGCTCTGTGTAGGAATTGCTGGGGTCATCATTCGATGTTTCACGTGAGAGATGGGATTTTGGCAAGCCCTCTCTGCAAAATCAAGATCTTAGCAGCTTGACCAACGCGGAGCAGGGCCATCTTACTGCAGCAATTGTGTCATGAACTCTAGTCTTTCTTCAATGCGCTGGAGTCTGCCCGAGCTCGGGGCATCCCCTTGTGTCTGCACGTATTAGTTTTGCTGGGGTCCAAATGCGAGGTCCCGTGACGTACTTCACCGTTCTCATCTTTCTGCGATTCTGAATCATGCGCCTGATTGGGAGCTGACGCGATCTTCTGGATCTTCCGGGCGGAGGACTGAGGCTCATACGAGCAGCTCTGCCCGAGTCGGTGGCATAGCGAACAGGTGGGTTTCTCTCCTGGGCACCGTGCCTTCTTCCGACTATCCCTTCATCAGCCATTGGTCAAGGGATGCAGAGATTTCGACATTTACCGACAAGGACCGCACGCTTGTCGAGTGCGCTTCAAAGACACTTTGTGTATGATATAATTATCATCGGGCTCGCTCATCGCAATTGGCGGTGCAAATGGATAGGAAAGGAAGATCCATCAAGGCGGGGTAGCTGCATTTTGCCACTTTTGACATCGCGACATCTGGTGTTCTTCCTTTTTTCCTATTTCATTTTACTTTTGTGATTTTTGTAGCGTGTATCTGGTGTTTTCTCTCTTTCTTTGACTTGTTCAGCTTGATTTCAAATTAGACTGCAGCTGTTGTTTTACAAAGCCTAGAATCGGACCGTCACAACAGCCCCTTGGACCCCAATTCCTGATCTGGACATCGGCTCCTGTGTCAATGCTCCCATTGAGTTGACTGATACCTATCGCCAAATGCTGAACCGTTGCGGCTTATCGTCTTTTCGGTCTCGGCGCGGAGACGTGGAACCTTGGAGTCCTTGATCGGAGGCGCCCTAGTGCATATTGAAGTCAGGCGGTCTCTGCGATGGGAACAAACAGATCGATTGGGCTTTCATGAGTTCAAAGCGAGCCCTTGCAGGTGACCTCACAAAATCCCAAAGTCCCAAGCCACCTGGACACCTCCGAGTCGGATCGTTGGAAAGCAATTTGCTCTTCAATTTCCTGGGTATTCTGTAGCTGCTCAGGATTGCGATCACTATCAAAACAAATCAACTCGCGACGATCAGATACCCTGCATATAAGATAATGCGATCTTCACTGCCCCAATGCCCCCGCACGGTTGATAACACCGGCCGCTCATGTGATCGGCTGGGACTCGCGCGATGTGACAGACCCTGGCAACTCTGAGATGTTGCCCGGGTGCTTCGAAAGGTTGCAGCAGGACTCCGTACGGAAAGAATACAGCATTCACCTCTTCGGCCCAAGCCACTTATATATAGATAGTTTCTTCTATTTCTCATTCGATGCCGGTGGAAACCCGACTCTCCGAGTGGCGTCAAGCGATCGCGGTAGGGCAGCCGTCTCCCGTAGGAGACCCCTCTCGACTCACAGTCACTGGCGGGGTCCTTTGGCCGAGCTTTGCGGCCATGAACGGCTGAACCCCCGTACCGATCCTGTGATCGGCGAAACCGCGTGAATTGGACATCCCCCGTGGGGATGATGAGCTCATAGCAAGGGTCGGGACCGTATAGATCGAGCCGTTCGTGACTATATGAACAAACGCTCGACCCGAGAGCCAGAGGATTCCGAGGTTGACTACAGAAAAGTTTATTCGAACAATTGACCTACCTCTTCACACAAGCTCTGTCGATTTCTTCATGTCGATGTTTAAGAGCTACTTCGGCCTTGGGGCTGCGGAAGCCCCCATCAAAGAGTCCTCGCCTCGCCTTCTTCCGGCCTCCTGGTATTCTTCCAAAGAAATATATGAGCTGGAGCGACGCGCCGTCTTCAGTCGCAAGTGGCTCCTCACCACGCATAAGCTGCGCTTCCCCAAGACGGGCGACTGGCTGAAGTTCAACATCGCCGGATATGCCTTCATCCTGGTCCGGGACAAAGATGGGAATGTGAATGCCTTCCACAATATTTGCCGCCACCGAGCATTCCCAGTGGTCACCGAGGACGGTGGCAGCGCTCGCATTTTCTCCTGCCAATACCATGGGTGGTCATATGGTCTCAATGGCAAGCTAGCCAAGGCTCCCCACTACCAGGAGCTGGACGGATTCGACAAGAGCCAGAACGGGCTCTTCCCCATTCAGGTTCATGTGGACCGCAATGGTTTTGTTTGGCTGAACCTGGATGCGGATGATAAGCCCATGATCTCGTGGGACCGGGACTTCGCCGGCATTGACTTGCAGTCCCGCTTCGAGGGCTTTGACTTTGAAGAGTATGACTTTGATTCCGGGTGGGAGTCCATTGGGGAATATAACTGGAAGGCCGTCGCGGACAACTATAATGAGAACCGCCAGCATCACACCGACAACGCCGGTCCCTTTGTGATTGATGCCCGCAAGTCTATCCCGGAGATCGCCAAGGCTCTTCGAAATGCCAGCAACTACTACTTCCCCAATACTTACGCGACTGTCTCGTGAGTTCCCAGGTTTCCCTGCTCCAAACTATGAGCAAAGCTAACCTCTCAGAACCCACGCCTTCTTCATGCAACGATTTGTCCCTACTGGGCCCACCACCACCGCCGTGCGGTATGAAATTTACCGTCACAAGGATACGAGCGACGAAGATTTCGAACACACCCACGAGGCGTACAAACTCATGGTATCCGAAGACGAGACCGTCTACAGTGAAACCCAACAGGGCATTAGTGCCCGGATCTCGGCGGATGGAGAGCTCCAGCCCCGCAATGCAAACAGCCCTCTCTACTTCCAGACCATTGTTCGAGATCTCGTGGAGCAGCACCAGGAGATGGAGGAACAGGCGCAAGGGGAAGTCTGGCCTGCTCGACAGCGACTCCCCCAGGAAGCTGCCGTCAGCAAAGATGACATGGACTTTTGTTCGAAATTGACCGAGGGGGGCTGTTGTGGAGGCAAGGCGTGTGGCGCTGGACCTGCACCTGGACCTGCCACCGCTCCAGAGATCATGGTCTCCTGATCATGTACTTTTGCCTTGCATGGGTTGAGATCTTTTCTTTATTCTATTTTTCCTTCCTTCCAAGTTAGCGAGATTACATTTTGCCTTATGAATATGACGAACTACCATTGATCTACGGGACCCATAATTGATAACCCTGTACACGTTGAGATCCTGTATACTAATCGTCCGACTGTGAGTGGCTCTCCACTGCAATCGAGATAGAGGCTACTCGTATACGAACCTTGAAAGGTCATCTGAGCACCTAAATTCGGACCTTCGAAACCTGCCCAATGGGAATCTCTCCCTTAAGAGATAACCTTATTGCCGCGTATACTCTGTACTCTGTTCTTCGATCAAAGAAGTTTGACACTTTCAACGCCACCCTTACGTGGCCACGAAGGAATGCCTAGGTATGGCCCGTATGGGATCTTTTAGCCCTTTTCAGACGAGGCCCATATTTAAGCCCACATGAAGTAATCTAGAATGCCTAGAGCGGGGGAATCAAATCAGGGTCTGCATTATCGTTCTCCACTTAACTTTCCCGCCCGTAACGCCCGTATACCTGTGCTTGGTGCTTTGGTCCATACCCCGCACATCTCTCCCCTAAGTAGACGTGGCATCCTTTTCTTCCACACAGTTCATTACACTGTCCATCTGAGTGATTATGATGCCCCGGGACAGTGCGCGCGGGAGGTTAAAGTCTCATGAGGCTTGTCTCAATTGCAGGTAAGCCGTTCTCGGTCCATCGGCGATATGGGAGTTAATGTCCCGATAGGCGCAAAAAGACTCGCTGTCCAGCCGAGAAGCCCTCATGCTCCAGCTGTGTTCGCTTGAATCAGCCATGTCTCTATACCTCCATTCCGAGGGGCTCGCGAGGAGGGCAGTCCGTAAGTGCCGGCTTATCGGGCCATTGGCCAATCATTGACGCGGGGACAGGACGATAGACTAGCATTCCTGGAAGAAAAGGTGAATCTCATTCTCAGTGGCACCCGCCCGACGCAGGAAGTGCGGGCAGACAAGACGCACGAGAATGGGAATGGGGGCGCAGATACATACCCGACCACAACGCGTCTACCCTCTAACGAACCCAGCGTGAATGACCCTTTCTTTCTGGGCTTTGGATACGATGACTCCCTTTCACAGCCCTCGTCATCGGCGATAGCGAAAGCGATTGATCTGTACTTTGAATATTGCCATCGCCAACCCATCTGGTGCTTTGAACGCGATGAGGTCTCCGACCCAAGCTGTCTATCGGAGGAAATCATCTGCTGTCTATTGGCTCTGACTTCACGATTCTCGCGGGATCGAGATCATTTGCAGCATTATGGAGACAGCGCCAGAAGTCTGATCATGCTTCGGATGGCTAATGGTTCTGTTGGGCTGGAGACAATAGAAAGTCTCTGTCTGCTCTCATATTCTTCATTTTTGGGTAAGTCATCTCATCTCATCTCAAGGGAAAAGCCCAGTCACTCAAAAACTCCAGATGGAAACATTCACCTGGGCCGCTTTCACCTGGGCCTGGCGCTACACCTGTGCAGGTCGGCGACATTGGATCTCGAATCCACATATGTCGGTGAGGGACCCACCACTGAACGGAAAAAGCGTCTCTTCTGGAGTCTGCAGTGTCTCGAGCAATCATACGGCCAGCAAAATGGTTTCCTTTGCATTCCAGCAGAGATTCTCCGCACATTTTACGTGTCCTCGAGTGGCGACCGCGCATTACAGGGTGCTACAGAAACAAAGCCCCCACCCTTACCGACAGATGATCTCGGCTGCTCCAACCCATCCGACCTAGGGATTTGGAGTCTCGCTGTCCATTTCGGTTGGGTTTGGAGTAGAGTGCGAACTTACGTTTCAGACTGTGCGCGGAATCGATTAAAAGAGCCCTGGAGACACGATTCCATGTACTCCATGGTCCTGTCCGATCTCACGGAGATCGAGAATAAGCTTTCTCAGTGCCATCGCTACGATTCAGTGAAGTTCTACGAACGGACGGCGGAGGAACTTCGAATGAATCGAGACTACTGGACTCCTTGGCTCAAGCTCCAGTTCACTTATCACTGTGTACTGACTGTTCTCAACCATCCGTTTGTTTACATTGTGGCATCTCAATATAACGACAATCTAGCCATCCCCAACGCTTTCTGGAGACGGTCATCCGAGCTGGTCCTGCTGCATGCTACTTGGATCGTTCGAATGATAGATATGGTGTCTGACAAAAAGATGCGACTGATCGACCCTTTCTTCGGACATGCTGCTGCCATTGCAGCCACCGTGCACTTGTACTACTGCTGCGCTGCGGATCCTCGACTAAAGTACAAGTCTAAAGTCGACTTCACAAAATGCAGGAGGTTTCTCAAAACATTCGTTTCCTTCTCACCAGCATGTGAACAACTGGTATGCCATTTGGGAGCAAAACTGAAGTCCATGGCTAACGCAGATACAGGATCAAACACTCGACAAGATGACGCGAATTGCCTCTGGCTCGGAAAACATCGATTATGAATGGGAGCCGGAGAAGATTCATCTCAGTATACCTTTGATGTGGGACGTCCTCCAGGTCAACTGCAAACCCAAACCGCACGAAATCTCTACCGGCGGCCTACTCCACTCATCATTGACCCCTACTGTCCCTTCAGATGAAGGCGACGAAAGCCCGACATTCACCGTGGAAGTCATCGTTGCCATGTCCCCCAACGTCACCGTCAACACATCCGACGGGGGTGTGACTGCACACATGCCACCAACCATGCCACGCAAGTCCTCAGGAAGCGCCCAAGGCTCCCCAGACCTGGGCTTAGGTGAGAAGCTCGTTGCCCCAGTCGACAGTCTCATGACCAATACACCTTGGTTGTGGGCAGATCCATCGCAATTTGTCGACATGGAGAACAATGTGGGATATCCAGACTCGGAATCAAATTTCGGCAACATTGAGGGATTCTCAACATGGTGGGACTTTGGAAACCTATAGCACTAATACTCTTTTCTTTTACTTCTGCTTTGGCTACCACGGCTCTACTGTCATGACAGGCCGTAACTCCCATCCCAATCCGTTGATTTCTCCCTTTGCGCAAAAACCCCTTGCGAAAATACGCCTGACACCCCCCAGATCGAAACTTGATGCCCATGCACTTCTGATCAAGTGATGCCGCTGCGACCGTCTTTAACCTGCCCTACAGAGCACCAAATCCCGCTCATCGCGCCTTCGGTGATTTGAGCACCGGTAAACGTCGGATATGCTTGCCAATTGCCCGCGCTGAGTATGCCTGTCAAGAACACCGGTCCTTCGGTATTGGTCCAACCGAGCAAAGCTGTATCAGGCTCCCAAAATAGTCCTTGGGCTCAGAAAGCGCCTCGAAATAGGGAAAAGTCGACCTGAAACAATCACTGCACAGCATCAGTAAGTCAATGTCGCATGCGATCGCCCGTTGTGACTTCACTCCAACTTCCATCCGGTCCCAAGTCTGGTTTGAAGCTTCACAGCCCGGTCATTTCCAGTCCACTCTGGGCCTTTTCCAAGGAGAGTAAAGTCGGAATATCCAAGGTCCCAATCGGCATCCCTGCGCGATGAAACACTGCCATTGGATCCTACCCGGCTGAAATTATCAGAGTAGACGAATTTTCGTTCACGCAGTTTATTGCGACACATATTGACACTCCAATTATTTTCAAGCAGGTGCTCTTGGTGCCTTGGGAATGGGTTACATGAGTTATCCTGGTATCTGAGTCAATTGAAGCACCCTGCGCATATGTAAGAGGCACCACTTGTTCCAATTTTCTTCACCGTCTTGTGCTCGAAGTACCGCTAATAAATGGTGTTTTGCTGTTAGGTATTGCATAACTACTTCGCACGATCCCTACGGCTGTAAGTACTTCAAGGTTCTATCGGCAAATTCGTCGATCCATTCAAGAGCTACTTCGGAGTCCATAGGAACCCCTGAAAGCTGCTTGACACTACAGACTTATGTTTTATGGCCTCGATATTCGATTTGTTCGAGACCATGAAGCCTAAGCCTGTCGTGATCCAAAACCGCAAGCTTCAATGCCTTGTAGTTGATTCATTTCTCCTTTTTGGTGAACATGGTAAATGTCTCATGCATCTAGATATTGCGGTTTCCATTATGTTGTCGATCAATGATCAGTATCTCAGACACGATTCATACTAGGTATTGCCTAGGTAGTCTCCCAAGTTCCCGGTTGACCTCGGGGGAGGGGGGTTTAATTATTCCCAGGTGCTCATAGTCGTGTCATGGCGTTGACGGCTGTGATGACCATAATGAGGGCCATCACGGCCGCCTTCCATGTGCATAGGTAACTCTGTCTGGTCTGTGAATGGATTAACATGCGCCTTGGCCTCTTCATATTTACCTAGGTAATGTTAGCTGATTTTCAAAGAATCCCGGCTCTAAAAGGCGATGCTTTTGAACGACACTTCAAGGTTGTTCTTAGGCCATGTTTGGACCTGACTGCACGGTTTCCACAACAGAGAATTGAGCTCTTGGGTATCAAATTATTGTATAAAATATATCTAAATCTGTTGTATGCCATGATATGTATGTAGAGCAGTATAAACAAGTACACCATGTCCGATCACAGACAAGATGTTTGTCCAAGGGCTACTAGGTAGATCCCAGTCAATCCAAAAACCCGAGACAATTTACTCCACCTTACGGACCTGAGTCACTGGGGACCGGTACACATGGCGGCCATGGAAAATGTACAAGACGATGGCGAAAATGACAACCGCGCCAAACACCAGGATAGACCAATTCATATCCACAAGAGTCGGGTAGTTGGCGGTCGGGAAGAAAGTGAAAATGATGGCAAAGCACAACCAAAGGAGGGCGAACACGTTGATAGCCAAGCCAAAGGCACCAAGTGAGAAGCGCGAAGGGGGGATGCCGCCTGGCTGGAAGCGAGTGCGGATGATAGCCGCAATCGGCAAAATGTAAGTGGTGAAAAGAGCGGCAATCATGACGGATGCAACAGCGTTGAAGGCCGCAGTGGATCCAATGTTGATCAAACTCAACAGCACCGTGATGATGGTGGATACCAGCACTGAGCAGACGGGGATCTGGGTCCGGCGGTTCACATGGGCCAAATGCTTCGAGAAAGGCAGGGCGTCGTCACGGGCAAAGGCAAAGGTCTGACGTGAGACAGTGGCCAGGATACCGATGGCACTGCAGGTCTCGAGAATGAGGATGATCGCGGCCACTCCGTTAGTGGCAGCGACCGACCCAGTGGCGTGGTTGACGGCAGGCAGGAAAGAGAAGCCACTTGCAGGAGCAAGAACATCCGCCAGTGGGCCCATCTTGTATAACAACGTGATGAGCATCACGAATCCGAGTCCTCCGTTGATCAATGCGGTCGAGACCATGCACCATGGCACGACCCAGGCGGCGTTCTGGATCTCCTCGGCTGTTCATCGTCAGCTATGTCATATGCATGTATCTGAGACCAAGACTTACCCATGTGCGTCGCGGCATCCGGTCCCGTCCAGGAAAAGATCGGGGTCAACTGGCCCACCAAGCATGCCAGGCCCATACTCGGCCATTCACCCGAGTTGGTGAATTCCTTCCAGACTTCCTGGCCCGTGGCCTTCCCAGGAGACATCACCCACATGGGGACCAGGACAGCAACGAAACCAAAGATGTGAATTGCCAAAATCAGGCCCTCCATGGGCGGCAAGATCTTGTAACCCCAGGTGTTGACCACGGTTCCGACGGCGGCGATGGCGATGGTGAGGAGAGTGCCGTGCCAGCGCTCGTAGCCATAGACCCAACCGTTGGGGTCCGAGTAGTTGAATACCAGCAGTCCTTGAATCAATGTACCGACCAGGTAGCAAATACTGGCGAAGGCGGCCTGCCAGCCCAGCACCGAAAGCCATCCTAGAGCGCCCGTCAGTCTGTGTGGCCGAGATCTGCTGCGATCTGGAACTCACCGGTGAGATAACTGAGGAACCGCTGGTATCGGGGCCAGGCGAATTCACTCACCCAGTGGTACTGTCCACCGGAGGTAGGGGAGCTATTTTGGCGTCAATACCTATCGGGTGTGGCGCACGCGATTCCAACTCACATGGAAGAGATCTCAGCCATGGAGATGACAGCTGAGAAGAACCCCACAAAAGAGCCAATGTAAACGTAGACCATGCCGGCTCGTCCGCCGTCGGTCAGACCGTAGGTGCTTGTCCTGCGCAGAAACGATGAGCCCTGCGATCGCCATTGCGCTCCACCTCCGCGGTCGCGGTCGCATCTCCACTTACAGCAAGATAGACTCCCATGTCGCCATCAACGTTGTGGTGAAGCCCAAGATCGAGTAAAATCGGAAGTTTCTCTATCGCTGATCAGCATGGTCCCCGCAATAATCGGATGAATCTCACCTTGAACTGCTGGGTCTTCCCCAAGCGCTGCATGTCCCAGTCATCCTGGGCGTTTGCATCGACGCTCACCTCGGAGAACATCTCCTTGTCCACACTCATGATGAAAGGCAGGCAGAGAGAGGATGTGAAGAAGAGAAAAGACCCGAAGGGTCAGGGGCAGAGATTGCCATCGAGTGGAGCAAAGGATGAAGTTTATCGGGGAATATTATCCGCACATCTTCCGCTCGACACCTGGGCAGGATATGTATGTAACGGCACTAATGCACCTCTTTTTTTGCCTTGCTCATGCAGGCAGGGATCAGCTATCCTTGTCCATTGTTCACTTCCTCTTTGGGTATACTATACAGTACTACTAGCAGTATATCATGTACTTAGTTACCTACCTAGGTAGTTATAGTAGTACTACTGTACAGAGTACTGTAGTAATACTCCATACTCTAGTAGAACTGCACGGCCAGAATGGGCCTTTCTTCAGTGTGGACCCCGCAATTTGGAGGTCGATGCGCTGCAGGATTAGTGAGTATAATAGATTAGTTCTTGTACTAGTACACTGCTCTACTACGACTGCCGGGTGGAAAGCACAAGTAGTGTATACTCAGTACCTTTCTAGGCCTATGTCATTGAATTAATATACTTTCAAAGTTAACATGGCAGGACTCATATTTAATCCAAAAACCAGTCGGCCGTTGTGAATCTGCCTAGTGGACTAGTCTTGTTAGTATTGACGCTAGAAACCTTGGAATATCCACGCTATTTGACTCGTCCATTCCAAGATTCACTGACCACATACTCTTCTGGACTGGACAATCCAATGCTTCTTCTTCCCATGATAGTCGCGCATGTGCATAAAGACAGAGCCACTGAGAAAAAAAAAAAAAAAAGGCAAAAGCAAAAAGAAGAATAAGAATGGGGCCAGCCGGGATCGAACCGGCGATCTTTCGAAGACCCAATGGGCAGATGAAGTTAAGGCTTCAGTCGAACGCGTTCCCAACTACGCCATGTCCCCGATGCTTATGGCAGCACCTAGGGCGGAGGGTCTATGCGGATGCATTACTCCATACGACAGGGATCGACATATTGCAGAATGTCCTTCCTCTGCAAATCCATGTCAATGTCCACGGGTAAGTAGTCCACTGTCCAGGTGCTCTCCAAGGACTGTCTCGAGAAAAGTCAGCGGAGTATACGAAGTACGAGTACGACTGTACGATCAGACTGCCTCGAAACCTCCCCACTCGTTGTGAGACAAGGGTGCATCGCTTGCCGACTCATCTCCACTGGGTCTTGGCGAGTTCATCAGACGTCCCAGCATCTCGTTTATCTGATGGGAACAGATACGATGCGCCACATCCCGCTCTACCGAGAGGACGCGCGGGCTGGTGGCGTGGGCGGAAGACAGGCGATCAGCCAAAAACCACGAGGGGAGGCCCCGCCACACTCATTCGTCGGCAACGCTGAACGCTAGTTGGCGGAGAACGCGCAGGAGAATTTCTCGAATGGAGTTTGACCCATCCCAAAGCTTGGCGTCCCAGGAATAGTGCCCTCCAGATGGAGTACGATGCCGTCAGCCACCGAATCAATGTACGCGTTCACCCCCTTCGCCTCTGTCCGTGCAGCCAAGAGCGGGCCTCAGCAAGGAGTTGGTCGGAAACTCGACTTCAGAATGGTCGTGAAAACCCCCCATGACGTGGCTCCCTTTCGGGCTCGATAACATTCTTCTCCTGATCGAATCCCTTGTTCCAACCATGCCCTAATGTTCTGGCGGACTCCTTCTGGCGTGCTTCGCCTGACCTCCTGGCTTCGCAGGGAACGACCCAATGCGGTCTCAATTCGATGGCTGATCCTGCTCCTGGCCACGCTGGCCGGCGCCATCGGGTTCTATCTCTTCGCCTTCCCCCAACTGCTCAGATTGCGCATTCGCGCCGGCTTGAGCTGGTATGATTTGGGCGCCGAGGGGTTCGGCCCAGACCAATCCTACGTCTCCTTCGATGAGGAATCACCAAAGCTCGAGGTCTCTCCGCCGGGTGCCCAATGCGACCCTCGCTACACGTTCCTGGCGCCCCGGGGCGACTCAATCGCCCATCCCGGTCCGATGATTCTCGATTCCGCCGGTGAATTGGTATGGACCCAATGGAACTCCGGCACAACTCAGGACTTCAAGGTCCAGCAGTACAAGGGCGAGAAGTACCTCACCTATTGGCAGGGAGACACGGACGATAATTATGGCCGGGGATCGTGGTACATGGTAGGGACACCTTGGGATTGCATGCGATACCGTCATCAACTAACATTTCCTCTTGTCCAGCTGGATTCGACATACACCCAGAGACGTGTGGTTTCACCCGTCGGCATGTACGATGGTGATCTACACGACTTCCAAATCACTCCCAACGACACTGCGCTCCTCATGATCTACGACCCCATCCCGGTAGATCTAAGTCCCCTTGGTGGTCCTGAGTTGGGATGGATGTATGATGGGGTGTTCCAGGAAGTTGATCTGGAAACAGGCGAACTTCTATTCCAATGGCGCGCATCGGATTTCTACAGCCCCGGCGATAGTTACCACCCAATCGGCGATGCCGGTCATGGGCGAACATCGGCATACGATTACCTCCACATCAACAGCGTCGACAAGGATGACCAAGGTCGGTACTTGGTTTCTATGCGCCATATCCACACCATCGCATGCATCGACGGCATCACCGGTGAGACGCTCTGGTCTTTGGGCGGGAAGCGCAACGACTTTGTCGACATGTCCGAGGGAGCCGCGACAGATTTTTCATGGCAGCACGATGCTCGATGGCGCGGGACTAACCGTCTCAGCTTGTTCAACAATGCGGCTGCTACCAACGACGACCCCTCTGCAGTCAGCCGTGGGATGATGGTCGATTTGGATCTTGAGGGTCGACGCGCAACATTAATTCAGACCTACGAGCATCCTCAGGATATGATGGCAGTCTCTCAGGGGAACCTGCAAGTACTCGACACCGGGAACGTGCTTGTGGGCTGGGGCCATTCCGCAGCCTTCACCGAGTTCTCCCCAACAGGCGACGTCCTATGCAATGTGCATTTCGGAGCTTCAGCCTGGTTCACCTTCGGTCGCGTGGTATCATACCGAGTATTCAAATTCGACTGGGTCGGCAACCCCATCACATCCCCCGAAGCTGTATCCACAATAGACAGTGTCTTCGTGAGCTGGAACGGTGCCACGGAAGTATCTTCGTGGCAAGTCGAAGCCTGGGATCGACAAAACCTAACCAACATGACCTTCACTCCTGTCAATCAAGTCGCGCGCGATAGTTTCGAAACCGAAATCCCACTCACTCCAAGTGTAGACTCTTTCTTCCGCGTGCGTGCCCTCCACTCCAATGGAGACAGCTTGGGCGTGACTGGGGTCCTTCAGCGAGTGACAGAGTCCCCCGGGGGCTCTTCTGCGAACCCGTGGACGATTGGAGCCATCGTGCTTGTTGCGCTGGGGTGTCTGGGCTGTGGTATTTACTTTGCGGTTCATCGTCGTTTCTTACAGAAGTTCAAATCTGGTGGGCCTTACCAATTGGTCTCTCGCAAGGATGAAGATGATGGCGATGAGCATCGTCTGCCTCTGTAACTTTTGTCATTCTACATACCCTGTTCAATGTTGTATATACTTCTGCTTGCACATATTGACAAACATATTCTATATCATCTATACCAGTCTTTGCTCTATTGCGTTTTCGGTCATCTGTACTCCGTAGCGAAAACAAGACTCGCCCATATTTTGGAATGCGGAAGAGCATCCATGGATGGCAGCCAGGTCGTTAACCTTGGAAAGTGATTTGATGCCTTTCTTCCCTACCTCACTCCTTCTCTCTTTCTCTCTTTCTCTCTTTCTTTCTCCCTTCTTCTCTTCCTCGACTGTTCAATGTCTTAAGAGCCAAGACTATTGTCGGAACCACGAGTGTACTGGCGCAACCTCTACATACAGCCTGAGGCTCCACCACGCTGTTCAGTTCAACTGCTCCTGGCTGAGGAAACCTAATAAGCAGCTGACTTCCATCAAACAGTTTCGTGGTCTAGCGGTTATGATTTTCCGTTAACAATTGCCTCACAGGCGAGAGTTCCGGAAAGGTTCTGGGTTCGATTCCCAGCGAAACTATTTTTTTGTTCTTTTTGGTTGTTCATCCGAGGTCCCTATCACGACCTTTCGGCCGCTTCAATGCTTTGGATGGTGCTAGTATTATCTTTTACTCTTTTCTCCATTTCGAATTATGGTCAGGGAAATAGTCTGCCTTCAGGGACCACTGTCGTCCGGTAACAAGGCTGACGTTGTACATAAACCCACCCAGACTATATATATTAAAGGATCTGAACGGCCCACATGCAAAAGGATGGAACAGTCGAATATGAGATCATATAGACATGGCCAGGTGGCATGATGGGAGAAGGGATTCACCGCAGAGATGAGTACCTTTACCCAATGCGTAACAACTGAGCCATGGCCAAGCTTCAGGAAGCTATCTTGAGCACGGCTTCTATTCACACCGCTGGGCATGGCCATTCAAGGTTTTCCAAGGATTCCTTGGAAGACGTCACTTACATAGTAGTAGTAGTCTATACTCTTTTCAAAACCGACAATGCTTAATTGAGCTAGAACTTGAAATAGATTCTTCCAAGGTACCCGAGACTCCGACTCGACTCCGTAACTCCAGCTCTGGAGGCTCCATCCAACTCCGAAACTCCGGGCTCCATAGAAAGAATAGGGATTAGGGAATCACGCCACTGGTTTTACCTTAACCTCCCTACGGGTCGATCACCGAACAAACCCCGGGTGTAAAGTCGCCGATGAGCCTGTGAATCGGAGGAATGCAGTCGCCGCAACCCTGTTCCGTCTGGGTCAGTGGGGACTCTGCAACGGGTGCTTTCCCACTGCGGTTAGAGTGGCGATGAAATTTCCTACCGGCAGTCGTCGGGGTTAAGCTGCGATTGATCGTCCCTTGGAATTCTCTGGAACAACTTTTATTTTGATGATTTGATCCACTCCTGTTCATCAAACGGAGTACCGGCACATTGAAATCCCTGTTGAATAGCTTTAAAAGAGATATGTAGCCCGCTTCAGAATATACAATTTCAATCATTTCGCATCATTGTATCTTGTATTTCACTTCACAAAATGAGCGTCACTTTCGAGGTCTTCCGTGGCTCCAAAGAGGGCAAGATTGTGGCCGACAAGACCACTCGCACCCTCCAGCCCAACGAGGTTTACATTGAGACCAGTCACTCCGGCCTCTGTGGTACTGATGAGCACTACCTTCACTCCGGAATGGCCCTCGGCCACGAGGGTGTTGGACGTGTCAGCCAAATTGGTCGTGATGTCACCAGTGTGAAGATTGGCCAGCGTGTCGGCTTCGGATATACTCACTACGTTTGCGGAACCTGTGAAAAGTGTCTGACTGGTATGCAAAGTTCAACATGGAATTCAGTGCAGAGCTGACTCTTTAGGCTGGGATCAATACTGCGAGAACAAGAAGGAATACGGAAGCCACGACCACGACCTGGGATCCTTCGGTGAGGGCACCGTGTGGGATGCCAACTGTGTGATTCCTATTCCCGATGGATATGACTCTGCCGACGCTGCTCCTCTGATGGTAAGGATGATCGGAAATCCACCATGTCTTCACTCATTGACCAAACCTTAGTGCGCCGGTGCAACTGTCTGGACCGTTCTGTCAGAGTACGGTGTCAAGTCAACAGACCGTGTTGGAATCATGGGTGTTGGCGGTCTGGGTCACCTTGCCATCAAGCTTGCATCCGCCATGGGCTGTCACGTTGTTGTGCTGTCCAGCTCCGAGTCCAAGCGCGAGGAGGCTTTCAGCTTCGGTGCCTCCGAGTACCACGTCTTCAAGGCCGGCGAGGAGATCCCCAACTTCAAGCCCCTGAACCACCTCCTCCTGTGCGGAAGCGCCAGTGTCGACTACCCCTCGTATGTCACTCCCTGCAAATCCACCAGACCAATACTGACCTCATACAGCCTCATGCCTCTGATGGAAGTCCACGGATCGATCTACCCCCTCACTGTTGATCTTTCCTGTACCCCTGTGCCTCTTCTTCACCTTAACCTCAAGGGTGTCAGCATTCAGGGCTCCCTGGTTGCTTCGCGCCACAGCCTGCGTTCTCTGGTCGAGTTCGCCGCTAAGAAGAAGATCACCCCCACCACCATGACTTTCCCTCTGACTGCCAGCGGTGTCGAGGATGCCATGGAGACCCTCCGTCAAGGAAAGATGAGATACCGCGGTGTTCTGATCCGTCAGTAAGCCTGACGATGGGACCGGTCTGACCAACTACCTTTAATCACTGTAAAATATACTATAGACCCTTCGATAGACAAATCGACATGTTGATCATGGCGTTATAATGAACCCTGCAACGATCTCCAAAAGTATAGTTCATATGTGTCAAGCTTCCAATTTCCCTAGAGGTTAAGAATAAGTCACATCTCAAGCACATACACTCCACTCCTTAATATAAAGCGAGATTAGGCTAATGCTTGTCCGTGTTGGTCATGCCATCAATCTTGGCACGAAGATTGCGGAACATCTCGGCCTTTTCCTCTTGAGACTTATTCGTCTGCGGAATATCAACCCCCTTCTGAACCGCAACACGTTGATCAATCTTTTCGACCCACTGCTTGAGGGCAGGATATTCAGAAAGATCAATCTCCAAGGTGATCGGCGCCGCGCGAACCCATGAGAAACTTGCGATGTCCGCAATGGTGTACTGAGTGCCAGCCAGGTATGGACTTTCTTTCAGACGGGATTCAAGGACCGAAAAGAGTCGCTTAGTCTCATCAATGTATCGTTTGATGCCGTAGTCCGAACGCGCGCCACCGAATAGACGGAAATGATTAGCTTGGCCTGTTACATGTCAGCTATTGAACCTTCGAAGTCCGATTCTGTAGTATATGTATACCTTGCATAGGACCCAGGCCTCCCATCTGAAACATCAACCAGGAGGTTTGTTCAGCATGCTCCGGTGTACCAGGAGCATAACTGATTTTCCGATCGGTATCGTACTTGTCGACAAGATATTGCATGACTGCTCCGCTCTCGAAAACGCGCTGAGAGCCATCGAGAATGGCAGGGATGCGACCGTTGGGATTGATTTTCAAGAACCATCTTCATGCTGGTTAGTATATCATCCTGCAGTTTGGAACTTGGATTCTCACTCCTCCTTCTGACGATTGGTGCTGATATCAATTCCTTCCACCTTGTACGGTAGACCGAGCTCTTCGAGGGTGATGGAGGCTTTGATGCCATTCGGCGTAGGCCAGGAGTATAGGGTAATGTTGGATGACATGGTGGAATATGGGTGAAATCTAGATGTTCGAAACAGTCTAGAGGCAGTCCTGGAGAACATTGAGCTATAGGAATGATTGGAACTCCAGCATCCAACCTTGTAAGGTTACCCCAGGTCAGGAATCAGCACTTCAATGAGCTCGGGGTTAATTTGTCAGCCGGGGGATTTCGCCCATGTTGATGATATCATATTAGATCATTGCACCACTGCTAGGACAAGCTGATATTAATCAAATCAGCAGAAGTAATCCCAGGTTGCACATGTGCTGGTCAGTTGTGTGGTATGACGGGGCAATGGAAACCCCAAGTTATGCCTTTCATCCTCAGGGAGTTAGGTCTCCCATGAACCTTGACTGCATCTAAGGAAGCAAATACGAGAAAGCGATTTCACTTTGCTGCTCTTTTTCTATTCTTGTATTTTCACACCCCTTGCGGCTGCACTACCGAAATCGCTCAAGGGGGCGAAAGGGAAAAAGAAAAGAAAATGATACCTCTTTCCAGTCTTGGAGAATACCCGAATGCATAGAATAGTAGGGAGTACTCCGTACTTGCAAATTACACGTAGTTATGAATAGGAGAGTCTTTGACTGCATCTATCCGGGAAGTGAGATCAGGCTGATTCAGTAACTGGGATAAGCGCCTACCATCCATGCATGCCATGAACTCTGGAAGGAACCGACAGCGATACACCTTGGAATGGTATCTCCAAGGCGACCAGCCCAGCTGACAAGGATAATACCCGACACGTCCGCCAGCCCCCCAAAGCGGCCAGAAAGAAGCTCCCCGGACCCCACATTCCCTACGATGGAATGTTTCAACTGCAAAACCCCATTCCCCGAACAGCATCTGCGCAAAGCCGATCCCCACATGGCAACCCACGCTTCCGAGGCGCTCCCCAATCGCCGTGGCAGTAGGTCTGAAAGCAGATGGCATGATCGACCCCTCAATTTCCGTTTCGGTCTATGACTTCTCGGCTTGTCGAACCTTGGACAACGGCATCGGAGATGCAACCTAGTGCACACCGGTACGCCACAAGATCACGGCCAGACCATCACCAAGATCGAGGCCGAGTGAGGGTAACCGGTGCCCGAGGAGACAAGTTGGAAAGTGGGCTGCGTTGGAGGCTAAAGGAACAGCGTGAGCTTAAAACGTATCGAGTTCCACTTTTTCTCCGCAGACCACGGAGTAACAAGACTACAGAGACCGAAGACAGCCTTATTGTGTGTGCACGGGTCTTGAAACAAAAAGAATGAGAAGCAGAAGTTAGACGAGACTGGAAAACAAGCCGTGCGGAGGCAAACTTGGCGCAGGATTGGCTTCTTTAGCCCGACGCTAGTTCGTGATCCTGGCCAACCTACGCCCAGGGCGTTTTTTACCGAGAGAGCCGTTTGCAAACCTTGGAAGACATTGAATCGAAACATGATGACAGTGGCGGTCAAGACACCAGCCGTTCAAAGCCGCTCCTGGGATTTGGGGGCTAAGGCTAAAAAGGCAGTGGGTTGATTGGATCCTGTGCAGTGTAGACCAATCTTGCATCATCTACGGCGTACCGGGCACAGGGTGGTATTCAAAAAACCCCAGGATTCGTACCTCATCTGCCCGTAGATGATCGGGTCCACCTGCTGCGCTGGGCCGAGATGCCGGTTGGCGAAAGAAAAGCCACCATAGTAAGGTGACAATGACTTGGCCAAATACAAGTGCATCGCAGACACGTCTAGAGACGAGGCAGATGACTCGCTCACTTCACCCAATGCAGCCTAGATCTTAGCGTGGTGAGGCCGCTGGGAAACGCGGAGAGGCGTGGGGCTTAGATTTCCCCATGGGCAACCCCACAGCCTGCAGGTCACCCAGATTGAACGTTTCTGGAAAGTGATCAGACAGTATTGACTAGTCTTCTTTCAGTTGACATACTTCCACTTATCCAATGAAATCTATCCATGGGGGGCTTGGTCTAAGGGCACGCAAAAAGAGATAAAAGGCAGACCTCCCATCCCAAAGGAAAGTCCACGGCTTCACTTCTCCTGAAATACTCAGCTACCGCATCAAGGTCTAGCAGACTCCCTTCTGGTCAAAAGTGGCATCTTTCTCTTGGAAACAGAGCCCGATTCACAGGGGCTATCCTCAGTCTACTACTGCGAGCCTAACGAGGTCGACATTTGGAGATGGACAAAGAGGTCATCACCCAGATAGGGTCTGATCAGAGGTAAGCTGCGAACAAAAACATGTCCCTAGCAAGATACTTACTTTGTTCTCATTCAGGTCCAGCAATGATCACAGTAGTGCCGAGAAGGGGTATGTCGAGGAAGTCGATCTCCATAATAATGTCTCTGCGCAGTGAGTGACCCGATTTATGAGCCCTACCTTACACCAAAGTCCCAATCAACACTTGCCTTTCTCAATTTACCCCTATAGCACCCTAGTCAATGCTTTGGTATATCAGCAATATTTGCTAAATTGCATTAGGATCAAAAATCCCCTGGCCGGCTTGACCAAAACCCAGATCATCCGTGGCGTTGAAGAATTCGCACAAGAGTACAACGTCATTGATATTCTACCAGAGCTCAAGAAAGGTGCTCTTGTCGCTCGCGATCCTGAAGAGTTTGAGACAGTCTCCGAATTGACCGAGTCCGAGCTTACTGCTCTGCGCGACGAAGTGCTTCACAAATGGCGCCAGCCCAAGCAACTCTACTTCACTATTATCCTTTGTTCAATCGGTGCAGCGGTACAGTACGTGACTCCAAAACAGACAATAGATGCAGTACTAAGAATCGTCTAGAGGATGGGACCAGACAGGATCCAATGGTGCCAATCTGTCATTCCCTGATGCCTTTGGTATCTCGGATGCCAAAGGAGCCCCGAACGCGGCTCGGAATCTGTGGCTTGTTGGTGTCATCAACGCCGCGCCGTACATCGCCAGTGCAGTCCTGGGGTGCTGGCTCTCGGATCCCTGCAACCGATTCCTGGGCCGCCGTGGTACGATCTTCATGTCTTCCATCTTCTGTGTCTTGACGCCAATCGGGTGCGCAGTCACGCAAACCTGGGAGCAGTTATTTGTGGTCCGACTGCTTCTCGGCATCGGAATGGGACTCAAAGCATCGACCATTCCCATCTTCTGTGCTGAGAACACACCCGCTGTCATTCGGGGTGGCTTGGTCATGTCCTGGCAACTGTGGACTGCGTTTGGTATCTTCCTCGGATTCAGTGCAAATCTTGCCGTCAAAGACACCGGCGATATCTCTTGGCGTCTTCAACTGGGGTCGGCTTTCATTCCTGCTGTTCCCCTTCTCTTCGGTGTTTATTTCTGCCCAGAATCACCTCGCTGGTACATCCGACGGGGGGAGATGAGCAAAGCCTACCGATCCCTTTGCCGTCTACGAAACACGCCCCTACAGGCTGCTCGCGATCTGTACTACATCCACTCTCAAATCAAGATCGAAGCAACATTGATCGGTGAAAGCAATTATGTTACCCGCTTTATTGAGCTTTTCACCATTCCTCGTGTTCGTCGGGCAACTCTCGCCTCTTTCGTGGTCATGATCGCGCAGCAGATGTGCGGCATCAACATTGTTGCCTTCTACTCCTCCACTGTCTTTTCCAACGCCGGCGCAAGTGACACCGAGGCTCTCTTTGCCTCGTGGGGCTTCGGCCTTGTCAACTTCCTCTTTGCCTTCCCGGCCATCTGGACTATTGATACCTACGGACGCAGGTCTTTATTGTTGTTCACCTTCCCACAGATGGCTTGGACCTTGCTTGGAGCTGCATTTTGCTTCTGGACCCCCGAGGGGACCAAAGCACATTTGGGATCTATTGCATTCTTCGTCTTCCTCTTTGCTGCATTCTACTCTCCCGGCGAGGGGCCGGTGCCTTTTACCTATTCGGCAGAGGTGTTCCCTCTTTCTCATCGAGGTAAGCCTATCATTATCATGATACGAACATGGAACTAACATCTTCGTCAGAGGTCGGCATGTCCTGGGCTGTAGCCACCTGCCTTGGGTGGGCTGCAGTGCTTTCCATCACTTTCCCAAAAATGTTGGACGTCATGACAGCAACGGGTGCATTTGGCTTTTATGCGTAAGTCTTTTCAAGCCTCTTCATGGATCAAGACCCTGACGAGTCCCAGTGGATTGAACGTCACAGCCTTGGTCATGATCTTCCTTTGGGTCCCAGAAACTAAACAGCGGACTCTTGAAGAGCTGGATTACATTTTCGCAGTTCCCACCCGGGTTCATATGAAATACCAGGTCACCAAAGCGCTGCCGTATTGGTTCAAGCGCTATATATTCCGCCAAAACGTGGAGCTGGAACCGCTTTACACGTTTGATCATCTTTCGACGGCAGGCGTTGTGACGGCCTCACAGAAGGGAGGTATTGTGTCCGAGAAGGGTCAGTCATAGGCGAGCAGGCTGTCGATGACCAGGCTCAGAATTATGTTCAATAGAGATGTAGAGCGAGAAATGATATGTGCTCAGTGCCCAAACAAAACTCCCATAGACCTCACTGTAGGATCGAATGTCGACTCCATACAGTTCCACCGCGCAACCATGGTTGCCGGGCCAGCTGTGGAGATCGAGGACGAGCGTTGATGTCATGCGAAGAACAACAGTCGATGTCTACATACTACCTAGGTAGTAGAGCATCCGCAAGTAGATTGATCACAGTATAGTACTGTACAGTAGTAGTTGAAGGTCAAGGTTGAAAAGCACAAAAAACCAAAGGCAATAAGGTAATCACGTGGGGTTCGGCACCTCATGTTTTGGTCCACTCCGCCCCTCACTTCTCTTCTTCAGCTGTTTTGGTTCTTCTCTTATTGTCCGTCTCTTTCTTGAATTTGACTCCTCATTATTCTTGAATTCTCCATACCCCTATTGAACCCCATCTCTTCCTGCACACCAGCAGCTGCAGTGGGCCGACTACGGCTGCTGGGAAACCCACTTACCTTGACCGCTTCTCCATAGCTCAACTTCGACGGAAAAAAATAAACCCAAAGTTCCTTGCTTGATCCCAATTTGGTGTGACGCCTTGGAATAATTCTTTGCGGGGCAGACCCGTGCGCCTCCGTTTTGGACCTTCCCCCTCCCCACTGAACGTTATACTTTCCCTTCCTCATCATGCCCTGCTTCAAAGGGCTCGCCGTGAGCATTCACACCCCGGATGGACCCATCTCCGAGTATTCCATTCAACGCCAATCCCGAGCCTCGCGGATAGCCTGCTTCATCCCCGTGCCTCCACCAAAAGTCCCGGAATCCGGCTCAGAAAAAGCGGAACAATCCACCTTCGCCATCTCCATCACCCTCCTCAACCCCGAACAAGATGTGCCATACTCGACACCAAAGCCGACGGCCGACTGCCCCGACCCGAAACCCAAACAAGTGGGCAAACTGGCCGGTGAAGCGGGTCAGATCGCCGGAGCGGTGGCACCCTACCAAGGCCTGACCAAGTCAATGAATGAGACCGTGGCCGCATACATCTATTTCGACGGGAGGCAGAAGGAGGAAGTGGCCACGCTGCTGAGGAGAGGCGAAGAGACCTGGGTCAACTCGCGGTGGGTCAGCGTGCCCGATTCCGAAGGCGGAGGAATCGCAGAACGTGAATTCCTGTTCCGCGAAGTCGGTCTGGAGCGCTGGCTCAACGGGCTGGATCTAGAGGGCAAGGATGCCGCAGCCAAGATTGAACGCCGGCGACAGAAGATGGAGAAGCGCCGCGTCAAGCGGGAGGAAGAACAGACCGCTATGGAGATGGAAGACAGCCACCCCGCCAGGTCGAAATCGATCATGCGCTACGGCAATGACGAAAAATCGCCCCTCGAGGGCATTTCCGATGACGATCTTTCCTCCGACTCGGACGATGACGACCCCATTCCCGAGACGGCGGGCCAGATCAAGGTTGCTCTGTTCCGGGTTCTGGCATCGGGAGAAATTAAGCGCGGCGAATACTCGCCTCAGTTCGACGCACACGAGGACGAAGAAGGTGGCCAGGACAACAGCGGTGGAGGAGATGCCGATGTCGATCACACCACGAGCTTTGCAAAGCCCAAATCCCTCGACCCTAAAAGCATCAGCACACAGACCGTGACTGGGATTGATCCAAGCGATAGGCCATATGCTACCTTCACTTTCATGTATCGTGGTGGACGTAAGTACTCTCTACAATGCTTTACCTCGCTATTTTCTGCCAAGGAACTCGCTCTAACGTGTGGATAGGGCAACTGCAAAAGATGGGTATTCTGAAGGACTCCAAGACACAAGAAACACCCGGTCACTCAAAGCGCAAGTCGATCCACGAGGATCTTGCCAACCTTGGACCAATTAAGCCGGGCGGAGCTGCTGGATTCCTGAACTTCCGGGATAACGAACCCAGGGCGCGCAAGGGCAAAAAGTCCGACGATGATATGGACAGCGATGACGATGATATGGAAAATCCCATTCTCGGAAGGGCCGATGACGAAGAGGGAAAGGATAAGAATGACGATCAGTTCTTATCCCCGGATGATATTCAACGCCAGGGAGAGCTGGCTGAGAGCATGCGGAAGATTCGAGTAAGCTAGAACCGAGCTTGTTTGGGGGTTTGCTAACCGCGCAACAGCTTAAGCGCCAGCACTCCGCCGAGCCTCCTGGGAGCGCAGGCGACTCTACCGATACGCCAGGCTCCGGTTCCGGGTCAACACCGCCAGCCACTGAGCGTTCGGCTACGCCCCCGAAGGGCACTGCAGCTGTCCCGGGGCCCGAGCCAACCCAGCCAGCTACCGAACTCTCCGACGGACTGTTTGGGAGCCCCCTGAAGAAGCAGCGAGCTAGTGTCTCCACTGCGGACGAGAACGCCCTGAGACGCCGGATCGCCGAGTCATCTGGTCGGATCAACGAGGTCCTTGGCTCCTCCGCGCCCACCGAATCCACCACGTCGACTACATTCGGCAACAACCTCAATCTTACCCCCGAGATGTCGGCGGGTCCTGCTGAAGAGGAGTTGTAAAGTCTGCCTCGAGTTAATCTGGTGGTTTGAATTGATACCTTGTATGAGCCATTGGGCTTTTTAGCACTGCTTGTATCCTTCTCCTCGTAGGGTCAGGATGGGGGGATCTTTGCCATATACCATGCTCTTCGCTGTTGCTTGCTATCTTACGCCGTTATGTCCACTATCTACACTACAGGAAGCATTTGAAGCAATACCGTATTGTGCCGTTGGACTATTGAAACCCACATCTCCACGGACGCTGGGGCATAGAAACGGGAACGCGTAGAAACAGGGTAGGTAGTCTGCAGTTCCTGCGGGAATGAATTATCCTTCACACCCATGTGAGCTGGAGAACTGCTGTCTTGAACATCCGACGCTTTCCCATTCTACACTCCGATGCTCCGAACCCTTTGCCGACCCTTTCGTGTGGCCGGTCTCCACCGATATTCTGCCCTTGTTTGCCCCCAGCCTCTTTACAGCTTCCCACAGCCCACGATCGCGTTCCTTTCGACCATGCCCCTCCAACGCTCAGCGGATCCACTCGTCTGGATTGACTGCGAGGTGCGTCTCGATCTGCAGCAGATGCGACGCGCTAACTCCCACAGATGACGGGTCTCAACCCGGACACCGACCAGATCCTCCAGATCTGCTGTTTCATCACAGACGCGCAGCTCAACATCCTCGAGCCCAAGGGATTCGAAACAGTCATCCATGTCCCAGACTCCACGCTCGCAGGCATGAATCAGTGGTGCATCGACACTCACGGGCGCACGGGCCTCACCGCCGCCGTGCGCGCCTCGACCACCTCCCCCTCCACCGCCGCAGACCAACTCCTCGCCTACATCCGCCAGCACGTCCCTGCCCCGCGCACTGCCCTGCTGGCGGGCAACAGCGTGCATGCCGATAAGGCATTCCTTGCATGTGCACCGTATGCCAAAGTTCTGGACTATCTGCACTATCGTATCTTGGATGTGAGTTCCTTCAAGGAGGCGGCTCGGAGGTGGGGGAGTGAGGAGCTGTTGCAGCAGGTGCCTCCGAAGCGAGAAGTGCACCTGGCTCGCGATGATATCTTGGAAAGTATTGAGGAAATCCGATTTTACAAGGAGAAGCTCTTTGTGGAGCTATAATCGATAGTGACGCTATTTACGCTATTTTTGTTGGATGTCTCAGAGTACGGAGACATGGGGCGACTTGAAAATCCTGCATTATCCATTCTCTTGCCAGCGACGTATAGTACACCAAAGTATGGGTACGGGGATCCCAGTCTCTATGAAGTACCTAAGTATGTACTCACGTTGTACGTTCTGGTCGGATCAGCTCAAAACCGGGCTGATCGCGGGGATGTTCTAGTAAAGAGCCTGGACTGGAAGTAGCGATACAAGAATAGAGTGTCCAAGGACCAGTGGCAAACACTAGTCCAGTAGCCAACAGGTCCAAGATCCACGTATGTAGAGTGTACTAGTAGCACGGAGTCCCTGTACCTCCTTAGTGTAAACACATGACGCCCCTCCCGAGAGCTACAAGTCGGTGAACTTTCCCTCTTTTCTTTTTCCCCCTTGCACCATCTTCGGTTTTCTCTCACTCTGCAATTCATCATGTCCGTCCAGACGGTCTCCATTACTCCCTTCACCGACCAGAAGCCTGGAACGTGAGTCCTCTACTACCCCGCCATTGTCCCCGCCTAACTCGTCCCAGCTCCGGCCTCCGCAAGAAGGTCAAGGTCTTCGAGCAGGCTCACTACTCCGAGTCCTTCATTACCAGCATTCTCCTGTCCATCCCCGAGGGTGTCGAGAACTCCTTCCTCGTCATTGGCGGTGATGGCCGTTACTACAACCCGGAGGTCATCTCCAAGATCGCCAAGATCAGTGCCGCCTATGGCGTCAAGAAGCTGCTGGTCGGCCAGAATGGCATCATGAGCACTCCCGCTGCCAGCAACCTCATCCGCGTGCGAAAGGCTACAGGTGGTATCCTGCTGACTGCGAGTCACAACCCCGGTGGTAAGTGACGGCGAGGGATTCCGGCCATGTTTACCAGGAACTCATTGGACACTAGGCCCCGAGAACGACTTCGGCATCAAGTACAACCTGGCCAACGGTGCCCCCGCCCCCGAGTCCGTCACCGACAAGATCTACGAGACCTCTAAGTCTCTGACCTCCTACAAGATCGCCGACGTCCCCGACGTCGACACCACCACCATTGGCACCAAGAGCTACGGTCCTCTCGAGGTCGAGGTTGTGCACTCCACCGCCGACTACGTGACCATGATGAAGGAGATCTTCGACTTCGATCTCATCAAGGAGTTCCTGAGCTCCCACAAGGACTTCAAGGTGCTGTTCGACGGCATGCACGGTGTGACCGGTCCCTACGGCGTGGACATCTTCGTCAAGGAGCTCGGTCTGCCCGCCAGCAGCACCATGAACTGCCAGCCTAAGCCGGACTTTGGCGGCGGTCACCCTGACCCCAACCTGGTGTATGCCCACGAGCTGGTCGAGGCTGTCAACAACAACGGCGTGCACTTCGGTGCGGCCAGTGATGGTGACGGTGACCGTAACATGATCTACGGTGCCAACACATTCGTCTCCCCCGGTGACAGCTTGGCGATCATTGCCCACCACGCCAAGCTCATCCCCTACTTCCAGAAGCAGGGTGTCTACGGTCTGGCTCGTTCCATGCCCACCTCCGGTGCCGTGGACCGTGTCGCCGAGGCCCAGGGCCTCAAGAGCTACGAGGTCCCCACTGGCTGGAAGTTCTTCTGCAACCTCTTCGACGAGAAGAAGATGTCCATCTGTGGCGAGGAGAGCTTCGGCACCGGTAGCAACCACATCCGTGAGAAGGACGGTCTGTGGGCTGTTGTTGCTTGGTTGAACATCATTGCCGGTGTCGCCAAGGAGAAGACCAGCGAGACCCCCAGCATTGCCTCCATCCAGAACGAGTTCTGGCAGACCTACGGTCGCACCTTCTTCACTCGCTACGATTACGAGAACGTGGACAGCGAGGGAGCCAACAAGGTCGTCGGCACCCTCTCTGCCCTCGTCGCCAACCGCGACACCTTCATCGGCTCTTCCATCGGCACTCGCAAGGTCGTGGACGCCGGCAACTTCTCCTACACCGACTTGGACGGTAGCGTCTCCAAGAACCAGGGTCTCTATGCCAAGTTCGACGACGGCAGCCGTATGGTCGTTCGTCTCTCCGGCACTGGCAGCAGTGGCGCCACCATCCGTCTCTACGTCGAGCGCTACGAGGCCGACAAGAGCAAGTTCGGCCTCAGTGCCCAGGAGTACTTGGCCGACAACATCTCGCTGGCTCTCTCCCTGCTGAAGTTCAAGGAGTACGTCGGCCGTGAGGAGCCCGATGTCAAGACCTAATTGGATGGCCGTGACTCTGAGGGTTAATGTGGAACCTGCTGGATGGGGATCACCTTTGAATTATTTTGTAGTTCTGTCTCGAGAGGATGGTCCAGCAGAATCAAAAGATATGAACTATGCATGCGATAGAGACCGATATGGTATAGGTATAATTCAAGCCTTTCTCGTTTCGAGATTTCAGCCCGGAGGCTCATGCCTTGGAAGCCTCCAACGTCAACCCCGTATGAGCTGAGGTTCCTAGCATTTCCCTCACTTCGGTATATCGGGACTAGTATTCGAATCCGTTGATGCTGACTTGATAGAACAATACATATCAGGAGCAATCTTGGGCGAGCGCGGAGTAGATCGCTCTAACGTAGGCCTCAGTACGGTCCGTCCCAATCACACATGTTCCCATTCTGTTCATCACATATGAAATGGTCACGCCGCGAGTCAAGTCGACGATTGTGATTGATCCACCCCATCCTCCCCAGAAGCAAACCTTTCCATCGGGAATCCAATCCGCACTTTCAGACCAGGCGAGACCATAGCCGATTCCATTGCGGAGGGGGATTCCAACAACCAGATCGACACCCTTGGATTGTTCCTCAAAGATACGGTCAATAGTTGCTGGGGACAAGAACCGTTTGCCATTCGCCTCTCCCTTAGTAAGGATAAGAGAGAGAATAGTACAGAGCGAGCGGGCATTTGCAAAGCCATTCGAAGCACCGAGCTCTGCCTGTCGGAATTCAGCCGTGTAAGAGTCGCTAGCTTGAATAGGCGACGATTTCAAAGTCTTGCTCGCCACACTACCGTCGTCCGGGGCCGAAAATGGCAGTGCCGGTGGTGAGACTACATCTGAAATGCGTGACCAATCCTTCTCCAAAGCACCGAGCTGGAAATCAGCACCCAGAGGACCAGCAATCTCGTGATTGATAAACTCTTTCAAAGTCCCCCCAGTGACTCTGCGAACAAGCTCAGCCACAATATGACCTTGCGCAATAGCATGGTATCCAGAAGCCGTACCAGGCTCCCACCAAGGCTTCTGCTCTGCCAGCTTCGCCGCTGACAGATCATGGTCATAGAGGAACGACATCGTGGTCGGGCAATCCCACCCAGAAACACCTGCAGTATGGCTCAGAATATGGCGCACCGTGATGCTTTCCTTGCCATTGGCTGCAAACTCCGGCCAGTACAATGCGACATTTGCATCGAGGTCTAGCAAGCCTCGGTCCACTAGCATCAGGGCTGCAAGGTTCGTGACGAGCTTTGAAGAGGACCACACTGGGGCGAGGGTATCGCGAGTCCACTCTATCGACTTTTCTTCGTTGGTATATCCGCCCCAGAGGTCGAGGACGGTTTTGCCATGGTGGTTCACGCAGAGTGATGCGCCTAGGTCGTGACCCGCTGCTAGGGTCTGTTCGAGGAGCTGGCGGACGGAATTGAACTTCTCGTCGCAGTATCCGGACACTTTTGCCATTGTGGTGAAGGGGTTTTTCTCAATTGATGCGGGAAATGGAATTTGGAAGGAGTTGTGTTCACTTCACAGTTGATGACTGTCTTCGGGTCTCACGAAAGTTTGTATACTCCAGGGTTCCTTGACCAAGGTTGGACTTATGAACCTACCTAGTAGGGTACCTGCAGGTAGATCCCAGCGAGAGGTCCATTTTGCTCAATTGTGTAAATTCTCAAACCACACAAAGCCCATTTCTAGTGCCCGTGTGGACTTGAGAATAGGGCCTGTGATAATGTGGAGTTGATTGGAGGTAGTGCTTGGAGGTAGTGCTTGGAGGCGCCTCCAGGGTTGGGCCAGGTCAACGATTTTCTGGGGGCTTGAAAGGACGGTGCAGGTGTAGTAGGAACTAAATGCAGGAATAGTCACCAGTGTGGATTTCTTGCCACTATATTTCTTACCTATTGACGACTTTGACGTTGTTATTTTCATTTTCCAGGAATCTTTATTCTCTACCCTCTGCGAAGTACATATCCATGGATAGTGGGAGAACCGCGCTGTCTTGGGATATGCCTCGAGCTTCTACACTAGACCAAACCAGTATTTGATTCGTTATGTGACTAGTACCGGGGTAGAGAGAGCCAGCTTTTCCCACACCTTTCCGATGTTGAAGACTCGCTTCTGTTCCGCATGATGCTGTTATCGACGCCCTACTAGGTACTAGGTACAGTACCTAGCTATTCCGATCCTCCGAGTTGTATTCCTGTCACTCTGGTTGCCCAGGTGTGATATCTTTGTGATTCAAACCATTCCAAGGTTGTCGCGCTCATTCATATCACTAGGTAACTCCTCTACACATTTTTATCCAGATACAACCTTCAATGTCCCGACGTCGCTGAAATGCACTTGCAAACGAGTTCCTTCATTCCATATCCTGAGCAATAAAGCCCCTCCAGGTTCTCATATATGTGATAAACCTCTCACTCAGACCTGTCTGCCTCAAATCGCTCTCACTGACAGGAAAACTGGGAGCACTATACATTGGATGCTTTTGAACATTGTTTGGGAAGTTCGGATCAAGGATGGCAGCTCTACCAACCATGGCAAAATCACAGCCAGCCTCAAGGACAAAAGCAGCATCAGATGCACTGAATATGTGCCCCGATGCACCGAGACAGACTGCACCCCGAGGTAAAGCAGTGAAAATGCTAAGGACTGTCTCGCCTTCAAACGGCGCCTCTTGTGCAATGTTCCGGTAGTCACCCAGCGCGAGATCCAAGAAGTCGATGGCTTCTTCCTTGAATGCACGTGCGGCAACTTGCTGGAATTCCGATAACTTGATCTCGTAGCGAGTCTCTAGCGACAGCCTCAACCCAATTTGGAAATCCGGTCGACAGGCAGCTCGAATGTCATCGATGACCTCGAACAGTAACCTGGATCTGTTTTCAAAGGAGCCACCGTAGTGGTCGGTGCGTTTATTGAACCGTGGCGACAAAAATTGCATCAAGATCCAGCCAAATGCACCATGAACTTCCACGCCGTCAAACCCTGCCGTCTCGGCTCGCTTCGCAGCGGCAACAAAATCTTGACGAAGGTTGTGGATTTCGTCAAGCGTTAGACCTCGGGCATGATATTCAGGTAGACAAGACGGTCCAACTGGGGTTCCCCCTCGTGCTGGCTGAACTCGCGCTCCACCATGCTGGATCTGAATCGAGGAGATTCCACCGTGAGATCGGATGATATCCGCAATTGACCTGAGTCCCTCGATGTGTGCGTCACTGTACACACCCAGCTGCCCCGGGAATGTTTTCCCAAATTGATGCACATGGCTGGCGCATGTCATGACCATGGAGTGACCACCAGCGGCGCAATTGGTGATCCAGTTTAGGTCATACTCTGATGCGATTCCATTTTGATCATCACTTTGCCAGTTGGTGAGCGGCGCGAGGAGCAAGCGATTCTTCAAGGTTGGACCCCGTTTCATCGCCAGTGGCTTGAATAGATCTTGAATGGCCATGCTGAAAGTCGATCTGGAACGTGCGGTAGGGTCAGGATGGCATGCTTTCGGGGAATGGCGTGTCTCAAAGTCAACGGTATCAGCTCCTCTCGCTTCACACTCGCCTAGATCACCTGGGCACTAGTGCCAGATTAGAAATCAAGTCTGACAGGCTATTTTAATTAATTCATTTGGAGGCATGGGTTTCACATCGCCACAGCAAAACTGGTAGTCCCAGTGGGGAACCGTCTCCAAGTCACCTCACTTTTTGCTTTCGAGTCTTAGCTGATAAATACGTTGTCCGAATAAAAGAATATCATAGAATCAAATGAAGCGATCCTAGCCAATCAATATCGCGTTTCTGTGTGGAGGTTCTTTCAAGAGGCGCTGCAGTTGGAGAAACCCCACAAACACCTCCATAGCATTTCGACGGACACAGCACAATGGAATATTTGCGAAATTGGGTTGGTAAATCTGTTTCAATCAAACTTTGGGAATCCGAGATATTCCTTCATATGTGGAAGCTATGATGATATCAACCGTGGCAAACAGAGCTCAGTGAAACATCGAGACCATCATAGAAGGACGATCAAAGGCAGGAAGAAGCCCTAGTTACACCGATCACGCTTGAAACGGCTTATCCCTTCGATAGCTGCCTCTTCAAAGGTAAGTCCTCGGCGCAGATTAGGCATAAAGGAACTTTGGGAGCGACAGTCAAGGTCACGGCACCTGCCTTCGAAGCAACACTCATGCACTCTATCAGATTCAGGACTGACATTGCTCCGCGCGAAGGGAACTCATTAGCCCAGTCCATCTCCTCCGGGTCAAGCACGTCCAGATGTCGGGAGTCATGTGCCCGGAACATGATCCCATGTTTCGTAGCTCGCTCAGTTCTTTCTCAGTTTGCTCGTTAACTTCCCTTCTTCTCTCTCTCTAGCGAAGTCAGTCGATCTTTGCCCTCTTTTCTGCCCAGCATAAGCGTGTGGCTCCCCCAAACAGGCTATAAGAGCCCCGCTGCTTCACCTCACGGTTTTGTTAGAAAGTGAAGCAATTTCCACATTTGGATAATCCTGCGCGGCGTTTGACCCACAGGATATCCCGCCAACAACCCCACCAACCACAAGCACGATCTAGCCCGTCATGGCTGACCCTACTGCTGCCCTCGCTCCCGCGGATGACCCTGGCGTTGATTGGAGTTTGCTGATGAAATCTATGAAGAACTCAGCCCAAGAAACGCAAGACACCGGTTTACCCTCGCGGGACGCGATCAAATTGTACCCTTTTAAGCCATTGCTGAAGAAGAATGATGATAACTTCGAAGATTGGCATGCCTTTGCGATGAATGCTTTGTGGCAGAATGGTCTTCATCGGATGGTTGAGACCACTTGCCCTCGACCAACAACGGGTGACCACACTTCGGACTGGTTCTACACAACACAACTGGTGCAAGCATGGCTAAGAAGATCGATGGAACCAGCCCTTCTCAGGATGCTTACCTATGGAGATGACGACCTGCGATTTGCGGATATCTTCATGGAGCATCTCAGGAACCACTTCCGTGGTCAGGGACTGAGTGCCCAAATTCGGGCATGTGGAAACCTGGACAGGCTTCGACGTGTTGACTTCGCTTCAACCAGGAAGTACATCAACAGAGTCAGCGAGTGCCATATGCAAGCTGAGGGCGTTGGGTTGAAGATCTATCCATACTGCCTAGTCCTCAAGGTCGTCACACAACTACAACAAATTCCGCGTCTTAGGCCCACCTTGGACGTGCTCATGTTCGACTTTGAAAAAGACAGCCGGGATGACATCGCCAAAACAATGACCCCATATGAATTCCGGAAACTCATGATCAATTGGTTGAGCGAGATCGACCTAATTGAGGAAGATGAGGTTTAGCAAACATATGACCATGTCGACATCTCTGGATCTGGGGTGAAGCCAGAAAAGTCATCCAAGCTCCCCAATCGATAAGTCGAAAGAAAATTTAAAGGACTTTCGTGAATCTTTGCATAAAAAATTGTATCTTAAGATTCTGAACAGGCAACACTCGTGGCCTAGCCGCAATAGCAGAATGATATCTGTCTTGTCGTTGACCCCAAACAATGATACGAGCACCTGAGTAGCCCTATAAGAGAAGTATCAATCGATTGTAGGAGAGGATTGTTCCACAGAGTATGTATTTATATCTGGGTGGAGGTTTTGGAGGTGATCATGGAGTTGATCGGGTTGGTCAAACATCTGTCGACCTCATCTACTCTGACCACTACGCAACTTCTGCCACAGACCGGAGGTGGAAAGACCTCCTCATTAGACTTTTGTTTTTACGCCACAGAAAGATTGCGTGGGATGACTATCAATGCTTGACCGTCTCGCTAGACCAAAGTGAAGACGTCAGTATCGTGTGATTATGTCCCTAAACACAAAATGCGGCAGCAGCTGGGCACTTATGGGAAAAGTGCCATTCAACAGTCCTAGGGTCAGGAGAGGATATCAACTATGGATGCGAGCATGAGAGATCACAAGCCGCTTCTCAGCACATCCCCGGCCCACAGCGTCAGTCGCAATCTGGTCTCAACTCCACATTGGCAACAGAGGCAATAGAGGCGGCGCCTCATGCGGATACACAGCAGGGATGAACTCTTTTTCGAGCTCAAAAAGTGTTGCTGAGACATCTGCCAGGCGTCATGCGGCACAGCCCTTACATGAACCGATTTTGCGATCAATGCGCACCCCTTGCTTTCATGTTATGGGTAGTTTTGTGTCCTCGGACATTGACCTTAACGGATGGAAAGCTTCGCTTATGGGATCAACAGCCATGATCAGTTCTAGTGACAGAAACGACATCCTGGGCTTGCACCTGAGCAACTTGGGGTAGCTCGTACCTCAGCTCCCACACCTCATGTCCGCTTTTTAGTATGTGAACATACACAACCCTAATTCCCACGGCCTTGATCTCGCCGACATGTCACTGAAGCCCATGTGCACGCCAACCCTTGCAATTTGCGCTAAGATGAAACTTGCTCTGCGGCTTGGATGTTGCAGCCCGTTAGTGCCGATCATCATAATCCAAACGGCCAACAACGGGCACACTCAGAACTATGGCCCCTGTCTCCAATGTGAGGGACCACTTCATGACCGTGCGGCTCACAACAACAATCTGACACATGTCTACTATATAATCTGACCTCTTGTGGCATCTTCTGTCCATCAAGTCACTCACTCCTAGTCACTCATTTTCTGACCTCTGTCCGTCTATACATTCCCACCAAGTCACTCTTTTAAATTTTCGGTCATCTTATCTCGCAATGAAGTTCACTGGATTCGCCTCTTCCCTCGCCCTCGCCGGCTTCGCGTACTCCGCCGCCCTCCCCGCTCTTTCGGGTGTCGACGGTGTCGAGCATGCCGTCAATGGAGTTGAGGGAACCGTGACCAACGGCATTCTGGGACCAGTTCTCTCCACAGCTGGTGGTCTGGCCGGCGCAGCCAAGCGGGAGAATCTCGCCGCTCTTGGCTCAACTGTCCAGACAGTTCCCAGCATTGCCAACGGCGCTGTTGCAATCGTCGGCAGTGGCGCCGGTACCGCCGAAAGCATTGTGTCGGGCGCTGCAAGCTCCGTCGAGGGCGCTGTTGCCCCGCGCGGTGATCTTGCTGGCCTCGGCTCCACGGTGCAAGCTGTTCCCAGTATCGCCAACGGCGCTGTAAAAATCGCTGCCGGTGCGGCTGGTACTGGAGAGAGCATTGCCTCAAACGCCGTTTATACTGCTGAAGGTCTAGCTACCAAGGGTAGCCATGGCAAACGCGGAGTCGAGAACCCTGTCGGTCCCATTGTTGGTTCCACCGCTGCTATCGTTGGTAGTACCGTTCCTGCCGTTGTGCATGGTAAGTTTCCTTCACACTGCTTCATGTTAGCACCGGAACTTAAGAGCTGACTGTTTATCAGAAGTTGGATCCACTGTTAGTGGCACCACCAAGCATCAGGCTCGAGGCCCCGCTGACGCCGTTGAGCAATCCGTCTCCGGCACCCTTGCTGCTCTCTCCTCAAACCCCAACGGCCTCTTCGGTGCTTTGACCGAGCTCAAGCACGCTGCTGATCTTGGCGAGATCACGCAGGGCCAGCTTGCTGAGGTTCCTCTTCTCCACAACGTTATCCTCTTCCTCGACCTGTGAAGACATCATGTCCTCGATCAATAGTGCCATGCACGAGGCATCACGACGATTAATGGTCCCTGCATTGTATTTTCTGTTTCTTGTGTCTCGATCTAGAGACCTGGACCTTTCTGTGATTCATCTATTCTCATGTACATTCAACATGCTTCTTCTGATACCTCTATATGACCTCCAACTGAGCAATTTTCGGGAACCATGTTCGATAAGTAAAATTTATATGCCCAGATCCTACTTCGTGTGTCGCATTCCCCGCGACGTAAATACTGATCCATCTCGCTTGGGCGCCTGCAGGGTTGGAAGCCCCAGTCAACAGACGGGAATCTGTGCCTTTCTTGTGTCTCTATTCACCTTCAATTATTCCAGGTAATTCACATGGTTAGTGTAGGTGTCTTATATCCAGGTATAAAATGCAAGTCTGGGCCCACGGGCACCCCAAGGTCATGCAATCATCGCTGCAATATGCCTGTAAATTACAAATATACATTGTTCTAGATCCGATACAATTCTGTTCCTAATGCACAAGAGGAATATTCTCGATTCAGGTTATGAATTGCACATGTGGAGACGCAAAACAAAATACGAAAACGAGAGTAGTCAAATTCCCTTCAGACCAATCAAAACCGCGTTAAATCAGCCGGCTTCGGACGGTTTCCTTTTCCGTCGGCTGTCCAGAGCTCCGTGGCCCAGACCCAGGGCTAATTGGTAAGGAACTGTCTTCTGACCTCGGTCCACTTGAGTGTCCAAAGTACAAGAAGCGAAGGATGTTCTCGCGAGTTGCCCATTCTGCCATTTCTCTCCGAAGTACTCTCACGACGTCATACTTCTCCCAACCTCGTCTCTTCCGCAACATGTCTTCAGCTACCTCTTTCTACGACTTCGAGCCCGTCGATAGTATGTCCTCTCGCCGTTCCTCGCTGACAAAGTGCTAACCCAGAACAGAGAAGGGTGCTCCCTTCCCCCTCGCCTCGCTCTCCGGCAAGGTCGTCCTGGTCGTCAACACCGCCTCCAAATGTGGCTTTACCCCTCAGTTTGAGGGCCTCGAGAAGCTCTACCAGAACCTGAAGAGCAAATACCCCGAGGACTTCACCATCATCGGTTTCCCATGCAACCAGTTCGGCAACCAAGACCCCGGCTCCGACGATGAGATCCAGTCCTTCTGCCAAATCAACTACGGTGTTTCATTCCCCGTCCTCGGCAAACTCGATGTGAACGGTGACAATGCCGCTCCCGTCTGGACATTCATGAAGGAGCAGCAGCCCGGTCTGATGGGTCTCAAGCGCGTGAAGTGGAACTTCGAGAAGTTCCTGATCTCCGCCGACGGAAAGGTCGTCTCACGCTGGGCTACGGTTACCAAGCCTGAGGGTCTTGAGGATTCCATCGTCAAGGAGATCGAGAAGGCTCAGAAGGCTGGCACCCTTGCCTCGCAGCAGGGTGGTGCCGAGCAGGCTAAGCTGTCTTAGACGGCTCGGGATCCGGGAGTTTTGATGATACCTTTTTTTCCAACTTTTAGTACATACTACATCTTCTTGGTGCTGGTTAGATATCCTGCCAAGACCACGGCATTTCCCCGTGGTAATAATAACTTGTGTATCAATTTCAAACCTCCATTCGTAGAATTCGGACGTCACTCAATCTGTGATTCATACCTAGTATCTCTTGGTCTAACGGTCGCAGTCCGAATCACCACAACTTTTACATCAACGCCGTAGCTTCCAGGACTAGGCAGAGCCACCCTTGGGAACTAGGTTGCGTAGTGACAAGTCATAGACCACATCCTCGACCTTCTTGACCTATAGTAGAATTTGGATTAGGAATCATGCCCAAGAACAGAGCGCAAAGAGCGACATACACTGTACTTGATACCATCACTCCGCTTGCGCAGAATATCGTTCTTCAGGTTCAGAAGCTGGAAGCCAGCAAAGAGCTCTTTGATGAATGAGCCAATCTGCATCGGGCGGTTGTAATCACCCAGTGTAACCGAGTTAACGGCCAGGCGCGACTAGAGAAAGTCAGTGGCAATCCAAGATGGAAATCCGATGCGGAACGAACCAGTTCCTCGACCATGGCAATCAGTGCCAGCAGGTACTCCTCAATAGTCAGGTGGAAGGCATCCTCTTCTTTGAGGTTGACGGGGACTGCAATGCGGGTAGTTAGCTTTGACGAGCCAGGGTCATGGAAATTGGCATGGTATTTGACTTACTTTCCAGGAACTTGCCCACGTCTTCAATAGTCATGAATGATGCCGAGTTAGGGCCCTTGTGTTCCTGCAAGCCACCGAGCCAAGCGCAGAGCTCAATCGAGGCAACCTGGTACATGAATCAATACAGGCCTGAAGGTGGGTGGCCAAGAAGACTGACCAGGTTCTGCAGCTCACGGGTCCACAGCCCGTTATACTTGTAGAAGGGGTGCTGGTCGACCACGGACTTCAAACGGGCGACCTCCTGCTTTTGAGCAATGATTTCCTTGGTGACATCGTCAAGGACAGGCTTCACTGTGATAATTTAGCATGAAAAACCAGTCCAACATAGCCACGCCCAGGAGCGAGATCACCAGAACTTACGTTGGTCGGCAGGTGTGGAATGAGCCCGCGACAGAATGGCCTGGGTGGAACGGCCTACATGGGGACGCTATCAGCCTTTGCTCATGCTATTCATGCGCCACCACAGAACGAATAGCTGACGAAGGACAGGTCCTCTCTGGTTTTTCAAGACATACCTCTCCTGGCAAGTGTCTGAACAATATCATGGAGCTCCTGTAACCAGCAGTCAGTTATCGTGTTCAGCCGCGTTCAAGGCTGGGATAAGGCTTGGCGCGTGCCGAGGTGAAGAATTCACCACACTCGCTATAATCCAACGTACATCACGGACAGTAGTCTCCTCATCAATCTTCGTTTGAAGGTCCTCGAAGATACGTTGGTCAATCATTTTGCTGCTTGGCTGGGGTAGATCGTAAGGGAAGCCGAGTGGGATTCGCGAGGTGTGGTGCAGACCGCGAGTTACGTCAAAAATCTACGCTGAAATGTGCAAACGCACGCATGTTTCGGTTTCTACAAACAAAACAAAATTCGTCGGTCATTCCAAGGTTGTCTTCGGACACTTTGTTCATTTAAAAGAAAATATCGCCGCGAGTTTCACTTCCAAGTTTGGGTATGGAATGTCCCCCGGGCCATGGATATATATCCTTGGCTAGATATACTACACTTCACCCTTTCAGCGTTGTATCAAACACAACATTGAAACCGTGAAGCTCTAATATAGACGATCTAGTACATTCTACATCGAATTTTGTCTATACTGAATAGCACCACAGCTCGCGGACCTATCCAGAGTTTGGGACTCGGGAGAAGCAGTCTAGGTATATTTTTGTCACAAATCACAATCACCACAAGCTACCCAGAAAGGCAAAGAACTCCGGCTCCATATCTTGAGGCCCTGGTGACCATATTTATCCGGAAATCATCGTAAACATCGTAAAGTAGCAACACAGACGGCCGGGCGCCAGGGTATGCACGAGGGGAGGGCTTAGTATCGGTATCTGGTGGAGTAATCTGCGCAACTGTTAGCAAATGACTAGCTGGTTCGACGAGAGCATGCTGACCTTTCGGGCTGACGACAAGACCGCGACCCTTCTTGGCGCCCTTGTAGATGGTCTCGATGATATCGATCAGCTCCTGCTTGTCCTCCAACACCCAGTTGAGCTTGTTGTTGTTTCCGGTTCCGAAATCACACATCATGTGCTTGTTGCGATAGAAGAACATGATAGTCATGCGGTCGTACAGCTCGTACATCTGATTGAAGTCCGGGACCTGGTCGATGTCGCAAAGGTAGATCACCGCGAAGTCTGGGGACATGTTAGAAGCAGATCTTTTCGCTCTGGAAGGGCCACCTACTCTTCACACGCTCGGCGATCTTGTACAGCAGCTCATCCTGACGAATACCTGGATGTTCTCAGTCAGTATGATGGATCGGGCGGCCCGCGTCAGTACTCACAGTCGGGGTCGTGGTCGCGGCCGAAGCGGATCACAACTAAGCGCTCTTCCTCGGAGAGGATGGCCTGGTCAACATGCCAAGCTGACTGCAGGTGAGGCAAGACGATTGAACCCATTGCGACGGTTGGCTTTGTGTAGACGCGAGTATGCAGAGGGGAAAATCCGAGCTTATCGATTAGCCCCACGATAGAGCCCAAGATCACGTGATGATATTTCCTACGACGGCGAGGGTGCGCTGAACCTCGTGGTCGGTGCAATAATGAACATTCCAAGGTTTACATGGGCTCGCCAACCCGGTCGCGATTTCCGCTGAAGAAGACAGCCTAGTTGCCTACGGAACTGCTAGAGTTTGTACGGGTGGCTGTATAACACGGAGTACGCGTGGATGTTAATCCTCACATTTCGGAGCACTACAAGGTGCGGAGTAGATACCGAGTCCATGAGGACGGGTTGGGGCGACAGGTTCAGTCACCAAGGACGGATAGGGCTACTAAGTAGTGTACAGATACTCAGAACAGACAAAACAACCTTGGAAAGACTCTTCTCCAAGCGCCCGGACAAGCCGAACGAGTGATGAAAAGGTTTGCGTCGACCGGGGATAGTGTGAGCCCAGTGACACTGTGTCTCAAGACATGCGCAAGCACAGAGGTCAAGAGACGAGGTCCAAAAATGAGAATAATCAATAATGTTTCTCGGAAGAAACTTTCAGAGATTAAACTGAAAAGAACAGATACTACACTTGATCTAAGCCAATAGGCAAAGAGAGCTAAAGAAGAAAGAAAAGAAGAGGAAGAGCGGATGGGGGGAGGCTGTTTATATAGCCAGCTGCATCGACTAGCTTCGAATAAGCGAGCCAATCAGAGTCGAGTGACTCAACGAGTCCTCAGGCACCAAACTCACCTCATTATCACATGACTTCTCCCAAGTTCCGTTGCCCTAAAGATCCCAATGCGGACTAGCGCAGCACACCTGTGAATTTTCGACAAATCGAGCTCCACCGTGGATTTTAGGACGTTGTCTTGACCATCTCTCTCGCCGGCGCAGGATATTCACCTCTTTGCGACCTTTCCCAATCCTCCCAAATCCATCCCCCAACCACCAAAAATGGCCCCCGTTGTTGTACGTTGAATCCAAACCGCTTTGCTGTTCCCCCAATGGCATCTTCAGGCTTCAAGTGCGTCGGGTCTCGATATTGAAAAATCTATCGGGACCTCGATGTCGCGGGAACTTGCAAGACCGCCACTGGGATTCGATTCTACGGAGCAGTAGGCTAATTAGATTTTCGCTGGTATAGGCTCGTGGTCGCAAGGCCCAGAAGGTTACCCAGAAGGTATGTGGATGAAATGCGCGCACCCAGGACTCGATCTAACATGTTCCAGTTCGTTATCAACGCTTCTCAGCCCGCCTCCGACAAGATTTTCGATGTCTCCGCCTTCGAGAAGTTCCTCCACGACCGCATCAAGGTCGAGGGCCGTGTCGGTAACCTCGGTGACAACGTCGTGATCTCCCAGTCCGGCGATGGCAAGATCGAGGTTGTTGCCCACATCCCCTTCTCCGGCCGCTACCTGAAGTACCTGTAAGTTGGACCGCCGATGACTCGCCCGGGTGCAGATCCGCTGACCCGATTGTCAATTTAGCACCAAGAAGTACCTCAAGAAGCAGCAGCTCCGTGACTGGCTCCGTGTCGTCTCCACCTCCAAGGGTGTCTACGAGCTCCGCTTCTACAACGTCGTCAACGACGAGGCTGAGGAGGATGAGGAATAAGCGTGTCGCTGACACGTTTGTTTCTGCCTTGATCGATCGGTTCTAGTCTGTGTATCATGCTTGGATCGTCCCTTTGGGACCGAGAGCGAGAGCCATGGGGGGATAGATTGGTCTATGAGGCCACGAATAAAATCAAAAAATTTTATACCCTCACTTTTACGCTTGTAATCCCAAAGTAGTACATTATTTCCGGGTTCTAATCGCCACTTGGGCTTATCAGACTGAATGGTTTCATGAAATTTTATGGGCTACCTAGTACGTCTGCAAAAGCAATGATTTATATTGCCCTCCACCTGGTTCCAGGCCTTTGGTTGGTTCAGCACATGCAGGCTACATCTTAATCATTGTTAGGTTGCCAGCTACAGTCCTAGAGAGATACTCTTACGGTCGTTTCGACATTTGGTAAAATGTTTCTGGTGGGCAGTATTCATTGACCTGGAGGGATGAGTTTATTCTTCTCCATCCTCCACCCTCCTTTCTGGTATGACTTCCACTTCGTACCTAGCTTTACCCTGACCAGATCGCCCGTGGCAATAGAGTCCTCCTTCGAGTCGTGTCCACCGCTACCAACTTGGATTTCACGTCCAAGCTGTTTCTGTGCGAGGATTTTGAGGCTATTGCGAATAGGCAGGCCCTTAGGATGCGGGAACAAGAGGACCGTGTCAATAACCGTGGGATGGATGAGCCGACAAACGTTCAAGTCATTCTCGATTGCGTGACCAATGACAGGCGTCTCAGGCTGTAGAAGACCAAGAAGCAATTCCCGAGCCTCTGCAGGTGACTTCACGAGCTGCAAAGATAGACTGAGCTTGCTCTCGCCCGCGGGTGGATCCGCGCTGGGCGTCAAGGGATTATACGGTTCGGCGGAGGCAAAGTCTTGAAGCGTCACCCCGGAAAAGCGTGTGTTAAGATCCAAGATCTCGCCCATGGGCCGAACCAGTACGTCGAGCACATTGCGGCCGCCAGGCCAGCTGACGGCAGTTAGGCGAATCAGCTCTAGGCCCAGTGTTGTGTAGCCCATCTCGCAATCGATTGATATCGGCTCCATGGGACCTTTTTCGGGCTGTGGCGGTGTAGTTTTGAATTGGAGAATCGACGCAAGCCGTTTGGCTTCTGATACTTTGAAGACGTGTGTTTGGGCCTTGGTGCAGCCGGTAGAAGCGCCAATCGATTGGTTGCAGCAAGGGAAGTATGGGTCTGCAGATCCCGTAACATGGTCTGTCTTCTTGCGACGTGGGTACACTGGCCGTCCTTCGTGATAGGTGCATTGTCCGCCGGTTGTCAGTGTGCCATCTTCACGACGACCGGGGAACACCTGGAACCGTTGACCACATCTATCGCACTTCTCCCATCCTTTGGACTCGTCGACCCCCTTCTGGGCGGCCTCTATATCTGCCTGGGTTGGGGCTTTTGTGACATACCCATGTGCCTCGAGACCAGCAAGGGGTGTGACAAGCTTGGGTACGAAAGCTTGCTCTTCTGCAGGAGTAAGGCCAGTGTCAATGGGGGTGGGTCCCGCTGGGGGCTTTTCAACTGGGTTGATCTTGTAGTACCGCCCGTTCAAATGAGCCATGACATCTTTGACCCAAGTTTCGAGGTCCATTTTGGTGAGTTTCACGATGCGAAGTTTGATGACATTGCTGTAGACTCCAGGGTTGTCTCTGGCACACTTTTCTTCCTCGTCCAAGGCCATTGTTATCATCTCATCCGGAGTCAATACGAAACAGCGATTCGCGGGATCTTTTCCATCGCGAAGCTTATCGTTCAAGGATGTCATCGAAGCGTGAAGCTTTTTGAGTATTGCAGTCCGAACTGTATGGGCTGCTGGTGCTGACCCTAGCATGCGAGGATTCAAGCTTTCCTTGGGAGCTTGGCGTGGGGGAAGTCGAGCAGCTTGAGGTGCATCCTTGGATGTTTCAGGCTTTTCTCCAGCTGAATGAGAGACTTCAGCCTGCTTCGACACAGGTGGATCCATGGTCTTCGGGCGAGTCAATCGAACCTCGGAGGTATCATGGGGCGTGACTGAGTGTTTGGGGGTTGAGTTTGAGGCTGGGGCCAGTGTCTGGAGCGAAGAATTCCGAGATTGAGACAAGCCACCAGTCGTACTTTCTACCTTGAGCCTCTTTGCAGGGGGTGCATTATCTGCTGGGACTGAATGCTGCCCTCCTGTCGAGCTCGATCCATCTGAGTGCGAGAACAGGCATTTGAGTAAAGTACACTCTTGGGCTCTGGGGCAGACTATGTCTGCAAAGCAGCCGAGCGGCGTGAACATGATGGCTTGCAGGCAGTGGGATACCTATAGCCCCGAAGCTGGAATCAAAGTCTGAGGGCCACGGTTGTGTTGCAAGGTTCAGATGTTGCTGCGACCAGATTGTACTGATCACGCAGGTCAATTCATCCAATGAGCGCCGAGTACCAGTGTGAATATCATCGCTGTTTTGTCATGTAGAAAGTCTGACTGGAATAAGTGCCATTCAGGAAGTTCCAAGGTTGTATCATTCAACTCCTTGTTCGCCAGTCAGCCCCATTAAGAGCGGACACTCCCTATGATGTTTTTAAGGAAGTATCGGCTTTTGCATATGATGGATAAACGCCAGCGGAGATTAGGGAACAGATCGAATGTAAGAATGTAAGACCAGTCAGCTGTACTCCGTACTTCGCAGAGGTGGCTCTTCACGAAGTGAGTGGTGCAAAGCAAACAAACATGTGCCTGGCTCTTCAGGCATCAATTCTACTTCCAAGGGTCGCGTGAAGGTCCACGGGTGACTTGTCTTCCGTTTTGCTTCTATCGCTTCTATTTATGTTACAGATTACTTCGTGATTGATTCTTATTTTCACCATTCTGCCCAGGTGCAGTGTATACCTATAGTACATAGGTAAGGCATGACCGAAGGATTCCTAAAAGCCTCCAAAACCCCTTATCGCCGATAGCTCCACGCTGACGCGGAGCTCGGACGAACAGACACCCGACTGATCTCCTACTTATTGGTCTTCGGTGCTGTAATGTCGCACAGCCAAACCTAACTATGGAAGATTCAACAGCTGAACATCTCTGTGTGCTGGTCCACGGGTATGTTCCTGCGAACCTGGGAGGCTATGACGTCTTAGGCTAATGCGACACAGACTCTGGGGAAAGCCCGCACACCTCGACTACGTCGCATCTGCACTTAAAGACACATTTCAAGATAATGTCCATATTCTGTGCCCCAAGGCCAACACTGGAAACTATACATATGATGGAATTGAACTCGGCGGGGAACGATTGGTGCATGAGGTGGAGGAAACCCTCGAATCGTTAGCTGAGCGTGGCCAGAAGATCACCAAGATCAGCATTGTCGGATATTCTCTTGGTGGTCTTCTGGCACGATATGCCATTGGCTTGTTGGAAGCTCGTGGATTGCTGGATAAGCTGCAGCCTATGAACTTTACGACGTTCGCGACTCCCCACGTTGGCGTCAGAGCGCCGCTGAAAGGCTGGAAAGACAGCGTCTTCAATGTTCTGGGCGCGCGAACCATCTCACAGTCGGGACGTCAGATGTTCCTGATCGATACATTCCGTGATACAGGCCGCCCACTTCTAAGCGTTTTGGCCGATCCAGAGAGCATCTTTATAAAGGGACTGAAGAAGTTCCAACGAAAAAGCATCTATGCAAACCTCGTGAATGATCGCTCGGTGCCATTTTATACTTCTGCTATTTTGAAAGTGGATCCTTTCGTGGACCTGACAAATGTGAATATCAACTATGTCAAGGGCTACGAAGATGTTATTGTCGACCCTGATACTTATCTATTACCACCCAAGCAGCGCAAAACTGGACCCTTGGCACAGCGTCTCTGGAAGAAATGCAAGTCACTGTGCTTCTGGATTCCTCTATCCTTACTCCTGGTTGTCCTTGTGCCATTGGCTTCTACGATTTTCCTCATCAATGCCGGAATCCAAACAGTTCGCAGTTCCAAGCGCATCCGAATGCACGAGAATGGCACCCTCTTTGGAAAATACAGAGTGCCTGTGCTGGTCCAGGATGTCCAACATGTCGTGGAGCAGGTCTTTGAGAATGTCAATGCTAGCCAGGAGCCGGCGTATCTGTCAAACAGCGATACCGAGGTCTCTGACTCGGCTGATAAAGAAATTGGACCGTCTGCCTCGACTTCTGCCCCGAGTGACGCACAGATAGAGCCCTCGTCGGCCCGAAGACGCTCATCCGGGGCATCAGTGCGCTCCCCCAAACTTGCACTGACGCCAGAGCAATTCGGAATCATCGACTCCCTTAATGAACTGGGACTCCACAAATACCCCGTCCACATACAGAAGAATCACCACAGCCATGCGGCTATCATTGTCCGGAGTGCTAAGGATGGGTTTTCCGAAGGAAAACTAGTGATCAAGCACTGGCTGGACCATGAGTTCGTTGTATAATACCATCCAAGCACATGATTTCTTATGCCCAGGTGGGCCATCGCATGTACTGATAGAATCTACACTCTAACATTTATCCACATACCAAATACATCAATGCAACCTATACATCTCAGCCTTCAATCCCCGGAGACACATCATAAGACACCCGACTGATTCCCTTCTGGCGGCTGATCTTGCGAATAACGATGGACCCAACCATCCCCGTTCGTGGCACATGGGTACCACCACAAGGATTATGATCCAACCCTCCAATACTTGCTATTCTCGTCCGCCCGTCGTGCGAACGCCCCTCCTCGCCCTCTTCCCCCTCAACCCACGAGATTTGAATCGCCAGATCCTGCCGCACTAGCTCATCGACCTTCTCCTGAATCGTCGGCTTATCTTCATTGTACAGCAGGCCTTCATACTCCATTGATGCTTCCCTCGGGAAATGATTTGCCTTGACTTTCTTCTTCTCTGGCATCAGTAGCTGCATTGCAAGCCCGACAATGTGACCAGCTGTATGCAGTCGTGAGTGACAGTCGCGTTTTGACCCATCAATTCTCTGGACAACTTGACGACCCGCCGTGAAGGGTGTGTCACTGTATTTTCCAAAATGGAGATATCTCCCATCGGGTGTTTTGCGAACCAGTGTCACTTCGAATGTGGCAGGTTGTTCTGACCTGATGGTGCCGGTGTCGCTGGGCTGCCCGCCACCTTGAGCATAAAAGATCGTCTGTCGCATTGTCACAACAAAATTTTCCACCGGTACATTTTTGGCCAGGCCCTGTTCTTCTTCAGATAGTGATGTGATGGACTGTGAGGATATGACTTCTGTCGTCAAATCCCGAAGCGTGGCATCATGGAGGTAGAGGGCCTCTGTGGCCTCTGTGCTAGACTTGGATGAAGCTTTAATAATTGCAGACCCCAAGTACCATGGTGTCTGACTTACCATTCTTCTGCGCGACTCTGGTATGTGGAGGGTAGATGGGTTTGACATGTCCCAGACCCGTAGTGAGTCATCTCGGCAATTGTCTCCGCGCCGACTCGCCATTTTTGGTATTTACCTACATAGGTACCTAGGTAGGTAGCGCCAGTCCCCCGGGTTGGAGCTACTTTACGAATAGTTCTTAGATTAAAGACAGCTAATCTTCGAAAGTTGAAAGTAAACGAGGTTCCGGATTGTCAAAGAGCGGATAAAGTAAATACAAAAAGCAATCTGTAAACAATAACATATCTCCCAAGTTCTAGCTTCCACCATTGAGCCTTGAAGTATCAAACCCTGGAATGAATCGATCGATTGATGTCACTTCGGAGAGATATCAAGACCAGCAACTTAATCGCAGTTACCGCAGTATGTGCGGGAACCAATGACATAGTTGCAGCACTGGCCACCGCAGCACTTGATGCCCACACCGTCACAGTATTGGCCATTGCTCTGGCATCGCTTTTCAAGCTTGAAAATGTCACTGACATCCCGGCCGAAGATTTGAGCAGCGGCGTGGTCTTCAACAACAGGGCCAGCCTCGGCGGCGGGAGCTGCGGCCGCAAATGCACCGGCGGCGAGGGAAAGAGTCATGATGATGGTGTTCAATTGCCTAAAGATGGTTAGCATATAGCCAAAAGGATTGTTCTCAATCCACCCGTGGACACAATTGGGGCCTTACATCTTGTTGGTGGTGATGGTGATGGTTTCAGGGTGGAGGGTTGGTTCCTTGCGATGGATAGTTGAAGGTCTGGAAGATATGATTTTGAGTTGACCATCTGGAGTGGAATGGAGGTATTTATATCTAAGTATCCATGGTTACACTCGAGGATGAAGTCACGATTTCCCAGATTCTAGCTGCCGTGGAAACTTAGGCCTCCCGCATGGCGTTCCCTTGTCGAAGAACAGCCAAGCCCGTGAGGGGATAGGAGAGATAGCACCTGGACGGTAGCTGGAGATGACGCGCAATTCAGGCAACCCAGAGACTTGTCTGAATGTCGATTCTTTGATTCAGGTAGTATTCAATTCCAAGGGTATCTACCTAAGTAGGCAGTGCAGCATGCAGGCACTTGAAACGGCCTTGGAAATGACCTGCGTAAGCTACGTGAGATCTACGGGGATTGATCAAACTAGTAATGAGGCGCCTAATCGGGTAATTGTTTCGTGCGTGTGGTCTTTCACGATCTATGAGTGTCATAATTGAAATTAAAAGCCAACTTCAAACCTGGAAATGCGGTGTACTTGAGTTTTCCACTGTGATAATTACCACTTTGGGGCGAGTAAAATCCAAAAATACATTATTTCGTTGTGCCGCTTCAAAACCTTGGTCCTTGGAACCCTTGAAAAGGAACAAGCCTGATCCCAATGATAATCGTCTATCAGCGAATTGCCCATAATTTTAGGCGACCACATCAGGGTAATACCCTCTCTATAGACGAGGAATGAATCCAACCGCAATGAAGCAATCTAACCATCAACGTAGGAAGCATATGGTTATCGAACGAGCTACCTTCCAAGGTTGGAAGGTTAAGTGTCGCGATTAGTTGAGCGCCACGCGGGGGCGGCAGCGGCAGCCGGGAAGTCTATTTCGACCTTGGAACCCGGCACAGGGGGTTGGTCGCCTGAATATGAGATCTTCCCCTGTTTCAACTGTGCACGATCCCCTCTGTTGCTATAATCAGTCTCATTGCTCAAATATTGTAGATCATGTCGAATTGAAGAATATGCTGGTCACTCGACTCCACAAAAATAGCTGACAATACCTAGGTATGATACGTTTACATGCTTCAACCTCAAGGCCTCCAGCATCCCAGGAACGCATCATGATGCTCATCGAGCCACGCTCATTGGCCCCCCTTGCAATTTATCTCTTCCATGTGCTGACTTCAAATTTCTCAGATTAAATGGTTTTCCCAAAAAGGTTTCGGCCAGGCCTCTATTTTTATAGGCTTGCGAGATGGTAATTTACACTCCTCAATCTTTGGGGGCCAACACTGATTCTAGACGCGCAGCTCTGATTACAGGCTCTAGATCCCATCAATTACCTCACCTTTGCACGGAGAATGCGGGAAGACTGTGTATGCTTCTTGTAGCAGCTGGTGGCCTTGCATGATGAGCTTGTTGAGGGGTATCGATGCCGGATGATGAATTTCGCAAGAGAAGAATTCGATATCAATCGATCCCTTCATGTATAAATACTGCCTGCTCAACGAAATCAAAAGGCATCATCCTACAACCTCGCAATTCACACTCACCGAAATCCACACAAATATCGCTTGATACTGTTACCCTTGACAAAATGTAAGTAGCACTCCAACGACAACATGGATTGGCAGCTGGTCTGACTGCATCAAGGAGATTCACTACCATCGTCAGTGTTCTTTCCATCGCCACCGGTGCTCTAGTCACCGCGGTGCCCACTCCCGGAGACGAAGCCAACGCCCCAGCCTCCGGCGACGTCAGAGACATTTTCAAGATTGAAAAGCGATGCCAGAGCAATGGCCAATTCTGCGATGGCGTGGGCATCAAGTGCTGTGCCGGTCAATGCTGCAACTACCGCAAAGGAGTGAACACCTACTGTGGCAACTGCGATCAGTAGCTTAGCAACTTGAAACCTTCTGCCTTTCCGAATTCTATGTGAGAAAGTCCGGGAGGCTGCCTAGTCTGGGTTCTTTCGGCAACTATTTCGCTGTGCTTTCGGCTACACTCGTTTCGTTGGTCCTTCAGTCTTTCAAGTTCCTCGCGGTGTTATCATGTGTACTTGAGATATACAGTCTACCCGGCTGTAACTGAAACACTTGTCATGGTATGTTTGGTACGTCAATCACATTTATATACAATTTATTGCCTGAGATAGGTGTATTCAGGGAGGTAGATACCTAGTATGGACTTTTCTTAGACGTGTAACAGGGTCCGACTCTCAACTTTGCTTTGAACTAGGTAGACCTTTGCCCAGCTGTATACCGATCGAGTCCCAGCAGGACTCATGATACGGTCAATCTATGTTTATGACTATTTTCTTATTGAAAGCTTTGAAAAGCTATTGAGGTATTCGGGGTGGTGCATGCGAAACTAAAAGGGTCAAGAGGCTAGAAAAGAAGCAGTGCAGTCGACCTAGAGCGACATTTCGATTCCTTCCTGCTTGATATCCACAAATCTTGAATAGGTTCAAGAAGTATGCGCAATTGGGAACTGAGGATGGAATGACGATCGTTACGTCATTCGCAAATCTGGGGAAAGTCTGGCGAGCATTGGCATTGGAAAAGACCGAAGAATCAAACTATTGGTACATTCAGAGAATGGCACGCCGTTTCTTGTGTAAGAAACCGGTTCTATAGGAGCGTTCTTATACCTAGTAGGAATGTCATGTCGCAGTTGACAATATACCGATCGGACCAACCTTGGAATCCGCCTTGAACCAAAAGCAGAATTGTTACAGTACAAATAGGTATATGATCTTCAATGTTATATTGAAATAAAGATGTTGTAAGTACATATAATTGGGAATCATGTAATGAGAAAGTAGAGAATAAACAAGAGTCCCAGCCCGAGCTTCCATTGATGAAAATCGCTGGAAGAACGTCGTTCTAGGACCGCCATCCAAAGAGTCGTAAAGAAATCAGACCATGAGGTGCTAGCTCAGTTAGAAACTTGCTCGCTGGTATCATAGTCGAGCTCGGAGACAATTTCGCCCTTGGCAGTCTTCTTGTGTTCGCGCTCAAAGGCGAACTTCACAGCGTCTAAGACAGTGTCAACAGTCTTCCTGGGTGGGAAGCGCGGCTTATCGCCGTCTTGATAGACACCCGTCTTGACAAGAATAGAGTACCAGTCGTTGTCTGTAGTATCGTTGAATTCGTTCGTGCCCCGAATATCGGACTCGGGCGTGTCGCCAATGAAGTACACGGTAGATGGCGACCGGTCAATATCACAGGAATCCTTGCGCCACTGCTTTAGAAGCCTGGTAGCGAATTGGTATGTTCCAATTTGGGGCTTGCCAAAAGCAATTGTGTTCAGATCTTTTCCGGTGATAGCAGAGTATACTGCTTCGAGTGAAGCGCGCAAGGCTCCCATTCCAAGACGTGAGTAGTCATGAGATGTGGACCAAACGACGTCTGTGTGTGAAAAGAAGACCGGAGGTCCCTCGGTGAATATTTGGGAACGGGTATTCAGCCACCCGTCTTTTGTCATGAGACAATCCAGAATAATCTGCTGGTCGCCAGCCCAGTCGCGACTGTCCGCGAAGACAAATATAGCTTCGATTCGGGTGTTGTCCAAGTCTAGTAGCCGGGAGTTGTCATGCTCTTCGTCGGTCAAAGTTCGGAACGGTGTGGTATCGTGTCGGGTCTTGATGATATCGCCTGGTGTGATCACGTCTTTGAATCCGTATCCCTCGGCCACGACACGGCATTTCTCTCCCTCGCCACCGACGACGAGGACGGTACCGTAGCGCTCTGCCATTTCGCGCATGGGGGTATGGCCGCAAATGAACTGGCCGGGGTCGACATCCAGCTCAAGTTGGCGGCTAAGGTCCAGGCAGCGCTCCTTTTCGGTTTTGCCGCCACCGTTGGTCAAGAAGATGTAAGGACTGTAAACAAGGTCAGCTGTGAGTCTCGCAGCGGGGAACCCATCACGAAAGGGATGGATCATAAGAGACGACGCACACTTTGACTCCATAGGGGTTTTCGCCATTGATATACTTCATAGCCTCGACGGCCTCAGGGATGGGCTGTCCGCCCTTCATGAGGACGCCATCTATGTCGAATGCCAGGGCAAAGTCATCGGTGGTGACGGAGGGCGGGTGGTGCATTGGGGTATTGATTGGGGAAGACTCGGTAGATGAAGATTGTTCGTGGAACACCTTCTCAGATAATTTGGGGATATATGAAGGAGAAGCCATGAAATGTTTAGGAGGCACAGTGAGATTGGGGCCACCAAAAAGATCTGCACGATTGTCCAAGTTACCCAGCTGGGCTCTCTGGGTTCCACTGGTTGTGGCCATTGTGACTGGAGATTTGAGTGGGGCCGAGGGACAAAAATGTGATGATCGTGATCGATGTGATTTGGAGATGAGGGACCACCGTGCTTTTTATAGCGGGGGGGCAGAAATGAAGTCAGGATAGACTGAGGATTACACAGGCTCTTGATTGCTTGACGTGCAGACTGCAGCGATGATCAGGCTGTGCAGTAGAGTTGCAGATGGAATCCGGATGAGTTCTGAGCGGAGCCTGTGGGGGAGATATGGGCCATTAATATAGCCCACTGATGCCGCAACGCAGCGAGACATCACTGGAATGGGGTTTCACACTCCAATCAGTCACAGACCTCGTCATCTCACGAATTATTCCGAAGTATAACGACGCCAAAGCATCTGGAGTCCAAAGTAGATGTGGATCCACAACGGCGTACGCTTGGCAGGCTAAGTGAATCCGGTGGATGCTGATTCGATCCCAGGAAACATTAACCCCAGCCCGGCTATGACTTCAGCGGGTGGAGTTCGTGGACGGTTGACGTAGGGGTCGAGGCATGACCGGTTTTGGGCCCTGGTGACGGATAGACCATGTTTTCGGCGTGGCGTTGAGCGGATGTAAGAACCGTGTCCGAGGACATTGCCATTTGAACCAGTCGGTGTGTCCCGAGGATGCTGTACAGTACATACATAGGCTCTCTCAGAGTCTCTCTGCTGGGTTACTTAGATGACGTCATGCTGACTGATCCTGGCCCGGCTCCCGAGGGCTTCAGGCTCCAAGACTAAGTATGTACTAGAGTATAATCTGTCTACAGTATACACCTACGCGCTAACTCATGCCCAGATACTCCGTACACGTCTCTGTGGCGGGGGCTGGACCCAAAGCGGCCAAGCTGGCGCCACATGTCGCCAAATGCTACCTCGGACCAACACCAGAACCCGATTCAAGCCAAGGGATGCACGGCGCAGCCAACGATCGTATTGTGGGACAAATGGAACTTTGTGCATGCAGATGAACACTATATTCACGCGGGATACAAGTACCAGGCCAAGAGCGGTGCCTCGGGAACCCTGTTACCAATATCCAGCCCACCTCAACGTTGGATGTTCGGACACCAATAATGGGAACCACTCTAGGTAGGGTTTAGACTCTAGAGTCCATAGCCAGAACATCCCCGGCATAGTTACTCCATCAAGATCCCGGGCAACCTTCACAATGAATATTAGGTTCCAACCTTCTGGGGATCCAAGGTTATACGTCAGGTCTGGCGTTATCTGCGGCTCGGCTCTGCGGGGGAGTCTCGTATCCTTGTATCCTTGTATGGGGAGAGAGAACAGCCGTACATCGGATCCATAGATGCCTTCTGGTTTGAGCCTGAGCGTAGTCTGTGCGCCGAGATCCGGGGGAATCAATGGCCAGCGTCGGGAGTCAGGCTACTTGATAAAGTCTCGACTGAGTTGCCTTAGAGTTGCCAGCCGTGCCGAGAATTAGGCCCTGGAGCCGTGTGTGACCTCATCCGCTCCAGGGCCTGAGTCCAAGGGTGATATCAAAACAAGCCATTTAGATCTCGATAAGATGTGATTGCCGGCATGCGAAGATCACGATCGACAGAATCTGGGGAACCTGGTCTCCGCCTGCGATGCGGTAGATAGTACCGTGCTGTTTCTAGAGGCCGATGCCATCGCTCAAACAAGGAAATACAGAGCCAATCAAGACCCGCTCGACCGTTAGGGAAAGATGAGCAAGCCAAGATCTGGCCTCATACACTCGGGCCCCGTGGGTTGGGTCCGCTGCTCTCAAAGCGTCTGAGCGGTTCCTAATGGTTACCGCTGGAGTCCCCCCGTGATTGCCTGTATGCGGTGCCATCTGGGGCTGATATGTGGTCGGGGTGCATAGAACGGAAATCGGTAATACATTGATATCATAACTCTAGTGATCCCAAGGTCGATTGAAGGCGGGGTTAGTCAGAGAATCCGTCATCCCCATCGTTCTCGAACTGGTCTATGGTATCGTCCAAGCCCTGCCCATCCAGGTCAACGTCTTCATCCATGTCATCCCAATTGTTCCAATTGTCGTCTTCGTCTTCCCAAGGGCTCCTGTATTCAGCATGTGGGTGCTTAGGCAAGCGATGGTAAAACTCCAGTCTTTCACAGGAGCATAGATTGAATTCGGGCATCTTGGTTGGATAAGAAACAGGGGTCATAGACAAGTCTACTGCGAGCGCCTTGAATTCCTCTTGCCATAAATCGCCCTGCTGACATATCTGCTGACAGGGTGGGTTTGTTTTGCTTGTGTTGATTGAAGGAAGTTCACTCATGTTCTCGGGCACTTCGACTGTGAAGCGTTTCAAGTTGGGGAGTTTCTTGCCCTTGACCAACTCGTAGATGACGGAATTAGCCCAGGCCTTGTGCTCGTCGAGTCGTAGCGTGAGGCTTTCGAGGCTCGGGGGCAGAGTCGTAACATCTTCGATGTCCAGCTCATGACATTCCCTCCCTGCTAGTGAGCTGAGAGTTGTGGTGAGATGCTTCAGCTTGTGTAATGAATAAAAGTCGGTCTCATCAATGCCCCAATACACATCATAGTCCACAACCTCTAGCGAGTCATATTGAGCCGCTGCCCCCATTTCGATAAAGTCACCATCATACCACTCTTCCATCTCTCTTGCGTTGTGAGAATGCGGCTGTGAGGTTCTGATTGTGAACCGCTTCAGTGCTTTCGGCCATGACAGAATTTCCCCGAGGGAATTGGGTCCCACCCAGCAATTCAATATGGTCAAGTCTTCCAGTGCTGTGCTATGTGGGGGTACATAGCCCCCTTCTGGCATCAGTTGACAACCAGTAATACAGATCTTCTGCAGACCTGGATGCTGAAATATGGTGGAGCGAATTACGGGAGCACGAAACTTCGCATCGATTTCGGTCATGTCGCACTTTGTTCCGATGTGACCTGCACAGCATTAGGATTCTTTCCTGCATTTTGACCGGCAGACGGCCACTCTTTGAGGACCACTCACAGACACGCAAAGCAGGCAGTCCCTTCGGTGATTGGAGCATATAGTTTCCGAAAATTTGGAAATCGTCTTCGGTGAATTCCGGGTCTTTACTCGTGTCTGGGTCGTCGTCGCCTAGAAGAACAAGGTCAGTAAGTCCCAACGACCAACGCAGTGTTTCCTGTATGATACCGAGTTCCTCTACGGGTCTTCTGACCCGATTAAAAGCATTAACGAGCTCGTCGAGAGTGGTTCTCATGAAGACTTGCTCGAGGTTTGGCAAATTGGCGAACATCCGATAGAATTTTCGAACGAGCTTATCGTTGCTCTCAAACCCAGAGTCCTTCTTATGTCTGATTTCGCGAATGAGTGGTCTCAATTCCGGCCGTGATTCAAGTGTGCGGGCAAGACGATAACCGCCTCGCAAACTGCGAAGTCGGACATGCTGGTAAAGGCGGGGTTCAATGACAGATTGGAGGGCAGGACATGCCTGGGACAGTCGGCCCAAGTGTTGAGGGGTCCCTCCATCGTCAAGGTATCCGATTATGATATCCCAAAGCTCTAATGGAAAAACCGGTAGGAACGAAGATGAATGGCGGGAACTCGCGGCCTCTGGGTAGGCCATGATGATTGAAGGGTACACGGATTGTCGAAGGGGAATAGCAAGGTGATTAAAGGAAAATCGAAAGAGGGGAGACCCTGATCAACGGAGTCAATTTCGCGTTTGTGGACTGGTCGACTGCGCGTTTTTTCGCGATCAATTCCCCTTATCGGCTATCTGCCCCGCCAATTGTCAAATTAGCCCCGGGGTGCCCTGGACACGAATTCTAGGCATTGGCAAATGTGGGACATTTAGTCTCCAAGGGGGAATATGAATCTGGGATTGAAGTGCCGATTCTTGTCTTCATAAAATGGTATAATCTGATATTGAAACACACAAGACTTCTATGTACAAATCAAGCACATCGCATCGCTAACTGTAATGCTAAACAAAAACCACCTAGAGAAACATAATGTACATGGAAGTTCTCTCTCAATCAACTCTCAGGATCAAGTCTTCTCCTCGCCTCGAGGGTGTCAGGTTCCGACTCGTGGGCGAGATCCGATTCGGCGCCTTCGGACTATCGGGATAATGCACCGCACCGGGGTGTATATCAGACGGATAGGGTGGCTCAGTGGATTCCTGACTTTCGTCTCGTGCGCGCTCTTGCCATAAATCTTCCGGGCAGTAGGGGGCCACTACTTCGGGCTGACGGGGACTACTGCGGATCTGGACGCGTTTAATGTCTTCAGCCCGGATGATGCGCGGGCGGTTGGCCATTTCGGCGCCTGAGGAAGAAGGGGAATGACCATCTCGTGTGATGGTATAGTTCGAGGCTTTTTGCGGGCTGTTGGAGTTGCTGCTTTCAGATGAGGAGGTTCTGCAGGCTGGGTTGGGATTGAAGGGTGATGCGAGGGTTCTAGGGCCTGATCTTCGTTTGAACCCTGTTGGGGTTTCGATGAAGGCGCGGGGGTTGGCTGGTAGTCCTGCCAGTCGAGGCTGGGCACCTGGTCTAGGGGGGTTGTTTCGCATCATGGCGGCTGTTTGTTGAGTTTCGTCTTCTTCAAATAAGGTGTCTCCGCTGGCTGGTCGATGGCTCCATTTGAGGGGTTTCGGGTACAGCCCTGTTGATTGATCTGGTAGTAGACGTGCCACGCTATGCTGTGATGACTGGGTGTACGGTGAGGCCTCCCATTCTGAGTCTGAGCTGGCGGCGAGCCCTATTCGCTCTTCTCTTGACCTTTTGCTTTGGTGGCCATGAGATATTGTAGCAAGGTGCGGCGAGTATCCCGATGAAGATGGAACAATTGCTCCAGATGCCATGGGCTGGAATCCATATGATCGCTGGGGTGGTGCATCTTCCATTGTTTGGTCGTGTAAAGAGCTTGGGCCCGAGCTAGGCGTTGGGAGTCGTGGCATTGGTTTTGAAAAGTCGGGAGGCTCAGACATGGCGCCTCCGATTTCGAAATGGTGCGGATCTGACTGGTCACGCTGTTTCTTTCGCCATCTCTTGCAGCAGAAGATCACCGCAACCACAATGATAAAAGCTCCTGCCAGACCTGATGCCACGGACATTCCAATGACTGCCCCGGGGCTGATCGAATGATCACCCTTCTTGTTTGTATCTTCCGAAGCGCCACTTGAGGCCAAAGGGTCTTGCTTAGCAGATGATGTAGCTTCAGCTTGAGGGCCGGAGGATGTGGCATCAGAAGACGTATTCTCCGAGGTGTGACTGGAAGTGGTCGTTGTTGGCTTTGATGAAGTAAACGACGTTGTCGAACCTGCCAAAGGTGCTTCCGAGGTCTCATTCGAGCTCTGTTCCGATGTTCCGGGAGAGCTAGTCGTTGTTTCTTTTGGAATTGCTGCCGCATCTGCAGTCGTCGTTACATCTGCAGTCTTTGATGCACCTGCGGTTGTCGCTGCATCTGCGGCTGTCATTGTATCTGCGGTTGTTGTTGCATCCGCGGCCATAGTTGTGCTCATGTCTGAGAAAACAGTGGCAGTAATGGTCTTGTGGGTTTTGGGAATCGCCCCGGATACCGAGTCACAGATATGATATGCCTTGGAGTCCGCGATGACTTCCCGGGAACACACCGACAAAACGCAGCTTAGGGCTGCCTCTCCCAACGTCAACCCGTCCGGCGTTTTGGTTCGGCAGAGGCATTTAACATTCGAAGGCGACGTGCATTGCTCAGGTGTATACTCTGATTTGATGAAACTTTCCACGCAGTCTCTTGCGCAACTCGGGACCATGTCAAATAGCGACGAGTCCGATGCATCGCTAGAGGTATCGGCTGTGACGCAAACCAGTAACCAAAGGACTGTGATGAGTATCCCGTGGATAGGAAGGACGAGCATAGTGCGACTCTGCATCCCTCCATTAGTACCAACCCAGCTGTGTAGTTGCAGGTCGAAGTGAACTCACTTTCTATATCCTTGCATTGGAGTGATTATCCGGTAATCCCTACAATCCATATGGTCATCATCGTTGAGTGTGCGGTATGAGAGTGGACAAATGGCGCAGGAAGCAAAGCCACAAAATTTCAGTCACAAGAAGTCAACTCCAGCATAATGCGTGGCCAGAGGGACGCCATGCTAATTAAACGGAGAATCGACGCGCGCGATTCTACGCGCGAGGCAAAACCGCCCATGACGCAGACCTGGACTTTTGGGGCCAGGCGCTGGGCCGCAAAACTCCTCTGAAACCTAGTTCCTCGAGGCTGTGTATGTAGGCGCCTTGGTGGAACTGTGTATGCCGTAGCGAGGTTATTTTGAGTGTCGAGTCGCACAATGCGGCGCTCTGTATGGAGGGTCATCGTCAGCGGCTCCGATACGCGCCGGGCCACCCACGGCGCGTAGGCTGCAGAACCAGCTGGCGCCGGACTAAGTTTCAGGTTCACTGGATTTGATGACTTGGGCTAGGGTATATGCCCAGGTGGTTTCAAGTACTCCGTAGCAGGTCGAGAGATGTTGGGTTGTGCGACTTCGGGTCGAACATCGACGATTCCCCAGATCGACCTTCGTCCACTCCTCACAGGGCTGAAATGCGGGACATTTTGACCGCACGAGGTGCCGCATGACAGTCGACTGTGGGCCCATTCCGGGGATGTCCGCATTGCGTTTCTGCAGGCTTCGGCCCATCGCGATGATACTTGAAAGTCTACACACTACGGGGTACGGAGTACCGGAGAGAAAAGTCATATAATAAACCCATGTCAACATTTCAAATATCGTAAAAGCTACCACGGGCAGTGAGACGAAGAAAAACGATGCCCCAGAGTCCTGAGCTGGTATCATTCATTAGAAGCAAAAACCCGCAGTATCAAGCACAAAGGAAAATCAAGGCAAATCAAAAACAAGACATATGCGACCACGGAGAGAGATTAGGGAATTATGGACATCATGGTAACCCGATGCCAAGTGGAGGCTGCATGAGGCTAGTTTCGACCGGACCACCACGGAATGCTGACACCGGTCTGAATAACGATTCGCACCGCCCCTTGCGTGCACACGGTGGAAATGGGAGTCGGCATCGCTTTCCAGGGGTCGGCGATCGCGAATTCGCGCGTATGGTATCTCTAGTATTTGAAGATGATATAGCTGGTCGATCTGGTCAGCGGCCGCTCCGGGAGCAAAGAACAAGGGCACATACATGGCGTGGATGATACCGGGGATCCATCCGAGGATGGTCAAACAGATGTTGATCAGCAGGTCAGCGCCACATCCGCGCTCCAGGAAGACACCCAGAGGGGGGAGGATGATGGCGAAGATGATCTTGCAGACGTCGCTGTGGAGGTTAGCATACTGGAAGTAGATGCGACAAGGCGAGCAAGTGCATGACTTACGAGGCAGTGAAAGGCATTTTGAGAGATGTGTGGAGATGTGAGAAGAGGAAGAAAGGCGGGAGAGGGAGAGATTAAAAAAGGAGGAGAGAGAGAGCTTGGGTCATTACATCACCGCCGCCACTCTGTGGCTCTTCGGTTCCACCAGGAACACTGTGGCTCAGCTTCTCTTTTTATTTTCTATTCTTTTTATATCTTTCTATATTCTATTTTCTCCAGAGTACTACTATGAACTAGTAGTAGGACTCTGTAGTGAGTTCTGTTCTATTTCTTCTCTCTGGGCTTCGTGTGTTGGCAGCCTCTGCCGCCTTTTGCTCGCTGCCTAGGCCTTGGCGCTGGAAATACTGTAGCCTCTGTGTTTTTCTTTTTCTTTTTTCTTTTTTCTTTCTTGTTTCGGTGGGCATTTCCCTTAATTTCCTCTCTTTCTCTCGACGGAGTACTATTACTGGTACTAATTTCCGTGATTCATGCAGCCAACTTAGGTACGTCTCATGACGGTGACGATCATGATAACCAAGGATAGGAACCTTTGGATCGTCATTACGCCAAGCGGTAGTACGAGAGTGCAACTGCCCAGAACCCTTGCCAGCCCTACAATGGGTCTCAGTCTCCACCTGCCAAGATGTCGAGCATCAGGTGGTGTCATTGGACTATGACTTCAGATGTGGCTGGGATCGCCCAGTCACGCTAACCAGGCTAAACAGGGTTGCTAAGCATTGCGTACACGCGTTCTGGCCCAACACGGCTCAGCAGGATTGTTGCGAACTCTACTCCGTACTCCGTACCCGCGGAAGGTGTGGGAGAATAACATTGTGGATCTACAAATCGGTCCAACCGGTAACATCATCCAGTAAGGAGTTCCACTGCGGAACATCCAAGTCGGGCGCAACAGCCACAAAATCCAGCCAGATCTGCTGCCAATTCTCTTCTGCCTCAACCGTCTGGTCTCCACCCGCACCGGGGTCCTGCACATTGAGGCGGTGGTCGAAATCATTGGCTCCGGGCACTGCACCCAGCCCCATATTTATGCCGTGCGGTTCTGTTTCGCGAGGCGCCATGGTGCTCCCCTCGGATCCCTGCAGGGCAATCCCAGGCCGTTGTCTCAGGGTAGACAGCAACGTTTGCATATTTCTTTGGATCCCCTCAAAGAGCGTTCCAGACTCATGTTCCGATTTCTCCAGTGTCTGGTGAGCGGCGAGAACGTTGGCCTTGAGGGTTTCGGCCTCTGGTGCCTCGGGATTGAACGACACATTCGTGGCTAAAATAAGCGCCGCAGAAAACAAGTGCTGCACCACTCTCCAGAGCCGCGCGGGATAGCCTCCTGCCTCGGGGCTAATCTCGTCCATGGCTCGTCGCAATTCGAGAACAGTTTTCGCGGAGTGGACGCAGACTTTGTTTGAATAGGCATATGTTGAGTTGGTAATGCCCTCAAGGTGGTAGGGCCGGTGGAGTCTGCATAGTCGACTATGAAAGCTGAAATGCAGACTGATTCGTTGCCAGGCGATATAGGGTCGTTCCCTACATAGTCCCTGGTTTTTTCTCAGGCTTTCTGCGTCCATTTTGAAAAACTCCGGAATGTCCTCAATAGTATCATGGAACTTCTTGTCCAGCGCAAGGATGACTTCATATTCTGGTTTCTGGCAATCCAGTAATATGGAAGGCATGGCATCAACCACCTCACGACACAAAACCGCCGTTCTGATTCGTTGGATGCACCCTGACATGGCAGTGGGAACTGACAAGGGAAAGTCTTGCTGGACTCCCTCTACCACCATCAATTCATCATCAACATTGCTCGGGTAGTTCACGTTCATGTGCTTTGGCTGGAAGATATAAACGCCTTCATGGGAGCCTCCTGAAAATGAAGACAACCTAACACAGTCAGACTTTGATTAGTACCACGTACGAACATCGACATTTGTTCAAACACTTACCAGTCAGATGCTACCATATTCCACCAGACTCGTCTCTGCACTTCAATCTCGATCATGTCAGACCCCTTCAGCCTGCGCTCTTCTTGGCTACGAGCTGTATCCACTCGATGAATACGTAACTCTTGTGCCATTGAAAAGCATCGGACCTGCAAAATGCGCATTTTGACAGAGAGACCGGCGTCGTTTGCCAACGAATGAGTAAGGATACATGTGGCAACGAGCGCATTGGTCGAAGGCTTCAAAGGCTGGGTGGGATGTTCCAAAATGAACAAAGCCTCTTGCGAGTAAGCGTGGAAAGCTGATCTAGCCTCGGCCTGCGTGACACTCAATTCCTCGAGCAGGGAGCTCGACCAAACGAGCGCTGCACCAGAAAATATACTAAAAAGCAACATCAGAGTTGTTGCAGTTGGCTGTTTATTATCCAGCATGTCTTGGTATGTCTGCTCGATTAGGCTTCGTGTGGAGGGTATATGGAGGAGTCCTAATGATGGCTGTAATGCCTTCACGAAGTGATCGAATAATATCCTGGCTTGTCCAATGGGAGGGAGTTTCCTGGTTGCCTTCGCCATACTCGTTTCGGCATTGACAATGGCAGCTTGGCTGTCTGGCATTATCTGGTGTGAACCAAATGAGGAAAACAGATGGGATGCAGGAGTCTTAGATGATTGTCAGTACGGCTCAGTACGGCTCATTGGGTGGCCCCCGAGGTCTCGTTAGAACATACCGAATCCGTGGAAGTGGTTATGGATTCAAACCCCCCTTGGTGACCCTGGCCCAGTATTCTCATCTTGTCTTCATCCTGATACACAGCCTTCTCCAATGCGCATATTCTGGCCAATAGACCATGATCCCTTTCTCATGTTAGTAGACAAGTCTCGACTCTCAGATGCTGGACAAAACTACTGACTGATTTACTGTCTGTGGGCCCGGGACAGAGGGATGTGTACTCCCTTGACTCCCCACATGCCCCACAGGCCCCACGACCTCGGTGGGTTGTACTTGATATGTCGCTCCCTGTGAGCTTTGCCCGGGGTATTCACATGTCATGTTCCTTTGCGAACAGTTCGAGCAGGGATGGGCGCGGTCACAGCGACGCTTTTTTGCACGACAAGCAGAACAGGACAAAGGCGGGCGGCTCCACTGATGCATCATTGCATCTGGAATGGGCTTCCCATCTCTACTGCGCTTCATTCTGGTCTTCCTGGGCGTGTACGGAGTATGGTAGGAGGCTCTCAGGTCCGCGGAGGTCGGGCCGCGGCCATTATTACCTTGGTGGGGTTAGCGTTGACCACCACTCGGGTCCCACTGTACTCCGTATGTACTTAGGTAGCCCCTGGCCCCTTTGCCTCCTAACACACCCTCTAACCTTCCAATGTTATTAAGAAGGTAGATATCTAAATAACCAGATCCGCGCCTGGGCGGAAGGCAATGCTTATGTCAACCTTTCGAAGGACCGATGTCCGGAGTCCGGACCCCCGGGGCCGTAAGGATCCAAGGATACAGTATCAAGAAAGGCTTCCTCATTGGCTTAGATACTAGGTATGTGCGGTACCTAGGTAGGAATTTGGGGGCGGGCGTCAATTCAAACAAACAATAGCCCTGGTAGCCCGTCTTGCCGCCGGTAATGGGTGCCCGAGTGTTGCGTTGGTCGCGCGATTCGCTAGATCACCTTAGAACTATGCAAGGATTTCCAAGGTTTAAGAGCCTAAGGTCTCTAGATAGTAATGTAGAGCAAAGCAATAAGCCATGAGTTTACGATATTGAGATGAAGGCGGGGAAGATGACCAATTAACGCACACCACCTGCATTTGTCGCAAGTACTCCGTAGGGAGGCATCGTTATAGCCAAATAACGAGGAATCGATGACTTTTACCGAGTACTACACGATCCAGACATAGAAAAATCCTTCTTCTGAATCATCTCATTCGCGAATTCACCTGGGTAGGCGAGTTTCCTGGTATATGGAGCGGTTTAGGGACTCCGAGGTCAGACTGGAGGATGAAAAAGTAGAGGAAAGGAAATCCGAGCAACGGTTGGTTGGACGGGAAAGGTATGAATTCATGAAGTTTGGGCGTCTCCATTGATCTTTCGTATTTACCGAAGAGGGCAAAACGTTGAATTGCAGGATGGACGCGCCGTGGGCTTCCTGCACTATATCGAATCCAGTCTAGTTCCTGCCCAGGTGGGTATATCCAGTTTTCTCTTGGGAAGGGACCTGCGTGCATTAGCTTGCCTAGTGTTGCGTTTCAGCCCATAAGAGATTCAAAAATAGACAGGGACTACTAGGTATTGATCATGGGCATGAGCGAGGGCGAAGTTATGTTTTCTTTTATAGGTATATATGTCCCCATATGATCACATCCTCGGGTGTATCTACCTAGTATCTTAATTCCAAGGTTTAAACCTTGGAAGCTCGTTGCTCCTAAAGTCCGCCACCAGCAATTTTTGTATATATATTTTTTTTCGCCATGCAGACCTTTCAGACCAACTGCACTCTCCCTCCAGACAAAAGCCTCTTCGTCTCTTCTCCAAATACTCGTGGAACGCTAGACATTCTCTGGCCTTGTCTCAGTTTGCTTATCCTCTGTACTTGGTCCATCGTTCGTCTGAATGTACCAATTAAATCGGCTCCTGGAATTACCAAAAGCCAGTGGTATAGACGAGAATTCTTTCTCCTCATGGAAAAGCTCCAATGGATGATCATCAGTCTTTTTGCTCCGGAATTCATCCTGGGACAAGCTTGGAGTAATCGACGTTCAGCAATTCTCCTTGAGGATCAGTTTGAAAAATACCAGAGAGAAGATAATGTGCCTTGGAGCCGCTCGCATATTCATTATGCGAATATGGGTGGATTCACTATTCAGTTCATTGGCTCAATGAATAAACAGAATATGGAGCCCTATAATCCCAATACTACTCCTGGTCATCTCCCAAGACGACACTCTGCATGGTTTGATTCGGATACGCTACAAATCGACAGCTGGACAGTCGACAATCCTCCATCAGGCTATCGGCCATTACCCGAAAGAGCGCGAAATTCTCTAGACAGCGTATTTCGTGACAACTTCCACATGCCAATGATCAGAAAGTCAAAACTGCAAGCACTTGAATGGACACCCGACTATCTCAATGCCAGAAATGCCAAGAGAGCGATCAGTATAGTCTCCCCGGACCATTTTACTAATGAAAAGGAGCGGCAATGGTTCCTTACTGGCCCTGGCGCTGGATCCTGGCTATGCAATATTATTTATCTTTGTGGAGACATCTGGGTGCTAGATGCCAATCAGCTCCTTCTCGCGCGCAAACTTGGCATCATCGAAAGACTGCCCTCACTTTCTAATGAATCACTGAATGATCGGAACAAAAACAGCTTGATCATTACCATTCTCGCATTGGGTCAAATTCTATGGCTCTTGATCCAAATTATCATACGTTTTACTCAAGATCTCCCAACGAGTCAACTTGAGCTCTTGACCTTGGCTTTCGCAATCTGTTCGGTATTCACATATATCTTGCTTATTGACAAGCCAAAGGATGTTCAGACATCATGCACCATCAATGCTGTCAGACGCCCATCTACCGAGGAGTTGATTCTTATTGCAAACACTGGTCCGACATTTGTGGCTTCACGTCGGAGAATTTCAATTCCTCATGACGCCCTTCACCGACATACACGCGGACTGGATCAGCATCAGACATTACTCCTTGGATGTGCGTTTGTATCCATCCCTTTTGGAGCTATCCATTGCATTGCCTGGGATTTTGAATTTCCAACAGAGGCAGAGAAAATATGCTGGCACATAGCCTCTATCACAACAATTGGGGCTTTTCCGCTAATATTTGTTTTCTATTACGTGTATGAAACACTGGCGAGTTCAATGGTAGATATGCCGTCTCCAAGACGCAAGACGTGGAAATCGCATCTTTTGGATGTCTTCCTCGTGCTGGTACCAGTTACTGGGGTTTTATATACGGTTGCGAGGTTGTTTATGACGGTTGAGGCCTTCCGCTCGTTGGCTTTTCTTCCAGGGGGCGCTTTTTCAGCTACCTGGTCAGCGGGAATTCCACATTTCGGTTAATCTTTCAAGAGTTATTGTCCTGGCGTGCATGGGTTTTCTTTTGGTCTCGTAGAATCTTGAACTTGAATCTCACAATTTCCGTACACTTCCAAGTTTGACCGTGCATAGATAGATCCACGAGCAAGCAGCCAAGATCTCTTCATCTACCCAGGTAAATAAAGACATGAGCTTGTACTCGCATACACCGAGTTCTCAGCTTTCAGTTATAGTTGATACTTAGTACAGGCCGTGGAAATAATGTTCCGCTCCGCAGACCCACCTCCGCACTTCCGCATTGTCGATTTCCTAATTGGACATTGAATTTGACTCTACGTCAATATCAATGTGGTCGCACGCCCAGGGCTCCAGGCAGATGAGGAGCCTCCTCAGGTCTAAACGCCAATGGCTCCCGAGAACCTATCAAACTCGGCACCTGGAAAGTGTCGCAAGTGTTACTAGATGCTATGCGACACAGTCCTCGTCTAAAGCTGGACGTCCTTTCGCATACACCTGGCTCACAAAAGCAGCGCAAGAAACGGTGAGCTGCCCACATTCCACTCCGACGAAACTGACTAACACATCTTACTTCAGACCCCAGAAGACATCCTGTCCAGTCTTCCTACAAACCCTGCAAGCTCGTCACCTGCGCCCGTTTCCGTCCCCCTCCTCCTTGTCACCCCGAACTTTGCACACTGGCTTGACCCTTCGAGTCCATTCCTATCTCAACTCCTCACTCGACTTTACGAGAGCTCCCCGGGAATCAATTCTCTCCACGCCGTCACGGCCGTCGTGGACACGCTCCCCGATACCACATCCAGTAGCCCTGACTCCAACGAGTCAGAAGGTCTATCGCTTCTAGCAGTTGACCCATTGCATGTGCAAGCAAAGCCCGCGCCGCCGCGTCTCATCAGAAGCTCCGCCAGCGAGGAAACGAATCTTTTGTTCTCGATTCAAACACCAAACTCAAGGCAAGGCAAGAATAATGCTCACGAGATCGGGTTGCGCTTAGCCAACACAATCTTTGTCAACGGAAAGGACACCACAATTTTTGGAACAAGATGGCTATGGGACAATAGCTCGAAGGAATTCGTCTTGGATAAGTCCATCGATTTCACAAGCTGCATGTTCACGGCGACTGCCGAGACCGTGAATGCTACTTTGGAACTTCCGTTACACCAAGTGACTGAACGGAGAAGGGTTATGACCAGCATGGGAAACATCCTAAGGCAACTCGCAAAGTCCACCGATGCAACATCGACAGAGACAATTCCCGCTTCAACCGATCTTGAAAAAGAGCTTCCACGCTACATTAAGGAACACAAAATTGTTGACCACCGGGTTTCTGTCTGGGCGCTAGTTGAAAAGCCCGACTTGGTGGTGGCCGATTCGGGCTCATCCACTCATGACCGCTTGATCCAGTCCCTCAGCCAGGGTGGCAAGCTGCACCGTGTCATGAGCGGCGGAGGCGGATGGGGGAAAAAGCAAGGTCTTCTTTCTTTGGACCCCGAAGTTAGTTTCTCAGGCACAGCCAATCGAGACGACCTTGTCTCCTTGAGTCAAGTATTTGATCCGAAGACTGGTGAACCCTTGGACACGCTCCCGTCTATTGACCAAGGGATTACAGTTGATGATCTTTCCCTTCTCTCACAAGTCGCTACTGCAGGCGACTATATACAATTCTTTGTCTCGGTAGAACCGACTGCGAGTGATCTTTCAAGAAGGATTGACTTTGACAACGACACTATCAGCTACCACTTTGGCATGGTAGCTGACTCAATGGAGCTCGATGCCTATAACCCCGATGACAACAAAGGTATTCAGACTCTGCCCCATACATTTGGTGCGTTGTCTGAAAAGGCGATTGCCTACTCTCAGCCAGTGCAGGGTGATGCAAGCGCGGATTCTAGCACCAAGCTAGATGTGCCCGGTTGTCGAGTCACCTTGAACTCTGTGTAAAACACATATCTATCATGTAATATAATATACGAAACAAAAATCAAAACCAATTTACTACAATCTCCCAAATTTGCTCTCTGTCCGGAGTACTCGATAGATGTCAGAGCATCTACTACGTAGTTCACCCGTTCAGGTGGAGATGCCAAGAGATTACACGTGACTGATTAAGGCCAGCATGTTTGCCGTCGACCTCCCTCTGGACTCCCCATCCTTCCCGACTTCATAGCCTACCGACCTAGGCCGTTCCACATCCTCCTCAAGCTTTACAAATCTCGAGAACCTTGTCGGGTCTCTTCCATCAACATGGCCACTGAGCTTTGGTATGTCCTCACCTCTTCCAACCCCTGGGTGCTTGACAGCTCCCGATCGGCGTCTTGCTCTCACATCTATTCATTCCTGAATACCCTGACCTGAACATCACTAACCTGGTATTTCCAATAGCCCCGTCTACGCGGTGAGTCCCCATTAATCATCCACGCGGATATCGGGACATTGAGCGAATCGCCCATGACTCCGCCCCTCCGCGTCATCTCTCCAGGTCGATTCGAACTGAAACTAACATCTTCATCACAGCCCTTCTTTGGCGCGCTGGGCTGCACCTCCGCTATTGTCTTCACCTGCTTCGGTGCCGCATATGGAACCGCTAAGGCCGGTGTCGGAGTCTGCTCCATGGCTGTCCTCCGCCCCGACCTGATCGTTAAGAGTACGTCGACCTTGATGGTAAAAGATCCACTTCTGTAAATGAATGGATCTTGAGCCATCCCATACACACCATGACAGCTTGCTAACCCGGCTATTAGACATTGTCCCCATTGTCATGGCTGGTATCATTGGTATCTACGGTCTCGTCGTGTCGGTCCTGGTCGCCAACGACCTGACCCAAGCTCTCCCTCTCTACACTGGTTTCATCCAGCTCGGTGCTGGTCTCTCCGTCGGTCTTGCTGGTCTCGCTGCTGGGTAAGTTTGCGACACTATATTTGCAATCCATGAGCTTGTCTGACTGAAATCACAGTTTCGCTATTGGTATTGTCGGTGATGCAGGTGTTCGTGGAACAGCTCAACAGCCCAGACTTTATGTCGGAATGATTCTGATTCTCATTTTCGCCGAAGTCTTGGGTAAGTCATTCTTCTCTGCTGCTTCTCTTATCCTATCTAACATTGTCGCGTCATAGGTCTTTACGGGTTGATTGTCGCTCTGCTCATGAACTCCCGCTCCAAAGCATCCTGCTAGACGATCTTCGCTGCAACTTGAAGAGCCGCGCATTCTTGTCATGCCACATGTGCGATCTGACCGGCTTTTCGAGTGCTCATTGAGAATTTCCCTGACGCAATTCAATGTGCCTCTTCCGTTGGGGAAACTGACACGACAAACATGGTTACGGGTGCAGGAGTGAACGATTTAGGATCATGTTTCATCCCATTCGAGAAACGGGAATTTTCTGTTCCAAATTTGGGTGTACATCGGCGAATCTGTTCAAACGTTCCTGGACTTGGTGGACAGGTTTGGGTAGATATTGGATTTTTTTTTGCTTTACATTGCATGACACCGCGCTGGACTGTACTTTATATGACTTCGCTGATCCGGGACTTGAGTCTTGCCCTCTCTTCCATGCCTATGCTGGATCTTTTGTAAGGAGTTTCTTTGATTTTTTATGTTTGTCCTCAGCTCGAGGCTTTCTCTCGGGCTTGCCTTGTACTCTGGACAGCTTAATCTGACCTTTGAGGCTCGACTCGGGTGACTAGCAATTCCAGTTGGTTCATTCCCTTGTCTTACATTTCACAGCCGTAATATGCTGTAGCTAGTATGAAACTACCTGTAGCCCAAAGCTATACCCTTCGAACTCGCTAGCTAAGTGGCTGGGTATGAGTTTCCGCATGATCGAAACAGATATTCTTTCTATAATACAATATTTACTAGATAGTCACGCCATTGAACACAGCGCATTCCGTCGAGCCAAAGCCACCAGGTGAAGCTCTGCTGAGCAGCCCAGTATGCATGGGGTATTGTCACACATATCCAAATCCAGATCCCACTTAGCTGTGCGCAAAGAATTCCGCAAAAGACAAGAAGAGGTGTATGTGGATATTTGGTAATATAGGCGAGAGGATAGGTAGAAGGCGAGAAGAAACCAAGATGTGACCTGAACTCTCAGACTAGCAACAACTCAAAATGCACAGGCGCAGGCGATGCAACCATAGAAAACAAACGCAGAAACAACAGGTTTAAGTCTACTTGTCGAGCTTCCGTCTCAGGGTACGCGTTCTCTTCATCAGCTTCTTGAACTTGTGCTTCTTCATCTTGGCCTGGCGTCTTCGCTTGGTGCTGAGGGCGTGCATGGTACGGTTGTTGCGCAAGCGCTCCATGTATGTCGCACCGGTTGAATCGGCGGGAGCCTCGATGGAAATTTCTTCGTGCATGCCGGGGGCTTCCATCTCCTCGCTGCGAACGAATGGGCCTGTGTGTGCCTCGTAGGTCTTGCGACCATCAAGGCCGCGAGCCTCGCGGATCGTCAGGACAGTAGAGTAGGTTTGGTACTCGTTGTCGATCTGGGCATCTGTGGACTCGGCCTCGATGGCGGATGCGTCCATGGGGACGGGGGGAGGAGGAGGCTGGAAAGGTCGAAGACGGCGGGTGTAATCCTCCACGGACATCTTCGCTTCGGCACCATCCAACATGCGGAGTTCACCGTCCTGTTCGCTGAAAGTGCGGAACTGGTCTTCAGACTCTGACATGGCCTGCTGGCCATGCTCCATGTTCTGGACAGCCGAGGAGAGAGTGAAAATGACATCCTCTGGTTCGTTCTTCAAGGGACGCTTCGAGGAGAAGATCGCTTCGAAAGCATCAGTGCTCGAGGTCGGGGGCACAGTGGTAGTCACCGAGATTGGGCGATGGATGGAGAAGAACGACGCCACATGAACATCTGATATGACAAAGAAAAAGTCAGCATCTGGCGATGTTCCGCGAGAAAACATGTTTCGGGACCATATCTGAGACCAATAACTTACCATGCGGTTGTCGGTGCTGTGTGGAGGGGACGCTCGGGAGCTTGGAAAATGCCGTATGCTGTGGATCGGACTTTGACGATGCGTGTCGGGTAGCGCTGTCCTTGCCGCGACGGCGGGTGGCCTTGCTCTTCTCGCTGGAAGAGTTCACACCCTTGGCGGGTGTAGTATCCAGTCGTCGGGAGCCGTCGCTGGGTGGGACAGGCGGTTTGGAGGATGAGGAGGAATACCGGCGCTGGTGCAAAGGTCGGGTTGCGCCCAGCAGGCTGCTGCTAACATTCTGGCTGGAGCGAGTGATCCCGGGCAGCGGCATGGGAGTCCATGCCGCCCGGCGTAACGATGTTGACAGCATGGTTGGTGAATTACCCAGTCACTAGATGCGAATGAGTCTGAATCGGAGGCGAAATCAGTCGGACCGGAACTCGGGGTCACTGATCATGCGGAGGTTATGTAATATTGATGCCTGAGGCGCTAAACTCTATACCACCGACACCTGTGGACCTGTGGACAGCTTCGATGCTATTTATTCATACGGACTTCGGTCACCCCAAGGGTTATGCAAGACGTACGGTACCTCTGATCAAGTTTGTGATCAAGTCACCTGGTTGAGCTTGTCATCAGGAAACCAAGGGGTCTTGGCGATGCACGATGTGGACGATCCCCAAGTTCGTCGACAATAAGCGGTCTAATACCGCATCGACACCGCGCTTTCTTCCTTGCCTATAACAGAGTATCCATTATGAGAACAGAAGAACAGATATGGATACACTGGGGAAATCACAATCAAGGAAGCTCTCGGTCCTCAGATAGTGGTTGATTGCATATAGAGAGTATGGATAGGAGAGCGAAGGATAGTGATAATACAAAGCAGTCATTAGATCTAACACAGCTGCGGAGACAAAAAAGTGGTATCATCCTGCAAATGGAAACAAAAGGAGAGAAGAGAAACTTGATGCCGCTGAAATGGCGGGAGGAATGGGGGCTTTTGGATGCAACGTGATGAGGCCTGGAGATGCGAGCAGAAAGCCAACAACAATATCTCAATCCAGACGCCTCGTTCAATGAGATGAATATAAAGAAATGTAGAAAGGGACATGGCATCCGCCATGTACAAGGAACATAAAGAAATGTAAAGAAAGAATAAATGGCCACCCCAGAATGCGACAAGAAAATAACAGGGGCTGAAGAGCGTGGGAAAGGTGAAATCAAATCATTGGCATAGGCAGAACGGTCGTGAGTTCCTCGGAAATTTGAGGGCCTCTACCTTATAGTATTAAGCTATGCAGGTTCTTTTGGATGATCATGTCCTGCACCGAGTCCATGGTAGCTCGTAGCAATGTTGTATCAGTGGCGTTGGTATAGTGGATGTAGATTTCCCGGTCCGGGATGCGGTTGATGCCACGGAATCGGTCTGCGAAGTACTGAGCAGCAGCATCGTAGTCTGTGTCGGATCCAGCGTAGTCGGGGAAGTGATTTGAGATGGGGGAAATGGCGAGTTTTCCCTTGAACAGGTCAATCTTGTTGAGGAACAGAATGATTGGCTTGCGCTTAAACCATTCACCATTGACTAGGGATTCAAATAGCATCATAGCTTCGTGCATTTGGTTCTTGGTCTGTTAGCGGGCAACTGGGCAGAAACTTGAAGTCTGTACTTACGGCGTTCTGGTCTTCCACCAGACATTGATCATATCCAGATAAAGCAACCATAAATAGTAGACATTGGACACCTTCGAAGCAGTGAATCCACTTTTTCCGCTCTGAACGTTGGCCTCCAACATCCATCATTCGGAAGTTCATTTGGCCAAGTTCGAAAAGCGTTTCTGTAATACCCGTGGTCCGCAAGCGGGCCTGCAGCATGTCTTGATTATCGGGAAGCCAGCCCGGTGCAAATATACGATCCAGAGATTCAAAGAAACTGGATACTGTCAGCGTAGCTCCGAGTCAGATGCCACTCAACTTACTAGTACAGATTGTCGTGGAGCGCAAACTCATGTCCTCGGGCGACAGCCTTCTGGACACCCCCGTCCTCCCACATCACTCTCATCGCATCGCGCACCTTCAGATCAGAGAAGGCCTCGTCGGACCCCACATCGGGTTCTGTCTGATCTAATAATTCCGCGAGTGGCTATGAAAACATTAGCCTGGCATTTCCCACACGGGGAAAGGTAAACCGTACTCTTGTGTTGGTCTCATCTTCGAATTCGATATCTTCGGCATTCATGATATCTAGCAGGACCTTGAAAGCGATCACGATATTGGAATAGATGATGGCTCGGGTTTGGTGACGCTCTTCCTCGGGGAAACCTCGACTGTGGATAATTCGCATTTGCTTGATAATCGTGGACTTGCCAGACTCTCCGGCTCCTGTGTCATTTCATCAGTCGTGAACGCTCCGCCGTCAAGGGCTACCCACCTAATAACAAAATTTTGATCGTCCGATCGAGCGTCTTCTTGTCATTCTTGATCCCTCGCTCTATGCGCTGGTTGCGCTGGAGAGCCTCTTTATCCGCCTCGGCGGGCTTCGACACTAAACAGCCCATGGTTTAGACCCACGATTGCCAAATTGCCTATCCCAACGGTCAGTGCCGGTTCATTGCAGGCGAAACGGGCGGAGCCAGGGACTCGACGCAGGGTGGTCTGAGTCAGGGATGCGCTGAGATGCGCCACGACGCCCCAAGCTTAGAGACAAGAAGTCGGCGCCCTCGACGGGCGCGGCCCCCAACTCCGACCCGCGCGACAGCGGTGCCTACCTTTTTCCGACCAGACTTCTCCCGTATTATGCCAGTGTCCACCCCGATATGCTGCTTTGTATGCGACCGCAGCTCGAAGGTTTTCCCCCACAGCGACCACGTTCCGTTGCGAATCCGGCGGTTGGGTTTCCAATTGGACCAGGTTATCCTCCGAGACAAGCGAGATGGTGCGACACGACGGTGGGAGGGTCACGATCGAGATCGCGGTTGCGCAGGGAAAATCAAAAGGGCCGAAATGGTCAAAGGGAGAGAAGCAAGCGGGGGCAGAAGATAGTATTTGACGAAGTACGAAGTATGGAACCTGTATTGGTATAGTATTTATTGTATTTGGGTGTTCACGAGTCTGAAGTAGAGTGTTTTCTCTTCTACTATCTCGGTATTTGGTATTATGATACCGTACGGGTCTTCAAGGGGGACGCTAGCTAATCCCTGTCGGACTTTTGGCATCTCTGCAGCTACACAGTATGGAGTACTGGGTACTTCTGTATAGTGCGGATTGCGGGTATTGCTCTTCTCCGTCCGTAGTCTTACATCTCACCCCTTCGACTCTCCAGGGCTGTCGGCCCAAACAAAAAAAAAGAAGGAAAAAAGAAAGAAAAAAGGGAGGAAAAGTATGGACAGACTATTGAAAGCGTGGCCCGTTTTCTGGAACAATCGAATTGTTTACCCGAAGGCCTTGCATCTAAGCATGTCATTCGCCTGCAGTGATCGGCATGGGGGTGCTGAAACCCGCATGGGCCAACCAATGCAAGGATCCTTCTGAAACGTCGGCGGATACCTATCCCGAGATCAACTCTCGCTACGGAGTATTCAGTGCGGAAGTGAGCGCTTGAGGGGCCTCATTCCATTGGAGTGGAGATACGCCGACACCGATACACATATCCGTACGGAGCACCGCGTTCAACGTACACAGCTCCATCAAACAGATGTTCGGTGGACCGCTGTCATCCCCACATGATGTCTGCCGTGTGAGAGCCCTTCAGCTCGTCGTGACATGATCCTCGCATACGTTACTACTGCAGTAGTTCGTACACACGGGATGCTCAAGGTATCCCCGCAAGCTCTCAGACCCAGAGGCCAGCACGGATTCGACCGTTCACGCTGTTCTCCCCGGTTTCATGTTCGGATGTTCATTACGTGCGGAGACGCTCACCGCGCCGTCTCGCTGCTAAGGCAGGGGGGATCCATTTGGGCCTGGTTAACTGCAATTGTGGAGTCGGATTGACCTGACCTCAAGCCCCTATCGCCATTAACCCCGAATCCTGGAACCCTACCTGGTTGTACGGAGTAGCGGTAATTACACTTGAACTCGGATCGTCGCTTACCTTTCTTACTTTACTAGTCGCAAGCCGATTTTGCGACGAGAATTCTCCGATGCGATCGAGTCCGGAATCTCGCCATTCGGAAGTGGCGATCGTGATCCTTTGATCCTGCGGGTGGGTCTGAGCACTAGTACACAATTACCAAGCGCAGTGAAAACAAGAATTGCCCCTGGAATTGGCTTCCTCCACATGTCTCCCACGTGTATGTAGTAACCTTGGAAGTGATACTTGCCTGTCAGGTTTATGCATAACGCAAGCTCCACCATCTGTTCAACTGCCCTCTAACAGAGTCAATCTGGATCAATATTCTACTACATACATACTATACAGTACTCCGTACACGTCAAACCTATGGCCCCCCTAGGATTAGCGGCCATGGAACTTGACCCATTCGGACCCGGGAACAACATCCGCATCAACCTATCTGAGCAAAATTCTGCTGGAATCACGATAGTAAGTCAATTTCGACATATCACATGTGATGTATTAGCATCTTCGCCCCAGATACCATGGAGCACAATGTAAAGTTGGTGTTGTACGGAGGGCCAATGCCGCACACGAGTCAGCAACGGTGTGCCACAAGGTGCAGCATCCGTGGATGTGACCTGTCATCTGCCTGGAAGATTATCTATCAAGTTTCAGAGATCCCAACCCTCATTTTGAACACTTCACCTGTCATCCATGTCGGTTAATTACTCGTACAGCCACGTATTGTAACTGCTATACTCACAGTCCGCCAGGACTGTCGACCAACCCTCAGGGGTGGGTGGAACTAGAGCAAATTGGGAGTTGTCGATCACCATTTGACAGTTCTGGTTCCAGACTTTTTTAGAATCCCGGGCGTGGATCGTTCGGCAATAGCCCCGGGGCTGTTATACTAGTACAGTAGGTACTCTCTACACGGACAAGCTCTGATGTTGAAATGGTAGGTGCGCATTATCCGAAATTTCCGAGGACCAGGGCGTCTGGCGTTTTTAGTGGCCGTTATGATGGGGTCGCTCTTAGTGCACGATCTTGCAGAAATGTTGGGACTCTCAGGTCCGGAAGCCTTCCGAGGATCTGTGGCAGGCTTCAAAACTCGTACTGTACTTTGTACTATGTAAGATCATTATGCAAGATATTCATGAATGTGCCATATGAGGGAAAGGAACGGTGCTAACTGATGACGCTAGGCTTATTCTCCGTTTGTAGTCTTCGCCGAGAATAAAGTTCGAACTATGTGTGTAACAGGCTTGCTAGCAAACCGTATGAAGATCGAAATCTTGGTTATTTATAAGTCTTTCATACCGTGACGCGTGCGATCTCTCCGCGTATGGGGAGAATAGCGTCACTTACGGTCTATAGGATCGAAGAGACGGCATACGAATAAGGATCGGACATACATAATACTAGTTTGGGAGACCAATATGTTCCAACGTCACCTTATTCAGACAGATGACGCACATCGATATTGGCTAAAGCACTAGGCCTGGTCTGTCCACGGTGCTAGTCGAATTCATCGTGTGAGCTCATATAGCAAAATGGCTTCTACTATCTGAACAAAGTGTGAGAGAATTTTGGGGGTACAGCACCCGGACCACACATGGGTTCACGGAGTGGAAGGAAACGCACGCATACCTAGGTAAGCCTTGGAACTTGACAATGCATAGAGAAAAATGATCACGGGTGGGGAGAAGTATGTATGTTTACATATCAACGGCTGCAAGCCGTCTATATATATTACCTGTTTAGTCTTGATGAAGCCCAGTTTGCTTGAGTCGAGGAAGATTCGTGACATTGCTTTTATCCATGGATGATGACCGATTACTCCGTATACATGACGCAGCTAGTGATTACCCCCCTGCAAAAGCCATCAAGTGCGGTATCTTCGTACTGGTAAACGAATTAGACCCTAGCCTCAAAGCCAAGACGCTCGTTCAGATCGGCGCGGGGATCTGGACTTTTCAGATCCGAGTGGTGAGACTTGCATAACCTCCATAACCTAAAAGATTATTCCATCACAAGTGCATTTCGAACAGATATTGTGATCTATTAATCCTAGATGTTCCAAGTCTCTTTGTGCTCTTATACTCCCGAGGTCCATGGATAAGTTGGAGGTCATGTGAGCCAATCAAAGAGGAATGATCAACCGTGGCGCACTCCAGTCGCTTCACACCTCATTATGGGCGGAACTCCTTGGAAGTCCAACGGGTGTAATACATGCAAGAGGAGGAAAGTCAAGGTATGTATTACGGAGATCTAACAAACACATCTAACTCGCACTAGTGCGACTTCCAGCGGCCTCACTGTGCCAGATGTCTACGAGGGGGCTTCCACTGCGAGGGATACAATCGGACCCGCAGGTTCATCCATACATTCTCCCAAGCAGATGACCCAAAGGAACAAATTGTTCAGCCAAAGGCAGCGGAGAGCAGCGCACCCTTGACGGTGATCAATGTCAACTCACAGATCCGATCGCAGCTTTTCTCTCTGTTCATCGACTCCTATATGCCATCATGTCCATCCGGTCAAATCGCCTATAGATGCCAACCGGCACCGAATTTAGTGCCCCTGTTGCCGGCATTGATGAACGGCAGCAATCACCAATTGCTGGATAGAGCGACGTCGGCCCTGGCTTCTGTCTTTGTAGGCAAGAAATTTGGCAATGCTCAGTTGACTACCCATGGAATGCAGTTGTATAATCATGCAATTCACATGTTCTTGCGCATACTACCACAAGATGGACTCCCGATCCAGGAGGTATTATGTGCAAACATGATATTCCAGCTATACGAGGTTGGGATCCACATCAGACAAAGACGGTAGCTCCTTTCTAATCATTCTAGGTCATCAATTGCTCTTCTGGATTTACTGCCTGGACAGCACATATGCAAGGCGCCAATGCAGTCCTTGCACGACATCACAATGCTCTACCAAGGGATCATCTATCTACAATGCTTATTCGCCACCTAAAACTATCAAATGTGAGCCACAATATACGAGCTATTTTTTGCCAAAACTGACCCGAAAGATATTCCACGCTATTGGAAAACAAAAGAGGGCTCTGTTCTTCTGCCCGACCGTTCTAGATTTATCCGATTCACTACCCAAGAACGATTTCATTGACGACATAATTGACATATTACTAACATGCACTGAGCTCATCGAACACATGGCTCAAGTTCAATCCGTCAATTACGCCGCAAAACTGATAGAATGCTGTTTGAACGTCAAACAGCAAGCTGATTCCTGGGAAGAAAGGCTCCAGGCCCAGCACGAAAACGCGCTATTTACAACGACCACGGCGAAAACCAACACCTCTCCCTCAATTTCCAGTACAGCGTTATTCTCCGAGTCTTATCAGTTTGCGGCCCCAGAAATAGCGGAAGCATACATGTTGTACTGGAGTGCATTGCTTGTGATCTTTTCTGTTCTCCATGGAGCAGAGCTCTGGCGACTGTCCGATCTTAATGGCTCTGCTGAGCAGAAGATGGCATATCAGCAGCGCGCTGCGCTCTTCTCCCGGAATGCCGAATTCCACGCCAACCAGATCTGTCGGGGCGTGGGCTACTTCATCCAACCGGACATGCACATTCTCGGAGGTCACAGTGTGCTCTTCCCTATGGCCATGACATCTCAATTTTTCCATCGCAATGGCCTGAAGAGCCGCTTCGAATGGTGCCAGGAGGTCTTTGCATCCCTGGAAAAGATTGGACTAGGCCTGGCACATATCATCCAGGGAACTCCATGGGATAGATATCAAGTCGGTGAAGCTGAGATAGCTACCGATAATTCACGCAATTGACGATTTATTCTGTATATTACTTCATACGAGACCAAAGAGATGAGGGCTGTCTACTAAGGCTTTCTCAGTTGACTTACGGATGATTGAGGAGCTCCTTTAACTCCTGGCTTCGCCACGAATGAATCAACAGGGACCGATTCCACCTGTTCATAGTCTATCTAGTCATGGAAAAAACCAATGAAAAGACCGACGAAGAGCACAGATGCATTGCGGGAAAACGACCCCCCCGCAATTACCCCTCACGCCAGAGACTTGGATGTATCTCGCTGATCAGAAGGGGCCGTTTTCAACCTCTCGCGTCTCGTCCCAAAAAATGGCAAGCAAGATATTATCGATTGCTGACCTGAAGGAGTCAGCTTCTAGCTCACTGCCCGAATTCGCGGCAGGTAAGAACATTGACCTCCACAATGAAGAGGTGGTTACTGACAGACGGGAATAGAATTCTTCAATTCTGGTGCCACAAACCAGATTACCATGCATGATAACAGCGCGGCGTATGGAAAATACCGTCTTCTGCCAAGAGTCCTGAGAGATGTCTCTCGTGTCGAAACCGGGATCCCCCTATTTGGCCGGGATATAACTTTCCCACTCTGTGTCTCCCCAGCTGGACTTCAAGCCATGGCTCACCCGGAAGGAGACCTCGCCACCAGCCGGGCCTGTGCGAAGATGGGTGTCAACATGGGTGTTTCCTCCTATGCCAACTATCCCGTTGAGGAAATCACCGACGCCGGAAATAAGGTAGCACCGATCAATCATGTTATGCAGCTTTACACCTTGAATGACAAGGCCAAACAAGAGCGAATCGTTCGCCGAGCAGAGGCTGCAGGTTGCAAAGCAATCTTTTTGACTGCGGACAGCCCTGTTCTCGGGGTTCGTTGGAACGAATGGCGCAATGGATTCAAGGCTCCGGTTGGCTTAGATTATCCCATGATTGAGATATCCTCAGATGAAATCCAGGCCGCATCCCATGATGACGGATTCGCCGCTGTCAATTCCGCATCTCATAATTGGGCTGCGGAGATCCCGTGGCTGCGCAGTATAACCAAGATGGAAATCTGGATCAAGGGTGTACTTGCTCCCGAGGACGTCGAGACTGCAATTGAGTATGGGTGTGACGGGGTCATAGTTAGCAATCATGGTGGTCGTCAGTTGGATGAGACTCCGGCTACGATCGATGCACTTCCTGCCTGTGCTAAGGCTGCGCGGGGCCGCATTAGGATCCATGTTGACGGAGGGATCCGATCTGGCGTGGATATCTTCAAAGCACTAGCCCTTGGCGCTGAATGCTGCTGGGTTGGTCGGCCTGCGCTTTGGGCGCTAGCGGTAAGTGGTATCTGCGTGGATTCGACAGAGTCATTCCTACTGACACACTTGGCAGCATGATGGTCAACAGGGAGTCGAGCTCATGCTGGAAATTCTCTATGATGACTTCAAACGATGCATGCAGCTTACTGGTTGTCGGTCAATCTCTGATATTACCACGGCTAGCTTAGCGGTCGTCAATGCATCCGGTCCTCTGGCCAGATTGTGATGTCGGACGGTAGGACGTACGCCTACAGCCCTCTACCTACATGCGTCCGTTTTCCAAACGATGGCCGGGTCTCTTTGGACAGAGAAACATGTCTTTTTAAGAATATAGATCGATGGCGGACAATACCGAGAAGCGTACTGGTCCTTGGAAGAAAGGGAAATAGTAGCTCGCGGTTGATATCAGACCTGCCACCATTGCCCCGTTGAACACACTCAATTTCGTAGTTGACCTAGATCGATTGGATTCAATAAATTAGAACCTCAAGAGCTCAGTTTTTTGCCGCAGAGGTAGCCGAGATGCCAAAGCGATGTGATGGTTGGAGGTCTAGACCCCTGATCAAGTCTGGATGTGTGGGGAAGATCGCCGGATCGAAAGGCTTTGAGACATCGTCGAAAGGTCTCTTTCAACGCGGTGTACCAGGATATGCTGCATTAGCAACTTTGATCACGATATGATTGTCAAATCTCTGCCAAACGCGTCAAGGTCGACAACTGATCAGGTTCAACTTCCGTCAATTGGTGAGCCGAGGGCGGACCCATAGCTGAGTCATGAATCTGGAGCTCAGGGCCCGGGGCCGACCCGTCGTCTGTGACGCCATCTCCACCTCTCTCTTGTATACCCCGAGATCTTCTTCTACTCCGAACAGTTTGACTTTTATCTAGAGAGAATCGGTTGGAAACAACCAGAGACCAATGGCGCCCTTATACAGGTATGCACTAGGATGCTCAGCAGCCAGCTACCGGGCCATGGAGAGACGCTAACAGCTCTAGTGACCATCCCGATCACGACTCGGACTACCCACAGTCCGAGGAGAAGGGACCAATCTTCATTGTGAGCGAAATCCAAGCTGCCGAGGCCAACGAAGCTGCACCTCATCCCCGTGCCTGCCACCATAAGGCACGACGAACTCGCCCCTGTTTCGCCCGAGCTCTGAGGAAAGGACTCTGTGCTTTCGCGTTCACAGCTTTCACCGTTTACCATCTCGGACTATTCAACGGTGTGTCAATGTATTCCTAGCTTAGTTTTCTGCTAACAGATATGCCGATGGCTAGGCTCGACTGCTGGAGACCACACGCCCCCGCACGCTGAGGCTTCCCCGCTTTGCCAGTCCCAGGAATGTATACATGCGGCATCGAATATTCTTTACAATCTTGATGCCAACTACGAGGATGTGGATCCCTGTACCGACTTCGACCAGTATGTCTGTGGCGGCTGGCGGGAAACCCACGATATGCGGCCCGATCAGGGCTCGATCTTCGCGGGTACAATTATGGCAGAGAATGCCCAGACTCGGCTGCGCCATATTTTGGAACGTAGTGAGCCACCAGAGCCGTCCGATGCAGACAACTTCAAGAAGCTTAAATCTGCATACGATGCGTGCTTGGACGAGGCTACTGTCACCAAGCGAGGCAGTAAGCCTTTGACTGACATTCTCGACGAATTGAAGAACATCTACCCTGCAAAGACGGGACTCGTGAAAGGGGCGCAAGACCACCTGACAAACGCTCTGCTGTATCTGATGAACGCTGGCGTGGACGCTTTGGCTTCCTCAGGTGTCACTGTAAGTCAACACCGAGCCCCAACCCCACGAGTGAAATTATTGACAGTGGACAGCCTGACGATCGAGACCCTGACAATGTTGTGATCATGGTTTCCCCCCCTCGGGTAATCGGACTTCCCGCCAGAGAATACTACAACAACACCAAGACCGTGGCTGCCTACACAACCACCTTGAAAGAAGTCGTTCGTGGTCTTGCTGGTGATGGGCTCGACAAAGTCGCCGAGGATGTTGTGGCCTTTGAAAAGAAGCTTGCAGATGTGACCCCGGACACTCAAACCCAAGAAGACGTCACCAAGTACTACAACCCCCTCAGCATCAAGGAAACTGAGGCCCTGGTGCCCGAGATATCCTTTGCGGATATCATTACCTCCTTGGCACCCCACGACTACAAGGGAGACCGACTCATTGTTGGATCCCCCTCGTACATGAAGGCCTTGTCCGGAATCTTGAAAGACACATCTCGGGAAACCATCCTGCTTTTCCTGCAGTGGAAACTGGTGCAAGAATTTGCCGGTGTTATCGAAGATGACTCAGTCGAGCCTCTCCGACGCTTCAAGAATGAGCTTGCGGGCAAAGAGCCGCAGGCGAAAGAAGAGCGATGGCGCCAGTGCCTTGGACGCCTCGATGAAGGACTTGCGTGGAGTCTCAGCCGATTCTACGTGCTTGACTCTTTCTCAGAAGGCTCCAAAAAGCTTGGGGATCAGATCGTCTCGGACATCAAAGAGCGATTTATCTTCACCTTGGGCCAGACAAGTTGGATGTCTGCCGATGTGCGTAAGCTGGGCATCCAGAAAGTCGAGAACATTGTCCAGAAGATTGGTTTCCCGACCAAGAGTCCCAACGTCTTGGACCCAGAAGATGTGAAGAAATATTATCGTGATCTGGAGGTTTCGAAAGATACATTCTTTGAGAACGAAGTGGCTGTTGCGAGATTCCTCCTTCGCGACGAATGGTCTAAGCTTGGAAAGCCGACCAACCGTGATGAATGGGACATGAGTGCTCCTACCGTGAATGCCTACTACAACCCACCTGGAAACGAAATTGTTTTCCCTGCTGGTATCATGCAGCCCCCAGCGTTCTATGGGCCTGCTGCCCCATTGTACTTGGCTTACGGTGCCTTTGGCGCCGTGAGTGGCCACGAGCTGTCTCACGGTAAGTTTTCGTTCCTCAAAATTAGAAAATGGCTGACAGTGATATAGCTTTCGATTCTACTGGTCGACACTACGACGAAGTTGGCAACTACACTAATTGGTGGGACGACAAGACCGTGGATGCATTCGAAGAACGAGCCCAGTGCTTTGTTGACCAGTACTCCAACTTTACCGTCACTGGGCCCGATGACAAGGTTCTCCATGTGAACGGTCGGTTGACTTTGGGTGAGAATATCGCAGACGCTGGCGGTCTTACTGCTTCATTCCATGCCTGGAAGAAACATGACGAGGCGACGCCTGATTTGCACCTTCCTGGCCTGGAGAATTTTACTAAAGAGCAACTGTTCTTCATCTCCTATGGTAACTGGTGGTGTGGAAAGACGACAAAGGAGTCTGCCGAGCAGGCAATCTACAACGATCCGCATGCGCCGAAGTCAGCACGCATCATTGTAAGTCGATCTCATGCTTGTACCAAGTCCGTCTGATCATTAATTATCGCTACAGGAAACCATGGCCAACTCCCGTGAATTCAAAGACGCGTTTAGTTGCCCCCACAAGAAGCCAACATGTAAGCTGTGGTGATATGTCTGGTCGGTTGATTTCTTCGAAGTCCTCCGTATATACTCCGTACTTTAGTATGGAATGTGTCATCTATGGACCAGTGCTTAACTTTTTCGCAATGTGACTGCCCTTGAATAAGTATTCTCCAGCTGCTGAAGTACCAGTAGTTCATTTGCCACCCCGACACGGAGTAGATCTGAGCTGAGGTGTAAGACCTCCATGAGACAGCAGGCCCGGGACTGACAGGATGGGCTCGAGCAATGTGATACCTTAACCCGATACGGTCGAAGGCATATCATTTCAACATGTCGCCGTATTTTGTACTATTGCTCTTTGAGCACGGTCATTATTGCGTACGACTTCCGCAGTCCCGGCCTCATGTGAAGGTGACTGGTCATCGGGGATAGAGCCTAGTGGCCTCTGCAAGGGCGGAGTAGAAGCAATGAACCGAGGCAGGATGTGGCGGATCTCCCCGTTTATAGCCTATGACTTATCGATTCTCAATGGATCGACATTTGACATCTGACCTATCGAAGGCTGCTATGCTATGTATGTATTCATAGTACGGAGTACATTGCACAGAGGTAGATCACGAACCAGCCGAGGGTGTGCTCCATGATGACCATCAAGATTCGGAGATGAACCGAGCCTAGAGATCCATTCTGTGAGGATGGAGTAGAAATGATCCAATTTCCGACCGAAAAAACAAAACAAAACATCAATGTCAAAACCCCATAATTGCGCCAAGAGATGCACCCTAGCCCACAGGGTGTATCCCACCGAATACGGAAACCGGAAGACAGAGTATCTGGAGTACTCCGTACTCCGTACTCGGTACTGGCTGAGTATAAGCAAAAGTACCCTTTGATGTAAGGCAGCCAATTCAAATTAGGGCGCTGCACGTTAATTTCCCGGTCACATAGGTCACACACAGTGAGCGGGTCGATCATCGACTCAATTTTCGGGGATGAAAATCGGGGACGAAAATCTCAGAAATGATACAGATGATCTGCTGTCAAAGAGTCGGAAGCTCTCTCGGCCAACCGATGAGAGATGGCCCAGTTTCGCGTCACCCTGTGCCGGACAAGTGGAGATGGGAATAACGGCGGATGCATCAGCCAACCAGATCTGCAGGTTGGTGTGCCAATCCAAGACAGTTCTCGCAGAGGACTGGAGCCTCTGGATCCCCGCGGAGCAAATCAGTGACCTATCATCTCCCTTGCACCACCTGAAGGTCCCGCCTTCAGCTCGTGTGTGGATGTGGAGCCGGGCTTGAGGCTTTGGAGAATTATGAGTAGTACTGTATAGTACTATACAGTAGAGTAGAGTAGATGTTCATTCCGTGGAGAGTAATGGAGAGTAATGGAAATTAATGGAGAGTAGAGAGAAAGGGAAGAAAAAGAAAAAGGTGAGAGACGAACCGTTACCCAGCGTTTGGTTCCGCCGCGTCGGGTCAACTCCACAAAAACAGAGCTGTCTTCTCTTTTCTTTTCCCTCCCTTTTCTGACCTCATAGGCTTAGGTTTTCCTTTTGGGAGTATCCCTCCATCTACTCTCTGTTCTGCGAGATGGAGCCCTTCCCTCCTATCGATCCCCCCTTCAATGCTTTTCTGGGCCCGCAAGTCGAGATCAACCTGCGACGGGCCAACACCGTCTCTCCCGGCAACATAAAAAGGAATCTGGAGCTGAAGGCTGCACGCGACAGAACAGGGGTACGCGCCAAGGACCCCGAAGGGAAGCTGCAACGGTCGCAAACACATCGACCACTAGTGGCGCGTCCACCCGGGAGGAAAGTCGGTCACTTCACGGTGCGAAGTGTCGGCCAGAATGGCAAAATATTCCTGAGGTATACAGATCAATGCCATCGCTGACGCTGTGTCACATACGTGCAGCCTGCTGATCTACGATTTTCATACAGACCAATTGCCGATCTGCCAAAGAGCCAGCCAGCGCCCTTCCCCGTCGAGACGAAACCCACTTTGCTTCAGCCGCAGCCTGCATCCGCCCGAGACGATCCGTCCAGGTGGTCTAGCTCCCAGCTCTCAGAATTACGGCCGCGCGAACGCCCCGATCCCGAGTATGTCTCCGAGTCGCCCCCCGAACTGTCGAGCACGCATCGTACCAGACCCAATTCCTTTTCGACCATGTCGGAGCAACAATCCACGACCGGCGCGGGGAAACGGGGAGAATTGCGAATCGTGATCGATAGATCAGAGGATCGTCCCAAGTCGGCGGATGAGAATTCGGTGCTGGAGAGTCCCACGCCTCGCTTCCGGTTTGGGTCTCCGCGGTTAAATGAGGGCGCTGCGATGCCCGGCTTGGTCTACACGCGAAGTTCAATGTCGGACAACTTTAGAAACTCCACCCTGCTTGGAGGCATGGCAGACCCGCTGCCGGGTCTTCATACGCCGCATGTTCGAGATTCTTTCTCGAGACACCGACCATCTTTTGCGATTTCAATGTTCTCCGGCACGGCTGCGGCCATTGATATGAGCCGGTCTTCGCCGATTCCGCGCAATTCCATGGTGTATGAATTGAAAGAGCCGGTTGAGCCATCTATATACGAAACGCTGGTATATGATATGGATGATGGATCGGTGGTTCGATACGTCCCTGGCACAAAAGATATCAGTGCTGCGACACCGGCGCGCATCGTCGCGCAAATCTCTTCTGAGTCCTTCATGGATTATGAGTTGGTCTCGGACTTCTTTCTCACCTTTCGTTCCTACCTGTCCACTTCTCACCTGCTGGCGCTTCTCCTCGCGCGGTTAAAGTGGGCGATTAACCGACTACAAGATGATGGGCGAATCATCAGAATCCGCACATTCGCCGCTTTGCGCCATTGGATCCTCAATTACTTTGTGGACGATTTTGTTACGAATTACGAACTTCGAAATCACTTCTGTGATACCATTAATGAGCTTTATGCAGAGGTCAGATCTCGGGAGAATGGCGGCACAAGCGACCGCAAGATTCTCATCGACTTGAAGCGGTGCTGGAACGGCAAGTGCTCGGTCTACTGGGCTTCTCCCGACCTGTCTCGAGCATATAACGACCCTGAGATTCCTATTGTCCCTGGAAGCGCTGAAATTGAGATACCCCAAGCTGAAGAGCTGCAGCATGCATTGACCCCAACCGCGGATACCACCTTTCGCCAAAGTATTCCTTACCCTGCCCAGCATGACCGGAACGATTCTGGTGCGACAGCCGCCAGCATACCATTGTCGGCTAAGAGCGAGCAAAGCGTGATGGCACTGTCGTGCTCACTGCCTCCAAGATCACCTAAACGCTTCTCCATGTCTGCTTCCAAAGTAAAAGCACCACGACCGGTCGTGTTGGGTCTCACGAAATCCAAGTCTCCATCCAGGACTCACGAACGGCCCTTGTCGCCCGCATCTCCTATGGCGTCGCGCCCATACCACGGCCATAGTCACCAAAGAAGTGGAAGCTTTTCAGACTCGGTGCGAGATGATCGACAGCCGGTGTATGGAACAGTACCACAGTCCGGACCGATTCCACAGGAGGCGTTAGATACGGTTAGTTTGATTCGGGGTGAGCTGTTCCCTCCTGCCGAATCATACATGACCATGATGGCACCCGACTCGCCTCCCCTTCCTCCACCATCAAAGAACAACAACCCAGATCGTCGAAGTACCCCCGATGTGCCGAAGTCAGCCCCTAATTCTGGCATGAGGACCATCATTGGCTCGATCAAGCGGGCCTTGCATACAAGGAATGGTGGGCAAAGTGTGTCTGCTCGTATCGCCAATGCCCATGAAGCACTTTCTCTGCCCTCCCGCGGTAAAACGTCTGCGCTACCAACTGGAATGGCATTTGGTTCTGAATACTACCGTGAAAGAAAGATGGCCGCTGTTCCAAAACGCCCTGCCAGAATCGACACCCTGTGCGATGAGGTGTTGAAGCAATATCGTTTGGTCATGAACAAGGAAACCCCAGAGGAACAGAACGAGCCGCCAGTCCCTCAGAACCACCTTCAACGACCGGTGTCCAACACCCATCTATCCCCACCGCAGAACGAGACCGATCCCAAAACTAGAAGTGGAATCACCATGGGTAGTGGATCAATCGTCATCGTCGATGACACAGGTTTTGAAATGCCCTTCATGTCAGGAGCAGCACAAGAACAGGATGCCACGACTGAGGTCCACGATATTGGGTATCCTATTTCAGAATTTCGAGTGCCAGAGGACGCCGCTTCGACGCAATCGATCCCGGTGGAAGGAGAATACCTTCGAGCAGTGCGTTACAATGCCGAGGATTCTGGAAGAGCGCCTCTGTCAAACGTTTTTTACCCACCTCGGCCTATTACGCCACAGAGATCATCTTCTGTTGAGCGCATATCAACGGCGCTAAAAAAGAAGAGCCCGCTGTCTCTTCGCCTTCGCAAATATGCATCATTCCAAAGTGGAATCTCACGAAAGCGGTACTCTCTGAACAGCGAGTCCACCGTTGCGTCTACCTTGCACCAGGACCAAAGTGGGAACCAAGGAGGCCCCGCTCTTCGCAGGCGACGAGGCGGGAATTTGCGTCAAATGCAGACCGGCCACGAATCACAAGATCTCTCGAGTCGTGATTCATTCGCTTCTTGGGATGACTCGTCTGTCGATGAGTATGCCCCCTCTGATGGAGATGTCTCGAGGCCCCCTTCAACTCTTATTCCACCCAACCCCCGGTATTCGCTCATCCAGCCCCGCAACTCTCGGCAGATTAGACGCTCTTTCGAATCCGTCATTGCCAAATTTGCGCAGATTCCAGATGACGATGATGGTGGCATTGAGTCTACGTTGTTGAAACTAGAAGGAAAGTGGGATGGGCCCTCAAGTGCCGGTAAAGATTCTGCATCTACCCAGACTGGCGGATCTAGCTCTCACCGAGAACAACCTCTGGTGCCCCGTGGGCTCGATACAGCAAAGCCGGGGTGGGAGGTTCTCTCTCGCAGGCGGCAGACCGACAGGTCGGCTTATTCCACAGTTGGGGGGCGATTAGCACCCCCACGGCCTTATTCTGACTCCGTGGCCGAGTCGGAAGAATCCTACAATTCAATCCCCCTTCTTGAGCGAGGTTTGACCGATGAGTCGATGAAGTGGCAGCCTACAAGCCACCCAGTCCATCATGATCTGAACGGTGCTCCGCTCAGCCTCATATCTAGCCGTGATACCTCTGAGTTTGCGTCTTCGCATCCCTCAATTCAGCTCGTCCACGAAACTGAAAGCATCCGTCGCATCCCCGCCGGCTCAACTGTCCCCGCCGTGGCCGACGACTCAGGTCAAATCACCCCAAAGCGTTTCTCTGTTCTGTCATCTGACGGCTCGGTTGACGTGATTGACCGACGTGAAGCTATGGGCCCACGCCAATCTACAGACACTCGCAGTATCGACTCATCAACCGTTGAAATTCCACCGCATCCCTTGGCACACCCTCCATCCCCGCCAATGACTATCCAGAATCCGGGATCTTTTACTTCCCGTGCCTCGCCATTGAACACAGTGCTCTTCCAGGCCCAGCCTCTCACACCTGACACATCCCCGCGACACAAGGATGCTACAAAAGCAGCCTCGCGGCCCATCAATATCCAACAGGTTTCGAGCGACGTCTTATTTGACTCAGAGAACAACCATCACGAACAAATCCCTACTAGCCTCCTCCCCGATCATGTTCCGTTCGTGCTCGCCTGTGAATCCCAAGTTCTGGCTCAGCAATTAACTATTATCGAAATGGCTGCCCTGCGCGAAGTCGACTGGCGAGACCTGGTTGAAATGAAATGGAGCAGCACCTGCCCACTAGTCACCAATTGGGTCCAATTCCTCACCCACGAAGAACGCAAGGGAATTGACTTGGTGGTCGGTCGCTTCAACCTGATGGTTAAGTGGATTTTGTCTGAAATTGTCTTGACCCGCGATACCCACGAACGTGCCCGTACCATCATCAAGTACATCCACACAGCCGCCCACGCACGCCGCATCTGTAATTACGCCTCTATGCTCCAAATCGCTATTGCTCTATCTTCGTCCGATTGTTCCCGTTTGCAGTCGACCTGGGATCTTATTCCTCTGGAAGATAGGCGACTGTTCAAGGATATGGAGTGTTTGATTCAGCCGGTGCGAAACTTCAATGACTTGCGTGTTGAGATGGAGACGGCCAATCTTCAAGAGGGCTGCATACCTTTCATTGGTAAATTCCACGTGCTGGTGAATCTGGAGCCAAATGCTAACATCGTTCAGGTCTATACGTTCACGATCTCACCTACAATGCCCAGAAGCCTGCCCAAGTCAGCAGTGATGATGGCGGCCTTCTGGTGAACTTCGAGCGCTATCGCACAGCGGCACGAATCGTCAAAAGCTTGCTGCGCCTGATCGAAGCCAGTACCAAATACAGGTTTGAACCTGTGCCAGGAATCGTCGAACGATGCTTGTGGATTGCTTGTCTTCCCGAAGAGGACATTCAAGCTCGCAGCAAAGCACTTGAATAACTTCCTTCGTTTTGCCATCTCCTATCTCCATTTCTTTTGACTCGCATATACATATCACATTTTGTTCTAATATTGGTTGGATGTCCATATACCACTATTGCCAGGCTTCATCCGCCTCACCTTGCACCGACACCTACGTCTGGTTAATGTCTTTCTTTTTTTGTTTTTTACTTGGGATCAGTCTTGGGATCATACCCCTCAAAGCGTGCATCAGCGGATCATATTATTTTCAGCCATATCTTTTCATTTTTCAACTTTTCTATATCAGATGTCATGCATACGCGGACACATACACAGACACATGCCCTTGGTACCTCGGTCTCGCCGTAAAGCACTAGGCTAGCAAAAAGGGAGCAAAAAGGGGATAATTCCCACATTTGCACTCCGTAGAGCACACGATAGCGAATAATTAAGAGTCTGAGATTGCGTTTCATCCAAAGTGCAACAGGAGCGGCTGCGTCATATGCGGTTGATCGCTCAGGAACGGAACGCCAAACCACATCTCAACTCCCGACAACAACCATCCACGGAGGGCCCCCTCACCACACCTGCAGAGAGGGCGCTCATTATTCCGATTTTGAACCTTGGATGTCCCGCCACACCGGCCACCATGGACAAGACCGAACCGCGTGGGGGTTCAGACTCCGACTCTGAACACGGCGGCCACAGCCCCGCGTCCTTCCACGAAGCAAAACAGGAACTCCCGGATGATTTACCCAAGTCGCTAGATGATCGTCGTTCTGTGCCAGGTTTCCAGCAGGAGACCGAGATGTACGACGCTTGGCAGGGTGAGTCGGAAGTCTTCCCCACGGTTGGGCATTCGCGTGCCTGGGAAACCGCGACCGGCGCCTACGCTTCTGTTCTATACAGCTAACTCTCGCGCTCGCTGTAGGTCAATCGCAATTCCTGACCACGCCGGTCGCTGCCAAACCGTTATCTTTCAGCCTCGCGCTCGACGACCACTCGCACGATAATGAGCATGACCTACGGGGACACTATGGTCGCGACCTTGAAGATAGTGATGCAAGACTCATGGATATGCTAGCGGCTCAGGCTGCCCATAGAGAGGTGGACTCCCTCGGTGCGGACGAGGAGGCGATCGCCGCCGATGAGAAATTGACCGATGACGAAAAGCGCGATATCCTCCAGAAGAGCTTGAACATGGCTGCTAGTAATGGGGATGTGGATCGCGTGCGAAGATTGGTACAGGGTGAGGCGAAGACTTACGTGGATGTCAATAAACCGGACGAGGAGGGCACAGTGCCATTGATCTATGCCAGTTGCTTTGTGGGTGAACCCTTTCATTCTGCTGGGAGTGCGAGGCTAACTAGCATTAGGGCCACCAAGAGGTGGTTGGTGCATTGATTGAAGCCGGGGCTTTGGTTGACAGGCAGGATCGCAATCAATGGAGCGCTTTGATGTGGGCTATGACCAATCGACACAAGACGATAGCCAAGGTCCTGCTTGATCATGGAGCATCACCGGATATCAAATCGACGTCCGGGGGTACGGCATTTGACTTTGCGCAGCCTGGCAGCGAGATTTCTGAGTTCCTGCATGAAAATGGATACAATTTTGGCTCTGGTGCCATTGATGATTTCTATGATGCCGGGTTGGCGCACGGCCGATTTGAAGAGGAACTGGCCGAAAGTGAAATGAAGCGGCGAATGATGATGGAAGAGAGTGCGATCAATCTCGAGGTCGACTTGTCGAGTCTAGGTCTGGACGAGAAGTTCGAGGTAAAACTCCTTGCTCAACATATACCATGGCACAGACTGATTGGGATTATTTAGCCATCCGATGAAGAAGAGCTCGAGGCGGACCAGCAGGAGTTTGTTTGGGACAAGTGCCTGAACGACCAGATGTTTGTTTTCCAGGACCATGAGCTCGAACGGATTTTGGACATCATCATCACCAATATGACTCCACAGCGGTCTCCATCTCAAAAACCGGTGCCTGCGAACCTACTCTTCCTGAGCGCGCGCTACGCGCACTACCATGCCAGCCCGGAGCTGCTCACAACACTACTCACCTCAGCCATGGAGAAGATCAATGATGTTGTAGAACGGTATCAATGGGATATGACGATGCAGGCCTTTTGGCTGTCAAATGTCACACTTCTCCTCCACTACTTGAAGAAAGACGGGGGCTTGGTAGAATCGACCGTCGATTTCCAACTTCACTTGGCTGAACTAATCAACGAGATCTTTGTCCTTATCATTCGTGACGCCGAGCGTCGAATGAACAAAGTCCTAGATGCCGCAATGCTGGACCATGAAACCATTCCGGGACTAGAGGACATTGCCTTCCAGAACGAGTGGAAGCTTTTCCGCAAGAACAAAAGCAAAAACCCCGAGCCTGACGAGAAGCGCTTCCGTCCTCCATCTCCGCGCCGACGTGCACAAATCTCTCCTCGCAACATCACCTCCTTACTCTCATCCACCCTCTTTGTGCTGGATCTCTACGACGTCCACTCCGTGATCACCACCCAAATCCTCTCCCAACTCCTTTACTGGCTCAGTGCTGAGATCTTCAACCGAATCATGAGCACAAAACGCTACCTCGCGCGCACCAAAGCAATGCAGATCCGTATGAACGTCTCAACACTAGAGGACTGGGCTCGTTCCAACAACCGACTACCAGATCATTACGAGAACGGATCTACCAACAGCACCGGCGAGTCGACGATCGACGCCGCCCGCAGACATCTAGCCCCCGTCATCCAGCTTCTCCAGTGGCTACAATGTTTTTCCTCCCTTGGAGATGATCACGAGTCCCTCGTGACAACACTTCTCCAACTCCAACAACTCACACCCGCCCAACTCCTACACGCCGTGAAATCCTACCGGCCCGAAGTCGGCGAGAAAGGCCTCACCAAGCAAGCCATGAAATTCCTCATCGAAATGCAACATAATCCAGAACTACCCCATACCGAGCAGCTGAGGATTCAGATCGAGAAGGCACAGGCAGAGGCAGGCTCTGGGCCCCAGCTCCCAGACCGCCCCAAGACCCCCCCAACCCAGGCTGCCTCATCCCCAGATCCTGCTCTCTCCCCGGAGCCTACATCACGACCCACTAGTATAGTGGCTTTCCGGAACGACGAGCGCCCCGGTGCCGGTAACAGCGTCTTCTTAGACCCGACGCTCTTCCTCCCCTTCTCTCTCCCCACTAGTACAGATATGCTGGTCAGTTATGGCGCTGGCTTCGGTGGTACTAATCGCGAGCGGGCGCGCAAGTACATCCCCACTGTACCCCCTGAGGTCCTTAGTCGCTTCGATCGCGGTGAAGTATAGCCTTTCAACCTTGGGGTTACTGGGTTACTTCGCAATACCGAAAAATCAATCACCCCAGGGAATATACCAGGTTCCCTGGGGTGAGTATATATTACAAATGGATTTTCCTTTCGTGGATACCTTCAAACTAGTTCCAGCTTTGAGCTGATGTTTTCATATTATCGGGATATCTTCTCGCGTAAGGTTCAAGGTTGTAAGGGTACAAAATCGAGCTCGTTAAAAATACAATCAATTCCCGGTCCTCCAGCTAAGGTCAGAATGATGGACCAGCATCACCGCTCGTGTGATAATAGGAGTCATCCCACTAATCTTTCGATGACGAAGGCTTAGGCTTGAAGGATGCTTCTGTCTGTCCCTGATCGCCAGTATGGTTGTAGGGCTTATCATATCGCTCTTCCATCTCCTCGTTGTGTTTCTTGACATCTTTGGGTAGATCATCTTTCAGGTTCCCATCCTGGTCCGCAAGGGGTGACTGGTTGCCGTCGCGGAGGGTGGGCTTGGCATTGTTGGAGGGGATAGGGTGGTTGGGAGAGTCTTGCTGGTGGGTAGTCTGCGAGTCGTTGCCGTCATTCTTGGTTGCGTAGGTGCGCAATGCGCGACGGGTTGATAGTGCCGATACAGGCTTGGGGAGTGTTCGGAAGCGCAGGAATGAAGACATGGTGGGATTGTGTGTGGTTTCTCTGTGAATGGAGAGAGCTAAGAGCTGGGGAATCAGGATTGATATATGGGGTAATTCCTATGACGTCGGTGCCATGATATCACGCCAAGTCCTTGCAGAACACTGCATCTACTGTTCATGAACCCATATGATTGGAGCTCTGGAATATCTCTCGTGGATAAGAATTAATCTATCTAGTAAGAATAACGCCTCTACGCTCAAATGCTCGAAACCGCCATTTGCACTGGAATGCGACACTCAACGGTTCAAATGCACTTAGTCGGGCTCGTGTCGAGGGCCTGTCGCATGCCGATCATTGATATCCATCCTTTGACTAGCACCTGCCGATCCAAGGCTGTGGGCAGGTGGTTGGGCCCTTGCTGCAAACACCGAACTTGAAGGCTGCTCCGAGTCATCCTCCCCAGCAACAGACTGAGACCGACTGGAGAGGCCGGAAAAGTTGGAGATATCACTTCTATGACGCTTATGAGATGGTTGTTCCCCGCGGATATCAGCAGCTCGGCCCTGCATGAGCATGCGAGTCGGCGGCAATCTCTCGTGCGATCTCTTATCCTTGCGTTTGGTGTTGGTCTTTTCCTGAAAAGCGGTTGAGGGCTCGGATGTGGATGGTTCTGGTTGGGAGTGGATTTTGAATGGAGGAGGTTGAGGTTGGAATTGAGATTGCTGGGACCCGTGCTGGGGGGTCCAGAAGTGATATTCTACAGGTTTCTTCTTTAGGTCGTCATTGGAGCTACCAGGGATGTTCGGTTGTGAGCGGGTCTGGTTCGACGAAATAACAGGGAAGGTGTTTTCGAATGCTGCGCTCAAATCGTTAGAACATGGTTCTCCTGCAATTGACCAGAGTCTACCTCACGAAAGGCACTGGGGCACGAATTTAGCCTTCTGCTATGGCGACTCACCGTTTGGGATCTGTGGCGGCTGCTTGGGAGCTTTTTGCAGGGACGGTCGAGACGTCCGTGGAAAAGGCGGGGCAGGGTACGTTTGGGTTGTTTGAGGGGCCGGCGCTCTCGGAGCAGACCATTGTCTCTGGAGGTCTTGCGCCAGTTGAGGATTGGCGCCGGTGGAGTGGATGCCATTGAAGATCATCGGGATCAGATGTGCAGGCACGCCGGCTCGCAGGGACTCGGAGATCATGGCCTGCTCGACGCGGCGCTGCTCCAAGACCAGATTTGCTTGACGGGTCTTCTCCTCTTCCTGTCTGCGCTTGTCTTCCTCCACTTTTGCCTTGAGCCAATCACTCATTCGTTCCGTGCCTTCCCACGCCGGTGGTAATGGTGGGACACAGGTTGGCATTGCCGGGGGAGGTGGCAGTCGGAATTGGTCATGGCTAGAGCTTGCAGATTGCGCATAAGGCGGCATATCATCCTCTATCGAGGGCAATGTCAGTGTCGGGGACTTTGACAGGTCTCTGAGCTTCGAACCGGTGAGCTGCATGCTGACGGGGAAGAGAAGAGCCGAAAGGGAAATACGTACCCATTTGCGGAAGGCTCGAAACGAAACAATCAGGCTAAACTGCGAAGAGGCAACGGTATATAAAAAGAAAGAAGGCTAGACACATCGAACGCAAGTGTCCAATGACAGCTGTTGGGCGGATGAGCTGCGCAAGCGCTAGATCCACTCTGGATGTATTCCAGACTCGAGTACGGAGTATGAACTACAGTAAGTCGAGTACCACCTAGGTAGTAGTATGTGTAAGTCGAGTATGAGGACGGAGTACGGAGTACGGCGGAAGACTGCTCGGCCAGAATTGCTCTCGATCTCGTTGTATGTGGAAAGCAGTTCACGCATTAGCGAGATCGCCTCTCGTATTATTTCCTATTGGGGCCATCTGGCTTGGCATCGCGACGTGACGTCTGAAATCACCTAGTAATAGATAATTATAGACTCTCTGTATCTTCCCTTTGCTATATATCATCTGCAGTGCCAAACCCTAACTCGCGTCGACCTGTTCGCTGACGTGAACGGCCACGCTGGCCAAGTGGCCAAGTCATTATCTCTTCGGGAAATCTTCCATGCTTGTTTGCTACGTGCATCTATGTTCTGACCGCTTCTCGATGTGCCGTGAGTTGGGCTTCTGACAACAGATCTTTGGACAGCTCTCTGCCGAATCGAGGTATCATGCAATGCTGACTATATCCTGCGGTTTTACCCCCACTCAATGATACCACTGTCTCAATTGGGCACAGGGCCTAAGTGTCTTACAGTAAGCAGGAGTGGGAATTGATTCGTGCTCGGCCAATTCAGGGCTCGCGTTTTCGTCTCCCGGTTTATTGGGCCGAATGTGCCGGTCTCTCGAGAACTGCTCCAATCCCCACTGCGGTATCCAGACATACTCCAGGGTCTCAATTGATTGCATTGTCCCAAGACCCACTCCAGGATCCTTTATGTTTGGTGTTCGTTGAGGCTGCCCAGGTGAACAGTGAAGCCTCAATGGTACCTAGTGGAGATCAGACACATTGCACCGAGAGATGACCAGGTCAAGCTCAAGCCAAGGCAAAAGGGATAGAAGTGAATGTCCTCCTCTGATTGGTCGAAATACTGATCGAGATCAACATTGGAAGTGATTCGTTCACTGTATCGCGACAATCGGGGAGCAGCCACTCCTCACCTCCAGGTCCATGGGGTGGCTACTACAGGACTAAACCCTCCAAGGTTGGGACTCGGGATTACTACAGACTGCACAGAAACCTGGAAAACTACCACTGTCTACATGAGGAATTCAATTGATTGGGGTGACCTAGATTGCTGTACATATCAAACCCCAATCCAAGCTACCTGGCCAAGGAAAGATAAAAACCATAAACAAATTGTGAGGGAATATGAAACCCAGAGACATTCCATCCCGAGTAAATCGTCTTTTTTTTGGCATGTTTATCTCTTTTCTTATTTGCTGAGCTTTGACCCGCGTCGTGTCGATTTGGATGACCAATGGATCGAAATGGAGATGCTGTTCAGACTTAGCTGACAGGGAGCTTGGCCATGTCACCCTTTCCGCCCTTGATCCATTCCGGGTCGACCAGACGCTCGCGTTCGGCATACAGCTGCTTGTATGCCCCGCGGATGGTGCCATCGCTCACGTGAGCGACTTGAGAAATTTCTTTGGCCGACTTGGCATGACCCATGAGAGCGGAAGCCATGTAGATACAGGCGGCCACGATCGACAGGGGAGATCGACCGGCGAGATCACCCATGGCGGTAACACGGTCGGAAAGTGAGACGGAAACGCTGGTGACCTGGAAAGGAAGATCGAGAAGATTGCAGAAACGGTTGCAAAGATCGCTGGGCTTGGTAGAAGTAGTGGCGTTGTAATCGCCAGCAGAGTCGTGGGTTTCACCATTCTCCAAAGCAGCGTTGTGGCGCTCGACGTTCTGGGTGGTGAAGAACTTCTCCAAAGCCTTGTAGATGCGACCAATCTCCTTTCGGGTGACCTTGGTCACGGCGAAGATTTCAGTAAAGGTACGTGGGACCTTGCACTGGCGACACGCGATGAAGATACATCCGGCGATTATCACTTCTTGGGACTTGCCCTTGAACGCCTTGGCGTCATCCACCATCTTGAAGAGATACTTGGCGGTGTCGGCGACAGTCTTCTGAATGTTGAAACCGTCGCATAAAGCACCGATCTCCTTGTATGCTGCTAGAAGTTGCTTATTCGCCTTCTCGCCCGATTGTTTGTTCTGGGCGCGGTACAGATCGCGCGCACGACCTGAGCCTCCACTGGCGATAGACGTCTCGAGCTGCGCTCCGTTGAGCAGGGGGTTCGAAGCATCTCCGACACGGGAAGGATCATCGTTGTTTTGGTCGTCGTTGGAAAAGGTACGCCATTCGGAGTGTAAGTCGATCTCACGGTCCGCGAGAACAAGACCGCAAGAGCCACAAACCGTCTCGTGGGAATCGGGGAACTCCAAGTTGGGGGGATCCTCCTTGCATTCGGGGCATAGGAGGTGGGCGGAGAGGTTTTTCTTCCACGCCGGGGTAGGCTCAGGTTTCGCAACAACGGGGGTAGCCATCGTTTGCGATTTCGGTTCCGACTTCAGGTAGGCTTCGATGCGCTGTTGGCTGTCTTTGGCAAGTCTCCTTGCTGTTTTGTGTAACACGAATTTCCTGTTGTAGAAGCGAACGAAAAAAGGCGAATACAGTTTGACGACTGCTGCAGAACGAGGGCGGACCACCCGTGAGAAGATCCTCAAGAGGGTATGGAAATGCGATGAAGGGAAGAGCGTATGCTCAACACTACTGTCTTGGCCGTGTTAGCCGAGCCCAAACTAAGTTCTTTGTCTCGGAGGGCGACCATCACTGTGCTGTAACCTGACTCGCAAGAAACTCCATGCAAGAAAGGCTGGTGTACAAGGAGGTGTTATTACCTGATCCAGGCTAGAGCCTCCGGGGCGTGCAGTATCACCTGCCCAGTCGTTGAAGGACCTTCACCAGTCTGCGCTTTCCAGAGAAAGTAGAACAGAAACCTCGCCTCAGCTTGTCCAGGTTGAACCAGTCAAGGTCTCCGCAAGAGGGCTCTCACGAAAAATGGGCAGGCTGAGGATTTGAGATAGAAGAAGTCAGGGACCGGGGGAGGGGGAGAGAAGGAGACGAGGGAGAGTGAGGTGAGGCTCTATGATGAAGTCTGTAATCGGCGCCGCGGTCGAAATGGGCGATGTCAGCAGATCACGTGAAAGGAGAGAAGCCGCTCTGATTGGTTATTGAAGTATAGAAAGCTTCTCGAACAGAGGCTCTTTTGAACATCCTTGCTTTTAAACACAACAGTGAACGTCCATTCATAGACTGCAGGTCTATAGCAGCTCTTGTAAATTGATATTGAACATCCCAGCTTGGTTCTATTCACTCGTATTGCATGAATGATGCCGTTGTAGTGAATATTTAGTCAGAGTATGCCTCTTCCACTTGAAATTTCTCAGACGCCTTTTGTTTCAAAGCCTAGACAAAATTTTACATGTCTCCTTTTATCAATCAACCTCAGAGAAATGGCATTAAATCAAATGCGACATCCAAGATGAGGCCTTTCGGGTCCAACATGACCCGGGATACGCTGAGTCATCCGCCAAGAAACCTTTCCGAACAGAAGTCGTCTCAACCTCCATCTTCACGGAAAGACGGATCAGATCTATCCTGTTGAGAACCACCCCTCATCTCCCATCTACACCCCTAATCAAGATGATGTCTCAATCTCTCCGGGCTTCGGTGAGTTCTGCCAGGGTTCATTTGTCGTGGATTGGAACTAACGTGACCCCCAGCGCGCCCTCTTCTCCCGTGCCTCTCGGCAACAGGTCTCGGTCGCTCGCCGCACCTTCCTGACCTCCGCCGTCCGCCAGGGTATGTGATGATCAAATACTGCTACTCGACCTTGTGCTCCACGGCCGCTGGCAGTACGCCCTTTCCGTACCCGATTGCTAACCCACCACCTTCAGCCGACCCCGTCCAGGACCTTTACCTCCGCGAGCTCAAGGCCTACAAGCCCACTCCCCTCAAGGCCAACGATGCCGATGAGCACGTCCAGAAGTTCTCTGCCCCTGCCGCCCCCAAGTCCCCCGAGGAGGCCAACCTTGCCAGCGAACTGTCTGCCTACGAGAGCCAGGAGGTCGAGGTTGAGGGCCAGGCCGCCGCCGGCGAGGCCGCCCCCGTCGAGGAGAGCTGGTTCGAGGAGGACGAGGAGGCTCCCGCTGCCCACTAAACGCTCTATTCTGCTTTTAGCAAGGTCTGAGGAGATATGAGGGGATGGCCCTACATGCCCGTGATGCACCTGTGGCTACCTCTCGGGTCCTGAAGCTTGTAAATTAGACCACATTTGAATGTCGAGACCTCTTTTTCATCTTACTTTCGATCGCGCTGGGCCGGCGTGGCGTTCATGCGCCTGTGGGAGGGAGACGGTTGCGCCAGATGCGGGTGCGATCAAACCTTCGAAGCTTCAAGCCAACGCTGCTTATGCTTCTAGACGACCGGCTGTGGAGCTTGTCACGTTCATTTTGTAGTGTCTAAAACGGCCTGGACCAAACATTCAGCCCGCTCAAATCCCAGGTGCTCAGCCCTGGAGGTTGTACCATGCAGTGTGGTAAGCGTCAGCCCAGCCAATCGACCCGGGCAAGAAATGGAGCGAGACTCTCATAGGCAAGTCGGAAGTTCCGATATCTATGTACATATATCAACCCAGTCGGGCTTAGCCGGACACTAAAGTGGTCTTCACGGTGGCGTTTCGCGAGATAGCATAGAGGACTGGTATAGGACCTCGGGAGACATCTATCCATATGGAACATTGCCTGTTAAAAGGGACCAACCACATACTAGCTGCCCACTGAGCGTCTGTACGGAGTACTTCGTATGTATCTGAACTTGTTATCTCGGCATAAGATAATATTGCCAAGTAATTCTATCGAAGTTTACCTAGGTAGGTAAATTGGATGGTTCGTACAGAATACTCCGAACTAGTGAACAGGTCCACCGCAACGGACAGATCCATCCGCGAACTGACCGAAGATCCTCAGCATATGTACTCCGTACTTGATTAGATATGACAAGTCTCAGTGCATTTTCCAAACCTATCAGACGCAATGGGCCATTGTGGGGGGGAAGGGACCTCCACATCCCTAGATCAGGTCAAGGGCAGAGACACAAGGCCGGCCGAAAGCAAGACTATTCCAGGACTATTGTTTATTGCGTACTCAGGTCACTCCATTGTTGAGCTTTGGGCTTGATCTTCCAAGTAGGGGGCGCCATACTAGACATAGGACGGTGTTTGTGCACCCTGGGGCAATGTGGTTCATGTGTCAGGCAATTGAGGTCAAGAGCACGATGTGAACTACAATACGGAGTACATATGTAGTATGAAGATTTCGAATGACAGGTATAGTATTCCCGTCGGTCAAGGCAATGCTAGGCAGCCTGTATGGAGTGGGAAATATGATCAGTGGAATGCGGGAGATCGTTTAGGGTTGACATCAGGTACATTCTTTACCGGCATTCCCCAGCCCTGGAGCAACGAATGGATTACAGCCAACGTGTACTACGGAGTACTACGTTCCAAGATGGTCGGGTACATAGCTGGGGGAGATCTGAGAGACCAGTCGCTGAAATCTGCCTTGAGTACGATTGGCGGCTGAAGATGACGGCAGATTGGAGATTCCGTAGTCCGTACAGGGCACCGAGAACCCGAGTCCCTAGCTAGGCGCCTGGGCAGACACGTAGGTACGGAGTACAGGAGGAAGTATAGGCGAAGTGTTGCCTGGGCAAGTGGAGTAGAAAAATCAGCTTGTCTCACTCTAAAAGAAACCGCGACGAATCTCCGATGCTCCATAGAGCTGATTTCATTTGCCGTACTCCGTACTCCGTAGTAAGTAAAGTAGTAAGTAATGTCAGTAAAGTAGAGGAGGCTCTCTTTCCCAGGAGGGAAACCCCATAGATTATTAAGACTTCCAAACCTTCGACCCCTTCTCTCTCCCTTCCCACTTCTCTCAGGGAATTTACTGCCGATCACTTGTGGCTTTCCTGCATAGACGATCTAATACCCGTCAATGTCGTTACCATATTATTAACACTCTCGCTCGATCTTTTGCTTTCCCTCTTCGTTTGTCCAGCGTCTTTGTTCTCGTTTGTCCTTTCCAAATGCGCTCGTGATTGTACCACCGCAGAGCAACGCGAAGAGCTGGCCTCTTCTGATCCTGACAATTAAAGGGGAAATGACCTGTTCATAACTCCAGAGACAATGTCTTCGCCCTCCCCCGAGACACCGTACACCAAAGATGACCCCGAGCTCTCCCGCGCCGCCAGCTATACCGACCTGCACAGCCAACCCGCAGAGCCCACCCTGCGGCGAACCTTCTCCGATTATGCCGTTCCAGCACAGGCAGAAGAGCCCACCAAAGAGACCGTGGCGGCGGGGAAAGACATCCTCCGCCGGACCTCGCTACGCTCCAAGGACAAGGAGCAAGTCTCTGTCTCACGTTTCACGCTGTCGTCATCCGAAGATCTGAAGGACACGGAGTCCAATGTGCCCGAAACCAGAGCTCCGGAGCCCGCGGTGCGCCCCTCCAAAACTCGCTCGATGTCCGGACGCATCGTGAGCCTCGCCAGAAAGCCATGGAGCTCCTCCTCTCGATCCCCGTCGCCCTCCGCCAAACGATCTAAGCAGCAAGACTCCCAGTCACCTACAAGATTCGGCCGAAAGTCGGACGATGAACAACCCCCCTCTCGCAGGCGAACGATCCTCTACAAACGCCCGCGTCGCCCCGTGCTAGCAGTCGTAGCCAAGGAGTCCGAAGAGAACAACAGTACTCCCAACAGCCCATCGAGCAATCCGCTCCGACACCGGTCATCGTTCGAGAAGTTCACCGCTTCACTTTCCGTTTCAACTCCGGTGCTCCCACCCATGCCAAAGGGCGCCGCAGAGACAGCCGCAGCGTATGCGAACGGGAGTCCGGAGATTCCGCGGAAGAAGGACGAGCTTTGGGGCATCTTCCGTGGCTTGGAGGCGGACTTCCAAAAGTCAGTGTAACCGGCCCTGTGATCCATTCCGCAGCTAACCCGCGCAGGTTCCAATCCAAGTCCATATCACTCAAGGCGAATGTAATTCGCTCCTCCCTCCTTCCTTTTCTCAGTCGCCATCACCTCCATGCATCGTGCAAGAATCTCAGACCAGAGGACCTGGACCGCCGAGTCAATATCCTCAACAAATGGTGGGTTGGGATGCTCGAGATGCTCAATGGCAAAAACAATCAGTCAATATCCGGGACCGATAGGCCTGTCTTTCTAGAAGCTGTGGTCGGAATTATGGCGCGACCGGAATGGCGCATCACATTCCCTATGGCGCAACAAGGCAGTGGACCGACAGACTCGTTGAAATATGCGTCAACATCGGTTTCGGAAACGTCAGACGGGTCAGCCTCCTCAGGCTCGGACTTCCTGGTTGAATCAATTCATCACAATATTCGCAACATCTTCACCCAGAATCTGATCTCTCAGATGTCCTTTGTGGTGGAACGCATGTCCATGCGCCATGCGCCGGCAAGCCTGGTCGCATTTTGCGGAAAAGCCTGCGCATATGCCTTTTTCTTCTGTCCTGGTATATCTGATATCCTAGTCCGCCTGTGGTGTACGCCGCCCAATCTGTTCCGACGCATTCTGTCCGACGCCACGGGTCCACGGAGCATGAATACGCGCGCGGAGACCCAAGAGCTCGCATCCTGCTTCCCCCCAGCCCTTCGCCCTCTTGCTTTCCACTCGCAGGCACCCTTGCTGCGGTATCTGCGCCAGAAACCGGACACTCCCTTGAACATCAGTCACATCAATTGGAACCGCCCGTGGATCACACGGTGGGCGGGCCGTGACACCGATCTGTTTTTTGTCTTCGTGAAGTATGTGCATATATTGTATTCCGAGTATATTCCTTCGGAGACCGACAAAGCGAAGCGAATATTCTCTCCTGGCCTCCTCTTGGTTCATGCGCAGCTATTGCTTGTACTTGAGGATACTCTATACAAGCAGTCGACACCGCAAGCAACCGAAAATCCTCACTCCACAGCAGCCATCACCTTTGATGACTTCATCGAGTCGCCGGACGCCTCTGCTTCCTCTCAGCAACTTCGGAGCGGCAGCAATAGTCACCGGTCGATGGCTGAAAACCGGCTGGTCATCCTCCTTCGGGATCTGCTCTCGGAATCCTCCATTGAACCAAACCGCGCTCGACTTCTGTTCGCCGAATCTTTCTGTTGCATTATCAAGGCTGCTGCGCGAAAAACATCGTTGTTCGATCATAATGCATGCTTCTTGCTGTGTGATTTCCTTGAAGAAGTTATTCCTATCATCACTCGCTATGCCCAATCAATCGAAACCGAACTTTTTGACTGGGAATTTTGGCAGGAGGTTTGCCGGCAAATGATGCAAAGTCACAACTCGCTGACCGAGGTTCGAGTTTTCTCATTTCTCTTCTGTGTCTGGGGTACTTGGGTCGCAACGGAAGAAAGAAAGGCATCCCTCTGTCTAGATTTCCTTCTCCACGAGCCGACATTCTACCACTATTTCAACCACTGGAGCCCGATGGTGCGTGCATACTTCCATCGCCTGGTGTGCTGGAGGGTTGGCCGGTTCCAAACCGACCCGTCATCGTTAGATTCGATGGTCTATGAGACCCTTTCGGATCGCCTTCTGCGCGTTTGGGAGTATTACATCGGGTTCCAGTCTAAAGCGGAAGAGAACTTGACCGCCCCCTTGTCCTCTGCCCCCTGTACCCCGGCCCCTGGTCGAAGAATCATCATCATCCGATGTGACAACCAGTTGTCTCCAGTTAATTTGTTCGTCAGCTTCGACCGGGTCATCCCGCCTGCTCCTCCAGACCAGGTCACGCAACACAGACGAACGGGCTCCGCAGATTCAGCTGGATCAGATGGTCCGCCCTCGAAACGGCGCTGGGGACTTTTCAAATCCATGTTTGGAAGCTCTTCCAGCTCCCGTCCGGCTGAGAGCAATAAGAACGGCAGCTCGGATGACTCCGAATCTGGCGCAGACTCAACTGTGACCCCTGAAAGCAAATGTATGGACGACCACGAGCCGACTCCAAGTAACAGCGCAGAGGAACTCGTTCAACCCAAACCCCTCCACCAACCATTCTTCTTCAAATTCTCTCTAGAGTGGATGGATCGCCCGCAATGGCCCACCAAAAACAAACGCCTCTTCACACCCTGTCTCCCCGTCGCCTCCCAATTACACGTTGATCATCGCCGTTCTCCTGATAAATCAGAATATGACACCGCGTCCGAGAACCCGGCTGCATCGGACATTGAGAGTGAAACGAACTCCCCCGACTCAGATCAAGATACTCCCACTCAACCTACTTCGGACTGGCCAAGAACCCCGACCACGAAGAATTCACCTCTCCCCGAACTCCCGCCCCAACCTTCCCACAGCCACCTAGTGTCTAGCAAGTACGCAGGCCGGGCACTGGCAGAGTGGGCGCACATTGTGTCCGAATGCGATAGCTTCTTCGCTCGCCGTCGTGACGAAGGCGTCCCTACTGACCATATGGTTGAAACACCCACCTTGGGCGTTGAAAGCTTCCGCAAATAATAATCATCCGACAGTGATAGATGTTGTGTTTTGCAGATTTCTGCTTCAAAATGTTTCGGGCCTACTTTTTTTTTTTTTTTTTTTTTTTTTCTTTCTCCCTCTTTATCACTTCAGCATCGCGGATCTGGAATCTGGAGCATAGGGATTGGCGTTGAATGACCTTCTTTAGCGAGTACTACGTACTGCAATAATACATTCGGCTCGAAATATTTACACACATCGCGAGTTGAAATTTGGGAAATCTATCCCTCTAGCTTTTCACTTCTGCTCGGCTTCCTGGGCAAGCTGCTTGTTGAGTAGATACAGCAGTGCGCCCTGCACATCCTCGCGTCCCATGAACACCTCTACCAGTCTAACACCACTTCCATTCGTGATGTTCTCATGCCCAAGCACCTCCTTCAACTCACCACACGTCCGCGCAGTGAAGGTGTTCTTGGCCACATGTTCTTCGTCGGCACCGAAATAACTGAGAGCCTGTGCGTGTCGCCAGAAAGGAACATCATTATATTTCTCTTTCCGGCCGTGGATCACCCGCTCAATCGTGTATCCGTCATTGTTGATAATGAAGATTACGATGTTGAGTTTCTCGCGGATCATGACACTTATCTCTTGCGCCGTCATTTGAAGACTGCCGTCACCAATGAAGAGAATGGTTTGGCTCTTTGAGGTATCATTGTTCACCTCCCGTTGCGCCAGGGCTGTGCCTAGTGTCGCGGGGAGCATGAACCCAATGGAGAGCCAGGTCACTGCACCGAAGAGTCGCGAGCCAGTGGGCAATTTGAAGTTGCGGCCTCCGTGGGCGGCAGTGCCGGTCTCGGTTAGGATGATGTCGCCATCTCGGAAGAGGGGGTTCACGAGGGGGTAGAAGTTGGCTTGGGCGATTGGGTCATCATCTTGGATATTTGCCACTGAGAGCTCTGTTTTCGGCGGTGCAGATGCCTTGACGAGGCGTGTGGAATCGAGGCTCTGTAGGAGGTTTGAGAGGAGATTACGCGCGGACATGTCGTAGAATGTATCGTTGTTGATCTTGACAGTCGTGCCTGAGAAGGTGATTGCGACTGAGGGCTTGGCGATCGTTGTGTAAAAGTAGCTGTTTGTGTCGCTGTTGTGCGGCCCAAATGTGAGGACGAGGTCTGCTTCTTCGAAGTATGTCTGTGTTGGCTTGTCGCCGAATGCCCCGGCGTATAGTCCGTGGGCATTGGGGAGTTGCTCGTTGACGAGACCCTTTCCATAGACGGTTGTCCATGTTGGCCAGCCAGTTGCTTTGATCAGAGCATCGAGTTGCTCGACGATGCCGAGAGCCGTGCTTTCTCCATCGACGAAGATGAAGGGCCGTTGGGCACTGTAGATACGCTCGAGGATTTGAGCGAGCACCTGAGGCTCTTGGGTTGAGCTGGGAGGCTCTGGAATTCGAATTCTTGTCTCTAAATTGGCAGCGGACACTTTCACGTCGGGCATATCATCCGGAAGTTCGAGATAGACCGGACGGCTATGGATCAACGCCTGCTGTAGGATATAGTCGATCCTCTCTGGCGCAGTGGCAGCATCCGTCAGCCTGGTCTGGGCTGCGGTGATGTGGATAGACATGTTGGCAAAACGCCGATAGTCGCCATCCGAGAAGGTATGGTGCATGAATGTCCGGTTAGCTTGGAGCGGGCGCGGAGGTGTTCCGACAATATGCACGACGGGTGTATTTTCAGCATAGGCCCCAGCAATGCCGTTTAGAGCAGACAGCTCGCCGACTCCATAGGTAGTGATCAGCGCGGCCAGGCCCTTGATCCGGCCGTAGCCATCTGCTGCATACGCTGCATTGAGCTCGTTGCAGTTGCCTACCCAATGGAGGCCGGCGGGGGTGACGAAATCCAAGAGGCGAAGGTTGTAATCCCCGGGGACGCCAAACATGGAGTCGACACCCAGCTGGCGAAGCCGGGTGAAGAGGTAATCTGCGAGCTTGATTTCCGTCATTGTGTGTGTTGTGGTGAAAGAAGTAGACAGGAAGGTTTATATACTTGGCTCCCCGCATCTTATCGACTCTCCGATTCCAACCGTTTACTCCGGTTACTCCGGTTACTCCGGACCCCGACCTCACCTTCTTTTCATCGTGAATGATTGTGCGACCATGTCGCGTTTGGCCGCCTGTGAAGCCTGTAGAAAGGCCAAACTAGCATGCGACCATAAATTGCCGGTCTGCACCCGATGCAGCACGAATCAAGGAATATGCATCTACCGAACCACGCCGTTCAAGCGCAAACGAGAGAAGCAAAGGTAGGTTATATCCCCTGTGATGTTTCCTCGTTGACACCTGTAGTCTTGGCTCACCGGATGAATCCTCGTCATTCAATCCCCGGCGCAACCCGTACCCGAACCCGGGATACCTGGGTTCGTCAAGCCATGCTGCCATCTTCAAACACATCACTCCGGATGGCGACCATGGGGGTCACCAGGCTGCGCCGGAAACCCTGCACTCGGATCTATTCGGTGATAACCATCTTGTCTTGCAAGGGGCTGATATCCTCAAGCATCTTCTCACGAAATATGAGCTATCCGCAATGAAAGATCTGGTTGTGTTCTGGTTGGCCAAAGGTGCCAATCTCGCACTGGCTGAGCCATTCGTGAACCAGTGTACTCGGAGCGTGAGCCAACTATTTACGTACCATGACGAGAACTGGCATCTGGTCTATGCGAGACGTCTCTTGCATAATTCAGCCCAACCTTTGCATTTTAACGATTCCTCTGATCTGGATGGTTTCTCGGCTCAGTTCCTGGATCATAACTCCCGATGGGAGACTCTGGGGATATTCTTCGCTGCAGTCAGCCGTGCAACGATTGATATTCCATTTTTCCCTTCTCTTTATGCTACAGAGCAACAGCAATACACACTCCGAAGACTGTGTACGAAACTCTGTGATTTCGCTCTAGAGATTTCCCTCTCTTTAGATTGTCTCAATGACCTCCAACTAATAATGCAATACGAAAACTTCATTGTCCACTCCTACGTGGATGGCGATCAGAGCTATCACTCATGGCGCAAGCTGGGAGACGCAATATCTTCCACCTTCGCCCTGGGTTACCACGAGAACATCGAAGCCAAACTCGGGATTCCGACTTTCCTCAAGGAGCTTCGAAAGACAGCATTCGCGCGCATCTACTCGGCAGACAAAAATATAGCCATCTTTCTCGGCCGTCCGCCACGGATGAATAAACGCTTCTGCCACTTCCAGATCCCCGCTTGTCGCAACGCCCAGGGATCTGAGTGGACTCATAACGCAGAAGCTGGCTATAGGGCTGACACGCGCTGGTCTGCGCTATGCGCCTCATTAAAGGAAGAGATCTGGGAGCTTCTTCAGGATAAACACGACCCGTCGTGTACACAACGAGCCAGGTATCTCTATGCTCAATGCCATATGGTCATCCCCTACTAACATTATGATAGTGTGATTCAGAGTCAAGCAGAGGCACAGTGGCAAGCTTTGCCATCCCACTTCCGACTTGAAAGCAGTCTGAAGCAATGTACACAAGGACCTTTTGAACGGGACTTTGTCGCCGGCGTTCGGCTGCACCATCTACACGTCCTTTTTCTACTTCATCTGTTACGTCTGAGATCGCCCACCGAGCCCGATCTTCCCATCATCGAGACTGCAGGCCAGATGCTTACACTTGTCGTTGAGATCATCCTCCTGCGCGATCAACTCACTAACTCTGGAACCGGTCTTATCTGGAAGGTGCGTTACGGCATTTTCTCGCGAAGTCGCTCTCGCTAACCAGTCAGGTCGCATACTATGGTCTTCCTGCCGCGGGGATGATGCTTCTCGCTATGTTGAAACAAAACATGCCACGGGCACACCGAACTCGCTCGTTACAAGACCTGAGTGTTTTTGTGGCGGAAGTTCAGATTGGAACGATTGTTCGTGCCGGAGACCCAAACTACGCGTTGCTGTCCAAAGCTACGAGAACCATCCAGCGATTCTTAGATACCACACGCTCTGATGCGTTGGTAGAGCCAGTTGGACAGGAGGATGAGTGGGCTGCGCTGTTGAGCCAAGATTTATGGGATTTCGAGGCTGGGTTCTGGCAGAGTTTGGCTGATCATCCTTCTTTGTTGGCTATTGAGCCTTCCTTGCCCCCTGTTTGAGTAGATCATAACTCGGAATTTGGCTTGGATGCACAAAGATGGTTCCATGCCACTATCCATAATGCCACAATCCTCGATGTCTTACTGTCTTTGGGATATATGGTAGAAGTTGCTTGTGAAATGGCAGCGACGATGGGGCCTCGCCATTGCTGCACCTCCACTCCAACCTGGGCAGACTCTCCAAGTCATCATTCCTGAACATCGTTTATTCTTTATTTGCTTGTGGGTTCCTCGGTTATTGCGGGCCCAATGACCGTCTTCATCGCGTCCTTGTGAGTACCTAGTATCTTCTATGGGCCAAACAGTCGAGCCTAACCAGTATGATAGATTCCTCCCATATACCATCGACTTCGACATTCATATGTTCAAAAAAAAATCACGTCCACTTTCCAGTTATGCAGTGGATGGCTCTGGAGCGATACATTGGGAAGACCTATCCGCGGATATACCTCCCAACATCATGCCCAGAGAGCTTCCCCTGACCCCTGGGGCTACCATAGACAATGAGAAGGTATTCTTTGAATATACTTCCCGAATATCAGATAAGCCCGCATACGATCGGAGTCCTAGTGAGCACCGCGACGTTATCTGGGGTTGCAGTCAAAAGTTCACCCAACCCCGGTCCCTGGCGACTGAAACTCCAACCTCGTCCATATCGAATGCCCCTTCACAAGAGGGTCCAGCGAAGAACCTCTCTCTCGATGGATCACAAGATCGTATGAGAGGGCAGCTCTCACAGAAGTTGATCTGTTCTTCCTCTTGGAGAGCCAAGACCACCGAAAGGGGCCTTGGTGGCTTGACCAACGCTATTCACGCTGCCGAACAGAAGGGAATTTTGGAGGACTATCTGTGGGTGGGAACAGTAGGAATGCCCACTGATTCATTGACCAAGTATACCAGAGGGGAAATCGCCGAATATTTACGAGAGGAAAAAAAGTCATTGGCTGTGTTTGTTGAGGACACCGAGTTCGAGGGCCACTACACTCACTTCTGCCATGAGGTACTTTGGCCAGCTCTCCATTACCAGATGCAGGAAAGCCCGCGGCATTCGGAGTTCGAGCGTTACTCTTGGGATCAATACGTCAAACTCAATGAGGCATTTGCAGACACTATAGTCGAGCATTGGAAGCCAGGCGATGAGATATGGGTCCATGACTATCATCTGCTAATCCTTCCCGGCATTCTGAGGAAGAGAATCCCCGAGGCTCAGATCGGCTTCTTCTTGCACACCCCCTTCCCTTCCTCGGAAGTGTTTCGCTGCTTATCCCCACGCGATCAATTGCTTGATGGCATCCTGGGTGCTGACCTTGTCGGTTTTCAGACAGAAGAGTACCGCAATCATTTTGTTCAGTCATCCAGCCGGCTCCGGAGACTGGACACCTCGGTCAATCAGGTCACTTTCAACGGCAGGATCGTGCTCGCTGAGAGCGTTCCCATGGGCATTGATCCATCGCTTCTGAACAAATCACGTAACAGGACCGAAGTCCAAGGTTGGATAAGCAGTATCTCATACAGGTACCCAAATCAGCGGTTGATTGTCGCGCGGGATCGTTTGGATGTCTCTGGGGGGATCAAGCAAAGACTCTTGGCATATGAGCGATTCTTGTTGAGGTACCCCGAATGGAGAAACGATGTGAGTCAATGTGCATCATGGTCAAGGTGACAAGTCCGCGCTTGCTGACCTTTCTTACAAACTAGGTCGTTCTGATTCAGATCATCTCGTCTGCGGGTGCAGTCTCAGAGCTTGAGGCGCAGGTCTCCAGAATCGCGATGAGAATTAACACAACACACTCATCTCCAGCCCATCAAACATTGGTGTTGCTTAAGCAAGACATCCATACCCATCAGTTCATTGCTTTACTCAGTATCGCAGACATATACATGGCCACTGGCCTGCGCGAGGGAATCAATTTGACAAGTCATGAATTCATTCTTTGTCAAGACAAATGTTTTGGGTCTATCGGGTATGGATCACTCATTATAAGTGAATTTGTGGGAAGCGCTTCGATACTGCACAAACGCAATGGCGCAACGTTCCAGGCTCACGAGCTTCTTGTCAATCCCTGGGATTTCAAACAGTGTGCCGAAGCAATACACACCGCACTTGAAATGTCGCCAGAGAGAAGATTCACCGAATGGAAGCATTTATTCCATCTTGTCTCCAAGTTCAGTGCGATCAGCTTCCACGAACAGCTTCAAGTCGCTCTCCAAAAAAGCTGTGTTCAATCGCTTCGTCAAGTCTCCGACACCTCCCCACTGCCAATAGGTGTGATGAATCTCCTTTATCATGCCATCGACACTCGGCTTTTCTTCGTTGAGGACGCGGACATATATGGTCCAGATCCTCTCGTGAAAGGGTCCTCACTGTCAGCGAGGGCCTTCAAGATCTTCAAAAATTGCTTCCGTGAGTCGGGGGACAAAATTTATCTCATCAGTAACAAGACTCTGCACCAGCTCAGCGAAATGTTCCCTGAATTGCCTCCTGAGATTGGAATCATTGTGGAGAACGGTTCTTTCGTCCGACATCCCAACACAAGATACTGGGTTACAGTGACTTACCCGTGCGAAGAATGGCTTGGCAGCATCCGCAAGATGATGGAAGATTGCCAAGAACGAACGGAAGGCAGTCGAGTTGAGGTTTTTCCGTGGTCATTGATTTTCCATTACGACGATGCCTCAGACCACGAAGCTGCCGCTCGTCAAGCATCTGAACTAGCAGCTCAGATCAACGGAGCCCGCGGTAAAGCATCATTCCAAATCATTCGCAACGAGACTTCATTCACTGTCGAACTGTCTTCGTCTGAGTATGGGCGCGGAAGAGCGGCTCAATCTATTCTCGAAGGTCTTACAAAAGCAGAGTTTCCTAAATTAGTGATGGTGACTGGCAAATCGCCAGATAACGAAGCGCTATTTCGCTGGGCATCTGATTTGACCTCGGCTTCTCGTCCACGACAATTTAGGACCCCGGGAATTGGAGCCGAGCTTTGGGTAGAGACTCTGGCGACTGGCCCTCATGCCAGGGGGGCAAAGTCCACATTGCCAGATGGGTTTTCGTTTCTGAGGACCATGAATTGGCTTTTGAATGGGAGGTCGGATGAAGGGGTGGGCAACTGAGTTGCACTTGAGACTTTGCAAGGTTGATGTTTTCTCTCGATTCTTAGCCCTATTGTTATTCTTACTATGGCTCTCATGTATTCTTCTTGGGCTAGGTATGAGTGGAATTCAGAAGTTGGCTTTTATGCTCGAACCGTATCTCGATTTTACAGTGCACTGCCAGAACGGGTCTGGAAGAGCATCTAAAATAATGACCTAACTGAAGTGCCAAAAGTACATGAATCATGGAACCACAAAAACCGACAGGAAATAGAAATCCATCTAGGATAACAGCCACAAGCCAGTGGGAACATTTGCGGAAAAACACAGGGCCGTGAAGCAAACCTACCTAGGTATCAACGAACGCAGCCACATCCCCGACATCCGGTGAAAGTTGAATGAAAATGAAGACGGGAAGCAGTATGGCGCTGTGCTAGAGCTGTGGTTCATGCACGGGGGATTATCGGATGTAATCGAGGGAAAGAAAGGGAAGTAAAACATATTTGATCTGATGACTCGACTGGCCAGGTGCTTTGATGGTATGCGTAGAAATCACGAAGTACAGGAGAATGGAACATGAAAAATAACTAGGGAAAACATGCATGAATCATAAAGTGGCAATAGGTATCAGATGGTAATGGTTGATTCTTTGCTTTGGTGAAGACAGGAAGAAAGCCGTTCATGAAAATGACCATGGAAAATTCAAGACTTGGTGTTCTCGGATGGGGGATTAGTGCTTGACGAAATGAGAGTTGGCGCAACACGGCGTTTCTTGGGCTGCTGAGCCGCATTTGGCGCAATATCCTTGTTGCCCTCTGGTTCAATCTCCCCCCGCTTCCCCAGCACACTGCTGGACGTCGTGGAAGCCTGTGGGGTGCTGGAGACTGGTGTTTGAGGCGGGGTTGTAAGAGGGAGGGGGTGTGTTGCCGGCTGCGCGGAGTGTGCCGCCGTTACGGATGGAACGGTCCCGAGAGTGGGAGTTGGGTTGTTAACAACATTAGCTGGTGCCTGCTGCGCGGGAGATTGTGTTGCCACCGAGCAGGCGGAGTTGGAGCGCGCAGGACTTGCTGGCGGCACGGGACCGGTAGGGGCTGTGGACGCAGGGGTCGTCTTGACTGGGGGTGAAACATGTGTCGAGGTTGGTAAGGATGTAGTGTTTGAAGCAGGAGTGCTTGCATTTGCAGTGCTCTGGCTCATAGAGACGGGACCGGTATGTGGCTGACCCAGTTCCCCGGGGGCGAAGGAGAGGGTAGAGCAAAAGCCATCTGAAGAACTCATCAACAGTGTCAAACCATCGACAGACCTGTTGTTGGTTAATAAGCGATGCTCGAATTGATATTGGGAATTACACTTACCAGGTTAGATCTGTGAATGTTGCAAAGTGTAGGTTGCTCACAACACACAACGGAGTTTGTTGTTGTGTATCATACACCAGGACGGCATCTTGGGTGGCCACTGCATATACAACGCGATATGGGAGGGCGAATACTGGCGCAGGGCTTGCCTCGCTGCTGTTGTTATCGGCAGTCTTGGGGGCGGCCTGCGGCTTTGGTGCCTCGGTCGACGTTGTTGACGGAGGTACCATTTGGGGTTGGCTTGTGAACGAAGGGGGCGCCGGTACAACGGAGTCTGGGAGTGGTGGGAACATCTCTTCGCCTGAGGAGGTATCGAGTGTGATATTCTTCGCAGGTTGGTCGTTTTGTTTGAGCTTGTAGAATACCGGGGAGCATCTGACGGCCACAGATGGCTTCTTGTGCCCCGGAAGATGGGAAATTGGGGGCTTGTTGAAACCAGCTCGCGTGTAGACGTAGACTGTGTTGATCACTTCGTCTGTAGTTTTCGTAGAATCCGTCGCCGAAACGTGAGTGGTCTTGTACTGGCCGGCTGGGGTGAACAGCAGGCTTCCATCGGGGGCGAATGTCAGTCGCCGGAAGAATGAGGTAAATGTCTCATTGGCGTATATGTTAGCATTCTTGACCCCCACGCCACCATGTAGACTAGGAGATGAGACTTCCAATGGTTTGACAGCGGGTAAGGGCAAAGAGGGAGCAGGCGATGCAGAGCGCCGTATTGAGGGCGATGAGCCAAACGAGGAGCGCCGGCTATGTGAGACGGGAGGAGGATCCATAGGTAGATTAGAAGCCATTGGGGTGCCTGGGGTTGAAGGTGCAGGCGAGGCAATCGCGAGAGCACCAGTACTGCCCGGTTGAGGACGACTGGTCACGTCCGGGGGCGCGGGACTACTAGAGACACGTTTTGCGGGCAGGTCCATCTTCAGCACCTTACCGTGTGGTGTCAATGTGAATTGCCCATCTTTGTTTTTCAATGTGTAGATATGAACAGATCGATCGGATGACTGAGTGGCGACGAACTCATTCAACGGGTCCCATGCTACGCCTTGGACGTAATGGGAATGCTCTGCAATTTGACGTACCATTTGTCCTGGGAGGTTTGAATGTCAGCGACTAGCTGTAGAAGATATACGGAACCATCAGCAACCAACCAGTTTGAGCATTATAGATCCGGGCGATGTTGTCCATGCTCCCGGTGATGATAAAAACACCATCGGGGGACCAAGCCAGGTCGTAGATCTCAGCGCCAGACGAACGACACATATGCTTCACTCGCCATGTCTCTTTGTCGTCCGAGCGATCTTCGCCCAGCCCAGCTTGTGTCTGCAGCTCCGAGGGCACCCAGAGCAAGACATTTCCATCGTCTCCGGCAGACGCCAGCATCTCACCTGCCTCCGTCAGACCTTGGGCCATGTGTTATGGTGCAGAGGGACATACCTTTCGGGCTAAATCGCACCACATTGACGGCTTGTGTATGCTTAATGAGTGTGCTCAGATATGTCACCTTCCGTTCCTCCCCGGTCGATTCGACTTTCCAGAGCTGTATAACATTGTCAGATCATTAGTTTCGGAAGAGAACGAGGAGGAATCCATACTCGGACGTTGTTGTCACTAGAAGAGTAAAACGCAAGTTAGCCAACGTCCAGTACTCCGAGCGAAGCAGCACGACCTACTTTCCGGCAGTAGCGAGTCTGCCTTTGCCATTGGGGTCAAAATGAACCGAGTAGATAGGGGCGTTGTCATTGTGCCATGAGATGAGCAACGGAGTGGCCCTCATGGCGAGCGCAGCTCAAAAAGCCGATGAGCACCTGCGAGTTGGAAGGCGAAATCGCGAAGGAATGCAGCGACCAGTCCGGTATTGATACGCTAGGGGGGGTATAAAGAACAGAAGCTGTAGACAGGGGTTCCAAGCAATAATGCTCCAGGGAAGAGAGGGAGGTGTAGTATGAGTAGAAGAGAGTCGTGATTCTGCGATGATGCTTCGAGTTGGGGGGGACGCGACCGGCACGATTAGATATGGGCTTGGGGCTAGGGATTACTCCGTACATACCACTCACATTGGCCTCGGTCTTTGTTCTTTTTTCACTCTATGCATTCAGTTTGTGATTGGCATTGGAGTCATGTACGCTTGTTACTTGCATGATTGCCCGCATGTCGGGCATCTGACTCCATCACTAGGGCTACGGTGAAGACCATACTTGATCTCGCTCTGAGAATCGTACCTAAAATTACATTTCTATTACATCCCTAAGACAGCCATTTGCCAAGAGTCTCGCCAAACCAGCTGACAGCCTTTTCTTGTCGCTTCTGTCGAGCGTCATCCTGGGATTTCATGAACGGGGTAGCCTCCTCCACATATAGCCTCTGTTGCTCCAGCTGTGCATTGTGTGCCCGGATCTCCAGCTCCCGCTCGTGCGGTGTGAGTTTTTGAAGGGGCTTGGATGGCTTGAATCCTGCTGGAATAGCTTCGCCTCCCGGGATCTCCATGCCTTGATTTTGTTGGGCATTTGTTTGCTTCTCTGGGTTGAAGAGTGAGGCAAGAGGCGGCGCTTCAGTGCCGGCGGCCTTGGCTTCTTCGATTCGTTTTTCGTAGTCTAGCATCTGGTGGTAGAGCTTATCAGCATGCAGCTGGATCCGCTCCTCCTTTTCGGCGTCCTGGTCGAAGCTCGCCGCATAGCCGAGGGCTTGGAGGAATTTCTGCGGAATGAGCTTGTTAGCCACCAGTCGAGGCAGGGGTAGAAAGTGAGCGACTCACCGTCTGGGTCATAAAGCATCGGGAGAAGGTACTGTTTTCGGCGGAGCACAAGGTCAACCGGGCCTCTATTTGTTTGCGCCAGTTGCCGGTCTGGAAGCAGTATGTCAAAGCTTCATGTTCCAAGGCACAATTCTCCATTGCGGCCCGTTGCACGGTGTCGCCGTGCTCCTTGTGCTTTTCAATCACTCGTGACGCCCCGCGGATTCCGACTTGTTCGCCGTCATCCACCGCAGGCGGTTTGTAGGTTTTCCATAGATCGGCATAGCGGCCATCCTGGTACAGTGAAGCTGCAGGAACTTTGGGTTTTGAGGGATCAGAAGGCTCGGGCTGTTGTTCGGAGGTCGACGGTGGCGGCTTCACATTGGGGCCGGGGACATATTTGTCGGGTTTTTCTTGCTCGAGATAGTCCCGAAGCCCTGGATCGAGCTTCTGAACAGGATCGTTCTTGCTATTGCCCCCAAACCAACCCATTTGGAAATGCTGGTCAGAAGCGTAGGATGGAAGTCCAATTGTAACGCGGAGAAATCGGGACAAAAATGGATCGGCCCCGATCGCCTTGGCTCCGTCCGCAAGCGCCTCTACTCTTCAAACCAACAACAAGACGCGTCTTTTCTTGACGCCGTTCCTCTACAATGGAAGGCTGTATGTTCACTGCGCTTGGAGACCTCATGGGACAGCTACTAACTATCAGTAGCGCGAGAGGAGCGGCAGCAAATGCGACAGCGCGGAGCTGGGTACGCGCCTTACCTCTACCCCGCGAAACCACAACATAGACACTGACTCGAAGTAGCACGCGCAAAGCCAAGGAAGTGGACTTCGGCTTCGCATTTGGCAGCCCACTGGCCCAGCCACCAGCTCCTGCGCCGCTTGCTATTGTCCCTGAACCGAAGAACGTACCGCAAACACAGCCCGCGCCGGCCATACCACAACCGTCCGAGGCATCGCAACCAATTTCGCCCCCTCCTGCAGCTGCGCGTACACCGAGAAGCGCGCGTAATAATCTTCCAGAGCGGCCTTCGACCTATGACATTGCATCAGACGAGAGTGGCGAGCAGACAAGAAGCAACAAAAGGAGAAAGCTAAGTATGTGAAGGCTCTGGGTGACTCCATGCAAAGCATGAACTAATATCTATGCAAAGGCTCTCAGCCGGCCAGCGATCAATTGATTGGTGGCGAAAGTGGCTTGCGATCAGAGAATGGGGATTTGCAATCTCCCAATGGCAACGCGAATAACGTCGGGCTGCAAAGAAGCCCCATTCCAGGCATCTCTGATACAAACATTCAGAAACAACAAGAGAATCCTGAGACTGAACCTCTCCAAGATCCCATAATATCCCATCCCGAGACCTCTATTCAAGACCAACATCAGGGCAACCACGAGTCGGACGCCAATGGTACAGAACCAGCCACGCAATCGGCAACTGCTGCCGATACTGAGCAGCCGACACGTATTGAATCCCCGATAAATGAGCCCTCCGGTAATAGTGCAGCAATCAGAGAAGCACCGCCGCCGGGTACATCGTCCAAATCGCCTCAGCCCCAAGATCAAACTGAGGCATTGCAGCTTCAAAGCACTGAATCAAAGGGCTCAGATCGCAGATCCAGTCAAGCACCACCTGAAGACGAGCGGACCGGGACTCTGGTCGTTGAGCAAAGAAATGAACCAGGGAAGGAAGCAGTACAGCGCGAAAGTCCACCCGGGGAACCAAAAGATTCTCACACACTGCCTGTTGCCGCGAATGTTCGTGTAGCAGATGACCTCCAGGGTTCACGAGATGAGGCACAACAAGAACACCAGCAGTCCACTCAGGAGCCATCTGCCAAACCGAAGAAGCCTCGGAGTCGCCTCCCACGTAAAACCCCTGCTCAATCTTCAAATCCACCCGCAGACACTACAGCAAAACAGCCCGACGCAGAGCTACAAAACGAGTCCGAGTCAACCCAGGGCGAGACAGCCTCCAAGGCCAAGCGCACTAATGGTGGGCCTGCAATCGGTGAGAAGACTGGCGATGCGGCCAAACCCGACCACACATCGTCTCAAGCGGATCCTGAAACTGTTGACGTACCTCCGGGCCCACGCAGAGGCCGCAAGAAGGCGTCAGAAAAGCCTACCCATCAGCCGGAACCCGTGGAGTCTGCAGCGCAAAAGCCACAGCGAGACAGGCCGGGCAAGAGACCAAACCGCTCCTTAGAACCCGAAGAGCCCCAAACAGAGCGTCAGCCGGAGGCTGAAGCAGACGATGCAGCTGCAGTGCCCGAATCTCGGCGCGGAAGACCTGGGAAGAAACCCAAACACGCCGTGGTACCCGAGCCCGAGCCAGAACAGGAACCGGAACCTCAGCATGAGGCTTCGACCTTCAACCAACCCGAGCCAGAGGCGGAGACTGCGGCGCCCAAATCGCGGCGTGGCAGATCTGGCAAGGGAAAACGCACCGCAGAATCTGAGCCTGTGCCCGAGCCTGAGCAGCCCGAAGAAGAACAACAACCGGAACCTCAGCCGGAGCCTTCGATCATTGATCAACCTGAACCTGAGACGGAGACCGCAGCGCCCAAATCGCGGCGTGGCAGACCTGGCAAGGTTAAACGCACCGCAGAATCCGAACCTGTACCGGGGCCTAGTGAGCCTGAGCCAGAACAAGAACCGGAACCTCAGCCTGGGACTTCGACCTCCGATCAGCACGAACCTGAGGCGGAGACTACGGCACCCAAATCACGGCGTGCCAGATCTGGCAAGACCAAACGCACAGCAAACCCCAAGTCTGTGCCCGAGCCTGAGGAGCCCGAAGAAGAACCTCAGCCGGAGCCTTCGGCCATTGACCAACCTGAAATTGAAACGGAAACCGCAGCACCCAAATCGCGGCGTGGCAAACCTGGCAAGGCCAAACGCGCATCGGAGCGCGAGTCCGGGCCTGAAGTCGAGGGTGAACCTAACCCAGAAAGTGAAGCGGGACAGGAACAACCTCGTCGCAAGACTCGAGAGCCTCGCGGAGAAACCGTCCCAGTCACTGTCTATCGACTTGCCAATGTCACATCTCTTGGCAATACAACATCTACAGCCGACGCTCCTGGTGGCGATCAAGATTCTGCTGACGAACTCACTTCTGATAAACGAACCAAGATTCCCAGCCGCGGCGGTGTCAACCCTGCCGATGTGCTAAGCCAGATCTGTCGCGAGACCCTGGACAAGACATTGAACACCCTCAAGGATGGAATTGAAAAGGAGACGAATACTGCGCGACGTGCAGAGTGGTCACGCAAGAAGAAGGCAGTCGAGATATTTGGCTCCGAGCTTGACAGTCGTCTTATGGATCTCAGCGGAATGTTAGACAGCAACTTTGTGCTGGGTGTTCAACTGAAGAAGACCAAGCGAGAGATGATGGATCTTCGTGGTCAACTATACCGGGTTCGCCGAGAACGAGAAAGTGTGGCCTTGCAAATGGACGCAGTGCGCAGCAACCACGCTGAGGAGGAGAAAGCGAAAACCGTAAGTTACTCTCACAGCTTGCCCGAACATGCTAACCATTCCTAGTCCCGGAACACCATCAGCAACTCCCTCCACAGTCTTGAGCTCGCTCTTGAGCGCAATCAGCAACGACCCGGTCCCACAGCTGAGTCTACTCCGGACCTCGAGTTCATGCTCCGCACTGTTGCCGATATCAGTGCCCGTGCGCCTGGAGGCCAAGGCGGGCTTCTCAATCAGATTCGGAGTTTCAATGCGCAACTAGAAGCTACCGTGAGTCGCCTGGAGCGATAACGTACGCTATACTCTCTTATTACCTGGCGTTTGTCTATTTATGATACCAGAAGCACTTGCAATTGATCTAAGACTATGAACGGGCATGCGATGTACCACGTACAAGGACGAAGAATCCAACATATCAAAAATGATGTTCCAGGGGCACCTCCACCACCACCTGGGCAGCCCTGGAGGGCTCCAAGGCTGGAGATGTGGATTTGTAACACAGGCTGAGACCCACGGCATTATTAATTGGCCCGAGGAGCCCTGACGGCAAATCAGAGACGCCAATTGCCTGCACTTCGGAGACTTGCGAATTTGGCTATGCAGCGTTGCATGATCCACTCCTGCTTGATAATGCAGGTTCACTGGAAACGCAATGCATAAAAGGCTTAGCATCGGGAGAAATTCTCCATCTTATTTCTTGCCCACTTCAATCGCGATCCTTAGCCCTTGACTCTCTTCTATATTCACATCAAATTCAACATGACGAAACTCTTCACCCCTCTTCACGTCGGCCGTGTGGACCTCTCCAACCGCATTGCCCTGGCCCCATTGACACGATTCCGCGCCGACGATGACCACGTCCCCCTCCCCTTCGTCAAGGACTACTACGCCCAGCGCGGCTCAGTGCCCGGCACACTCCTGATCTCCGAAGCGACCATCATCACCCCCCGCGCCGGTGGCCTCCCCAATGTCCCCGGTATCTACAATGACGCCCAGATCGCCGCCTGGAAAGAAGTCACCGACGCCGTCCACGCCAAGGGCAGCTACATCTACATGCAACTGTGGGCCCACGGCCGCGTCGGCATCCCGGACATCCTCAAAGCCAGCGGCAACGAGCTCGTCTCCAGCAGCCCCACCCCCGTCAGCGAGGAAGCGCAGACACCGCGTGCGCTCTCGGAGTCCGAGATCCACGAGTGGATCGCCGACTATGCCCAGGCTGCGCGTAACGCCATCACCGCCGGCTTTGACGGTGTCGAAATCCACGGCGCAAACGGCTACCTGATTGACCAGTTCACTCAGGATACCTGCAACAAGCGCACAGATGCATGGGGCGGCAGCGTCGAGCGCCGCGGCAAGTTCGCCGTCGAAGTCACCCGCGCCGTGGTCGAGGCCATTGGCGCCGACCGCACTGGTATCCGTCTCAGCCCTTGGAGTACCTTCCAGGGTATGCGGATGAGCGACCCCAAGCCTCAGTTCGAGTACCTGGCTACGCAGATGGCGGCCTTCAAGCTGGCCTACGTGCACGCGGTCGAGTCTCGCATTGCGGGTAATGCCGATGTGGAGGCCACTGACCAGTTGGACTTCTTCTTCCAGGCGTATGGCAAGGCGTCGCCTGTGATTGTTGCGGGTGGGTACAAGGCCGACTCGGCTAAGCAGGCTGCGGATGTCAAGTATGCGGATTATGATGTGATTATTGCGTTTGGACGGCCTTTCATTTCGAACCCGGACTTGCCTTTCCGGGTTAAGGAGGGTATTCCCCTTGTGCCTTATAACCGGGATACTTTCTATGTTCCTAAGGATCCTAAGGGATACACGGACTTTGAGTTCAGTGCTGAGTTCCAGAAGTCGATTGAGGCTGCTGCTTAGGGATGATGTTTGATGATTATGGCATAGCGATGCGTGATACAATGTAAATAGAAATAGACCAATCGTGCTACTTTTACACTTGACCTGGACTACTTTTATGCCTATCACTCCGGCCTTGACCAACGTGATGTCTTCGAGTACTTGAGGCTTGTTTGCAGACTGCTGTTGTCGCTCAAGTATCCACTTCGGGGGCTCTTTTCAGCCTCAATCCAGAATGCAAAGCCATCTCAGGTATGGATTAGTCTGTGGTCTGGGAACACGTCCATGATAACTAGGTATTCGTGCATGTTACCATCCATAGTTCATACTAGGTAGCGCGCACAGTTACTGGTGCATCTCTCCCGTCTGCCCAGGAATGACAAAAGCCCAGAGCTCACCCATCTTCATGACTGGTGGACTGCTCTGCTCTTTGACATACTGGGGAAGGTGATCGCTGTTCTAAGTATCTCTTTCAGACCTGTGTTCTTGACCCCGCACGCGAACGGGAGACACGGCTTGGAATAGGTGTTGGCACTGTCTAGAGATGACGGGACCAGCGCATACACCTGGGCATTATGAGCTGTTCCTGGGCTGATTCATGGGCCGAGCCTGGGAAGGTTTGGGGTCTTGGTCTTCGCATTCATTCTTTCTGTAATGTCAATACCTGTTTTTGGCATCTGCGGAGGAATGGATGCTGTGATTCCGAGTGCCCAGAGTCGGATTATACACAGTTGGAGAAGCGAATAAGCCGATGGCCAAATGGAAGGCTGACCGCCATTTCCGTAGAATGGAAGGCAACATCCTCTTTTTGAGATGATTCTTTGTGATTCTCCAAGTCAGCTTGATCGCATGACGAAGAGTGAGCAGATGCGAGTCGAGCTCTGATTCGATAGACGCCGACTCCTCTATTTTTGGTCTTGCATGGGCATTTACCTTGCATCAACCAACACGTTGGGATTCCCCGCATCCGCGCACATCCGAAACCTCAACTTCCCAGGCTTGGTATTCCAGGCTTGGTATTTGGTATTCCGACTCGGGGGGGATGTTGCGAGTGGAACCGAATGGATCGAGTTCGTATTCTTCATGCCGAGTCTGCTTCCGCTCCGCCGAGCCGAGGACCCTTTCGATGGCGAGGGTCCTTGGTAGAATCACCCAGAGCAGCTGATTCGCTGTCTCGGTCTGAATACGGAAAACCACCACTCTGGTCCTGCGGGGAATCAGAGAGTGTGGGGGTTGGGATTTGCGGATTGCCTCTCTCGCATGACGATGCATGACGCTACCAGCACCTGGTCAGCTCTCCCCACACTGAATCGGATACAATAATTGAGGTTGGGAGTTCCAAGGTTTGAGTCTTCACTGTGGCGGTCAGGGCAGAGAACGGTGACTCGACGAGCTCATGGAGCCGCCAACAATAGCGCCGACCTTGATAGAGTAGAGTTCGCGCTTGTTCGGACAGATCTGGCGGTCTGGGAGAACACCCGAGGCCAGGTCAGATTCAAATCAATAGTACTACTAGTAGGTAGTTGACCCCGGATCACTCAATTCAGAAGCATCTCAATCACAGTACTATTGCTAGTACTGTACTCCGTACATGAGTCTCACGTTCCTTGCATTGTATGATCTATGTGATACATTTACTTCCCGTCGATCGGACTCATAATTGAGACAGTCTAAATCGACAGCACAGTGGATACAATCATAAGCTCGTCTACGCCGCACTAGCATCCGTTGAGTAAAGTCTGTGTTGTTTGTTGTCAGTCCTAATTCTGCTTACGGAGTACTCCGTCCATATATGTACTGTACATGTGTACTGGTAGATGAAACTCCATCAATCAGAATCCCGGCGGTTTGGTGGCTGACCAGACAAAAGGGCTAGATTTCCCCCGAGGCCAATGGCATCGCCCACCGTAAACGATGTGACATTGCTTGATATTGTTGGGATAAAGCTAGTGGACCTTCCTGCACACCTGATCTATGCATGCATACGGAGTACTAGTAGTCGAAAGGGTCGACATTCCGATCTCCGTACTCCGTACACGTTGCCACGCCATCAGTCCACGCTAAATCAAATCAAATCCAAAAGGGAATGCTTCCTCGCAGTCAGAACCTGAACGGGCAATCTAACACGGGCCGAATCCGAAGCCAACTGCGGCCGGACACACAAATAACTGGAGCATACTGGAGCATACTGGAGCCAACTGAGACGGGCCCACCGGGTCTGTCAGCCGTACATACTTAGTAGACCATCGAGCCATGTGGAGATGAAGCTTGACAAGCCTGCATGTCCAAGAGCCTAAGAGAATAACAAGGAATCAATAACGGGGTCTCGTGTGCGCCGATCTACTAGTAGGTTATGTACTCCCCGGACCGAAGGCCCATTCGAGAAATAGAAATTAGCCAACGCGGGTTTTTTTTGGAACTTGACATGTTCTCCCGTTTCCCCGAGATTTGAAACGTCTCCCATCCGTCTACTAGTATCCTTCCGTTGGAGTTAGATGAGGATAGACCTGACAACGGCGACTCCAGTGAAATAGCGTTCGTAGTGTATCCGTGCGACTCAAAAAAGGGGCAAAAGGGGCTCCACCCGGGAGAAGTGGAAGAATTCAATTTTCGCAGGCTAGGCTGAGCTAGAGTCCGGAGTATATAGGCACTAGTACCATACGGGTACGGAGTACCTTTGTGATGCCTTTGTCTAATAGCCCTGGAGTAAAATATACTGTAGGTATGTAGTTACGAAGACGGACTGTAGTGACGCAGTACGGGATTTGCTACGATCAGCAGGCCCACCCATCTCGCCCCCAAGTCTCCAATTCCAATGTGAGCTTCAGCCGCGCTGCGTATACGCTACTCCGTCAGTTCGTGTACGGAGACGATCGGTTGATCATGGTTTCATTGTGAATCTGAAGCCTTTGACCCACCGTATGTACATAATGGACATACATGCTCCGTACTGCCGTACGGCAGTACGGAGTACGCCTACTAGGCGGACATTGCGAATAAGAACAGCAGGATCTGCTGCAAGCTTAAAGAAAGCTATGCAGAATGCAAGGGATTGACTATCAGAGTAATAGTACTTATACCCGAGAGAACCCGCACGCCGTACCCTACCCTCAATAGCTAAGAATCCCATAGAAAATGGCAATGGCAACGGCAATGGCAATGGATAGGCGAATATGAAATCATGTAACCGTAAATGACAACCGTAACCAGGTTTCCCCCGGCTCCACTTGGCCTTTTCCCCGGGCTTCGCTTTCCTTTCATCCATCCCTACCTAGGTAGCTATGTACTATACTGCACTACTGTACAGAGTACCTAGGTACTGTACTAGTTTACTGTAGGGACTATTGATGGCTTGTCTCATCCCTGCAGTATTGTTCTTACCCCAACATTACTAGTATTCGCAGGGATAGAGGCCAATGCTTCAGCCGAGGGTATAGCATTCTCCACTTTTGACTGCCAGTGCCAATTAACCTCGCCAGTGGGACGGCTGCTGGCGGCTGCACATCACTGCGCTTTGTAAAAAAAAAGAAAACTAAACAGGAAAAAAAAAGAAAAGAGAAAAAGAAGTAAAGTTCTCGGTTCCACCTCGTTCCCTTCGCCCTCGATGTTATAACCTCTCGCTCTTACCCTGTCACTTTCTCAACTTCTTCTTAGATCAGGTGCTGTGCTCCATTGATTTATTCTTTTCCAGTGTAACTGTGTTATACTCTTTTACTTCCAGCTTGCTGGTTATTCCTTTCAACCTTACCCTTTCAAGCTTCCTTTTACATATCACTTTAACCTCAATTGCATCATGTCTGCGACAGAAGCAATTAACCACGGCGAGCTGGAGAAGGACATCGGCACCGTCCCTCAGAACGGCGGCGGCGGTGCCCCCATGCAGCCCCAGATGTCCGCCGAAGAGCACCAGGTGGCCCGCGCCGCCGCCCGCTTCGGGTACGGACCTCTCGCCCACGTCAACGACGCCGAGGCATCTCTCCCCGCCTTCGGGGGCGAGTTCCAGCCCGGTCTGTACAAGCCCGTCGAGGGCCGCAAGTTCGGTAACCCTGCTCCTCTGGGCCTGTGCGCTTTCGCCCTCACCACTTTCGTGCTGAGCGCCATCAACATGGGCACCAAGGATATCGCGGAACCGAACATTGTCATCGCCCTTGCCTTCGGGTATGGCGGTCTCGTCCAGCTGCTTGCCGGCATGTGGTATGTAACGTTTCGGGTTTCACAGTGAAATTGGGCTTGGCTGACTCGCGTTAGGGAAATGGCTGTCGGTAACACTTTCGGTGCTACTGCTTTGTCTTCGTACGGTGGCTTCTGGCTCTCTTTCGCCATTGTCTTGACTCCCGGTGGATTCGAGATTGAAAAGACACTACTGGCAGACAGCCCAGCCAAGTTCTACAACTCAATGGGTCTGTTCTTGATGGTAAGCTCGTCGCGGAAACCCTCAAGTGCTGTTCTGAACCCAACTAACTCCCGCAGGGCTGGTTCATCTTCACCACCATCATGCTGGTCTGCACTCTCAAATCAACCGTCGCCTTCTTCCTCCTGTTCTTCTTCCTGGACCTCACCTTCCTGCTCCTCGGCATCTGCTACCTGCAGCAGGTCGACGGTGCCCCCAACAGCAAGGTCCAAAAGGCAGGTGGCTTGTTCGGTCTCCTGGCCGCCTTCGCAGCCTGGTACAACGCCCTGGCCGGTATCGCCGACACAAGCAACAGCTTCTTCATCATCCCCGTCGCTCACTTCCCGTGGTCCGCCACCGGCAAGAGCCGCCGTGGCAAGACCGACTAAGCAGCGACTTGGTTTGGGGGAGAATAGTGTGCTTGTAATCTTTTTCGATACCCAAATGTTTCATGTATCGCGGGCGGATTTGCCGTCGACTCGTTCGATCGCATTTCGCCCGTCGCCTGTGACTATTGCCGTGGACGATCAATACGGAACGTTCGCGTGTCACAGTCGCAAATACGCTTGTCATCGTGCTCGTTGAGTCGATGCTGGTTGTAATGTCTCGGGGAATCTTAGCAGAGTGCTTTTGATTCCTTGATTTTTCCTTGCTGTACTTAGTCCCTTAGCTGCGAGTTTTCACACTCCGTACTTAATTCATCCACGTTAATGACAATATTGTCCTGTCTTTGCAGTTAGTTCTCACCTGTCGAGTCTTACCTGTCGACCTAGGTTTGGCGTTTCTGGAATGCATCTGCAACCTTGAAGCACCGGGGTTGTGTGACTTGGCCGTTGCAGGAATCATGGATATGCCTTGCGTTCGGGCCTCCTGCTATTGAGGCCCATGTTCAATGTGCAATGTGCAATGCTTCAGTCTTCCCAATGAGTCAAGTCGACGGGCTGAGGCTGATAGCTCAGTATGCAAATAAGCCAGATACCTTGACAGTCTGTGTCAATGCAAGCTACTCCGAAGAGAGTCCGAAAGAGTCGAAAGGTTGGGTTGTAAATAGACTTGAGTGGGTAGGACGAAGAGGAGAGAATGGGATGGGACATGTCTTTTTTTTATGCGCCCTGGGCACGTCTCGGAGGTTTATACCTTAACCCTGGCCGTAATCTGCCGCGGGATATGTCAAAGTGGAGATACTGGGTCCTTCATCCGGTAATTTCTCGGCCTTGACGTTGATGGAGCACCTTGGATCTTTTGTTTATACTACACAGTACTACTAGTACGGAGTACAGTAGTACTATATAGACTAGTTCCCATGAAGGCCTCCGACTCTCTTGACTCCTGAGATTCCCTTAGGAATTCCAGGAAACAATACTTCCAGATCAAACGAGCTCGAGCTGTCAAAATCAGCTCGAGCCAAGACCGGCCCCTATCCGGCTAAAACTCGGTGCTGACGCTGACAGCTCTGCAGCGTATCAGCATCAACACGACGGAGATGCTTCGGAATCGGGATGCCGGCTTGTCTTGGTGCCCAGGTGGACTGATCAGCATTGTTTGATGCCGAGGAAATTGACCTGTTCGATTGGACGTGTTGCACTTCGGTGTTTGCTCGCATTCTTGGATCCTGGATGTACCTAGTCTCCACAGACCTTGGCACAGCGGGATAGAATCAGTACTCCTGCATTCCAAGTTGGACATCGGGATGCCGAGTGCATACTTGCTACTTACTACAGTACGTCTACAGTGGGTACTGTACTATAGAGCTGTTGAGATGTGAACGCCGCGCAACCTTGCCATCGGTTGCCATGCTAGGATGAATGGGCTATATACATTGAGTCTGTGTGTACAGAGCGTGGCGAAATATAAGTACAGAAATGATTGGCTGTACGAATATGAGTCTGAAACTCCGCTAAGGATACCAGCCAAGCCAAGCAGCCAAGTTCACACGGGAGAGTGGCCCAATTGGACTCGACTCTCGTCCCAGATCTGACGAAGCATGGGCAGATGAATGCGATCGACATAGAAGAATCCCTGCAAGACAACCCGTGCCTCCTGCCACGAAGTGATGCCCTGCAGACGGGCTGCAGTAGCCAGCTCAGATACAAAGAAGACTCGCTCTGATGGCAGAGTCGCGCTGCAAGCTGCGCCCAGGAAGAGCTGCCAGAAGAGTAAGTCACGGCACAGCGCGAATAGCCCAGAGGGGATGGTGGCCTCGAGGGCTGCGCGCAGGGCCAGAATGGGTTTTGGGAGTAATTGGGCGACCATGGGGTAGAAGTTCCAAATGGCGCTGTTGTGGAACAGCAGGAGGGCAAGGCGGGTGCAGCCCTCGATTGAGTTATCGCCCTTTACTTGGCCTGTTGATGTGTATCGGTCTGAATGGAGCTGGTATTCTACTTGCAGGACCTCGGAGTTGAAGTAATCCTCGGTTTCGTCGCTGAACTCCCTGTATCCGGTATTACCTTTGATCCATTCTGCGTACCAGGATAGCTCGAGGAGATCATATACAATTTGCTGCATGGGTTCGCCAAAGATGCCGGGTATCTTGAGCAAGGGGAAGAGGCGGGTGGAAAGCAATGCTACGTCGTCGTTGGGTGGGATGATGGAGAGCTGTGGCGGGCGGTTACAGCGGACAAAGGGGAAGATGGGCTTTGCGTGTGCCATGCAAGCGACCCGGATGTCAGTCCTGTGTCTGGTCAGTAATCTTGTGCATCCCACACTCATGGGGGAATCGCAAACCATGAGATTTGGAACCGGACATCTGAAGGGACATCATCGAAGCCCTTTCGCAGCGCGATCATCTGCCGCAGTCCGGCCAAGTGGATTTTGAGGTAATCTGGATTACCTGATGCGATCTGCAATGTCATGTCAACACCAGCACGAATGACTGTACTGATTTGCGGGTCAGCTCCAACATCCGTCACCTGTACTTACTTCAATTGTCAGCAGCGTCGACACGGCAGCGATCAACACATCGCTGGACGCCTTGACTGGATCTGACAGGCCCTCGTTGACCAATCGGATGGTCTCACCACGATGGTGAAACGTGTCGATCACCAATTGACTGCGCTTCTGGTTGGGATCTCGAATTGGCAGCTCCCCTGCCTGCATAGCGTCATTGGACGATGCCATGCAGATTGTCGCGTGTAAGATTGCCGGGTCGCGCTGAATGAGCGTCGCCCAGTGCGCCTGCAGCTTCGGCTTATATCGGGTCTGCAATGGGTGTGCCTGTTGAGTAAGATCCCAAAGGACTATAGCAATATCAGTATCTGCGTAGAGGGGTACCTGGTGCAGTGTCGCAATAAGCACTTACAGACTCGCAGATGTCGCATCATTCTATCTGTAAGCTGTGTATGACCGGTATTAAAGGGATCATTGGCCCCTTGTCCGATATAAGACCACGCGGATGGTCTAGGGTAAGCCACGCTGCTGTCGAAGCCCATGCCATCCCAAGACGGAACCGACACCTCGGCATACCCCGCGGATGTGGGTATGATTTCTTCAACGTCCAATTCTTGTTCCTCGGACATTCGACTGTTGGCCAAGCTCGCGGGCGGGGTGATGATCGACGGGGCAGGCCCGGCCGGCACGAGGGCCTGGGTCTCCGTGATAGGCGGTTCATACGGCGATTGCTTCCATTTGCTTTTGTTGTATTGTTTCGTGCTCTCGATGCGCTTCTTTCTGTTATGCTCGGACATGACATGAGACCGGATTCTTTTCAGGGTCTCCTCTTTTGTGCCTTCCGCCGCAGTCTGCGCATCGCTGTTGACCCAGAACAGCGTTGATTTCCCCGCCGAGGCATTGCCGGTTTTGCGGGGCTTGCGGACCTTCGAGGCTGCATTGCGACTCGAGGTAGCTGGGGCGGCCGTGGTCGGGGGTTTTGGAGGCGCAGAGGTCGCTGGCGGAGCTGGCACAGGGTGCGCGATTGTTGGATGTCCATTGTAGCTCTGAGCGGAGACGTAGTTCGGGTGGGTCGGATCGGCAACTGACGACCGAGTCAGAACAGGCAAGGTCTGCTCCTGGCCAAAGTTGTCCATTGGAGAGAGGTTGAAGACGAAAAGGAGAAATCCAGCGGGGTAGAGTCCAAATGTACGAAATTGGAGTGCCAAAGTGATCGAATCATCGGGTCCCGCTAGGTACTTTAGTGCACTGTGCTCTAGAAGCTCTGCCGATCTTTGACTCCTGCCGGTCTCACCTTGTGCCTCCGGACTCCGTGTCCATCACTTTGGTAAATGTCTCCAAATATAGATGGGGATCTTCGTTTTCAGGAGATTTTGCGCCATCGTCCTTTCCCGTCAGCACTAGCAACCCTTAGGTCATCATGCAGCCTGCCGCACGTCAACGTTGTCCGACGTGCAGTTCTCAATTATCGTGTGAGGTCGAGAACAGTCATTGGGGTTTCTTGAACTTGCTATTGGATATCTGAAACCTCACATCGCAATGGAGTCCTGGAGACAACTACTAATTACCTAATGACTTCCACCCGTCAACTGAGCCTGTGGAAGGAAACTGAATCCCGAGCCCTCATTGAGAGATACATCGTCTTGATTCAAGTCTGCGTGTTCCCAGGGATTGATTGTAACCAGCTACAGGAGGCATATCGAACTGGGAAACAAGAGATACGAATAAGATAGTCAAAGAAAGATAGTCTAACGGGCGTCGGGTTGATTCCGAGATGCAAGTGGGCTGCGCCAAATTTAAGTCATGCCGGGGCGCGGGAAGATCGGCACCGTGTCCAGCTGTTCCAATCCGCCCATAGTGCCAGTCTGTCCGCTATGCTGCCAGCCTTGTCCGGTCTGCTGGTTGACAAACTGACTCTGTCGGAACGGGTTGGTGCTCCCAGTTGGGTTGGGCTGCAAGGGGGCCGCTGCGGGTTGAGGAGCGGGAGAGCTGCGCGCAAAGGGATTGGTCCCTGTCCGCTGAGGTTGAATGGGCTGCGCTTGTGTGGGAGGGATCTGCGGGGGCGGGGGTAAGGGAGGTTGGAATTGCTCGTGTGCGGGATTATATTGAGGGTTGGCCATAGAGAGCCTTTTGGCGAATGGGTTCGTGTTCTGCCGCGAGAGAGGGGCAGCGGGGGGAGGGCCCGGGGAAGAATTGACCATCATAGACTGACGGAAAGGATTGGTGTGTTGAGGCTGCAAGGGTTGAGGTGCCTGCTGCTGTTGAGGGAAAGAGGCAATATTTTCTTGCGGAATCGGAGCCAATTGCGACTGGTAGTTGTACTGCTGAGGCTGCGCGGTGTATCCACCAAACCCAGCTCCAGTTGGCATGGGCTGAAGTGGCTGGGGTTGCTGGGGTTGTGCTTGCGCCTGTGGCTGTCCAAATGGATTATTAGGGCCCTGTGCTTGATATGGCGCTCCAAATGGATCCGGCTGCCCGAAACCAGTCGCCTGTGCTTGCTGTGGAATCGCCTGGGGCTGCTGCTGGAAGCCGGTCTGCTGGGGGAAGAATTGCTGTTGCTGCGGCTGTTGGAATCCGCTTTGTTGGTATTGCATCGGGGCCGCTTGTCCCATCGGTTGTTGGTTTTGCTCAATCGAGTCGAAGAAGTCGATCAAGTCCACGGGTGCAGGTTTGGCTTGCTCAGGCTGTTTGGGAGGGTTGAAACTTGATGTGTTTTGCATCGATGTCGGCTTTTCGGTGGCAGGCGCAGTGGCTTCCATACTTGGTGGAATGGGAACTCCTTTCTTTGCCAGATACTCCCGTCGGCGGAGGTCGAAGTCGGGATCGTTTAGATCATCCTCTAGGAGCCGTGCCAAGTCTGTAGAGGCGTGTTTAAGCTTAGGGATCTCCAGGCGGGTGGCAGATTGGAAATGTCTTGCGACTCCCAGGAACTGGACCACTTCTTCCGTCTGCTTTGTAAATGTCTTGTATATGGCCAGCGCGCGGATACTGTCCGGCCGCGACATCTCAAAGTAGTGTTCTGTTTAGAACCAAAGTCAGATCAAGAGCATTCTAGAAGGGAGAATGAGCCTACCTAGAACATTGATAGTCCCCTCGTTCATGACCGAATATAGCGTCAATAGGTCAAGGGTGAGCAAGCGAAATGCGGTCAGGCTGATTTCGTTCTCCGGTTCATCCGACAGAAGCTACACATCGTCAGTCGTGAGAAGCGCACGATGCGGAGACCACCCACCTCGCAGCGTAGCAGCACGCGGATCTGCTTCTGCACAATCTCGGTCTCCCTCAACAAGCCCTTGTCCACGCCTATTCTTTTCAACCGTCCAGGTCCACTTCGCACATGGTCCGTCTTTGTTGCCTCGAACGCCTTGGCGCGTGTGATCAGGTATTCGGCGTAGCGCCGGATGTTGTGTCCCTGCGATTGCGCTGAACATTATATTAGCAAGGCGCGCTTCCAACCATGAGTCCCACTACACCAACCTTCGGAGAAGTTACTGGGCGCAATCTTCCTTGGATTATCGGACAGGTATCCCAGCGCGGCGTCCAGTTGACCCTCGCGGATCATTAGATGAAGAACAATGAGCGCTTTGAACACGATCGTCCATGCTGAGTCCCGGAGACGAAGTTGAAGCGTTCGGAATACCTCTGCGACTCCTGCCTCGCCGGTGTGAGTTGCCACAAGAATGTGTTCGATGTATTTGGATTTAGGGGCTGCGAGCTGTTCGCACCGATAAGTTAGTGAGTGTCACACGCAGAAAAGCGACAGAGGTTCCGAAATTACCTTGAGCTTTGTGGCCCCCTTTACCGACTTTTCAAAACCCCCAGGCATGTTTGTGAAAGTCGCGAAATTGATGCCCAAGCCCCCGGGTGTTGAATGACGACAATGCGAGCCGCGACGAAATCAGATTTCGATGGGAAGACTGGAGAGCCTGCTCCAGGTATCAATGCCCTTATAGTGTTCAAAGAGCTCTTAAATCATCACATGTATCACTCATGACGTGGCTCATTGAGCCATGCTGAGAGGCCAAGGTTGATTTTCGGATAGGGTCGAAGATTCGATCGGAAGGGTCGGATCAGATATTTGCAGGTGCGATTTCAACAAATTGACAATGTACCGCGAGGGAAATGGATAAGGATAGCACAAACAGATGCGACGCTCCCAAGGGTGGAAGAGGGAGTTCCTGGGGGGCGGAGTGCATGTTCCTAGAGGTAGCCTAATCGGGACTAGCGCTGTTTGGCACGAGGATCGACTGCATGAAGTATAAGAGTATAGAGTCTGTGACTGTACTTTGAAGTACTCATATTGGCTTTTATTTGAGATTCAATTTGAGTACTCTGGTCTCTCTATCAAGTTGTATAGCCGGGTAGATGCTGTGTTATGTTCTAGGTAACTTGTTCACTCTGTCGATATATATCCATGCGAATGAATTAGAATGGAGGCTATCTAGGTATTGAACGTCTTCTCTGTGCCTGAAACATCACGAGATCAGACGAGTGAGCGGATTCAGACAGCCTTGAAAGGCTCAAACGGCATAGAAACCCAATAAGGTATAGTCATTCAAATCCAAGATGTATAGCCAACTTGGAAGATCCCTCGAAGAGTCAACAATGTCAATTTAGAAGGAACATCGAGTAGAACTTTCCAATGTTCTATAGCCTTGGAGCCTTGAAGATTGGAGCCTCCTCATTTCGCAATTTCTCCCAATCTCTCTTCTCACTTCAACCCTTTCCTGGGCTTCCCGCTTCCTTAATGTTGATTTGATCCTGCGACCCAGAAACGCTGCCCTGTCCCTTGACATCAACTTGGAAGCGCTCTGCTCACTTACCTACCCAGATCTCACAAAACAACACAGACTCAACATGAAAGTTCCAAGGTCCCGAAGAAGACCAAATATCCAGTGGGACACGCGAAAGCGCCAGGTGCTCTGCTGTTTGTTTCGCTTTTTTTGCCGCGACAACAAAAAATGGGAAGAAATATTCTCTCACATGTTCAGATCTCATTTGCTAGAGCGTGGTATAACGGGCTTCATTCCATTTACGACCCTCAATATCCAATGGGTCAACATGAGAGAGCATGGGGATTCTATATGGCACCGTGTCCATATTGCAACTGATTTCAGGAAAGACGGGGAATGGCAAGATATTATCTCGAGCATTCACTCCACGGCACAGTTATTACACCTTCAAATCCAAGAGAAAGATTCAGACTCCGTGGACATTTCCCGTTGGAGACACCCGGCAACAGCCCTAACCATGCGCAACAGACAGGTCCCTGCACCTGCAGTTCCGGTTAGTTGGTTTGAGAACAACGGTTTGATTCACCCAAGTTTTGACACCTTTTTGTCAGGATGACCCACCAGATAGCCTTGCTTCAGCTCCAGCCACCAATCGACTCATGGCATTCGCTTGGCATGGGAACCAAGATCAAGAAACCAGCCCTTATTTTGGCGACTGTGAAGATGAACCTGATACAGAGGCCAGCGCAATAGCCCATGAGGATGAGTCCGAGCAAAGACAACCGGGCAGCAGTCAACCAGTCGTGACTAGTCATGGGAAAGTTTGTCTCTGGTGTGAGCAGTGGGGACCGTTGGTCGACGAACAGGCTGATGCCTCTGAGTCTGCACAAGCCATGATACATGACCTGGAAGGAAATTACGATATGCACAAGGATAAAAACAGTTCGGGCAGAACTCGACGGGATCAGCAGCAGGACCGGAGCCAATCCCACCCTAGCGAACATGGCCGTAGCAGCTCTGGGGACGTTTCCATGGAGTCGCCAACCAGAGTTCCAACGAGAGAACTTTTCGACCTAACCGTCGAGGATGAGAACGCCAGCGTACAAAGCGCCTTGCAACACGAGTGGCCATCCGATGATGAATATCCTGATACACCAACCCCATGCCAAAGAAGACATACTCGAGTATCCGAGGAAGAAAACACCCACCAGGGTCACACGAATGCCAATGAAGTTGCTCAGATTCAACTACTATTCCCAGACGGATCTTGGAAAAATGGGCATATGAACAAGTAGGGAAGATCGGAAGAGACCCATTTCCTCTGCGATTTCGACGAGCGTTCAGAGCCCCGGTGACTTGTGTCGAAGAAAACATGTTGTCGTGTTGTACCTTAGCAATGCAGTAAGGCGAATCATAAACCCCAACCTTGGAAAGCTACAATGTGGCCCAATTGTGACCCTCTTTACTTGTTGATGCTTTTTGTCCAATCTTGTCTGCTACGTTTCGAAGAGTACCGAAGTTTTGCTCTCCACAACACCACTGAATGATGTAGTATAGCTATTTCCAAAAGGCAAGATAGCTGTGTTGATGTTGGTCTGTATGCTACATACTGATACTACGAATGTTCAGATGCTTGAACCCTGGGAATAAATGCGCATACATCTGTCAGTGGATCCAAGTCAGTCATCTTTAGCTGAGCATGATGATAGGCCAATTGACTGGACCGAGAAGGGCCTCAGATCATATGTAAAGATAAATTTTGATTGAACCCAGCTTGTGGGAAGCCTTGATAATGATCAGTCGTTGCCGAATGAACCCTCGAGACTTCACCGGACACAAAAGAACAGTATGAACTTCGCAGAGCTCAGCAAGGCACATGATGTTCGATGCGACGATCGTACAGAAATATGGCGTAATACACTACAGCATCCATGTCATGCGGCAGTTGCTGCTATGAAACAGGGTATAGAACGGAATCTCGTTGCAACTCTGTGGGTACCTAGAGAGGCAGGAAGAGCCTGGAATGCGCAAAGAGACAGACTTGGATCAGGTTGTCATAGATGATCCATCTTTCCCAAATCCAGAGCTGTTGTACAGTTTCCATCGCAGACGAGTTGAAGAAATCTTTTTGATTTTTGCATGGATACACGTCCTTCAACGAGGTATCTGGGACATTGAGACTCGTAAACTATCCCGACCCCCGTCCAAGAAATTTCCTGGTATCCGATCCATACCGCTTCCCTCGCCCTCAAAACACCCGGTTGATTCAACGCTTAGAACTTGGCGAAAGACTTGACTGTAGAGAGAATGTGGGTCAGACATATGCTTTGAAGGGTGATGCCATCGTCGCAACTTACCGGCCTTCTGCTTAGCGGGGAGAACCTTAAGCACGTTGAAGCGAACCTGGAGAAAAAAAGTCAGTTTTTGTTGGCTCGAGATTTTGGAGTGCCAGGGTCCCATTTCGATCGCGGATTGCGACTCAAACTGGTGCCTTTGGCGATCGAGCCATAGAGCGGCAAATCTTGGATGAACGTACAGTCTTGGAGAGGGGACGGCACTGGCCAACAGTGACGGTGTCACCCTCCTCAACACGGAAAGCGGGGGAGACGTGGGCAGAGAGGTTCTTGTGGCGTCTCTCGTAACGGTTGTACTTGGGGACGTAGTGAAGGTATTCACGGCGGATGACAAGGGTACGGTGCATCTTGGTGGAGACGACCTTTCCGGTGAGGACACGACCGCGAATGCTCACGGTACCGGTGAAGGGGCACTTGTGGTCTGTCAAATGAGCATGTTAGTTGAATGAACCGTAGGAAAAGCCCTTCGAGGGACGCAGATTTGGCATGAGTGGTCTTTTCATTCGGACATTTCACGAGACAAATTCCTTGAGCGGATGTTCTGGCGATTTGTCGACTCCTTCGGGAGAGTTTTTTTTTCCAATGCGACCCCCTCAATCACCAATTTGTATCCGTGAAAAGACCATTCATCCTCAAATTCCGCCATCACTTCTTCGAGCGTAGCATTCTCAGCGGAGGTCGTGCATACCGATGTAAGTACCCTCAATGGCGGCCTTGGGGGTACGGAAACCGAGACCGACATCCTTGTACCAGCGGCGGCCCTGGGCAGACTTCTTGGAGGAAGCCTTGGCCTTGGTGTTAAGGAAGATGTGAGGCTGCTTCTGGAAAGCGCGCTCCGACTGGACGGTCAACTCGGTGGCCATTTTTGCGGTGTTGTTCGACGAGGAAGCGGTGTCGAAGATAGGGCGGGTTGTCGGCTGTCGAAGATGAGGAAGATTCGACGTCGGGGAATCTTCGTTGTGCGGCGACTAGTCGGCTGGGCCACTAATCCCGATTGGGATTAGGGCATAGGGCTTTCCACGATTGATCATGTACATCACGTGACTCGAATAGAACCCCAAGTACAGAGTATTTCGACCACCAATTCGAGTAAAATGCTCATATTTTGAAGTGTAAAGTACCATTTGGAACGATGTGAAGAGCACAGATTCAATTGAAACCATCCCGGTCGGCCTAATTACCTACTAAATCTGCAGAAGAGGAGTGAATCAAGACAGATCAAGGGAGAGAAGCAAATAACGTGACAGATCCGGCCATAGTCTAAAGGATCGAAGTCATTAACAACCATGAAAAGATGCTACTTATGCTGATATATTGTATACTTGTACGTGGCGTATGGAGAACTCTGGGGTGAAATCTTGCTTTAGCTTCCAAGGTTGTCAACAAAGAAAGTTGATTCTGCAAGGAAGCACGGGACCAGACAGTCAGGATGAATCCACCACTAGCTAGGAAATGCCATCAAAAACTATCTCTCTCCAAGCACCACGGCATAAAAACCATGAGTGCTGGCGGATACTCCGTATAGATATGTACGGAGTAGACCAGACCCACTGCTCTGACCAAATAGAATAATCTCGGGATCAGATCTTGTCACGGGACCCCTTAGTCATATTGTGCCCGCGCTGTTTGTTTACATGGTTTGCAGAGCAACCCCAAATCGTATGCTATCGAGAGTGCTTTTCGCCTGACCCCCATAGCTGTCGGAACATGGCCACGCGACTCGGACCAATTTACTGAATGCGCCGAAATCGCCCAATATGTCAACTCGCGCCGACTCAGCGGCGTCCCGTCCGCGATCGCGCCGGTCTATCGCTCATGTCCCGCGGTCGAAGATGACGTCCGGCTTGGACAAGGAGAACTCAACGGCAGAACTAAGGGCCCAAGCCTTCGCAAGTAGCTCGAAACCAGCAACCAAAGACAAGAAATCCCGCAGCAAGAGTCTCGGACCCGGTGGGCTCGATGCGCTCCAAAGTTCGCATGGTAACCGCCGACAGGTAGCTATCACCCAGACCCCTCCATGCGCGCATGCACGGAGCAACGGAATACCTCTAACCCGAAACTTGTATATAGTCTACGGCCTCTTTTCCACTGAAATCAATTCTGAAACCTACCGTGCCCGTCTCTCCCGTGCGAAACATTCCCTCGTTCGAGGAAACGCGCCGACGCACGCCCGCTCGCATGAACCAACCGAGTCACGATGGAGCAATGGATGGAAATGGTTCTGGAAATCAAGGGAAAGAGGGGCTCCTGATCGACTTCGAAACAACGCCAAAGCCCCCCGCCGCCGGCAGTGGGATTGACGATAACGACGACACCACGAACCCATTTGATACCTTCAATGCAACGTCTGCCATTCGGGAAGAGATGGCGGCGACGAAAGAACGCGACGAGAAAGAGCGTAAGGATCGTGAGCGTCAGAACATATTGGAGAAACGAGAAGCTCGACGAAAGTCTATGGGTTCGTCTTCACTCTGCTCGATTACAGAGTCAGATGCTAATACTGAATCCCGTAGCAAACCGCCGTGTGTCGTTTGCCCCTGAAGCGACTTTGCACACGTGGAATGTGGTAGAGATTCCCGACGACTCCACGGCATCATCGGCCGCCAACTCGACAAGACGTGCGTCTGCTGCCGCAAACTCCCAAAATCAACCCGCCCCTCCTTCTCCCGAGAAGGATGATCCGTCTTCACCCGCAGAATCTGAATTTGGTTTCTCACCTGTCCGCACACAAGACCTGGAACAAATGAGGGGAGGCCACCAGGCATACACCAGTGGCGGCGACGACCAACCAAATGAAATGTCTTCTAGTCCCTTCAGTGGCAGCTCAGTAGGAAGTGAAGACACCGGCGCACAAAGCATGGCCGGTGAAGAGGACGATGGAAGCAATTCGGAGTCGGATGATGGATTTGATGGCGAGAGCACCGCCATGAGTATGGATGACATGACCGCCCGATCAGGAGTCAGTGTTCAATCGGATGCGACCTCCAGCTCCAGCTCTAGCAGCAGACTCAACGAAGCATTGCGCCAGGCTGCAAAAGAAGCAGGAACCGAGATTGACGAAGATGGAGAAATGTCAATGGAAATTGCAGACCAAGAAATCACCGGTGCCTTCCAGCCGTGGATCAAGAAGGGCGAGAGGAAAAGTTTCGATTGGGGAGATATCAGTGCAAAGCAGGATCAGGAGAACGTGGATCCCTACAAGTCTCCTGATGCCCCAGGGATGCCGGAATCAGACGATTTTGACGAGGGCGAAGACCTCAGCATGGATGTGACTAATGCTGTCGGACGCATTCTTGGAGGGCCCCCGGGCCATCGTCAGAGCATAGCTCGTCGTACATCCACGGCAGATGAATCCAACTATGGCGACCAAACCATGGAGATGACGAATGTTGTGGGTGGTATTGCGCAGGACAATTCGCCCTCAAAGTTCTCCGAGAATGACGACGAAGGAATGACAATGGAGCTCACTTCGGCCGTCGGCCAAATCCTGGGCAATCGCCCTTCTCAAACATCTAATCCTGATGCCACGAACAGCGACCAAGACAACTCCTCGGAAGACGGGATGGACATGGAGATCACAGGAGCCATTGGAGGAATCCTACAATCAGGGATCGAAGCCAACGACAAAGTACATGCAAAGATGGTCATGGAGCTCGAGACCGACTCGGGGCAAATAAACAGCTCGCCTTTCCAAGACAAAACACAGCAGTCACCTGCTAAGTCACCTGCTAAGTCACCCGCCAAGTCACCTCTGGCCTATCAAATTGCTGCTGTGGCATCTGAGAGTGGCAGCCCTAGCCTGGAACAAGTTCGGGCTAGATCCTCGCGACGAAGCTCTACCAGGGGATCTTCAAGCACGCCCAAGTCGCCCAACCAACAACAATCCCCTCACAATAGACCATCGACTCCCCCGGAACAGTCCACACCCCAACCGAAACCAGCTACCCCAAGCAAGACGCCTCCATCTAGCAATGTGTCTTTCCGGTCTGCATCGCCAAAGAAACTTTTCAAGCCTGAGCTTCGCGAGTCAGCAGAAAAGCGAAAGTCCCTTCGTAAAAGTCTTTTCGAGCACAATGCAGCCACTGGAGAGTCCACGCCGATGTTCAAATTCCAACCTCGCGAGGGTCGCCGCTCGTCTGGGCTTGGAATTGACAAAGAAGGCCTCGGATCTCCTCGCGTGGCTGCCTTGCTTGATACACGCCAGTCGTTGGGAGATAGTAGCCCCCAGTTCGTTCCCAAGGAGAATCCCCAATCCGGCGTGCGCTTTGAAGACCCTGTCCGAATGCAAGAGGAGGAAGAGCGTGATCGCGAAGAAGAGGAACTCAGAGAAGATGGTCATTTGGCGGCTGCACGGTCAGATAAAGATGTCACGTCCAGTCTCAAGGATATGATCTCAAGTCTCAGCCCGAAGAAGACTAAGATTGGGAGCCGCAAGAGCCTGCACGTTGGGGCTGCTCGCGGCATTCTTGGCAAACGCCCTGCTGAACTAGACTTGGATGAAGAGGATGTTGAGAACTCGCCCAAGCGTCTCCGTGGGCATGATGTCAGTCCAGTCAAGGCTGTCAGGTTGCCAGCGCCGATGGCCAAGGATGGGAATGTCCGTCGGTCAATGCTTTCCCCTGTTCGCAAACCTCCTAGCTCCTCGCCTCTCAAAGGTAGCACTACGCCTTCACAAGAACCACTCACCACTGCGAAACCTTCGACAAGCCCTCTCAAACATGGGCTAGATGCCCTTCACATCGCCTCTGATCCGCAGCAGCAAGACGATGAAGCCGAAACTCCGGTTGAAGAACCTGTGGTCGAAGTTGAGCCTATCGAACTCCAGGACTTCCTGAAGATGACCAATATCCATTTTATGGAACTGACCACGACAAAGAGGCGACACACAACTGCCCCCGGGAGCGCGACTAAGAAATTGGTCCGCGCATCAGGGGAGAATTTACCAAAGCCAGGCTCCATCACATTCGATGATTGCGTGGCAGCCGGATTCTGCACCGTGCCAATGCTTGAGCTATACCAGCATGTAAGTTCCAGTCGCCCCATCCATCTCTTCCCGCCTAACCATATCACTAGTCATGCCGGGAACTGAAATCGTACATTTCCGAGGGCCGTCAAGTAATCCGCTCTATCGAAGTTGAGACATTTGCCGAAAACCCGCCACTCTTCCAGGAGTATGTTACTGCTCCGCCAGACATCCGATTGATTATGGACAACCAGTTCCGAAATGTCAAGACCCATGCTCGCTTGCTGAGCAAGGCCACTTGGTATGAATGGCGGATGAAGCTCCTGGATGGGCTCAAGGAAGGGCTCAACCGCCACGTAGAGGATATGAAGGCAGACGATCAGCTGCTCATCGAACGCGAGGAAGTATTAAGCCGCCATGTGCCCTCCCTGGTGGAGAAACATGCTTCTCTTGAACAAGAAGCTACTACTCTTCAAGAATTGGTTGATGAGATGGAGAATTGTGACCAAGAGGAATTATCCAGCACGCGCAGCAAGCTATCTGAGATCGACTCTGAAATCGCGGCCAAGAGACGAGAACTTGAATTGTTGCAGGCAGAAGCCCAGGAGAAGACGGCTACAATCGAGGCTGGCACCGAAATGCGAGATGAGTTCCTGGCTCAAATACAGGAGGCGGAGCGAGTGAAAGAAGAGTGTCGAGGCTGGAGTGCTCGGGAGATCAATGGCTTGAAAGGTGAGAGTCCTTACTTGCACAAAAATGGGAAAGTTGCTAACCTGGAAACTAGCTTCGGTTCAACTCATCGAGCGTCAGACTGGCTGGTCAATCAAATCAGCCTCAACTCCATCCGAATATTCAGTGGGGCCGCTATTGAAGATGACTTATCGAGATCAACTCCGGTTGGAATTCTATCCAGGGGCCTTTGCCTCTAACACCAGCGACAGTGATGAGATGAAAAACTCACCGATTGAACTCAGCTTCCAAAAGGGTTCCAGTATCTCACCCATGGCATCCTTGGTGCTGCACTCCTTGCAACAATACCTAGCTACGATCCGGCAATCCGCCGTCGAAGCCAGACGAGTATTGAAACTTATATCGGATGCATGGGACCGCGCCGTCGGCCTGGAAAACGAGGCCCGTATGCTTGAGTTCTGCGGTGTGACCCGTCTCACTTTATCAAAGCCGGAGGATGGCTCCATTTCTCTTCGCGCTCGATGTACGCTTCTCGGAAATGCCAACACTGCAACGCCAGGCCGCAAAAGTCTCTCAAAAGGCAACAATGCCAAGAGGATCGATGTGGATTTCATTGTTCGCACGCGCATTGACCCGCCCAGCACAGATAACGAGGTCGGGTCCCTGGACTTCGACATTGACGTTCTGGCAACGAAAGTGTATGGATTCGGAACGGGGAATAAGTCTGGTCTTTCCGACAAAGAGCTGCAAAGCATTCTCGGCAAGGGGATTGACCAGAAGGATGGCAATCCCCAGCTAGGGAATGGTCAATGGTGTGAGGCAGTTCGTGCGCTCACAGCTTCTGTTTTCTAATTTCAGTTATGTTTTTTAATGATTGTTTGGGGGTTGGGTCAGGCTGGGTCAGGCTGGATTTCGGAATGATGGCGCAGGACAATGCTATTAGCCTATCCTAGGCGTTTTATACCTTTCTCTAACGGTAATGTTCATTCAATTGACACTTGTTAAACTATCGATATCCAACATTAATCGGTGATGCCCAAGTGTAATGCTGGCATCTATATTTGACATCAACCATACATGGATGGAACAGTTTTGTATATTTGGTCCGAACATGGCCGAGGGAAATATCTATAAAGTGGATACACAAAGAGAAGACTGATACGCTAACCGATTCAAAAAGCGATACACTCCCCAAGCTCTAGCTAGGCACAACCTGGAACTAGAATAACCCCAAAAACCCATTCGACCAAACGGAATCAGATCCATGATACCCACTCCCTTGGCCATCAGGCGCATACCCAAAGCCCATATCCTGGCCATCCAACCCAGTACCCTGTACATTACCATCAACGGCAGGCGCGCCATTCATGAACGACTCAGCCGATAGAATCGGCATAGATGGATATGAATTCGCTTGAGCGGGGTTATACTGGAAATTATGTTCTGGGGGGAAGAGGCCCGCGAAGAGGTTTCCACTGTAGTCCCAATTGCCATCCATTGGGACCTGGAAAATGTCCGGGATCGGGTTCTCACTGTTGTAAGGATCTGGGGAATGGATGGCAGTGCTTGGTGTTGTGGAGAAATCCTGGGATAGTTGCCATGCTGGGATGGGGGCTAGGAAGGCCGAGGTAGTGGATTCGTCGATGAGCGGCTGGTCCGTGTTTATGGCTTGGCTGGAGCTTGGACTGATGGGTACCACGTAGCCGGATGAGTTGATGGGTGGGAAGCCTTCTAGAGAGTCTGGGATTCCCATGTTCGTTTGTTTGACATTTGGTGGCTGGACGGGAACGGTGGTGGGCGTCATTGTTCTGAGGTTTGTGGGTCGATGCTGTTTTGTGTGCCGTGCAGCTGTGGCTTGGGGGTCGTCTCTTCTCTTGGAATTGTGTTCTTTGCTCTGCTCGGAAGAAAGTGCTTTTTTCTGGTCTTTCTCCACTACGACTCTGGCAATGCGCTCCAAAGTGGCACTTATGCGGGTCATGAATCCTGCATAGTTGTTTGATTGGCCATTTGGGGTGAGAGTCGCAAAGAAGGTTGAGGCCATGTTGAGGGATTGGAGATCTGCTCGAACTTGGGCATGTCGAGTATCTCGTAGAATGGTTGAAAATATCGTTGTGGCTGCTAAAAATACGTAGTAAAGCAACGACCTGATATATGGATGATGAGATTCGAGCTTGTAGACTGTGAATAAGAGGGCATAAACTTACCAGGTCCAGGCGATGTCTCCCCATGGCATATTATTGATGAGCTTGAGTGTATTTCGAGCAGCCTGTGCTCCAATGGCTCCAGATTTTGCAGCATGTGCGTTGCTGAGAGACTGAAGCTCCTGTGGCTCATCTCTGGCTGTCACGATGTAATTAATAAAGAGGGGCACACGATGTATCATGATCAGCGCATTATGATAGACAAAATGTAAGCCCAGAGAAGCAAATCCAAAAAGGAAGTCGCGTTCATTGGATTTCACTTTGTGATCGGTGGGAGTTGGACAGTCGCGATTCCACTCCTCAAGCTCTGCATGTAGCTCTTTGACGGTTTTGTAGATCTCAAGCGGTGGCCTCAGTAATGCTTTGGCGGAGTACAGCCGGCTGTATATGCGACCTTTGATGACGGACATTCGACACATTTGGCGAAAGAATGTTATATCAGACTTAGGCTGGCCAAGCTTATCACTTTCGATTTCTTCTGGGAGAGGGACATCAAAATCATCCGGGTGCTGAGATGGAGCGTTTCCGATCCTTAAACAAGTACTGTCAAGTGAATTAGTACTACTCTGAAGGATCCAATTAAATGTAAATCACAAACCTTTGATCGATGACAAAAGCAACCCAAAATACGCGTCGTCTTTCTTCCTGTGCTTCCGGGCTAAGGTCTGGTCGTTCGATATCCCGATGGAGACCCATGCGTTGACCAGACCGCATGGCCGCAGTGATGAGTGGTAGTGCTGATTGAGTGCCCGAGTTTCCGCGGAGGAAGAATGCCTATGTTAAAACGTGTTAGAGCAGATTAACGGAACAGAACAAAGACACAAACCATGCTTATTAGTGCCTGTATACTCAGCAGGTCGGTGCGTTTGAGCGCCAGCTCCGTGAAGACCGACATGGCGTTCTTGAAGTATAGTTCCGCCCTCTCTTTGTCTTTCTCTGACTTGTGGCTACTCGAATATCGGTATTCGTAAGCCAAGCAGATCACCATGTTGATACTGGCCCAACGAGCAGCATCATCGCATGTTTGCTGCGTGTATTGCCATTCGACCATTTTCATGAATGAGGACTCAAGGTAGATAGGGAAAAGCAGGTTGGCCGTCCGGAAGAAGTCCTTCATCAGGGAAAAAACCTCTGATCTCGAAGGCAGAGGCTTAAAAACCTGCGAGGCGAATAGGTCGTGGAATACATCGGGGCGCCATTGATTCCACGGATTATCGTGTATAGAGTCGGGCGATATCACCCGTAAGAAACTGACATCGCCTGTTTTACTTTTGATCCATTCTATCCCCGTGCGTGATAGTATTGATAGCGAGCAGGATTTTCCTGATTGCGGTGAGCCTCGGCTGATAGTGGACGCATTCGACCAATCTTACCGAAATATCGTGAGTCGTCTCGTTCATCCGCCCGAAAGATAGGAGTCCCCTCTAGATCACCGCATTTGGTAGCTAAAGAGGCTGCAAGCCTTGAGGGTGGTTCTGTTGGTGCCGGGATATCACAATCCAGCGAATCGTCATCATCAGAAAGGTCGTCGTCGCTTATATCACCTTCTTGCAGGACACCAGCTGTCTTCAACAGCGACTCAATTCTGGCCAATCGCTCTTTCAAGGAATGGACATATTCATCACTGCTTTTATGGTGTTAGCCATATTACTCCACAAAGAGACGGGGGATATGTTCGGACCTTTGTAGATCATCCCGCTTCTCTTTTTGCGCCGGAAGAATGCAAAGTGTGCCGCGGCGCATACATTGTACACATGCCGAACTGGATTCCTCGATTTCACATTTGGTCTTTTTCCGATGGCACATCTCACAAGCCTGGAGGCCTCAATAAGCAGCTGTCAATTGCGCTAGGGCGTGGGGGATTCTTGAATAGCGACAGGGAGTCAGACTCACCCTTGAATGCTGTCCCTTCCAGCTTGAGCTCATGGCTAAATGCGTTCTAGAGAGTGGACAAGGCGTCAGAGCTGACGGATGGAGATCCGCCACTTGAGATCATGCCAAGACTTCGGGGCGTGGAAATTTCGCCCAACGAGAAATAACGTTGGCGAGAGACTAGTGGGAGATCTCTGTTTCTTATTTTAATCTCGCTTTCGATGGAAAGATGGATGGAAACCTCTCAGGGTTAGGAGAGAAAAAGCTGCTTAACAATCCAAAGGGTCTGAATGATCGGGATGTCGGCACACCCGGAGTCCGCTTCTGGGGTATCTGGTGGGGGTTCGATCTACTCCGATGATTATATATCTAGTATTCACGGATACAAACATACTACTAGGTACCTAGGTAGGTATGAATTCAAGGTATTTCAAGGTTGAAGTTGAAGTTGATCAGTGTCCTACTCCGCAGAGTCCGTACTCTACTCTGTATAGGATCTTGGAACTACAGGGGCATCACCGTGAACAAGATAGGGAGGACTAGAATGCTTCCAAGGTTCTAGAAGGCATTTTCCAGCAGATGTGAAGATAAGCTTAAATAGTGTCCACGGGTCTACCTAGGTATGGCAATGCATCGGCTCAACCCCCTATACCACATCCGGAAAATCGGGCCAGTCTCGATGATTTCGACATAGCACGAGATCGATAAGGACCTTGGAGCAGCCAGTCAGATAGAGCTGACAAATAGAACCCCTGGAGAGCTTTGGACAACGTGAATACAAATATAAGGCATCGGCCTGGCCTCAAACAAGGCGGGCAACCATCTTTATACCCCCATCATGCCATCTACTACGAAATCTCTTTCATCTGGAACACGACTGAGACCCACACATACGAAAGCCCATATGTAGAATGCTCTTCAGCGCCCATATCTGTCTGTGTCTTGCCAACGGAGAGGAAAAGAAACGAATGAGGGAACGGCCCCGAGGCCAGACAGAAGAAAAAGAACAAACCGAGAGCTGACGACCGGGAGCAAATGCTGGCCACCGGGAAATAGCCGAACAGGCATCCAGACCTTTCTCCGAAGACCTTTCTCCGAAATTTTAGTCACGTCGGCGAAAACGCACGGCAAATTTTCCACGGATCGCAGAGACGGATCGCAGAGGCGTCCCTTTCATATCGACGGCGAGCTTCCGAGACGCGATCGAATATGTAGAAGGCTGACCGAGGAGGTCCAAGCTGTGCCTCCCATTCCTCGGCGCAACTAGCATTAGGGAAGGCGGCTTTAATCGACGGACCAACCACATGGTCCGAGATGCCTGACCGGGGCCACTTTGTCGATGGCGAAATCATGGCCGAGCCACTGGCGAGCACGCAAGACGTCTTAAGAGCGTGAGAGAGGGAAAAATCGCCTTATGTAGCGTGGTGCTTTTGGGAGACAGTGGATCTGCCCCCCTGCGTTGGCGGCGCCGGCCAGTTTCTTGAATATGAAGCTTGACTTGGTTCGGATTCGCGCAGCATCCATGCTTCTTCTTTCCTCTTGTGGCGCGACCGGGAGGCCCGAGTATTCCCTCTCTCTCTGCTCGTTCTCCGCGGCGCGATGGTGCCAGACTCCCAGAGCTGCTCATGGCATTCGATTCTGTGTGCTGTGAGCGTTGTTCCCCGTACCCGTACCCGTATCCGCACCCGCGCCCGCACCCGCGAGATGCTGCATTTGCAGATGAAGGGCAATTGCAGGCATCAAATCAATATGGGAGGTTCGCATCACGACATGGAATGACGGTGCCAAGGAGAAGTCGTCACGGTGGAGAAGCTCCCGGGGTGTTTTTCTTAATTACCTGACCAGACCGGTACGTGTCCACCGACGGCAACGGCCCAAGCGTCGGGGCAAAACAGACTTCAAAATTACCGGGACGGTATGGCACGGGTAAGTGGGGAGGTACAGTACACTAACTATCCTCTCCTTTCTCCATTCTTCATGGCCATTTCGCAAATATCTGGAGATATCTGTCTACTCCATATTCCATCGATTGGCATTGACTACATTACTGTTCTGTTCCTGTTCCTGTTCCTGTTCCTCTTCCTACCCCATACTCCGTACTGTACTCCCTACTCCGTACAGGACGGGCGGTCAGTTCCGAACGGACGAACCAGAGGTCGCGATCACGACATAACTCCATTCTATCAGATCATCGACTAGGGCCATCTCTGCCCACTTCCGCTGCAAGCCTTCACTTCTTTGCCTCCCCTTTTCCCACCTGCAATTCCCTCCGTGCTTCTGATTCGTCCTCCCGTTTATCCCCAGTGGACCGCGGCATGCGACGATGAAGTAGTGTCCTTTTGTGGTGATCGTGGCCGAGAACTCAACTTTCGAAGCCTTTCCCGGACTACGCCAGCTCTGATTATTCTGGCCTTTTCTTTTTGGAATTTCCTTTTCCCCTTTGCCTCTTTGGTTCAGTCTGGATTTTATTTATTGAATCCCATTTATCTGTATCCTGATTGCCTGCAATCCATCAGTTCCAAGAGAACAAGCCCCTCTCCCGCTCACATAACCCTAAATCAAGCAGGGGGCGGAACTCTTGTTTCTTCTTTCTCTTCTTCTCTTACTTCAACATGCCGGGGGAACCACCATCCGGCTTTGATAAACTCGAGAACTTCAATTTTCTGATGTCGCGCCACGATCCCGCAGCCAAGACGCGACAGTACTCATTTGACGCTGATACCGGGCTGGTCCCGTTTGGCAACGTGAGCATGGATTACGATCAAACCGAAGGCATGGGCGGCTTGTCCGTCAGCTCCTACGATAGTATAGATGACGACCGCAGCTCCCTGGATCTCCGGGGATATCCCTATGGTACGTGTCAAGCTTTGATTTCTTTATATGTGTTGTTTCGCTTTGCCCAACGGTTGCATTTGTGACGCCATCGTCCTGCATGCATCGCAGCTTCAACTCGAATTTTGAGAGCGAACGGGTGATCCATCCTCGGGGACGCCTGGCCCTTTTATTGGGGGGGGTGAAAACGACGCGATGTGACACATTCTACGCTTCATTTGAATTCATTTGAAGTACTTTTTTTTTCATAAAAAAAAAAAGGCTGCACAGGACGCTGGTCGATCGAGTGAGATCGCCGTCGGTGCTCCTAAACCAATTAGCGAGCACGCAATCCCGCATCGATATGGCAACCCAAGACGCCTTGCCCTGCTGACCCTTGGCTTAAACATCCGAACCCCCTTCATATTGTGAAGAAATGATTTGCATTCCCCGCTTGGGGCTCTTTCCTACGGGACGCTTACACCACCAGGTCCGGAGAAATCCATCAACTATAGCATCCCAGAACACATGATGCCCTACTCAGCTCACTCCATCTACCCGCCAGTGCCATATGCACCCGACGAGCTCGGCCATGCACCAGGCGCTCTCACCCCATCCGATGTCTCCTCGTCCATCTCCCCGCCCAACGGCCAGATGGGCAACACCAAGTACAGCACCTCCATCTCGGGCGACCGCATCGCCGCCGCCCTCGACCAAGAGGAGGGCGTCCGCGGCGCCGCCGAAGAAGATCGCCGTCGCCGCAACACGGCCGCCAGCGCTCGCTTCCGCATGAAGAAGAAGCAGCGCGAGCAGGTCCTCGAACGCACTGTCCGTGAGACAACGGAGAAGAATGCCTCCCTGGAGGCTCGTGTCGCCCAACTGGAAATGGAGAACCGTTGGCTGAAGAACCTCCTCACTGAGAAACACGATGCCGGGTCCAGTCGGATGCCGGCCCCGCCAAAGGATAGCTCAGCCCTGGAGCTAAAAGCTGGCGGACCCTCGCTGAGACAAAAACATATTCAGCCCAAGAAAAAGGGCGTTGGCACAGATGAGTAAACGCGAAAATTAAAGCGTTGATTTGCTCCTTCTGCATGGCCCCCTTGGTTTCTGTCTTTCTTGTATCATCTCCGCTTCGTTTTCTCGTTTCGGGCGTTCGCTCTGCGTTTCGGTTTTCGATCTTTACATTTGGCCCCCCCGAACCTGTTGAGGCTCGAGGGCGACTCAGATGACGATGTCACGACCCTTCTCTTCTTGCGGCCCTGATCGTGTCCGCTCTGACTTCGGGATGGTCTTTTTGCACTCCAGATCTGCCACTTTCGTTCTTGTTTTGACGTGACTATCTACTCTCTACTCTCTCCATCCTCAAATCTCGGACCGTCTATTACACCCTCCGGCCCGGCTCTCTCTACGCCCTTATATTTTTTCTACATCAGATCGTGTGCGAAGGCTTGTTCTATTTTGCTCTCTTTGGCTCGATTTCGAATGTCGAAATCGAGCTCAGGTGAGCTGGAGGTGTTGTGGAATGACTCGGGGAAGTCTTTACGTTTTTCTATTCTATATCTGATATGGGTTCTGGTTCTGCTTTTTGTTCACCCTTTGCTACTACGGGTTGAACCACGCAATATAAACCGGTGTTTACTGTCTGCCATTGAATCTCTACTCCCCTGATTTCTGTAAGACCTTGAGAATGTACTGGTGCAATATGATCGACCGATGGCGTATTTCAGGGTATCTGGCGTGCTCTCGTGGGTCGATTGGCTCATTGGGATCAACACCCATTGGACGTGACGTAGTGGCTTGGCTTGTCCGGGGTAATTTGGGGTAAACACTCGCCAAGATATTCTCACCGCATTGATGCTTTGTGGACGAATGGGGATTGTGATATCAGGTCCATGCCCTTTGGAGAAGTATCGAGCCTGATGAAATCCTCGACCTCAGTGTCGTGCTCACCTGGCAATCTCACTCGTGACTCTTGATGTGAGGCAGAGACCTGCGCATCCTGTGGCTCTGGATATCACTACTTGTTCCAGTTGCTGCCAGGTGTTTCCTTGGCCTGAGAAGTTGAGGATCTCCTGGAGTGATGGGTATCTAACTCCATTTTTGTTTCTCTTTCTCCATTGCAACTCCCACCAGGCAAGGGCCAGCACAAAACCTTTACACAGCGCTCATGTCTCTTTGACACCCTGAATACCTCTGTTGTGGAAGGGGATCGTCTCTGCCCGAGCTGCTTGGGGGGACGGGTGTGTTGTCTGATAATGTTCATGAGCAAAGTTATCAATCTTCCCCTTCGAAGCTAAGTGAAACATTCCCGAGATCATCAAGCTGCCATCAATGTTGGTGTTTGGCTAGCAATGAGAGTTGACAAAGCAGAAAACTTGGAACTGAATCGGAGACTCCATATTAAAGTATGGCCCGTTGCGCCTCTGGCATATTACGATGGTGACTGAAGCACACTTCATTTCCACTGGCGGTAAATGTTGGGTATAAGAGGAAGGAATCGAGAAATCAGCAGAGAGAAGGATTTGAAAGAAAGAGACTCCGTACCTGGGTAAGCTTGGAGCAATCTATACATGCGCGGTGTAGGGAATAGGAACAGACGAAGCTCAGCTCAGACCGGGGCATTGAGCGAGCTACTCGAGGCTGATATCGTCATCCATGGATGTTACAGGCCTTGTAGAGAGAGGGTATAGGTATTCTACATCAGGTTGCAACCATGTGATCAAAATCTGTTCAGAAAACAATCCATTAAAACACCTAGTTAATTACCCTGGACTATCCATTTTCTTCCAAGCAGACAAACAAAAAGACAAAAACAATCAAACGTAAGATGGTATTACATTGATTAGGGGGAAGAAGAGAAAAGAAGAGAAACATGCGTACATCTCCGGATATACTCCACCAGAACCAGAAAGTGGACATCGATATAGGGCCCACAGGTGGGGAAGAGCACAGAAATGCGATACCGAATCAGAGAAAGAGCATAATGAGAAAGCGTGGAAGGCAAGCCCTCCAGGATATCCGTCAGATTCGTGAAAGGTTGAGGATGAGGATTTTTTTGGGTTTTCTTTTCGCTTCAAGGCTCTCTGTTCTTACGCTCATGCGGCAATGGGCTCACGCTCTTCCTCGCGGCCTCGGACTTCACCATCAAGGGTGCTGACACCATCCTCACCATCCTCATAGTTAGGATGCTGGTCGGCCGGGAGCCAGGAGTCACGATCACCAGGCAGAGGCTGGTCCTGACCAGAGAGGTCGACACCCTCGCGGTTCTTGCTGACGTTGGAGCGGTGACGCTGCGAGAGGGTGCGGGAGCGGGTGGACAGGCTGGACTTGACGACCGCCTTGGAAGACACCCAGTTGCTGAGAGCGTCCTCGCAGTCCTGGATGATGGCCTTGGAGGCGTCGTAGCCGTCGTAGGCGTGGCGGGTCTCACCGGGTGTGACGGGGGTATCGTCGATAAGGTCAAGGAGGTGCTTTCCGTAGCCAGCGACGATAGCGACCTTCTCGCAGTGCTCGCGGAGGGCATCGAACTGGTACTGGAAGGCGGCCTTGACCTTCTCACGGGTGATGTTGGACAGCTGGGCCTCTGCGACGAGAGACTCTGCTTCCGCGCGGACGAGCTCTTGCTCCAGAACGACGATGCGGGGGGAGTTGGGGTCCTTGTACTTGAGCTTGGCGATCTCATCGGTGATCTTCTGCTTGCCTGTGCGGTGCATTAGCGGGAGAATCGCAGAAGACGGAAAGGATCCATACGGTCGCGGCTGGGTTGCACCGAGGCTTCGATGTTGCGAATGCTCTTGATGGTGACGCGGTACTGATCGTAGCGGTCGACGAAGAGATCCTCCAGCTCGCCAATCTCGTAGATCAGCACACCCAGCTTATCCGTCACATCCGACACGTCCTCATCGCAGGCTTCACCCCAGATGGACAATTGTTGCTATAGCCTATTAGCGATTGCATCATGTGCGACGGGGGTTTGTGTTCTCATACGGCGACTTCCATGCGCTCCCGGGCGACGAGCTCCATGCTGCGCATGACGTTCTTCTCCATCTTGACGAGCTGCGACAGTTTCTTGGCGAGGTCGGGGCCGAAGGCGCCAGCGGCGTTCTTCCGGAAGGCATGTCCTGGTTGGAGTTAGTATATTCATTCTTGACGATCACTTCCGACCGGAGATCGTTGCGGCCACTGCCGTTCCCCCGTGGGATGGTGGAGGGCGGGTCGCGGCCCGATCAGGCAACCTCCGTCGAGAAAGCTCAATGGTTTCGCAATGGCACTCACCAATGCCTCCCTTGCCCAGCCATCTTCCGCTCTTGGTCGTTGACAGGGGTGGAGGTGGGCTCTCGATTTGCGAGGCGGTCGGAGCGCGCGACTGGCGCATGGAATAGGTGCGATGCATGGCGAGGGATAGGGGGAGGAATCGAGGAGAGGTACGGAGTAGAAACGGAGTAGAAGGAGAAAGGAAAGGTAGATGCAAGATGAAGATGTTCCTGCAGAGAAAAGGTTTAGTGCCTTGCGCAGTAGTGACGTGGGATTCAAAAAAAAAAGAGGGGATCTTTTTCTTTTTTTTTTTCCACAGTGAACGGGATGCGACGGAAGAAATGCAACCGGATCGACACAGGGGTCAAGATATAGGCGGAGTAGAGGCTGCTTTTTGGGTTTGGGAAGTTCTCCTGATCGGGGGCAGCTAGGTGACGTCGACAATTTCTGCCCAGCAACGAACCTGATCACCGAGGGACAAGATTGGTGGAGTAAGGGCTGGGAAAAGATAGCCAACACGAGCAGAGAAGCGACTAGCTGTCTTGGGGGCCAATAGTGTCGATCGCATCGAGTTGCATTGACTCTTCACGATCGCCGACGTCATATGATGTCATCACGTCAAACTCTGCGACGTTGCACTTGTGCCTTTTTTCTTTTTCTGTTGAGACTGCGATGGGTTTAAGGAATTGGGTTGTAAAGGGGGATAATTTTGAGGTTGTCCAAATATATTAGCACATTGGTCCAATGTCTTATATAAACAAGCTTCTGTGGATTCTGCAGTTCCCCAGGTCCACTGATCGCTGGGAATGGAATTCGATTTTCCATCTAGAACTTTAGCGCACATGGTCTTCAGTAATTCCACGCATTTACATATGAATATTGTATTCCAAGGTTATGATCTAAGTACAGGAAATTGATCACTCATGGTCTGCGCGTGTCTTTCGTTTCTTGCTCGTGCTGGTCTTGCCCTGGGACGCAGTCCGTTTGGCCTTCCGCCCAGGCGCAGGGGCCGCAGTCTCAGCCTCAGGCTCAGCATCGCCCGCATCTTCCGCATCCTCCGCTAAGCTTTCGCCAGCCTGAGCTCCTTGCCGCAGCCGATTGAATGCCTGCTCCATGCGACTGGGACCACCGCCACGAGTGCGAGGCGCAAACGCGCCCGCCCCTTGGGGACCCTGCATGAACTGGGTGATGTTGGACTGCGTACCCTCCTGGCCTCGTCGGTTCATATCCCGAATGACCGGAACAAGGACCTCGTCCGTGCGCTCCTGACTCCAGCCGATGGTCGCCATCAGGAAGTTGCGAAGCCCATTGAGATCAGGAACACCCCACTGGAATTGAGAAGGGTCTTGGTCCACTTCGGGTTCCAGGTAGGCGTCGTCAACGCGCGTGTCGGGGAAGGAGGGGGGCAAGAAAATCTTGGAGGCCTTCTTGCGGAACTTTTTTCGAAATGCCAGGTGGACATCTTCTGGATCGTTAGCGCCCATTTGCACCTTCGTCCACCAATCGCGGAATTCTTCCAGGTTGGAAAACTCCGTGACAATCTCGAGGGCTGTGACGGGTCCAATGCCTGGAATACCTTCAGTGTAATCGCTGCCCAGGAGATGGGCAAAGCTGATCAGTTTTTCTCGATGAAGGGCGTATTCCTTTTCGAGGTCGGATGTCAAGTAGCACTCGACGAATTTGCTTTGGTTGAACATATTCTTGTAGACTCGAGTTCCCCCAAAGAGGAAAATATCACTATCGTCGGTGACGATCCCGTCCACGAGGCCCAGCGAGACCAACGTGGCGCATTGGGCTTCAGCCTCCATGGGGGCAGTGATGTACGGCAGCCCAAAGAGAGTCAACAACTGCTGGCACTCATTGATCATAATGGTCGTGACCTCGTCCGCATCGCGGCGCTCGTTTCGCTGCTGATTTCGAAGTTGCTTAAGCTCTTGCTCATAATCAAAGACTTCCTGCCCAGAAACTGCAGAATTGAGAGTATTGGCAAATCGCGCATGCTCTTCGCCTTCAGCTGCGAGTTGCTTAAACAGATCCTCATCTTCCGGATCGCTGTAGTCGGCTTGGTCCTGCACGAAAGCTTCGGGCTGCTCCACCTCTTCGAAGACCGGGGCTGTGGGCTGGGCCTTCGCTTGGTGGGAAACAACAGTAATCTCTGGCCCTTGGACGGGTGGTTCAGGAACCACATCCTCGAACTCAGGTGAGGCTGATTTCTCACTGCGCGGAGTTTGCGATTTGGGAATAGAGACAGGTTCTTCGTCTGGCTTTGCCGGTGACTCGGACAGTTTTTCGGGTATAATCGAAGTATTCTGGGTCGGTTCGCTTGGAGGCTCTTCGTGGGAATTGCTAGTAATCTCGCTGTAAACCTTTTCTATGTCCTCAACTCTTGGAGACTGTTTCGGGCTGTCTTCTGCCCCAGATTTCTTTTCATCGGTTTCCTCTTTTGCTCCTTCGGTTTCCAGATCCACGATTTCCTTTGTGTCAGATAGCTCGTCAACATCAATCACATCCGGCGAGCGGCGATTGAATAAGAACTGATGGTCTGGCGCTTTCGACAGGTCATCTTCATCAGGAAGCTGAACTGGATCCGTGATAAACTCTGCATCAGAACGTTCACCAACGAACCATGGGGGAAGTGGGTCCTGCTGGGGTTTCTTCGAAGTAGGCTCTTTCAAAAATCCACCTGCATTTTCGTCTATCTCGCCGGCTTTGTCTTCCGTTGCTTTGGAAAGCTTGATGGACTCAAAGGGAAGGGGGCCACTGAATGGGTTGGGGCCTTGCGAGGGCTTCTTAGAAACTTTGGTCCTCGCTACAGCTGCAGCAAAGTCCATTCCATCATCGCTTTCGGAATCAGGATCTGGCATCCGTTCATAAGATGGTGCTCGCTCAACCGGTCTGTTCATAGGGATCTCGGGAACTTCTTCATCGACTTGATCTGGTTGCAAGGAGAGGGCAATGGCACGTTCGAGGTCGTCGTCATCACCATCGAAATATTCATCGGTGTCGTTGTTCTGCTGCTCTGCGCCAATGTTGCCCTCGGCCTCAACGAAAAGAGAGTCATCTTCAGCCTCTCCACGATGTTGAGCAGCTTGACGGGATTCTTGCATGGCTTTTCTCATATCGCTGTTTTCGTCTTCGTGCAATTGAAGCGATTGGTCAAAGATACCCTCTCGAAGAAAGGGAAGTTTGGGAAGTCGGTTCAACCCTTCGATAGGAACATCCTCGAAAACATCCTCGTCTGAAGCCTCGTCGTCTGACACAACTTCAGGCCGATCTAAGTCGATGGGCCTCTCTTCGTGGCCTTCCTTATTTCCAACCACGCCTAGGACCCACCCTCCCTCATGCTCACGGTCCTTGACCAGCACATATTCTCTGCCGCGTTCTCCCGCGATGCGCTGTCCAGAATTAAAGAATGCCTCTTCGCCATTCATGCCATTGATGTTCATTAGTCGTTGTGTAAGATCATTTCGTTCAGCGACTCGATCAATTTGAAACCTCGAGAATGCCATACGGTCTGGGAACATCGTGTCCAGTTGCTCTTTGGAGTAACCCATTCGAAGTCTGCTTCGCAGTCTTGCCGCGTTTAGGATATTGTATCGATCAGTGGCGGGGAGACTGAGAAAAAACGGGCTGTCGAAATCGATCTTGGAAAAGTCGTACAGGTTGATGTCCTGACCCTGGTGGAACTGACGAGCATACTCCTCCAATTCTTCCTGGGACATGATACGAGGGTCATTGGGTGCTCCCATGTCTTGAAGGGAGACATCCAGATTTGGTAGATGGTAGGCATCCTTCTTTTTGAACTTGCGGTTTTGCTGCCTTTCATTTTCTGTCATGAGTGCCTCATCGGCATAAACTGGAACATCAGGAACTTCTTCCTCTTCCACCCTTGAGTTTGCACTGCGTCGACGAGCTTCCTCCTCTTCCGCGCTGCGTTGCATCTGTACAGCTAATAGCTTGCCAGCGGTTCTCGCTGCATCTTCTCTGTGACCTTCTCGTCTCTTCTTTCTTCCGGCAATTGTCTGCCTTTTCATAACTGGAGCCCCGCCATCGAAGACGAATACAGGCTTGATGCCGAAATAGAGCAGCTTGCATATCCGGCGGAAGAAGCCAACAACGTGAGAATTTCGGAGTGCATTGCCCTCTTTGTCTCGTACCGCTTTCAGGAACTGGTAGATCCAGATCGACGCGTCAACAGCGAGACGCCGTTTGTTAAGTGTTTCGAGCTTGATGGGGCGAGCGCAGGGCTGCACGACCGTCCAGAGGCCGGTAACACCCATCACGAGTCAGGATCAATAGCAGATCATGGAGTGGAATTGGAAAGACACCGCATCGTAGAATATCCACGCGCAAGGGGTTGGTATCTTATGTCGAAACAGGACTTGGAGTTCAATCGGTGACGTGAGGGTCAGCGTCATCTCCCGCGCGAGCCCACACGAGATCACGTGCATGATATATCCATTCCGGGACTAGTGTGTTTTATATAAGCACGCTCATCGAAAAAGAAGTGGGCTTTTCGGTGGGATGTATATTGTGTTCAAGGCAATTCACAGCTTGAAGTCTTGCTGATGTGCGTAGAGGCTAGCAATGCCTCTCTCACTTGAGGTCAGTGCTTGATATAGGGTGTAGCTGTGGCGTTGCCGGACTGACTCAAATACAGCACATCGATGCTTGTCTGCCAATATCAGCACTGAGGGTGCTTACTTGGGGCGAGGAACAATACATATTCCAAGGCCAAGGAACGCTCTTTCGCGTGGTAAATGCTACTACCGGGGCGGTATCCACCCAAATACAAGCATTCAAGAGAAACAATGTTCATGGGTTCATTCCTCTAAACCAGCCACAAGATGAGACGGACAATGTGCAGGTGCTCGTCTGGGGTGGTCGTTCGGTGCGAGTGATTGATTTCAATCTTCAATCCAGTGCAACTCCCCATCTCTCCATATCCAGTGCGGAGTACAATGCCCCAGACTGGATCATGAGTGGATGTGCCGCCGCCGCAGCTGGTCATTGTGGAGGTTTTTTGATTACTGCAAACAATGCACTTCTCAGCCTTGAAGTGACTGAAAGCAACTCACCTGGACGGAGTACGGATATCTCTGTATACCAGTTGGCCACCTCGGTCAAGTCTATCCTCTATTCTGCCGATGTGATTGCGCTGTCTGCTTCACATGTTCTCATGGCTGCCGGTACCGTCTTCGGAGAAATCATTGTATGGTCATGTTTCTTAAGCGATGATGGCTTGCATAAAGCCAATGCCGTTGGCTCCATTCACCATTTCTTCACGGGACATGAGGGATCAATCTTCAACGTCCGCATCTCTCCTCAAATATCGTCCCTGAACCCAAACCAGCCCGGCAGGTTCCTGGCAAGTTGTAGTGACGACAGAACAGTCCGAATCTGGGACATCTCGGACTGCGAAAACAAAACAGCGCAAGACCCCTCTGCATACGCAACGGACGGGTACGATCTGCGAAGCACAGGCTTTGGTCCTGTTGGAGCAGGGGATCAAACTGTTGGATCCGAGTCATGTGTCGTGCAAGCATTTGGACACGCAGCCCGCATCTGGGGTGTTTATTTCAGATCCATTCAGAACAAAGACCAAACTCACGTGGGGCTAGTATCTCGCGGAGAGGACTGCACATGCGTCATGTGGGATCTGAGCTGGTCAAAATCTTCAGATGGCGCTACCAGTTATGAACTCACGGAGGCTTCTTCAATACAGCCTCATATCGGCAAACATATCTGGTCCCTGGATCTTCACAGACTTGATTCTGAAACCGTGGTTTATACTGGAGGTGCCGATGGGGCACTCAAGCGTTTCTCCATCAAGGAGATTGATGATACTCAGCTGCCAGTCCGTCCTGCACCTGAGCCAGAAATTCCTGGTTTCCAGAGGAAAAGGAAGCAACCTACGACCGATAGAGCGAGAGCGTTCGCATTTGTTTCGCCGAGCTGCCTTCTCTGCGTATCAACTAATGGACAGGTGCAGCTTGGACACATGGACCAGACAGGCAGATCAACGACTTCGTGGGAGGTACTACGTGAGGTACCTGATCTTGGCTCTTTCGCTGTGATCACCGGTCTTCCTCGAAAAGGCCTAGCATTGATAGGTAACTCCAGGGGATTGATTCAAATCTACGATCACGCTGCCAGATCGTTTACCGACGTTGCCACTATCGGCTCACGGCCTCTTGGGCTATTCTTCCTTGAAACCAACTCCTCTTCGACCCAGTTCTTGAAAACCGCCAAGGAAATCACCTTCCTTGTCTGTTATCCAACAAAGGAGGAGGCGACGCTCGTCACGGCCTCTGGTTGGAACAGCGATAGCTTCAAGACCCATGCTGTGACTTTCAAATTGCCTTCTACTTTTGTAGTTTGCAGTGCGGCTTTGATCTTCGAGGGACAGTATTTGATGATTGGCTCGAAAGCAGGTGGTCTTGCTGTTTACCAAACGCCGAAAAACGATGAGACTTCTGAGCCGACATTGATTGACCGACGTATCCATGGCCGAGAATTTGTGAATCACATTCACACAGTGTCATCAACTAACGGCAGTGATGGCACGCAATCAGATTTTGTATTGACATGTGGTCGCGATGGGACTTACTGCCTCCACGAAATGCGGCTCGGTGGAAATAAGACCGATACCCTTTCTATGAGAATAGTGCACCGCACGGCATCCATGATCGGTGGAAACATTGAAGGTGCCTATGTTGACGAACTTACCGGTGACTTTATGCTATACGGATTCAGGTCTCAAGAATGGGTCCTGCGCAATGAGTCGAAATTAACGGATATCATAAACATTGCGTCTGGTGGGTTCCGTCGAGACTGGGCCTTTTCTCCCGGGTCAAAAGATGCCAATGCTTGCTTCGTGTGGCGGGATGATGCTTCTCTGGTCGTAACTCACATACAACCTGATGCTAGTCACTTGCTTCGAGCCGGTGGTCACGGCCGAGAACTCAAAGCGGTTGATGTATTCAGTGCTCCGGAAGGAGGCCGATCACTCATTGCCACAGGGGCAGAGGACACCACCGTACGCCTGTTCGCCCCAACCTCTTTGGTGTCCGCTAGCCCGTGGGGCACCTTTGAGTGTGTGCGCGTTTTGGATAGACACAAGTCTGGAATTCAACAAGTCAGTTGGTCCAAGGATGGAAAATATCTATTCACGAGTGCCGCATTTGAGGAGTTCTTCGTTTGGAGAGTTCGTGCCGTCCCTTCATTTGGAATTGCTACGAACCTTTTGGCCGCTAGTCCCAAGGATGATCCAAATTCTGATCTCCGTATCTTGAGTTTCGATCTCTTGGAAGTGAAGGAGGTAGATGGAGGGCAAGGGTTCCTCCTGTGTCTCACCTTTTCAAACTCCACCATCAAAGTAAGCATAATTCTGCGCTGCAAGAAACACCCACAGTACTAACTCATTCTAGATCTTCCACTTCTCGCCGTCTGGGTGTCATTTCAGCCTTTTGACCCGCGGGACATACATGACGAATTGTTTGACACAGGCTCACTTTTTGGTCACCGGCTCTTCTGTGAATCTGATCACCGCAGCTACCGATGGGTTCTTCACACTCTGGGATATAACTGCAACACTTGAATCGTTCTACACAATGACTGACTCAGTGTTGGAGGCCAAGCACGCATTCAACGGCTCGTCTGCCCCAGCAGATGATATCACATGCGAAGGCCGATACCAGATTCACTCAAACAGCATCAAAGGAATGGAGCTAGTGCCCTTGTCCGAGACAGCTACTGCCATTGTAGCTGGAGGCGACGATAATTCTATCTCCGTCTCTCTTCTGCACACATCGTCAACGACCACTGATCCTAGAGCGAATGTTGCCACAGTATCCATCCCGGATGCTCACGCCGCGGCTGTTACAACAGTCAAGGTACTCAGTCAACACAATATCCCTGATACTTCTTCGAACACAGCATCCACCAAGATCACTGTGGCAACCTCGGGCAATGATCATCGGGTCAAGATTTGGTCTATCGTCGTGGACCCAGCACAACCTGGCACCCAGGGAATCAGCGTGGAATTTTTGCTCGATAGATACAGCGCGGTAGCAGATGTATCCTCATTGGGTCTTGTTCGGAAGCATGGCTCTGTCAATTCGTCTGACAGCGATGTACCCGGGTCGCAAAATAGCCAGGCCCAGTTGGTAGTGTGTGGTGTCGGTATGGAGATGTTCGGTGTCAAGGATTGACGAACCTGGCCGATATGATGATGATGGAATGTCTAATGTACATAAAGTGCTACTCTCAAATGCATATAAGAAATGACGCAGATTCTCAGAAGAGACTCGGTAGCCAAACAATCCTGCAAGTTGATTAGATCCGTGTCCAAATCGGCAAGGCGTTCTCCGCAAAGCCATGAAACCAGGATTTGTACAGCGAAATATTCGAAGCAGTCAACCCCGCCTGAATTCCCGCTGGGCAGGGCCTCTAATCCCAATCACAGTCAAAACTCCGCAGCCTCACCTTGTCACAGTGCAGTCCTTTCCTCCCAAATGGATCGAGTGTGGAGCCAGTGTCGCGAGTCGGAGCGATGCACCGATTCAGAAGAAGATTATCGGCATGAAACTCTGCTTTTAGCCCCGCTGCTGCAAGAAACCAGCAGGCCTAGTCTATTTTTCTCATACGTGTGAAGTGCCAAGGAGGAATGGTATGAAGGGGTGTGTATAAAAGGAAAAGCTCGAGGATGTACACTAGAGTCAGGAAAATCTCACCAGACACCCTATCACCTCTTCCTGGGCCACTCATTTCTTACTGTATACCAGTATGAAGTATTTAATTAACATCATTGCTGGCTTGGGTGTTGTCGCCGCAGTGCCTCTACAGCATCGCGCCGCAGCAACTTATTTTTTCACATTGTAAGACCGTTCTACTTGCAACTGGGCACACACTGGATGCACCAAGCTAATCTAGATTGACAGTGGTGATTCTTATACTCAGTCCAACTTCGATGTAGATGGCACCCAGCCGTCTGCCGGAAATCCCATGGGAAATCCAACACTTGGTATGATCCAAACATCACCATATCTAGTCATCTTCCTTAAATAGAAATGCTAAACGTGCGACACAGGAACTGGCACGACAACCGGTGGCATAAATTGGGTCGGAGACCTAACCACTGTGAACAATGCCTCTCTAGTTCTCAGCTATAACCTCGCCGTTGGGGGAGCGAGCATCGACAATTCAATCGTCAATACCAATGTCAAAGATATGACAACGCAAGTCGACGACTTTGTGCAGGCGTACGGTGACAAGCCTGAATCGGCGCCGTGGTCTTCCGAAGATGCGGTCTTTGGGTTTTGGATTGGGATTAATGAGTATTGTCCCTTGAGCCCCACTGGTGATCATCTTTCTAACGCCTGAACAGTATTGGCTGGGCTTACTCGAGCAACCAAGCTAGTGATCTAGTTCCGACCTTGATGGCGCAGTACAAGTCTCTGATAGAGAAGATCTACGCTAAGGGCGGACGGAAGTTCCTTTTCCTCAACGTCCCTCCTACCAGCCGGGCTCCCATGTTCCTTGCCCAGGGGACCGACGTTGTTGATGCGCATGCAGCGTGGGTCACCTCTTACAACAATGGTCTTGAGGAAATGATTGACGACTTTAAATCAAATCACTCTGGTGTACGTGATTATCTCTTTACTTATGCCAACTTATCTGACTGACCTCATGTAGACAACCACTGTTCTCTACGATAGCTGGTCTTTTATGACCAAGATTCTCGACAATCCTCAAAGCTATGAATTCCCAAATGCAACCTGTATCAATGACGATGGCACGAGCTGTGTTTGGTGGAATGATTATCATCCTGGTCAGAAGTATCACAAGCTGCAGGCGGCGGATATGAAACCGCATCTGCAGACTCTCGGGGCCTGGTAGGGAAGGTGACTCGATGATCTATTTTGTGGGGTCTGGCGATCAATTCCATTGCAAGCAAAAAGCGCCAGGGAAGGAATTGCGTTTCAGGCAAATGAATCTCCAGTTTCTAAATGTTTTGGTCCCTGTTTCAGCTGTAGTGCAATTAAGTTGTGGTCTAGACATAGCTAATCCCCACAATTGTTTCTGCTCGTATGATAATGGGAATTTCATGATGCAGGAGATATGTGTCCTGCCCAGATGTGTTTATGACTAGCACATATCGAACCCATTTAATGATCAGGATCCTGGCACATCCCTAGTCTGTACAAGCGCAGATCAATGCCTGAAGCGCCACGGGCTTGCTAGGTGGGTCTCTCGAACCGAACAAGAAACGGGCCACTTGTGTCTGAAGAAAGCTTGAGCTAAGCGGGCATAAAGGAGTTAGAGGTTACATCTACTGTCAAAGCTATCCACCCAGAAGCCCGGAGAAAAAGGGTTTCTAGGCTGTCCGTTTCGCATGCGGGGGGCCAAGAAGAGCTACCTCTAGTCAAACCACAATCCAAGAAATCCTCGGTGGAGAAGCTTGACTAGGGAACACTTTAATATCCGATGTCATTGCATATGCCACCTATGGGAGATGTCAGAATGCCTCATCGGGACATTTGAGTAGGATATCTTCAAACGCTCCGTGTCTTCGTTTGGACTAGTTTCTAACATCGGTATTTTCGTATCCGTTGCGGTGTTTTTATGAATTCCAGCGGGGTCAAATATCTTTCTGGAAAGGCTATAAGATAGAGAATCAGCCTAGGAGGATGTAGAGAATCAAAGTGCTCTATCACTCTTTCCTTGATCTCCTATCTCTCTCTTCCCTTCGTTGTTTGATACAACGTAGAAATCAGTCCTTCAACATGAGATTGGATCATCTTGCGCTTCTCGCTGCTGTGGCTGGATCTGCGGCAGCATCCCCTGTTAAGAGCCATGCGAAGAGAGCATCGCCCTTCAAATGTTCGACCATCACACTGAGAAAGTCCAATGGCATAGCTAATCTTGTGTAGGGTTTGGTACAAGTGAATCAGGAGCTGAATTTGGCGAGGGCAATCTTCCGGGCACTTTCGTGAGACCTCATCGGAATTCCTTTAAGGAACATTGGCTTACCAACATAGGGAACTGACTATACATTCCCTGATGTCAGTACCATCAAGACCCTGAATGGCCTTGGGATGAACATCTTCCGAGTTCCTTTCCTCATTGAGCGTATTGCACCAAGCTCCCTGTCAGGGGCGCTGGATGATACCTACCTGGGAAAGCTCGCTTCAGTGAGTGACTTCGAGCCCGTGTGAATAACAGGAGCTTATTCGATATAGGTGGTGAAATCTATCACCGACACAGGAGCCCATGCCGTGCTTGATCCGCACAATTTCGGAAGATAGTAAGTCGTAAAAGCAAAACTCAAAGACCAAACGAGAGACTAATAACACTTCGCAGCAACGGAGCCATCATCTCGAGTGCGTCCGACTTCCAGGCATTCTGGAAGAAGCTCGCAGGCGAATTCGCCTCCAACGAGCTTGTCGTTTTCGACACTAGTCAGTGGCACCGAACTTCCCCGTCAAGGCAACCTGCTGACTCAATGACGCACAGACAACGAGTTCCATGACATGGACCAGGATCTCGTGCTGAAGCTCAACCAGGCAGCTATCGATGGCATCCGCGCAGCTGGAGCAACCACCCAGTACATCTTTGTCGAGGGCAACTCCTACACAGGCGCCTGGACCTGGACAGACGTGAACGACAACCTGAAGGACCTGACAGATCCCCAGGACAAGATCGTTTACGAGATGCACCAATACCTCGACTCCGACGGATCAGGCACGAGCGAAACCTGTGTATCGACCACGATCGGAAAGGAACGAGTGACGGCCGCCACGCAGTGGTTGCAGGACAACAAGAAGGTCGGTGTTCTGGGTGAGTTCGCAGGTGGTGTGAATGACCAGTGCAAGACGGCGATCACCGGGATGCTCGATTATCTTGGCGATAACTCGGATGTCTGGCTTGGTGCGATGTGGTGGGCTGCTGGTCCTTGGTGGGGTGATTACATCTTCAGTCTGGAGCCGACGAGCGGTACCGCATACAAGGGTATGCTGTCGACGCTGAAGCCATACTTCGTATAGGTAGTCGTTCATACGGAGGAGACTAAGCTGTTTTCCGAGCTGTCAAGTGCGCTGACTCGTATTGGGGGATTTTCATTTGATAAGGTTTGGGCGCGCAGCAATTCGCCCTCCACGGTAAGTGTGCTGCACATCAGTCTTGGCGCCAATTTACCGATGATGTATGCAATCAATATGGTCATATGTCATGTAGTACATACGAGTCCTCCAAGTAGAGAGTACGGTACCTAGGCACGGAGTACGTAATCTCATCTGTATGCCCAGGTGCTCAGGTGCCCAGGTGAGTTTCGTTCGAGTCGATGGGTAACGGATCATCGCTGTACGTGAGCTTGGCCATCGAACTGGACCGCGGCACCATTGAATAGGTTCGTCAGCGGAGGCTTATACCTTCGAAAAATCAACTAGTTTGGTACGTTAAACGTAAATATAGCACCAGGCAGCACTAAAGTGGTCGTTGGGGGCGGAGGCAGAGCGGAAGACAAGATTTCGGGCTACGGCAGATGCCAAGACAAAAACGGGGAAGCCTACCCGGGATACACACCTTAAAGTGACTGAGCTGACGCATGGAAAAATTTGCAGATCCACAAGGCTGTTCAGGGTAGAAAGGGTGACGAGGCGTCGGTTGGGGTATCGCCTATTGTGGCGACAGGAATGTTGATCCCTGAGCGGTCAGAAACCATGGGTCATGGTCCATGGATCAGATTCTGCTAGTGTACATAGTAGAGTCGATGTTTTCCAGTGCTAACCCTGCAATTGGATAGTGAATTTGATATAAATGCATAGACAAACTTATTGTCCAGTACTGTACTGTAGGAAGTACAGAATCAAGCACTGTATCAGTACTAGTAGTATACATGGTGTACAGAAGTACACGAGTGCGAGTATCCCAAAAGGGAAATGAGATGGCGCTAGTCCCATTCCAGTCTAGCGCATACCTGAAATAGAAGCAAACGTGGCCCTGAGGACGTGACCGCTCAGCCTCCCATTGGCTGGCAGATCCTCATTCCTTCCCTGCGCCTCTTTCGAGGAGGCTGGTGTGTACCCAGCCTTGGGGAGGTATTGATGAGCTATTAAAGCTCGTGTTTCCCCTACCTTATCTCACTCATCTCCACACTATTTCCACCTTCTCTCTACAGTATATTCTATCCATACCATCCATCATGGGTAAAGCCGGTCGCATCGCGTGTATCTTCACGCCCTATGTCTTGACCATCGCGTCACTGATCTGTATCATTATGGTGGGACTGGGCTGCACAAAAGCCAGCTCTTCCACCTTGAACGACCTCTACTTCATGCGTGTAAGTACACCCATACTGGAGATCTACTGGCCTGGTGCTAATTCATCCTAGCTTGACTTGTCGAACATGAGTTCGAATTCAGACGCGATTTCCACAATCGAGAGCAAACTGAGCGAAGCCGGAATCGATGTGTCTGACAGCGATATCACCAAACTCATCAACACCCTCCAGGACGATTCGACCATCGCCGACTTCTACGACATCGGTCTGTGGGGCTACTGCCAGGGCAACATCACCAACAACAAGGATACCGTCACCTCTTGCACCAAGCCCAAGGCGGAGTTCTACTTCAACCCCTCCTCAGTCCTGGGTGTGAGTGAATCCGAGCTCGAGGAGGAGCTGGGAAGCAGTGTGAAGAAGATCATGAAGGTCTACAAGGCTGTCTCCAAGTGGATGTTTATTGCCTACCTGGTCGCATTCATCGCCACCTGCGCCCAGATCCTCGTCGGTATCTTCGCCATCTTCAGTCGCTGGGGCAGCTGTGTCACTACCATCGTCTCCATCGTGTCTTTCCTCTTCACCCTGGCTGCGTCCCTTACCTCGACCATCATGTTCTCCATCGCCAAGGGCTCCCTGGGTACCGCAATGGAGGCATATGGCATTGAGGTCTCCATGGGCAAGAATATCTACGCGGCTACTTGGCTCGCAGTTGCCTTCTCCCTGGGTGGAACCCTCTTCTGGATGTTCAGCACCTGCTGCTGCTCCGGCCGCTCTCCCTACGGCCACAAGGACCGTCGCCACAACCGGGACAGCATCACTGCTGAGAAGGCTCCCTACACCTATGAGCCCATCGGCGCTGCCCACCCTCCCTTCGGTGCTCAGCCCTATGCTCCTCAATACGGCCAGAACACCTCCTACCCTCCTCATAACGACATTCCCATGACCCACCAAAACCCCCACCAGCAGCCAAGCGCTTATGAGCCTTTCCGCCACGTCTAAACACAAAAAAACTCCCGATATGTTTTTCAACTGTACAATCTCATGAAGCAACTCTAGACGGGCGATACCATGGCGTTGGTGTGGCTTTTATGCATGTTTTTAATGACCTTTCCTATTTTTGACTTTTGATGATCACCATGTTTGCACAGCGAGTTTTTGGTTCTTTGGGAGGAATCACCTGCATTTTGTATATTTTTTTTTCGATATCCTAGAGCTGAAGGTATCAAGTACCTGCAAAATGACATCTCATCATAAATTTTCATCCACAAACTCTGTATACTTTGTAGTAACTTATACGGAGTACCAAAGTACCCAATGGCTAGCGACAGCTGTAGGACTTCGCGAGTTCTGCTACAGGGCTTCCGAGGTTGAGGAACAACCTCGAAACTTATTACCTTGAGAATTAAGAGCTAGAAATTGATATGAGCTTCCTCGGGAACCGCTCATATCCACTAACGGATTCATAGTAGAAATTCCAGGGTTAAGACGCTCATCATGTGCAATACAGTGCTAGGGGCCCAACCTTGAAAAGACGCAGTTGAGAACTCGAAAGCCCGCGAAATCCGCTAAGTTTGCAGCACTCAATACTAGTCACCTTGCGAAGCACGGAGTAGTCCGTAAAGTGGGGCTGATTCGTATGACCTGAGGATGATCTTGCATCCCGATTGACCCAACTGCGAAGGTTGGACTGCTGATCTCCGTCTGACTACCTAGTACTTTATTGCGCAGTTTTGTCCCGCTTGTTGATGCCCAGGCGCTGTCAAAGGCATCGGGGGATGTTCGCTTTGGGTGCACAGGTGGAATCCATGGATGGATTCTTAGGTACGAATGTATCCCAACCGTGGACCTTGGGATCGTTCCTTGGCTTCACCTCAGGCACAAAAGCTTCTCTGGTGGCACTAGTGGAAATAAGGTTGGTCCATATGATGCAACCTTTAAACCTTGGAATTCTCCCGTGCCCACGCGGGTATACACATTCCACGGCAATAACCTGGAAAGCTATTCAAGACATAATCCCTGTCAGGCCTGGGGGCAAAAATCTTGGAACCTTGGAACCTTGAGATGGCCTTGCAGGGTCATCAGTCCAGAGCCACCTGGGCAGCCCTGGGGGGTTTAGTTAGCATTCCGAGGTCCAGCGCCTGAAGATCGTTGGTGCGTCACTCCAGGGCTTTACTTCCAAGTTCAGGCTTCAGGCTTCCGGGATTACCATTCATAGACCTCGGGATTGGGTCCACTGGTGTTCCAGAGGTCTCAGGCAAGGTCCGCGTTGGCATGATTTCGAAAAATCCATGGATCCATTGGGAGCCTTGAACGGTGCAGATATATAATGATTGGGCCCCCACCAGCACTACTAGGTACCTAGGTACATACCTACTAGGTAGGTATGCATTCATCATTGACGGCTACCTAGGTATTTGTATCCACGGATAGAAGATGATCCAGCAGGGGAGCTTTCCGAGGAATATTAAGGAAAAGCAGATCGTCCGACCCCGGGAACAGTATACCTAGGTAGGTACTTCCAAGGTCAGGTCCAAGCGAGCACAAGGTACCCGGGTACTCCGTAGATACTAGGTAATGTTGTCCTTCGCGTTTGTACCTGTGCTCTGTAGAAAAGTCAAGTAATAAAAAGTGGTATCAATCATTATTTCAAAGTACATCATGACATGGAGCCTCCACCTGAGTGACGGTGGTGACCAGGATAAAAATACAGAAGAAGAATGCACAAAGGACCAGGATCACCGGGGACCTTTCGGCTCTCGATTATAGGTGGGTCGAAGGATAACTCCTCTTTCGTCAACCTCGACCCTGGTGCCACCGCGACGATTGATTTCCACGAGAAGATTTTGATCTTGGTAAGCCCAGCGCTTGAATGGCGTGTTGGGATCGTCAGACCAACGCGGATTGGTCGACACCATGTTCCTTGGTGGTATAAGATTTTTGAGAGAGCTGAACCAGGTGCTACGCTCTTGCTCTGGTTGCGGCTCATGGTCAGGATCGGTATCATGTGCCGCAACAGGGGTTATGCTGGGGGAAACAGGAGGCTGACGGTCGATGTAATCATCGCCAAGTTCAATACTGGCAGTTTCGTGATGAGTGTCGTTTGGCTCCGGTGTATCATCGAAATCGTCTTCATCTTTTGGCACCGTTTCACCAATTTTGTGGTCAGGTTGCAAGGAGGCTGAATGCGTGCTAGATTCTGTTGAATCAGTCATTTCTCTTTCTCCCGCTGGCGCGATAGAAACATCGTCTTCTACTTCTTCTTCTTTGATGGAAGGAGTCCCGTCTGAGTCGGTGCCGTCATAGGAAACGGTATCGTCAGAGGATCCGTCAGAAGTGTCTTCAGAAGTGTCATCAGAGAGCTTGGGCGAGGCCTGTGTAGCGGCAGGGATGGGCGGAGGGCCAGCACTAGGGCCAAGATCCTGACCAAATGATCGGGCATGCAACTCTGAAAACTTGTTCACAAGGCTTGCTGTGAAGGAAGGGTTCACGTTTTCGCCCTGAATTGGCTGATCCTGGTTGGTTCCCGCCTCGCTTTTCGCCTGGGAAGAGGCTGACTGGCTCTCTTGACTGGCAGCGGCAACTGATTGAGAAGCGGCCACCTCGATGCCTCTAGCAGTGAGATTTCGCTTCTTGTGTTGTGGGCGCGAGAAATTCGAGCAGAAGAACTCTTCATATTCCATTGCTTCGGAACCCTGAGAGGCGTTTTTTTCCAGATAATTGGGATATTCCTCCAGATTCAGTATGATGAAGTCGTCCCACAGGAAAGACCTTTTCAAAGAGCCCTTCGCTCGGGTCGCGTGCAGTTTTGAGCACATATTAGTAAAGTGGGAAAACTGGCCGGAATACGATGGATAGGCGTTGCAGAAATTCGTATAGATCAGCTGTGCTTCAGCGGAATTGTCTGCTTGGCCGAGGTAGCTTTGACGCCGTGTCACTAACTCAACATTTGGGACTCGGGTCTCCTCATCGCCATGATTATTGTCACCGGGAGGTGGGACCCGAGAAGGCTGAGAAGGTGACTCAGAAACCTTTGGGGCTTGGTCAGGACCGGATTGAGACTTCGTGTAATCTTGACCTATCTCGCCTGAATGAGATATCGCCGGCGGATGGGAGCTAGCGAAATGAACAGATGACGTGTCGTCCGACTCCAAATGGAAGATGGATGAGCCTCGCTGACGTCTAGTGAGCTTTGATGAGTCAGGCACAACCTCGGCGGACGACTGAGGACTGGCCTGCGATGGTGCAAGTAAGCTGCTAGTTTGGGTTCCAAACCCGAGCCTGTTTACAAGTGGCGACTTGTTGTCCTTTTCCGACTGTGATGGGTCAATTGCCCCATGAGACGCAGCATTTTGTCTCTGGCTTTCTTGAGAACAGTAGGTGTTGCGGACCCGCGATGATGACAAGGTCCTTGGATCCTCTGAAGGTATTTGCTGCGAGCTGGAAGCCTCGGGACTAGGCTTTGGCTTGTTTCTGCGTGTGGTATTGATGACAGGCGTTTCTACCACTTGGATGTTGTTCCTCTCATCTACGACCAGTGATGACCCAGAGCTGTGTGGCTGACTGCTCAATGGGACACTTTGACCCAAAGCAAAAGGAACCGATGCTTCCATCTCATCGGCGCTATCATCGCTATCGTCGCTATCGTCAGGCATTTCCTTGTCTTGGGGACCAGACGCCGCTGTCTTTTTGGCCGAGTTTGATTGTCGACGAGGGGAGTGTTTGATGGGAGTTGAAGGCTGATCACCAATCCTGATGTCTGGAGACGCTGGAATCTTCGGATTGAATGATGGGGCATTGCCGGCAGCACGCCCCGAGTTTTGATCTCTGCTCGGCCCCACTGACAGCTTCTCAGGGGACCTAGAAGGCTCTTTCGCTGCCGTGGCGGAAGTGGTATCAGGATCGACGGCTTTTGGACGCATGCTTGGTGAGCGAGTCTGAGCTCGGCTATCCATATCCCTATCGTCATCTTTCTTGGACTGGCTGATACTGTCTTGCGTATCTGGAAAGACCTGGACTGTATGACGAGGGGGCGTATCTTCAGGAAGTGCATTTTGAGGTGAGCCCTCCCGACTGCTTTCGTCCCAGGACAGTTTCTCGCTCTCTGATGAATAATCAACAGTTGATGGATTAGTACCCTGAGGATGTGTGGTAGGAGTTGGTTCGGGACTTTTCTCTGGCTGTTTCGACCTGCGGTTTCTTTGTTGCGCAATGTCATTCCATTGGGATAAAAGACGGGGTGGCACATGGCATAAGGGTGCATATACACCAGGTTCTCGCGGAAGCCATTTCAGTTCCTCTAGAAGCTCCGCCTGATCTTTGGGGATTTCAATTTCACTTGCGGGTATCTTTGTCATTCCCTCCCAGTGATTGATCATGGGCATGTTGGCTCGATCTGGCTTTTTGGAGATGCCCTGTACACTAGGGACTGGAGACATCCGCTCGGTTGATAAGTTTTCAACTCTAGTTGAGTCTGCTCGCATAGCTTCCTCGCCATTAGTACGCTGTCGCTTGCTTAAAGGGGATGCATCCTCCGGATTTCGAAGGTCTGCGGCACCCAAAACTTTATTCTGAGTGGAATTTGGCTGTTCACCAATGCTTTCACGGTGTCTCTTTTTCGAGGGCTGCCGCGTATCACTTGTCTCAATCGTCTGGTTTGGACCAATGTCGACTCTGCTGCTTACTGTCTGTTGAGCGTGACTCGTATGACCTTCAGCCAAGACCTCAGTAGATTTTGTGACGTGGATGTTAGTGCTGGCTGATTCAGCATTGTTTTCAGCCGCACGTTCTGCCTCCGCATTGTTGCTAGGCAATTCCGGGCCTTGTTCTGAGCGTGACGTGGTAGCACTTCGCTCTCGAGGGCTTCGGATATCAGGCTTTTTTGGTACAGCAAACTCCGTGTCATTATTCAGTGGTGCCTGCTGGCGGTCGCCCCCTCCGGGGGATGCTTTGTTTGCGATAGAGGTATTCTGATGCTGAGGATTTGCGTAATAGGCCAAAAGTTCTTTGGAGTCACCAAGTGAAACACGGCCAGTGTTGAAATTACTTTTGTGCACACTATGGAGATCATGAGGAGCCGCCTGTGAGTGGAAGCCCTGGGACCCTGAGTCTTTTTGCGACTGTTTCGACACGCCGGAGGGCTCTTCTGGGGGAAGCGTTGTTCTACCAAGAGCAGTGTTGTTTCGGCCATGCGATTGTAGATCACCTCGGTTGTTCTGGGCCTTTCGATACACCTGAGCGATCAGGGGTTTGAGTTTTGATACCTTCCTGAGCTTTGGCTTAGGGGTGTCTGCCTTGGGGACCGCATTTTGACGAATATGGAATCGACTGATGCGAAGTTCAAGCTCCGGCGTAGATGCTGAGTAGATGAAGACAAGCTTGAGTTCGGGAAGCTCCACAAGATGCCTTGGACCTCCTTTAGTTGTTGGCGGGCAGGGTGAGGCTGCCCCAGACAAATTAGGTGAATCGGGCGAGACAACGACGTCTATTTGGTTCTGAGAGTCTGTGAGGGTAGCGCGACGACTTGAGTCTCCTTGGCCCCACTGTTAGAGATCAAATACTGATTAGCATGACATCTTGAGCGCATGGCACATGAGTATCTTACTGTCACAACAGTCGCAGTCTTATGCGGAGTATCCCCGAAGCTGAAGGTGAGGCTACTCCCACAATCCTCCACTTTAATCCCATCATCATGGCGACCGAGATAGAAAGAAAGGGATCGTTCGGCCAAAGCTGCGATCCAGGGTGATACTGGATCCATCGTGTGAACCCAGCTTCAAAGATCAATCCAGGGCGTCACTTTCAATAGACATAAAGCAGTAAGCAGGAGACATTGAGGCTTTGTGTGTAACTTGGCCCAAAGAGGAGACACAGAGCGCATCCCGCAGAGGTCGGCACACCTGTGGACACGGCAAACTTTCCACCGCGTTTCTTCGTTTCTTCGTTTCTTATCGATAAGATGGACGCGATGGCTTACTCAGCCACACGCGGGACCTCGGACGTCATTAATGCGGAGGACAATGATCTACAGCTTTTCGCTGAAGCTTTACCTGCTTGATCTACTGACGCTGGTGGCTCCTGCATATCTGACCAGTACTCCACCGCCCTCGAATCGGATATCCCAAAACTCTCTTACTCTCAACATTACTCCATGCCCTTTGTCCTCAACAAGGATGATCCGAGAGCTCTCTGCTTAAATTGGTGTTTGGTGTCATCGACACCTCCAACCCACCGATGGCTTCTCAAAAGCAGGAAGACTCACGCAGTGTGTCTGAGTCTTCCAGCTTCCATCCTCTAGGACGACGCGGCTCCCGCGGCTCCATGGCGACAACCCGAACCGAACGAGAGTCAATAAATGCAACTTTGGATCACTATCACAACGCGGCCTATCAGTCTGACACCCTAACCCTGTTCAACGAGTTCACAAGTCCACCTGCGCCAGCCCCTACATCTGACGAAAAAGGGCTGTCCGAGGAACTACAAGGCGGCCTTAGCGGACTCTACAGTCGCTTCAGGACCTCCGTCGGCGGGGTGAGAGATATTGTCAGCGGTAGCGGCAAGTCGGACAAGGGTGCGACTGAAACACCCGCAGCCCGAACCCCTGTATCAGATCGCTCGATGGTCAAGTCTGTCTCAGATCTCACCACTGCCTCGGCTGATTACCCACCGTCACAGCCCAACTCGTCGCAAGGATCAAGACTCCACTCGCCCGTTGTGTCGCACTTTCAACCCCACCAAGAACCGGCGCTACAATCAAATGCAGGTAAAAGGTCCAGGATATCCTCTAAGAGTGGCAGCATATCTTCCAAAACCTCAGTGTCGCCAACGGGACGCCCTGGGCTAAAGTCCAACGCAGCCCCATCAACGAGAGCCGGCGGTAGTTCCACTGCAGCAGACCCCGCGGTGACCCAGCTACATGTCAATGTTGTCGGAAATACAGAACGCTCCAGCAATAACTCTGTGAATGCGCCGTTCCAAGTGGCCCATAATGCAGATGCAACAAGTGTCGGTAGCAGGGAAGGGGCTGTGGATCTTTCCATGAGCCAGACGTCATCTCTTCTCAGTCAAAATCTTTCCGCGTCGCCAGTTTTGTCTGCGAAGCTAAATGACAGTTACCACGAGGATCAGGGGTCGTCCAATCTAAAAGATTTCGCCCTTTCGGGGTCTCACACCCCAGAAACTAGGTCTCGGAGGTCAACCTCTGTAACGGATCAACCAAGACAGTCTGACATCACGTCTCAGCCAGCTGGCAAGCGAAACTCCGCGCAGGCCGAACCAGCCCAAGGCCATCTATCTCAATACCCAGGGGAGAGATCGGGCTCACATACATCTCTTCGCTATGACGAGCCAAAACCATCCACCTCAACGTCGAATAATCCCCCGAGGCTTACATCCCATGATGAAGTTTTACATCGCGTTGATAAACTTCCAGCTGGCGCAGCTCAGCCTCGCGAGGAAGACAAAGCCAATGAACCACCGAAAAGTTCGGTTCCACAGAGATCCGAAGGAAAGCCGAACGCAACATCTCGGGCGGGGCGACTGCCTGGCTACATGATGTCTCGAACTTCTACTGCCGAAACCACAACCACAGTCTCTTCTTTGCCTCCTTTGAACACAGCGGTCGGAAGGGCTGATGGACAATCTTTACAAGCCAGGCGCCAACCGCCACCTGGAGACAATGGTGTTATATCCGAGCTGCGAAATAGATTGCTCAGCAGAGATTTCTGGATGCGTGACGAGAACGCCAAGGACTGTTTTCACTGCGGAGAGCCTTTCACAACCTTTCGTAGAAAGCACCATTGTCGAACTTGTGGTCAAATATTTGATTCCAAATGCACCTTGCTCATATCAGGAGCAAGGTTTGGACAGCAGGGTACTATTCGAGTCTGCAATCCTTGCGAGAAGATGATCAATGCTCACGACAACGACTCTTCGGACTTTTCCGATAGCGAGCAAAGCCCAATCATCGCAAACCCTCGGGTCTCTGAACTCAGCTGGGGGAATAATGGGCGCCCATCCTTCGACGACGATGATTCATCCTCCGTTGTGTCACAGTCAATTGATCATGTCCTGAGGACTCCGACCATGGCTATACCAGCCACGCGACGGGCAGGAGAAGGCCATAATCGACGCTCAGCTGTGCTTGAGATCAACTCTGATCGACCTTTAGCACGACCCACCTCTTCACGCTCGCTGCGCTCATCACTTGGGGGAAGGCCACATTCCATCAGCCACAAGCGTCACCACTCTCGTCAGCAATACATTCGGGGATTCAAGCCATACCATGAAGATCGAGCTCCTTTCCAACGCCGGCATGCAGATGATTTGGATCCCGAGTCTCGGCTGCCTGCTTTCCACAAAGACAACATCATAGATCCTGACCTTGCGCAATATCTCTCTGACGACGCATCGAGTGGTGATGAGCAACCGAGTCTCTTGTCTGCAGTGTCCGAAGGTGGATTGTCCAAGAGTGGCGGCGACAACGAAAGAGCATCGTTTGGCGGTATTCTCGCCGCCATGAAGAAAGGTCGATCTGCGTTTGGAGATCGTACCACTCCTAGTGTGAATCGAGACGGGGATGATGCAAGTCTCACCAGCTCAAAGGCCGTCAACCTGCCCCGATTTTCTCGTCGCCGAAATCTTAGCATCGCTAGCAGTGTGCACCCTCGCCAATCGCCCAGAACTTCCAAAGATAGCATGTTTCTACATGATATCTCGGTGCCGGCCATTTCTTTGCCAACAGGCCCTAAGGAGGCCGGGTTTAAAATGACGCGCAGTTCATCGATGAGAGGAACCGACGCCCCACCAGTTGAGCTGAATAGAGCCAGCTTAGAACATGTTCGCAAGCTTCTTCATCAGCTGCTCATGGAATCTGCGGTGCCAAACGGAGCAGGTTGGGAGAACGCCCTGATGCCAATACTGCTGAAAGCCGCGGACGAAGTGGATCCGAATGTCCAGCGTGGGGATGACATGGACATCCGCCACTATGTCAAGCTGAAAAAGATACCCGGGGGTCGCCTTGGTGATACCTCATACGTCTCAGGTCTTGTTTTCACCAAAAATCTGGCTCTGAAAGGCATGTCTAGAAACATCTTACGCCCTAATATTCTGATCATCACGTTCCCTCTCGAATACGCTCGACAACAACAGCATTTCATGAGTCTTGAGCCCGTCATTCGGCAAGAGCGCGAGTTTCTAGAAAACTTGGTCAGTCGGATATCGGCCTTGCGTCCCAATCTCCTTCTGGTGGAGAGGAATGTCTCCGGTCTGGCTCTTGGACTTCTGGAGCAGGCTGGTATCGCAACTGCTTACAACGTGAAACCTTCTGTACTTGAGGCTGTATCAAGATGTACACAGACCAGAATCGTGACATCTATGGACAAGCTGTTAACAACTACTCTGCACAGTGAATGCAGTAGCTTTAACGTGAAGACCTACGTTCACTCTGGGAGGAAGAAAACTTACATGTACATCTCAGGATGTCCGAAAGAGCTGGGATGCACTATTGTTCTACGTGGTGGGGACAATGATGTCCTTGCGAAAGTGAAAAGAATCACTGAGTTCATGATATACGTCGTGTACAACCTTCGTTTGGAAACATGTCTCATGCGAGATGAATTCGCAAAGATACCAACCTCCCCGACAGAAACAATCATGGTTGTCCACGAGAAAGACAAGAATGGAAATCCACAAATCATCGTCGACGAAGGCGATCCACGCCCAGCTGACTCTGGTGATGTCCAGATGGACAATAATGAGAAAGCGGTCGGTGCTTCCGATAGCCAACTTCTTGTGGCCGTCGATGTGCCCGAAGTCCCAGACGATGTCCCGATGCCAACATATTACGACGACATGGTTCGAGATCACCAGACTAAGATTCTTTCTGCCTCACCCTTTGTTAAATTCGAGCCGCCGTATCTTTTGATGCGTGCACGAGAGATGGAGCGTCGGTTGGCTTACTTGAAGCGTCTTCGAGGACAAGACGACAATTCCGATGAAATCACGGACGAAAAGGCCAAGCCCCAAAAGTTTGTTCTTGTCACGCCTGAAATGGCCAGACAGTCACCACAAGATGCACCGACAAAGGTCAAGGAAGTGCTTCGTGCTGCTCATGAAGCCGAGTATGATCGAGCATTTTACCACTATCAGACTCAAAAGCGTCAGTGGGAGGCTTACGTTTCGGGAAATACAAGCATGTTCGATCCCTATGCGCACCAAAATATCGTTATCCTCTACAGCCTTGTCTGCACCACAACATCAGTTCCATGCTCCGGGCCGGATGTTTTCGCTCTTGAATTTTACAATGAGCATGGAGATGACACGATCGTTGAGTCTGATCTCTCGCTGGGTCAATACGTTGAAGATCTTTGTGACACGGCGAGCTCTCTGTGCGAAGTCAACGGTTGCGAGAAGCGCATGTTTGAGCATCACCGCCAGTATGTCCATGGAGACGCCCAGGTCAGCGTTTTAGTTCAACCCCATCCTCCTAAACTTCCGGGACTTCAGGATGTCGTGCTCATGTGGAGCTGTTGCAAAGTTTGCGGCAACGAGACCCAAGTCACGCCCATGTCTGAAAGCACTTGGAAATATTCATTCGGAAAATACTTGGAGTTGTCCTTTTGGGGCCGGAACCTCCATGCTCGAGCTGGAGTGTGCCCCCATGATCTGCAACGAGACCATTTCCGTTACTTTGGCTTCAAAGATGTTGCTTTACGAGTTCAGTATGACTCCATCCGTTTGCTTGAGATCATAGTCCCGCGGCCTCGTGTGACCTGGAAAGTGGACAATGACTTGAAGTTGAGGAACGAAGTCTACCAGCGAACAGAGCAACGTCTTGACAAGTTTATGGCCTCTGTCCAAGCTCGGTTGAAAGGCATCAACGTTGAGAGTGTCGTCCCCGGGCTCCTGGACAGCTGCAACAAAGAGATTGAACTTCTGATCAAGAAGGGCCACGATGACCATATTTCTTTGGTTCAACAGTTACAAGACACATATACAAACTCCCGTTACTGGGAAATCATTCCTCTGAACGAAGTCCTTCGTGCCACCCAGGAAAAAGTCGTTGAATGGGACACAACGTTCGCTGATTTCGAGAAGAGTTTCTTCCCATCTGAAAAGGATATCAAGCACATGGCCACGCTACAGCTCAAAAAGATCTTCCTTGATAAAGATGCTTCCATGACAGAGGACACTCTTCAAGCGCCCAACGACATGGAAGATGAGAACAACCAAGCAGATGACAGACCCCGAATGATGCGCCGCATGACACTTTCTCCCGAAAAGGCACAGAACGTATTGGTTTCAGTAGTCGAGGAGCATGCTGGCAAAAAGCATCGAGAAGAGTCTCCTTCCCCTCCGATGTCAACGGAGGAAGCAGCCTTGCCTGTGGATCATGTGGACGAGAAGAGAGCTTCTCCCCAAGACGAGGCTGTATCACAAGAAGAAGTTCGTCATCTCGACTTAGCGGTACCTGCTGGTCAATCTGATCTAGGATCTGTCGATGTGGCCGGTGTTGCAAATCAATCACCGGCCAACGCCGCTCTTGCAGCGACAACCCCTCCTCCTAGCATCTCATCAGAGCACGGAGCTCACAAAGGCTCGGGTGCGTCCGAACAAGGAGAAAGCATTGAGAAAGAGGAAGATGGGGTCACTGAGCTTCCAAGCACTCCCGTGCGACGGTTTTCGGCAATCCCTAGACCCACCGAGGCAGCCTTTCGACGCAATGGTAAAATGCGATCTCCTCCGCTTCTGCGTGCTCAATCTCAGCCAGTCAATGTACCACGGGTCAACAACAATGTTCCACTTCCTGGGTTGAGGATGGCCCTGACCAACGCAATTGAACCAGAAAAGAACCCGGCTGTGTCTCCCACGAAATCGTCAGACAAGAAGTTGACAGATCGCTTAGGACTGAGCTCTTTGAAGAATGCTCGATTCGCTTCTGGTCACTCGCTCATCCCACGATCTGCCCCAAGTAAAAAGGGCATGTCCCGAGTCTCCAATCTTGCTAGACATTTCGAGCAAATGAGTCGCGAATTTGAGAAAGAGAGACAGCGCGAGAGGCGGCAACGGGCTGCAAAGGGCATTCACTCACGGGCATTCCCACTGGCTTCGTCCAAGCCCATCGTCGAGGTCTATCGTAACGTGAGAGAGGCTGTTGAAGAACGGGAGCCACCTGCCGATAGTGACGAATCTTTGCCGTCGGCTCCACTGATCCCGACAGACGACCTCAATCGCAAGAGCGATGAGCTCGCCCGCGAACCAATAAATGAAGAGCCCCCTCTTCCAAACTCATCCTCGCCCGAGGCTGAAGATGTGGAGGAGCTTCATCGTGAAAGCCAAATTCCGTTTGACGGAGAGCCAGACGAGCATATCACTGATGATGAAAATAACCAATCCAACGAGCTTCATCCTGTCGATTCTCACGATGATGTCAAGACCCCGGCAGAGGACGACTCGGTCGATTACAAGGAACTTCCAAAGCACGAACGCACAACTCTGTTGAAGATGCTGACAAACTTCTGGTCCGAACGTTCCGCGAGTGGATGGACACCTCTTGAGTATCCCCTCAGTGTCATGGATCACGTCTTCGCCGATTGTGATATCATCGTTCGCGAGGATGAACCGAGCTCGCTTGTGGCGTTTGCTTTGGACTCTTCCGACTACAAAGAAAAACTCTCCAGTATCCAACAACGGTATGATGAGATGGAAGACAACGAATCAGAGCATGGCGATGATCTTGAGGCCATCAAGGAAACACAGGTCGAGCATGCTCTTTTGCGCCCCACAGGCACACATCTCAAGTATCAGTTCCAAGAGGGACCGGCCAAGATGCTCTGCAAGGTATTTTATGCTGAGCAATTCGATGCCTTGAGGAAGAAATGTGGCGTGGCAGATCGCATTGTTGAGTCCCTGTCTCGATGCGCGAAGTGGGACTCGAAGGGTGGCAAGACGAAATCATTATTCTTGAAGACCCTTGATGATCGCTTCATCCTCAAGTCACTGTCCACGATAGAAACACAAGCCTTCCTGAAGTTCGCTCCGGCCTACTTCCAGATCATGTCCGAGGCTTTGTTCCACGAACTACCTTCGGCAATCGCCAAAATGTTTGGCTTCTATCAAGTCATCATCAAGAACCCCGTCACTGGAACGGAGTTCAATTGGTTCTTGCTACTCATGGAGAACCTGTTCTATGATCGGAATCCGACGCGGATTTTCGACCTTAAGGGATCGATGCGGAACCGCAAAGTTCAGAGCACAGGTGAACGAGACGAAGTCCTCTTGGACGAGAACATGGTGGACTTTATCTACGAGACACCACTCTTTGCCCGTGAGCACTCAAAGAAACTTCTCGCTCAGAGCGTGTGGAATGACACCCTCTTCCTGGGCCGTCAAGATGTGATGGACTACTCACTCATGATCGCCATTGATGAAAGTCGCGATGAGCTCGTGGTAGGCATCATTGACTGTATTCGCACCTACACCTGGGACAAGAAACTCGAATCCTGGATCAAAGACAAAGGCTTTGGTGGCGGTGGCCGCAATCGCCCAACCGTGACCAGCCCAAGAGAATACAAGGGCCGGTTCCGTGAAGCAATGGCTAGATATGTGCTTCAAGCTCCAAGGTATGTTGGTTTTGTTCCATATTCTTGACTCCAATACTGACGATCCCCAGCTGCTGGCATCAATTCCAACCAAACTTGCAATATCGACCTGAAAACCAAGGCTTTGAACTCGAGGCCATTGATGGGACGGGCTCGTTCGAAGACCCTGGTTTCTAGTGATGAATGTCTCCCTACCCCATTTCTCTTCCCCTTGCACTCATCAACCACATTACGACTCACGACCTGATGATAACGCATTCGTGCCAAGATCTGCTTTTCTTCTGTATTTCGCATGAGACGGACTCATTTGCCAGGCCATTTAGCGTTTATCCCGGGACACATGTCGCATCGGACATGTTTTTACATCATTCACCGCAGCGTTTGCGAGCGTTCCTGAAGCGGAGTCACGACTGACATTCTTTTGACTCTTCGCATTATCTCAGTGCCTATTATCTTTCGGTGCTAGCATTCATTATCAGCACTTCCATGTACAGCGTCATTGCCTGCCTAGTTTCAATCCCGGGCCTCGGGATGTCCATAGTAGTTCCGCGATACTGTACTCCGTACTGTATATCAATAGATCGGTGCAACACTGCACAACATACAAGTCATACAGCCTGTTCCTCTGATACAGCCCACATAACCCACGAAGACCCAATGAGAAATAAGATCAGCACAGTTGAAAGATTCCTGCTGGGCCCATCGGTAAAAATCGGAAACGGGACGGCAAAGGGCCCCGGGAACTACGTTTAGCCATTGGATCATTTTTCCTGAGAATTTGAATCTTATCTTCCTAAAATCTTTTCTGAGAAGATTCTCCATCTTCGCAGGCCTATATATGGGCTTTTCCCGTCGTTTTGGCGCAAGCAGAGTGCACCGGGAGCATCTCCGACGTCCGGTTGATATCGGGCACATGGAGCCTCGGAGGTTCAATTATCGTCCCCGCATCTACTTTTCGCTCCTTTCTCCTTTTCCTCTTCTTCTTTGATTTATTCGGAGAATGTGATATTCGACTATGATGCCAATTCACCGGTATATCGGTGAAATCAATCTCTGATGCGAGCATTGAGCATTGAGCCACTCCCGAGGTTCGGGGTCCAGTCGCCTGACGAGTCTCGGTTCACGAGAGTCAGGGACATGACAAGTCTACTGGGCTACTGGTCAATTATTGCTGATCTTCACTTGATTTTGAACGGAAAGCATTAAATTCGTTTCATTTACATGAGCAATGCATTAACCTTCCAGCATACTATGGTCCAGACCACAGCGCAAAACAAACTTGGCTTGGAATCATCAAAAGGAACAGGAGAAAAACAAACAGGTATGCATCCCAACCGCACACCGGCGGTAAACAAAGAACACGGCATCTATCGCAAAAAGCCTACCATCTGGTCAAGTCAGGGATTTACTCCATGGCCAGACCGAGGTTCTCGTCGGCGGGCACCACACGAACGGTGTTGGTGTGGCCCATACCGCCGCGCCATCCCTGGACGCAGACGATGGGGTCGCCCTTGTTGATGATACCGAGCTTGAGACCGTGGTTGATACCCCACTTGAGGCGACGGTCGACATCCTCCTGCCAGATCTTGACGTTGAAGTCGGGCTTGGTCTCGGGGAAGTAGAAGGGCCACACACCACGGTACAGGTGGGAGTACTGGAAATCACAATCAGCAACTGTCGACACTTCCGACTTGGGATTCAACTTACGCGAGCGGCGGTGTCGTTACGAGTGACCATCAGGATGGGGCAGACGGGGCGGTACTTGGAGAGAAGGCGGGCGGTTTTACCACTGTGAATTGTCAGCATGTTGGTCACGAGAACACCAACCGATACGGCACATACCTGGTGGTCAGGACGACGATGGCACCGGCGTTCAGCTCCAGAGAGGCGCTGACGGCAGCCATGGCAATGGACTCGGGGGTCTCGGTGGGACGAGGGGCAAGGTTGCGCAGCTCATCGAAGACGTTGAAGTGAGGAACGGCAACCTCGGCCAACAGACAGGTGTCGGACATCATCTTGACGGCCTCGCAAGGGTAGTTACCCTTGGCGGTCTCACCAGACAGCATGACACAGTCAGCACCGTCGAGGACGGCGTTGGCAACGTCGGAAACCTCGGCACGAGTGGGACGGGGGTTGTATGTCATGGACTCCAGCATCTGGGTGGCACAGATAACGGGCTTGCCCTTGATGTTGCACTTGGCGATCATCATCTTCTGGGCAAGGAACACCTTGGGGGCGGGGATCTCAATACCAAGGTCACCACGGGCAACCATGACACCGTCGGTCTCCTCGAGGATCTCATCGAAGTTGTTGACACCCTGCTGGTTCTCGATCTTGGCAATGATCTGGATCTCCTTACCCTCCTCGCCGAGGACGGCACGGATGTCCTTGATATCCTCACCGCGACGGATGAATGAGGCAAAGACCATGTCGACCTTGTTCTGAACACCGAACTTAAGGTCGGCAATATCCTTCTCGGAGAGAGCGGGGAGGTCTACGTCAGTGCCGGGAAGGTTGACACCCTTGCGGGAAGAGATCTGGCCATTGTTCAGGCACTTGACCTTGAGGTTCTTGTCATCAACAACCTCGATCACCTCGAAAGACAGAATACCGTCGTCGACATAGATGAGCTTGCCGGGAGAAATCACAGTGGTGATGTTCTTGTAGTCAAGGTACCTGTCACACAGCACATGTCAGTCCCCGCTGCAATATCGAACAATGTCGACCTTCCAAATCGGCCTTCCTCGCGGCAAACTTACATGTTCTTATCGTCACTGGCGTTGGCGTATGCTTCATCGGTGGTGATGTTGAGGATGGTGCCTGCCTTGATGGGGAAGTCCTTGTCGTCGACGGTGTTACCGGTACGGATCTCGGGACCCTTGGTGTCAAGGGCAATGGCGAGAGGACGACCAGTCTGGATGCGGGCAGCCTCGCGAGCGTTGTCAATGACAGATTGGTGGTACTGCAAGCCGAGTCAGCGGAATCCCGTTTCCGTTGCATATCCTCTACTGACCTCGTATGAACCGTGGGAGAAGTTCATGCGGACAACGTTGAGGCCGACTACAATGAAGTCAGTCGGATGCCTCCAAAAATTGCGCCTCTCGGCTGGGAATTCGATGTCATACCTGTGCGGAGAGCATTGATCTTCTCGGCGGAGTTGGTCTTAGGGCCTAATGGGAGGGCGGTTAATATCGGGAATTTTCCTCAACGGCCATGGCTGTCTCCCCAGCCACTCGGAAGTTCTGCGCTACATACCGATGGTACAGATGATGGAGGTGCGGCGGAAGTTCTTCGCAGGGGACATCTCGGTGTTCAGCTTGGAGTACCACTCGAGCTTCATGCGGTTGCTCAAGTGGTCGAGGGAGCTGGTAGGCGCCATTTTGGTATGTTATTTTGATAAATTAAAAGGGAGGAGGGAGGTTGGGTCTGATCAATTGAAAATCAGAGAAGATGGTAGGAGAGAAAGGATGGGAGGTGGAGGGGGAAGAGAAAACGGATGGGTGAGGGGCGGGAGGGAAAATGTTGGCCGCCGGTGTGAGTATCTCCGGACTACTTTTTTTTTCTTTTGTGTCTTTACTCCCCCATCATTTACCATCAATCGATTCGTAGATTCTAATTTGAAGGACCATTCCAAAGTTCTCTAATTCCCATATCTACGACTCTCTCCCTGTATCGTCCCAACTGTGTCGGCAGAGGCGGGAGACGATCTAGGCAGAAAAAAAAGACAGCAAATTATATCATCTCCAGAGCCGTTGACCGCAAAAAAAGCGGAGGACCCCGTGCTGGTCAACGCGCTGTACATTGGAGTCCTTTATCGAGTTAATGTGACAAATACCGACAGCCAATTGATCGCCCCAGAAAAGGGCATCAGAAAGGGGATTTCGGTGGGATGTAGCCTTATCGATACTCCGGACGCATGCAGTTTAGTGCCCAGGGCCACTGAACTCCGACTCTGATTATGTCATCTGCTCCAGCCTCACCCAGCCACATCTCGTGGACGTCATGTGAAAGGTCACCTGATCCTAGGTTAGGTACCTATGCCGGACGCTCTTCCTTCTGCCTGACGCTTTGGACCGCTGGGTAATTCAATACAGATTTTGTCACCTTCTGCAAATCTTCATCATGGTATGAGACCTATGCCGATCACACTCGGGCAATTGAAACGCCCGCGAACCCGGCCCTGGATGACTGACATGGGCACATGAAATAGCTCGGCCGTCTTACCCACTACGCATTTGATGCTGTTCTCTGTGAGTCTTCGAAGCTTGCGGGACTATTTGTTGGTATTGAAACTAACCGGTGTCTATCAGTCTCCGCCTTCCTGGCAGGTGTCAAGCGTTCCACCGGTCTCACGTAAATCTACCTTCCCCATCTCGACCTTCCCAACACCATACACCTCTGTGTCCACCATGCGAAATTTATTGAAGGATCATAACTAACTCTGTCACCCCATGCGCCCCTTTCACGGGATGTGCATGTGGGATCTTCACAGCCCCAGCCTTAACTCAGACAACATCACGGACAGCAAAGACGTCAAGAAATGGGTGGATAGCTACCTCGGAGTCGGCGAGTGGGTGATGGACCAATCCGTCGCAGTGATGGGCTCAACTGCCTGGTTCGAACGCCGCCGTTAATCTCGCTACGAATTCCGAGTCGGAGACCAACGATGCCTCACGGCTTGAACCTCGGCCATTCGATGTATATGTATCGCCGCGGACTCAACAACCTGGATGCAACTTTTCGACCTCATGGTATTCCCGATATCATTATGTACAGGAGTCGTTGGCACGCGTGTCTTATTACAGCTTCCAGAAAATTACAATCACATGCCCCATGGCTGGATTGACGAGTGATGACCAATTTTGAATTACTTTGCCTTGGCTTTCGATGCCTTTATTTGGCGTCCTGGCTTTCCAGATGTTTTCTTTGCCTCTGTACCTGTGCCATAACATACAAATCCACCGGAGTTAACATTGGGTTTTCCAATACAGTATTCGGAAATATTGCTTGCATACAAGCTTTCGGTCTTGATCTGATCTGAATCGAAAATGCAACAACTAAGTGGCATTTTGGATCCACGGGTCTTGCATGAAGTAACACGCCATATGTCACCTTGCTCCTAGTGATAAATTCTGCGGAAATTCCGAGCCAAGCCTCCAATCGCGAGATAAATGTGTGGTAACGGGACGGGTGAGACCAGTGTCTCGGATGCAATCATCTTTTGCCAGCCTCCGGTCAAGTGTGTAGGAGAGCGTCGATGTCCACGCGCCGGAAGTATGAAATGTGACCCATCTCCTTCCAGTAGTGTGCCATGAGGTCAGTGGAAACGAGGATTAATTGGGAATCAATGAATATGTCTGTGGCTGATATCAGTATGTGAAGCTGGGTTCGGAGTCATTTCACCTACCATCTTGAAACCCTATTCCAGCGACATGGCCCTTGCAACGGACGATGCGCGCACCTATAAACGGCTCGTCTTCCGCAACACCGACCAGACCTGCAGGCCCAATATCGTCGGCGACCCACGAGTATTGGCCTCGGGGGACATTCATGTCTCCTGTCAATTTGATGCCTTTCAACTGGCCTTGCTGTCCCATTGACTCGCTGTTCGCTTCGGTAGTACCACCATGGCTGTTGGTTTGGATTTCAGATTGTTGTCTCTGAATATCATCTTGCGCATGATTTTGCAAGACCAATAAGAACTCACATCCGTGAGTCGAGTAGTCTCCAACCCAAATACCCTGGTACGGCTTCTCCCTGGTAGGCACGTAACACTTTGGATCGAGCGTTGAATACGTCTGAATCAACATGTCGCTCATTCCCGCAAACAAACCTCGATAGTTCTGCCATCTGTCGAAGCGAAAGGATTTCTCTGACAAGTCCGATATTTGTCCGACGGACTGTGACTGGCTGCCTTTCACTGACCGGGGTGTGCGGTTCTTGCTTGGGACGAGTGGAGGAGGCCAGTAGTGTTCCGGGTCTGTAGATGACACCTGCTTATCCTTTGTGGTGCAAAATGAAAGGGGTTTGTAGATCCGATTTGCCTCATAGATCAGAGGCCGTTTCCAATCATTCGTCCGAGATAGAAGCTGTATTGGGGCAGACTCGCTGGACGGGTTCGGATCTTTGAGAAATAAGGCCGGCGCGTCGAGCGACAAGTGCACGGTTGGGTTGAAAGCCTGGACTAGTACAGTCGGCTCGGTCTTCCAGAAATGAAACTGCGAGGATCCACGCTCTGCGACGATCTCGTACCCCTCGATCACGCCCCGCCGATTATCGTAGCGAGTGAGGATCAGGCTTCCTTTGGGCTCATCATCGGCAAACCAGATTTTATGCTCGGGGATAAACCAGCACGGGTAAAATGCCAGGAAAAGACGTCGAAAGGAGCCGAAAATGCCCGGGGTTTCAATACGATTAGGCAGTCGTGTGTTGATGAGGTTGGCCCAGAGCAGATCATTTGAGGTATGCGCAGCAAGTGCTCGACAGGTCGCTCCGATGCACGCCAGATCCGGGGCCGAGAGGTGGGATAATATGACGTGGATGAGCTCGGAGGGTAATTTTGCCAGAAGCAGCGACGTGGATTTCTCCCGATCCTGTTCCAGCCCATCATTCAGATCGAGGGGTTGATAGCTCTGCTACATTCACAGTGAGTATGCTTGTTATTCAAAGGAGTGGAGAAGCGTACTGGAGACACCATCATGTCTTGATCCGTGGGGCGATGGGTTCAAACGCAAGGTTTTGGAAAGTGATCCAGGTAATGTGCAGATGACATCATACCCAACAGGGTGACCTTTCAATCACAACTAGAGCACAGGGTCCGGGGTGTACCTAGGCCAAGAATTCAGCTCAGGTTGTCAAGTGTCGAATTCCAGAAAGTTGGAAAGTTGAAAGTTGGAGAAACGATAAGAGTAAGGTTATCGCGATCCCCGCACCGAACTTTCCAAGTTGGGTTGACCCCAATTTATCAGGCATCTAGACTGCAACATGAGAATATACTACTTCAAGCTTGTATGTTGATCAAACATGCTATATTCTGAACATGAATATTTACATGTTTCACATGGGTACCTACCTATGTAGGTAAGGTTGTACCGATTATCAGCAGATTGAATATCGCTTAGGCCCAGGCAAGCAACCTGAGAAGGAATCTGAATATAGTAGAGTCATTCAATCTCTGGATATTCAACTGCAATTGCGTAGGCCTACAGAATTGAAGGGCAAGATCACCTGATCGCCCAAAGAAGCAAGATGTTTATCGCCGGAATAGGCACGCGTCGGCTGCCTATTTGAGCCCCACCTTGTTTGTTTACTTGTGATCTATACAATTCCCCTTATAAACCCCCTGTCTGCTGAACGGTTGTGGAACCTGGATTGTACTTTCATCCCACAATGGATATCACTCGTTCGGCAAGAAAGAGGAGAAACAGCTCTTCAGCCCGGAGCCAATCCCCAGTCTCGCATCGAACTAGACAAAGCTTGGCAGATGCCGAAAAGCCATGCACGACGCCAAAGAAGTCAAGGAAAAGGGTTCGGTTCTCCGACCCTGGCCCCCGCCTGCTGCAAGATCTCGATAGTGGATCTACCGGTTTAACCCCAGCAATGCGTCGCACATCATTCAATCCAAAGGCTGGAAACCGTACACCGAGCCGGACAGCCCGACGCAAGTCCGCTCCAACGCCTCGGTACCCTCGGTCCTATGATCCAGTAGATCATTTCGACCACACCTCCACCGAGCAGAGAGTCCAATTCACACCCCTTCGGCAGATTCTGGATACCCGCACCCAGAGAAGAATCAAGCGAATTGGATTGAGTGATGAGATCAATCATATCGAGCGCGAGAAACGAGATGCACGCAATTATGAGAAGACCATGCAGGCACTGCGCCAAGAGCGAGATGCCCTCAAACTCGAGCTGAGGGCCATGAAGCGCGATTCAATGGGTCTCGAAGAGCCGACGTTGGAATCCAGTTCTTACTGGACCACGCCCCAGTCGCTTCGGTCCGGAGAGAACGTGTCGATGGCTTCGAACCAGAGCGCCGACGAGACGACTTTTATACTCAACGATGGTGACACGTTCGCGTTCAATGACAGTGCTGTCATTGTTTCTAGCTCGCCTGATCCTCGCTCCACTCGCAACTTCAACTTGCCACTCTCTGAGAGCTTGTTGCTATTTGATGAGCCTCGGGCGCTATCCGACATTACCCAGATGCATGTTTCGGAAAATACAGAAAAGTCTGATACCCGTTCTCTGGCGCAGGATCTAGCAGCTGCAAGAAGAGAGAAGAGAAGTCTGTTCGATGCGTGCCGATCACATGTCTCCAAAATGAATGAGCCGGCACTTGACAACCTTTTCAAGGACTCCTGTCCGCCATCTGAATTCTTGGACAATCTGTTGGACGTACTATCCACTGCTCTTTCTCGGGCTTCGGATGCAGCCGAGGCCCTTGAAGGGGTCAGTCAAGAGTGCTCCGCTCTAGGATTTTCCGGAGAGGATGCAACTGAGATTCTATCCGATATGCGAAGCCATTTCCGCTCGGCACGCCTCGAACTTGAACGTGCTGTGCCGGGCGAGACTCCCAATGTCGGCCTTGAAGACGGGAAGGGCACGTTGAGTGCGCTTGTCCGGCGGGTGGAGTCTCTGGCTCAAGACCTGGGTACAGAGCGACACTATCATCACGGCTCTCTTGATCGTGAGAGAGCTCTCCGTGGACAATTCGATGCTCTGTTACACCGGTACGAGACGGCCGCTGCCAAAATTGGCAACCTTGAAGATTCTATCGAATCTTCTGCCGGCGATATGCTTCACACGCGCATCAGAATGCAGGACCTCGAACGCGAAGGCCAAGAACAGGCCGTTGGGATTGACAGATTAAATACAGCCCTTGATAAATACCACGATGAGGTGAAGAGCCTCGAGGACCTTATCGAAAACCTTGAGAAGGAGAACTCGGCTACCAAGGAGGATTACGCGAGACAAATCTCCAGTCTCCGGAAGCAAGTAGCTCATGAGCGCTCCGTGTGCTCTTCGGCTGACACGCGGATTCAAGAATTGGAGGAAATGGTCGAAAACAACCGGACCCGATCCTCCGATTTGATGGCTCAGGTGGTCTCCCTTGAAGAGGAGAAGCAGAGAGCCATTGAAGCTCTTGAACACAATTTCACAGAGTTGCAAAGCCATGAGGCAAATACGGGGAGCCTCAATGTTCGAATTTCCGACCTTACTACATCTTTGGAAGACGCAAAGTCCGAGGTCCATCGCCTCGGTCTCCTCAACACCGGTCTTGAACAGCAACTTCGTGTTGAGGTCGAAGCTCGAGAAGAGCTTCTAGACAAGTGGGCCGCGGACCAGGCGCGATCCTTCGCCCATATGAAGGAAACCATCAACTCGGAGCGCCGTCGGGCGAAAGTTCGCGCCGCCAATTGGGAGTTGAAGTCCGATGATCTCATGTCGGACAGTGCCACTACCATGGGCTGCGGCAGCGAGCCTGTCACCCCGGTTAGCATGACACGGTTCGTGGATATTGAATTTGGCCGTGGGAAAGAGCGCCGTCGCATAGACAGTGGTATTGGGATCCCTTCCGAGGAAGAACTGATGAAGGCTGGTTCTGTCTCGGATCTTCGTCGGGGTCTTGATTCTGACATCGATCTTCCCACGTCTGACTTCAGTTGATCCTTGGGCATCACTTGACAACATTCCATTTCTTTTGTTCCTGTCATTTCCTGTACAAATATCGTTGTTTACGTTTGAGTCACAAGGCTGGTTTCTGTACATTATACATCTACATCTTCACATTTCTTTGGCTTGCAATCTATTCTAACCCAAGTCGGCCTCATATCCTTCACTTCCAAATATAAAATCAAAGGGTATCTCGCGCATCGCAAACAAAAGCACCACTCAAAGCCTCACAAGCTTGGAATCAAGAACGATCCGCTGCTCCCTCGCCCGTCCCAGCGATGGGCTGAGGATCAACATGTGCCTTGCGCCCCGGACGAGAGAATATAGCGCCAAAGAGATTGAAGATACTATTGCACCGAATCATCACACAATAGAACAGCGTGATACCCGTAACCAAGAGTTCCTCCTGCGCAGCCCGGTCATGTTTCTTGGGCCCATCGAACTCGATTTTCCCAATATTCGTGACTCCCCATGGATTTCCCGTGAATTTGGCCACAGCATTCTGCTGCTCATCAACGCAGACAAAGTCCCAAGTCTTGAACCCCGCCGCACTGGACCACGTCATAGTAACTGGTGTCCCATTGGTAGCGAAATTGAGTGAGCGGTGGGTATACACCGTGCGGAACCGTCTCTGCGCCAGGAGCTGACCTTTCTGGCCATGGAGCACGTAGCTAGGATCAATGGATACCAGATTGAGTTTGCCGGTTCCCACGACTTCTTCGGTGGGTGCTTTTTTGAAGATCATTGAGGCTGCTGATTTGGAGGCGAATTGGAATGGGAAGTTTATGGTGTAGATGGGCTCTGAGGGGTTTTGGGTATCGAAGATCTTTCCCTGCCACTGTTTCCAGGTGAAGGTTACCGTGAAAATGGGATTCTCTAAGGGATGTTGGTGTGTATCAGGGAGATCAGAAGCCATGTCGAATTGATCTGAAACGGTCGGATGATTCCAGGAGTGGTGCCAATGGGGTATACTTCGGCAATATAGTAGAGTATTGCAGACAGAATGTAAAAGGAAAAGAAAAAAGAAGAACGAGAGGCTCTCTATCCGATCTACATGTACTTGTCGCTTGGCACTGTCTGCTGTCCCGCGGAGCCAATCAGGAGTTGCGCTTCATTCTTTTCCTTTGGGGGCCATGAGGTCAGTAACGGGTTGGGGACGAAAACTGCCGTTTATCCTGACCTTCAAGGCTCAGGGGCCATCTAAATCTTCAAATATAGAGTATTCATAAATAAGTAGCCCTGGACCCATATTGGGGTTTTAGGGTACGGGTTCCAAGGTCATGCGCATATCACTCCAGGTTACATATCTCCGAGGTCAATACCTAGTACAATAAGCATGCATATGCATTTCAAGGTTGCATCTTTAAGCAGCCCTTATGTATTCTGCAAGTGAATCTAGGAAACATGAATGTATAAAGAAATCGGTGATCGTGTTCTCAATCAGGTCTTATCGATCTCCGATGACGTTGTCGGGCGTCAACACTTACTGAGTTAAGAGCTCCAAGTTCCCTTCCTCACTCGCTTTAACATCACCCTGACAATACCTGCGCTATCGCATGAAGCTATTGTTGAGCAGACTGTTCATACCACACTGACCTCTACTACACAGCCATGGGCAACCAAATGAATGACGGATACCGCTTGAAGGTCACAGCCGGTCCAGTCCACGACCGCAGCACCCACCAAGTAGTACCCGTGAATGGCGAGACGCTCCGCATAGAGAACGAGCATGCAATTGTGAGTCTGTGTGTGCGCATCCAAGACTATACAGGCAAGACTACCCACAATATATCCCGTACGAGAACCAAGCTCATGATACATCAGGGTTTCCCGAGGGTTCGCCATCTACCAGCCCATACTTCGAGCATCCTCTTCACACGAAGGATTTATACTCGATATGCTTCTCAATAGTCTTCAAAGAGCAGGTGAATGGCAACAATCTCATGTTCGGCAATGACTTTGACCATCCCATTCGCGATGTCCTACCACCGGGCTTCAATGCTGCATTGCGGATGGTGAAATGGACACTTGATCCTGGCTTAGATGGTGATGTCTACGCAGACGAGCCCTATCTGTTTAGTCCCGCACTAGCCACATGGGACATATTCCGGATTGGGGACAAGATGAGCAAGTCAGATGAGGTTCCACTTCTTCATGATGAAGTTGTTGAAGAAGGGGCGTATAGCGAGGAGGCTGCTGAGAATCGACGGCAGCTCAATATCCCTGACACCGTCGAGGGACGGAGGAAACATTTCCAAGATGAAGCGAATAGGAAAGAGTTTGAATTCGAGCCGGGCAGGATGTATGTGGCTGACTTTGGGAATCCATATTTGGCTTTCAGTGGTAAGTAAAGAATCAGGGTGTTGTCTCGAGTCTTGATCACTGCTAATTTCATGGTGCTAGACTTCTCGGTGAGGCTCCCTGGGTTCACTTTGCATGCCATGAAATATGTGGAAGAGAAGAACCATGAGCTGCGCTACACGCTCAAGGACACATCCACGGGTCAGGTATATCTCTCTGTGGTATTCTCTGTGGTCCTCCCGGAAGGAGAAAACAGCCAAGTGAAGAGTGGCAATGATAAAGAGGATGACAACCTGGGGAAGTTTGAGTGGGAACCTGAGCCATCAGCTGGTGATGTTGAATGAGACTTCCCGCCTTGTGACACAGGAGAATGAGCCAGCTCTCAGACCTGATAGACATCCTCATATCCCGAGGGCCTCTGAAATCTGAGCCGTGAACTTTCAAGTGGACGAACTCATTATTGAAAAGAAACCTCGACTTCGTTCTCTAATCATAATCTGCTAGTTGGCTTATATACAATTTTCATTTAAAGTCTCTTCAGGACATCGTCCAACACCTGCTGGGTGGTGGCCTTGCCGCCCATGTCGGGGGTAAGGAACTGAGCAGCATCCAGGTTGCCATCAACGGCAGCGTAGATCTTGGCAGCAGCCTTCTCCTCGCCCAGGAACTCGAGCATGAGAGCAACACTGCGGAGAGTAGCAATGGGGTTGGAGATGCCCTGGCCCTCGATATCAGGGGCACTGCCGTGGCAAGGCTCACCGATAGCGAAGTTGTCACCGACGTTGGCGCTGGGCACGAGACCCAAGCTGCCGACGAGGGCAGCAGCACCGTCAGAGAGGATGTCACCGTACAGGTTAGGGGCGACAATGACATCGTAGTACTCGGGCTGGCGGAAGAGCTTGTAGACCATGGAGTCGACGATCTGCTCCTCGATGTGAACGGAGGAGAACTTCTGGGCCGCGAGGGCCTTGCGCGCAGTCTCGCGGAAGAGACCGTCGGTCTGGGACAGGACGTTGGACTTGTGGGTGATGGTGACCATGGCCTGGTCGCGGGTGGAGGTGGGGGCAGCGGAGCGGATGTTCTGGCGGCGGAGAGCGATCTCACCGGCGATGGTGGAGATACGGCTGGAGGCGCGCTCGGAGATACGCTTGATGGCCTCGGCGACCTTGCCGTCGGGGCCCTCGGTGGTGCGCTCCTCCTTCACGTAGAGGTCCTCGGTGTTCTCACGAACGATAACGAGGTCAATGGGGTTGCCATTGCTGCTGCCGACGGTGGTCTTGACGGGACGGACGTTGGCGAAGAGGTCAAGCTTCTTGCGCAGGGCGACAATGGGGGAGGAGTAGCCAGCGACCTTGGTGCTGGGGGAGCTAGAGTTGACAGCCATTGTCAGCGGGACCGAGCAGATGCGAGGCACGGGCAGATTTGTCCTTACCTGACAGCACCGAACAGAGCACCGTCACACTCCTTCTTGAGAGTGTCGACGGTCTTGTCGGGCAGAGCAGTTCCAGTCTTCTGGAAAGTGTCGTAGCCGGCCTCGAGGTCAACGAAGTTGAACTTGAGGTTCAGGGAGGAGGGCAGGGACTCGAGAAGACGACGACCAGCCTATAGTTTATCAAACAACACCCAGTCAGTCAATTGACTCATCCATGTCTCTGGAGCTACCTACCGGGATGACCTCCCGTCCGATACCGTCTCCGGGGATGAGACCTAGATAGTTCCACCCATTAGTCAATTGACTTGCCACAAGCTGGGGAAACACAGGCAATTGTACCAATACGAAGTGTCCGAGCGGCAGCCATTTTATCTGAACTGTTGCAGAGTTGCTTGACTGTCGCCGTCATCGGAGCTTTCCTTTTTGTATAAGACCGGGATCATCGTTTATCCGCGGTGACTCCCTTCCTCCGGTCCGGAGCTGGAGATCTTGAGATCAACGCCGATGTGCGCTACATTGCCATGGTCGTGGAAGGGCAAGATTATGAGCTAAACATTGAGCACTTGGACATTTCTGAGGCTTCTACTATACGAAGAGTGTCTCAAACTCATAGATCGCATGCATGTGTCATTCATTGCCTAAAGAATCAATGTTTGCTCTCATCTCATGCTGAACTCAAGATTGAACAAATTGGCAATAATACTTTCGTCTAGATGGCCTGTCTTGAGCAATCTTCCAGGTCTCATCCAACTAATCTGACAAAGCGTGCATGCAAAAGGAGACTTCAGACGAAGGTAAAATCCAGCAAGCATCTTCGACATGGCAACTATCAAAAAAGGGCGCCATGTCCTATGAAGGACTTAAACCCACTCATCCAGCGACATCCACCCCTCGCTGATTGGCTTGGCGTTTGAGACAAGGGTGTCGTGTCCAGCGTTGTCGAGTCCAATCACCGCATATTGACTGCCGTAGAATACATAGTAGTGGCCAGGCCGGTCTATCACCGAAACCATTGCATCGACGCAATCAAATCCAGCTTTAACAACACTTGGCCAGCCAGTCTTGATCGGAGTGACTTTTCCCGTCAATTTGCCTGTGGCACAGTTCATGCGAACATAGTGCAAGCCGCGGAAGAAATAGACATCGGTATCACTTCCCGGTACTCTGAGTGCAGCATCGACCGTATCGAAGCCAGCGTGGACGAGGGCTTTCCATCCAGACTCCATTGGCTGGGCTCCATCAACGACAAAGCTGTCGTCGTAGTTGTCGAGCTTAATGTGGACATAGCGGCCTCCGAAGAATACAAAGAGCTGGTCATCGTGACCTGGAACGGGGACAACAGTGTTCACCGCACCAAAGCCACACTTGTTGAGAGTGTTCCAGCCCCTGGTAATCATTTTTGGACCAGCGACAATGTCATCATGACCAGGAGAAGTCATCATGAGGCGACCATAATGTCGGCCCGCGAAAATATAGTACTCATTCTTGCCCGGAACGCGATAAGCAGCATCGACCATTGTGAGGACGGTTGTGTAAAGAAAGAAGAGCTGATTTTGTTTCAAAGTTGCCTTGTGGATTGAGTTATGAGACACTCAAAGTGAGGCGGATAGAGAAGTCTTTATATCATCAAAAGTGCTACAAGATTGTATAGTTGAAGGTCTGATGTATGACATCCAACTTCATGTCGTGTTACATCCACAACGCCTGGCATGCGTACGGCTTCCCTTTCTCGGTTTCGGTAGGATCGAACCTCACGGGTGGAGATTGGGTTGTCAAAGCCAAATGGTCTGAACTCTGTATTCTCTTGGCCTGCGGTGCCTTGTTCATACGCAAGCAAACAGAGCTTCACCCAACGATTTCACTTCCTAAGGCCGAGGCAATCCGATAATTCGGAACGCGCGATATCTGTTTCGTGGGAATACTTCAAACAGCTGGGTTTTGCAGCTGTACATGATGGGAATGGTTGGTTTGTCGTGCGTAAGAATCATCTCCAGGTAAAGCATGGTCGTTGAGTGGATGTGATAGCACTATAACTCGATTTGATATCACAGGTAGTAGCCCAAGATCATACTCAGTATGGATCCATTAAAGTCTCTTAATTTGAGAAGATAATACGACAGTGGACGCCGTAATATGTTGACTGGATGATACTCAGTCAGAAGCTGACCCCGGAAGGGATCGTGCCCAGGTGGCGCTCTTTTGTCACCGACTCACCTAGCCCTGGAGGTAGTCGGCGACATGCCATGTGACTATTGCGAAGATCGGCAGGTAAAATCCCAAACGGGTCACTGAGCGCGAAGCAGCCCTAGCGAAATTGCGATCTCATTTCCATGGGATGTTGGAGAGGCTCGTGTTGTGGTCCCTTGGGCCTTTGCTAGCCAAGTATTGACGCTAAACCTAAAGTGGTCATTTACCACGAGGTGGGTCCACTGTATACAAAAGTCAAAAGGCGAAGAGAGTCAGAAAGTAGATATTTAAAGGGATTGAATGGTGCTTGTTTCTCTTCTTATTCAACTGCTAAACTGACAGGAGCGTCTCCGAATTCTCACTGGGCAGCACTCGAATCCCTTCGGTATCAAAATTCACTATGGAACTCAACCTTCTATCCCGTTCAGTGGATTCTTCCATTTCACCGGGAAAACGAAACATTGCCATCGCCGAGATTGTGGTATATTCCCTGATTCACCTCGCTCAGTTTGGCACAAGGTATCTGCAGGAGCAGAAATACTGGCATCACAACAAAAATAAAGGCATTGGACGCTGCATCCTCTATTCTTGGTGGAGCATGGTTGGCCTTTTGTCGCAAAGTGAGTGCTCAGACCAAACCAAGTATGATCTGGGACTGACACTCTTCAGTCCGTATAGCTGGTTCAGCTTTAATGCTTGCTTCTTCGCACCCCGACAAAGCAATGGTCACCGCGGCATCCGTTATGCAAAGCGTGGGCCTCTCGCCTCTTATGTTTGAGGTCAGCTTGGTGATGTTGAGATGGTATGTTCAATCCCTCCAGAACTCCATGACTCTAAGAAAAATACTGATTCTTCCTGAAAAACAGTGGACAATCCGGAGAGACTGGACCAGGAAACTCGAAATGGACCAAGTGGATTCGATTCGCCCTACACTTCTTCCGCTTCCCTATTTTCTTTGCTATTGTCCTCGCCGTGGTGGGTGGAATCATCCAAATGCATCAATTAGGAGAGGGGGGATCAATCCTTCTGATCGTCACCTTTGTCTATGTGTGCAGTCTGGTGGCTTGGCTCGCAGTGAAAGCCCGATCAGTTCTTCCAGAGTCTGGCCAGCGAGCAGTACTGCTAGTTGTTATGACACTGCCGTTCTTGCTGGTACGGATTGTCTATTTCCTCTTGCAGGAGTATGGCCCCCCAAGATTTAACCCCGCGAGCGGTGATGTTGGGATAATAGTTGGAATGGGGTTATTGATGGAGATTTTGGTTGTCATCTTGCTTGTGTTGGCACGCGCAGTGGCAGAACCTATCCTGCCATCGGCAATCAAGACACGCATCGCATATGATGACTTGGAATCGCCAGCAAATCAGTGCCCATAATCATTTTCGCGGATGTTCTACCTAGTAGGGTCGAGCGATTCAAGTGAGCGGGATAAAACATAAGACTTGGGGGAATATGTTCATATCAGCCTTTTTACACAAAAATCCCATAATCATAAAACAGACTCATAATTCTCCGGTTGAGAAGCAGCATAGATCTTGGAAAATTGTTCAAGACACCTCGTAATCCAAGATCTTGTGACCGGGTCAGCAACTTCGAACGCAACGCGAAGCGCGAATCCCATTCTGTATGGACCCATGACTCCCACACTGTTATACTCAACCGATCTGCAAATCTGATCTCTGAAGAAGATAACCATCATCTCATGATCACCTGAGCATCCGCAATTCTTCAGTATCTCGTGAATGATCACCATGTAGGAGTAGTACCCGCAGTATATGGTTGCATGGCTGACATCGGTGTATACAAGAACGGTGGGAAACATCTCATCCCCTGTTGAGGACAATGTCTCAACCGGCGGTGATGCGATTCGAGAGTAGTTCTCGTACCATACGGCCAGTTTTGTCTGCATCTCAAGAGTTTTGGATAGCATATCGGAAATTGTGCGTGCAGCTTCGGCGCTGGTTAGATTGGCGTGTCTCAACTCGTAGAGTTTGTGCACAAGGCTTGGTGTGTAAGTGAGGTACGCAAAGAAGGTTTCGATGCTGTGGTGCAATTCTGCTGATACATCTGTCGTGAATTGCTGTTGCATGACCGCGTGCCATTCATCAGAGGCTAGAAAAAATTTATCTCCGGAGAACATTGAATGCATTACCTGTCCCATCATTAGCTTGCATTAAGATAGCTTCGTGTCTTGTATTGCAGAGGAAGTTAACACAAAAGGCGGAGCTTTGAACTCACAATAAGACCCCTTGAGGCTTTCAGCAACGTCATGTCAAGTGCATTGTTATACCTGCCTGGTCCTCGGATTTGGACCAATTGACTCAGACCTTTGGCGTGTTTCATCCATGAATCTGGGTTCTCGGTATCCGTAAAAAGCTATGCCCGGTCAGCATCCATGGATATTCCTTGAAGTCACACGCGAAAGGAGAGGTTCTTACTTCATACATGCAAAGCATCACAACCGCACAGAAAACGTGAGTGGATAAGCTTTCAGCCGGTGTCTCCAATGACCTTCTCAGTCCACGCAGAGCTTCTCCGTACGCTGATCGAGCATATGAAACCATCTGCATGTTGCCCCTCACACGCCCAAAATGATGCGCCGTGAAAGACTTGATGGTCGCATCCAAAACCCGATTCTGGCCATAGATAGAGGGGAGGAACCCCAACCATCGGGTCACCACATGTGTCAGGCTGGGTGTATAGGGCTGAGAGAAATCATCTATGAGCACACATAGGTACTGCACGACATTTGAGGCCTCGGAGATAATCTCTCGCGGTTCGTCTCCCCGGGCAAGTGCCTGGCTGGCAGGGTTGGGCTCTGAGTCTGGGCTAGACGTCGCAACCTGGGGTGTGCCATTTCGATCACCGGATGTCTTTTGACGCCGGTTCCGGTAAGGCCTTCCTGCTACAAACTTGAAGCCCCGGTCGTATCCAGGGCAAATTTGGCCATATCTTTCGCATTTGGCACAGCCAGGAAGTCTTTCGTCGCACTGTGGGGTATTAGTGGCGGGCTTTCCGGCGGACGCTGACAACCTCACTTTCACTCGGCGCTTTACACACAGTGAACATCCATGGCTACGGGACGAGCCGACCATATTCAGATAACAGTAGCATCACTTGCATTCCGTTGACTGTAGGATGAGATGGCCTCGTATAACCTTGGGACGGACATCACGTGCATTCCAGGCCCCTCATTGGCCGAACAGCGATTGTTGACAATTGGTATATCATATGTCTGCGGTGTCGTAGAATTGGGAGTAGGGAGTAGAGAATAAATTGGTTCTTTTGACTTTATGTTGTACAACCTTGAATCGGTGACTACGGAGTATAGAATATGACATTGTCCCTATAGTATACTGACCCCCGGAATAGAACTTAAGAACCTTGGAACCCATGGGCCTTATATCCACCTTAAATGCACCTAAAATAGTATGCATGTTTAGCTACATATTTCAGACATATTGACGATTAACTCACCTCTCTTAGCAGATCAGATCGGCTTAACGTGAAGTACGGAGTAAACAAAGCGCAAGACTACTCCGTACGTTTATGGGGAATACTCCGGGGACCAAGTGTCCTCAGCGTTTCAGAGATAGGGGGTTTCAACTAGTAGACTAAGTATGGAGTACGGAATTAATTAATCTGTCATCAACTACGTGTAGAAGCCCCTGAAAGTAAGGGCCGTTACCTATTGACGCTAGCCCAGACTAGCGTGATGTATGTAATAGTTTTTGGATCCTCTTCTTCACACGCTCGCCTCTCTTTCCAATTCACCTTTTTGTTTTGAAGTCGATCCGGGACAGTGTGGGATCTGCCACTATCCGTTTAGCAGTCCCACCGTTCCAGACGTTTTGAACCTATCCCACCCCCTAGACGGAGGTTCCAGCACACCCCTCTCCTCCGAACCTACCCTGGATCATGTCCGATAACCCTCACCACCCCGGCGTGCGCAGCTTGCTGGCCAAATTCGAGAACCAGAGCCCCATCGCCTCTCCGCCCTCCCGTGGCCGATCCCCTGCGGCGTCAGATTCCTCCGGAACGGCTCGACAATTATCCAAAGTCCGCGCCAGCTTCGTCACCGTCGACGGTGTCATCCAGTCCAACCCAGCGTCGCCTTTGAGGAAAACAAGTGGCCGCAGCGACAGCCCGGGAATTTTTGGCCCCAAGATCAATTCGGAACAGACAGAGGCCAGCCGACAAGCAATGGCCTCTCCAACACCCCTCAGTCATCAAGAACATACCCAGAATGCGACACTGGGACAGATCATGGCGGACGGCCGGCCCGAGAAAGTCAATGAAACCAAGGGAGAAACAGATGATATCGTCAAGGAGACGCCCGCAACACGCACCGAGACACCGCCTAAGCTAGACCTCTCGCCAGAAAAGACCGAAAAGGATGTCTCTGTTGGATCCAAATCGGCCACTTCGGACACTCGTTCGCAAACCTCGGATTCATCTGCAACGACCAAGAGGAAGCCTTCTCCACTTGGCCCTGCCCGAAGTGCGGCCAGTAAGGCCAAATCAACCGCCGCACCTTCATCCAAGCCTGCCCCCAGCACGCAGCCAAAGCCTTCAGCGCGCGAGGTAGCCAAAGAACGCTCCAACTCTCTCGCTCAAAAGCCGAGCCGTGTTTCGCTAAACCCTAAGACAACTACACGATCAACGCGAGGCGCCACCCCTGCGCAAGACACCTCAAAGCCGTCAGGCACTACCGCATCCACCCGATCTGGAGTTCAATCCCCCGCCAGACCTGCCCGTGCGACTGGCTCAACGGCGGGACCAACCCAAGCATCTACAGGGAAGGTTGGAACGGGTGCCCCCAGCTCCCGAACTGCCACTAGCTCAACCCTCCACAGAAAACCCTCATCCTTAAAGAGCGCAGCTGGAAATCAGAATGCGACTGCTCCCAGTGTTCGCAGACAGGCATCTCGTCCCTCACTGCCCGCGCAGGCATCTGGTGATGCACATGCCAAGCCGGTCAACGAGGGATTCCTCGCAAGAATGATGCGACCTACCGCCAGCTCTGCCAACAAACTCCAGGGCCCGGAGAAGGCTGATGCAAAGCCCGCGGCTAAGACAACCACTGCTCAAAAGGCACCCAGGCCCTCGGTTGGAAGGGCTGCTGAACGTGGCACATCTGAAGCTAAGCCTAAGAGCACCTTGCGGCCACACGGTGAGAAGTCCCAAGCTCTGAACAAGGGCTCAGTGCCCCAGAAGAACAGCACCAAGCCTCCCCAGAAGAAGCAAGAAAGTGAGAAGGAGAATATCGTTGAACCTACTCCTGTCAGCCCAAAGGAGTCTGTGCCGGCCAAGCCCGCTCAGGTTGTCGTTACTGAACAGACCGACGCTTCTGCGGCGCCAGCTGAAGAGACAGCTGCCCCAGTCAAGGCTGAAGAGTCTCTCACAGAAGTCACTGTCGAGTCGAATGAGAAGTCGACAGAGCAGGCACCAGTCGAGGCTCACGCTTCGGCCGAAGAAGCTCCAGAGGTGCCGGCCAAGACTGAGGCTACAGTTGAGTCTATCCCCGAGGTCATCGAAGAGAAGACTGAGGACAAGACCGTCACTGATGAAGGGGTGGTCCCCAACCCAGCCCAGCCCAAGGAGATTGTTGAGCCCGCTACAAGCTTGGAATCCACCAGCAATGAAGATTCCAAGGTTGGTGAGGAGCAGCAAGCAGCCAAGGCTGAACCAGAGCCAACCCAGATCTCCGAGTCGGTCGAACCCCCTGTTGAAGTTGCCGAGAAGAAAGAGGAAATTCCCGAGCTCTCAGAAGAGCCAACCAAGGAGACAATCCCAGAGGCTGAGCCTGCAGAGGTTGATTCTGCAGAAATTGCTGCCGATACTCAGTCCAAGGAGCCTGCCCCTGCTGTGCAACCCTCACCTGAGGCCAAATCAAGCAACGTCGCTCTCGACATCGCCATGGGATTATACTAGACGCTGTACACTGTGAAACTCTTCCTGAATTTTCTTGGCGGGTCTCTTGTCACTGATACCTTTTGGCTGAGTCTTTCAATCCTCTGATCACATACCCTTGTCTTCGTTTTCGTCTCACCAGGTGGGAGCCTCTTCTCCAGGTGTGAGTCTTGTCTCGGGCATTTCAACCACTTATCTACCCCGGGGGTTTCTCATCTATATGCTAGCATGTTCATTTTCTTCCATGCTAAGCTATCTTATCTTTTTGCATTCTCTGTACCGTTTTCGTGAGCATATTTTTCTTAGCGCTTAGGGCATTATCAAATTTAGCAATTTGTTTTCATCAATATAGCGGGATTCAAACTTGGACTCTCATACACCATCTTCCTGGTGTAGCTTGCTTCAGCCATGACCTAGTACTTCATAGGTAGGATGATAGCATGACAATGCTGGATAAACTCTCGTGTTCATGTCGGCTGTTCCACGACCACAGGAAATAAGAAGACTAAATCAGCGCTCCGTTATAAGATAAATGATCGATCGTTATCAAGCAACATGCTCGAAAATGCAACTTATATACTTCCAAGAACAAAACACTCATAGCTTTCTCTCAAGCTTCCTCAAAAACCTATTCATGCCACCTTCCAGACGCTCCGCTTTCTCCTCCAACCTACTCGGCCGCTGTCCCGGGTTCTTCATAGCCTTCTGTGCATACTTCTGATTGTGGCCACTAGCTTCAACCTCAGTAGGCCTGTACACCTGGCTATGGATATCATACTCAGAGCCCGCACGCTGCAACTGCTGAGGCTGAGGCTGTGCCGCCGGACTCTGGTTGTACGAGTAGTTTGAAAAGCCACCCTGAGGCGCCGGCTGGCTCTGAGGTGGTGTGTGGCTCTTAGAACCATACACCTGCTGATCGTAAAGATGAGCATTTGGATCTTGAGGCGGCGGGGCGAATGACATCGAGCCTTGTCGGCTATTCGAATGACTCTGTCCGCCAAGTTGGGTCTGCGAATAGGACTGGGTAGCCATGCCGGGACTTTGGGTTGAGGGTTGGGCAGAAAACGAGTTTGTGTATTGGAGGCCAGCGCTGGGTGGAGGGGAGGCGTATGTTGGGGCTGCTGCTGATGGGGGTCCTGCGAACTGTAGACCTGGGCCCTGGTTTGAAGGTGGTGGAGAGGCATATACGCCCATGCCGCCAGCTCCCATCATTTGGTTGGGAGGGGTGTATGGGACCCCACTGTCGGCTGCTACGGCGGCCGCAAGGCCTGTGCCAGCCATGCCATCTTCTGGTGGTGGGGTCTTCTCACGATGTTGGATTGGTTCTGGGGCTGCTGGGGCTGCAGGGTTGTATGGAAGTGGGGCGAAACTGGCTGGGTCTTTCTTCTCCTCGATTGGAGAGGGGCCATTGCTGGGTTGCTGCTCGGTTGGCAGGCCACTTGGAGGAGGTGGTGGGAAGCTACTTATTTGGGGTGGTGCTTGAGGCAGTGCTTGGGGTGGCGGTGCCACTGCCGTTGGGTCAGACCGGGAGTTTCGAGTTTGCCCATTCTGGTAGGCAGGGTCTGAGACAGCCACGTTCTCGAGCTGTGCAACCACCGAGCTCATGGGCTGCTCTGGCTGTGGTGCTGGCTCCCGATCTGTCTCGACCTGCGAGTTCGATAGAAGCTGCACAGTTGCATCCAAAAACTGGGTGGCATCCTCGGCGCCCCAGAAGTAGATGTCTAGTGTGTGCAAACGAGGGAAGTCCCGGAAATCGTTAGATCCATCACACGAGTCCCCGCTAGGTAGCCGCCATTCATGCTGGAGGGCTTCTTGTGCGTGCTGTTGCTGTTGCGGGGACGGTGCGATGCCCTCCACAGTTAGCGTGCATAGTGTGGGGAACTGAGAAGTGTGTCGAATATGGACATTGTCCAGATGACCGCAAAATGCATCCTGCTCCGGTGAGCCAGGATTGTTGGCAATCTCAATCCGGGCCTTGTTCTGGGCAGGGTTGTGGTAGATATAGAGGTATGAGCCTTTGTCAAAGCGGTGGTGATATGGTAGAGGTCTCCGGGTTGGCTCTGTGAAGTAGTAATGAATATCGGCGAAACTGAGTCTACTGTCAGACCACATTGGAAGTCAATCTGCGGGGAAGTCTCAACTCACAGAGTCACCAGGCGCTCTTCGCCTGCTAATGGGGGCATTTTCGTAGAGTACACGGGAGAATAGGATGGAGAAACCCAAGAGGGGCCAAGGTCTGTATTTATTATTTCTAAACTCGCGAGGGGTCCTGTGAAACGCCATTAAACCGCCAATGCAGTGGGCGCTTAGAGCTATGTGATGTGATGAGATAGTACTAGTGACCTGGGCATCACACACATCTGTTGCGGACGGGAAAGTACCGGGTACCTGGACATGGCTATTGTCCGGAACCACGTTTCTCCGAGAGCAATTCTCATCCCCAAATAATCGCATCACCAGTCGGCGCTGCATCACCGACCTCCCTGTCGTCTCCGCTGCCTCGAATTGCCAGTCTGGTAATTGTCCGTTCTTCAGTGTCGGATCTTCGATCACCTTTGTCCTCCGCCCTCAATCAATCCCACCGACCACTCTCTCTTCCCCGACACGGCCGCCGGTAGGGCCTACTTGCTACCGTCGCAAAATCAACATGTCTCTCGTCAATCTGTCCGCAGTCTGCTCCCACCTCAACAATGCCACCAAGGCACGCCTCGCCCTCACCTCAATCCCCAACAGCAACCTCCACCTGAAGCTCTCCCTCGCTCTCCAAAACTCCGGCTACATCTCTTCCGTGGTCCGCGGAGGCCCGACTCCTCCTCCCGCCCATCCTATCCTCGGCTACCCTGCCGCCAACGATGAGGTCGAAGGCATTGAGTCCATAACCCGCGACAATGTCGCCTCCAGACGCCTGTGGCTCGGCCTGAAGTACTGGGAGAACGAGTCCGTTCTCGGCAAGGTCAAGATGGTCAGCAAGCCCACCCGACGAGTGAGCATTGACGTCGAGGCCCTCCGTCGCGTGGTCCGTGGTGAAGACACCGAATTCGTGGGTGGAATCCGATCCCCGGGTGAGAGTCTCTATCTCTCTACAGACCGCGGGATCCTCGAAGCTCGCGAGTGTGTTGAGAAGAAGGTCGGTGGACTGGTCCTCTGCCGTGTGCTATAAAACTGCGATTGTTCTAGCGGCCGCCTGTCCCTGACCCTGGGGTGTGGACTGGCCCACTGGGGAGTCCACTGGGGAGTTTTATTTTCCTGTTTTGCATCTACTTTGGAGTTCGTCGGTTAGTCGCAGCGCTGTCTCTTCGCGAGATTCGTCCTTTTGTGACTGTTGGGATAATACCTAGGTCAAGGATCTGTATATTAGATTTCTGTGTGTATCTTGCCTTCTGGGTGCTCTGTGATTTTGCAGTGCCCCAATGCGATACAGTGTATAGATTATGACTTGAAATTTCTTGTGGTCTCCTCTCGTATAGTAGGTCTGGAAACACTGTAATCACATTACACTGGCACTGTGATTGTCCATCTCGATGTGCACATTAAACAGCATTTTACACCTGGGCATGGATGTAGTCTTGGTTCCCGTGACTCGACGCGTTCCTCGACGCGTTCTAAGCAAGTCAACACACTCAATTCCCAATTCAATAGTTGAATCCCGACTAGAGTCAGATTAGGTGGCCGAACCGTTGTCTTCATACTAGCCCTAGGATCCCATATACAAAGGAGTACAGAAATCTACTTTGTCTGGAAATTGTTGACCTGCAACTCAGCCCAGTCGATCTCTCATTTCTCCACGTGGGAGAAAGGTCTCACTTCCACTCTGCTTTTCCTTTCCTCTTCTCTTCTTCTGCATCCTCGCGGTTGATCACCCCATCTCACTTCACTCCACCCTTTTCGGTATGTCCCCACATCCAACCTCCAGGGCCTGGAAGACAGATATCAACAGTCCAACCTTACTGACTTGAGCACAGAGTCCACATCCCGCAGCAAACATGTCAAGCCCAGCAGCCAAACGTTTGCGGACCAATACCATTGGAGATGCCCAGACAACTCAAGCCGAAATCCCATCAGCTACATCTCAAGCAACAGCTACATCTTCGCAAGCAACAGCAGAGAAAGCTAAGGATCTTTTCGAGCAGCTTGAAAAGAAAGAGATTCGCAGGCTTCTCATTGACGCAGCAAAAGCACACCCAGATGTGCTACTCGGGATGGAGGATTCAATCAAAGCTGCGATCGAACGCGAAAAAGCCCGTGTTATCAATTTTGACCATCATTCGAAAAACGTTTGGTGGTCAATCAACTGTGAGCACAGCTCTAAGCGCGGCTCGGCACAGTATGAAATGGCGTACGATGTTGCTCAGGGTGTGGAAGACACCATTGTGTCTATTGTAATAGAGTGTGGCCCCAACTCAAGCTTCGGGACGCGCGTGAACGGTCTCTCCGTGCTTCGCAAGATTGAAAAGACGATCGCTCTTTCTGAAGGTGACACGATTGCACATGAGGTCAAGAACAGTTTCCAATCGAATACTGTTCTCACGCGTGGAATGATGAAGATCCTCAACACGATGGAGCGCAGTGAACTCGATTCTATTTTGAAGTCAGATTTGTACGAAAAGCTGGTGGATTTGGACGAGTTATCAGATGGCTACTGTCTTTTCGAAGGACTGGCCGAGGTGCTGTCCAAAACTCTTGGGGAAGATGGAAAAAAAGCAGGAAGAGCCAGAAAAATGCGGCGAAGGAGAACCAGAAGTCATCGTCCTGGAATAGCAGGCTCATGTCAATCAGGAGAGAGAAATGCAAAAGAACGTAATGTCCTACTCAGCGGTAAACCGGTCGGAACCCCACCTTATTATCTTGTTCTTGTAAACCATTCACAATGACTTCCATGCCCAAGAGACTCTTGATCTCTGGCGGAACGGGCTTTGTAGGATCGGCTATCACTCGAGCTCTTGTCAAAAAGTATCCAGCATGGGATTTGACCGTCATTGATCAAAATCCCCCAAGCGCTAAACATGAGCTTCCGGGGGGTGTCTCATATCGGCAGGTTGATATTACATCGATCGAAGCCGTGAAGAGTGCATTTGCGGCTGTGAATCCTCATGTCGTTGTTCACACCGCTGGAATCATCCCCGGGCTGGCTGAGCGGTTCCGTCGCCGAATGCAATCGAAAGTTTGGCAGGTCAACGTCGAAGGCACACGAAACATGCTTCACGAAAGCAAACAGACCGGCGTAGAGGTCTTTGTGTACACCAGCTCTTGCTGCGTGGTAACCGATGATACGCTCAGTCCATATCCCAATGTTGACGAAGAGTGGCCTTCCTCACTCAAGTCAACCATCTACGGAGAATCCAAGGTCGGGGCCACAGGGCATTCTGGAAAAGAAAGAGAAACGCTGACAATCTTTCCCCCTTGCAGGCTGCTGCAGAGGCACTAGTGCTCAAGGCCTCGAACAGTGAGATGTCTACCTGTGCCCTGCGGCCATCGGTCCTCTGCGGGCCAGGAGACTGCCAACTGCTGCCACCGATTCACGCATGCATTGCCAATCACGAAACGGCCTTTCTGATTGGGGACGGACTCAACCTGTGGGACATTACGCATGTCGACAATGTAGCAGACGCGCATGTCCTCGCCATCGAGAATCTCCTCTCGACTCGCACTGCCGCCGGCGAAGCGTTCTTTATCCAAAACAACGAGCCTATCACATTCCGTGACCTCTGTTTGGCAATTTGGGCACATTTTGGGCACATTCCACCTTTTCAAGTACGTATTCCACAGACTATGGCGTATCTCGTTGGGTTGGCGTGTGAGACTGTCACCTGGGCTATGGGATCGACGGCAACTTTGAGCCGTGGGAGCGTCCGAGATGCATGTGCCGTTCGATATGCCAGTGGCGAAAAAGCCAAAGAAATCCTGGGGTATGAGGCCCGCATCGGCATCGAAGAGGCCATCCGTTTGAGTTGCGAGGTAAGTGACCGGTGGAGTTTCCTTCTGTCTAGCCATACTCACAGCCCCAGGATTACGCCTCTCGTCTGCTACTTGCTCAAGATCAAACCCCCGATGTCACAAGGGACGCAGGGCCCCTGTCCACCCTGCCTGGAGATTCAGATAAAGTTCACATGGGCAATTGACGGGGATTTTTAACCCTGCAATTAATCCGATCATTATGATTTTCGGCTTCAGAGGCGTTTTTTAGTTTAAATGACTTCATACGGGTAGACCTCGTATGGAAGTGTCGGGGTATTGATAACATCTCGGACTTCAATGTCATTGGGCTTCTCGTTGGGCCGGAAAGTACATTTTAATCAACTCTCCACATTGTGAATCCCCTGTGTTTCAAGGATCTGAGAGACATGGTCCATGCGGCTTATTGAGGTTGGGCTCCAACGAGAGAAGAAGAAAACACAGGTGCCCAACGAAGGGTGATGCACGTCACAGGATTTGCATTTTGCCTTGAAGCTCAACTCAGGTCAGATTTGCCTTCCGAGGCATTCGACGATCCCTCAATCTGCGCAGTCTATTCGGGTAGCCATAGGCCATCGACGTCCTGGACCATTACCCCCGGTTCCTTGCGCCTTTCTACCCAACATGTTTGCTGCCCAAGGATTCCCGTTCTGATCGAGAGTGGCGTGGAATCACTGGGGTTTGTCTGATTTCGTGAAGATCAAGCCATTGGATCCCAATGCCCACTGTCAACCCCGTGCACCCACATGAGCGTTTCGGAGCGTCTCCCCTGCCAACGAGCTTGATACACCGTGACTTCGGATCGAGATCGTGAACAGACCCGGGCTGGACAGTACCCGACTGGAGTCGATTGGTTGCGGAATCGAGACTGCCCAGGCAACAAAAGCCCCCATAGATTACTTCTCCACCGACGCCACTGGTGTAAACCCCTCTAGCGCGGCTCTCAATCCACTTACGATGCTGCATAAACTCTGTGGGCACTGATCACCCCTTTGTCAGGCACAACCTGCTCGGAGCCGGGTCAATTGTCTTTCGAGCTACTATAATATCTGCTCATAGCTCGATTATAGCCGTTCTCTTCTCCCCCCAAGTCATAGCAATTATTGTCAAGTCAGGCTCTGGTATAGTCCTGTCTTACTGTCTTCATGCTTCCAGTCCTTCCTCACCCACTGACGGCTGGTTCGGCCCATCCGTTCTCTTTGCCAGCAAGCCTTGGATCTTGTGCAAGCACGATTAACTCCAAATTGGATTCTTGGTCTCGCCATAGGTCAGCAACTTCAACCACTGCCATTCCCTACTCCGTCCCCACAACTGTCACAAATCTTTGGAATTCCGAGGCTCATTCTCCGCAGCAGCAATATGGCTCAGCATCCCATGTACGGACCCCAGGCAGCCTCGCCCATTGTCTATCACCAAAGGTAATTCTCTTCATTGCCATTCCATGGCAAAAATCTCATCCGCCCTATAAAACAATCCGACTCCCCGCGCTCGTGCCTGTTACTAAGTGGTCAAAGGTCACCATCTACACCCCATGGATACGGTTACGGAGAAGATCGTCAAGCCCACCTAGGGTCAATGGACTACGATCCCCAGGCTCGTTACGGAGCTCCAGTTCCTCTAGATGCCCGCAACCACATGATGAGTCCCTCGATGGGACGGCTCTCCTACCCTCCGGCGGGACAGCCAGTGCAACCACCCAGGACCCATGACTGGAGCCACCCGGCCCACCTGCCTCGAGATGCCCTGAGGCGGGACCTTGGAGTAATGAACCCGGAGAATCCAGAGTATGTCATGGAAAGAAACAGCCGGCGAGCTGCCGAGAAGCCCAGAGGAAACACACACTACCACTCCCAGAGGCGGACCTCCAACCGGGATGAATTTGATGGCCCGCATCAGTTCTTGGAGCCACCTTCCGCACAGGCCGTTGCAGCCCAGGACAAGGAGCTCCCCCAGCTCCCTACTAACCTCGATGCCTCGGAGCAGGACAATATCTTGCACAAGGTGAACGACCGCCTGTCCCAGTGTGCCTATGACTTCATCGCGAAGTACCAATTCCGAGTCCCCATCGAGCAGGACAAGAGACCTGTTAAGGTTCCCTCAGACCGCGAGTGGACCGAGTGGGTACACCTGTTGAAGCGACTGGCGACTACGCGGCGCATCCCCGCCCATCTTTTGTACAACCGCCAGATCAAGCAGCTGATCACTGTCTTGGAGAACTCGCTAGAGATGCGCCATGCTGCCAAGCACCAATCCAGACCCGTCAAAGATGACCGCAATGTGCTGCAACTCATCTCTGCAGGGATCCAGGTAGCCAAGATCCTCAAGGATGCCAGCGCCATGCAGTTCCTCGATTGTCTTTATGTGGACACCGAGAAACTGATCCTCGAACGACGCGGTCGTCGTGTGAGATTCGCAGCCCCTTGAAGACCCAAGGATGGAAGACAGCCGTCTTTCCCCATGGACTCCTACCCTGTGGACAACCCGGATTGCGCTGTCTTTTTGATTCTTTTTTCTTTTCACCATTGCCCTGGATCACCCATCCATTTGCACCCCTTGGAAATGTACCCCTGGAACACTCTGTAATTCCCAATCCGGAACCATTTCCCAGACAGATACCCAGCCCAGATGAAGGAATGATTGATGCCCCCAGGTCGACGGGGGAAAAAACAGCCCGTGGCCTGCACCCTCAGCACGAGTATAGACCCATGGTCATCTCGCAGATTTCACGAGGGACTATATCTACACCAGAATGTGTCACCCAGCGACACCAGGATTTCAAAATTGTACCGGAGGTTTTGTTGGTATTTTCGGTTTGATGTTCATTTTCTTTAGGCGTTCGGGTTGGTTGTCTCGATAACTTTTCTCTGTTTCCTGTCATGATGCTCAATGTATCCCGGTCCTTTCAAGGCGACCTTTGTCTCCGATTGATGTTGATGTTACTCTTTGTATGCAGTATGGCTATGTCCGTGTCATGTTATATCTCTAATTGTACTCGTTTGGGTGTTTCACTTCTGTTTGTTCGCTTCTGCTAATGCATTGCTTCCAGCTCTATTCAGGTCGTTAAGCATGCCAGTATGACACTCTTCCCCCGACTGCCGGGTTCAGAAGTAAAAAGACTGCTCCACTCTGCTCTACATCGGCTGTGGAAGGACAGCGGACAAAAAAATAGTTTCGCTGGGAATCGAACCCAGAACCTTTCCGGAACTCTCGCCTGTGAGGCAATTGTTAACGGAAAATCATAACCGCTAGACCACGAAACTGCTTGATGGAGATCGGACGCTTATTAAGGATTCCAATCCAGAACACTTGGAAGTCCAACCTTGGAATTGCCTTTCGTACGAAAACTTATGCGTGACTGTATAAGCGCGGTCGTAAGCCCTGGAGGCTTCTAGGCTAATTCCAAGGTTAGAGCAGTGATTACTAAATGTAAGCTAGGCAGTGAGGCGAAGAATGCTCTACTCTGGGTTTAAGGTTGACATCCATGATCTTTAGGGCTGGTTCGCAGTTTTAACTTCCAAGGTTCAAGGTTGGACGCAACGTACACAAAAATATATAGATGGACACCCACATTGTACACCTATTAATTGCTTCACCCATCCGGGCACTCCAAGATTTTCCAACCTTCCAACTTGGAAGTTGAAGATGATTATGTATTGGGCATTGTATTTAGGTACATAAGTATATTGTTTTTTTCCCAAAGTACATCCGTGGACAGCCCGAGAAATTTACAAAATTAGCCACAGGGCTACCGACAGCACACATCCATGAATCCATGATGTACCTAGTACTAGGTAGGCTAGAGAAAAATCTTGATTCCGGCCAATGGCACGATTACGTGGACAAATCCAGTCCAACACCGTGCACCGCTAAATTACGACAATGATAATGTACATAGAGACCCGTGGAAAACCAGAGGTCCAGGCAACTCAAAAGCTGGCCATCTCGATCCAACTAGCCACGAAAGCCAGTCGTCTTCCCCGATCAGCAGCCATGCGGCGCGAGAACTCCTCGAAATTGAGTCTGGCGCCATGACCACCCCGTTCCTTGGTCTCGCGCTCGATTTGATCGAGGTAAGCCCAGCGAGCCAATGTCTTGGCCGAGGGTCGGCGGGGGGCAGGAGTCTCGGGGGTATGATCACTGATGCGGCGAGGGGGTGGAAGTGGCTGCATGGGAGAAGGAGGAAGTTTGGGTGCCGTTGCCTCGGCCTCGGGAGAAGAGTGGGGAGAGGGAGGAGCAGGGAGAGAGGTGGTGCGAGGAGAGAGTCGGAGTTGTGCTGGGAGATCGGAATGTGGACTTGTTGATGGTGAGTGTTCCAGGTCGGAGGTGGCTTCATCGACTTCTTCTGGGGTTACCACGGTTGGCTCGGCGGGAACGGAAGGAAGGGGGACATGGGAGTCCGGACGATATTGTGGAAGCGTAGGATCGAAGTGAGGCGTTGTATCTCCGTCCACGGATGGCGCTGCAGTAGATGCCTGCGAGTCGGCATTGTCCTCGAAATCGACCGAGGAGATGACCGAAGTGGTATCGGACTCTTCAAATGGTCGATCTTGCCCGATATTGTCATTGTGTTCTGGTTCAGCAAGATGTGTTGGCCTCACATCTCCTTCTTCGTCTTCGTCGTCTTCGCTGTCGCTAGCATCTTCTTCGTCCGAGGCAGTAGCACCAGGAGACGGGGGAGCTAACACTGGCCCCGTGTTGGCGGCAAGAACTGGGCTTTGGACCGAATAGCCAGCCCGTTGAAGCAGGTCATCAAGGGGCCTTTCACTGGTGATTTCCTCAAGGCGCTCCTCGCTTGGAACGTCCGATTGAGCGCGTTTTGAAGGGTCTTCCTTCTCGGCGAGTTCGATTTCGCGAGCCCAGACTTTACGATCAGCCCGCGTGCGGTGAACTTCCATCAGAAGATCCTCCTTGGGCTTGAATAGTATGTCAAGAAGCTCGTTGAAGCCTTGCTGTGTGACCTGATACAAAATCTCTTTCCCAACGTCCTTTTCGACTTCTGGAATCTCAAAGCCGCCCCATCGCTCGCCAACGGGAATGCTCCGCGACGAGGTTGATGGATTGGACCGAGTATCGTAGTCTTCAGTAAGATCGTCCTGGAAGCGCACCTTGGACGAGGACCGCGAGCGGGGGGAAGGCGGATGAGACTCAGGTTCATCTAGATCGTCTTCATCACTAAAGTCGTCCATGTCGGGGTCTGTTTCGAATCCATCGGGAGCGGTGGCTCCATCTTCCTCATCCGTGTAGAAGGCCCGACGTCTCCAGCGATCATCAATCCCGCGCTGGCGAGCGTCAAATACTCGTCTCTGGTCGTCCTCGCGCATTCTTTGGTAGACTGCGTCTGCGACTCGAGCCCGATCAATGGGGTCTGTGATATCCTGCGCAGGAATATAGGAGCCAAGGGCCTCGATGATATCCTCCTCGAGTATGTGCTCTGCTGGAGGCCATGTGCTTGCAACCGATGAGCTGGATTGGTCTGACCCACTGGTATCGCTGGCATCATCGTCATCGTCCTCCTCGTTATCGTCACCCTCTGCAGCATTCGCATGGCGAGATGCAGATTCATCAGGCGGTAGACGAAGGGTCGAGGGGAACAATGGCCGCACTCGACCGAACTGTGATCTGACGGCAGCATCACCCACAACTGAATGGCGATCACCGGTGTCGTCTCCATCTCGTTGGAGAATGCCTCCGTTATCGATGATTTCCATGTCACCATACGAGTTTAGGACCTTGCCTTCGCCTGCACGCGAACGTTCGCCAGATGGAATGCTGCCAGGGAATGCGGAGCTGATGGGTTGACTACCGAGAACCACATCGCGAGCACCACCTTCCAAGAAGTCATCCTCCATGCCAGCAACCATGTCCCTGGTGAGCTCTCGGCTCAGCGCATAATAAGCTCTGAATACCCGGAGGAAGTCCTTGCGCTCGACAAAGCCGTCTCCGTCAATATCATAACCGCGGAACACGCGCCGCAGCCTTTCGTCATTGCTCTTATTATTGAGACTGGCTAATCCTTTCAGGAACTCTTCGAATCCAATGAGATTATCTCCGTTGGTGTCGTAGAATGCGAACATCCGGTCGTAGATGAGACTGGGAGGGGGTGGTCGGATAGAGGTGTTAGGCACGAAGCAACGGTCAAATGTTTTTCGATCAATGGCCATGTGCAACTTGTTGGGATCGTCTGCCCACTCATAGTTTGCTAGACAGCGGAACTGATCCCAAAGAGCATCTAGCTCCGTGTTTTCAAAGTTGGTTTCCTTCATAAGACGTTTCGCAAGAGGTCTTGGAAGACTGCGGGGGAGCATTGTGGGCTTTCCAGGATACCACACGGGCTGGGATTGACGTGGATTGCCCAGGAACGGAGCTGGAATTCTAACTTTGTAGAACAGGTGAGTTTTAATGTGCACCTGCATTGATTCACACGTCTCGCAAAGGTCGTAATCGATGCAATTCGCGCATCGATATCTGATGCCTTGGATAGGCATAGCACCACAGCTGTTGCAAGTGACGCCCCGATGAATGTAGCCATCTCTCCGCGCCTGGTCCTCTGCAATGTGATATAGCAGGTTGAGCAAGTTCTGACCATCGCGATTCGATGGGTCATTATTCCCATCCCGCCACGAGAAGACACTCTGATCGTCCGCCATAGTCTCCCCGCCATCTTGATTTTGCGGTGGGGCCGAAACGTCCGGGAAGGTTGAGGTTGAAAGGGTGACCCGTTCGCCATTCTGTCGTCGCCGACGCAGCTCCTCTCCGTAGTTTTCGTCTCCGTTGAAGCGGACCAGGGCTCTCTCGATACCTGCATGAGAGATACCGCGATGCTGAAGCTGCTCAGTCAGGTATGTTCGCTCGGGCGTGTCTTCCGGAAGAGTATGCGCCGAAGGAAAATCGAGTGCAAGGAAAGATTCCAAGAATGTGTCTTCCATCATCTCGCGCATGCGCTCTGCATGGGCAGAGGGCACGCCGACTTCTTCCATCAGTTGGTCGCGCGTTGCCAGTAGTGATGGCAGAAGACCACTTTCCACCCGTCGTCCATCCTCAGTCTCGATCCTGAAAGTCCCGTATACTCCATTTTGACGCTCTAGCTGTTCGAGATGGGTGATGGCTCGATAGGACGGGGTGTCGGCAATCCCAAGCTCCTCAAGTTCGGTACGCCTCGTGCGCCGCACAGCATTTCGACGTCGAATCGGGGCCGATGATGGCTGCGAAAGAACGTTGTTGTGGACATAGAGAATCGCAAAGGCTGCAGCGGCACCAGTGAAAAGGTATAGGAAAGGTCGATATCGTGTCAGTGAGACCGGCCCTGAGCGCGAGTCGGACATGACGGAATTTGGGGGGTGAGCTATCGGAAGCCGCAAGAAGGTCAGACACGCAAGGCGCAGCACATTCTGATAGTCAACAAGGTGACCAAATCAGAATCAAGCTGCAAAGAACCAAGCTCAGAAATCAATGGATATGATGTTGTCAGACAATGACATCTGAAACGTTGGAAACGTTGCCGGTCCGCGGAGCTGATTAGTAATATTTTGTTGATCTGCAGGTGCGATGCTCCTAACTCCACGTACTTGCCTCGGGGGTAATTATATTGGTGACATTCGCATAGAGATCTTCCCATTCTACCTACCTAGGTATGTAGGTAGTGTGTTTGGAAGTACGGGAGCTGTTTGGATGCTTCATATCTCATTTAGTATCTAAAGATGGATATTTGACCGATGCACGCGCTAAATGTACACAATTTGCGGCCCAATTTCAATGCCAGCTCCAGAGATAGAGCATACCACCAATTCAAATGCAATTTTGAATGTATCCCCAAGGAGACACCATGTTGTACTGTTCTGGATTAGATATTCACCCATGGATTACCGGTTCAGTTTGCTTTCGCGGATGAAACACCCACTCAGCAAAGCGAAGAACACCACGACTACCATGAAGGCGAATCCCTTGTTAGTAGACCATCCGTAAGAGTCTCGGACAATCTTGGCAGTTGTGGGGTCGAGGGTCTTGATGAAATCGAGACTTTGACGCACCCCCTCAACAATCTGATCGATATTTTTGTTGTCATGCAGACCGGTTCTCAATCTGTCCCGCAGAAGCTGTTGAACGACGGTCGAAGATAGCGAGAGACCAATCACAGATCCTAATGAGCGGAAGAGATATGAGCACGCGGTTACAACTGCTTGATCTTCGTAGGAAGCGTTTGATACTAGTGACCGCGTTAGCATTCATCGGGGCTCGAGGGGAATATGATATCTCACTCAAACCGATCAAGGTGGTTGTGACACCAATACCGTTACCAAAGGCGGCACACACCATGCCAATGATCATGGGAATTGTACTCGACACGGCGCCTCCTGAAAACAGATAAATGCAGAAAACACCCGTTGTCAAAAAGGAATATGCAGTGACTGTCAGCCAGTAATACTTCCCATACCATTTCATCAATAAGCCTGCAAACACAGAGCCGGTGACACCGGATAGAATGCACGGCAGAAGACGTACCCCAGCAACGGTGGCAGAGACACCATCCACTGCTTGGAAGTATAAGGGGATGTAGAACAAGGCGGCAAGCCAGCCCCCGAAACTGAAGAAATTACAACCGTAACAGGCAAAGAAAGTTCGGTTGAAGATAATGTGTCCCGGCGCAAAGGGCTCCGCTGCAACGTATATCTCAACCAGAATGAAGATAACGAACAGGACAGCCGAAGCCCCCAACGAGGCAACTGTTATGGGCAACTTCCACGAAACATTACTTCCGCGATCAAGACCCACTAAGAAGGACAGCACGGCACAGACAAGAACGAGGGCGCCAATGAAGTCGATGCGTCGTAGCTTGGTTTTCCAGTGGGCGCTTTCCCGCGCAGGGAGCTTGAGCATGGTCGAGACTGCGATGATAGCAATAATACACAGCGGAAACTGCGCTAGGAAGGCCCTAGATAAATTTGTCAGATGGTGTAAGATTGTGTGGGTCTTGCATCATACATACCACCGCCATCCAACGTAGTCGGCGAGAATCCCCCCCATCGGCGCACCGGTACCGGAACCTGTTGCATAGATGATGTTGATGACACCCTGCCACAGGCCTCGATCACGAAGGGGAACAACATCACTCATCAGAATACTGACCACAGTCGTCATGCCACCACCGCCGATGCCTTGGAGGACCTAATGGATTGGATTAGTCTTCTGTGGTTTGGAAATTGAGATTAACTCCCAGAACATACACGGGCCGCGATAAGCTCATTGATGTCTCGGGCAAGGCCGCAGAGCAGACATCCTGTACCGAAGATTCCATACGCAAAGAGAAGACAGGGCTTGCGGCCGAAGATATCACTAAGCTTGCCGTATAGAGGCTGGAACGAGGTCAAACTCAAGAAGTACGAAGTCGCGATCCAGCTGGTCAAGTTCAGGGCTTTCAAATCACTGCCAATTTGGCCATAGCTAGCCATGATAATTGTCTGGTCAGCGGCCGACATGAAGACCTATATAATCATTAGCCTCGGCCTCGGGATCCAACATGAATGGCAACAGGATGGGTAACCGTACGCCCAGAGATATCGCAGGAATAATGTATTTGAGCTGGGTCTGCGTAGCTGGAGGCGGCGCTTTGCGATCCTCCTCAGGATGCCCCGACTCTACATTGTCGGGGATGGTACCGTTGGACGGAGCGCCGTTGCCGGATGCCAGCAACGGGGAAGTCTCGGAAGGAGAAGACTCAACAGCCATTTTGAGAGTCTTCCAAGTCACTCCTGAAGGTCGTAATGACTCAAATCCAACAGGACTCGGAGGAGAAGCGAGATTCTAAATGGAATCCCCGCTAAATTGAAGGGACTAACCGTCCCTTACATAACGGTAAATTTTGATACCATACTTACAGTACCCCACGATCTTCTACACCTTGAGCATGGATGCTTTGCTCCCTGCACGCAGCAGATTCTATTGAGGCTTTTTGAATTCAATCTTCGATGTCTTTCACTCATGGCCTCCCAACGCTCTATCTGTACCCGAAACCCCGAGGCTTCGAACGCTTGAGGGAGAACTGCCGCTTGCAGCGAAAGATAAGAGCTCAATTTCATGAGGCCAATTAACATCTAGTATGATACTACTAGTACTGATCGACGTTCATGCTCCGAGGTCTATAGATGTGTCTTCATGTTTGTCTTCCACAATACAATGCGCTATCCAATCCTAGCTGTGCATGCATTTGCATCCCATGACACTCGGCACCCCTTATACAACACCACTGTAACGAGTATCCAATTCTCACGCCTGGTTGTGCCACGGATCTAGAGTCATAAAACGGTGCCGCTCAGATTGGTTACTGAATGGCTGAAAATATGCAGATGCTGCATCAGACTTCACTCTACTTTTGCTGGGTTGTGACTGCCTTCTTGCTCTAGGCCAAGAAATGCTACATGTTCTCGTGTAGATCCGAAAGTTCTAGACTGACATCCATGGATGATAGCAGGTGCTCTCAGTTCTCCCTGCTTTTCTGGTTTCCAGGGTTGCCCAGTGCCATTTTGATCTGACTCTTCGTCTTCTGGGCTTTAGATAAATACCCAGATGAAGTTGCTCATGAGGGGAAGAATGAGACGATCATACCCTGGACCGTATTGCAGAGTACTAGTAGATCGTAGTTATTACAGTGAGATGGACATCATATCAGACCCGACTTAGCCGATCCAGCCAATGAGGTGGTTCAAACTCCAAGTCAACGCTCGGACCGTTGGGAATGTAGCATCGGCAGAGAATCGGCAAAATGTACTCGCAGTATTCTATATGCTGGACGCAGAGGTCGGCACTGCAATGAAATCATACTTCTAGACATTGAACTCGTGAATTCGGCTGCTAAGCGGATTATGTGTTGATGCAAGTCTTTTCACTCAGTAACTCCTTCCCAGTGCATTTCTTTTATGCGGACAGCAAGGGAACGGCGCCACCAGGCGAGTCAGGCAGGCGGGCAGTCAACACTTCAACACCATCCTCGGTAACGAGGAGAGTGTGCTCGAATTGAGCGGACAGGGATCCATCCTGGGTCGTGCTGGTCCAGTCGTCAGGCCAAGTACGGTCACGGTGGGTACCGATGTTGATCATGGGCTCGATGGTGAAGCACATGCCGGGCTTTGCGGTACCGACGGCCTTGTTCTTAGCGTAGTGAGGAATATTGGGCGCGCAGTGGAAGAGTTGGTTGATTCCGTGGCCACAGTAGGTCTTGACGACACTGCAGTTGCGGGTCTTGGCGTGCTTCTCGATCGTGTTTCCGGGGTCGCGGAAGAGCATGCCAGGCTTGACCAGGTCAATTGACTGGTCCAGACATTCACGGGCAGTTTCCACCACGCGCACCGCATCGGGGTCTGCGAGCGCCTTTTCTCCAACATAGTAGGTCTCGTTGATGTCGCCGTGGAAGCCCTTGTGGTATAGAGTGACATCGATGTTGACGATGTCACCATCCTTCAAGGGCCGTTGATCGGGAATACCGTGGCAGATGGTCTCGTTGACGGAGGTGCAAACGGATTTGGGGAAGTGCATATAGTTCAAAGGCGAGGGGTAAGACTGGACATGGTCAGTATCCATAGATTGCAACAGAAGTAGGGTAGTCTCCTACATCGCGCTCTATACAAGCTTTGTGAACGACCTCATCGATGTGGTCGGTTGTGACACCCGGCTTCAATTCACGGGCAGCGGCATCCAGAACCTCACGGGCCAGGCGACACACTTTGCGCATGCCTTCCTGCTCTTCCTTGTTGAGGATGGTGATGTTATGACGGCCAATGATCTTCTGCTCGGAGCGGGGAATGCCATCGCGGGCGTAGTCTGGGTGGGGGATCGACTTGGGGATCGTTCGCTTGGCGGACAGAGGGTAGACGGGCCTCAAGGAACCAGTGTAGGGGAAGGAAGGGTACGGGTTGAATGTACCGGTGTCTGGATCTGGTTCAGAAACTACCTTCGGTGGAAAGATATTGGTGAGGAAATTACTCTTTTTGTGAATGGTCTTGTGCTCGTTCTAGGGGGACGGGTCAGCCTTGGATTTCCGTGTTAAAGCCTCATGCGACTTGGGAGTACTCACCCAGCTGCGCTTAAAACAGTCTTGCGAACAGAAAAAGCTATCAGTGCCACTCTTCAGACAAGTCGGACATTGCAGGGTGCCTGCGTCGTTGGGGCAGTCCACACCCCGGCACTTGCGGTTCCCAGTCTCAGCCATGATCAAAATGCGAGTACACGAAGGGCTTGGGAAGTGTTATACGGGAGGGAGTTATAGAACGGCCGAAATCTCAAATCCCCACAGCTAACCTTGGGAGACTAACTGCTTTCGGATTTTTGATCAAAAACTTCTAGAATCTTTTGAGTTTGGTATTTTAGCAGTGTATTTAGCAGCGTCTGATATTTTGTAGGAGCAGTTCTATCCAAAGATTTCCAAGATTCTCTATATACTGACCTCGGGAGCCTTTATACGAAGACTTCTGCTCATAGTCTCATAACGTTCGCGGTATGGATGCGGATGAATGCATCACGTGACACTAGAAATCCTGAGCCAGTCGGAGAATTTCACACATGTAAGATGGTGCCTTGAGAGCACAGAATAGTCGTGCCGCCTGCTCTAATTAATACTCCATATTACGCATGGCTAACACCAAAAGATAGAGAATATGAACACTAAGATATTAGATGGTGCCATACTATATAAGGCACCAAGGCACCGAGATAAAATGACTAATGTCGATCCCATTTTGGCACTTTCTCGTTTGGGAAGCCGATTTCGCAACACGTGATAGAGTTTCCCTCTTCGACGTGCTCTCCAGTTCAGACAACCAGCTGCATGATGGCTCTTCCGAAGCAGAAAGTGGTGGTTGTGGGTGCTGGCCCGGTGGGGTCTCTAGCGGCGCTGTATGCTGCTTCACGAGGCGACGACGTCGAAGTATATGAGCTCCGTGGAGGTATGTTCCAAATCGGTCTCGTGTGACCTTTTGCTTTCACGTCAGTTGGATCAATGAGGCTACAAAAAGCTCATGCAATTGGTGCTACTGTTGGGAGATTTGTGGATTTATAAGGAACATCTCGCAAGGTTCCCCACGGGGCCTGGGGGATGTCTCTTGTCGCATTTTCTCTCAGCGGCCGTTGTCAACCTTGGCTGAGACCTGGGTCTCATGAATCCATCCTGGCGCGATTGCGATTCATTGCGATTTATTCCGAGCTGACCCTCATGCTTTCCGCGCATCCGTAGATCTCCGGGATCCTACGACTGTGCCCTTGAACTTCACCAAGTCAATCAACCTGGCCCTGTCGGAACGTGGAATCACGTCCATGAAACATGCAAACCGCTCTGGTCTCGTCGAGAATGTCCTCCGTGAAGCAGTCCCAATGCATGGACGAATGATCCACGGCCGAGACCGGGGTGATCTGTGGGAAGCTGCACAAGCCTATGACGTTCATGGCCGGGTATGCACATCACCTGGCGATCACATTGCTTTTTTTTTCTTCTTCCCTGCAGGTCAGACTAACCACTCTCATTAGGCAATCAATGCCATTGACCGAGGAACACTCAATAATGCGCTGTTGGATGAGTTGGAAAAAGCTCCCAATGTCAAGCTATTCTTCAACCACAAGCTGACTGGTGCGGACTTCCGCACCAACAAAGCTTGGTTCGAGCGCCGAATTCCAGGCGATACGCCCATGGCTGATGATGAGGGTGTAGCTGGCAGAGTGCCAGAGATCGAGGTACCGTTCGACTACCTCATCGGTGCTGATGGCGCACACTCCGCCTCGCGCTTTCACATGATGAAGTTCGCTCGAGTCGATTACCAGCAGGAATACATCGACACCTTATGGTGCGAATTCCGCATCCCACCCACAGAAGACGGAGACTTCCGTATCTCACCCAACCATCTGCATATCTGGCCAGGTCGCGAATTCATGTTCATTGCGATACCATCTGCGGACAAGTCCTTCACTTGCACGCTATTTGCACCATCGTCACACTACACATATTTGGAGACTTCACCACAGGACATACATGAATTCTTCGATTCGCATTTCCCGGGTGTGAGCCCAGAGTTGATCGAGCCCGCCGCATTGAGTGAACAGTTCGCCGCTAACCCGCATCTGCCCCTCATCAGCATCAAATGCAAGCCCCATCATTACAGTGCCAGCACAGTCATTATTGGAGATGCTGCCCACGCAGTGCTTCCATTCTATGGCCAAGGCCTCAACGCGGGTCTGGAGGACGTCCGAGTCTTGTTCGAGCAACTGGATAAACATGGCGTCTATGACCCCAACTCCAGCGTGTACACACGCAGCCTTAAACGCCAGGTAGCTTTCCAGGCATACACCGACCAGCGTTGTGCAGACACACATGCTATCAACGATTTGTCTCGAGAGAACTACTTCGAAATGCGCGCAGGCGTCAAGTCCCCGCTGTACAAGCTTCGCAAGTCAATCGAGGAGATCATTGACCACCACTTCCCCATCTTTGGTTGGAAAACTCAATATGCTCGCATCAGCTTCAGCAACCAGCGGTATTCGGAGGTTGTTATGGCCGTTCAACATCAAAGTCAAGTCCTTGGTCTCGGCCTGAGTGGAGCCCTAGCCGCTTGTGCGTGTGCTCTGTCTATCTTGATGTGGAAGTACCCTCGATCTTTCTCGCCGGTGGGAGCGCTTCGGTGTGTACAGCATCTTGCATGCGTCGGCCTGAGGAGTATTCGCAACGTCACTCGCATGTAAAATCATATTCACATTGATGTACAGCTTGGAAGGAAAGAATTTGTCAATATGCATGGGCTCCGATGATCAAGAATTGGACATTGTTTTCTTCATATTGATGTTTACGCAAGCTTAGAATTAGAAAGTGAACAGAGCAGTCGACGCCTTTGTAGAAACGTTACAGGTTCCAGCTCAGCACGCAACGAAACATGATTATTTTCAAATGACCCATGGTCTGAAGGCATAGTTGATGTATATGATGACAGAATTCCCTTAATCCCAATACCTGATGTTGCCATCAAGGCCACCGGTGACCACCTTACTCGTCTCCTGAGGATGCCAGTCCAGACAAGTGACCGCACCTCCTTCCTTTCCACCAGCTTGGATTTTATGATACATTTTCCCGGTCTTCCAGTCCCAGAAGCAAACATAGCCACCGCTGTCACCAGAAACCAAGAACTGCCCATCAGGCGAGAGCTTAAGGTCAATAGCGTATCCCGAGGTATTGTGGCCCCTAAAACTCTTCTTCCGGTTCTGACGGAACTTGTCGGTAGCGCCGTACACGACAATTTGGTTATCACCAGACTGGAAAGCAACATACTTGCCGTTGGGATGAGGCGCCGCGCGAGTAAGCGCGAACATGTATGGCTCTGCGATGAACTTGATGGGGACGGGAATGCCGTATTCCCAGGCGCGCAACGACTTATCATCGGATGTGGAAATGAAACGTCTGTTGTCGTCAACGAAAGTAAGGGTGTTGACAGCCGCCAAGTGGTGATCGTATTCTTGGACCAGTTCGCCGGACCGCGTATCGAACTGAACAATCTTCTTGTCCGACATACCAGCCAAGAACTCGTGTGAATGCTCGGGCGAGGGGTTGAAGCGGATGACATGGGGTGTTTTGCCGGTGGAGAATCGACCGAGACATTTGCCGTACTCGGTATCCCAGAGTTTCATCTGCTGGTCGTACGAGGCCGTCAGGAATGTCTTTCCTGATGGGTGGAAGTCCGTGCCTGAGATTGCCTTGCTGTGACCGGAGAAGGTCCTCAGGAGCTCGCGAGAGTGATACACATCCCAGATCTTGGCCTTTCCATCGGCTGCCGACGAAAGCAGCAAGTGGCCAGTATTCGGCATGAATTGAAGAGAAGTGATGGGCTTTGTGTGTGACTTCCAGGTCTGCACAAGCTTTTTCGGAACGTAATTCTTGACGCTGCCGGGCTCTTTCCGCAGATCGATATCCAGATCCTGTGGTACGTGCATGTAGGTCCTGCCCTGGTAATCGTACTGCTCTGAGCCATGGAACTCGGTCGTTTCCTTCTTGGAGTAGTCGTCCGCGTATTCAGTGGCCGCCTTGCTCATAGCCGGCATAGGTCCTGACGGAACCTCTTCTTCTTCCTCTTCAACGTATTCCTCGTCGCTAGCAAGCTCCCGGTCTTCTCCTTCAACTTCGTAGGTATCATATTGCTGGTCGTTGTTGTATTTCGCCCAAGGTCCGAGATAAGCGCCCTCGCCTTCCACGATGCTGGAGTCGCCCTTCCTTTGTCGCTTTGCGCGCCAGTTCGCAGATGCGCTTTTGGTTGGCTTTATTTGAACGGCATCCTTGCCGCCGTACTGTGCCGCATTATCCAAGTTTCCAATAAACTCATCCGGTCGAGTGGGATTGCGTGTGTAGCCCAAACTCTGGAATGTGCGGTGTTGCGCGGCGAAGGTGGACTCGCTGATGGCCGCCTCTTCGGCAAAACCTGTGGGGACATTCTTTCTTTTGATGCCGTTTCCTGGGCCCGACGACTTGAAAGGGTTCACGGGTCCCTGTGAAGGTCGCATCATATCATCGTAGGTGGCGTTGAAAGTGAGAGCTTGGGAGGAGGCATTGGCGAGTGTCATTTGCATGTGCGCCTGGTCCTGTAAGGTCGTTAGTCTTATCTGCTCATCACGGCGAAAATATAAAGACCGGCTGGAGATCGGAATAGAATGTGAGTATGGGGGACCAAACCTCTGTATTGACTTCTGGCGCAGCAACGACCTGGGTTGCGGTCGTTACGGAGGGCTTGGGCACAGCCGAAGCTTCATCGTCACTGGAGTCATATCCAGCTCCCAATAAACCAGACATGGCGAATATGTTCAAGTGCGAAGAGGCTTGATCTTCAAATCCTCTTTGGGACAAGAAGGTGGAATTGGTCTGCTAAGTGAAGGATGGGGGAATTTTACGGTTGGCGGGAGGCTCCCAAGGTGAAGCCCGCGGAACAGTTGCAGCCAAGCTTCTGCGATATGAAACAGTGCAAACATGGTGGATACGATGGAGTCCTCGCATATATAAGTTGGACTAGATCTGGTAGTTCTTGAATCGAGTTATCATTGACTTCAGGGTCCTCGGTGGTGCGGAATTCGTGAGCTGGACAAAGCTTCACGCTGCAGTCGCCAACTACTCGAACAACAATGTTGTCAAGGTCGATGTTCAGAAGAGAAGAGGTCAAGGAGAGATGTATTGTACTTCAAGAAACCAAGTCATGTGTGAGATACTAGGGTATCGTACGCTCTTCATTGCTAACCGCTTGGGAGGTATATACAAAACCACAGGCCGCAAAACACAGCAAGATTAACACAGAAGAAAGATCAAATCAAACAATATCAAAGAACAAGCACACCTATTGGAGCCACATCCACCTTTGACTTGAGACACCCTCAAGATCTCTATCGGTTCTCATCATTGCACCCGTAACAGCAAATCTAAATCAAGACTGAAAGAATTCGTTGCTCATCCCTAGTCATGGCGGCCCAAAGTAGCAAGGACCACGTTGATATACCGCATTATATGGTCTCACAGCTATCTCGGAGCTGTAATTTCGAGCAAAGATTGGGCAGAAGATGGAGGTTGAAGTTTAGCGAAACCCAGAATCAACAGCCCATCGCAAAAGTCACTCGAAAGATAGCTCCTTGACCTAGCCGGGACGACCATGGCGCATCGCATAATCGGTCTTATCCCGAAGTCAGTTTCCCTCATCACGGATGAGAGCAACGATCATGCCGTAGAGGTAGAAGAAGAACATCAGGAGGTGGAAACCAAGCTTGATGAAGGATTCCTAGAGTGGCGAATTCAAGTCAGTGATAGTCTTACGGATGGCGGAATCTGGGACTAAACCGACCTTCTTGTGGACGTTCAGCTTGCGGAAGATCTCGGTCGCATCCAGAAGGTGCTGGTTATCGTAGATCCTGAAATTTGGGAGATGCGGTTAGTTCCGTGCTGAGAATATGCGACTCGGGGAGCTTCAAGACATACTTCTTGGCGTTGAACAGGACGAGAGGCAGGTTCAGCACGATGGCGAGCCAGTACCCGTTGATCAGGAAGAGGAAGGTCAGGAAGGCGTGGACGGCGGCTTCGGGAATGATGTAGGCGTTGAGACGGTTGCAAAGATCGATGGGGTTGATGTAGTCACTACAGAAGGCTCAGTGTCAGCATGTATCCATACCAGTCTCGATCAACCCAGAGGAAAGTGCTCTAACTCCAGGAGGGGGCTGGGAGGACTCACCACTCAAGATCGCTGTACATAATCGTGAAGAACACCTGAAGGAAAAGGTTGACGGCGTTGATCAACACCGACAACAGGTAAAGCCATGCTTCGCCGGACATCATGGGCGCGAGTTTGACTTGCGTCAAGAGGATTCAATTGCTGGGAAGGGAACGTATGAGCTCAGTGCGCGACCAAATGAGGTTCCGGTACGGAAGCCGGAATTGGAGATGTCTGTGGGGGTAAGGAAGGCGGAGGAATCGCACAGAGCCCTTTCGCGGGGTCAGAACTCACAAATAAGAAGCTGAGGGACTCAGGAGGAGTGGAGTAGGGGAATTTGCGAACACAAAATACACAGAGGGGAGTGGACCGAAGTTGAAGTTCGATTAGCGAATTTGGGAACTGCGCCCGATGCCCGGACGGGCGGTGGGACTTAGCGTGGTCCAAGGATCCCGCAAACGGGGATACTCAGTGAGACAACTACATACAGTACTCTGTAGCTGGGTAAGCTGCATTTTGATACTATCGAGGTATATCAAACAAACAAGCGCAGTTTGAGTTGTGTCGCAGTTGGAATGACGTCGGGGACGTCAAAATCTACTCAAATTTGGGCTTTGGGCCATTGGCTACGAGATACGAAGCATACGGAGCACAGAATATGGTGAGATCTAAGTCATCCATATATATTTAAGAAACCTGAGATGCTACATCTTATTACTTATTATACCAGAGATCGAATCAAATCAAATAATGCCAGAAGAATAATGAGCGCTCTCAACGATATAGTACTAGTAATTATTCGAAGTAACAGGCTCATCGCTTCTCGATGAGTAGGAAGTGCATGGCACTGTATGCAATGAGAATGAACGCAGCAGAGATTACAGCAAGTCCAATCACGTCGTTCCAATAGGCCAGGGTGTTGAAACCAAAAGCGCTCAAGATCGAGGCACCAGGCACCTCGATGTCCAGACCATACTTGTGATCAATCAGGGTAAGGTAGGTCACTTCGTTGACAATCAATGCTTCAAATCCATAGTGGAAGATAGACAGCTGTCAAGAGTTGTTAGTACATGTATAGCATAGTCAGGTAAAAGGATCACTCACAGATTGCAGCCACAATGCCGACTTAGGGATCGCATCGTGGTTGAGCAACAGACCGGCGAAAAGCAAGCTGAAAAGCATAACTAGACTACCAATGAGGTTGGCAACCCCACCATCGCGGAAGATGATCCCGATGAACAAGCAAATGCCGGCAGCCGCCAGATTGAAGAGAACCAAAACCAGCAAGAAGCGGAGGAACTCGGGCCACGCGGGGATCAGGCCTGTCATGGGGTAAACGATGATACCCATGATGATTGGAGGAATCAATCTCAGAGGGACAATATCGAAGACCACCTTTGACGCAAAGTATGTGACTGGGTGGTAGTAGCCATTGGCGCGCTCGCGAACGAAGAGCAGACGCTCAGAGGAGAACACATTAAGGCTGGTCAGGGTACTGAAACCGAAGAGAGCCAGCACAAAGAAGAAGAGTCCCAGGCGGTTCTGGAAACCACTGATATCGTCAGTGAGACCATAGAACAGATATCCAGATAGAACGGCAAGGAGGATGGCGATGGCATAATGGGTGAGCATGAGCATCGGGTTCCGATACAGATTACGCCATGTTCGCTGGGACAAGATGATGAATTGGCGTAACAGACCCACTCGCGCAAAGCCCTTGGACTGCGCTGTGGTATCAGACAACAACGCAGCGTTTGGTGAACCGTTCGCTGCTTGGGCGCTATGGACAGCAGCCACAATCTCTTCGTGCACAGAGTTGCAGACATCAGAGTCCGCATAGCTGGCAATCAGGATGTCAAGGTCACTTGTACCGGGTGCCGGAGGGGGAAGCTGGTCAGGGTCATCAAGAATTTGGGGAGGGACGTTGCCCCCTTGACGAGACAGCCGGAGCCACTGTTGCTGGTTTTCAGCGACATCCAAGGTAGCACTCTCGTCGTCTGTCTTCGGTGTTACTGGGCGATCGATTTGTTGCTTTCGCGAATACAGTTGGCGGTCTTGCTGTTGCTTTAAAGATACCCGTCGTTTGCTCTTGGGTCGCCGGGTCGCCTCTGCGCCGCTTGAATTGTCTTCCATGCTGTAGTTTGATGCACTGGCGACTGATTTAACAGCTCTGAGACTGCTTGAAGCAGTCTTAAATGGGCCAGAACGTCCATCCACAGATGATGCGACTTCATCCGCAAAAGAGGTATGTGCCGCACCAGCGTGCATTGTAAGATCGACGAGATAATCCGCAATGTTGAAACCTGGGGGGCAGGAGTAGCCAATGTTGTCGAAATACTGTTGGCAAGATGAGAAGGGACCGGAGTAGACGGTACGTCCCTCGGCAAGCAAAATCAGCCGGTCAAAGAGCGCGACAATGTTCGAGCGTGGTTGGTGGATGGTGAAGATGACAGTCCTGTTGTAGGTTTTGGCGAGTGTGACCAGACATTCGACCACGTTGAACGCATTATAGGCGTCCAACCCACTGGTAGGTTCATCCAAGAACAGTATACTGGGACTGGTGACCAGCTCGCAGGCAATTCCTACCCGGCGCTTTTCTCCTCCAGAGATACCACGACCGCTGCCTTCTTCCGAGCCAACCAGCTGATCTTTGATATGATAAATTCCCAGCTGCTTCTCGACTTCCAAAACCCTTTGCTCTTTGGCTGCACGACTCATGTCTCGAGGTAGTCTGAGAAGGGCGCTTGTCAGGATGGTTTCATGAACGGTCAGAGTCGCAAGCATTGTATCTTCTTGATCCACGAAGCCAATCATGGACTTGAAGTCATTGTCGCTGATTTGCTCGCCATTAACATAGAACTCTCCATTCACTGTGCCTCGCTTGTTCTTGCGAGCTAGAATATCGAGGAATGAAGTTTTACCAGCCCCGGAAGCGCCCATAATGGCTGTGATCTGACCTGGGGTTGATGCACCTTGGATGCCGGAGAGAATCTCTTTTCCGTTCAGGGTATAAGACACATTATCCCAGAACAACGCCGCGGGACGATAATCCGCCAAGAGTTTGGCAGCCTCGTCGTCTGAGTCGTCGGAGAGAGAGAGCCGAACATATCCACGGCGTGCCGAACGACGGGACAGATACCACACAAGCAAAATGACTGCAACCACAAACAGCGAGCTTCCCGCAATCACGCCGGCAATGAGTGGCGTGTTGATTTTCTTAACGGGGCGCTCGTAGCCAGGCTCGTCAGTCTTGTACACGCACTCTCCTGAGTCGCATGACAAGAAAATGCTGGGATCGCCAAAGACTCCAGCAATCAGACCATTCATTTGAGGTTCCGAGAAGACGCTCTTTGTGCCTTCCAGAGTCGCTTTGGTGTCGAAGGTAGCTGGGCCCTTGATCGCCTGATCAAGGAAATCGCTCAGATCAATAGACCCGTTCTCACCGCACAGGAAACGACCGGGGATGCAGCTACACTGCAAGTGTTCACACTTGTAGTGTGTCGAGTTGGATTCATAATCCGTTTCCCAGCTTCGTTCGCAAGTGTCCAAGCCGCAGTAGAAAGATTCCTTCTGGTCCACCCAGAATTGGAAGCTACAGGTGTCGTCTTCGGCTTCGCACGAGAAGGTGACTTGAGGTTTGCGCCCATCAAGCTGCTTGAGAATTGCCCGGTTGGTCACATCACACATTTGGAAGTTCTCCTTGATGGTAACACCTTGCTTGTGGCACACACCTCCGTCACCTTCGGGCATCATGGCATTGCAGGCGTCATTCGTTTCGCAGACGTTGCAGTTGATGCCCTTCCAGCCATCCTTGCATTTGCAGGTATCGGAATCACGCTGCGGTCGGTTGAGGTCGTCGGCCAGCGAGCCACACAAAGGGACCGAGCAATCATCACCTCCAAACCCAGGAGGACAAGAGCATTTTCCATTGTAATTGTTGCATTCCGCAAAATGGGTGCAGTTGTAGTTATCCAGCTGGCAGTTGAAGCAAGCTGGGCATTCGGGACATCCGGGCGGGCGGTCATCGAAAAGGGACGGGGACCGCGTAGCAAGGCTGATATCTGAGAACTCGTTTCCCCATGCTGAAGCGTAGCCTATGAGAGGTGCTAATGTGAGTAGTGACAGCGACACAGTGTCTGTCAAGCGCATCTTGCAGGACGGATGGCGGCGGCGGCCTGTCCTGGTACTCAGCGAGCCAGCAGCCGATGAGAAGGGAGATGAATCCGTCAATGACTTGGATCCAAAGGCCAGATCGGAGATGTTTGATTCAACCCAATGTAGAGGGTCAACAGATGAGGCCAAAGGGTTGGGGAGAGACAGAACCAGGTGTGGAGAGGTGAGATTGGCCCCCGATGACGCGGGCGGAGAAGAGAGGCTGGGGGCTGCATGGGCGCCAGGAACCCGCTGCCAGGTCACACACCTACTCCATACCAATACAACTTATTGAGATCTGCAATCTTGGGAATATTAAGCCCAGAAACCATGATCTCTCCAACCTGACCTCGGGAGCTTTCTCCAACTACATTCTACAACATAATCTCCCCTATGCTGTACTCCGTACACTTTCACGATGCGGGGAACCACGTGATACCAGCACAAGGTGCCAAAATTACCTTCAGTCATGAACGCCGACGACCGCTACCCAGGTAAACTGTGACCGTCCGGAAAACCTTGACAAAACACAAATTTCTCGGTAATTCCGGACATCATCACCATGGTGAAGATTGACACCTTCGCGGTGGAGCAGGTATTGCCCTTCCCCCGCACCACTCTGGCCATTGCTAACCAAAACCAGTGGATGGACAAGTATGAGACCACTGCGAAGTACAATATTGCCGAGACCTGCTGCGCATCAATCTCCGTCGATGACCTCTGTGCAATCTCCGACGATAAAGAGTCCAATCCCTTGACCCAGCTTCAATCCACCAAACTCACGTACGGCGCAATTCGGGGATCCGATAAGCTGCGAACCACCCTGTCCAATCTATACTCGGCCAGAGCGCCCGTAGTGCTCCCAAAAGAGAACATTCTGATAACCGCCGGTGCAATTCAAGCGAACTTCTTGCTGCTATATACGCTGATTGGACCCGGGGACCACGTCATCTGCCACTACCCAACATACCAGCAGTTATATTCTATTCCAGAATCACTCGGAGCTGAAGTCAGCCTGTGGAAGTCCAAGGAGAGCGATGGGTGGCAGTTGGATCTGGACGAGCTGCAAAGTCTTATCCGACCCAATACGAAGATGATTATCATAAAGTATCTCATACCCCGTTGGAATTGCCCTATGCAGTCACTAATTTCAATGGCTTCGTAGTAACCCGCAAAACCCCACCGGAGCGATCATTCCTCGCGATACCCTGGAGAAATTGGTGGGCATCGCCCGCGAGAAGTCTATCATCATCCACTCTGATGAGGTCTATCGTCCAATCTTCCATGGCATCGGCCCGGCAGACCCAAAATTCCCACCGACCATCCTTTCGCTGGGCTATGAGCATACCGTGGCAACCGGATCTATCTCCAAGGCCTATAGCCTAGCAGGTCTGCGCGTTGGATGGGTTGCATCGCGCGAAAAGGCCATTGTCGAGGCTCTTGCTAATGCGCGCGATTACACTACTATCTCAGTTGGTCAGATTGACGACTCAATCGCCAGTTTTGCACTGGCGCCGGATTGCATCCACAATCTTTTGAAGCGCAACATCGATTTAGCCCGGGCCAACCTTGCAATGTTGGAGCAATTCATTGAATCTCACCGGTGGGCTTGCGATTGGGTCAAACCTCAAGCCGGCACCACTGCGTTTGTTCGGTTCAATAAGATGGGGAAGCCGGTGGACGATGTTGCCTTTTGCGAGATGCTCCAGGAACGCACCGGTGTAATGCTCGTTCCAGGCAGTCTCTGCTTTGGTGGCGGAGAAGACTTCAAGGGGTATGTCCGCATTGGGTATGTTAATGAGACCGAGATTTTGGAGCAGGGATTGAATGCGTTACGGGACTTCATGGAGGAAGGCTACGAGGATGTACCTGTGGTCAAGAAGCTTGTGAGGAGATGATATAGGACAACCTGTTTCTAGCAGTGATGTTGCATATACGGAGTACGAACGCTGGCTTCGCTCAAATTTGGAGTTCGCTATGACCCACCTATAAGCTCGAGCTAATGATTCAGACTGAAAATAGATATGAGTTGAAGCTCATGTGAAGAAGCTGAAACAGACGGTGTATAGCGAAGATACACGTGAAGCTCAAGTACTCCATAGCAGCCTACAGGGTGCCCAGGCACAGCGCCAAGACGTTGGCAGCTACAGTGATGCAATGAGATCGGCTTCTCCGTGCCGAGGCATTTCCCCCCACTGGGTTTCAATCTCATCTGATTCATTCCTGAGCTATTGTCCTTCTTTTCCTTTAGTATTTCCTCTTTTTTGGGTTCGGCTGTGGATTTGCTCCGACAATTCGCCTTGAATCCCTTTCCTTCCGACTTTCACCCCGATACATAGACTCGATAGTATTGCATTGCCTGCACATTCCTGCAGAATGCCACTGTCAGCATTTCAAGGTAAGGCATGCCTCTACGACGAGGCGTGTGGAAGGACAGTTTGATTAACCAGATCTTCTCTTTACTCAGATATCCCCTTGAGCATTGCGCTCCCAGCAGCGGCCACCTCACTTGCCTACCTCAACGCAAAATGGTCTTTATCATACGATATGAGTCTCATCAAGGGGCTGTTAAAGATGACTATGAAATCCCACTTCGCAGAGCGTGGTGATCGCCTGAATCTCTTCTACAAACTGGAAGCCCAGGCACTTGACCCCAAAACCGCCGATCGCCCCTTCGTCGTGTATAATGGCCAAACCACAACTTTCCACGATGCATACATTATGGCACTTCGCTATGGAGCCTGGTTCAAGAAGATACATGGTATCAAGCGCAAGGAAATCGTGGCGATGGACTTCATGAATTCCTCCACATTCATCTTCATGGTGCTTGGACTTTGGAGCATCGGAGCAGTGCCGGCTTTCATCAACTATAACCTGGCGGGAAAACCGCTGACCCATTCAGTACGAACCTCTACTGCCAGACTTTTGGTAGTTGACGAAGATGTGCGCCACTGCTTCCCAGAGGAGCAAGAGAAGATTTTGACATCGCCGGATTTCCGCGAGGGCAAGGGACCGGTTGAAATCGTGTTCCACACCCCGGAAGTCGAGGCACAGATTTTGGGAATGGAACCTGTCCGTGAGGATGACGAGGTGCGTAGTGGCTTGGTTCCCCGTGACATGGCCATCTTGATCTACACCAGCGGCACTACTGGGCTTCCCAAACCTGCCATTGTTAGTTGGAAGAAATGTTGGGCGGGTAGTCTATTCTTCGGGGACTGGATGAGCATCACCCCTTCAGACAGATTCTTCACGGTAAGCTTTTTGTGCGACATGGGCTGTGACACTCAAACTGATCTTCCACCAGTGCATGCCTCTCTACCATAGCTCTGCTTCGGTACTTGGCTTCTTGACTTGTCTGGCGAATGGATCAACCTTGATCATTGGCCGCAGATTCTCAGCGCGCAATTTCATCAAGGAAGCTCGCGAGAACGACGCAACCATCATCCAATATGTTGGTGAAACCCTCCGATACCTCTTGGGTGTCTCACCCGAGTTTGACCCCGCCACTGGCGAGGATCTTGACAAAAAGCACAAGATCCGCCTGGCTTTCGGTAACGGGCTGCGCCCCGATATATGGAATCGCTTCAAGGAACGGTTCAACATCCCTACTGTCGCTGAGTTCTATGCTGCCACCGAAGGCACAACGGGCTCCTGGAACCTTTCATCCAACGAGTTCTCCGCAGGCGCCATTGGACGGAATGGCGCATTAGGAAACATCATCTTCGGACGGGGAACTGCGATTGTAGACGTCGATTTCGAGACCCAGGAGCCCTGGCGCGACCCAAAGACCGGTCTTTGCAAAAAGACTCCTCGCGGTGACCCTGGTGAATTGCTATTTTTGATTGACGCAGCAGACCCTTCGGCCAAATTCCAAGGCTACTTTGGGAACAAGAAGGCCACAGAGAGCAAGATCATCCGCGATGTGATGAAGAAGGGTGACGCCTATTTCAGGACCGGTGACATGGTCCGCTGGGATAAAGAGGGCCGCTGGTTCTTCTCGGATCGGCTGGGTGATACTTTCCGCTGGAAGAGTGAGAATGTATCTACCAGCGAAGTCTCCGAAGTTCTCGGTGCTCATTCCGAAGTCCACGAAGCAAACGTCTACGGCGTTACCCTTCCAAATCACGATGGTCGCGCCGGCTGTGCAGCCATCGTCTTCAACCAGCAAGTGGCGAGTGGTGGCCTCTCCGACCCTGCGCTTGAGCCATCGCGCCAAGTTCTCGACAATCTAGCTGCCCACACCCTTAAGAACCTACCCCGGTTTGCGGCTCCTTTGTTCTTGCGAGTCACGCATGAGATGGAGTCGACGGGAAACAACAAGCAGCAGAAGCACACTCTTCGCACCGAGGGCGTCGATCCATCTCTGGTCTCGAAGAAAGATCGACTATACTGGCTCCAAGGCAATACCTATGTGCCCTTTGGGTCAAGGGACTGGGAACGGCTGAATGGTGGACAGGTTCGACTTTGATCAGCCTAGCATGTTTCAATCCTGGCCGGCGCTTTTTTGTCACATTTTAGCACTTCGTTATTATTACATCAAGTATCTACCTCTTGTTCTTACAACTTAGGTACTCTCTACATCTAGATACCCACACAGTCCTTGAGCAAATGTTTTAGCACAATATTATTCATAAAATCAAGACCACCTATGAAGTCCGCAAATCAACACTAGAAAGAAACATCCTAGACATCACCCAGTATATCGCCATACCCCGAGTTCACAACTTGGTAGAAGAATTCAAGTTGTCCAAGGGTGCATCAGCTTCCACATGCTTCCACACCTCATCGATCTGCGCCGCAATCTCCGCACTCAAAGGTCCCTTTTCAAGACCATCAAGCGTCTGCTTAAGCTGCTCAAGGTTACGCGAGCCGAAAATCAACCCATCCCCAAACTCAGACTTCAAAGCAGAATTGTGAGCCGCCCACCGATATGCAAGTTCGGCCTTAGGAATCCCAGCCTTCTTTGCAATATCCGCCCACAGCTTCAGGCCCTCCAGCATGCGTGGCTTGTTATAGAGCTGGTTATATAGCCCGCCGATCGGTGTATTCGCGTCCCATCGACCTTTCCCTCCGGCGACCAATTGGTCGACATCCTTGGTGAGGAAGCCTCCTCCGATAGGCGAGTAGGCATAGAATGCGATATTGTGCTTGCGCAAGGTTGGGAAGATCTCGTCTTCTCCTCGGCGGGCGATGGCGGAGTAGTTGCCTTGATAGACGGTGGGTAGGATGTAGTTATTGTCGCGGCTAATGCGAATGACTTCCTCCACCTCTTCGGCTAGGAAATTTGAGAGTCCAAAGCGCTTGAATTTGCCGGTTTGGTACTCGGCGTTGAGAGCAGCTAGTAGATCTTCAAGGGAGCTTCTGCGATCCGGAGCATGGATATAGTAGATATCGAGCTATAGGCATAATTAGACACGAAGTTCTTCACTTTGAATACCTAGGTGTTTGAAACCTACCTGTTTTGTCTGAAGAAGTTCCAGTGTTTCTTTCAGGTTGGATACAAGAGACTCTGGGGTGGACGCTACCGGCGAAAATGCGCCAGGGTACTTGGAGTCGATAGCGAAACGAGACTCAGCATGAACAGTGCCTAGCCGCTCCTCTGAGCCTGTGTATATTCTGGCTGTATCGATGGTGTTAACACCTTTGGCTTGCAAGACATCAAAGAATTCGTTGATAGCCTCAGGGCTAGGGAACGAGGTCTTGTCACTGATGCTGGCTCCGCCCCAAATGAGTTTGATGTTGGACATGTTGAAAGTGGAAATCGGTGGTAGATGAGAAAGTGATTCTGTAGTAGAAACTGACATGGATCAGGAATATCTCTGGATATTTATATCCATCTTATTCGGAACGGAGTTAACATCATCGACATGGGGAACGGATGCTCTACTAGGTACTTCCGTGACGATCGAGGCTTTCGTGCGTAAAGTCCGTAAAGACCGCGGTGGAAGAGCTGTGATTGACCTTGGGAAGCCACTAGGTACTTCCAGCTCTTTGCGATTAATCAGCTCTCCAAACTAGGTACATTACGCAATTCTATAGTGCGTCTGGGCAGTGTCCTATGGCGTAACAGGTGTAAGAGAGTGCTTTGAAATCAACACCGGGGTTCCGGGCGCTTTGCAGAGTTGAAATGATTCCAAGTTGACACAAATTGTGAGCTTGACTGGAATAGTACAAAGTGAAGCACTGGTCTATCTTTCCAAGTACTCAACAACGCGCTAAATCATAAATTTAGGTCTGTGGATAGCTACATAGTATGCAGGCATAACTCTGCTTAAAGCCGCTGGAGATCCATGATGATCTCAAGGCTTAATTCCTAGTTGAGAGAACGAACAGCCATATATTTGCTCATAAATATCTAAAACCGCCAAATAGCAAATAGCCTACACTGTAATACTCATCTATGCCAGGAGAGCCCGGCATAAAGCCGACTCGGGTGCCGATCGGCTTCCCCGCATATAAATTGGAGACTGCTTCACATTCCCAAAGACCTGTGAAATTGAGAAACACGCTGCACTCAATGTCATTGACAGCGCAAATTCGCCCACGCAAGCTGGCCTACCAGCAAGGCGCCATTCGGCGCTTCGCAACGACTCGGTATCTTCGCACGGACGCTACTTCGGTAGCTGCGTCATTCTTGTCGCGCTTCCAATCCTTAGGGCCGCAGATTCGCACTCAAACGATAGATGCGAACCAGCTCCAGCTCCTCTCACTCACCCTCGATCGACCGAGTCTCTTCCCCGGCATGCCCTCACTATCCAATGGCTCGCCCCCGCAACCTGCAACGCCAGTGCCGCCGGGTTACCACCTGGCGTATTTTACTCCTGCATTTATGGAAAGCGAACTAGGCGCGGATGGAACGGACGCCTCATATAACCCAGCGACGCCTTTTACACGCCGCATGTGGGCAGGGGGCGAGGTGCTGTGGCCTCGGGGTGCAGATGGGAAACCTAATCTATTGCGCGTGGGACAGCACGTTCAAGAGACAACACGGGTGTTGAGTGCCGAAGCAAAAGTAGTGAAGAAGACAGGGGAAGATATGATTGTTGTTGGGGTTGAGAAGGAATTCGCCAACGACCATGGCGTGTCAATCGTGGACCGACGGTCTGATTCATCATTGGAATATTGCAGATCAAGATACTGACATTGTGCAGAAACTGGGTGTTCCGCAAGGCACTGCCTATCCCATCTGCGTCTGCGCCCAGCGCTGCTCTTCCCCAGTCAACGTCACACCTGGCAACCCCAAATCCTGCCTCGGCCGACATCTCGACAGAGGCGAATACCCATACACGCACTCTTGTGCAGACTCCTGTGACCTTGTTCCGATTCTCTGCCTTGACGTTCAATCCCCACAAGATTCATTATTCGTTGCCCTGGGCCAGGGATGTAGAAGGGCACAGGGATGTGGTCGTACATGGCCCGTTGAACTTGATTTCGATCCTCGATCTTTGGCGTGACGTTAAAAGTCAACATGCCACAGATCGTAGCGTAGTTGTTCCCCGACGCATCTCCTATCGAGCAACGAGTCCGTTGTATGCCGGCGACGAATACCGCATTGTGCTTGACGAAGGCGCAGAAACTAAGGTGCAAATCATCGGTCCTGAAGGGGTAGCCATGAAGGCCGAAATAGACTAAAGAGCATGTCCAGTGATAAAAAATTGCACACGAAGTCCAGCAGGTCGAAAAACTAGCGAAAGTAAGCACTTGCACAACCCGAAACGCATGCGGGGCGATCCGCCTGGGCGCGCCTTACCCTGCATTTTACCCAAAGCCCTCAATTTTAGACTGTTCTCGTTATTCGCCGCTCATCTCAAAACACAATGGGTGAGACCCTGAACCCCGCTGCGGAGATCCCCAAGAAGCGGACGCGGGTGCAATTTTCGTGCACAGCGTGCAGATATCGCAAGTAAGCCAATCCCGGGGACGTTTTCGATCCACCATTGCGGGTCATGATCATTGACAGCATGCAGGCTCAAATGCTGTCGCAACCACCCTTGTAGCAATTGCAAGAGGCGAGGCGAGGCAGCCTCATGCACATATGTTGGTCGCGGTCCAAGAGGCAAAGCCCAGCATGGGCGCTCGAGCCCAACGCTTGTCCAGGATCGCTTGCACTACTTGGAAAACCTGGTCATGTCACTGGCTCAGAACCAGCGACCTGACTTGGACACTGAATTTGCGAATGCGCAATCAGAGAACAATGCTGCATACGCAACGCCCTCTCCAGGGAGTTGTGACCCTAATACCGAGTCGGCTCCCGTAGAAGCGGGTACCCTTGTGGTGAAGAACGAAGGGACCAGTTATATCGACAGCGCCAACTGGCGCGCTATTCTGGAAGAGGTTTGTTCCTAATTCTGGTTTGTGATACCGCTGTGCTGACAATTATATCAAAAGATAAATGGCGTGAAAGAATACCTTGATGAAAACCAAAGGATGTCTGAAGATGAGGATATTGAATTCGACAGCCCAGAAAACTCGTCCCCATTTTTGCTCCTTGGCAATCGAAGGCCAGTGACCAAGGAAGAAGTGCTTTTAGACATCCCGCGACGGTCGATAGCCGATCGTCTCGTTTCACGCTTCCTCAAGACGTCTGAGCCAGCACGCAGTGAGTCTCCATTCTTTTACAGAGCAACCCAGATTCGGGATCATATATTGACAATACGGTAGTCGCAATCCATATTCCGACGTTTCAAAAAGAATATGAGCAGTTTTGGCTCCAACCAATCGAGAAATCCTTCACCTGGATTTCTCTGCTATATTCAGTCCTGGCTCTGTCTGTTTCTATATACCACCGAAGTGCAGAGCCCTTGCCTCCTGATATGGCGAATCCTATGACTCTATGGTCCATGTTCCAGAGGAGATCCGCAGAATGTCTTATCCAAGCAAACTACATTACACCAGGGCGTCACAAAGTAGACGCGCTGCTGTTCTATTCTCTGACTGAGTTCTACCGAAGCCAGGATGCACAAATTGGTGTATCATATTTGGTCGGGATAACCATTAGGTTGGCTATGCGTATGGGCTACCATCGCGACTCGAGCCATTACTCAATGCTCTCAGCTTTTGAGGGAGAAATGCGTCGACGTGTTTGGGCATTACTCACTCAACTTGACACATTGATTTCGTTCCAAATCGGCGTCCCTAGAACGATTCAGACGTGGCAATTCGATACCGAGCTGCCATCTAACCTGCTGGATGCCGACTTTGACGAAACCTCCGTCAAACTACCATCTGAAAGACCAAAAGACGAACGAACGGATTGCTCATACACTCGAGCCAAGGCCCACATCATGAGGGTCTTTGGGCAAATTACAGACCTGGCATTCTCCCGGGAACACTCGTCCTACGATGAGATCTTGGAAATCGACCGTCGCCTGGAAGCTGCGCATGATTTAGTTCCTCCCTTTTTGCAGATTCGATCCATGACGCATTGCATTGTAGATCCTGCAGACTTGATCATGCGCCGTTTTGCCTTGGAGCTTTTATATCACAAGGCACGTCTTGTGTTGCACCGCCGGTACATCGGTGAAACGAATCCGAAATTTGCATATTCACGATCGGTCTGTCTGAACTCTGCCCGTGAATCTCTTCGGCACCATACGGAGATTTTCGCAGAGTCCCAACCAGGTGGCCAACTATACGCAGAGCGATACTTCTTGAACTCGCTTCAGAACACGGACTTTTTGCTTTCTGCAATGATCCTTTGTCTTGGTCTATCTCAAGACGAGGAGCGTGGTGATTCCGAGCGCCTTGATCCTCACGAACGCGCGGATTTCTTTAACCTTTTGGAAACCACCCTTCGCATATTCATGGAATCACAGCATCAATCAGTTGATACACAGCGAGCAGTATCTGCTTTGTCTATCATGCTTAAGCGTGTGAGGGACCACAATCTCCAACGGTCTCACTTGACTACAGGCGGGCAAAGCTTAGAGTCAATGACAGGTGATTTGATTTCCGAGACGGTTTTGAGAAAGAATACTGATGATTTCAATAGGTCACAGCCCATCTCAGTTGGCACAGGCAACATTGCAGAATGAGCAGTTCTCGATGTATCCAGCAACCCAAAATGCAACCATCCCCAGCGCTGGTGAAACACCATCATACACTTCACTCGGCGTCATTGAAGACATGCTTGATGGCCCCGCACAACTTGACTGGGTGAGTAGTCCCGCTGCAGCGCCTGTACCTGAAGCTAATTGGAACCTTATAGCGCTTGTACGACAGCCGCATCTCAGGGGTCGAGATGGCTACAAATCACAATGTCTGGTATTCGGAAAACCCTGCAACCCCTTACGATTTTACAGGGTACAGTCCTATGAAGCCTCCAACGGAGCATTAGACACAGCAACCATAATGAAAGATCATGAACATAATTGGGACGCTGTTTGCTAGAACAAATTGAACATATAATTTTGAAACGTTAAAAATGTATAGACAAACTTCGAAGAATGGAAGCAATTCCATCAAATTCTCAGTCTCGAAAGATGTTGTCGCATCTCTTATAGTTCCCAGCCAAAGCGCGGGTGTACTCCGCAGATCCCGCTCCGCGGAACCGGACATAATTTTCCTGTTTTGTATCTGATACACCAGTTTCCCTCGAACCTGTTCAAGACCCCAGTACAGCATCCGCTTCAATGCAAGCCCCACGAGTCCTACGGCTTGCCAGTCGCGCAACTGCGCCTTCGCGCCAATATGCATACCAGGCATCACAAGCACTCCGACTCCGAACGATAAGCACATCGCAGCGCCCAAGCATCCAGCATCCCTCCAAAGCATACAAACCCACCCGTCGAGCCTTTGGCCTTCCATCCCTCTCATCCTTTCTCCCCAACGGCAATGGCAACAACTCCCCCCACCGCGTCCTAACAGCAACACGCAACCTCCCCTACAACCCAGCCCTGCTATACAAAGTGATCGCATCCGTTGAATCCTACAGCCAATTCCTCCCCTTCCTCACCGCATCGACTGTCACAGCCCGAGACCCGGAAACAGGGTACCCCACGCAAGCGTTCTTGACAGTAGGGTACGGGCCGCTGAGCGAGACGTTCACGTCGCGCGTGGACTGCAATGTGGAGAAATTGACTGTCGAGGCGAAGAGCGGGGACAAATACGGGAAGGAGGGCCAGGATAAGCAGGGAAAGGGCTCTTCTGGACTTAGTGGGTTCTTCCCTGGTGGTAATGAGGGTCTCTTCGAGTACCTCACTACGAAGTGGGAGCTTGTGCCTCTTTCGCCGGCCGAGGCGCAGGGTGGACCGATGACGAAAGTCAATCTCGAGGTGCGGTTCGAGTTCCGTTCGCAGATGCATGCTACTATTATGAGCTCTGTTGAGGGCCAGATGGCCGGGGTTATGATTGAGGCTTTTGAGAAGCGGATACGAGAGGTTGAGGGCAAGGGCTTGTAAGATGTCTATTGTAGATTGGATTGTACATTAGAAGAGCGTTTGGCGCACAATTTGCATGAATCTGTATATTACATCGTTGCTAGCCATGCATAGTTCATGAAAATAAACAATTCGATAATCTATTGGATTTGGGGTCGCTATACAGCCTCGGAAAGAGACACGGGAAAATGAACAAGGTGAGACCAAAAAAAGTGAAACATGGTAGTATATAATACAGATTATCCAGACAAGTAAACATGATTTTCAACTTCAAAGCATGCCCATGGTCCGATTCCGGGTGATGGACTTCCGCGAGCCCTTCATCGAGCTGACGGCATTGTAGTTATCGAAGACCACATCCCAGTTAATCCGATCCCACCAACGCTCAAGGTATTCGTCCTTTCCGGCGATACCGTAGTCCATCATCCAAGCGTGCTCCCAGGTGTTGACGCAGAGAATGGGCTGGAGGTCGAGAGCGCCGGGTGCGAGGCTCTTCTGGTTCTCAGCGTGGGCGCCCATGGAACCGGCGAACTGGTTGCCGAGCTGGGCTTCGGGGGTGTGGGTAGCCATGTCGATGGGCTGGCGGCGAGAGTGGGCGGCTGGGTAGGGCGAGCCGGCGCTGTAGGTGCAGAAGATGTGCATCATGCCTTCACGCTCGAGGTTCTTGGCGAGCCAGACAAAGCCGGGGCCGAACATGGAGCTTGCGGTGGCGAGGAAATCCATCTTCAGGGACTCGACGGAGGAACAGGTGTCGATGATGTCCTTGGAGAACTTCTCGGGGATGGTGGTGGCTGTGGGGGACTGTGTCGGGGAGGCTAGTTAGGCTTGGTTGGCCAATTGATGAGGACATTGTTGATACTGACCACACAGTTAAAGAAGAAGTGGTTGTTGTGGGCCATTGAGGCATAGTTGAAGACCGAGGCCATCTCCGGACGCCGAGAGTACTTGACCAGCAATTCTCCGGGCTTGGAGTCCGCGTCGACGGTGTCTATATGATATCGCATGTCAGAACCGGTTCATCAATTGTCTAGCATCGACCGCAATGTCGATTGAGACCCACGCTGGACCGAAGAATCGTTCCACAGGGCCACAAGTGTCGCGCTTACCTTGTGTCAACAGGTTTAGCTTGTCAACAAGCACGGTCTGGTATTGAGTCCAGGCGAAATCAAAAGCCTCGGGCGAGAGGAACTCCGGCACACCATTCTCCTTGTAGTAGGCATCGTGTTGCAATTGGGGGATACGGTGCAAAGAACGGGTCTGGAAGCGTGAGAAGGCGGAGGTAGGTTTCTGGACACAACGCGGTCAGTCTAGGCGTACGGAGCGACGGGGAAAGTCAGGCTCACGGCGGACAAGGAGGAAACCGCGCGCAAAGCGCTCTGCGGCCGGGTGAATCGACTGAACATGGCGACGGCTCTGTGAATGGACGGGTCAATATGGCCGAGCTTCAACGTCGAAGAATTTCCCTCCCGACGTGCAGCCCGATTGGGACTAGCGCTGCTTATATAATTCTCCTCCCATCAGCCAATCATGTCGTCCCAAATCTGTTTTCTGTGTACATGTGCCCTGAAGCATCGAAGCATATGAGTCTGGGAGCAGTTATCTGGTATATAATGATCAACTCGATGACTGTGAATACTTTTTGATACCAGCCATTTCCAACCCGTTAAGCCGGGAGAATGTCGGGTCTCTTTGTAGATCTGGTGGATCCCACCCTGAGGCATCAACTGGGCACGACCATCTTCTTCCCATCGTTGGAAGTACTTCGGACGTATCCCTGCCTACCATTCATCCCATATTGACTGTAAATCTATCACTGGCTATACCTAGCCGTCAATCTGGCATTATCGTTGGCGCGCTGTGTCCTTGGGACCAGAACACACAGCTCCCAGACAGCATTCACATCATTGATACCAGGCGCTCGCAGTCTACACCCAAAATCACTGAGATCTGTTGGTAATCTACACACCAGGAACTTTTCGAGTTCACGATTCCAGAAGATGAAGATTGCCACTCTTCAATTAGCCCCTCAGTTGGGGGACCTCCAAGGCAACATCGAGAGGGCAAATGGCTTGTTGAAATCAAGCAAAGTGACCAAGCCAGACATATTGGTACTGCCAGAAATGGCGCTGACTGGTATGAATTCAATTTCCCACCATATCTCAGAGTATGCAGATTCGCTAACTTCGTGTCAGGCTATAACTTTCCCTCTCTTGATGCAGTGAGACCATACCTTGAGCCAGCTGGTGACGGTCCATCCGCTTCATGGGCGCGCGAAACAGCCAAGCGCCTACAATGCAAGGTTTGCGTGGGGTACCCAGAAATTGAGAAAGACCCCCAAACCCCCGACCAAGTCAAGTACTATAATTCCCTTCTGGTAGTCGATGAGAAGGGCCAAGTCATCCACAACTATCGCAAGAGTTTCCTGTATTACACCGACGAGACATGGGCGGCCGAAGGTCAAGTGGAGCTAGGATTCAAAGAACTTCCCTTTCAGGAAAAGCAGGTCGCGACATCATTTGGGATATGCATGGACATCAACCCCTACAAGTTCGAAGCACCTTTTGACAAATGGGAATTCGCGACTCGGGTCCTTGACTCGCAATCACAGCTTGTGATTCTCTCCATGGCATGGCTGACATTGTTGAGCCGCGAAGAGCTCGAAGCTCTGAAGTCCAAGCCAGAGATGGACACTTTCAATTACTGGCTTCAGCGATTTTGGCCTTTACTGCAAACGAAGATGAAGCACGAGGTTGACATTGATGAAAAGGCAATCTCTCCGAAGAAAGTCGTCATCGTCTTTGCCAACCGGGCAGGCGAGGAGCCCCCTGCGGATGAGACCAAGTCACCGGCTCGCTACGCCGGGACAAGCACTATCATTGCAGTGACGCAAAAGCCCATACCGGAAGTTGAGCAGGATAGATCAAGCGATGATGCAGAGCTTCCATTCGACGTGAAGATCCTTTGCTGGGACCTTTTGGGTGTGGGAGAAGAGGGTGTTTGCTTTGCCGATACTACGGTTGACCCGAAAATGGTTTTTGGTCTCAAGAAGTCTAGATAAGGGCAAATATGAATGTTTTTAGACCTCGGGAGACATTGTGATGCAGTTGTTAGTTGGACATCCCAATGACGGGTGCAGCGTCCATCCCGTCTCTATCAAAGACCCGAGGTTGGGATCACTGCGCACCAGCTCAGTCCCGAGGTCATGATATCCATCCAATCTTCCAAAGATCTATATGTATTTATAGAAGTCAGATGGTTCCAAGGTTGTACAGCATGACTTCGGGAGAACCTTGGAAGTATATAAACTGCCGAAGGGAGTGAAAGCCGTCTTCTGGTAAGAGAGTGAGCACTAAAACGGACAAAGAAATAAGAGTCCATTTGGAATAATTGATCACACCCGTGGAGCATCAGAGCTAGGAACACCTAACATGCCACTAAAGTGCTGCAGGGGAGACCTCCAGGGTTCGGCCTGTTCAACTTCATAGATCTGTTGGCCAATCACATCGCACCAATTTACCTTTAAGCGCTCAACATCCTCGACTGCATCTTTTCTTTATCCAATCTCCCTAACCTCTTGGGCATACGCTAACGCCTTTGTTAGCGCCCTGGTTATTTTGATCATGAAGACCCTGAAACAAACCAAGCTCTATTTTGGGAGTATGGCGCGTATACGCCGGGTCAACTCTTTGTTTGCCAGACATCAAAGAGGATGTTTCTTGGCTGCAGAATGAGCTGACTTTGATTTATTCTGCAGTGAATGCCCTTGTCCAGGCCATTGGTGAAACTCCAACTGCCATCTTCCCTCCAACCCTTCTACACACCCCGTGGCGTATGCTCAACTTAATTTTGACCTGAAGTCTCTCTCTATATCTTCAGCCTATTACCCTAGCCCATTTTCATCGCTGTTTGGATCAGCACCGGCAGCATGGCGAGATCTCTCTCTGGCATCCTTAGTCGGCCTTCCAAGGCGTTGCTTCTGGCATGCCTAGCCACTCTAAGCCACGCCTCAGTACACACATTCGATGACTTTGGTCTCCTCCCAAGATCCTCAGGTTCTTGTCCAGCCTCATACGTGAGCTGCAGCAATACGAAACTTCCAGATGATTTCTGCTGTCCCTCGGATTCAACTTGCATCAGCCTCGACGATGCCAGCTCTGCCATCTGCTGCCCTGCCGGGGCAAACTGCGACTACATAACGCCAATCCCTTGCGATATGCAGCTACAAAACGTCACCCTCAATCCAGAGAGTGTCATCAAATCAACTCGCCTCGGCGATAGCCTCGCCAGATGTGGCGAACAATGTTGCCCGTTCGGATATAAATGTGAGGGCGACAGCACTTGTGCTTTGGACAAGTCCGCCGCCTCAACAGCAAACGCCTCAACAACAACGACCTCTACAACTAGCTCCTCCACTGCTCTATCAACTTCAGCTCAAACAACGACCACAGCGCCAACAACACCCCAAGCAACCATCACACCCGTGTCCTCGCCAACCGCCGAAAAATCCGCCAACACCACAACTTCATCCGACCTCTCAGGGTCCTGTCCCGAATACCCCGCCGGAGCAATCGCAGTAGGCTTCTTTCCAGGCGCCATATTCGGCGCAATTGCAGCCCTCCTCATAACCCTCTGTGCCCGACGCCGCGCCTATAAACAAGAAACCCAAATCCAAGAACCAAAGCCCCGGGTGGACTGGACCCAACGATCCTCCTCGGGAGCCCTAGTGGGTATATCCAACCCAATTCCTCAAGACGACACATCATACCGGACAGACTTCCTTCGAAGCCCACCGCGAGCCAAGCGGTCTTCTATCGGTGGTCGTTCCACTCGCTCAGTGATACACCGCACGGGCAGCAGAGTCAGAAGCTTATTCGGGGGCAACGCACGCCCAGATCCAAGCCTAGACAAAGATGTTCCGCCTGTGCCTATGCCTAATCCAGCGGCTCCATTTACACCGCCTCGTCAGCGCCACCCAAGCACGGAGAGTATCAAGATCTACTCGCCGCCTGGAGCGTTTACGCAGCCTCATAAGGGACTAGGCCCTGGGCCGTATCCTGGGCACATTGCGAGACCAGACACTAGTTTCCCGGATTTGATCCATGGAATTGGGTGTCCGCAAGATGCAAATAAGTTACCTTATCCTACCCATGAGGATTCGAGAGAGAATCCGTTCAGGGACCCTTCCCATTAATGATGTGGCTGGTATTTTGGAGATGATTATGTGCTGCAGACTGGTGTTATAATGGCATGTTACCGGTGTTTCAAAAATATCCTTGCTTCTGTTTATATTATAATAGCCATAGCCTGTTTGATTAGATACCTGATTGTTATGCTAGTTCAAACTAAATACTGCACATGCTCTGCCTCTGAAGTTCATTCTGAAAGCGCCAGAAATCCCGTCAGAAAAATGATAACCGAGGATGAGCAATTGAATCGGAAAATTGATTAAAAAAAGTGAATTTCAAAATATGTGTATATAACTCCTAAGGCCCAATGCCGCAGAAGAATGGGAATCATGATGCCGCGGCCCTCTTTGCTTTGCGTCCAGCTATGATCCTCTTGACCTCCTTGAGCAACCCAACCACCAGAGGAACACCAATGGGGCCCAGAAGCGGAAGATAGACTGCGACTTTATGTTCATCAGGGAAGTAAACCTGACCCACCATGCTTTTTTCGAAGAAACTACGCTCGGCTTCCGTTTCAGCGACTCGAGCGCTGGCAAGGGCAGCGCCGAAGCGACCTTCGCGCAGATTCGAGCAGGTAGAGCCTAGATGAGAGATCGTCGTTGATACAGATGTTGCCACAGTCGCTGGGATGGGGATGGAGGGAAGAGACTCGGTCAGGCGTGCAAGGGAGCCCATGGTGGACGATGCAGATAGAAGAAGCGTTGCTGCACGGATGCGGATGGATGTCTGCAGACGAAGAGGGAGGGATGCAGGGGTACTGGGGGTGCCGAGCAGGGTGAGAAGCTGATGAGAGAAGGTCATGAAGGCTGGGCCCAAGGCATCCCGAGATAGATGGGCAGGATTGGACTCGCTGGTCTTGTCGGTGGAAAGGGTAGGGTTCAAGAGGAACACACCGCCCCATTGCGGTACAATCCAGCTGGAAGCACGGTTTTCCTTTACGATCAATGGTGATTGAGAAGGCTCTGGGACATAGAGGATGAAGTTGATGGTAGGACCGCTCCCGATACTTGGGTTTAGTGGCCATTCAGCCGCGTTGACAAAAGCACTCAGGTCTTCCTTCCTGAGTGTCCAGGCTGCCTCGGCTTCGTCAAACTCAGGTTTGGGTGCAGTAGGAGCAAAGTTTGCATATAGCTGCACTTGTGTGTCCACGGTGAAGTCGCTGATGGGCGATAATGCCTTTAAGAGAGGAGAGACATATTCCTTTACCGCAGCCTCAATATCCCACGACGAAGGCATAGAGCCCGGAGTGAAGAGCGAGAAAGACAGATGGTATGTCTCGGCATATTTCATGGATCGGCGCAATCTTCGGCTGATGTCCTCGGCGAGCTGGGGTGAGGTTGAGGCAAGCCCAGCCGTGTGCCCGGACAAAATGTGTGCGATAGTGGCCTTTTCTTCGCCATACAGCCCTTGGAGCTCCTCAGCGATGAATTTAGAAATGGGGGAGTTCGAAGAGGAAGGGGCCGGGACTTGGTTTGGCGGATAGAAGACGTCCAGCTGGGTGGCGGCAGCATGAAGCTCTGACCGCGGGCCGACCAGATCCTCCTGAGGCAGAAGCCGAACAGTCAGTGCAGTGTCCGCGACCTCCCCAGAGACGTCAGTACCCAAGTCACTTTCCCCGTAACTGGTCGTGCTGTCGTTGGCCAACTTGAGTCGGAGATGATGGGCTGCGAACTCGTTGAGGTCGTCGAGAGTATGCTGTGTCGTGCGAAGGAGGTGCTGAGCCTCGGCAAGCTGCATTGAAGGGGCCGCAAGATGAATGTCCAAGGGAAACACTGGGCGACATGCCTGCCGGGGTAGTTAGCATCCAACACACCCATGCCAGAGGCGATTGCCAGGCCATACCTTGCCATCAGCCCAATCGACCATCTCCTCGATGGGAAGGGATGCCCTGTAGATCGACGTTGTCTTCCACCATATTGGAAATCCCAAAAATATGATCACGGCCCAAAAAGCTGCGATCACTCGGAACCGCGTTTGGACAGCGGCAGGAGTTTCGGGGGGCGGAGCGCTTTTGGCGCTGGGTTGGATGTCGGCATGAGAGGCCAAGTCTTGGGGAGGCCCCTGGTCTCCTGTTTTGGTCGTCATAATCAGGACATGCTTTGTGCTCCAGAGCAAGGTGTCCTGTCGCGGGTTGGAGATATGGGGAAAGTTGCCGGGCGGAGAGGTCAGGGACCAGGCCCGCATTGAGACACGACTATACATACTCCGTAGAGCTTGAACTTGTCCCACTTGGACTATCGACGTACCTAGGTAGTTATCTTGCCAGCAAACACTGTCTGCGACATGATATTCCGTCTTAATTGCATACATATCGCGGTGAAATTCTAGTTTACTTTGCGAGCAGCTCGGACGTATGAAACCTTTGAACAGGACCAGCCAGTATCATTAGACTCAATATTATTTTAAATGACAAAATCAAGGGTATATTGTCCAGAAACGCCGGTTCGATCTGTACTGGAAACCCCATAGGCTTTCCATTCTGTACGCGATGCAATGTCTAGTATTCCTTCTCGAAAATCTTTTGGATAGGTTTGGCAGCCTGGGAGAATTAGTGACTTTGCTGGAAAGTAATCCATGGCAGCACATACATCAATGAATTTCTCGAGATCTTGGTCGAGGTTGGCAAGATCATCCTTCCTCTTCTTGTTCTCGGCGATCAGAGCTTGCTTGCGTTTCAGCAGTTCTTGCCGCGCTTGCTCCAGCTTTTCTCGTTCGGCGTGCTCATGATTGATGCGGGCAATCATCAAGTCATGCTCGTTGGTTTCACGGTGTTCGGGGTGAAGCTCGAGGAATTCTTCGACCGGTATCAAAGGGAGGGATAGGTATTTGTGGCTATCGAGGGAAGGTTAGTTCAAACAAGTCCCACAGGCGGAAATGAAAGCCACTCACTCATAGGCCTCACATGCAGCAATTTCCCCGGTCAGATGCTTCTGCTCGTAATACAAGTTCTGGAGTTGCAGATGTAGCCTGTCGATCTCCTGCCGAGCCTCCGCCGTTGCTTGCTTGGTGTCGCGCACGCGAAAGATGGCATCTCGATTCTGACCGCGAAGCTGGGCAAGCAGGGCATACAACACTTTCTGTTGTTTGGAGGCGGCTAATGAGAGTTCTTGGAGCTTGTCGGCTTGGCAGGTTTCGGGGTTCAGAATGGTGAGCAGCTGTTGGCACTGGACGAGAGTCTCAGCACTGGTCTGCAGTACTGGTAAAAGCGACTCATCGGTGACGATCTCACTGATAGCCATGGTTGGAGATAAAGGGATCAGATCACTGGAGGATCAAGTGGCGAGAAAGAACCCGAGTGCCGAGAAGAAAATAATGTGGAGGGATCTGGATCAATCAGGGCGGCGTCCCGCGCATGTGTTGGGGAACCCGCCTTCGTTTTGGCCCTTTTTCCTCCCTTTGGCCTCTTACATTCCCCTCTTCTTTTTTCCCTCCAATAAACGGTCGATGTGCCCCTCGTTTTTCTTCTAAGCCCTTCAGCCTTAAAAGGCTCTCTTCTCACCCGGTCGCTCCACCCTCGCTTGGGCTTGATGGCAGCCGACTCACCCTAGACGGCATTAGAGGACAACGGTATTACAACACTCATGGCTTGTAGCGCTTCTTCAATGACCGTGGAGTCTTACGAGAACGAGGCATTTGCCTCTGCTACGGCGACCCCCGATGAGGACACTGGTCTCCGGGATCGGCGACGCAGACATTCATTTCATGCATCCAGAAAACTCTCCTGCGACTACCAAGATGCAGATGCCGTCTTCATCAGGGTGTGTATTCGCTTTGAAACATCCTAATTACGTGGATTATTCGGAGCAGCGGCTAATGAAATATAGGTCGAACTCTTCCTGGCCGAGCTGGAACGTCGTATGGAGTGGATCGAGCAGTATCGGAAATCCCACATGGTGCAGGTCGATGCAAGCCTGAAACGTGGATATGCTGCACTTGAGGCCGTGAGAGAGCAGTGCTCACTCACTTCCGGCGAGTTGATGGGAAGTGGCAAGAAGCGAGCGAAGATCCTGGTCGATACCCTCGAGGACCGATACAATGACGTCCTGGCAACAAAGGAAACTCTGGAGCAAAAGGCACAAGCCGGAGTGCGATTGATGGAGTCTTGTTTGTCCGAACTCGAGAACAGGGCGCATGCAATCCATGATCGGGGTATCTACGGTACCCTGGATGACGGCTGGAAGGCCGTAGACTCGAAGTTGAACCACGCCAAGGAGATTGTCGACGAGGGTATGGAGCGAGCCCGTCGCACTCGTGACACCCTCCGTGAGACCGTCGAAGAAGCCATTCGGTTAGCCCAGGAAAAACGGTTGATCAACTACGAGGAGCTTCCCCACCCATGGCGAGTCAACCCGCATATCATCAAGGGCTACCGATTCACCACCTCCAAGGTGGAGTGCGTTTCCTCTGTTTTCGCTTACTCGAATGAGATGTTCAACATCTGGTCCCATGTGATTGGACTTGTCATCGTCTTGGCCATTGCCTTCTACTTCTATCCACTTCACACCAATTTCCACCTGAGCACCAAGTCCGACATTGCTATCGCCGCTGTGTTCTTCTTTGCTGCATGCAAGTGTTTGGTCTGCAGTACCATCTGGCACACCATGAACAGCATCGCCTCCCAATCATTGATGGAGCGATTCGCTTGTGTGGACTATACTGGCATCTCTATGTTGGTTGCCGCTTCGATTGTCACCACCGAATATACCGCTTTCTACTGCGAACCCTTCTCCCGGTGGACTTATATCCTGCTGACGATGTCGCTCGGAATTGGCGGCATCATCCTCCCATGGCACCCAACCTTCAACCGGCACGACATGGCGTGGGCTCGCGTGGGTTTCTTCGTGACGCTCGCACTCACCGGTTTCTCGCCCATTGCGCAGCTATCCTACACCCGTGGCTTCGCATGGACAATGTATTTCTACGCACCAGTCGTGAAAAGCATCACAGTCTACTTCGTCGGTGCTTGTATCTATGCCTCCAAGGTCCCCGAGCGGTGGAAGCCGGGCCTCTTCGACTACGTGGGCGGTAGCCACAATATCTGGCACCTCGCTGTCCTGGGTGGTATCTTTTTCCATTACCATGCCATGCAAGACTTGTTCGCCGGCGCGTTCCTGCGGGCCCAGGGCGAATGCCCGAACTTGACGACCTGAAAATATTTCGCAACATACTTCTGCGAATTGTACTCCATTTCAACCTTTTGCTCGTGGCCACATATATTGGAATACTTGGTCTCGAATTTTCAACACGCCTTTAGATGTTTCCACTCGCAGCTTGCTGCAGGTCATGACTTGCTGTGGTTCTTTTCGACGAACTCACATAGACCTCTTTCCACGGGAGTATTAATCCCGTGGATATCTGTTCTGTTTGCATGGGTGGAGTTCGCCTTGTCAATTTTTCAATTCGATTCTTAGAGCGCTGGGCTGTACAGACGCCCATCGTTTCTCCTCTTATCCCTATAGAAATCCTTCAACTGTCTTGCTACGGATTGTTCATAGACATTTTTATTGTGTATGTAATTTTGACATTTATTGTTTGCCTTGATGATTTCCAAGTTGATGATGTAGATACCTAGTATTTCAAGGTTACTCAGGTAATGCCCAGATGGTAGGTAGGTGCGTATTGCACACCCAGTCATTCGTACAGTTCGAGAGTGGAAGTTCTGTTCAATTGTCGATCTGAAGTGTGCAATCTATTAGGCTTCATTTTGTACCTGGCTCATACAACCAGATGTGTGATGCAATGTGACATGTACCAACCAGCCCGAGTCATCTCTGCGGTGCCCACAGAGTAATTAACTCCTGCTTCCATCGACTGAGATCTATCAGTTTCCTTAGGAACTCTGGCTGTGACGTTTGCGAGCTCCCTTGGGTTCTGGTAGGTACTTGACTGCAATGGACAAGCCAGATGCGAGTAGAACCAAAAGGATCCAAATAGCATAACCTCCCGCCAACTGTGTCCTCGCCCCGATTGCAAAGAGACTGGTGAAGAGTGCCGGGTCAAAGGCTCTCAAGCCGCTTATACCTGTCAGAGCCAGCGCATTCAGAGTACCAAGGACTCTTGGTGAAGGGGAAATATCGTTCAAAGCGAGCTGGATTGCCGTGAAACTCATGCTGACTCCACAGCCGATTGCCAGCGTCACGGGAACAAATACCCAGAACACCTTGACGGAGGCCTCACTCCCTTGTCGTAGGAGAACATTGCCAATTGGACACAAGAGGAAAAAGGCCGGGTAGGCAGAAGCGCATACGCGCATCACACCGTTTGAGCCGATCCTCCGCTGCAATGGAGGGAAGATCAGAAGCAACCATACCGCCTGTGAGGCGCCATTCAGACCCATCATCAATGAAATTTGCAGAGGGGTAAAGCCGTACCCGCCGAGGCGGATCGGCGTGAACCAAAAGACGGGGATGATTGCGGTGTAAGCAAAGGCGAGGACCATGAGGTGACCATATGTGTAGATGACCATACCCACACCTGGTGATTTCAAAAGGTCCCACGTTGAGAGATCATCATTTTGCTTTGTTACATCGGCTCCTTCGCCATCGCTGCCTGCAGTTGGTTTCTTCAGTGTTTCATCGACGAAAAGGGCAGTCGATAAGGCAGCGGTGGCTCCGACTACCGCCACTACCAGGCTCGAGAGCGCATAGGGATACTTCTCGAAGAAATAAATACCCCCAAACACACCGGGGTACTGACCTGCCGGATTGGCAAGGGCACCACCCATCAGAGGTCCCAGGAAGATACCCAAATTGCCGCTAAAAGCAAACCAGCTAAACGCCCGTGCTTGGGTCTTGGGCGTACTGTGTTCAGCTACCATCGTGCGAATGGTAACGATAGTCCCAGCAAAAACACCGGCAACGCATCTGAACATGATCATCTGCGGGATGGTCTTTGCCATTCCGAAAAGGCCAGTGGCCAAAGTCACCCCGACAAGGGAGTAGACGAGCACTGGCTTCCGCCCGATGCGATCGGCGGCGCGGCCCCAAAAAATCATCACAATAGCCTGCGTGAGAGAAAACAACGACTCAATGAGTCCGCTGTAGAACCCAATATCCGAATCGGGGACATTGCCATTATCCTGGACCATCTGGCTTACGTAGGGGAAGATGGAGAAAAAGGCCAGGGGCTCGATTGCCCGGGCGTAGCAAAGCAGCAGGATCTGGAGCTTTGGGAGAGGTTTTTCGTCATCGCTCTCGTCATCGTCTTTCGTATCTGGCCTGGGGCCTAACAAGGACGTGGTTTCATTGACATGGTTGTTCTCTTCGCCAAGTCCAGCGCCAGCTGGCTGAATAGACACTGCGGCCTGTTTTGTTGTGGGCGAGGCAACCATGTCTGCCCTGCTGTGTTGTGATACAACAGGAAGTGTTGGTCAGGTACAAGCGGAAAGTGAGAGAAGAAATATCAGTTTGATATGACTCGGGGCCGCTCCGCAGAAAATCGGATTTACCGGGCCCGGGGTCATGAACCCCACCCGGGTCGCTGCAGGCGTTCATGGGGATCGTCACTGTCGCCCATCACTGTGATATGTACAATGAGGGGTAGTTTTGCAACGCTTGGAGCGGTAAGCAAAAGTGCTACTCTGCATGGCCCCCGGAAATTGGGGGCTTGGCGCCCTGAGTGGAAGATACCCGTGGATTTTACTCTGACAAGTCTAAATGCTTGATTCTATATACACTTCTATGGCATCGTCTGACATCGTCTGGCATCGTATATTCGTAACTCCTTGGCAAATACGAGGTAGTCGGCATAGTCTGTTGACCAAGGCCCGAAAACTGCGCGGATTTCCACTTAAGCTGATGCGCCAAGCCTCAGGGTGATGAAAATCCGGGGAACTGACAAGATGACATTGGTGTCCATGCAAGGGACACATTGGAATCATGACTGGCCAGTGTGGGACACGGATTTCACTGCGACTGGGGCATGGTGGAAGGGACATTGGGCCCCACGGTGGGGAGGGTTGGTGACGTTTTTCAAGGATCATCCCGGCTTAGTTTTTCAACGTTCATGAAGTAGCGTCGGCAACAGTCTCAGTGGTGGGTCCACCACGCTTTTGGAAGTTGCCCTGCATCCAGCAACGGTACATCTTCTGTTTAGTGCCGCGGTTGACAATCAATCGTCGGTCAACTCCCATGTTAAGCACCTCAAAGGCTCCATTGTCTTTGGCCAATTGCTTAGCTTCTTCAGATTGCTCCTCAGCAGGCTGGGGCTCTTCGGCAGATCCATCGGCATCATAACCGAGGGGAATTTGCAAGCCACCTTGAGCGGACCAGGTTCCCCACATGTCAACAAGCTGGTCTTTTTCGAAGAAATAGACGCGCGTGCCATCGCCTCGAATGTAAAAGTTCTCGGCCATGTAACGACCCTTCTTGAATCGCACTTGGGCGAGGTCGCCGCGGCCATAGTCACGGAACAGGACACGGCCGCCGGGCTTCAAGAGCCGGTAGATATTGCGAATGGCGTGGTCCCACTGGTCTGGGGCCAAGGCAGAAAAGATGAAGATCAGAATCACAACATCGACCGAGCCTTCGGTCAGACCGGGTGGAAGAGAATCCTCGTCATCCTTTGGCACACGGGCTGCGTCCCAGACATCGGCAGTCATGTACTTCTCATTGTATTGTTCACTCTCGCGCATGACTTTGACGGCATACTTGGAGAAATCGCAGGCATGCAGCTTCAGGTGTTCATTTTCGTTGTTCGCCAGCAAAGGGAAAGCAGTGTTTCCAGCACCTGCGCCGACCTCCAGGACGACCTTAGGACCAGCGTCCTTCTGCGTCACCTCCGCGAGAATGGGGAACTCTTGGCGCAGCCATTTGCGGTCCTTGAAGAAGTTGTCTGTGTTATTCTTATAGAATAAGTCCCACCACTTGGCAGGTTCATTGTTGAATCGTCTGCGGTCGAAATCCGACACCCGTGTCTCTCGTTGTTTCGCATATTGGGTTTGGGCGAAGGCCTTGAATTCATCGTCTGGCTCGACGTGATCCCAGGCGTTGAACTCGAAGACGTCGTCGCCCTTCTCGAGGTGTCGCGAGCCAAATTGGAAGGGATCGGTTCGTTTCATGTTGTTGCTCGGGTCGTGGGAGCGAGAAGCATCGGCATGGTTAGGCTCAACATTTTGAGTAACCTGCTCAATGCTAGGGTCGACAGTCATGGTGCAAACTTTGACGCAGGCGCTGCGGTCTGAAATTGAATATTTTCACCAAAGTGATCGTCGAGGAGAAGGCGGGGAGAAACAAAAAAAAATCCAGACGGACCGCGATTGGCGGGGTGGTAAGATCACATGACTAAATACTGCCCGTGCCCGTTTTGGCTCAGTCATTTGCGCCAATCAAAGTCCAGATGCTCTCCACCGCCTGTCTTATCGTCTTTTGTCTTATCGCTTATCGTCTATCGGCCTCAAAGTGGCGTGATTTCCTCTTCTTGGTCTTAGGAGGGATTCCTAGATGCGCCGAGTAGTCCAACTGGTCCTAGTCACAGAGCGAAGCACCACTGCTCCTACGTAACAAACAAATCTGGTGGAAACAGAGCTGAACAAATGTTGTGCCTCAGGCACATGATTATCTTATCCGAATAGAGTTCCCGGGAATTTGGATGCCTGCAGGTGCCTCGCGGTGTCAGCCCTGACCTGGCCTTTCTTTCATTCCAAGGTTCCCTCTGGTATCCTACTCTCTCGACCTCAAAGCATGCTGCTTTGGTTGCAGACATATAAACAAGTCTGCTTGTCGCGTTGAGTCCGGGGCTTATCTCGAACCAAGTGGGGTTTATCCCATTATCAGCTCTTGAGCCTCAACATCCAGACCTCGACGACGTAATTCTGGCGTTGTTGTGTTGCAAAACCTCAGATATCACTGTCCCCCGGCCAGTAAAAGATCTGTCTTATCTTCCAAGCTGCCAATTAGTGCACAGCATTCAAATTGGATCATGTCTTTCTTCGCTGGCTTATGTGGGTGCTTCGCCCGAGACGAGGCGGACGAAAAGTCCCCCCAGCAGTCATTACCAGAGACTGCCGAGCGAAGACCAAACCACACTGGAGTCCAAACAGGGAGCTTCACTCTGTCCTCCAGTGGCCAGTTCATGCGCACAGAGAGTCCAGCTGGGGTCAATGGGCACGGACCGCCCACTGACTCGGAGGATGGGGGCTATTCCAGCGTAGTCCCACTTCCGGAGTACACAGCCCGTCCCATGAGCCTTCACGAGAAGACTCTCGAATCTCACATGCGTGATCCATCAGTCTCATCCGAGACACTATCCTACCCACACGATGAAAAGGACCGTCATATTTACGACGAGGAAGTCACCTCTGACAGCTCCTCAGCTATATCCTTTCCGAGCAGCTTCGGCAACACCTCGACTGCAACAAGAGAGACTCCTCCTCCGCCTTATTCCCCTCGCCACTCTGTAATGCTGAGTCGGTCCCGGTCCATGTCTATCTCATCCGCCATGGCGGTTGTCATCAACCCTCCTCCTTCGGCCCGTTTGGCCACCTCACGGACTGGACCTACCTATTCCGAGGAGGACAATAGGTCTATTCGTCGCCATAGACGGGTCTCTTGGGAAAGTCGGTAATTCGCCTTCTTCCAAAATGATGTGATGAACACAATCTACGATTTCGGCTTATGAGCCATCGCCTTAATACCTCACCTGCTTCACCTGGAACCCAACGATCTGGCATTGTTGTTCCAAGGTCTTTTGATATTTCTTTTGGCACTTCGATGTATCACGGCTGCTTTTGCTATTTCCTACTTATCTTGCGTCTTGCTTTGGTTTTCTTTTGTTCATTGCATACGACACGACTTTCATCCCTATTGAGCGGATGTTCATGACATGATCGGGACTTTGCTGAAAAGCATGAGTGATATTTTTGGATATATAATATTGGTCTGTACATGGACTGTTCTTACGACATACCTGCGCTCTGGCAGACGCAGCAACTAGCCACAATGTGATTATGAGATCAAATGTTTCATTATGTCCTTCCAAAGTTAGAATACATAGTCATACGTAGTTCGTACCTAAGTTCATTATCGCTAGTGCACTTGCCCGAGATTTCTCGTCTCAACCCAATTCCAACACCTCTGCCCGTTCCTGCTCATGCCGCAGCAGATACCCACAACAAGAAGCCGGAAACTCCAACATCTTCAAGACAAGAGAATCAGAGCTGTCCTCCAAAAACATGCAAATTGCAGTACACTCCGAGCGAACCCTCATCTCAACCCACCACTCTTCAACATAGCACATCAGCCCAAGCCACCAAGCCAACAAGACCAACGCAGGGGTATCTTTCCTACACAAACACTCATAAAAGGAATTATCGATCCTCCCCATCCAAGTATTATACTTCTGCAAACTGGCCGTCCCCCTCTCAACCGACAAAAGACTCATAAGCATACGCAGCGGCCACAGCAACGGACACGACTCAACAGTCGTATCCTCCGTAATGCCGCACAGATCCGCCAAATCAGAATCAAGGCCCACGCGACCAGGCCTCTTATCTTCGAAATCTATATTCGGATCTCGCGCCTGCATGAAAACAGTCCACCACATGCTTTCCGGCAGCCAGTGCGATGCTTGCTGGAGGAGGTATCGCAGACCACCCTGGAGTCGGAGCCAGTTTAGAGATGCTGGATCTGTGGAGAAGACGAATGATGTCCGCGGGGTGAAGGTCTCTTGGAGGAAGGAGTGCATGCTTATCATCATGCAGGCGGAGTAGAGCTTGTCCATGTTTTCGCGGGTAACGGGGACTGAGACGGCCATTGAGTACTGGTTTATTGTTTGTTGCCAGTGGTAGGCTTCTGCGACGCGGTAGGCTTTATTGTCTGGGAGGAGGGTGCATAGGTGCGTGGTTGCTGCTCCGATTATGGAATGCATGAGGAAAGGTGTCTGAAATTATTGATTAGAGCTTGTAATTGTTTAGAGGTGCAGATTCCCGTTGTTAAGTGAATTATGATTTACGGGTAAAAAAGATGAAGTGCTTACTTCGAAGGCAAGTCCGACCATTTTGCCCATCACGACCCGCACCGGATCTGGGCTTTCATCTGAGAATGCTGGACCTTTATGGAAATGATGCAAGGCTTGGATCGTGCGATTCACCGCCGACGCATCAGTGAGCTCTTTCGGCAGAAGCTTCCCCGAGGTAGGTGGACGTAGCAACTCGCTAAGCTTGTCAGAGACCATCATGAGGGAAACCGAAGAAGCCAAGGAGTCAATCGAGATTAAATCGGGGTTCGTTTTGATGAACTCCGAGACGATGTTATTGTTGGTTTTTGGCGGCTGGACCGCTTTACTCGTATAGTCACATTCGACACCGTGTTTCTGGCACCGGATACAATGAGGCTTAGCCTCATCGCACTGTGATCACCGTCAACAGTTACCCATATGCTTGGTATGTTCCTGGGGAATACCTTGACTCGGCGTTGTTTACAGTTCACACATCCGGCACGAGATTTCCGATGAGACCTGCGAGAATGGTAGACCTGGGCTGAGGATTCCCCGGACCCGCACTCCGACAGAGTTTTTGATTTGTAGTTCGGGACTCGGAAGACCAACTTCTGTCCTTGCATCGGCCTGTGCGAGGCTGGGATCGATGTCTTCTTTTTGGATGACATGTTGCCCACGGTTGAAGACTCAAGCTGAGTCGCTGAACGCTTTCGGTTCGACAGTGTAGAAATTAAGTATGTTCAGATATAGTATGTCGATTCTGCCAAAGCCTCGATACCTTGCGGTAGGCGAAATAGGCTCTAAGCCCGAATCAGGTAGCGTGCATGGAGGCTCAACTCGGTGGAACTGCGCCCTGTGAGTCTAATCCAAGTATACCATTTGGGAGCATGTAACACCCGATTCTAATCGAAGGGGTATGGCGTAGTGGGGGATGGGAGAAAGATGATCGACGCCTTCCCCGGTGTCAGGATACGCTAGTCCAGATTAGGCAATTCTCGTATTCATCGCTTGGCAGTTGGCATCGAAGTGAAGACAGACAACCCATCGGGCCTATATAGCAAATACACGCAGTACACAGTATGGAGCGAGGAGCTGGGTATGGGAAGGTGTTGGGGACACCATGCAATTCATCATTCATTGAGGGTCGTCTATCAACCGGTGCACATCAATATCTCATACTTCATACTGTGACAGTTAGTTTTGCGGAGAGGAAAGATCGATCGCTAGATGGTTGTGTGGGACTTAGCCCATCTTCGCATTGGAGAAATCCATCTCTATATCGCACGTTAGCCACGGTCAACTGGGTGTGATGGAATCTTGCAAGAGCAGGACCCAACACCACACCAACGCATTCACTTACCAGGATGCTCGGCCTGGAACTTCTTCAGAAGCTCCATCTTCTTCTGCTCGTCGCTGCTGGGGCCACCCATCTCCTTCTGTCGCTGGTCATACATCATCTTCTCGACCATGGCGCGAGTCTCGCCATCCAGGTCCCCCAGGCTGGAATTCTCCGGTGTGATCTTGGTGACATCGATCTTAGGGGCGCTGGTCACGACATGAGGCCACCATTCCATTTTGTTGACCTTGTCGAGGTGGATGTTAATTTCCTTCCCGGGCGGGGTGGGGGTGGTCTCGAGGGTCCAGGAGGACTCATCGACGCGGATAGCGTGGGGGAGGTCACCCTGGTGACGGAGAGAAACATATTAGCTGCTTTGTAATTGAAATGGTCTGAGATGGCGTGATTCTGATCGCGTCGGAAGCATACCTCGATGAGGGGCTCTTGACCCTTGATCGCGACGCTAATCTTGTTCTTGGCCAGGACGACATTCAAGTCGCGACCCTTGAGATTTCCGGGGATCGGGGCCGTGACGTCGACATCGCGAATTGTCTGCGTCCACTTGTAGGGGAGTTGGGCTTGTTCCGCATCCTCGCGGGCTTTGCGCTCCTTGTCCTCGCGTTCGCGTTCGGCCAAGTCCGCGGGGGAGGGGTTCTGATCGGGATCGGCAGACATGACGGGCACGTCAGAGAGGAAGAAATGACTCGGTAAGGGGGTCGGGAATAACGGTGTGAAGGGGAGTTGGGAGCGAAAGCTCGAAAAGGTGGAGCCTTGGGCTTTTCCCCGTTAGCGCTTTTGCCGCCTTTGTAACTTGAAGCCTCATTGCTTCACCGATCTATGACAATGGGCTTGTGCGCCTTGGAAATACCTGCATTCGAGTGCATATTGTGAAACGTGGATATTAACCGACTGCAAGCGCGCCAATGTGAGATTCAGAATGATCGTCTCATGGATGTCTTCTCGAACAGGGGTGATCCTGGACGATGACGGAATACTACTTGCTTTTGATTGACGTTGCTACTGTCTTCTCAGGGTGTCCTCGGTGCCATCTGAGGGTGCTAACCTCTGACACCCTAGGGATACCCTAGGGAACCATAGGGGACCCTAGGGTCGTCGCGGCGTGGAACAATAACTCCGACTCCCCAAAGGGTTCCTGCTGATAACGTGGCGCAGCCAACCTTCCAAGGTTGGGAGAAGAGTGTCATCCAAGCATCCAGAGCACACCGCTCAACAGCCCGTTGATCTCCTGCTGTTTTGAGGCAACTTGGCAACTAACATGGCTGACCTACCCGGTCTGCAACCATGACATGCATAGGCTCACCCGAACTGTGATTGCACTGGGCAATGCAAGTGTTGAGCCCAATAAATACCCCACTGGAGGCTCCCAATGCAACATCACTGCAAAGATCAAAATGTATTGGGTATTCTCATGCGATATGAAAAAAGCGAATGACTGAAGCTGGACGCTTATGAACTCCTAAATCTAATCCCCAATGCTCATGCAATAAACGCAATGCAAAAAAGCAAACACTCGAATCCCAGTCACCAATAACTCCTGCATAGGCGGTCTTGGATGTGGCGTGGATCATCGCTGCGCGGCTTGATTTGACTTTCTCGCTTGTTCATTCTCTATGATAGCTGTCAGGCTTGCCCGCATATGTCAGTTGGAGACTCACCTCGGATCTTTTCAATCTGCTTGGCTGTATCTTGAAGCATCTGGTCCCATTTCTTTTGGTATTCTTCAACGTTCAGGGGACGAGTGTCCTTGGGCTCCTGGTCTTTGGGGACTTTGACTTGATCCATGGTGGGTGTGTGAAATACTGGTACTTCGTAGGTATAGTATAGTAGTAAACGATGGTAGGAAGGGAAGGCCAGATGGCAGTGGCTTTATATATCGGAACAAAGATTAAATCTTATTTCAATTTTTGCAACCGGATTGAGATGGAAAAGAAAAAAAAGAATCCAAATGTTTGCTTCGGAAAGAGACCGGTCACGCGTCTACGCATTCACCGACATCTCCCCTTGGAGCCTAAACCTCGAAGGGGAAGGCGGACCGCTTAGCCCTGCGCCAGGGACCGGACTCAACTAGTCAATATAGATATCCAACATGTCTCATTGGGGCAAAAAAAAAAACTGGGACGTGTTAGCGTTGCCCCTTGGGGAAAATAATCAAAACCCCCCTCGGAGGGAGGGTATGATGTCAAGCGGGAACCTAGTGTATAGTACTTGTTAAATTCACCTTTCTCCCTCAGGGACTAATGGGATCTCTTCCAGCGTCCCATCCGAGGTATTCCCGTATCCAATCGGGGCGTGAGGGTACAGCTTCCGCGCCAGCCGATCTACTCTCTGGCGCCCCCCTTCGAAACTAACTCTGGCCGAAGGGAAATAAGGCGATACGTACATTTGACGGGGAGAAAAAAAGAAAAGGGGCGGGGCACCGGGGAAGCGGGTAGAGTTGTGTGGTGATCGTCCGATCCACCCGGCTCGATACTTAACTGCGATCTATAGATATGTATGATATCCACTGTGGACTACTCGTATACTTCCTGTCGAACACGTTAATTTAGGAATTTACGCGTTCCCAGGTTCCATGGTTCAAGTGAGACAAGGGACACCCAAGCGATCTATACACTCTACTCCGCACAGTACTAGTACTTCTTAGGCGTGAGCCCAGGATTCGGATCTCCAGCGCATTCACCGCCGAAAACATTAAAAACAGAAAAAAAGCTGCAGCAAATCCAAATTGCATCTGGAAATCCCACGTGGGATGCATATCCCACTAGCGTGTGGCTGTTCTTGACCGCACCCTTCTGATCCATCGGAGACCCGCCACGTACCGAGGGTACTTTGGTTTTTCAAGTCACGTCAGGGAATCAACTGAGGCGCCACCTTCTTCACGTCGGGCACATGAGGTATATGTATACAATCGTGTGGCCTTCCCATTTGACCACTCTCCCCTGATCCCGTCAGGATCATTCAGTACTCGTAGTGATGCCCATTTAGGCAGCCGACTAGGAGCCGAAACGGGATATGCAATATATTCACTGCCATGCATGTGGTTCATTATAACTGGCTCTGTGGTTTGTCCGTCGGTTGTGGCACGCTTGGCTGATACACACAGCAGGGGTCTTACAGGGTCATTTAAAACCGGACCAACAGTCGATCGTAGGCAAACGGGATCAGATATGGTTGCGGAACGCCGTAAATGATAGAGTGCTTTCGGGCCATGGCCCGGCAGTGTAAGTACATGATAATATGCAGTACAGATACTATATCAGTGCCCCATGCATCGGATCGTCCTGCCCGGTCCTGGAAAAGATAACGAAATGAAAATAAAATCGCAGGAAAAAGAAAGGAAGACGGAGACCGCAAACAAATCGGTTCTGTTGGTGCCTGCATCCATTGGCCAGCCATGTCGTCAGAGCGGTAAGCAGTCCCCGTGTCCCATTAGGAACGAATGTCCGGGTAAAGGTCGGGTTCAAGATCAAATGGCTATTACGCTTGATACAACGCCGGGAATATGGTATTGATCCCGAGGTAAATCCCTCCCTGTAAATTCGCGTAGATAGTCCTTTATGACGCCATGGTATGAGATCGCTGAAGCAACTGAAATGAGAGAGGCGGTAAAAAAGAAGCAGAAAAAGAAAAAAGGGAAAAATGGAAAGGGAAAAAAACGACGCCGCGGAAGACCGGAAGACCGGAATCAGAGCTGACGAGAGGCCTCGGACTCTTGAGAAGCTTGAATCAGCCAGTCAACTTCATCAGGCTCCAAATGGGAGGCGGATGATCCCGCTGCATCGACGTCTCCCTCGAAGAGATCGGTGATATCGTCAAAGGGGGTGAGGGTCCCCGAGGGTGGATGATCATGTCGCTCGACGAGGCCAAAGAACTCGCCGGCAAACTCGGCCAGCTCATTAGCCAGCTTGAGTTCTAATATGCCTTCAAGGATCTGCATGTCCTTTTTCCACTTGCGCTCACGCCGTGCCTTTTCATCCTGGCGACGACGGCACTGGTCGTCACGGGGCCGATCCATCATGCAGTTGGGGCACATGTAGTTTTCTTCGCAATACGAGCATTTGCAGGGTGGATGGGCGTTGATGCAGTCGGCGCAGACGTAAACCTTGCAGCCTTTGCATTCACGCAGAAAACTGGAGCATCGAGCACGTGCGTCCCTATCCCTGATGCTGCCTCTGACATCCCTGACCGAGATGATCGGATCGCTCGGTGGGCAGAAGAAGGATTGGCAGCCCTGCCATCTCGGAGGTTCGAATTGTGGGGGTTCAAAGTAGTCGGAAGAGGAGGATGACGGCGGTGATGACTGGGTCGACGTGGGGGCTGAATACGAGCGTGAATGTTGATTGGAAAAGAAGGAGGCAGGGGCCGACTGATCACCCAGCTGTGACTCAGGAGTATGTTGCTGATCAAAGCTATCTTGGCGCATATCGGGGGTGAGACTTTTGTTTGCTGAATCGAGGAGCTGTTTGCTGCGGAACGGAAGGTCGTATCCGGAGAGCCCATGGGAGCCAGGGGACTCGGACAGATGGGCAGCAAAACGATTTTGAATGGTCTGCTTTTCAATCTCAAGGTCACGGTAGCCACAGATTCGCAAGCGAAGTCCACGAAGGTCATGCTCAATGCAAAGAGGCTTGGAACAGCTCTTGCAGTGTACCTTCCACTGTGGAGACTCATAACACTTTTGACACAAATTGCGCGGACACGGTGAGACCTGTCGGTTGGGTGGCCCAAGCAGCCATTTCATCATCGCCAGATGACCCACCTCAAGCGAGTAGTCGGGTTTGCTTGGGTCGCCGTAGGCATACTTTGGGAATGTCTTGCTCCATTCACTGACCGTGTACTCCAAGTCTTCCCAGCCTTGGCCGCGTGGCAAAGGTACAGCTCGAACTTGATCCACTTCTCGATTGCGAGGCCCTATACTGATCCCACCGCCCCCGGAGAGGTCAGGCTTCGTGCAACACCAGTGAAAGTTCAGTTCAGGGGGTTCCAAGATTGGGCCTTGAAGTAAATTCGGGTCTGTTATCGCCAGAGGGTCCACAGGATCATGCATGGACCCTGGTGAGTGTGTGGCCCCGGGTGCCCACCAGAAGGAATCAGGTGGACTCGAACTAGCTTCTGACGAGGGGGGAGTGTGTCGATGAAGATATGGCCGTTCGTAGGCACAGCTCGCACAAAGTGTCTTGCGGCATCCTACGCAGTGCATCAAGACACTACAATGCTCGCATCGTTCGGATATGTCCTCAAGACATTCGTCACAACGAATGCCATCGACAAATTGGGTGTGGCTATGTCGTAAATGGGCAGGTCTCATTTTCCCTTCCCCCCAGTCGATGCCTTCACCAGTCCCTAATGCCTCACCATAGCATCCCGTGTCGCGATTCTCCCATAGTTTTCCATCGCGTATTTGAGGTTCATCAGGAGTGGGGCCGTCTTCAACGGGCCCGATCCAGTTCTTGGATCTCCAGAGCCTGTCGAAGACCACCCATACTTCCGGGGATCCTGCCCCGTGGGGGAATCTCGACTTCACATAACCGGCCCTACGTGCACATCTGCCTGCGGGAGTAGTGCACCATGCAGTATCGGTCCAGATTTTGAGCTTGTGGCAGATGTTGACGAGCTCATGTGTCGACTCCGCGTCTGCGTCCTTGCGCATTAATGAGGAAGATAGATATGGTCGTCGCCTGTGGTGTCGGCATCTGTATGCGTAGATACTTTTCAAAGCGAGTTTCTTCATCCCGAGAGAGTTCGTGGTCTTCTTCTCCATGTCGATATCACACTGGAGCGCGAACATGGTTAGGAAAGGAACGATGTGATATTTGAGAGAAACATTTTTGCAACCGCGCACGGAGAGGTGCTCAAGCGTCTCGCGGCGGGCGTGCAACACCGTGGACGTAAGGTTCTCACCCGAGATGGCCGTGTTATCCAGTTCCAGACTCTTTAGACACCCGCTGAACGGCATGACCACGTTCATCAAGAACATATCCAACGCATAAGGTCGAGACTGACGTAAAGGAGCTGGATCAGGGACATTTGGGTCGGTCGAGGCATTCAAAGGAGTCCCCGAAGGAAATTGTAATCGAAACGAGAGTGACTTCCATGCGGTCGGATATGATCGAAGGAACGTACGGAGGAATTTGGAGGTGTGGTACAGTTTTATTATGGCATCAGTCGGAAGTTGGAGAAGTAGAGATTCAAAGATGGGCGTATTTGTTGTTATCATTCGTTCAAATGCTGATATGGATCGTTCTGAGGTTGGGTGTTGCGAGGTTTCCCCCAGCACCGTAAGGTGCGGTGCTGGGATTGCACTCAAGACCTCTTCCTGATCCATGGCGTCAAGACTCTGATTCCTCACGGCCGATAAACTATGAGTGGTTCTCAGGTTGAGAATCGAAATGACGCGAGGTCGCGAGCCCGGCGGTTAGAGACGCGGCACATGATAAGACGACTTGACGATGTGAACGAGGGGGTAGCGACACCCAGATGTAAGCCACCATGCAAGGCCATAAAAGGTAAACAGGCGATAATTGATAAGCGGAGTGTAGGGTTGGCGTGTCGGGAATTGAAGGGGGAGCGAGGGAGAAAGGGAGGGGTATAAAAAGAGGGGAGACGAAGAATGCCCAAGGACACCGGCAGTCAGAAACCCCAAGTAGAACGCGAATCACAATAGTGACTCTGGGAGGAAAGAGAGGAGAAAGAAAGCAGAGACAAGATGCCCGGATGCGCCCGTTGAGATAGCGTCATGTGATGGGGAACCTTCAGACCCCCGGATTTTGACTGATCTGCGTATGATTTTTTTTTTTCTTTGCGAGAATCTGCATTGATCGCCTGGGTTTCTATTTCACATAAAACCACTATACTCCGTAGGCCCCAATAGTGTGGTGGGTATCCTAGTGTCTTTCTGAGTCTCCTACAGTGTATCCCTTAGCAATACCCTTGCGCCCTTCTTTGACCAGAGTACTGTCTTCATCGTCTTCATCATATCGGATGTCGAAATCACTGCCCAGTCCCTTCCAAGTGCGTTGCGATCGCAAAAATTCGGCGCCCGGTGAAACGGCGCCGCCGATCATCGCCAAATCGCCCTTAGTGCGGCGAGCCAGCGCCCTAGCAGCGGATGGCCCGGTGGTGGATGATCCATCGATCTGAGAAGCGCGGGACGCGGGTTCCCGCATGGGACGGGAATTTGAGACGTATCGACCGGTGCGCAGGTCAAATTCGGGCGGCGCCGATTCGGGTTCTGACATGTCATCTTCATCGGACGCGGTTGCATCGTTCCCCTGCTCAACATTGGCGTCTCCGGGGGCTTGAGCCGGTTGGTCCAGAACGGCCTGGAAATCACTCTGCCATGCACCTGTCCACACGCGGTCTGAATCGTCCTTCAGGGCAAGTTCGAGCTCGAAGGGAGTGATGACGGGCTTCCAGAAGTCCTGGCTGTCCACCAAAGAGCTTTCCCAGCATCCAATAACGACCCAACCGCCGATTTCACTGAAGTTGGCTACCTTGGCGGCATTGAGTTTTCCCACAACGAACATGTAGCTTTTCTTGCCGGCCGCGGCAATGCGTTCCTTGACATGCTCGACAATGTGCAGGTAATTCTTCACACTGAGTGTGTTGATCAGGATACCCCAAATGGGTACCGTTGTCAGGGAAGCAAGAGTGCCGTAACGCCGTCGCAGCACAGCTGCAGTAGATGCAGGCAAAGGCTTGACATTCTCGTTGGACAGGTCATCAGTAGGGTATATATGGATCGCGGCTACGCGAGACGCCAAAGTCATCATGAGAGCCGTTGGTGGATCAGAAATATGGAAGAGTTGCCAGTCGGCCAGTGTCTCTGGTGCTTCCTGGACTGACGCTGGGACAGTGCGATTGGGAATCGAAGACGAAGGCTCATGGACAATGTCTGTTGCAAAGATATTTGTGTATCCCTCTTCCACCAAGCGAGCATATACTGTAGGGACATGGTCTGCGAACGTCACGTCGGCAGCGATGACCACCTTGGCGTCTGTTTCGGGATATGTCTCTTTGAATGCGCGGATCACGGGTTCCAGAGGTAGTGCCTTGTGAGTGAAGACGTAAATCACAGGCAGTCGTGCCGTTGGTGACAGACACGACCTTCCGTAGTGCACGACCGCATCGGCGTCCACATGCTCCGCGGCCACTTCGTCAACACAGCAAGTACCGTAAGACGTGTCGGCTAGAATAGTCAACCGCGGTGACCATGTTTCAGTCTTGTCCTCCACCTGTAGCTCGGAGACCGCATGAGACAGGTCATCGGCATTGCTCCCGTTGGCTTGACTCGTACCATTGGCACTTCCAACTTCCTCATGTTCCAGGCCCCGGCTGAGCAATTGGAACACCCGCGGCGCATCCGGGAGCATGTCATCTGGAAATTGGAGAGCAATTCGCTTGTACCGGGCCTGTCGGATTTCCTTCAGTGTGCGCTCAATATCGTAGGTGATGGAAAGTTCGTCGTCCGACACAGCCGACTCCCGCGAGGCCACGGGCGCAGTTTCTTCGAGGATTCGTTCATCGGCCGTGGACAGCACAGGGGCTGATTTCATTTCGGAACCCATGTTGGAGGGGATGCACGGTATGGGAAAGCGCAGGAATAAAAAAAAAATTGGAGAAAAATTTACCCCCACCACACCCCGCCATCGATAACGGAAAATACATGACAGCCCATTGGACAACTTACGATGTTTTGAACTCCAGCAACTTCCAAGGCCGTGTCATTTTACATACTGCCTACACTCATTCAATCATATCAACATAGCGAAAAGACAATTACAGGTCCGCACGCGCCTCCTCTCCCGCCCACACCCTACGAAGCAATTCGCGAATGGGCGCACGCTCGATGGGGCGAGGGTTCCAGTAGGCGTTGGAAAGCGCAATATCAGCAGCCTTGTCCACATCTTCCTCTTTCATTCCAAAATCCTTCACACCACGCTTGACCTTGAGCTTGGACAAGAGGACGTTAAGGCCGTGGATTGCGTCCCCATTGCTCTCCGGCAACACGTCGGCCAACTGCTTCATAGCTTCAGGGATATTTGGCGCATTGTAGGAAATAGCATGGGGCAAGACGGCGGTATGCGTCTCGGCGTGGGGGAGATTGAAGCTGCCACCAAGGGTGTGGCATAGTTTGTGGTGGATGGACATGCCAACACTACCCAAGCATGTTCCACAAAGCCAAGCTCCATATAGGGCCTTGGACCGGGCGGATTGAGAAGATGGGTTTTCAACAATCTCAGGCAATGCAGACGCAAGTGCCCGGGTTCCCTCGAGAGCCATCATGTTGATGATTGGGTTGGTGTTGCGCGCGTAGAGAGCCTCGACTATAAGGATTCGGTGAGATTGGTTTAAACTCCTGTTGGAATCTGGGTATACTCACCAGCGTGCGCAATCGCATTGACACCACTAGTGGCACTCATAGTCGCCGGTAGCGTCATTGTGAGATCGACGTCGTAAATGACAGTCCCCGGCAAGATCTTGGGATCAGAACGAGTCTTCTTCAGACCATCTGCAGTTTCGCCCAAGATTGGGGTCATCTCACTGCCTGCGTAGGTCGTGGGAATGCAAATATGCGGCAATCCCGTGCGGATGCTGATTGCCTTGCCTAGGCCGATGGTGCTTCCACCTCCAATGGAAATGACCGAGTCGGCGCCCTGAGCCTTTGCATACTCTAGTGCCTTGTCGGTGACATTGGTTGGAGTGTGCATTGTAGCCTCGGAAAAGATGCCAGCGATCTGACCGTGGAGGACATCCTTGACGTTCTCTGCTTGGCTTACTTGCTGGGGCGTGGAGAGCACCAAGGGGGCCTTCACCTGCAGTCGTGCAATCTCCTCGGGGAGTTTCTGCAAGGTACCGCTGCCGAAAACGACACGGCCAGGGTTGGGGTTGTACTCGAATGAATCCATTTTGTGTTGCTCATTGAAGGGCGTGTTGCTATCTTATAGTCCCCCGCCTGCCCCACTGCAACCGATCGCCATTTCCGTGGGGCGTCGGCAGTTGTGCACTGATTGCATCCCCGAACTTCCGTTGTATACGGATCTTCCAAGTTGCTACTATACAACGCTTCTCACTATTAGCCCCCGAACCTTCCGAGGTCTGATGTAAGGTCATCTATCAGACCTTTTGAGATTCTCTCCCGAGTCTTAGAGGGGTCAATTGGCCTGGCACATGATATTACTTCAGCATGAATCAGCACTGGATATAAATTTCCCCAGCGGGTGAACATCCGCGGATATACGTTTTCCGTGCTGCTAGTAGATATTCTTCCCGTTCGGAACCCCTCAACGCTATTTACTATTTTTCATGGTTTCCGAATAAATCTGCAAATGTGGGTATAAAATGGAAATCCGAAGCCTCAGTCCAGATCGTGGAAAGCCATAACATGCTGTCCTCCGCTCTGGTCCTTGCTCTTGCCCTTCTTGCGCTTCTTGTGCTCTCTCGGGTCTTCACGTTCCTTGACTGCCTCGCTGTCATCGGAATCTTGATCATCGTCGCTGTCGTCCATCATGTCTTCATCATCAGATCCGCCCTGGTTGCCCTCGGCTTCATGCCAAACCTTGACAACGCTTCCTCCACCGGAGACCATGCGACCCTCAACATCAAAGCCCAAGCCCACAACTCCATCAACCTCATCGTGGACCACCTCAGAGACAACCTTGTTGGGCCCCATGCGCACAAACTTCACCTTTCCGTTTCCAAGACCGGCAGCAACAACCTTGCCTAGGTAGTCGGGCGCAACCGCCATGGTCTCAACGGGATCTCCGCCATCCACGCTGCGGTCGACGTAGATGCGCTCATCTTGGTCGTCCCATTGACCCTTCTCCCAAAGTGTGAGGATACCGCTGGCTCCACCAACGATCACCTTTTCACCCTTGCTAGTTCCACCAGAGGCCAGACCACTCACGAAGACTGAGCTGACCATTTCTTCTTCTTGGTTCTCGCTGCGCACCAGAACACCCCGTCGGAGATCTGTTACGGCCAAAGTAGTTCCACCAGTGGTCACCCACTGCTTGCTGAAGCCTGATGTGCTAGTCTCAGAGGCGGGCAGTGGTGTCAGAGAGGAGATATAGTCATCGTGGGGGTGGTGCGATTGCTCTGGGCGAGGGGACACTTTCGAGTATGGGATGCGGAGGTCGTAGAGATGAAGAGCGCTAGAGTCGGTACCGAGAAGAAGCGTTTGAGGAGAAAGAGCATGGATCATAGTCGGGGAGTCAATTTTCCTATAAGAAGATCATGTAAGCCACGTGCGGAGCTGGAGGGCCGCAATGCAAAGATCTGCATTGGGAAAGAGGTTTCGTACCCGCCCTCGTAAGGAATGGCAATTTTGTTAACCACTCGACCGGTCTCTGTGGCTGCAACTTTGATGAGGCCGTCTGTACCAGACGAGTAGAGTTGTTGACCATCAATGCCGAACCCGAGGGTGCGGCAGCTGCCCTTGTGTCGCCGGGTTCGCCACATGGTGTCAATGTGGCCTTTGCCATTGCGGGCAGATGATTGGGAGGAAGCGTCGTCGTCTTCCTCTGAGTCCAAGGAGGGCAATCGGAAAGTCTCTACATGGCCTGATGCCAGACCGACGGAGACCACTGGCTCCTCAGGGTGGATGGCCTGAGCAAACAGCTCCTCAGATAGAGGGAATGTGCAGACCGTGTCGAACATGCTGGAGGTCCAACCGGGAGTAGAATAAGTCAGGAAGCAAAAGTGGCAATGCCTTTTGAAGGAAACCGAAGTAAAAAAAACGAGTTGAAGCTTGGAGCTGGCCGCTTTTTTCTGTCACCGCCTATCATACTTCTCCGAATTTGGAAATGACATCAATCAATGTGATCAGGTGCACCAATTCATTTCCAATTGCAAGTTCTACTCAAAAATACAAAAAGAATCAAAACAACTTTCAAAATGCATTGAATACAAGGAAGAAATATTTCCTACTAATACTAGAGTGAACCCTTCCAAGGTTCCCGGGAAGTCTTTGCACAGATTGACGAACCCCATATCCCTGCCAGAAAGGATCCAAGCCCTTTGATCGGCTGATGCTTAAGAAGAGTAGGTGGAGCCAATGGGGCCAACCTTGATGTTGGAGTAGGTGACCTTGGCGGAGCCAGAGGCAGACTCAACCTTGTCAGGGTCACCAGCGCCAGCGGCACAAGTGCCGCGAGCAGTACCGGCAGCACCGTCCTTAGCGTCAGTGGGGTACTTCTCGCCATCGAGCCACTGCATGCCAGCGTAGTGGTCATCCCACAAGCTCATAACGAGAACCATGCCCTGGTCCAAGCCCTCGCCCATACCAGACATACCACCGTGTTGAGTGAAGATGTCCTCATCGCCGAAAGCAGTCTTCTGGGCCTTGCAGAACTCGGTGGTGATCGAGTTTCCAGAGACATCGGCTACCTCCGAGGCGGAGTTGGCGATGACCTTGCCGTCTTGCACGTAGATACGCTTGATTTCCTTGAGGGTACCGGAGTCGGTGCCGTCGCTGGTGATGAACTGGGTCACCACAGTCATCTTGGACTTGGAGTCGACGATCTTGCCGGGACCGTAGAAGGTCTCGTTGCCCATGCGGTAGGAGTTGAAGTCGCATCCATCGGGGTCGCAGGTGCCGGCGTAGCGGCTGGAGGAGTAAGTTCCACCGCAGTCATCGCCCTCGCACATGGTCTGTCCAGCAGTGTCGCAAGGGTGGGGGGTGAAAGCGGTAGAAATGCTGTTGGCTTCCCAGATATCCATCTCGGCGCAGCAAGATCCGTGGCCACCGACACCGGCGTTCTTGTCGTTGTCGGAGGGCTCCCAGTTGTCGACGTTGGCCTATTCCGCTGCGTCAGTCTTTTGTTCTCGCAATATTCATGTTCCTGATGACCATAGACACTCACCTGTCCGTTGATGAACTTCAGGTCGCGAGGGCACTGAGAGTCACAGTAACCGGTACCGTACTTGGCACCAGCCTTGTTGCCATCGTACTTGGACAGACCACCGTCGGCGTCCATGGAGACGAAGTACAAGGCTCCGTTGAGACCGCAAGGAAGCTCGGAGCTATCCACATCGAAGGTGAACTCCTTGTTGAGCAGCTTGAACATCTGGTAAGTGCTGTCGTCCTCCATGAGGAACAGACGAGAGCCAACGTTGGCACCAGTGACGAAGCTCAGAGTCAGAGCGTTGCCATCGGTGGTGGCACCGTAGGTGGCCTCATAGTCGGCACCATCCAAGGCACAGTTTGTGGCACAGGTCTTGTCGTCAGGGCAGAGAGTCGAGTCCCACTATTTCGAGAAAAAGTCAGCCAACATGATCCGGATTGCCAAACAGAATCCTCTTACGGTGTTGCCAGTGTAACAGTTGGTGGAACCGTCGACGGAGTGGAGCCAACGCCAGTTGGAATCAATGACAACAGAGCCCTTCTGGTCAGTGCAGCTTCCAGCGGCGGTACACTTCTGCCAGGTCAAAGAGGGATGAGTCTCAGCCGTCAAAGTGCCAGCCTGCTGAGCACGGGCAGCCGCCGCCAGGGCGGAGAAAAGGAGGGCTTTCTGATACATTGCCGGTAAAGCAAAGAGAGAGAGAATGAGAGAATTGAACTTTGCTGTACTGGTTTCTGGCCTGCAGTGGATGATCCGAAAGAATACCAGGCTGGACTCAGATCTTTATATGTCCTCCGCCAAGGATTGATCCAGGTTCTCGTCCGGAAAGGCTTGACTAAGGACCCTTCGGCACATCAAGCTCAGGATGGCGGACCTTACGACCGTCCCCAATTTGGAACGGATAGAGAGATCTAACTCATCAATCTAATGCTAAATTCCATACTAGGCGACCTCCGGTGTCATATATTGATTGGTTTGGGAGTGGACTCGGCGCCTGAATCAGTAGGGGAATGATCTTCGTGGAGTGGCTTTTGGGGGCTGTCCCATTCATCCTGTGCCTGGCATAGTGTGGAGATCTAGGGTTAGAGGGTTTCAACACCCGCCCATACGGAGAACACCCTAATCTTGTTTTTATCTTTAACGTGATCACCAGCAATTGGGCAGCGCAAAGCGTCGCTTTAAGTCTAGAGGTAGCATGGACAGTTCGACTACTGTTGTTGTTGCTTACGGCGGTATGGTCTGATCTTAGGGGACCTCCAGTACGGAGTAGATGGGGTCGAATTATGGCCCTAAAGACCTTGAGACATTTTGTGGGGATAAAGACCTCCAGAGCGCCGCTAGAGGGAATGACCGCCATGGCGCACCTCTCCATGACACTAAATCGCTGCATGGCTTCAGGAGTATCCCAGATTTTACACGAGGCGTTAAGCCCAAACCCGGAGGATTGTTCTGCAGACCGTTTGGGTAAGGTGTTTCAGCCCGAAACCAAGCCCCTCCACAATGTTGGCCCCGACGAATCGCGGAAGTAGGGGACAAAATATCCTGCAATGGGAGAAATCGCCTAGCGCGCAGTGATCTATGCATGTTCCTTTATTTTAATATGAAATTACGGGGCCGCGGAAACAAGGTGATTGTCAAAGGTTCGACAAAGACAGCTCAGATAGACCTTACTTTGGTGTTTGCTGATCTATTCCAGCGGAATGGAGGGACAAGCAACAGTCCTTTTCAGTACTACGAAGAAGATTCCTCAATTATCTGATCTAGAAAGTCAATCTACTGAAAGCGAAGAGCTTTGGGCTATCCTTAGCTCAACTTGTCATTCCAGAACATTTCCGAGTTCGGCATGAGACTACTCTGGACGCAAGGAACAGACAACCCCACACTCGCTATGTGGAGATACTGCTTTCACTTCATTGGTGAAATTGGCCATCATGAAGCACTGCGGGTAGAACGGTAAGATGAAGGACACAGACTTGCACTTGCACGGAGTACTCCGTATCAAGTTTTGGCTAGCACTGTCGATCAACCTGAGGGGCCCACCCGTGGACCGGGACTAGCATCGGGTAACCTCTTTAGAGCGACGCTGGACCCTGGCATTTCAGCGTTGGCGTGCCAATACCTAGGTAGGCCAGAATGCTTGCAATGTACGGAGAAGGGGGTACTTGATACTATGTATGTTATTCGATATCAGGAAGTACATTCCATGTCAATGAAAAGATACCCAACTGGTCCGGAGGTCATTTCGGAAATCAGTAGGTGCTAAGATCGTGGTATGCATACATATTTTTCCGTGTCCAGGCATCACGCCAAGGATCTCCTTGGATCTATATTCATGGACCTGCCCATGTGTTGATAAGTACGAAATACCTAGTAGCCCACGTACGACCAAGTTCTAACCTGGAAGTAGTGTGGGTCAAATATAGGCAAGAGGACTGCACGGAAATAGTCCGGCGGCCATAGGTGGCTCTAGGTGGCTCTACAGTTGAGGGATATCTTTTCCTGTAAAGTCGGGAATGGTCAATTCATCTGCTCCCGACCATGATCAATGATATTCCATAGATCAAGCAGTGAAGTGGGACAGGGTTACATTTCCTTGGATATATTTCTTTGAGAACCGCTCGAAGGGCCGTGGGTTACCCAATCCGTCACGGTCTATAGCAGGTCTTCGGTAACAGAGAATAGCGAAAAGAGAGAAGGTGACCTGTAGATCGCTTCCTAGAAGATCAAATCGGTCATCCGGGGCCGCCCTGGCTGCTGTTTAGGCCCGGCGCCATTTAGGCTAAAAAGCCACCAGGTGACCTGGGTGGCTTTTACTCACGTGTGGAGGCGTCGAATACCTCAGGATACTCTTAGTACTAGCCCTACTTTTTCAGAATTCATAGTATGTCTTGTCAATGATCGTCAATCATTAAGAGTGTGACATGCACTTGCAAGGTCCCGCCTGCCTGCACATGCTTCCAAGGTTCATTGAACTCACCCTCCTTCTGTCCTTGCTCACCCAATACGAGAGCCTGTATCTTTTGTGTTGAAGCTCTTTTTCTGGGGTCTCAGAATGGCGGTGAGACTCTGGGTTAGTACCAAAGCGATCGCAAACAACTAGTTCACCCTTTGCCAATGGATCCTTTTGGTATTGTCTGTGTAGACCAATTGTTGATGGATGTCTTTGACACATCTCTAGATCCCTCTTGGCAGCCCTGTTAAGACTGATCGAATCAGTGAAATAGTTCTAGGCATAAATCACTGGACAGCTGTGAGTTGACTGAAACTGCCCAGGTGCCCAAGTGTTCACCTGTTCACCTGGGCAGGTCCGTTCACCGCCTCGGGACCCACTTGTGACTCTTATCGGATTATCTTATCACGTTATCTTATCGGGCACATGGCGTCAGCTGCCTCGGTCCATCTGCTTCCCAACTTCCCTGTCTTCTCTTCACTGTTTCGTATTGTCCAGGGCTTGTTCACTCCGCAAACGCTTGATTACCCAGAGACATATGGGATCAGCCTGAAAGATTGCCAAACCCACGCTCCAGGCCCCCGTCCCTAGCTCGCAAGCCTCCCAGGGGTAAACCAGCGCAACCATGGCCCTATATAACCAAACCATGGATTTCCTCTCGGACTCTTTCTCCAAGCCATCCCAACTGCCTCTATTAGTGGTCGCAGGTGCTTCCTTCACACTGGGTCTACTAAGTAGATCACTTTTATCCCAGGAGTCAGGGCAAACAGTTCTCGTATCACCCCGATCGACAGTCTTGCCCCAAATCTCGGAACCGGAAAACCGACAGCTTCCTCTGCCGACCGATGTCCTCCCCGGTGCCCGAGACGTCGCCAGTCCGTACGGGTCTATCCGAGTTTATGAATGGGGCCCAGAGGATGGACCAAAGGTCTTGTTGGTGCACGGTATCACCACACCGTGCATTTCGCTCGGTGGACTGGCCCATGCACTCGTCGACCGCGGCTGCCGCGTGATGCTATTCGACTTGTAAGTAGCTGATCTTTGGATGTCGCAGAGCATTGCTGATGCGAGGAAAATAGATTTGGAAGAGGCTACTCGGACTGTCCCGCCGACCTCCCGCAAGACAACCGACTCTTCTCAACGCAGATCATGCTTGCCCTAACCTCATCACCTATTGCCTGGACGGGAGCCGAGTCAGGCAAATTCTGTCTCGCCGGATACTCTCTCGGAGGTGGTATTGCAGCTGGCTTTGCCTCTTACTTCCCCGAGCTCTTATCCTCCCTGGTGCTTCTGGCCCCCGCTGGACTGATCCGGGACTCGCAGATCAGTTTCCAAAGTCGCCTTCTCTACTCCAAGGGTCTGATGCCGGAGAACATCCTGGGATACTTGGTTGGCCGTCGACTGCGAGCAGGCCCTTTGACATCACCCAAGCCCAAGAACCACAAACTCGATGCCTCGGACGCGCTCACCGAAGAGCTGCCTTCACAGAGTGCCGCCGAGGTTCAAATTCTATCCCGAAAGTACCCCCACATTAACGTTCCTTCGGCTGTGGCATGGCAGGTTTCTGCCCACACGGGATTCGTGCACGCATTCATGTCAAGCATGCGTTACGGTCCGATTCTGAAACAGCGCCAGTGGAATACATGGACTCGTCTTGGTGAATATCTTACCGCGCGAAGTATCGCCTCTGGTGAGAATGAGACAAAGTCATCTGACAAGGTGCATATCTTGTGTGGCAACCGCGACCCAATCATTGTGAAGAGCGAGCTTGTTCCCGACGCCACGGCTGCCTTGGGTGGCAATGCTGTGTTCGAGTTCTACGAGGCCGGTCACGAATTCCCTAGTACCAAGTACGAGGAGGTGGCTTCCTATATATTCGAGTTGCTTTAGGAATATATTTTAGACTTGTTTCTTCTCTGTTGATGCTGGTTATATGCACATTCGTCTTCTTACATCTCATAGATACTATACATAGAAGCCTCCGGGCTGGAGCTCAGATCCTTTGTTTCTTCCTTTTTCTTCTGCTTCCTTTCTCCTAGCTCCCTGTCTTCATGATCTCGTCCATCGCGCTGAGTTGACTTGAAAGTCCGGTGATGTGTGCTGATCTGTCTGGCATCCTCGCGCCGGCGAAGTATGGGCCTTCGGAGGCTGGTGCTCGTGTAAATCGATCCACACTACTGCGATTGTTTCCTGGCACTTGGCTGAGATTGCCTTGGCTCATAGCAGTAGCACTGGCGCCATTAGGGCTGCTATTATCTAATTAGCTGGTTGGTTCAAGACATGGCTCATTCCAAGGTTGACGTAAAGTGGCACTCACGTTGTGTTCTTTGGCTCTGGGATAGGCATGATGGGAGATTGACGAGATGATATGATTCCTTGATGTTCAGGAAGCACGTAACGGGCTCTGATTCAAGGTTGAGAGCTATGTATAGCGATGGAGAGGCTTGCGATGACAGCACGGAATTCGAAAGCAAGTTAAGTAACTTTAAGCTTTCAAGGTTGATGACTGGATAATAATTCGCATCCAGTAGCGAACACTCCTATATATACACAGGTCTGAGGCTATGCAGTTAAAAAGGCATGCCCTTCGAACACGCGAGCTTGAGCTTGAGCTTGGCCCACATGGACAGTTACGAGCTGAACGAAAGGAATGAAGGAAAGATCTCCGGTTCGCATCTCCGAGCTCCACTCGCCATGGGAGGGTGACGGCATCTTGCCCCATCCAACGCTTCCAGTGTCCGCATGAACCATAAGAATTCCTGAAGCGGCAAAGCCCGAGCCTCTGAAGGCACATACCCGTTCGGTTCCTATATGCGAAACAGGCGACAAGCCCGTCGCTATTGGGTGGATTGCATAAAGCTGGGGCTCGCCAGGTACCCACCCTGTACTTACGATCGTCCGCAACGAGAATAAAAAAAGGGTAAAGCCTAAAGCGTAAAAATCCTAAAACATTCGCACATGGCTAACCACATGTTTCAGGCTGGAGGTAACTGCATTGGGTATATGTGCCGGGGAATGAAGCGAGGGGGCAAAAAGCAATTCTAGGATCTGTGTCTACGGAGTACGTACGGAGGACGGAACAGGAGCAAGAAACTAGCCCTGGAGAGGTGCCTTGACGGTGTCACACAGTACTAGTAAACAATGGCATACAGATCCCTGAAACCCATAACCCATCGCGGTAAGTGCGCTTCACAATGGCAAAGACGACGAACCCAAGCTGAAACAAGGTCAACGTGGCCGGTCACATGGATGCATTGACCAGTTCAGATTCACAAAGCTTACGATACATTCCGCGGGAGGCGTGTCTGCATGTCTCCTTCATTTCCTTTTTTCTGATACAAACTCTGTAGATCGCTAACGGCCAGGGTCTAGATTGATGCGAACAGGTTCATACCAGCCACGGCCCTAAGAGCCCTATCACCTGCACAGCCATTGGGGAATGCTTGGACCCCGACGATCCCCGAAACGCGAGGACTTGTTTCAAACCTGCAGGGAGAACGGGTGGAGTACGGAGGCATCTCATTGTGAAAAGGAGACGGCACGTGGAGGGCCCTGTCAAACGAGTACTGCGTACTGCGTACTCCATACTGCGTAATGGTAATGCATACAGAGTACTATAGTGCACTATGACGAGTCAGGCCAGGCCATAAAGAACGGAGTACTACGGAGTAGTACTCCGTACTATAGAAAGGCATATCTACCGCAGACAGGGTTTAGGGTGATCTACAGTTCGCACAAAACAACCTTGAAATGGTTCAGAACAAGCATATGAAACGGGGACAAGACGGAGGTCCGAGGCGGACCGCAAAAGACGGTGGATCGTGCCGAGGGCACTACCGAAGTATGTGCATATACGCTACGAAATATCATTTTCGCTTTTCTCATGGCTCAGCCACTGCCATATGGTAAAATGTTTCAGATAATAACGTTTCCCACGCGTGTTCGGAAGGGTCATTCCTGCTAAGCGAGCAATGTGTTAGATTACGTCGATATGCAAGGCGCTGGAATTCGACCTCGGGAGTAAGCTTATCTCCATACACTAGCTGTGCCGTCGATCACTAGTGCATAGCCTACTTCTTAAGCCTAGCGAGCCCCTAAAGGCGATCACCGTTCGTGGCCTCTGCAATGCCGGCATTGATGTGCCCTAAACCTGCCCTAACTGCAGACCCCCGCAGCTCAGCCCTCCAAGGCGATTTGTGGCCATGAGCACTTGGGGCGAATGTGCTTTTTTTAGCAGAAGGCAAAATAAGAAAAACCCTAACCCCTGGCACATACAGCAAATGGGTCGTTTAATTTCCCCTGATTGTACAGATCACAAAAGAGAAAAAAGAAAACTGAATCTTTAATATAAAATTCTGCCAAGGGAATAGACTAGGATATCGACCGAAGAAGAAAAGATCACCCATCTAGATCATCCCTTGGAACCGTTTGACGCACCTTGCGATGCAATCACCATTTAACGCGTCCGTCTGAAACGTAACCCAATTCGGACCATGAGCTACGAACCCCACGGGAATTCCGACCTCATCCCATCCCGTTGCCCTGTCAACCCTCCTGTCGGCCACGAGACAAGCTCGAAGCGACCTTTTGACGTATTGCTCGAGCCGTACGTACCCACAGCCCTGTAATGGTGACAAGTGGAGTTCAACTCGGTTGACACCCTTATTGAAATGGCAGCTCTGATCCCATCCGGATGTAGCATGCTCGCCGACATGTTGATCAAGGGTTCATGACTCTTGCTCTCGGATGGCTCACACCGTCCGTTGGGGTCTTGGCGAGATGCTGCAGGCCTTGGCTCGTCGGAATTTGTGGAAATGAGGATCGTTATAGCTTCAGTCTTGGCTCGCACGTATCCTACCCATTTGCCTACTCATTTGTGAGGTCGGAAATCCTCGCCCGTGAGGTTGGGTCTGAAATTCAAGGGATGCCAGCACTGCCGCATCCCTTCCAAGGTCGGCTGCGCTATCACCTGGGCACCTGTGATGTACTCCGTAGCGAGATCAGGGACTAGAGATGATTTTCGATGTCGTACTAGGTGAGCCGTTTTTCACTATTCACTCTGCCAACATCTCCCCCAGGGTGACTTTTCAACCTTGGTTTCCATGCTTGCAGAATAGCCCTTGAAAGCCTTCGTCAGTGTTATGTCCTCATCTAGCATAAATATATGTTCTATCCCGTCTTCATCATCGAACCAACTTCCAACGTCCGTATTTAGGTATATATTGTGGAAATAGCTTATAACCTACCACCTGGGACCTTTGACAGATATAATTGTGAGAGTTCTGCACAAATGCGATTAAAGACCGAGCATGAAAATCTACAGATGCTAGCCCTGGAGTACAACGGCTTCAGTTTCATTTTGCCGAGGTCGGCTTCAACGCTTGCATTGGGACACACCTGGGCACCCTCTCCACCATTTCCTTGGAGCTGAGAGCTCGTGGAATACAAATCTACCATAAGAGCTTTGGACTCACTTTCATTCCACGTTAGACATCGAGCTACCTAAATGGGCGGAAGCCTTGGAACTGTCCAAAGCACATCAAAACCTGTCGCAGTAGAGCTCTTTCCTCATGCTTTGTTGGTTTCTCGTGACTACGGTTTCAGCATTGGAAGAAATGTTTACGCAGAAAATAACAACTCCATTGTGTTTCCAGTCCGCTGATCACGCTTCGTCTATGTCTATGCAGCCCGAGGCTCAGTGGGCTGCTTCAATCGTCCACGGTCACAAACCCGCTTCACTGGCGGCAGAGCGCCTCTCCAATACTAGGTATTGATATATAATTTTACATATGCCTAGGGTACTGGGTACTCGCCTCTGCAATTCAAGAAAAAAAAAACGAACTTTATTGCTTCTATTTCAAGTCTTTCAAAGGTTGTCTCTAGTATCTTCCACCCGTGGACGGTCACTTCCTGACGACTGTGCTTTTTGCTTCGTTTTGTTTATTCTCAGTCGGCTGGCTGCATGGGGCAACTCCCAGGTTATGGGTGAATTCGTCCAGAAATAGTGTGGAGAGTGGCACCTGGAGACACCTCGACAACACTCAGCTCAACTCGAACTACCTACACCTTTCGCCTGAGCTCCCACGAAAAGTCTCCCCTCCCACAATTTCGAGCCCCGCCAGAAAACGCGAAACACCAAACCTACCAAATCAAAACCCTTGCTTCACTTCGTTAATACCTGGATCCGTGCCCATGACTATGGCCATGTGCGTGACCGTGGCTAGAGCCGTGATCGTGATGGTCGTGATGGCCCTGATGACCGTGACCATGCCGGCCATGGTGACCGCCATGGTCGTGTGGCACATTATGATCGTGGTGTGCATCGACGCGTGGTACATGGCCCGAATACTCTGGTTGTCGATGAAGTTGCTGTTGGTCATAATCCGGATACGGATTCTGGCCGCTTGGCCGATAGCCGTGCTGGTTCGAGTGCGAATATTCGAGCTGCGAGTTCTGATATTCGGCATGAGGGTGTGGGTGCGAGTGCACTGGCTCATACCCAGAAGGCCCATTGTGTTGGGATTGGTATGAGTGCTGAGATTGGGATTCGTCCATATCGCGGGTCAATCCGCCTGGAATGAGGTTGGAGAACTTGTTCAGTTTGTTGAGGTTGGACATTCCTGGGATGGGAAGGTTGGAGAGTTTATCCCATGGGACGCTGGAGCCGGAGCCGGAGCTGCTGTTTTGATGATTGCTGCTTTGGCCGGAGAGGAATGAGGAGAATCCTGATCCAGAGGAGTGCCCTTGGCTGCTACCGTGTCCATGACTTTGGCCATGGCTCGGCTTTTGGCCGTGAGGTTTGTTTCCGAGTGTTGCGAATCCGCCGTGACCACCGCTGTGGGTGTGGCTTACGCCGCCGGTGTTGCGACCTGAGCGCACACCTTCGGAGCTGAGGATGTTGTTGAGGGAAGCGCCGCGGTCGGGACGACTGTGGGCCCATTTTTCAACGGATTCGAACATCGTGCGGTGCGCGTCGTTGCGCATGTTGCGTAGTGCGGGGTGGTGGAATACCTGAAGGCAGTCGTCGAGGACCTCGTTTTCTGGGACGTCGATGTGTTGCCAGGCATACAGGACACGAGGCGCGACATACTCGACGATCGAGGATGCGACCTGACCAGCGGGCTCGTTCAGAATGTTTGCAAAGTGATCCTTTGAAAGCAGAGAGTGAGTGGGATCAGTGCAGTGGGGGTCAGTCCACGGCTCGTACTGATGCTTGCCAGAGGCATCGATCACACCCGCGGATCCAGTCTGCAGCGATTTGGACGCCGCCTTGATCAAGGGACGCACGAATGGAGCCAGAAGCGACATGATCACCACAGTCAGGGTCTCTGAGATCTTCTCGACCAGGGCTTCCAGACCAGGGATCTTTTCAATGATCGAATCCAACTTGCGCACGACCTTATCCCGGAATTGGAGAATCGGGTAGATCTTGGCCACCGTCTCCTGGGGATTGAAATCAGGCATACCCTCGAACCCGGCACCCGGCTTTGCGGTGCTCGAAGCATGATCAGGCCCAGCACGACTTCGCTGGCCATGAGAGGACTCTGCATAGCCCGCCGCAGCACCCCGGCTCCGATTGGCCATGTCCTGTGCAGCCGACGACCTCTTCAAGCCCTCGGCCTCCTGAACAAGCTCTTTGGTACCGGGGATCTTGCCCAGAAGCCCAGTCAACGCACCCAGGGAGTTATTCGACTGGGCGCTCGTTTCCGCATCGCCCAGCGCCAGATCCATTTCATTCACTTCGGACTGAGCAAAGTGGTCTGTTGCCTCTCCCAGCACCGAGTGGAAGAAATCCACCATACCAAAGGTGCCCGTCACAAGTGGGAACACCCGATGTCCATGGAGGTTGATCTGGGTGTTGGTACCTGTGTGCGGGAAGACATTCTGCATGCCCATCTCGCGCAACGCCAACTCCACATAGTTAGTGTGTGCGGCAAAGTCCTCTAGGGTGTGCAAGCCTTGGCCCAGACAGCGCAGTGCTTCGCACAGGTCTTCTTCATTGCCCTTTTTCTGTCCGCCATGGGTATACATCCGTCCAAAGTGGATGCTCCGACTAAGACTGAATTTGATATAAGCCGCGCTGGTGGCCCAGTCGCCCCGCTCATTGGCAATATAGTTCTTCATGCCGGTGTTTTGGTCAATTTCCAGTTCCACGTTCCGCACCGGAGGCCGCAGACGCTTGTCGAATTGCCGCGCATCTTCATTATCAGCATAGTCCTTGGGGTTGCTGAGAGAGTTAGCATGGCTCATCACCAAAGGAGGAGAAAAGCTCACTCAATGTGTTCCTCTGGGCGATACACCCCCAGACGATCCGAGGTGACCTCGAATTCACCAGTTGCATAGCCGAAACTCAGGAACGACAGGACCCACACCAACACACGGATTGTCTCGGCCTGCAAACTCTTGAGAGTGCCGACGTCCATAGCCTGCGAACTGTCCTCTGTCAGTATGCGACACATCAAATCCAGGCAGACTTACTAGTCACGCAGCCAGTTGCCAAAGTACACGCGCTTGATCATGGTGGAGGTCCATTTGTGGCCGTGGATAAAGGCCAGTGTTTTGAGTACATCTTCAATATCTCCATGGCGCCAGTTCTTGCCTTCAATTGCCGAGATCGAAGCAATATTTCCTGCTCCAAAGGCATGCACCTGGGGGAGTACTAGGAGCAGCACTAGCAGGGCGGAGCCCGCGAGGAGGGGCATAGTGGGGGATGAATGTGTGTTATTCTGTACTCCGTACGGCGGAAAAGGTCTCGTATGTACAAGGACAGAGAGAAGGTTACAGAAAGAAGAAACAGGACAGAAAATGAGGATCTCGGACTCAGCCTCTTGGCGCGATGATCCCCATGACGTTGCGTGAGACATTCAGATCTCACCTCACACCTCATCTCGTCGCATCTCGTCTCATCTGTGTATTCCCATTTGCATTCCCATTTCAATTTGCATTTGAAGTTCAGACGGAAGATAGTCATCTACCGATCTCATCTCTCATCTCTCAGGATCCACGGTGGTATTAGACAATGCGACCTTAACATCACCGTCGTATCAGACCCCGCATAAAACAAACATATAAACAGCCCCCGGGGCCGGGTATCAACCCACCACAATGTATCTCGAACCACTCCAACGCGACGGCTTCGTCGTCGTCCGCAACCTCCTCACCCCAGAAGAAGTAACCCACTACCGACAAATCGCCACAGAAGCAACAACCCTCACCCGAGCCGGGACCTGGCCGCACTTCCGCACCGTCCCCAAACAATTCCCCCCATGGCCCAGCAACCCACCACCAGCCAGCGAGGGCGGCATCTGGGGCGTCCAGCACCTCCTGCACCCCGAAATGCCCGGCCGCGCCGCCTTCGCCAGCTGCTACTTCTCAGCCTCCATCCTAGCCGTCGCGGAAGAGCTGATGGGCACGAATAGCCGAGACAACGAACCACTCGTCATGGAATTATTCAATTTACTCGTTGCACCGGAGACGAAGGATTTCGAGCTCCGCTGGCATCGGGACGATATCTCCGAGCATGCGACTGCTGAAGAGGAAATCGAGCAGTTGGCTGCTAAGGCGCCAGGAGGCCGACAGTCGCATTGTCAGTATAATCTGGCTTTGTGTCCTGATGCGTCGCTGATTGTGGTGCCGGGGACTCATGCGCGGGCGCGCACGCAGACGGAGCGCGAGGCGGATCCGTATGCGCCTTTCTTGCCGGGTCAGTTGGTTGTGGAACTGGGGCCTGGGGATGCGGTGTTTTATAATAGTAATATCTTGCATCGGGGGGTGTATAAGGGGAAGGAGGAGGGTGGGGAAGAGACTAGACTGACGTTGCATGGAAGCATTGGGTTGAAGGGGGATGAGAAGAAGAAGGTGAGGGCTACGGCGGTCTTGCAGCATGGTGTTGGGGCTTGGGTGCATCGGGAGGATGCGGCCTTTGGGCTGGGGGAGAGGCCGGAGAAGATGAGGGCGAATCTGGTTGAGATGGGGACTGGTGATGATGTTGGATTTTCCCTGCAGGGATAGAGCTTTGCTCGATCGAACTTGATTTCTGTATATATGATTGGTTTTGGACTGTTCATACGCAGATGAGATTTACAAATGTAGTAAATACCAGACATGCAAATCATCTCAACCGCCAGTGCTACTTCTATCGCTAGTCCATAGCTCAATGGTCTGGGGATACATGATCACGGTAGCAACTAGAATGCAGCCCTGGAGCCTGCAACTCATCCAGTCAATCCATCAGTGAGATGGACACCACTGGGAAGTCCAAGTATCTGCGCAGCATTGTCAACCACACAATCCCCAATAGTGACTTTGCCCGAAACCTTGGTCAAACACCCCCCGTCGGTGTTTCTCAAATGCCCTGTGATAGAATGTTCCCAATTAGTGCCAACACTGCGACAACCTGCAAGCAAAACTCGGCTTTCGTGAGCGCAAAGACAAAGTGATTTATCCGACAAAGCACTTATGGTTAGCTTGCCACTGGTCTCGGTCAAGACGTTCCAAATCTGCGAGTCAGATCCCCCGCATGGTTCAAAAGCAACGGTGGTCCCAGAAGCAGTCAAACAAAGACCAGACGGGGTATGGAATACCATGCCAGTAGGAGTCACCACAGAACACCCTTCAGGTAGCTCAAAACGGTGAACGCTTGTGGCATGGGAATCAAGCCTGATTTCAATTGCATTTTGAAGAGTGACGTCCTCCCCAGTAATGAGATCTCGGGCGAGATACTCGCAACCGACCTGGGATAGCCCAAGGCGTTCGAGGGGGATAGTTGTGCTGGCTGCGACTGGTCCACGGTTCAAAACAGTCAAGAGTCTATCACCATTTGCCAAGGAGCGTGACAAAACATCAAAGGTGCCGTCACGACTAACCAAGGCAGCCTGTTGAGCCAGTGGGTCCTGATCCACCGCGATCAGAGCCTCATTGCTAAGATATGCAATATCCTCATCTGACAGATCAGTAATATAAGCACTGATAATCAGCGGGGCAGAGAAGGAAGCCCAAAGCCTGAAGTGAGATTCTTTCTCTGTCTGCGTCAGCCCCGGGTGGTCAGGGATCAAGAAATCCGGATCGTTGAAGTATCCCGGGCGCTGGTAGCGGACAAGAAGCGTATTGTAGTCGTAGTTATTCATAATGCTATCCCAGGCACTGCCCTCGCCGACATAGACAAGCACATCGGTTGAATGACGCGCCAACTCACCATTCCGCGGAACCCAATCCATCACAGCCGCCCAGTCAGAAGCATTATCGGCAAAATAAGCGGGTGCAGACTCAGAGAAGATCAATGGCCTTGGCAACTCGCTCAAAACCTCGTTCCACTTCCCATAACGAGCTCGATACTCGTCACGTAATGACCGATCATCCTCTGCCCAGACGTTGCACCCGTCCACCTTGATGTAGTCGATACCCCAGCTAGCGAAGGTCTCAACATCAAGCCTCTCATACCCGTACGAACCGGGAAACCCGCCACAGGTCTGGTTGCCGGCGTCTTCGTAGATACCCAAGTGGAACCCGTACTTGGTAGCATAGCTGGCGAGCCACGGAATGCCTTGCGGGAATTTGGTGGTGTTCCACTGCAATGAGCCGTCGGCAGCCCGGTCGTGGCGCATCCAGCAGTCGTCCAGGTTCAGGCGGTTATAACCTGCATCGCGGAGGCCACGGGATAGCATTGACTGTGCGGTCTCTGTGAAGAGGGACTCGTTGAGATCGCATTGGAAGCGAGCCCAGTTATTGAAGCCCATTGGGGGCGTGGGCAGTAAGCCTGTATTCCCGAGCGAGGCTTGCACCGGTAATAGTGGGAGCATCAGGGCCATTTTTGCCGTATCCCAGACGGTCGAGGGCGCTCCCATTGCTGGTCTCGTGTGAGGGGCAACCCAGGCCGGGAGAGGTCATGCTTCATATACCCAGGCCAGAACGCAGGGTAGCACTGCATGATATCCCTGGAAGCCATCTTTTGCTTTGCTTCAAAGTGACCCCCGCATTGCATGCAAGTCAGATGGGGTGCGAAGTCGCATAAGGCTCAGAGTCAATCGAGTGAGCGATCTGCGGTGTGGAGGTGAAGATCATCGTTCGACACGACATTTCCGAAGAAAACCATCCAATGGCAACTCCGCAAGCGTTAGCCCGGAGGATTTGAAAATGAGACTGATCATATTTCTTGTTCGGCCGTTTTTTTCCCTGCGAACCCCACTGTGGCACAGCTGAACTGACAATGCGATTGAGATGACATAGTTTCTGTGATCCTGACTCTGCCCATTCCACTCACTCGCCATGCCTCCAGACACCAAGACGAAGATCCGCCCCCAACAATCCTGTCTCAAGTGTCGCGAGCGCAAAGTCAAGGTAAAACGCAGCCCCCAACATCTAGCATCTAGTATACTAGTATACATTCCTGACACTACTCCAGTGCGATCGCTCGATCCCCTGCCATGCCTGTATAATCCGCGGCCTCGACGCAGAATGCACGTACACCGCGAGCGCCGAAGACCGCGCCCACATCAGCCAAGCAGATATCATCGAGCAGTTAAGGCGGGAGGTCGCCCAGCTCCGCGGTCGGCTAAATCAACCGCGGGAACCGGCACGGCCGACGCAGAAGAGCTGGCGAGCTCATCCGTATGCGCCCGCCCGCAAGGAGTTCAAAGAGAGGGAGGGGAGCTGGAGTGGGAGTTCGCCTTCTTCGACGACAATGACGGGGTCAGCCAACGTTACAAGTCCTGATAGTACGGGGAGTGAGATTGGTGCCGGGTCAGTGTCTTCAAGATCTGTTTCGTCGCGGTCGGCGTCCGTTTCGGCCCCTGCGACTTCGAGTTCGACGGCGACGGCGCCTGCTACGGTTTCGGCTCCATATCTGTTTGCGCGGGAGGATGGCCCCAGTCAGGAATTAGATCTTGGACGTGCGTTATATTCAAAGGTTGTGGAGGCTGTGCTGATCTTTTGCAGAAACACATTACCTGGGCTTTGGGGATGTCAATCAGGGTCCTGTGCACGGACTGCCTGCGCCCCCGGAATCACTCCCTTTTTATCCTCATATAAACTATACGACACCTGTTCCGACGCAGTACGATCATATATCAACAGAGAATCAAGGGTGGGAAGGATACGAGGGTATGGGGCCGATGCCAGTTCAAATGCCCGCGCCATACCCGTCTCAATATTCGTCTATCGACTCTTTCGCCAATGCCAATGCCAACACCTATGCAGATGCATCTCTGACCGCCTCGGGCGATACGACCAGTCACGCCAGCCCCAGTTCCGACAGTCTCTCGCCGACGATCATGAATTCCATACCCAGTTCCTGGAAAGGCGAAGGCAAAAAGGCCGTACTGCAAGCCCTCCTGGAAACAATCGGGAGTTGCGACGAACACCAGGTCTCCCGAGTGATCCACGTCGTGCGGACGAGTCCCACGCCCGAAGACGCCGTTTCAGGGATATGTCAAGTCCTCGGACTTGGGACCGGGTGGTAGTGCCTGCTGGGGTCCAGAGCCGGATCTCTGGATCTCATTTCTTCGATTTCGCTGGTCGAATTGATGATCGGACGCAGATGCCATCACGCATTTACGTACACACGCTGTCTATGTGACCATGATCACACCCCACTTTTTTTGGTATATACATTAATGCAAAATGCAAGTTCAAGCCGTGTGGCTTGGGGTATCGTTGTCGTTATCTTCGTTAAAAGGTCCGAGGTCCGGGCTCAGGGCGTCTCGCCCTCAAGTGGTTTTTGCCCATAGATGAAGTGGAAGGTCGTGTAGAGATGGTAGGAGTTGCTGACCAGCTCCTTACGCACTTTTTCCATGAGTTCCTGGGCGTCTTGATATGAGAAGCCCAAGACACGGGTGAAGAGAGCAAGCGTGTATGGCTCAACAATCTCGAGGAAGATGACCTTCCCCACGCGCCCGATTTCTTTTAATCGACGGTTCTTGGGCCATCCGCCAATAGGACACTGTCTGGGTCAGTAAGTGGGCAACAATATCACTCTGCGTAAAGAACGAAACCCACCTTGTATTTGTCATCGAGGATATTCTTGAATCCTTGATTCTCCATCCAGTCCTCCAGTCTAGCAGCCACATCCATAGGCTTTCCGAACTTGGTACTGGCCTGCACCAACAGGTCCTGCCAAGTAGCAAGCGCAGTAGCCCGCTCATGAGTTCCATCATCAGAAGCGACCAGGAGGTCGAATTCCTGCACCTCAAACCAACCCCCAGGCTTGAGATGTGTATAGGCCTGCTTCAGCAGTCTGGGCCAATCACCCACACCACCCGACAGACTCCGGGCGTGGATGAGGTCGAATTTCTCATTCGGGTCGAAGGTCCAGTCGCTTTCGGCGTCGTCGATGAAAAAGCGACAGTTGGGTGGTGCCCAGTTGGGCTGGATGGGACTGAGGTCTGTGCCGATGATGTCGGCGTGGGGGTAGTGTTCGGCCATTTCGAGGGCCCATTCGCCGGTGCCGGTGCCTATGTCGAGGACGCGGCGGGGGGAGTGGATTGGGGCGCGGTGGAGGTCGCCGCCTGTGAGGAGTTTGAAGAGGTGGTGGGTGAGGGCGAGCCGGTCTTGTTCTTCTTCGTCGTTGGGGAAGGGGTATTGGCCATTGCGGTAAGCGTGATAGCGACGGCCATTTTCGTAATTATAGTCCCGGACGGAGGAGGCGAAAGAGAGGTTCGAGCCTAGCAGGGATTGGGTGTCGAAGAGAGAATCGTCGTCACTGGTCTGGAGGGGTTAGAGGAAGAAACACAAAGAAAGCAGAATCTTACATCGACTTGGATCCGTTCGTTCGGGTTGGGTTGTGACATGGTTAAGGGACAGCTCCCGGGAGAAGGGCACCTTTAACCACTTTGTCGGGTATCCCGTAGTGCGGGTCTCGGGGTTTGCTTAGTTGACACGTCTACTGTGAAAACAGAAAACAGGTGAAAACAGGTACTGAGTACGGAGTAGAACTTATTAAATTAACTGCGAATAGAACCAACTATAAGTACCTAGGTACCTACCCCAGGCAATAACATCATAGATGTACAGTAGCTGCAGACACAAAGAGCGAGAGCGAGAAACGACCCGACAGTCTGGCTCGTCCCCACTGCGATTCATGTACTTCACTCTCGATCGCCTCCCGATTTGATCGCATGCAAAAGTACTTTATTGTTCTGGGATTAGTCTACTCAATAGTTACAGACTCTGCAGCTTGCTCTGCTCGTCTGGAGTTAGTGCCCCGTACAATTCCTGGAATCCGGGCTGCGTAGACGCCTGTCGGAAGAACTCTGCCAAGTAGCCCTGCGTTTCATCGTCACGACGACGCACCCCAAAGACACTCTCCGAGCCACCCTCACCCCAGTTCATCAATCCTTGTTTGGTGGCGCCAATTCCCAGGTCCAGGACGTGGCCGGGCATGTCTTCCCAGTCGTCGTCGCCGTCGTCGCTATCGGCGTCGTCGAGGGCGGCCGCCGATTCCATCTCCTTGTTTCCGGATGCCGCGCCGAGTTCTTCCACCAGGACCTTGATGATCTTCAAGGGTGCAGGCACGGTGGTGTATTGGTCGGGGTTTTTACGGGCCTGCGACCGGGTCTTAATGCGGCCTGTGTCTTGGATGATCAGGTCGCCCTTCACGGGGACCTCGGCCACACGCGGGTCTGCAAGTTCGTAGAGACGCGCGAGAGCGAAGATGTTTTGTTTGATCTCGTCATAGCCGGCGAAGTTGACGGAGTTCTCGAGCCACTTGCTCAGGACGACGGCAAGGCCGCTCTGGCCATTCAGGTTGACCTGGGCCAGGAAGTCGACGACCTCGCGGGCGCTAATGAGGGTCAGTCGGGCAAAGACCAGGATGAGACTCTGGATGAATTGGGCTTGTTGGGCGGTAGCCAGGCGTTGGGCCACGGCCTGGAGAAGCTGCGGGAGGTAGGGACCCAGGCGCTCGGAGCCAGCCTTCTCGACCAACTCGGCGGCCAGCTGACCGACTTCGGTGGCGGCGTTGTCGTCGACTGCGGGACCCAAGAGACGGTCGATGATAATCAGCACCACTTCAAGGGCCTCCTTGCCGGTTTCGGGGTCGCGCCAGACGATGAATTGGGCGAAGTCATGGGAGAGCATATGACGCACTGCTTCGGTAGCCGGGCGAATCAGCTCGGCCTCGTCAGAGCCGAGAAGCAGTCGGTTCAGCTTGGGCATAACAGTCTCCACAAATCCTGCGGGCATCGGCTCAGGGCTACGCTCGGCCAACGCGCGCAGGAGATCGGCGGCGAAATTGGTAAGAGCGTTCTCATCGGTCAGGTTGCCCACGTCAATTGCGCCCATCAGAGACGGAAGCACCTTCTCGCAGAGACGCATGTAAGCATCTGATCCGAGATCGGTGATTTGGTCCACAATGTCCTCGAATGCCTCCGTGACAGTCAGCGTCAATTGGAAGTTTTCAGCCCCGCTACTCGCAATGTTGAAAAGCACATCAATGGCGGTAGATGAAAGCACCACTGATGAGTCGGCCATGATAGTGTCGCGGAGAGTTTCAGCCAATGTGACCTTGAGGTCATCGGCCTCGGTTTGCTCCCGCAGATCATGGGCGGCAATAAACTCGGAGATGGCCGTAATCACGGCGGGTTGGAAGGGACGCGCAAGGCTGGTCGGCAGAGAGGGAACCAAATCTTGCAGCACTCGGATGCAGGCCACTTGAACCACCTCAGCGGGATCTTCGTTGATCGCTTTCAAGGTGGCCTCGAGATAAGAAGTAGTGGTCTGGTTGAAAGTCTCACCAGCGACCTTGGACAGAGCACCAGCGACGAGGTAGCCGCGAGCACGGAGCAGTTCCTGCTCTTGTTGAGTGGCGTATTGCACAAATTGAGCGAAGTGAGATGCCAGCTCGGAGGAGATTTCAACGTCGACCTCCCCGAAGTCGCGGAGAAGACTGTTCAGGATGTACAGGGCGGCTTCCCGAGATTTCCATCTGATCACATAATTAGCGGGCTTTGTTTGCGATTGACATCAGAGGTTACTCACGAAACAGACGAATCCGCGAAAAGCGTATTCATATGGCTCAAGAGAGCTTCAGCTGCGGTCGCCTTCAACCACTCACCGGTTTTGATGACCAAATCTCCACTGCAAGTTCGAGGGGTGTAATTTGCCGTGACAGATGTTTCCTCCGAAAGGAAGAGATTCACATCAATCTCCCAGAGGCCCTCCTCTTCTGTTGTGATCTGGGCGTAAGAACTGGCAAGCTTCATAATTTCTGGAAGCCAGCTGGAGGTGCTCGCACCTGCACCTGCATTCTGCAACTGCTGGTGCAGCTCGGCCTTGACTGGGGGAGCCTTGAGTAAAGCTTGGATGATGTCAAGCTCCTCTAGAACAAGGAAATCCAGGGAGTGAGGAAGTCCGTCTCCATCCTCCAGGCGACCTTGTCTCTCTTGTTCAATGTAGAAGTTTTGGTAAATCGGCAAAGCGTTGGTGAGTTCGGCCCAGACGGTGGAGAAGAAAAGGGTGCTTTGTGAAGTCAACAAAGCCGGGAAGACGTTGCGAATTTTCATAAGTGTCTGGGAAACATGTTAACGACTGTTTCTGAGCCACCAGAGCGTCATCACTATCTTACCTTGACCACCTGTAACTTTAATCCAACCAGGCCACGCCACTGCGACGCAATTTCTCCTTGTTTGTGCTCCTCTTCCTCGGAGGGTGGCTGCGGGAGAGGTGTCTTCAAAGTGACATCGAAGAAAGGCGACCACCCACCAAGCACCTCATCCATAAACTGCTTGATGGCTGTCTTGTGTTGCTCTAGGACCATTTCCAGGGTATCGAAGCAAGCACGGAAGACTGCAACGGCCAACGCGCGCAGCATGGGCCGCCGCGACTCGGAAGTAGCGACGGCGAAAAGGGACGAGACAAGATCACGAGCGACATTGAAGAACTGCTCCTCGCTGAACCCTGTATCGACCAGATCCAGCAAAACTTTCAGCGCGCCATGCAATTGACCGTCGGTGCTGGTAGGCTCATTGATGATGTGCAGCAAGGACGGGAGCAGCTCGGGCCAATCGTCAGGGAAGTCGGCACTGGCGATCTTGCTGACAGCATAGCTGGCAGAGTTCTTCACTTTGCGCTCGGGGGTATCATTGGTCGCGAGGACCAGCAGCGCCTGGCGGACGTTGACTTTGTTTGTATCGTTGATGAGGACCTGGCCTCTGAATTCATCAAGCACAGGTGACCAGGCGGCGGAAATGAAGGTACGCAATACGGAAAGGGCGGACTGGCGCAGGTTGACGGGGACCGAGGCGTGGGAAGCAATTGCTGTAAGGGAGCTGGGGAAGGATTCGTGGGCGTAGAGGTTCTTCAGCTGCAACTCTGCCGATTTTCTGGTGTCGGCCTTGGCTGCCTGGGTGTCGGCCAGGAGCGAGAGGAGTTCCTGCTCCATGGTGAAATGTGGAGAATGGATTGGCTTGAAGCTCCAAAGGGGAGATAATCCAATTGTCTGCGATAAGGAGAGGAGGGGCAATTCAAAGGCGGTCGGGGGATTGGATATCGCGTCTGTAAACACCAACACCAGTCTTGGATTTCATGTGCCTGGGGCCCATTTCTTTACTCCAATATGAGGACCAACTCGTGTGAGCTCGACTCTACACTCCATCCCAATCCATACACTACTGGAAGGGTCCAATAAATTTCTTTTTTATGGAGTGTGGATGATAGGGCTGTACTCCGTACGGAGTACCCAACTGAAATCCCGAGACGATGTATTCGTTCATTCAGGGTAGCCCAAGCCCCAAAAGGCCAAGATCTCCCTCTATATTCGTTTTTCGCCAATAAAATGATTGGGGTACGGCACACAGATTCTAGAGTATGAAATACGTCGATTCGCCTTGGAAGCGGGAGATCACTCCGATCTGCACGGCCAAGCAGTGAGATCGCTTAGGGTTCAAACACGCAGAATGGACGGTGTGAAAGCAAACGTATCGGGATTGACCTTTGACGCCACATGTTAGCTGCGCCTTACTCCGTACATCTTGTTGGGAATCCTGGGACGCGTCAGACAGGGATTGCGAGACAGCCGGGAATTCGCAGCTTAATGCTTAATTTAGACTACAAGTCTAAATCCTTCGAGAAACTAGGGCTGGTCTTGGGATCCTCCAGAAGCACACTGACCGTGGAGACTGCTTTCATGGAATTTGCCCGTTACAGACCCATGAGGCTTTCCGCGTCTCTGATTTCCACCATACACAGACTCCCGTCCTCCGTACATGGGTCCCGCGTCGACTGGCTCGAGCTTCAGGTGAGATTTGATCATTTCGGTAGATCCTATTGGACCCTGATCTTTCGGTGGATGTTCCACCAAATTGACTCTGGCATGGATATGCGGGACAATGACTTTTCAGAGGGTGATGACACTTGCATGCTGTGGTATGTGTATGGTACCAGCTCCCATTTCGCGGCAATTCGGAAGCTAATGTCAGGCGCTCGAGAATTGCCGTGACCCGATGAAGCCACTGCAGTACCTGTAACGTGCCGAGAAATTAGCATTCAACGCCCAAGTAGAAACGTATGGAAGGGATTGATAATCTAGGGCCACCGAATGATACCTAATACGCCGCAGGACCTGCATGGCTCCCCATCAACCATACGGAGCACAAATGAAATTCTCCCCGGGAAATCGTACCCTTGTCCGATGGCCGCCACTGCCGTCAGCGTAGGAAGATCGGCGGTCACAGTGTATTCTGTATGCTCCGTACATGCTATGATGTACAGTTTAATTCGTGAATTCCATATTATTGTCCATATGACTACTGTAGTAGAATGATCTGGTAGTACTACAGTATACAGCCTGGAGTATCAAAACACTCCCATGATTAAGGTACTGGTACCCAAGCCTCTGTCTCGGCTATCCTTTCTCACCCATGGTTCTGCCCATATAATCCTTCAGCGGATACCTGAATGGGATCCTGTACCCTTTTTTCGCTTGGCTGCGATGATCGCCCCTCTTTCTGTTGGTGGGGAAGAGGCAAAAACTGTGTGTCTTTTGATTTTTTCCCACTGGGTATAGGGAATACTGTAATTTTCCTTGCATCCATTGCTTTTCATTCGAGTAAATAGAGAGGAAGAGAGATAAATAGAATACTAGTACACTGCCCAAAGAAAGAGAGTAGAGCGCAGGCAGAAAATGGGGAATCTGCAACCCATGACGCAACACGTGACGAACAACCAACACCAACCTCTTTCCGCCTTTCTTCTGCTTTTCCCCTCGATGAGCGAGTGTGAGGTACATCCCATCGATCCATCTCTATAACCTGTCGGTTCCTGTTTATTTGTGACGCCTCTAAGTTGGGCTCTCTAAATTCCTCGAGGGTTTACCGTCTCTCAAAAAACTTCCCCTCTTTCCTCTCGCTTTTAACACCCCTCCTCGACCTCCCCTCAAGGGATCTAAAATCCCAAAAAAAGCGACAACTCGTGCATTTGGGATCGTCGCTCGGGACTTGACTGGATCTTCCATCCCTCATGCTCTGAAGTTTGCTTCTACTTTGCATCTTGTCCACCCAAGCGTACGTCCCGGATTTCCTTTTTCAACAAACAGCCCCCCCCCCTCCAACCCACCAACCACCTTACCCCCCTCCTCCCACCCCCCCACAAAACCCTTTTTTTTAAAAATCGCGTCGGGGAGCTTCTTTTGTGTCGCTCTACTCACCCTGGCCTTTTCAGCCTTTTCATCCCGCGAAGCATTTTTGACTCGCCGTGTTCGCTGGAGTTCCGGGAAATCCCAAAAAAATCTTGATCGACTTGCAAACGTCAAAGCACACACGATACATTTAATCAGACTTGGTGTTGACCGATGGATTAGAAAGGCAGAGCGATGATTAGCTTCAGGGTGGAACATCATTCAGATTCTTCGAGACTTCGTCAAGACCGCCCTCACCGTGGAAGCGACACCGGATCATTCGACGGCAATGCCGATTGCCAGTGAGAGCAGTAGTACCACCACCATGACAACCTTTTCCGCCCCGATCCCCGCCACCAAATCGCTGCCTACAAATCAGTCAGCGCTAGCGGCCTCCTTCACCAACTTCCTCACCGTTTCCGTTCACCAAATACTCTTCCTGCGCTCCGTCTACCCACGCGCGACATTCCTCCCCGTCCGTGCATACAATTATCCCGTCCGACAATCCCGTCACCCGAAAGTGTGTGACTATATCAACGATGCATCAATCGCAGTCGGAACGGAGATCTTAAAAGGCACAATCACCGCAGTCAGTATCATCATTTCATCTCTTCGCACAAACCAGCCCCTCGAGCGATATGCGTTTGATCTGTCGGGCTTCCCGCGTGCCCCCGCGGGAGAGGTGAACACTACATTTGAAGACAGAAATGAAGATTCATCCAATCCAGGTGCCCCAGTCTCAGACCGGGGCCCCGCGCCCACATCCGTCGACCTTGAGGCGCAATTCCGGGCGTGTCTCGCCAGACTCGCCTCCGCGTGCGCTCGGTTGACCCCGCTGCCCCGCGATGACGAATTCAGTTTCACCGTGTGCATCGAGGTGCGGGAGGATGCCCTACCACCGGCGGGGACCACCAAGGAAGAGCAGACTTGGATTGTGGCGGAACCGGGCAAGGTGCATCTACGATCATGCACCGCACCGTTCTCCGTCTCGAAACTACGGAATGGCGAGCCCCAGCAGCCGCCCCCCAGGGTCTCGAATGGCCGTGCCAAAACAGTACCCGTGCGACGTGTCGAAGCCGGCGAACTCCGATTGGAGTTGTGGGTAGAGGAGGCACGACAGAAGTTCAACGAACCGGTGGACTCAGAACAACCACCTTGAACTCGAGATACACTATACTGTTTCAGGCCTTGGGGGGAGAAATTCGTGGTTCTTTTCTCCTTTCATATTCACCTCTCTACCTGCTCATTTTCATTTCCTGTCCACACCCAATTTCTGTCTCATTCTTGATTTAGCGTGACCAATGATCGAACATACATGATGGACGAAGGAAATTCTGGAACTGCCGTGCGCAAGAAGTGGCGCAAATACATAAAACGGGGAGCGGACGATTTTTGGGACTCGCATGGCATTTACTTACATAGATCAGGTTTCATATCTTTCCTTTTTCTTTGTGCTTCATCTCCCTGCTTTTTACTTCTCGGCCCCTGCCCTTCCTCCCATTATCACTTTCATGACGCTCCTTCTCCATCCCTCTTTTCCCTCCCACTTTTCTTCCAACTCTTATATTTTCTCGTTTATTTCCATTTGCATTTTGCTTGATCCCCTGGGTTCTCTCCTCGCTGATCTTTTTTGCTGCGGCCCGGTCCCATTTCTTTTCTCCTTTTCATACCATCTCCCATTGTTGTTGTATTTCCATTCGTCTTCTCATTGTTGAACTCTCCAACTACATGATCCTCTTTTCTAGCCAATTCAACAATCTAGTAACTAGTTCCCAATCTCGTCCCGCGTCTTCCTGCATTGCTGATGAACCCAGTGAACCCAATCCTGTCGAGACTCGGGTCTGCGATTCTGTAATGTTGCATGTCCATTTCCATCTTCCATTCCGAGTCTTCCCCTTCAATCTCTGCATCTTGGTTGCTCTGCGTTCCTGTGCCCATTTACTAATACCTCCGGCTTGGCCGAGGGAGAAAAACATACGCCGCTAGGCACTCAATGATCATGTGTAATTATGCTAGCCTGTCCAGATTAGGTCAATGAATACCCTTCCAAGGTTCCACATGAAATGTTTCTTCGCGCGTCACCGATAAGTATCACTTCAAGCTCTGAACCCTTCGCCATTCCCAGTTTCCTACTTACAATCGAGCAATCAACTGATATTCTCATAAAAGCCAACATCTAGACCTCCATCTGGTGCATGAGCACCCAGTAGCTTGAACCGGGGGTGGGGCATTCTTATCTTAGAGCCGCCACCTTTCAGAGCTCGAGTATATATTAGCTCAATCTATACCCCAGTCACGTGTAGTAGGGCTGTTCCAACGGTGCCTATTGGATGACTATTGGATCCATCCGTGGATGACGGGCTCACTAATTAGCCGGGGTAAGCCACCCGTAGCCCTAGGCGTGAATGTCTCACTCTTGTGGTGGGGTTTTTGAGACCTCTGGAGTCATGCATACGAGTAGGCTCTACTAGACCGGAATCGGACTATGTGGCCTATAGTCGATACTAAGACCGGTTTGCCACTCGATTGTCATATTTCAAGGGTTTGTCGTTCTAGACAACCTTGAAGCTGTCAGATGTACTCCGTCTGCTATCTTATATACCTTGTCCCAGGCAGGTCTAGAACCCTTGGCGAGTCATTCTATGCCTACAAGATCCCTGAGGGACCGCTGCTTTACTACGTACCGGATTCGCCATTGACAGTTTGACTTGAGCGCAAGTCTTGTGCAGAAAGCCCTTCTATCACATGCCTAGATGACGGGACTGCCTTCCCTTTTGAGTACATGCATGCCAAATTCATATTAAAGTGGGTGATATCGCCACAATAGAGCATATCGCTCCATCAACCAAGCATTGTTTTTATAAGCTTGATACATTCATGTGAACAACTCATGTTAGTCTCTACAGTCCAGGAGCCAAAAGAATTATCTCGCACCACAGAGGGGTTATACCCGGTGGATTTGAGTTCCCAGTTCTTCCAAGTTGCATTCCCCTATATACATGAAACACAACTCCATCGGTATCTACAACCTCAACACGAACAGTGTTCCCCAAACCGAACTCATGGACAGCCCATATCTCTGCTCCCTAAAGCCTTTCCTCCTCACAAGCCATGCAGAGCCCAGCATTGCGCTGATAGGTGTTGTATTGGCATCCATCCCTCAAGTGAAAGCAAGTTGTTTCCGTATAGTTCGTGAAGTAGTAACCGTGCCCACAAGTATAATGCATTTGGAAGCGGTTATAACAAGTCATGGTGGTTGTTTTTATCTAGGCAGTCAGTCTACAACCATATACACCTGGGCATCCATGTATGTCCAACCTTGGAAGTGGACATGACATGCATTCCAAATTTGAGCGGGGTCAGGTACGTACCAACTGCCTTGAAAACGTTCGATTCGATTGAAGATAATCAGGATATAAGCTAGAATTCAAAGTCTAAGATGCATTGTGTATGCAGAGCGAGAACCGCCGATCTTAAATATTGGGCCCATCAGGAGGGGTATTCGGATTAAAGCAGTGTCCATCCAAATACGTGGCACCTGTGTCCGTCTACGTATGTCCACCTGGGCACAGTCTTTGCTGACGGTCAGCACTTGTGGACGATTTCAGCGCCCTAGTGGAGCACCGGTGGACAACCAATCAATATGAGACCTGTCTTGCGAAGTCGGAACTTTCTAAGGTCAGCCCCAGAGGGGATATCAGGCTCGAGAACAAAGCAATGTCGAGTTCCAAAATGTCTCAATAGACGAGTCTCTTTCCAAGTTCCAAGTTGGAAAGAGACTGATTCCAACCTTGAACCTTGGAACCTCGAAACCGGTTCAAGGTTGACCTCTAGCCCTGAGAATATATAACTACTAGGTACCTAGTAGACTAAATGGGCTCACCCAACGCTTCCAATGTTAGCGTCTACGGTGTTTCATGGTTGAAGATAATATCCTGGGGTCCACTTATGGATGGACGCTGAGCTTCATCCTGCCCAGGTAGAGGTATATATTCAACTAGATTTGCCCGGCTTGCCCATTCCGATATCTCGACCTCGAAAGCAGATGCTTACTCGAATACCATGACCTTCCACTCTCGTTGTAGTCGGGCCCAGTCCCTGAGGTATATCCAGCCCAGCTCCCGACGACATGCAAACACATCAGTGGTGGCAATCATCAAAACATTCACAATAGGTATTCTTTTCAACCAGTTCCCATCGGAGTCACAATAGCTTTTCCGACTGAAATCCTCCGAGTAAGGTCTGATCCCGGAAAGCGAGAGAGCAACAAATTCGAATTCAGTGTTCGATTTATGGTCCGAAGAGTTAACCTGTTTTCTGAGATTTGTCACGTCTCCGCACAGCCCACCGACGATACCCCCCTCCGTGTCAATGATGTGGAAAGAAGAGGAGGATCTTGGGGTCAATCTGAGGTGAACAGTCAGGGACTTTGTTGCTATGATCCCTTGTCTTCCTGTGCCTGTGCCAATGGCCTGTGGTAATTCAGTGATTTCGATGGTCATTGGGATCGCTTCCATAAGAAAAGATCGATAGTCCTGCCAGCGGGTGTTGAAAAGCTTACGCACAGCCGTGAAGCTTTCGGTTGTCAATGAGAAAGGCAGGGAAACACTTCTCACACATCCTTCCTTGGTCGCGATGGCCATATAAACCTGCCAATCATCATCCGGTTCCGAGTCAGGATGAGCATTCAAGGCTGCGACAGAGCCTGCAGACGCGACGGAGCCATCAACATGATACCAAGGGGCAAGAGTTCCATAGAATTCCGAAGCTCGATAGTGAACAGGGTCTGACAAGCCCATAACTGATAACCAGGACCATGTTGGTAGGACCTCGCCCTGACATTCGAGACGTTGTATGGCGTTCTCACCAATGTCAGGATACCACAACAACGCGCGGTCAAAGTCGGCAACTGGCAGCCCGCTGATAAAAGCACCAGAGCCTTTGTACAACGAGGTGGAAATTCCATACAGCGCATTGTGCGCGTCAGACCGATATGTGAGATTCCTCGAAGTGTAATGCCTAAGATGGCGAGTGAAGGATTGAAACCGGGAGCGATCCTCAGAGATGACCAGTCTGGTTGAGAAGAGCTCGTTCAGACTCTCTTCCGGATTGAACGGATCCTCATGACAGATCAATCGCTCACATTCGAAGAAGGCCCGAGTGTCGGTGAAGTAGAGACGCCTGTGGGACAGAACAGACTCTTGATATGTCCATCCCCGAGTAGCCCACAGGTTAAGCGGATCATCTTTGACATCTCGAATCACATTCGTGACTCGCAGATCAAGGATATTCTCACTATTTTGAAATGGCTTTCTTGGAACACGCATGCCCGGAATCCCAAAGTCCATATTATCGCCGTAGGCGGCCACGAGCACAATCTGCGCCGAAGAGTAAATTTCGCCCATGGCTACTATTTGATTCTTCTTGTCATCTGGGTCATCTTGTATAATGCACAGTCTATCAGCCCACAGGTATTTTTCGCCCATTCGTACACAGATCTCAATTGCATCTTCTATTGTTTTGGGCATTGTTGAAGTAGGGAGCCCACCATCTTTCTTCATGTCGTCGATCGTGGCACGGGTACCTTTAAGCAGGGCTGGTTGAGGATCCGGACCCCATACGTAGCTCAAGGCAGCAAATCGGCAACTGCTTGTTTCAACAATGCATCGTCGATGCACGTCAATGACCCGAAATCCAGGAGGAAGACTGCGTTTTCGTTGACACTCGCTGTGCGTTTCGTAGCATTCCTCTATCCTGTCCAATAAGGACACCCAGGATATTGTTCCATTCACAGGAGACGCAGTTGGGACTTTGGCTTTCAGGTAAGGTTATGATGCATACTGGAATAGAATTGAATATCATACCGATTTTAGCATCATCGATATGAAGATCACCAATCCACATGGTTGCCACTCCGCCATTCTCAGGATAATGGGCCCAGATTTCGGCGGAGGAAGCATCCGATCTCTCTGACTGTGACTCTTGCGGTGGCCCTGGATAGAGAACGATCTCGTAGTCGGCTGCTCTCACTTCAAGCAATTGCGCAGGACTGAGTCCAGCCACGATCATATGGTTGATTAGTCGACAAAACCGACACTCAGTCACATTTGCATCTTCTGCCAGTCCTTTACGCAAAGTGAATAAGAATCTGCTTCGAGTCACGGGATCCACGCATTTGATCAGATGCCTCAATCGTAGGTGCTGACAGTGACCACAGGGGGCATATTGCTGAGGGTCTACGAGAGAACATGCCGGGCATGGCTGGTGAAACAGCTCATGGCACTCCTGTTCAGATGGTCCAGAGTCACTGGAGGAGTAGTAGGATACAGACGAAAGACATGGGGCACAATGCTCATCCATGATTGGGGAGTTTATGAGAAGATCCCAATGCACAGATCCCAGGGGACGCACAGCCAATTAGTCACGCTGTCTTAGCCCCAACGCTGTCCATGAGAGGAGTGTTGGCCTGGAAGAATGTCATTGGTAAAGGATCTGTGCGGGGTAAAGTGGCAGTAATCAACTGCAACGAACAGCTCAGATTGACGGATTCCTCATCTCCGCATTGTCGTGAGAGAATGTCTGACCGTAGATGTCTTTGCTTGGAGAGCGAGGTATTGTCGTACAATCCAAGTAAGTCGAACTCAGAGGTGTGCATTGTCAGAAGCCCTCGCGTCTTGACTCGAGTAATGGCTGATCTCGCCGTTGTGCTCCATTTTGAAAGAGCAGCTTCTGATTCTGGTGATTGCTCACCTGGCTGGTGGATATCATCAAACTTTTCTATCGCATTGCGAAAGCGTATGTGCTCAACCGGGTGGGACCCTGCATCGGAAGGTCGATCAGGTCGATCAATCTCTACTAGTACGAGTGTTTGCAGCGGCGGCATTGATGGCTGGAACGTGGATGTCATAAAACCTTTGACATTTCACACCAAACTCTTCGATACGAGGTGCATGGCACAGATCGTGAAGAGCGAAAACCTAACCAGTCCGAAGATAAGGGAAATGTTGACGCAAGGAACATTACACCACGGAAGATATTGTTAGTAACAGACCTTTCGCTACCTGCAGGGTCTTCTGACACCGCCCTTGAGATACTGATAGAGTCTGGGAACGTCACACCAAACCATTAGGTAGAGACGAGACCGGAGTAGTAAGAAGTGATCATCATGAACAAGCCAGTGATATAATCCCTCACATGATGCCTTGTCTGAGCACCTGGACACTTGAGCCCTGAAAGGTCAAGACCATTACGCAACGAACTTCGCGACTCGAATGCAACTTCGCTTGTCGTCGCTTGTCAGCGGGCCGGTGACACAGAGAAACCTCACCGTTCGAGTAGGAGACTCCGGCCCAGATCGTGACATTGGAATCGAACGAATCACAGAGCAATTCCAGGGCTGTTCGTGTGACAGATAACAACAATGACAGCATCGGGGCCCCGTCGGCATTGTCTCCACGTTTGCTTCATTTGTCTGGCCCGCTTTAAGTGACCCCGGATTCCTCTCGGGACTTCTTTCTGTTTATGACTCCACCTGGTTTCAAGATCTGAACTTCTGAACTTGCGCCTGACATCACAGTCAAGACATCGAAGAGAACATCACATCACTGCACCAGCACAACCAGTCAAGACCCGGACTGGTCAGAATCTTCACATCTCCAACTTCATCATGATTGCCGCAGAGCCCCGCACCCTGCCAGAAGGGGAATCCCCCGACCTGATCTTGGTCCCAGCCACCGCCTCCGAGCGGATTGCATCAATCAAGCTGAACAGTTGCGAATGGAAAGGCCCACTGGACCTGGAATCCTACATAGCGCGCGAGAACCATCTACTCACCCACCGACTGACACGCGACGCTCTAACATGCTGGGTCCTGGTAGACCGCCGCGAGCCCGAGGATAGCCGCACGATCCTGAGCGCGTGTGAATCCTACCGCAAACCCGCACTGCTAGCTCACCACGGGCAGGTCGAGAAGGTCTCCACGCATGGCGTGGGAAGTGTCTTTTCTCGACCCGAGTTCCGGGGAAAAGGATACGCGAGGCGTATGATGGAAGAGCTGAGCACTAAATTGGAGACATGGGAGATGGAGGAAGAGAAGAGGGGGAAGTCGGTGTTTACAGTGCTTTTCTCGGACATTGGGAAGAAATTCTACGCGCAGTTTGGGTGGCGGCCGTTCCCGTCGTCGCATATGTCGTTACGGGCCGAGGCGGGCGTGGATACAGGTGCCAGGGAGCTATTTGCCGAGGATGTACAGAAGGATCTATGCAGCGAGAAAGTGATGGGTAAATTGCACGATCAGATGTTGGCTGCGTCGCAGAAATCGCCCGTTGCGAAGATTGCCATTGTGCCCGACTTTGATCACTTCTCGTGGCACTGGGCCCGTGAAGAGTTCTATGCTGAAAATTTATTCCCTGAGCGCTCTCCACCGGTCGTCAAGGGCGCTGGTGTTGACAAAGCCGGTGTGTACTGCACCTGGAATCGAGTATTTGGCGAGACGCCCGAAGAAAACCTCCTCTACATTCTTCGGTGGGTATATGAGGAGCCAAGCTCACCGATTGACGAACAAACCACAATCCAGGCCATGGCTGCCATTCTGCGACGAGCCCAACACGAAGCACATGAATGGAACATGAGCAAGGTTGTTTTCTGGAACCCAACTCCCCTGCTGCAGAAAGCGATGGCATTGGTAGACCCCACTTCTGAGATTGTGCACCGCGAGAATGATAGCGTTGCTAGCCTGCGGTGGACCGGGGAGGCTGAAGGGCTGGGCGAAGGGGTCGAGTGGTGGTTGAACGAGAAGTACGCCTGGTGTTGATATACACTTGTCAAGCATCTTTTTGGGGGTTCGCTTATCTCTCATGAGTTATCCCATGTCCTTGAAGACGCGAGGACAAGGGCGACTCTGGATGGCAAACATGATCATGTTTCTAGATCTGCCTTGCATCATAGATTCGATGGCACGACATCATGCAGCAACTGCGGTTTTTTTTTTCTTTTCTTTTCCCTCTGATTTAACGCCGAGCTTTTAGCAACTCATGCCAATTCCGTGTGTTTTTGGCCTTAGCAGCAGGGGCTGATCCCGTGCCAGCAGCTTTGAGAGTATCTTGTCGCTGTGTTTCCGCGACAAAGTGTATCGTAGTCGGATCCGCACTCTTATAACAACCATCCTGGAACGTACATTAGCCATTGCACTGATGCGAGAGTGGACGATTGATTTACCATCAGCTTTGACAGAGCGACCTCTGCCCTCCAAGACTCAGGAAGGCAGTCCTTCCATGCGCTCAAGAACTCACTCCTCCCGATCGCGGACGACGCGGTAGGAGCATTAGCGGCCAAAGAAGTCTCGCCGACCCATCTGGTGCATTCAGTCTTATCAAAACTTGCCCCTAGTAGAAAGAAGAATGTTAGCTTGCTCCACCTGGTCAGCAATTCATCTCATCCCAGCTTACATTTCATCTCATCCGCCAAAGCAGGCCGCTCATCTGCTACACAAATCCGTCTGACAATAGCATCCAACAGCGCGCGAGGAAACGGTGCTTCCTGCTCATCGTCGTCGTCCAGAACCGACTTCCATAGATCCCCCACGAGGAACTGCTTCTCAAGATCAATTCCTTGAAGCACCGCACCCTCAGACAAGCGCTTCCAGACATGCAATCGTGCTCGCGCTGATGGCCGCCAACCAGACACTTCATCGCCCCCATCCACAAATGCACAAAGCTCCATCCAACCCTGATCACATTGCGCTGTTGAGACAGGGATGTCCCGACATATCTGCTCTCTCACCTCGCGCATCTCCTTGGCGCCCAGAGGCCCCGAGCTCGGTTCATCCATGGGGACATCCCCGTCCTCGTCGCGCCGATCGTATAGCCGCAGACTCTTTTCCAAAAATGGGGTTGCCGAGAATCCACCCGGTGGGACGTGGAGCTCGAGTGTGGAGGAGCATTTCGCAATGGCTGTCACAGCTTCGTTGGGGAGATTGAGGCCTGTATCGACGTCTTCGACGACCTTGATATCTGCTTGGGAGATCTCGCCGTGACTGGGTCGGATGACGTGGATGGAGTTTGAAGATTGGACTTGGCGGATGCGGTAGGTCTGGGTTGCTGTGCAAAGATTGACATATTCTTGAGCGCTCGGGTCGACTACTGCCTGAGCAAGGGCCGGGGATGGTGACTTGAGTTCGAGTCTGAGCGGGAGGGGTTAGTGAGAATTGCCAATTGGGGATGTGGGATGATCCCCGTCGCGGTGTCGACTTACACAGGCGCATCTTTCGACGTGAGGAGTTTCTCCAAATCCGGCGTCAGCTCTAGTAGACGGAACCCCTGCTGTGGATTGGTCTGTGTGAAGAGAAGACTGCGCGAATCTTGAGTCGCCATTGTAAGGTGCCCAGGTGTACAGAAGAAGCGAAGAGGCGGAAGACGCGTTGACGCGAAAGTGGGTAACACACGGACCACCGTTTAATGCTTTGCGGCAGCTTCATACTTGCACGGTGTGCTCTTTACAGAGTCCATACGATGGGAGAATTACATTTTACGCTCAATGAGCTGAGTGTTGAAAAGCCTGCGTGCTCCAAATCGAACCCATCAATGTAGCCAAATTAGTACACGCCAACCCGTATGCTGTGCGAACCTCAGAAAAAGATACCACCCAATGACGAATGTGAAAACATATGCAAGAGCATGAATAAAAATGAGACAGGCCTTGTGCCTATTATTCCTTCACTGGATCCATTATTGCAGCCCTCTCGGCCTCGCTCGAGTCGCCCTTGACAGGCTCATCTTTCGCAGGATGAGCAGCTGGTCCCTCGGCAGATCCCTGCAGCTTTTCGCTGTCTATGGCATCTTCGGTGCCAGGTGTTTGAGGCTGAGTGCTTCCCTTGCTTCCAGCTCGCTCTCGTTCCTCTTTTTCGCGAGCCAGGCGCTCCTGCTCCATCTCTTCCATGTGTCGTAAATCATCAACGCTGGGCTCATAAAGATGCCAAATTGTGTAGTGTGGCAGGCCAACAACCGAGAACTTCATCCGTCTCGCCATCTATAGAGTATCAGCACTTGCAATCATCGTCCATGTGAGCGGGCGTCTTACCTTGCCGAACCCTTCTGTTTCGGCATGCTTCTCGAAACTGAAGGCCGGGAAGTGTACGCCGGCGCGGAACACACGGGCTTTGGCCAGAATACTGACGCCACCGATTCCATCCAGCTCCATCTCCATATCAGGATCCCCATACGGGTCCCGGAGATAGGCGAGATGAGGCCTCCAAGTTGCATATTCAGCATATCCTTCCACAATGACCGCATCTTCGTCAAGGGTATCCGCAAGCGCCAGCGCGGTCTCGGATTCCTGCCATGAGTTCAGATCGTAGGGTTGTTCTCCGCCGAGCCAATCTGGAAGTGGTCGCCAGACATCTATCGAGTTTGTTAGCATGTGGCTTTCTGCTCGTAAGGACCACCACTTACTCGGCACGGTCACATCCTTGTTGTGCCGCATAAGATCCTCAATGATTGTAAAAGGCGCGGTTTCCACATCCGCGTCTCTCCAGTAGACCCAGCTGTGTGTTGGGCGTAGCGTGGCACTCAGCAGCCAGTTCCTGGCCTGGGCCATGAGCTTTCGCCGATTAGCCTGAGCCTCGAACCCGTGCCGACTTTCCACGTCCTGCTGGACTTTCTGGCCAAAATCTTTCTGGATCACTGAGATCTCTCCGAATGGCATTTTCGGGTTGGGGTCATTCTGTATGTCCTCCAGCATGTGCGATAGCATGCTCAGGGTGTCGTCGCGCGAGTCGGAAACCAAGAAAGCCAGGTCGATCAGTTCGTGCGGGTAGGTCAGGTTCCTGAGGTGCGAGAAGAACATTGGGAGATGCGACGAAGCGTCGCGCAATGGAGTGCACATCAGGACGCGCTCTCCGCGCTCCCATCCCTTCTCGGTGCCTTGGACTTCGGAGAGGTCATAATAGCGGACTGTCTGGAGGTGGAGATCGTTGGGGGAGGCAAGCAGGCCAAAGGAGAGGGTGGGGAGGACGGCGGCGCGCCAGGAAGGGAAGATAAGGAGGAGGAGGATCAGGGAGATGCCGCCAAGCAGGCACAGGCGCTGGAAGAGGTGTCGGCGGTATCGTAGTGCAGGTTGCGACCGGGGCTGGAATCTGGAGACTAGTCAGTCCCGATTGCAAGATTCGGTATTCGGCACAGTGTCACGGGAAATACCTATTAGGCGAGATCTTGAATGCAGAACCGATGGGGTAGGCAGAATGGCCCTTTTCGAGGACGTGTCGGTTCATGACTGCGGCTATCACCGTCACGGCGCCAAGGTCGCCCAGAATTGGAGGGTCCTTAGTGCTTACCCCAGTTCAGTATGAGAGAACGGGATGGCCATTGACAGAAAGAAGGTCAAAAGAAGGTCAGATAGTCAGATAGTCAGACCCGTGAGACTGAATTATGATTGGTGTGCCTTGAACCAGATCCGGTCTTCCGCAACTTCACTTCGACTACAGTACACTGTTTTGCTATTATATGATCATAAGTGACAATTAACATCGCTGTGCTTATATACAAATCGCTCAATGCTACAAATATCATCTTTTGGGTCCTCTCAAAGGGCAATGGGAGGTGCAATCATGCTCAGTCGTGGTCGGATAGGACCAGGGGACTCGACCTCTTTCGTTTCCACTTCCACCTGTCGCATCATCTGTAATAATAATTGCTTTACTTGTTCTGAGTTCCGTAAACTCGAGAGGACCGAGGCGGCTTCGTAGTCGGTGTCCAAAATATAGTAGCGTTCCTTCTGAAGGTTCTCCGCTGTATCGATCTGAAAGGCAACTCTCGCAATGGCTTTGGCAGGAACACTGGCTTTGTTCATGGAGCTTCGGGATACCATGCGAAGGAAGGGCCGAAGACCAGACCGAGTCTGATGTGCAACTCTCACGGACATGGGGGCCCCCGTTCGCAGGTTGCTGGCTCCGGTCATGCCTCCCGGGTCCAAGGTGAAAATGTCCAACGAGATGTTTCCAGTCTATATATAGATGGTTAGTCGATCAAAAGCAGACGGCATGATTGGGAGGGATTCGGATGACTCCGACGGATCTGAAACTCACCCAGATCAAACTCCGCCTTAACGCATATAATGCAACGCTCGCCATTAATTTGCTGCTTCCAAACCGAATGTTCTCTTCCTTTGCGCTCAGCGTGTCTCCCAGATGACGTCCGTTTCTTCCATGGTCGCGGTCAAAATAGTCCAGTCGTCCACTTGAGGTGGCCGAGCAACCGATGTTGATCACCTTTGCTCCACCTTTGGGGGTACCATCTCCGGCGCGGAAGGCCTCCAGCAGCCCGATGGTCAATAAGAAGGGAGACAGACAATTGGTCTGATACACAGGGTCGTATCCGTCTGAGGTGAGGTCATCCACGGTGTAAGACGTTGCGACAGCGGAGTGAATGAGGCTGGTCACGGGCGGAATGTCTCTGAATCGCACCCGGTTGACGGTGCTTTTGGCAAAGCTGGCCACCGATTTGAGGTCGGTTAGATCTAAGGCTAGAACCTCGATCGATCTGGCGCCGATCAGGCGGATCTTGCCGGTGAGGTCCCGAACATCGTCCGTTCTGATATCGCGTGCCGTTAACAGCAGATGAACGAAGGGTTGCTTCTTCGCAATTTCGATGGCAATCTCAGACCCTAGCAGACCATTGCCACCGGTAATGATGACCGTTCCTGTCAGCGGGGTTCCCATAGCGAAGTTTAGTGAGGCAAGATTCCCCGAGGGGTTCGGTTCCACAGTGAAAAGGGCAAAGTGATCAAGGTATAACTGTGGGGTGTTGCCAATTATAGGGAGACAATGGAGTATTGCGTGACAAAGGCCAAAGGAAAGACAAGGCGAGAAATCTGCACGAATAAATAATTTAAAGAGAAAAAACAACAGTTCTCGTCAAAGCGTACGGAGTCGCCCAAGTCTAAGAGGTACCCATAAAGGCACCATTAGACGGTAGGATCTAAAAATTCCACCCCGGCCCCATGCAGCCAGAATTGGGCCAATGAATTGTACCGGACATGAGCGGTGACATGTCTCAGCTCACGGCTGAGGCGTGTCTTTCCAGAAGACGACAGAGTGGATCAATCAGATGCGAAAAACTGGCATGTTGCGTTCACGGCGAAAAGTCCGACTTATGCCCATGGCCTATGATCTTCCTGCCTGACAGTGCGTGGGCGACTGTACATTACATACGATCTGGCGAAAGTGAAAAAATGATCGGCGATCCTGAACTCGGTTAGTTCGCGTGGCTCAGTCTCCCCGTCTCGACTCCCTTGCCGATTTAGCCCACTAGATCCCGAACTAACCATTTAGTGTGAGAAACATCGCCCAGACCAGCGCTGTCAAGTGGGAAAGGACCCTAACCCACCTAGGGAGATGTAGTTTCCCCCACTGCCAACAATACCTGGGCATTCGCTTCCCAACACAGTCAGCCAGCCAAGAGTCTCCCCACGCGGTTCGTATTGCTGCAGCAAGAAAGTAACCATAATATGTATTAATAAATCCCAGATCGAAAGCGGCTGCACCAACGTTTGGTGAAACACCAAAAGGGACCGAAAAAGCAATGGAAACAACAAGGGTTTCAGAATCAAAGGAGTAATACGACCGCAGTGACATCACAGGGCATAGACCCTCGACCACGGCGTATATACAAAATACTCGTTTGTGCAATTCTGAATGATGTTACATTATAGCAGAGCCCGCCGAGACTAGGATCAGCCGAAGCATTCCTGCTTTATTTACTGAGATCGCAGTTGTTTTCAAAACATGTTGGGCGTGTTTGCGGTGTCATCCCTGCTCGATCCAAATCAGGATCAGAAGTGATCGGAATGATGCTGTTTTGGGGCATAGGCCACACTAAGACCCTGTGCGCAACTGAGATGAGATCAGTTGATCCGAAAATGAGCATCAGGCAATAAACAAAATGAGCCTTGTGGGAATCCAAACGCCCAGCCGACTTACTACATGAAGCTCTATTCCCCGACTCACCGCGTGGCTATGTGGCTACTCGATCTGGTCTTGGCGCATCGTGCAGATTATCATATACATTAATTGTCATATTTCATGGATTTACTCGTGAGCCGGACTATAAATATGCTTCGAGTATGTGACATGGATGAAGAGACCGTGATTTATGGCAGAAATGCGTGCTGCATGCAGAAATGTCGACCAAAACAGTCACATGTCAATCAACGTCCTGATAGCGCTACCTAGGTAAAGCTTTGCTTGTTTATTTTTCGCTTGGGCCTTACTGGTAAATATAGATCCTAGCATAGCCTTACAGTGACTCGGGAGTAAACAGCACACTAGTTGCAAGATGACAGGAGACTCAGGAGTCCAGGACTCCGAAGCAAACAGCACCGATATACTGACGTATTCACAGCGATTCGTTTAATCAAATCAAAGTCCCGAGGTCAACGGCGGGCCAAAGTTCCCAAAGCAAGACGATGAACGTCGGTCCGCAAACCACAAGGCACAAACGACAGCACCGAGTACAGACTTAACATCAAACTGGAAACCAAATGGACAGACTCTACTGACATGTACCACCAAAAACATGCACATGTGTAAGTAGATCAATGTCAACCTTTGAACAAAGCAAAGGACCTTGAAGCACCACAAAGGAGAAGGCTATCTAAGACAAGGTCGCAATACAAGACACTTCCAGAACTTTGAGATAAATGTCTGAAAGTCTTCATTCCATTGGAGCGAGATACAGGGGAATGCCGTCGTCTGCCGCAGGATGCGGCTGAAGAGCCACAGCATAAAAGCAGCCCCTGAAGGTTACATCAAGACTAGATCAGATATTCGTCAGGACTCAAAGCCCTGGCGCTATTCTGAAACGGTGGAGTTTAAATCCACCTTTGATGTCAAGGATCTAGCCTGAAGGGACCCACTCTGGTGCTCTCCTTGCTCATCATATATGCTGAGTGCTTGTTGATCTCAGGGTGCTGGCATAGGCATTATCACGACCAATCCCGTGTATTCTGGAGAGCCCTGGAACTGAAGAAGGTAGTATCAGCCATATATGAATCCTGTTGTTGATGTACATTAAGGTGGCCAGGGGTATGCCCGATACACTATAACTTCATGAATGAAATCCGGTATTCCGGTCATCAGCAGGTTCAACACTTGGTCTTATGACACCTTTGCTAACCTTGAAGACGCATGTATATTTCCGGCTGAGCGTTATTGGCGAAATATCCCCGAATATCTTGCTTTTTGATGCCTAGGTGTATATTGACAGAGATGTCTAGCTATCTGGGTCATGATCATCTTTCTCGTCTGAAGATGCTCTACATGAACGTCTTGCCAAACGCCGCCTATCTCGCAAAAATGGATGCCCAGGTGGAATGACAAACGCAAATCCCCGGGCATTGCAGATCGGGACAATTTGTAGGTACCTACATAAAGGTATCGAGTTCAACCGTGTGTGTATTATTGGGTGGTCTAGCAATCGCCAAGAAACTGTAAAAGATTGTTCCCGCTTGGATGCCAGCTGAAATGCTCCTTCTGTGAGATCCATGATCTCCAGAGCTATTGATCAAAGAATGGTCTATAAACACAGAACGTAGCAAACCGATCTCGGGAGGCAAGTTTCGATCTAGGGTCTGGGGATTTGACATTTCACATATGTATGGTCAGAGCCCTCCAGGGCTGAAGCTCAGGACCTTGCTCAAGGTTACTATTCATGATGTATGCGAGGCGTCCTGACTTCCCGCTCTCGTTCCTATCGAGCCAGGCCCGATTCTATGAACCGCTCCATCACTACTGGCACTCCCGCTTCTACGCCCTGCGAATCATTCCAAACTTCAATGTTTCACTGAACGCATCATGCATATTGACGTCAGCCTCCATCAGAACCCGTGCTCCAAAGATACCTCGTGCTTCAAGTAAAGACCCGTGACAGAAGTATCGCATGGTACCGGCAAACCACTAGATCAGAAAATCCTTGAGATAATGGCCTGGCACCAGATCCATGGCATAGGACGCGCGGACTGATGCAAGTCTGCGGGGGTGAGTGCATGTCCCCGAACTTTGTTGTGCGTTGCATGTGCTCATCCACTCCCGTGGGAAGCTTCATCCCGAGCCACTTACTCCATATAGGGCGTTACAATGGAACGTCGCAAGAGATGACAAGGTATCAGCGATTCCAACCAAGTTCTTCATTCAAAGGTATCTTTTCTCAAACATCTGGCTAAATGTCCTTGCTCTTGCGGGAGAGCAGACCCTTCAAAGCATCCGTTTCACCTTCAAGCTTTGAACATTTCAGTCTCCACTCATCTCTTTCCTTTCGGACTTTTTCCAATTCGGCCTCAAGATCCTTCATCCGATCGACTCGTCTCTGTCGACATCTCCGCGCCGCCAGTGTGTTAAGCTTGCGCTTCTCGACACGCGATGAATCAACGCGACTCAAAACATCGTCCTGTGAGGTGGCAGGGCTGGCGGTAGAAGTCGAGACGGGGACGGGGAATTGCGATACAGGTGAAGGCTGCGAGTGACCATCTTGTGAATGTTAGAAGCAGGTCCGGCGAAAGAGGACCTCGAATCCTACCTGAATTGGCTGAGCTTGCAGCAAGAGAAGCAGACATAAGGTTTTGATGATCGATTGATCCGGAATCCGAAAGAGAGTTGAAAGTAGGGGTATCGTACCCCACATCCACGGTGGGGATATCATCAAAGGTAGCAGGGTATGGCGTGTGTTGATTCAAGGAAAGGAAATTCCAGTCGGCATCGAAGGACAAGTCGGGTTCTGTCCAGAGTGTCGGCTGGGCGAGGGTATCGAAGGAGTGACACACCGGCACCGCCGCCGGGAAGCCTTCCCAAGGCGGCGCCATGTTGGTGTCATAAGAAAGATTCGCCCATTGCGAATAATCAGCAGGCCCTTGATGGCGTTCCTGCAGGCCACTGTTGAGCGGGCTGGAACCAGTGGAAGGAGGCCTGGAAGATCGCCGCGGCGCTAGAAGCACTGCAGGCGGGCATTGTTGGATTTCTTAGACGGGTCTTTGCAGACCCGTGACGCTCAAACGAGGAAAGGGGAGTAAGAACTCTTGCAGAGTCGACTTGGAGAGTCGGAAACCTGAGGAACAAGTTGGGGGGAGTTCAGGCCATATAAATGGCCCAGGAAGGCGCAGGGGGTGGATTTCCGAGGGTCGTCCGCAGATTGAGACTTGGACCCCACCGTCAGCCTCTTGTGATTGGTGGAGCCACTATCTTTGCGCCCCGCGATCCGTGGACTCATTGTGACTCATTTTAGCGCAGTTTCGATGGCCAATCACGATCTGCATAATTTTAGCTATGCGATCTGGGCACATGGAGCGCCTGGCCCAAGTACGGAACATGATCTGGATCGATCAACATTGGTGAGAAAGGGTCCATTCCAATGTAGTATACTCTACTCCGTACAGTCGGATCTCCCCGAAATAGACTCGGAATCAACGTACGTGCGAATCAGTCCGTGCAAATTCGTCATACCGCTGGATGGAACTCGGTTGAGATAATTCAATATACTCCGTACAGCTTCGTGATCCCCTAAAGCCATATCCACGAGTGCAGGCCAAAGTTATTCATAATGGTCTTTAATCTGGGTTTAGCTCTTTCCTTCTTACCCTTCGATCAACTCCATTTCCGCACTCCGAATTTACCATCTGATAGGCCTGTCAATTAACACTTGCAAGCTTCCAAGCTTGCTTGATTGAATAGGTCATTTCCACGAGGTGAGTTATTCTAATGAAATTATCTAGCGTTGCATTCAACCACGATCTCTAACAAGTGCCATAGCCACCCCCTGTTGCTGATCTTTCCGCCAGCGGTGGGTTAGGCCTGGGCATCTTCGGGAGGAAATTCCACAGAATCAAGATAGCACCCGAGAGGGCTATAATGAACGGCATAAGGACTTGAACACCTCTAGCTTCTGCGAGAACACCGACGAGGAAAGGAAGGACAGCAGCGCCAGCGCCTCCAAACGCCGCAGCGAATCCAATGGCACTGACGTGCAAGTGCTTCGGCAAAAGTTTTGTGGTGACCACCACAACTCCGGGGAACAAGGGGCCCAAAAAGAAGCCCTGCAGGGACACGGCAATTGCTCCTGCATAGAAGTTGGGCACCAAATATAATATAATGCAAAATCCGATTTCGAGCGCTATATAGGCCTTTTGAACAGTCAGCCTTCGGGTTCATGAAGAAAATGGGAGAGCTGATGACCTACCGAGATCGCAATCTTCTCTCCAATCAGAGGAGTCACAAAGCCGAGGATAATGCGACCGACCGCTATTCCAAGCCAGAACCCGGTCGATGTCATACTGCTGTCAAAGGGAGAGGCATGTCGCACTTTTTGCATGAATGACACGATCCACCCTCCAACGGCAACTTCAATACCAACGTACCCAAGAAGGAAGACTGCGCAGATCCAAGTGACTCTCGCAGCAGGCATGGTGAACAGGATCTTCCGCAAGCCACCCGTTTCAGCATCATGACCGGGCTCTTGCTTTCTTGCCTCCATGAACGAAGCTCCATCCGAGTCCCAGAAGCATGCCACGGTGAAGAAGAGTTCGACCACAGCGCCACCAATCTTGCATGAAGTTAGAGCAAAGCCGAAAGGGATACGGCAGATGCGGTCAAGAACATACCATGATGTAGTAGAAATAGTACCACGCATAACCTGCATCAGCAATCAAAAATGATGCGATGACAGGACTGATCACAGCCCCTATGCCATAGACGCCATGAAGTAAGCCAAGTAGCTGGTTTGCGTCGTCCAGGTTTCCAATCCATGCATTCCATGCTGAGTCTGCAAGTCCATTTCCAAGACCGGCGAAGATGAATGCCACAACCAATACGGGGAATGGTGGGTGCACGCAATTCAAGATATATGCTATGAGATGGCATGCTGAGGACACAAATGCCACACCCCGCCGGCCCAGGGCGCAGTGAACTCGGTCGTTGATGATCGCTGCGGAGATATAACCCACGGCGGGTGACAAAAACACGAGGGACACGATCGTGTACGAGACATCATAGTATTTTTCGAGCTGAAAATTTGTTAGGAGTAGAAAGTGTCCGTAGAGCGATGATATCATACGTATGGGAGAAGTGGCTGCGAGGGTTCATTGTGAGTCTGGACTTCCAAGATTTGAGTGAAGGGTAAAGCGAGCACTTACACCATATGCCGAATCATTCGCACCCATTATCAAAAAGCTCCAGAAAGTCGCTAGGGTTTTCCATATGTTGGAACGGGGGTAGTTCCATTTCTCTCCGGTCGCTGTGAAAAGCGACGCATCAGGGCCATCCTGCACTTCGTCAGACATGTTGTGTGCTTCAGACCAAGATGAAAGATGAAAAGGAAGCTCAACACAAACGAGCGATTTTAAAACCCCGCCAGCGGAGAAAAAAAGCAAAGGGTTCTTTTCCCCACACTTCGAGGTCTCAGTGTCATTCGAGTAAAGCCGAGGTTGAGCCGGTTGCCTGTTTCGGGGCGGAGGAAGTGGAGCTGCGTTCCTAAAGTGGTAGCTCCGCCAACACGGTCGACCAATTGGAAGGTGATTTTGTACTTGACCGCCACCCTAGTGCATCAGCGAGGTAGCTGATCCTGAGTCCTTGCAGATGATAGCAGTCTGCTCCAAGTTAAGAGAGGGGTATGCTGAGATACACATTGTGATGACTGTGGCAAATTGCCTGTCTTCATCTTTGAAGAAGAGGAAGGAAGAGAGAAAGACTGATAGAAAGAAAGAGGCATGAAGATAAATAGTGATTGAGGAGATTCCAGCAAACTTCCAAACAACCCAGTTTCAGTGCCTCAGCTTTTTATCGAGCGAGGAGAACAAAAAAACGGGCGGAAGAATGAAGGAACGAAAAGAGAGAGAAAGATGGATGGCAATACGGACTCCATGGCTGATGGAATGAGAGTAGAATAGGATGAAAGATTTAGAAGGGTTGGACCACAAGGCATCCTGTGGTCCAACGCCAACAACCCCGGGGGTCAACATAACGTTAAACTTGTCCATTGGGGAAATCGGCTATTCATCTAGATGATTGGCCATCTCAATCAAGTTAGTATACTTCTCAGGTTGTGTTGCTCCCTACAGTAGCACAGTCTTATTTCATCGCGTACAGCATACTCGACCAGTTGTATAAGAAATCCAACGTTCCTCCTCGACACACCATTTGTTTGCAAACGTTATTATCATTGCATAGCATTCGAAAGCTAGTTTACTGGATGCCATAAAGCTAATGACAACTACACCCCAGTCCCGGAGAGTCCCGCACGAACACAGGGGTGGCTTCCATTCCTCGTCGTTTGTTGAAAACGACTCAATTGAACCTGGACTATGCCTATCTGCAGAGCTGTGTGCAAGCCTATAAAATTCAGTATCCATCGAAACTTCCCCCTTCCTAACTCTGACTTTGAGAAAGGGTGAGTAGAGCACAAGACGATACTTACTGTCAGGCAGGGTTGATAGTTGGATGAAGGTTGGCAGTTCTGCAATAAAGAGTCAGCTTAAAGAAATACTTTTTGTCTCTCGCAAATTTCAACAGTCGAGGCACTTTTTGGGAATTAATAGAAAAGCGATGGATCTCGAGGCACATACCCTAACACAAGCGGTGTACTCGACTGGGCTTTCACACCTGGGCGGCACTGGGACTTCAACAGGAGAATTAACAGGTCGCGGCGGCCTTGGCAGGTTGGCTGGCAGCGGCTGCACTGAGGGACTGGCCACTCTTAGTGTATCGGGCGGCGGTGGTTGGGGAGCAGCAACCACAAGGGCTCCGAAGAGCAACGACGGCAGAATGCTGAAATGCATGATTTTTGACAATTCCTGTGTTGGGCTTTTTCAAAATATACCTAGTAGGAGCTCGCAGATAGCTATGAGGGAAATGATATCGAGAATTTGAGACACTGGAAAAGCCAATTCTGCGCGGAAAAGTCTGATCTTTTATGTCTTCCACGGACTGTTAGCTCTCGGTTTCACATCAATCGCAGATGGAAGCTCGAGTATCACGTATAAGTACAAGAGTGTGCTCATTTCTTTCCGGTGCCCCCTATAGGGGCTGAGTTGTTGCACACTTCGAGAATTAAAGATCAGTCATCCAATAAGCTCGAGTCATAGTAAAGGGACATTCGTGCAAGCTCTTGTACAAATGTCGCACCGCGAAGGTCCCCTGTACATCACGCGTAATGCTTATGATTCTAGGCCTCGAGTGGGCTTAGTTTGACCAGTACGAATTGCTCCATATCTAGGCATGGCTTTGGTCTGGAGTAGCAATGATTGTGTCGACATGTGTATTCTATCAACTATGGAATCGGTTCGGTAACGACATTGTGCCACTTTGACGCGCAACGAGCACTTCTTCCCATATCACATACAGTAAGTCCAGATTGAAAAATTCATCACTCTCTGGTGCCAGGTTGAGGTCCCCTGAATCTTCCTTCAGCAGGTCATGCAAATCTCCAATAGTCTGTCGAATCCTGTTCCAGCGTTCTGTCAGGATTGGCTCTGTCGTGAGTCATGGCCTTAGGGCTGGGCACATGACCCCGGTGTTTTCTAGCCCTCAGTTTCTCCTCAGTAGTCTTGCTTCTTCCTTCCCTTCCCCAGCTTAGTCGAATCAAGACTCTGCTCTCTTTCTCCTTGGTCTAGTAGCCTCAACAGGCTCTGTTGCCTCGGAGACCATGACGCCCAAGTTTCGTGAATGGGTAGCAAAATCCACCATCTGCGCGCAGCACCCTTTCCTCTTCAGCCATGCAGCTTCTAGGGTGGTTAACCTCTCATCGTCATGGATCCAGCTCTGATCACTGGGCATCCGAAGATTGCGGATTTCGAAAGTATCCAGAACTGGTGGCTCTGCCGGGAGGCCCCCTGTCGTGTCTGGGTTGTCCCGGCCGAATTCCCTTTTCCGCAGTTCCGCGAAGGTCCTTATCATCCGTTGCCGGTTGTGGATCTGGTTGGTCATCCCGGGTATCAAACCCAAATCGTGTTGTTCTCGGGGTTGATGTGAAGTCTGGTTCGGTGTTCATCCGCTCTTCTCTTTCAAGGACGGGGTCAGGCGGGCGGATGGTCCGGTCGTTCAGACTGGAGGCACCCCGTCTAAAATCCTCCTCGGTTGGAGCCCGCTTGCTCGATGAAGCTTGGTTGCTCGACTTCTCCACTCGTCGAAGGTCGACCGGAGGCAGATCCTTTGCTCGCTGCTTTCCCTGGTGCTCAAGCTAGTTCTCCTTCTCATGGTCCTGCGTGTCCGTTAAATCGTTTGGCCCAGATTCACATGCTGGCGGAAAACCTTACTTTCATAAATCACGTACTAAATTACGGTATTCTCATCTTCGTTCTCAGAATCGACACAGTTCATGACTTCCCAGAGCCATCTCGCTTTAGATCAACAGCGGATCCATGACTAATTGTGATGTTAAATCGGCGCGTACGCAAATAGCGGCTTGCTCTGCAAGTTGGATAACGATAGTCTTGAGTGGGGGTGAGAGGATTGTCAGAGAAGAAGGAAGATATTGTGGGAGTCAAATCGCCATTGCTACGCAATCACACTATAAGCCCGCTGACAGGAACCTAGGTACATTCATGGATAGCTCCTGGCCTGATGTCAGGCTGTCCGTTCAAAGGTTGGGATTTCACTCTTACTTAGTATCTACCTAATATCTCTAGCTGAAAAGGAAGGCGTGCCTTCCCACCAAGAGAAATCTTCATCATGGAAGGAGGAGATGCTCTTGCCAAGCGACCCCAAAGCAAACACCCAAGCCCGCCTGGTATGTTTTCGTTTGCCCACTCCTCTCTCGAACATACAACTGATGTTTTCTGTCTCCGACCATCAGAATCCATCTCCCCCTCTGGTTCTACCTCCTCCATGCCGAGAACACGAGCAAAGAACCGGACTTTGAATTCTGGCCTGGCCCTCTAGTTAACGGCATCCCACGCAGTCCCTCCCTCGTCTTGGAAGTTGGCGTGTCGGAATCTTACAATCACCTCGTGCAAGACGTGCGTTGGTGGGGCGCAAACACCCCTACTTATCCGATACTCGTCATTATTGTGAACGTGAGAGAAAGACTCCCCTTCAAGTTAGATTTTGAGGTCTGGACGCCCGCTAGAACCCTCCATCACCACGGTACAAGAGGCTCCATTCCTCCCATGGCGCTTGCTCAGCGTGTCCGCGTTGAGAACTGATAGACAGAAGCTACGGAGGCTACTGGCTGGAAGAAGGAAAGGAAGAAGAAGCTGCTAGCATGCACCCTGACTGCTCACTGAGAGGGAAGAAAGAAAGAAGAGAGAGCTCTGGAGCGAGGGGAGAAGAAGAAGACTGGATGTGACCACAGGACAGGAAGCCCAGTCTGACAAGAACAATGTCGTGCACGGTGGTCCCCTGAGGTTGAATTTCGCCGCGTTGATGATGCGCTCGCCGAATTCCTCAATTGAGTCGGATATATTGTTCACCAACGACGACTTGTTGTTTATGGCAGAGCGACACTACTGATCATCATCACCAGCCCCACTTGATTTGTTATTCCGCCAACGACTTCTGCGGCTCCCTGCTCTGTATTCTATAGTTAGTTAGCTGTCTCGTGAGAAGGTTTCAATAAACTTCAATTTCGTTGAGTGGTCTCGAAATACGTATTTGTCAAAGGCGTAGTGATATGTTGAACCACCACCTGGCAGGACACGTCAAACCTTGAAGCTCTATACTTATACTAGGTACGAGCCCCCCCCCCGCCCAGCCGACGCGGAGATTTATAGCGTAGACCCTGCATCATGGATGGGCTTATCCAAAACCGGCCACGGGAGGACTACTAGGTAACCGTGGAACCTTGAACCACTTTCACCAAAAAATATATCAGTTTGGCGGAGACCTTGAATACCTCAGATTCTTGCAACTGACACCCAAGAGAGCCAGGGATATTAATCATGCGCCAGCAAGATGAAAATTTGCCGTGATCCATGGATACGGAGAACATCAGCCTTGCGAGACTCCATCGGCTAGGCTAAAAACCAGTAGCGTTGGGCCTCTGCCCTTGGGGGACGGCTCGCTTGCAAGAAGTGAAACGAGCTGGCAGATGTGGAGATCTGCAGGGGTTTTTTACCCGTCACCCGGGCATGGGATCCAGGACACAAATTGAACCTTAGCTCCCTTTTTTCTCCGTCCACGAATACAATTGCTATACTAAGTATCACGGATATGGGGCTCTTCGCTCATCTCCCAGTCGTGGCTTTTCTTCCATCATCGGAACTGCTCTTATTCAATAGATAAGGGCGCACATCACTGCTATCGACAAACAGCCAGATCGGCGTGGCGCTAATGATTCATTTCAACGAACAGAACAATAGTGGATACTTCGATGAATATGAAACAAGGCGCCAGCAGGATAATCGATTTTCCATGGGCTGTTCACCACACTACTATTCAGATTGTCCCTCACGGGCGAGTACATTTTTTGATCTGCGGGTTATGAGATAATTTATGCCTTGATTCAAGTACATAACTTCGCATAGCTCAGCTCGGCATTTGCGAAACATATAGTCAGACCGTGGAGCCCCTATCTCATTGCCATGTCAAGATCTGCCGAAAGCGCCTAAATCAGCATCGGTAAAAGAACTTGGCAGACGGCTTGTAGGAGTTCGTAAGAGTATAAGTCTGCCCATACGGAACGAATAGATAGATCTTCTCATCTTCCAACGTGTCATTCTCTTATCCATTTCTTTTCTCCGCCCAGGTGGCAGTAGTATAATTTGTTTGCTTGCCATTTTTGCTTGCATTTACATTCCTTTTACTTTTGATGATGAAGAACTTCAAGGTTCTTCTCGGGGCTGCCCTGGCGGCTATCCCCCACGCCTCCGCTCATTACTTTTTCCCTCACTTCATCGCCGATGGCAACTTCACCGGATACTACGAATATGTCCGCGAGGACACCCAGGGCTACATGCCTTACAAGGGCGGGTACTCGAGCGACGATTTCCGGTGCAACACTGGCTCACAGGAATTTGCGAGCAAGACTGGGGTGTACAACGTCAAGGCCGGTGACACGATTGGCTTTGGTACCGACTTCAACGCTCTGATTGGGCACCCTGGCCCTATTCAAGTGTACATGTCTAAGGCTCCTGGAGATGTGCGTGAATACGATGGATCTGGAGATTGGTTCAAGATTTACGAGCTTGGCCCGGAAAAGTTTTCGAGCGACGGTATCGAATGGGGCGCGACAGACATTGGAAACTTCACCTTCGAGCTGCCCAGCGAGATTCCGTCCGGTCAGTACCTTGTGAGAATTGAACATATTGCTCTCCATGGTGCCGGAGACTGGGGTCAGGCTGAATTCTACTTCAATTGTGCTCAGATTGAAGTCGAAAGTGACAGCACTGCTATTCCAGGTCCCACTGTCAAGATCCCTGGTGTTTATGACGGATATGAGCCCGGTATTCTGTTCTACATGTATCGCCCCTGGATCGTCAACTATACCATGCCCGGTCCCCGCCCATACCCAGAAGCAGCGGCTCCCGATGTTACCGCGTCTGGTGTGAGCATTGCACCGACTGCCACTCCTTGGACATTGCCAGCTGTGACAAACTTCCCGTCCTCTGTCTCTGTCCCGCAGTCAAGCGCCTTGCTATCCTCCTCGGCCCGGATGAGCTCCGGGTCTTTTGTCACTAGCACACCCCTCGCCCATAAAACATCTTCCTTTGTCGCTGCATCTACTCAGCTAACCCAAGCCCTGGAAAATGCGGTGACTGAGGCCCCCGCTGTAAGCCTGGAATCTAAACCGGTTCAGGCGATTTACAGTGAGAGCTCGGCTTCAGTCGCTATCACAACCGCGTCCTTCCCGACGGATGAGACTTGTGGCATTCCTCAAACTGTTACCGTTCACGAAACTGTTACTGTATCCACTGCCTCTGAAGAGCCCACTTGTGTTCCCGCAACTTCAACAACAACCATCACCACTACAACAACTGTGGCTGCAACAACCACTGGAATCAACTAGAGCTACCGTATGTCTAGGAAGAGTTTCGATGAACCTTGATCATGGAACGTTGTCAAGAGATTCTGTAGGGCTTGTTCAACACTCTTCCTGCTGGGGTTACCTTTGTTTAATACTCTTAGATTCGAACGTCATTAAAGTTGGACTTTTATATTATTTTGAAGATTATACTATTCGACTCTGTAATAGTTATGACACTAGGCAGACGTTTTGCAAAGGCGAGGCTACATTCCAAGGTTGTAAACCTCGTACAAGTTCCTTTCAGTCTCTCTGGATGGCTTGGCTTTTATGCGTCGAGGTATTTGAATAGCTACGTGTGCCCAGAGCCAGATAGCTGAGTGAGGGGAATTCATGGGGCAGGGAAAGAGGCCAAGTGCAAAGAAGCCAAAGATGGCGAGTGGTTGCTTGTTTACTTTCTTGGTTTACATTCACCTCGTCCTGAGGCGCCTGTAGTTGAGACCCTGCACCACCCACCCAGGTGGGCATCCCATTTTCGCTCTTCAATCTACTGCGCATTCAAACCCGTTAGACTTCTCATTTGGATTGGAGCCAGCTGGCCCGCAGGGGCTCTCCAAGGCTGGGCCCCCGATCATCGCGATTAGTCATGCCCATGTGACAGGCGCCTGGCATGTGCAGCCGTTGACTCCCGGGCTCGAGCCGTGGATCCGAAGGCCCACTTGGCTCAACGTGGTCTGATGCGGAGGCGCCCACAACGCTCCCCGTCAACCCAAATTTCCACTGCGTTTCTCAGCCTTATCGCTTTTCTAGTCCATACACTGTGCAGCCATGGCGAACGACATTGCAGTCGTGAGTGGGAGATGCCCTCGATCCAAAACTGGCTGACTTTGAGTGTCAGGATCCTGATTTCTATGCTCTTACCAAAGACTGGGAGCCTGAGGACTTTGAGTCGTGAGTGCCAAGGCTGATACATCAACTGTCGGATTCTAAGCACATGAATTGGCCAGGGAAACTACTTCCATTGCCTCGACCATCGCAAGGGGTCGGTTGGAAAATGGCAGGAGGTAAGGTAGTTGGATCCCTCGGCGTCTGGACCCCCACTCATTCGAAAGCCAGATACCAAGCAATGAAGGAAAACGACTATTGGTCAGCCATACATCCTCTGTATCATACACTCAAGTCTTATTGTGTACAGGAGCCCGTCTGATGAACAGCAATTCGAAGCTTTTGAGATTGGGTAAATGTCTGCCTTTTTCTTGATCTATCCCCTTCAGGCTGTAATAGTCCATTAACAATCTCTAGCCACATGGTGTTTCTTATGTTAGACTACAATCAGGAGAACCCTCTTCATCGGTCTCCGATCGGCAAAAACCCTAAGGTGCGGGTGATCCTTCGGCAAATTGGTACCTTTCTAAGTCTATTTTCAGCACATTCTAGATATTGGAACGGGAAAAGGCTCATGGGCAATGTAAGTCTTACAGAAGCTCTTTTTGGCATCGACTTGCTTACACCCAATAAGTGATGCTGCAGATAAGTATCCATCGGGTATGTGAGCTCTTGCCCTTGATTCTCTGTCGAGCTGACAAGTTACAGCGACTGTACGCGGCGTTGACATGTTTCCGCCTCCTGTGACCTGGGTTCCGCCCAACTGTGTATTTGAAGTGGACGACATTCTTCGCGACTGGACTTGGAAAGAACCGTTTGATTTCATCCACCTTCGTCTGTTACTGGGGGCATTCACCCCCGAGGGGTGGGTTGAGCTGTACGATAAATGCTACCAGTGAGTATATTTACCTCCCCATCTTGGACGACATTTTCTGACAATCCTTGCTCCTTAGGGCCCTAGCTCCAGGCGCTTGGATCGAACAGATCGAATTAGACGTTCGCCTTTATAGCGATGACGGAAGTTTACACAAGGATAGCTATCTGGGCGGATGGGGAGACAATTTCATCGGGTGCTCTGAGCGAAGCGGCCGTTCTCTCCTCACGCAAGAAACTATGCGAGGGGCAATGGAGAAGGCCGGTTTTGTGGATACACACGAAACTGTATACAAGATACCAGTGGGGCCTTGGCCAAGGGACAAACTTCTCAAAGAGACAGGACGTCTTCAATACCTCCACTGGACTACTGCTCTGGAAGGCTGGGCTATGTGGCTTCTTACCAAGTTTGGAGCACCCTCACCCTGGTCCGCAGATGAGGTACAGGTCTATCTAGGCAAGGTTCGGTCCGAATTGAGGAATCCCCGAGCACATGCTTTCGAATATGCGTGAGTATCCAGTTCCCTCTGAAGAGATATCGTTTGCTGATCCTACAGTCGCCGTGTCTGGGCAAGAAAGCCCACCGAGGATGAATCAAAGGTGGCTATCAAGGTTGAGCCTCAGATTTAGCCATGAATTTCCCAACCTCCTTGTGTACTGCATGCCAAATTATGCCTTTTAGGTATTTTGGTCGAAATTGTGCCCTGGGGCTAGTTGATTTGATGAGCTTATTTCTAGCCGTCTCGAAATCAGTAGCTAGTGAAACTCTCTCTAGGGGGAGCGTGGCTCCATTGCATTTCCGCTAAATTATCTCCCTGGGCCCGAATCTAAAATTCATGACTGTGCGATTCTTGATTGATTTCCCTCTTGCATACGGCTGCATACTGTTTCGACGTTGGCCCATATGGTCCATGGATGTACGTAACCCCAGCCCAAAAAGGGAATGCATAGCCTCATATCGTTGTCCTTCCAGTTTCAAACTCGAGATTGTCGGTCTAAGATGATTTCTGTGCTTATTAGTCTCATCGATTTGTCTCGACGCATCCAATTCATGCAAGGAAAGATTGGTATTGAAATCTGCAAGCTGGTGGGCCTTACAGTTCCAGGGTTAGACTCCCGCGATGGGCCAGGTTGGGCCCGGACCTCGGGTCCACAGCCCAATCGGGGCTCTTCTCTTACCTAGTAGGGCCAAACCCAGCCCAAAGCCCTCTAAGGGAGAAATTGGACAAATCTCTATAGTATTGAAACTTGGAAGGTTTCATCACACACAAAATCGTCCCCTGGGGGTATCAAATTGTTCCAAAGTTTTAAATCACACATATCTCACAAGTTCCACATATCATTTCAAACATATATCCTGTTATTATTTTCACCATATCAAGCCGTGCTTGCAATATTCGAGCATTCTCGTTCATGAATCAAGCCCACTTTCCAAGCAAGGCCATGATACCAGCACCAAGAAGCATAGTGAGCACCATGAAAGCCAGGCGTCTATCATCTTGGGTGCGGTGTGGGTCGAACAAGAAGTCACGGGCGAGCAGCTCCACCAAACCAGTGTAGAGAAGAATACCAGCAGAGATGGAGTCCAAGACACCGGAGACAACATTGGCTGTGAAAGAGCCAGGGTTGTAGGTCTCACGCAGACCAAGTCCAATAGCAATGGCAATAGGGGTGGTCAATCCATAGGCAGTACACAAGATCCAAGGAACCCAGCTGCCCTTCTTGAAGGGAATGCTGGACATTCTGGCACCAATACCCAGACCCTCGAAGGACTGATGGAAGACCAAAACGGGGTAAAGAGTCGCGAATTCATCACCGGCCACACCAAGGTTAAGACCAATAATGACTGAATGGAAGATGACACCGAACTCCAGAATCAGCAGGGCGGCAATCTGCTGCTTGACCGAGCGCTCGATAGCAAGCTCTTGGGACTGGGACTCGATCTCCTTAACCTGCTTATCATCGGAGTGTCGTGCCGACACGCGGGACGAAACACGGTGAACCTCGGCACCAGAAGCCATCATGGGCTCTGGATCCTCGCGACAAATCCCGTACTTGATCTCGACCCAGCGCTCGGCTCCGAAGTCCATGAGGAAAACCACCATGAGCGAAGTGAGGACGATGGCAGGGCACCAAGCGTAGTCAGCCCAGTGACCGGTCATTCCGACGCAGGAGTTGCTGCCAATTTCACCATAGGCTGGGTCGAGGAGATGGATGAAAGCTGTTGCGATGATGACACCAGCACCGAAGTATTTGGCGAAAAGGTAGACGTAAAGAGGAATGCGAAGGCGGGGGGCACGCTGGGCGAGGACGGGGAAGAATGTGGCGATGGATGAAACGATCATGATAACAAAGATCGCAGAGATGCGGGCACCCATGCGTCCATCATATTCGTTGCCCTCTGCATTGAGGTAGCATACAATCTGGGCGGCGTCTGCCGTATCCAGGTCGACATTGTGTGGGTCAAACGACATCTTGGTGTATGTGATACTCTCTGGAATGGGAGGGAGAAGTGGCCTTTTATTATCGGCCAACAGAATTCAACCCAAGGAGCACAGGGATATGAAAGCGACGATCGTGATCTGAGAACGTATGACAGGACATTCGCAGGTGTTTTATATCGGGGGAAAATCTGGACTCGTCGGGTCCTCCGTTGCTTTTGAGGACCTTGGGAAATTCGGCCCCCGAGTCTATGGACTAAGTGGTTAGTCTACACCGTGGTCCCCAGTTGCATGGTTTGATATATTAAAGCTCCTAGTCCAAATCCCTTCAAATTCCATGAGATTGAAGTGGTATTTGGCGTTGTTGGTTGTCCGATGTTCTATGCTGGAGAGTTAGGGTTTGGATGCCCCCTCGCGGCCTTGCGGGAGACGGGATATCCACGAGTCCTACGAAGTACACATGGCACAAGCCTTGGAAATTGTCTTGGAGAAAGCTTGGGGCCTACCAAGCCTCTGAAGCAAGAAATAAGTGTGGACTTGGTGTTGAGACACTTGATTGGGTGTGAGGTCGTGATCTGCCCCCAAGGTCCTTCGGTTAAGACAACGCGTGGACCCAAACCCTGGAAACGTGCATTTCACCGGAGGGTTGTTACTGAGATTGGCAGGTAGGTGAGCATTCCGAACTTAAATGTCAGGAGATACTCACAGATCTCTTGGGTGGATTCTCCGTCTTGATCTGACATCAGTGCGCGCAGTAGATACCCGGTCGACTACCGGCGTCAAGCGCGGAACAAGAGCGTAAGTGGATTTGAATTGAGCCAATGATCAATTTGTTAATGGAAATGCTCGGAATGGTGGAAATTATGTACCATGAAGTTGCCTCGTCGCATCCGCCAGTGGTGAAATTGGCACGAACCTGGAAGTAGCACCCAGTGATCGAAAAGAAAATCTTGAAAGAACTGAGACAATGATGGCCTTTCTACTTACAAGTTTGAGCCAGGCAACGGCAGATGTCGTCTGGGATTGGAAATGTTTTTTGAAGAAAGACCGAGCAAGTTCATGCTGTCGAGAACAGGGTGACCCATTCCACATTCCATTCCTAATGGCAGCTCCCGGGCTGTCATAAATATCATAAAACATAAGACATTGAACATAATCATAAACATCACAGTAAGGATGCAATCACCACATGCAAAGGTTCATATCTTTCGTTGCTCGTAACCCATCCACCCGAGAACAACGCGTCTCTGTACACATATCAGGGCTCCACCCCGCCGTATAATACTAGAATCCCCTCCCAAGAAAAACAAAAATCCAATCGCTGAGAACACGCTAAACAAGACCGCTAAATAAAACAACCCCTCGTCCGGATCCAATCATAAGTATGGCAAATACAAGAAACATGATAATAAAAGTGTTGCGTGATCTATCGTTGCACGCTAATTTCAAGGACCATTGCTAGTCCGTATTTTTGTGGAAAAAAGAAGAAGAAAGGAAAGAAGACCAAAAGAAGAAAAGAGGTCACACCCGTCCAGGCAGGACAGGCATGCAAGAAAGGGAAGCGAAAATCGCAACTGTCGTTCATATCGAGTAAAGAGGGGGCAAAGGAATCAGGGGTGGAAAACACCCTCGTCCTTAACAGGGACAGCAAAGTCCTGGACCATGCGTCGGAAATCACGTATCACCTTCTCAGGCACACGATCCCACATCAGGGAGCGCGAATAGACATCCGACGACGAGCCTGCCATGCGACTCTGCTGCGCGGCCGTGTTGCGCATAGCAGCAAGAGCTTGCTGGAGCGACGACGGCTGCTGCGGCTTGAACCCGTCATCTTCGAACGTTGTCAGGGAGTTATACTGGTTTGCGTTCAGGGAGAAGACCTGCTCGCGCTCTTGCTGCTCTGTCGGCATCACAAGAGTGTTGTGCAGCTGGTCGAGCGTGGATGGCACGGCGCTCATCTGCGCCATCTCCATGCCACTGATGGTGGTCGGTGCGGCAGTGGCGGTGGCAGTGGCGTGTGCAAGCTCGTGCTTTGGCGACGAGGCGAGCACAGCCTTCAGGACGTTCGCAGACTCGGCACGATACTCTTCAGAGAGCTGAGGCAGAGAGCGACCTGGAATGGAAGTGCTGTTTGAGGCGATGAAGGCGCCGAAGAGGAGGCACATGTAGAAAGCGTTCCAACTGATTGGAAGGTCAGAGCTGGGTTTCTCCGGGGCTTTGACCTGGTTGATGGGCTGACGGGGACATTCCGGCTGCATTGGAACACCGTTTTGCATCGAGAAGTCGTCCCATGGATGGCTTTCCATGGACAAGTTCTCAAAGCCGGTGAAGTCGCCAGGGAGGTTGTCCTGGACGGGTTTGATACCCCGCTCCAGCTTGTCGACGGTCTCCATGAGAATGTTGTTCTTCTTGCGCAGTTCAGCTGTCTCCAGCGTGTGTACGCGAATCATTTCGTCTTTCTCCATGTGCAGCGTGTCCATGTAATGTGTCATCTGAGCGTGGTTTGCCATCCATTCATTCTTCTCGCGCAGCAATTCTGCTTCTCGCATTTTCATGCTTTGCAGTGCCTCTTCCAGATCATTGATCGTCGCGGTGAAGTGCTTCTTCTCCTCTTCCAGCTTCTCGGTATGCAATTTCTTGCGTTGACGAGAGTCCAATCTGTTATGACGAGGTCAGTTTGTCATTCGGTCCAGGTCATGTGGGCATAACTTACGCTGCTTGTCGGTTTCGCAACAGCCGCTTTTGCTGCTTGAGCTCCTTGATCTCTTCCTCGTTGGTGGATTGGCTGATCAGGTGGTCGATGTTACTCAGCGTCCGCTCAGCAGGGATCTCAAAGCGAGCGTTCTTTTTGCGAATCCCATCCCGCCGCATGCTCAAGGGCGAGTCATTGCGGTACGAGGGACTCTTGTTCTGATGCGATGGGGCATCGGCCAGATCCATCGGGGCGGGCATCCACCCCTGACTTGACTGTGGTGACATGGCGACGCTGCCCGGCTGGCCGAACATACTCCCACGGTACGACATGGGGTTCATGGGAATTGCGCCCACGGGTCCGACGGCGCCTCCAGAGAACGGCGCAGTCGTGATCTGGTCCCCCTCGGTGGAGTACTGGTCATAGCCCGCGGTCGGCGTGCATGATCCCGAGTCATTGCGCGGCATCGACCAAGAGGGTTGCGGGAATGAGGTTGAATGCGGACCATCAACAGGCATGAACGATGCGCCGGATGAGCTCAACATGGAATGCCCGACGTGCGAATTTGAACGCGACTGGTCCGAGCTGGTATTGGAGTAGTTAGACCAGACTGAATCCCGATGTGAGTAGGCTGGGGTGTCATAGGACGAGCGGCGGGTGTCGGCGAGGTCTTCGGACCCTGGCTCCAAGATCTTCTCGTCCAGCACACTCATCTCATCGTCTTCTGTCACGTCTAATGTTGAGGGTGATTGTTGGTAGAATTCAGTCTGGAAATATCGAGCCATCACGAAAAGAGGCGGTGTGTGTGTAGAGAGAGAATCAGAGGCGGGGCAGTGGAAGGTAATATATAGAAAAAATTGTAGACGAAGAAATGGAATAACCAAAGAGGGAAAATGAATAGAATGAAGATGAAGATGAACCGTGAAGAGGGGGAGATACAATGTAGTTCCGGGGGGGAAAGGCACAGGCTATGTACGGGAGTCGCAGATGCAGACCTCGTGCGGTTGACAGTGTACTCCACAGGTACCGAGTACCGGCCCCGATGGGGAAGAATAGCCTAGTCGATCAAGTATTCAGTACATGCCCGTACGCAGCGGTCTGCGCGGGAGTGCGAGTGCGGCCCCCGGGTCAAGATCTCCGTTATTGGCTGCATCGTTCTGCTTGGGCAGACCTGCATCTGTTTGATTATTTCCTTATTTTCTTATTCTATTTTGTTCTAGTCTCGATGTGAACCTGGTCTTACTGATGCCATCATCGGTTGACAAAGTACTTCAAGGCTGTTTGCATGGTGAACTCCATATCAAGGTCAGATTTTTTCTTTTTTTTTTCTTTTTTTCTTCGTTTCCCCCTCTCTCCCACCTTCAAGGTGGGGGTGACAGACGTTAGGCTTATCGATAAACGATAGCCTATAGATCCTCGTCTTAATCCCTGCTCTGTGGAGTCTGGTCTGTGCTATATTATGTTTACGGCGTCTAAGTTAGATACTTCCAAGGTTATGGTCGGTGCTACCCCCAGGGAAGTATTTCCGTACTCAAATCCCATCACCCCGTGAATGGTCAGATGTTCAGTCTAGATGTCATTCTCCCCTCCGCTAACAGCCAATCATTCCCGAGTCAGTGTGACGATCCTTTTGGGCTGCGGTTACAAGGGTTCTACTTATTTCTTTGATCGAAATCTGCTAGGTTCCAAGGTTCTACGCAGAATGAATCTTTGGTACGGGTTCGGCCCGCTGATCCACTGTTGGGCCATGAGGAAGAATCCACGGGCAGCACCTACACCCGCTCCAGATCGTGACCTCCCGAGGTCGTTCCCTCGGTATGAGCAAAGCCCGCGAAAGATGAGCTTGACTTGAAGAATAATCACACATTTGAGGTAGGGATCTTGGATCCAATCTCGCCGATTTACGTGCAGTTCTGCACCTTCCATATGGCCAAAGGCAGGCATCTTTTCAACTCTTCGCTCACAGACCACATGTAAACCGTGATCGGCTAACCTTGATCGACTGTGTGGAGTGCAGAGAGCATGATGCCATCGTATTTGGTGGGCTGTCAGCCCGTGCCTCTGCATCGTACTTCTGCGAACAGCCTATATTCTTCCACTATTATCGTTGACAGCGCCAGGATTCGAGCATCCCACAACCAAGGCCATCAATCAACAGAAACGGATCCCAAACAATTCGTTTGGCGCTTTTATGAATACTTGCCTTAGGAATCCATAAGCGCCATATCCCAGCCTTATCGCCCAAATCTCAGTCGGTCCCTGTCCCCGTTTACGCGGCTTGACAATTACCAGGAGCACAAACCCCTTGGAAGGCGCCCCTGAGTCTGTTCGCCGTCTATACATAGCACCCAAGAGGTCATCTAAGATGATGATAGGCCTGTCACTTGGGCGGCAGCACCGCGGGTGGAAAAATCTAGCCCCGACAAATTGTAGCGGTGAAAACGCCGATTCTGTCCAATGGAGATCCAGCCTGCCCATCGGTCACTCCGTCTGATGTATTAGTAATATTTGTACTCCGTACACATCCATGAACAATATCTTCCCAAAGCAGAGTACCCGATCAAATTCGTAATCTGATTCCAGATTCAATCTGAGCAGGGACCAGGTTCACTGGCTCTATGCCCGGACCATACTTACTTTGTAGCTTAAAGCCCCACTGGAATCTAGAGACCACCATGCAAGATTTTTCTCTTCATGCGGTGAAGCTGAAACTCCATCTGAGCTAAATGACTCAAAATGAAACTGGTGATCTGCCTTCTCTGAATGAGCTAGAAGCCCATAGCAGGCCCACCCATCCACTCCTTCCAGTACCACTCTTCCCGCTAGCAGGCTACTCCTTCCACGGCTCCATACACCGTCTCTACACTGTATGTGCCCAAGCATTCTCAAACACCACCCCGGCAGGCTAAACCCAGATGTGATCTCAAAGCCTCACTTTCAACCGGTACCTGCCTGACATCTACGCATTGGGTACATTGGGCATATCAGCCAGCTTTGCACGAGCTAGGATTGGATGCTTCTTGTTGCTGAATGCTTTGAATGGGTCACTCTGGTCCACATTTGGCTCTAGGGATCCAGTCATTCGCGGCTTTGTGGTTCCTTGCCTTTGAAGGCTCCAGTTGACCCATGAGCACTTGAAATTGAGATGAGGAGTCTCATTCACCCATTTAATGACTCATGCTAAGTTGAATCTCCGTCGCTTTCTGCGGCTACAGACTATTGGGATACGCAGTACCGGTGGATCGTCGATGTTCACAAATTTGGAATGAAGAAGTGATTTCTCATCATCAATTGATCTGCGAGCAATGAGTCACTGTCCATGGATCATGATTTCATGGTAATAGTATCGGCCGTCATTTGAATTCGCTCTGGCTCGGTCTTTGTCGCCCTACCTATATCATAGTGCCCATATACTTCACCCAGCACGATACTATACTTTGTGGTCTTAATTTCACAAAACAAAGCTCTGAGCGCGAAGCCCAAAGCCCAAGGCGTGACACTTGATCAAGCGCTGAGAGATTTACCGATATCTTGACGAAGACCAACGTGATAGGCTCATCTAGGTAATAGTGATAGCAAACTCTGTCTAACTATAGACACCCTCTAGACGATCTTTTGACTGCACAGGCAATTCTCTTCTTCGAAATCTGTTGCCTGTTTGGACAAGACCATACTTGTACTTGATTCTCGGTTGGCTTCATCAGCACAGCCTGGATCGATGGCTAGGCTACGTTTGTGCCAATGCCTGGACTTTGCTATTATAGTATTTACGATTGCTCTATAGAATGCGGTCATATTGAGGGTTTGACTGTTATCTATCCCTTTGCTTTTTATCTTCCTTAGAGCCTGTCGAGCTTTAAACCCGGGAAGTTTCATTCTCATCCCCTAGGCGCAAGGCCTTGTCTAGACTTACTAACTACATAGGTATAGACCCCGGAGTAGTATGCCTGCGCACTTACTTAGCCCCTATTGAGTCTCGTTCTTTGCAATAACCTCCAAAACACGGATAATTTCTTTATTTGGTTATCTTGTAGTAACGCCTTAAGCATATCCACCCACTTAGGAAGTGTTATTGGCTTCCAAGGTTGATGTCAGCTGCTCTCGGATTTAGCCTATAGAGAACAGATCCCGGCTTTGATCTGTCAAATCACTCATGTCCCGGAACTTTTGAAATCGAACCTTAAAGTTTTTCATTTCATATTGCAGTTATCATCGACAGCCATCCTAGGTTTACTTAGATATTCCCAGGGGATCCTGTGCCATCTCTATCACTTCACTGAGTTCTATGAATAAAGGGTTATCCTTGCGGGCCTAGGAAGGATATCCTGGGCGCAAATTTTAATAAAGCACAAGACATGCGATGTTTTAGCTTTAAGTCATGCAATGAGGCTTATTCGTAGTCACACAACTTTTCATCGATGTCACCAGTCAGCAGGTCATGGTCCCTGCAGTTGGATGTTGAATGTCATGATCACATGGGCAAACCGAAGGGCACGGGATGATCTGCGTGGGGGTTTAGATTTGAAGTCCTTGGATGAAACAGTATCACAGTTCAATTTTGCTAGTTTGGATATCTGATTTGTGCTTGATCTTGGATCCTGTCGATGTTTCTTCGGGGAGGGTGATGCAAAACAAAAACACGCTATCCAACCAACTACAGATCAGGAGAATCTTAATGCCAAATTAGAAGGCGATGAAATCTTGCTGTTGCGACATTTCGCCGCTATCCACGCCTTCAATCAGCTCTTCAGCAAAGTCGTCATACTCATCTGAGTCAACATCGTCGGAATCGATGGCATCGTAAGTTTCCTCCTCGCTAGAAGCATCAGACTCATCTTCGCCCTGGTCGGCGGCAGCCGCTGCTGCTGCTGCCTTGCGGATTTGACCAGCGCGGTCAACATGCGGCAGCTGGCAACGCTTCTTGTTGCAGGCACCAGAGTTGGCATAGTCAGGGCACTCGTGGACATGTTTCTCTTCACAAGAGTCTCCCTTGTCGCAGTATCCTAATGTTGCGAATGCACGACAGACAGGGGCACCTGGTGTCACTCGGATGTGGGCGTAGCGACACTCCGGGTTGGCACAACGACCTCTAAGGAAGTGCATACAAGCGGGGGAACGGTGAGAGGAGGGTTCATGGGATAGATCACAGCTACTACCTGCGGCACATTGGCCGGTTTGAAGGAAGTCCTTGCAAATGGCAACCTTGCTTGGATCGTGGGTGAAGAGGCAAGTGGGGCCTTTGTAGCATGTGCCTGGAAAGAAGCGGTGTCAGTTTTCGAACGTGTACCAAAGGGGCGCAGCGCAAATTGGCCCATCGGAAAACAAAATACCGGTCGTTGTAAATCTTTTGCAAAGCTCGTCGCGTTTCTTAGCGGTGTGGGGCCTGGTATGTTAGCATGGGGATTGATTGAATGCTGAGGTTGAATAAACTCACTTCTTCGAAGCCACGGCACCAAGGCGGTGCAAGTTACCGTTCTTGCTGCGCACGAAGGGTACGCCGGCAACTGTGACTCTCTTGGGTGTGTTGTTGGCGGTGCTAGGGTCATCTTTAAAGGTGAGCCGATTCGATGCGAACACAAGGTCGAAGGGGTACGTACTCGAGATACGAATCAATTTGCTGCCACCTCGTCCAACTTTGAAAGCGACATCGTTGACCATGATTTCATGGCCACCTGTAGCGTGCGCAGAGGTTGTGACTGTCGCAACACCGCCAGGGCCCTGCGCGTAGCGAAGTACCTTGGCTTGTTGGCGCTCTGCCTTTTTCTGCTCCCTGAATTTGCGTGTCTCCTCCATTGCCTTAGACCTTGCCTGTGTCTCCTTTTCGTAAATAGAAGAGTTGATCAGCTGCATATGACGATCGCGCTTTGCAATCCATCCGTTGCCGGTCGAGGTTGCGGAAGTTGGCGTAGGTCCTTCGTAGGCGCTTGTCGGGGTGGCTGAAGGGGCGCCGCCAGCACTAGATCCAGAGCCCGTGTTGTTCAATACAAGGGTACGGTGTCTGTGTGGAGCTCCTGTTCCTCGACCGCGGCCTCGACCACGTCCTCGATAGTAAGGTGCCCATCCTTGGTGTGAGGGGGCATGGCGAGATACATATTGAGATTGTGTGTTAGTTGGTTGAGTCTCTTGTGACTTGTGTCGATTGATTTGGCCTGCTTGGGTTAGAATGTTGACGGGCTTCAGCTGTGTTTGAGTATCGCACCTGCAAGTTGGCCGATCTTAGCCAGAAGATCCTCGTTTTCAGTCATGGTGGGCTTGATTGTGTAAGTCAGGTTAGTGAAGCACAAATACAGCTGTCTGAGACTTCCAAGGAGAAATCAGACGGTTGTGGAGGTTCAAAGGAAACCTGTGGTGATGATGCGGAGGACCAAAGAAACGCGCCCGCAACCGCCGGTGGCGTATTGAGTCACGTGCAGGTCATTAGTATGGGCGTGTAGGGGATCTGCGGAGCAAACAACTCGCCTCGCTTCTAGAGTACTCTGGGGAAATTTTTTCGACGAGATCATAGAGAAATACATATGACTATCTTGTTTACAATACCTTCAGATCTTGTTGGTGAAGTGATTGGTATTATGGCGGACATCAGAAAAAGAACCATCCATGGATGGAAAGAAGGAGACTATACTGCCCTCCACCTGGGCAGGGCTGGAATGATCAATGTTACAGTGATTGAGGGAGCTGGCGCTTGTATATTCGTGTTAAAAGTATGTAAGTTATCAATAATTTTGTCAGTTCTATGACGGATTTCCCAGGTGAATCCAGACCTCTGCATATCAGAAGCCGTAACGCCGAGCCCTATGCTACTTTAGAGGTCATCGATATGATAGCGATTAAACGTTCTCGAAGTGAACCTCATCTTGATCAGTGGCCATTCCAGATGCCATGGGATCATCCTCAGACCCCTCATCATATGGATCGTCCGCTCCTGGAGGTAGTTCTGCCTTGGCATTGTCCATCGCATTTGAGTACTGGGCGTGAGTTGCCTCAGGTTTTAGCTCCCAGGTCATAGCAAAGTCACCAGATTTGACCAAATGCGCGACCATTTCAAGTGTCTGCTTGAGATAGGCTTCGGGCTGTGCCAACCTAGCCTTGAGTGTCTTAAATGGCCAGTATCTGAACTCGCGGAAGCACTGGAAAATAAGATCCAAGAGCTCGTTCTGGGGCATACGAGTGGACTTGTTCTCTTGAGGTTTTCCTCTGCCACCGGCTTTGGTTGCTTGCTGAAAGAAAAGTGAGTGAGCAGCCTCGGATAAAACAGGGAATGGACAAACATACCACAAACTGACCCTTCTCGCTGGGAAGGGCATGGCGCGCTTGGATGATCTTTCCTGGGATCTTATCAATGAAGACAGTCTCTTTCCGGGGCTTCAGGGCTTCCAGGGCTCGCATCTCGGATATGCGACGGAACTCCTCATTCTCTACAGGGAGACAGTTGAATTCTTCACCAACGGCGCCTGCGAGCGCAGTGTGTTCTAAGTCTTCGTGAGCAGATGCACATCATCATATCCGATAACAGACTTACTAGGTATAGTCTTTCGCACGTACGGCTCCCATCTCTTGCCTTGTTCTCTTCGCTTGGCTTCGCGCTTCTGTGATTCGTAGAGGACCGATCGTGTTTCGCCAAACGAGGCCATGCGATTCTCTACGCCTGGAATGTCTTTTTCCGTGAAAAGATAGGTATTGTGGGTGTGGTGCGATCCAGCTCCCGAGGGATCGGCTGTTTGTTTCTGAAGAACGTAATCTTTTGGAATGTCCCTGTTATCGGGGCGATCGTGTAGGCGCAGACTGACCTGAGAAAGAAAACTTCTGTGAGACTCGGCCAAATTTCAGATAAAACATTTTACTCACTCGTTTGATATCATCGAGTGCACCTTCCACTCGCATTGTACCAATCTCAATTTCGTCGTCATCATTCAAGTGTGCCCAGTGCTCCCACAGTTGCCGAGGCAGACGAGAGAGCCAGACACTCTGTCCGGCAGATGTAAAGTCAAGGTCACCAGCATCTTCGTAGAGATCTTCCTCGTCGATATCGGCAAGGACAGTGTCTTTACTATCGGGGTCCTGCTTGATGTACTCTTGTTTCACGTACGGGCGATCCGGATCCTGCTTGACCTGGGCCATACTGGATGCGGGAACCCCCAGAGACGGTCAGACACGAAGTTGTGGATTGCTGAAAGGAATGCGACTTTCGACGTGCAGCGAGCGTAGGGAGAAAACAAAATGAACAATGAAGTAAGAACCCTGGTCGTTGGTGTCGGAGCCGCCACAAGGCGCGGATGGAGCTATTCAGTCTCTAAACGGCAGGCGGTGAAGCATATTCATTCTATGACGGAGTTTAGTTACTCTCTCATCCTTTGAGCTCCGCAACAATGACCTGAATATCTCATTCTGCATTCAATATGTCTATTCACCATAATAGGGAGGCATCATACTTATTGTGGTCGCAACGTGATTATTACGTACATAAATCAGAGCAGCCGAGAAGGGTGTGCGCAAGTATACTCCGTACAGGGTAGGTATAGCGTCCTTAATTCATGGAAAATGAACAAAGCATCTGGCTAGCCCAAAGCGCTTCGGACAGTGAATTTTAAGTCTTCCAGAATATTAGACATTCTTCTAGGTTCCAACTAATAAGCACATTGGCTACCTGCTTGTTTCCCGGCCCCGGGGGCGCTAGGCTGTCCAATCTTATCGATAACAGTATCTCGGTCAAACTTCCCCCCATTCACTTCAAGCCGAACCCAAGCTCCCACTGACCCTCCACACCACACTCACCATGGCCTCACAAAAGATTGCCAACGCCCTAGCGGGTATTGAAGCCAATACCCATCAGTCCACTAAACTGCAACAATACAAGGAGCTCCTCAGCGATATGGTCACATCCTCCACAGGTCACGAACTCGCCCAAGACCTCGTTTACTACCTCGATTCGTTCCTCAGCGAAGAAGTCAGCATTGTTTCTGCCCGTCCCCTCCTGGACTCCTTCATCAAAGTCCTCCAATCACTCGCCACAGAAACGAAAATAAAAGTTGGCCAACACGCCGTCACCCTCCTTCAAACCCGTTCCGCCTCGGTGGAGGAACAAGATTCGCAGATCCGTGAGATCCTTGCAGATGCATACGAGTCGCAAGAGGAATATACGGCCGCTGCCCGTGTACTGCAGGGTATTCACATCGATAGTTCACAGCGTCTTGTCTCGGATGACGCCAAAGCTCGTCTTTGGATCCGCATCGTTCGCTACTACCTCGAAGATGACGATACAACCAGTGCCGAAGCCTTCCTGAATCGGATCAAGAACCTTCCTTCCAAACTCGAGGATCACGATTCCATACTCTACTTCCAGCTCTCCCAGGCGAGGATCCTGGACGCCAGACGTCGCTTCCTCGACGCCGCGCAGCAATACTTCCAGGTCAGTCTTGCGCTGGGTGTGGACGAGGGTGACAGATTGGTTGCATTGTCTGCTGCTATTCGCTGTGCGGTTCTTGCGCCGGCGGGGCCTCAGCGCTCGCGCTCTCTTGGTCTTCTGTACAAGGATGGGCGGGCGCAGTCGGTGGAGGAATTTGGTATTCTGGAGAAGATGTTCCTTGACAGGCTTTTGACGGCCGATGAAGTCGCCGCTTTCTCTAGTAAGCTTGCGCCGCATCAGTTGGCTGTTACATCTGACGGCACCACGGTTCTTGATAAGGCGGTCATTGAGCACAATCTCGTTGCCGCGAGCAAACTGTACCAAAACATCCGGGTTGACGATCTCGGGGCCATTTTGGGTCTCCAGTCCTCGGGTAATTTATCAGCTGGGGAAAAGGCGGAGGCTTATGCGGCGCGGATGGTTGAGCAAGGTCGACTGAAGGGTGAGATTGATCAAATCGACGGTATTATCACCTTCAGTGCAGATGCAGCTGGTAGCTTTTCCCATTCTTCGAATGGTAGCAAGTTGAGGCAATGGGATGCTGGTGTGCAGGCGCTTGCAGAACATGTGGAGCGTGTTGCCGAGAGTATTTCTGATCAGTTGCCGGTATGAATCTCGAACCCTGTGTGTTGTGAGTCAAATTACTAACGGTTTGTAGGAACATGCTGCCAAGCACAGGTTGGTGTAAGGCCTACTATGTACCTATCTATGAAAGATCCACGAATTGATGCCCATCTGCTCTGTCGCATTTACGTTAAGCCAGCAAATAAATCCCCGGAATAAAAGCGCTATCTAAACGTCTGCGTACTTGCTCTTTGGCTCACCATGCTCGGCTGGTATCATGGGCTGAATAGTGTTATTCCAAGGTTGCATCAGCAACCACTCCGTACCCGCCATGGCCTGAGGGATATGGAAGCTTCTACAATGCCTTGGGGAGACATTTTGTTTGTCCTACTAGTCTTCGAAATGGATTGGTGTATTATCAGCCCGAAGTGTTCGTTTACCTAGTAGTGGGTATACCTAGGTGAATCCCATGTAGTCCGAGGTCGTATCAAAGATGAATAGTTAAATCTTCAGCATACCTACTAGGTAGTAGTAATGGAATCATATATGAAGGGTAACAAAGCCAAATAACATCGTTCTGTACAGTTATATTTCACATGGTCGGTATAATCAACATCGATGGAAAGGAAAAAGGGTAGTATATCAAAGGAGCAATGATAAATACATTGGCCTTGAAAGTCATGTTCGTAGAGATGAAAGAAAGAAAGAATTTGGGGACAGTTGAAGGTGTCTGTGCCGGATATACATGATCAAATGGCAAATCCAAGGCGACAAGAGATCAATACCCAATTTGAGAAAGTAAAACATCACATCGTTAAGCATGAAATCGGAAGGATCAAACCGCACTGTCACTAGCGCGGTGAAGCGTGGTGGTTGAATCATTGGGTTGAATGGAGATATCTGTCTGAACATTGATATCCATAGGGTGAAGATCATCGCCCAAGAACCCAGGGGACTTGCTCTCGACCTGGGCGTTGTACAAGGTAGACTGCATCTTCATGTATTCCAGATCGGGGGACCGAGGGCTGCCCTTGGACAGGAACATCGAGTTGGTATAATCGGTGTTGATATATTGGGGACCTGTTCCGTTGCGCGAAGTCTTCAGCTTCAGAGCAGGGAACAGTCCACGGATGATCGGGAGGTTGGAGCAGATCAGTCCAACTGCGGGTTCGATGTGCGTCCACAATGTGGCCTGGTATACTGTATATGTTGGGTCGCTGGGACTGATCCAGAACAGAACAACGATGCGGTAGATACTGGCGAAGCAGACGAAGGTGCCGAGGGCGAAGACGCCGTTCAATGCAAGCTTGTCTTGCCAGGCACGGTGCAGGTTCCAGATCATTGGGATTGGTAGGGCGAGGATGACGAAGTCTATCAGGATGTTGAAGGCTTGGTTGACGATGATGAATTCCTGTGCGTCGAAGCATGATCCTTCGATATTACGATCCCAGTAGGCGCGCAGAGGTCGGCATTGTCCTGCGCAGGCAAGGAAGATCCCTGTGCCCCATGCGGCGATCAGGATGTTCAGACCGAAAGTGAATTGCTGAAAGCGTGGGGTCGCAAAAACGCGACGGTAGAAGCAAACAATGGAGATCTTGATGCAGGGACAAAGCAAGAAATATGTGAATTGGTTGGCGAGGAATATCTGAGTTTGTGAGTTTTGAGCATTGGTCTAAGCATGAATGCCACATACCTTCCAATAGTTCATGAATGTTTTAGGATCCAGGTCTGCGGCGTGGGCTCCATTGCCACCGATCGAACACCCTGTGGACTGTCAGTAGATGACTTGCAGATGCCAGGAGCCCTGGAGTGATGTTTCACTTACATAAGATCAATTCGATCAACATGGCAATGAGCAGAAGTATAGACGCGGCACTGAGGTAGTCATCGACCCCAAAGCCCACTCTTCTACGGAGACGAGCAAAGATTCGAAGTACAACGGAGATCAAGGCGAGTGAGACCAAGACCGAAACGATCTCGATCATTTGCCAGCCTCTTTGACTGGGCGCCATTGTTTACAATGGGCAGTGTAAAAGAATGTGGGGGAACGAGGAAGCACAAAAGGCACAAAGGAATGACTGGGGACAGAAGTACAATCTCGACATCGGTCGACATCGGCTCCGATATAAGACAGAAACCACGCGAGTCGCACGATCAGTGGGCATTCCGGGGCCCTGGTAATCCATACACTAAGCCAGCTCAAAATCACACATTCTGATACTTAACCCACTCACACCACACGTAGTGGTCGATCGATGTCCGAATAGGGAACCTGATTTGTGAAGAGGTGGGCTGGGACCCGTCCAGATGTTTGGATGACGCTATGCAGTATTGCACTACCACCCATTGCCCCTATAGGGGCGCGGAAGACTACTAGTCATGAGTCCTAGTACCCGTACATTTATCGGCAGATTCTTGAGTTCTGAACCAGAATATGCCTCTTTTGTGGATAAGTAGAAGGCAGATATCCTTGGAACGTTGATGAGACTATGCGTTCGACAGTGGAGCGCTAGTGGAGTGAGCGAATTCAACGATGCTGAATCGGGAAAGAATTAGCTATGATCGCCATCACACACCAGCTTTGCCAGCTGAAAGAGCTGAATCATGCGTCAAACCAAGCTCTGGGAGGTCGAGCCTATCATGACTCCAGATTACTAGTAGACTCTCAATTACTAGGCACACAATTTGGTCTCCATTGCTGTTGTACAGTAGTGCAGTACTGACCTGCGCAGGGAAACGGAAAAGCCACCCGCACGCCACGAGGGACCACCCATGGTTCGGCCATTAACTTCCCGGATTTGGGTTACTCCAACAGGGAGTGACATGTAGATCCCCGATAGCGTCGAATATCAGCAAGCCATTGCACACTAGTCGAGCGTTGCGGTTTGACTGAAGTCGTGAATGGAAAGGGACGCACAAAATTTGGAATAACAAAGAACTTCTGTCATTTGAGTACGAGGATTCCGATTCTTCGAACCCCTCATCGTACATATTTTTAATCTCTCATGCAAGCCATCTGGGGCTGTGGGGTTGCTTCAGATTAAATGGCGATGGCGAAGTGACCCCCACGGCCCTCTTCGCCTAATGCTGTACGTACAATGTGGTACTAATATCGCTGTGGCGCGCGGCAGTGGGGCCGACCTTGTGCATTCGGGTCAGATTCTTCACACGTTCCATTGATCTCGAATGCTATTGTACTCCGCGGAGTATTGCACATCAATAACTGTCTTTCTCGAAGGGTACTCAGGCCCATGCCCCTGGTATTCACACGATTTTTGTACTGCTAAAGTCAACACTGCGCGCCTTGGCGGATGTACGTGATCCATACGTGCATTCGACTCAGCCAATATTTTGATTCTCAAAAGCTTGAAAGTCAATTAATGTTTGAGCACCATTTTCCATCCGGATGAAAGGATCATTTAACGGCAGGATAGGGCTGGTACACAAACACATACAAAGTAGGCGACTAGTCTTCATAGCGCGGAATAGCGCCTCAAATGCCGGCAAAGATCGTCGCACGGCATCAGATAATCAGTCATACTACACGTACTCCAAGACAATAATTCCAAGGTCATAGTCAATGTGGGACCGAAAGCCTCGGCCGACTGCCGACTAGCAGAGACCCTGATCCTGTGAACCCCTCATACCTCATCCCGTACCTGTTGTACTATCTGCATTGCATACCCGTACATCGGAGTTTATACAATTTGCTCAGAAAAAGCAAAGAAAATGTCACTCCCCATTCCCCTCCTCATAAACGGTGAATCCGTCACAACGCCCAAAACATTCCCCATTATCAGTCCATACACCAACACCAAGATCTGGGAATCCTCCTCCGCAAGCCCCGACGATGCCCTCCGCGCCGTCGAAGCAGCCAACGCTGCATTCCCCTCCTGGTCCGCCACAAAGCCTACCGTCCGCCGCGACATCCTCCTCAAAGCAGCCGATCTCCTCGAAGCCCGCCTCGACACAAATGCAAGCTACATGCGCCAGGAGATGGGCGCAGACGTCGGCGCCAGCGCGGGCTTTGTCGTACCGCTCGCGATCCGCATGCTCCGTGACATTGCAGGCCGCATCACCTCCATCTGCGGAAGCGTGCCGGTCGTCGAGACAGAAGGCCAATCGGCCATCGTCTACAAGGAAGCCATGGGTGTGATTCTGGGAATTGTGCCCTGGAATGCTCCTTATGTCTTTGGGATCCGCTCGGCGGCTTGTGCGCTCGCGGCTGGCAATACTACTATTTTGAAATCATCGGAGCTTACGCCTCGCTGCTATTGGGCTATTGGACAGGCATTCCAGGACGCTGGGTTGCCGGATGGTTGTTTGAATGTTATTCATTGTGCGGCGGAGGATGCCCCGGCCGTTGTAAATGCTATGATTGAGCACGAGGCTGTGAGGAAGGTGAACTTTACAGGGAGTACAGCTGTTGGGCGGAAGATTGCGCGCACCTGTGGTGCGAATCTGAAACCTTGTCTTATGGAGCTGGGAGGCAAGAACAGCTCTATTGTCTGCGAGGACGCAGATTTGGGCGTCGCGGTCCAGGGTGTTTTGGCCGGTGCATTCCTAAATGTGAGTATTTGTCGCAGAGATGAGGTTGGATTTGGGGAGAGTACAGCTAACTCTCAAATAGTCTGGTCAAATCTGTATGGCGACTGATCGCATTCTGGTGCACGCTTCGATCGCGGACGCCTTTACCGCAGCACTGCAAGGTGCGCTGGGTGGCGCCCAAGCCTCAGACCCTCCTACGCTTGTGAATGTTGCCTCCAAGGCTCGGGTCGAGGCACTCATTTCCGGTGCTGTGGGCGCGGGCGCACACTTTATCTCTGGCTCCGATAGCAATGGAGCCAGCGAGGGCGTGCGCTTGGCGCCTGCTGTGCTCGGTGGCGTGAGGGAGGATATGGCGGTGTGGCAGGAGGAATCGTTTGCGTCAGTTGCGGCTGTCATGCCGTTTGACAGCGAAGAAGAGGCGATTCGACTCGCGAACAGCAGTGGATATGGACTCTCGGCATCAGTGTTCACGGAGGATTTAAGGAAGGGGTTGAGAATGGCGAAACGCATTCAGTCTGGGTGAGTCTGGGAGCCTGTTGCGGGTGGACAAGAGCTAACTCGATGCTATAGGGCCGTTCACATTAATAGTATGACGATCCATGATGAGCCTGCTCTGCCCCATGGTGGAGTGAAGAACAGTGGCTGGGGCCGTTTCAACACCGATGAGGGACTGAACGAATTCCTGGTGAGCAAAAGTGTGACCTGGATGGACTAGACGCATTGGGATTAGCCGAAGCTATGGATGGAGCTTCATTGCGAGTATGTAGGTCTCCAATTGCACTCTGGCTGGATCGAAGACACCTGCACTTCTCCATTTTCCCTCCGGCTGGAGCTTTCTCGTCCGAGACGTATTTGAGATCTCGGTGGGTATTAACCCGAGCGACGATAGTGGAGCACATTCGCAGCAGGCCAATGAGGCATTTGTTCTCATCAAGCGTAGATGGCTGTTGAAAGTGCAGTGTCGAAAGTCGAGAGGGAGCCCTGGAGGGAAAGAGAGGAATGTGTCCTGAGTCCCAATATGAATTCCGTCGGCAATTGAACAGCTGCCCAGGAAGCAGAGATGAGGTCACCAGGCAATTCCCATCCCCGGATTGCGGGTCCTCGTCGGCCAATCAGCAGCCCTGTGTTCTTCAGCCGGCAACTGCTTTTCCTCTTTTCGTCTGCTTGGTTTCCTGTTTTCATTTCCAGTAAGTGTGTATTACACGAGTTCAAAGGTATTGTTTATTGCTATAGAATTCTGGTACTTTAGCATGAGAGATTGATCTGTGGACTTGAACATGCCACATTCCAGCTCAGATCAGCCCATGCAGGACACGGTCCGATTCGGACAATTCGGACCGCAATCACCATTCCGAGGCCCACGGCCTGTGCAATGCCGTGTTCTACGGTGTGAAACTGCGTACTTCGTACAGTGTACTCTAGACCCAGCCTGTCAGTCCGGTATCAAGAACCTGGAACTCCACCCAGGACCCCCGCTCTGACAGGATACTCACCCCCTTCGTGAGTGTGTCTTCACTGAACAGAGATGATCACCTGGGCAAGTGGCGCTGAGCATGTGAATCCATATGCAGTTCTATGCCTAAAATACTCAAATACGAAGCTGGTAATGCATGTGATAATCATACCCCAGATCTGACCTTGGAAGGGTGACAAACCAGCGTGTCGCAATTAAAAATTACAGCGGGTACCCCCATCTTTCGCTACCTCGGCCGATAAACTACGTCGGCTTCTGACTTCCCCCGGATTCCCCTCTCATTCTGGCTTTCTTTAAGAGCCCTGGTCCCCTCGGCTGTCCCCTCTTCCTCAACATATTCTCTCACACTCAAAATGGCTGCTCCCCAAGTAATTGTGGTCGGCGGTGGATGTACGTATTACTTCTGCGCATGCTTGCTGCTCAGCTGACTCTCTCCTAGTGTCCGGTCTCAGTGCCGCCCACACTGTCTACCTGAACGGTGGCAACGTCCTCGTTCTCGACAAGCAGGCCTTCTTTGGTGGTAACTCCACCAAGGCCACCTCCGGTATTAACGGCGCCCTCACTCGCACCCAGACCGACCTGGGGATCCAAGACAGCGTCAAGCAGTTCTACGATGACACCCTGAAGTCTGCCCGTGACAAGGCCCGTCCCGACCTCATCAAGGTCCTGACATACAAGTCCGCAGCTGCCGTCGAGTGGCTCCAGGACGTCTTCAACCTCGACCTGACTCTCGTCTCCCGTCTCGGTGGTCACACCCACCCCCGTACACACCGTGGCCACGATGCCAAGTTCCCCGGTATGGCCATTACCTACGCTCTGATGGAGCGCCTGGAAACCCTCGCCGATAAGGAACCTGGCCGCGTCCAGATCATCAAGAAGGCCAACGTCACCTCCATTAACAAGTCCGGCAACCACGTCACCGGTGTGACCTACTCCGTCAACGGCGAGGAGAAGTCAGCCGACGGTGTGGTCGTTCTCGCAACTGGTGGTTACGCCGCTGATTTCGGCGACACCTCCCTGCTCAAGCAGCACCGCCCCGATACCTTCGCGCTTTCCTCCACCAACGGTACCCACGCTACCGGTGATGGTCAGAAGATGCTCATGGCTATTGGCGCCAACGGCATCGACATGGACAAGGTCCAAGTCCACCCAACGGGTCTCGTCGACCCGAAGGATCCTGAGGCCAAGTTCAAGTTCCTGGCTGCCGAAGCCCTCCGTGGTGAGGGTGGTCTGCTCCTGAATGCCGACGGCAACCGATTCTCTGACGAGCTCGGTCACCGTGACTATGTCTCCGGCAAGATGTGGGAGGAGAAGGAGAAGGGTAAGTGGCCCATCCGTCTCGTGCTCAACAGCAAGGCATCCAAGGTTCTGGACTTCCACACTCGTCACTACTCCGGTCGTGGCTTAATGAAGAAGATGACCGGTGCCGAGCTCGTCGCTGAGATCGGTTGCGGAGAAGCCGCCCTGAAGAAGACTTTCGACGAGTACAACCTCATTGCCGATGGCAAGAAGAAGGACCCATGGAACAAGCGCTTCTTCCACAACATGCCCTTCCAGCTGGACGATGAGTTCCATGTCGCTCTCATGGAGCCCGTCCTTCACTTCACCATGGGTGGTATCGAGATTAACGAACATGCTCAGGTCCTCAACGGCGAACAGAAGCCTTTCGAGGGCCTGTACGCCTGTGGTGAATTGGCCGGTGGCGTTCACGGTGCCAACCGTCTCGGTGGCTCCTCCCTGCTCGGCTGTGTCGTCTACGGCCGTGTCGCCGGTGACTCGGCATCTCAGCACCTCTTCCAGAAACTCCTGACCACCGGCACGGCTTCTAGCCGTCTTGGCCAGATCTCTCTCCACATCGACCCTAACACACCCGGGAAGATCGCCGTCGAGTGGGGCGCCGCTGGCGGCTCTCTCCCTGCTCTCGCCGCCCAGGCCCCGGCCGCGGCTACCCCTGCTGCGGCTGCCGCAGCCGCTCCTCAAGAAGCCGCCAAGTCGGATCCCGCGAACTTCAAGATTCCCGAGACTGAATACACTATGGAAGAAGTTGCGAAGCACAACACAAAAGAAGATCTTTGGATCGCTGTCAAGGGCGTCGTTTTGGACGTGACCAACTGGCTGGACGAGCACCCCGGCGGTGCTAACGCTCTGTTCAACTTCATGGGCCGTGACGCTACCGAGGAGTTTGCCATGCTCCACGATGACGAAGTCATCCCTAAGTATGCTGGCCATATTGTCATTGGCCGCATCAAGGGCGAGACTCCTAGCCTTGAGCTGTAGTTTCGCCTGTGCTTCTACTTGCCGGCGCTTTTCATACCCTTTTGTGTTTTTGTATCATACGATATCAAGCTTGGAATATATCCTTTGAATGATCTTTCAGGTCTTTGTTGTAGTCATTGTACGTTTGGAACATAATAAATATCCTTCGAATCGGTATCGAGTCCAGTGACTAGAGATGTACGAAGTAGTCCCCCCAATTCTATCCATACACACAGTACTACACCCAATCATCTCATCATATCCTACACATCCCCGACCTTAGAATTCACAGGCCAGCGCCATCATCCCCCCATATGTCCCAATATCATCTTCAGTCTCCTAACGGCCGGCCCCTCCTCACTCCTACCCTGTTCAATCTCCGTCCTCGCAGCCTCAAGCACAGGTCCCAGGAACCCCCAAACCTCCTCATGATACCTCTCCTGCACACCAACCCAATCCCCCGCCCCAGGAAGCCGAGCCAGTACTTCATCTCGAAGCGCCTGGCCCTGCCCTTGTCCCTGACTCTCATTGTATCCCTGACTCAAGAATGTGTCGATATCAGGCACTAAGCTTGCGCTCGTCAAGCGCGGGCCATGCGACGAGAGTCTAAATGAGTCCAGTGCTTCTCTCTCGCTTGCTGAAAGCGGTAGTGGAGCTGGGTCGAGGTCTGTTTCTGGGATTGTGGCGGGGTCTTCTTCTGTGGATGGGGCGGAGAGGAGGTCGACGACTGCTGCGCCGTCTTCTGGGTTTTGGTTGTGGTTCTGGTTCTGATTCTGATTCTGCGGGTGGGACTGGAGCTGGGATTGGGATTGGGATTGGCTTGAGACATAGTTTGTATTCCACGAGTCTAGTCGGCCTTTGCCTTTCGTATCGTGTAGGGCATCTTCTTCGTCGAGCTGGGGCGCTTGTTGGAAGTTGAATTCTTCGTCTGGGATCGCGGAGTTGGAGCTCCGGAATGACTCCTGTTTCGGGCCGACGGACGATGTCGGCCCTGAGAGGGAGTCTATTGAGGTACCTGCATTGGAGGACTGTGCGGAGGGTCCGGATTTGCTGTTTGTTGATGAGAGGGTGTTGTTGAGATCGGAGCCTGGTTTGAAGGTGCTCTTTGCTAGGCCTGTTGCGGAGGATTGGATGCGATTTGCGAGGGATGGGGTTGGAGTTGGGGCGGGACTGGAGCTTTGGGCTTTGGGATTCCCCCGCACGTTCGACTTCTCGGCCATGATTCAAGGTTGCAGGGTGGCTCTGCGGGTTTGATTCAAGGTTGTTCCTAAGTACCTGAATGGATATAGGCAAAGTTCCAAAGTGCAAGTGGGTTAGTATAGGATTTTGGAAAGTAGGGTTTTGTCGGGCTGCTCGGGTCAATTGCCGGACGATGTAGGATGGCATGTGAATACCGCCCCGAAGCCGTATACCTCGCTTCCATTGTCTATGAGTGGGGATTGATGCGATCCATGGATACCTAGGTATCTTTGGAGATATCATTCGAGGTTTGAGTACTTCAGTAACATTTCATGTCTTTGTTCGTGTTGAGCTCGATATATATTACCTACATAGGTAGGTACCTGGAGTTGGTTGGCCTCGAAGCGACGATGCAATGGTATACAGAACAGGTCACGCCCCCAAGTATCCTTTAGCTGTTCAGCACCTGCGTAGAACCCCGGAAGGGCGGCCTATATGGGCAGTGTTGACTTCTGCAGTGCCACTGTACTCCGCAAAGGCATTGTGCCCGTATGAGTGACATGAAGCCACCCATCTCCAAGGACGGTAATAGATCTTGAGGGGTTCATAACCCAGAACTGTACATTTCTCAGGCCAGTTGGCGAATTATCCGAATATCTAGGCACTGCAATAAAATGTATAGCTTGGTACATAGGCAGCGTTCCGATTTGTCAAAATGGTACAGTGTTTCAACATCTCGATACCAATTGCCTAGATGTCAAGTATCTAGTCTATAGACCTCAGCAGATTGCGTACTAGTACATGCTTCGGAGTTACGAAGACATCCATGGATGAAATTCCCCCTGAACTATGTCGTGCGGAGTATATGTAGGTACTATGTGGATTGCATTTGCTGGAGTACTCCGTACTCTACTCCGTACATAGCGTTTGAGGGTAGCTTCCTAGTAGCTCACTGAAAGACCTTGCATGAAGAACAATATATCGAATTCAGTGAGAGGTCACATTGGTCATCATTCGTCAATTGAGATGTTGCATGTTGAATTGGATATTTGAGATAGATGTGAAGTAAACTGGGCTGTAGGGCTGGTTGGGTCGTAATCGAGTCTCGGTAGCGGGTCGCAGAGCAGAGACTGTTACATGGACAGTGTTGATGTCAGAATCGATTCCCAAGCAGAATCCGGGAAGGTTTTATCTTGTTCCAACCCAATAGCCAGATCAAAATCGGTACTTGTGGCTACCTTGCACCAAGGGCGATCGCGGGTGTGAATGCAGGTCACTGGATGGTATCTTCGTAACTCTCCCCACCACCGCCTCAACTCACCTCACCTCAACTCTTTTCTTGTCTTTCTTCTCCCATCAAAGACCCTGTACGCAACCCATCTCCCCCCACTCCCCCTCCTCAGACCTGCTTAATTACTGGAGTTTGGCCCTAACCCTCCCCGCCTCTCTCTCGTTCGAATAGAATCTTTTCCCGGATCCCCTCAAAAAGCTTTGCGGGTCAAAGAGGGACACTGTGATCATCAACTTTCCACACGTTGCCCATCCGCCACATCCAGCAAGTCTCCGTGATAGCTGGTCCGGAGCGATTCCCCTCCCCCTGCCCCTCTTTTTCGCTTTACCGCCAGACCCCTCGCACACCATCTCCGACCGTTGGTCCTTCCGACTTGCCTCCCCCAATCGTCGTTAATTTACGTCGGTCTTCATTGGTCACGCACCTCGCCTCGATTTCGCTCTTCATTCCGGCAATAGAGCTCCCGGAAGTCTCTCCCTGTTCCTATCCTGCTTCGTACCCTGGACGCGTCCAAGGGAGCTAGATCGAGAAAATGGTAGACAGAGATCCAGGCACACCTACCTGGAAGTTCACACAGTAAGTTGGAACCTGTCTCGGAAATGTTGGGATGATGCCCTCGTCGCGGTGTCGATCTCGATCGAAGCAGAACTTGCAGCTTGCCGAACGGTGACTGACTTCCACTCGCAGATGCTTCGGCGATAAGGGCGATGTAGAGGACATCACAGAAGGTAACCACCGGCATCCCTCGCACCTGGCCGAGCTTGGTCAATTTTAACAGGGCGGACCGACTGACATGCTCTTCAGCGGACATCATCTCGACCGTCGAATTTGACCACACCGGAAACTACCTGGCCACAGGTGATAAGGGAGGACGAGTGGTGCTGTTCGAGAGGAATGAGACGGTAATCCGCCCCGGCGTCGCCTGTGTCAAAGTTTTCTTTCTCTTGAATGTCCCGACTGACCATGAAATAACAGAAAAAAACCTGCGAATATAAGTTTCACACCGAGTTCCAGTCACACGAGCCGGAGTTCGATTATCTCAAGTCGCTAGAGATCGAAGAGAAGATCAACAAGATTAAATGGTGCCGACGACAAAATGCATCCCATTTCCTCCTCTCCACGAACGACAAGACGATAAAGCTTTGGAAGGTCTTCGACAAGTCCTTGAAGGTGGTCGCAGAGAACAACTTATCGAACGAACTTACACCAGCCAACCCCATCGGCGCTGGCGGGGGCATGGCTCGCGCCCCGCGCGCTTCTTTCAAAGACCCTGCTGCCCTCAAACTCCCTCGCCTGACACACCATGATACCGTCGTTGCCGCCGTCCCGCGCAAAACATACGCCAACGCCCACGCGTATCATATTAATAGCATTTCCGTCAACAGTGATGGCGAAACCTTTATCAGCAGCGACGACCTTCGTGTGAACTTGTGGAACCTCAACATCCAGGACCAAAGTTTCAACATCGTGGATATCAAGCCTGCCAATATGGAAGAGCTCACCGAGGTCATCACTGCGGCCGAGTTCCACCCTGTCAGCTGTAACTGGTTCATGTACGCCAGCTCCAAGGGCACGATCAAACTTGCGGATATGCGACAGCGGGCTTTGTGTGACGAACATTCCAAGCGTAAGGTCTCCTCATTTGCATTCCACTGTTACGTTACTAACTTTCCCGGCAGAGTTCGAACAGGAAGAGGATGCGTCGTCACGCTCGTTCTTCTCCGAGATCATTTCCTCCATTTCCGACGTGCGATTCTCCAATGACGGCCGCTACATCGTGTCAAGAGATTATTTGACAGTGAAGATTTGGGACGTCAACATGGAACGACAGCCCGTCAAGACCATCCCCATCCATGAGCACCTGCGCCCCCGTCTCTGCGACACCTACGAGAACGATAGCATTTTCGACAAGTTCGAGGTGGTCTTCTCTGGTGATGCCGATAACGTCATGACGGGAAGCTACAACAACAATTTCATGATCTACCCTACAGAAGAACAGAAGGACACTGAGGTTGTCCTACAGGCGGACAAGTCGGCTTTCAAGGCAAAGAAGGTTGGTGTGCCGACGCCTATGAGCAAGAGTAACGGAAAGAAGGCCGGTTCGCGATCCGGTAGCCCTGCTGGCCCTGGCAGTCGGATGAAGAAGGAGACCGATGCCGACCAGATTGACTTCAACAAGAAGATCCTGCACATGAGCTGGCATCCGTTTGAAGACAGCATTGCCATCGCGGCGACAAACAATGTGAGTTCAATCCCTTCCTCGAACCATGCCTGACACTAATGGGGTCTACAGCTCTTTGTTTTCTCCGCTCTTTAATCGCACGAAGTACCGACGAGGTCATTATCATCTTTTTTTATTCATGGACAGGCGCATCCGGGGTTTGGGTGGAAGATGGAGGGCCTTGGTGACCAGGCAAGACACGAAAAACCAGAAAATAATGATAGTAGCAAGCCACAGGTTCCATAATCTCATGACTTTCCCTTCCCCATCCCCCATCCCTGCTCCACGAGTGCCTTTGCTCAAGGAGAACACGTTTTGTCTGAGTTGGAGACCTGGTTTATTTTTTTGTTTAGCTATATCCCTGGTGCCATCGTTCCTGTGCCTACGTGGTGAGGTGTGAGAGGCTTTCTGTGGGCGAGCTCATGGTAGAGAATGTTTTTTTTTTTTTTCAAGCAGAAGACGGCATACGAGATGCGCATTAGTGACTGGAGTTCAGACGTGTGCTCTTCCGATCTGGGGTTTGGGCTAGTGTAGTGAGAACCGAATTTCGTTCCTCTTTACGGAGTAGTACCTGGGTATATTGCTTGATTCATGTACAGCATATACCGGTGCTCCGTACTATTGCCAGTGGCCGCCCAGCCCTGACCCTCCGCCCCTTTCCGAGGCGGCGTGGACAAGCGAGAGTCCCAACCTTTCAGTACTTGCACTAGAGGATCGATGAAGATAGTGATCCGTGAGCAAGGAAGGATAGGAAACAAATCCACTCCTCTCGTTCAAGTTCTGTGACTAGCCTATCGATGCAAGACCCCTTGCCCATCTTTACGCTGTCATGTTTTTCTGCCGGCAGTGAAAGACGATGACGAAGGCGGGCGGTTATTCAGTTATCGCACAATACATGCGATGACAACGGACAGTCTCTCATTGATAGGGATGGCAGGGTAAAATATCCATGATACAGTATTTAATGAAATTCCAGTACAGTGCGGACAATCGAAAATCCGAAAATCCATGCGCTAAGCCCTAATTGGTTGGCCCCGGGAAAGCCTCCACTGGAGCCCGCGATCGGTCGCGCGCAATTCCATCACCTTTGTGTCTCCTGCTCAACCTCACTTTCCTCCATACCGGTTCTTTCTTGCTGTACTGCGTGGAGTCGGTCTACAGTCTTCTTTCCTACGAGTGTCCAGGTCATGCTGTGACCCTAGTGCAACCTGAGCGTTGCCGTCGAACCCTGCGAAACAGAGACAGTGAGCTCGAGCTTCAACCGTCATTTTCCCCTCACCTTTTTCTATTCCCTCCGTCATACCTCATACACTTTGTCATTGCGGTTCATGCATAGATCATGAACCCTGGAAACGATAACTGGCACTCCTCCGGTGGGCCGCCGTCGCATCCTGCAATGGATCAGATGAATCAACAGCCTCGGCCCCTGGGGTCTTTCAAGTATGATCGATCGCCTGCATCTGTCATTTGACCACGGAGGCTAACCAGAAATCTTTGCGCTTCAACAGTCAAAACCCCTCCCAGTCCTCGGGCCCAGTTCTTCCCCCTCCAGCTGGTTAGATTCACCGTCCCTTCCTCCCACTTAGGATTCAAAGGATCCGAGCGACTCGATAACCCGTGAGCTAACATATGATATTTAAAGCCTCCTACCACTCAAGCCAATCCGGAGGCCATTCACTCCCCGGGCTGGCCGAATTGAGCCAGACCCACGGAGGTCAGCACCAACCCCCAGCTTACGGCCAGCACCCCACAGGCCCATCCCATAACACCGGCCACTCTCTCCCTGGAATTGGCCAGGCAATGCAACACGCCTCTCCCCAGCTCAACCGTGAGCGCGAACGGGACTCCAGAGAGCGTGAAATCATTGAGCGCCAGCGCCAGGAAGAGATGGCTCACCGTGAGCGGGAGCGGGAGCGCGAGCATCGCGAGCAGATCGAGCGCCAGATCGAGCGCCGTGAGCAGCCTCAGCACCCTGTTCAGAGCCACACAGGCTCCATCCCTCTCCACCAGCCTGTCGCCAACAAAGTCCCCAACTCCATTCACGGACCCGGGGGTCTTCTGTCAACACTGGGTGGAACCCCACAGAATGGCCACCAGGGTGGACCGCAGTCTGCGGCTGGTCTTTTTGGCCAGATGCCGCACGGGGAAGGAACCCCCCGTTCGTACATGCAACATCCTGCTGGGCCCCCAGGGCAGCCAATGATGGGCTACAATACTCCGGGGCAGCAGATCCCCGGGAATGTGGCCGCGCTTGCTCAGGGCCAGCAGCCTATTTTGAATGATGCGCTCAGCTATCTCGACCAGGTAAAGGTTCGATTTGTTGACCAGCCTGATGTATACAACAGATTTTTGGATATCATGAAAGATTTCAAGAGTCAGGCAATCGACACCCCTGGTGTCATTCAGCGAGTCTCGACTCTTTTCAACGGCCATCCCGCCCTGATTCAAGGATTCAATACCTTCTTGCCTCCCGGATATCGAATCGAGTGCGGTACCGAGGACAACCCCGATGCGATCCGTGTGACCACTCCCTCGGGAACCAACACCCTGAGTATGCCCCGTGCCGGACGTCCTTTTGAAACCATTTCGAATGTCCCGCCTGCGAATGACCCCCATACTCGTTCTGAATTCTACCGTGACCAACCCCGTCCTGGCTGGCAACAAGGCCAGCAAGAGCAACAGCAAGGTGGTGCCTCTGGATCATACTCCCCTGGTTCGCGGATGATGGCTGGCATCTACTCTCAAGATGGGGCGGGCTCAGCTCAAGATCAGCATTACGGCTACCCCACTGCGCAGGAACAACAGGCCGCCGCTGCCATGACGCACCAGCAAGACCACCGCGGAGTGGCACAACTACAAGGCGCCGCCTCAGCGGCATCTGCTGGATTGGGCAGAGGATCTCTTCTTGGAGTTGCAGGCGCGGGGCAGAATCCCAGCCTCACCCAGCCAATGAATAGCCTGGCTGGTGTCGGAACTGGTATGCTCCAGGGTGCCCAGGACTTGAATAAGCGCGGCCCCGTAGAGTTCAATCATGCGATCAGCTACGTCAACAAGATCAAGAATCGCTTCTCCAGTGCTCCCGAGATCTACAAGCAGTTTTTGGAAATACTGCAGACGTACCAACGGGAGTCGAAGCCCATCCAGGACGTCTACGGCCAGGTGACTCAGTTGTTCAACACTGCGCCTGATCTGCTGGAGGATTTCAAACAATTCTTACCGGAATCTGCCGCGCATGCCAAACAAGTTGCGGCCCAGCGTCAAGCCGAAGAGCAAGCCCCTCTGAGTAACCTCCGTGGGGAACCTTCTGGCTTCGCTTCGCAGACCCCCAACCGTGATGTCAAGATGCCTCCCCTGGGTCAATTCAACGTCAAAGACCCCAAGGAAAACAAGAAGCGTCGTGGTGGCCCAGGTGGGGTTGGTTCTATCTCGGGACCTGCTGGCTCCGAAGCCGCTCGTTTGTCTGAAGCCGGTCGTGGGGCACAGGGACCATTTGGAAACGCCAGCAAGCGACCCAAATATCACCACGGCAAGCCTTCCATCGATATGGCCAACGTGTCTCCTACCTTGATCCCCGCGCTTCCCGAGCCCCTTCCTCCCTCGGTCTCTATGACCCCCAGCCAAGAAGAAATCGCCTTTTTCGACCGTGTCAAGAAGTTCATTGCCAACAAGCAGGTCTTCAGCGATTTCCTCAAACTTTGCAATCTATACACCACCGATCTTCTCGACCGACATGTCCTGGTCAAGCGGGCTGAGGGTTACATTGGATCTAATGCCGAACTCATGAACTGGTTCCGCCGTTTCATGAGCGCCGAAGAACCCGAGGATAAAACAATCGACCCCAAGGCCCACATGGATTATGGTACCGTCAACCTGGCCCACTGCCGTTCTCTGGGACCCAGCTACCGTCTTCTGCCTAAGCGCGAGCGCCAGAAGCCATGCAGCGGTCGCGACCCGCTCTGCACTAGTGTTCTCAACAATGACTGGGCATCACATCCCACCTGGGCCTCGGAAGACTCTGGCTTTGTTGCGCACCGCAAGAATCAGTATGAGGATGCTCTGCACCGTATTGAAGAGGATCGCCACGACTACGACCACCACATCGAGGCTTGTGTCCGCACTGTTCAGTTGATCGAACCTATCTGTCAGCAATTCTTACACATGACTGACGCTGAACGAAATTCATTCAAACTGCCAGTGGGTCTGGGAGGTCAAAGCGAGGCAATCTACCAACGTGTGATCAAGAAGATTTACGACCGCCAGCGCGGCGCCAAGGTCATCACCGACATGTTTAGCCGCCCCTGCCATGTTCTCCCCATTGTGCTCTTCCGTTTGAAACAGAAGTTGGAGGAGTGGAAGGCCTGCCAGCGCGAGTGGGACAAGGTTTGGCGTGAGCAGATGCAGCGTGCATACTGGCGCAGTCTTGATCACCAGGCCATTGCTACCAAGCAGACCGATAAGAAGCTCTTCGTCGCAAAGAACATCCAGCAGGAGCTGACCAGCAAGTTCGAAGATGCGAAGGCAAGCCGTCAGAACGGATGGAATCCCCCCAAGTGGCAGGCCGAATTCCTCTTCTGCGACATGGAGGTCCTCTTGGATGCCGTCTTCTTGCTTATCCTCTATTTCGACCGCAGCACCAATGGCTTTGGTGCCGAGCCCCAGCGTCTTATCAACTTTGTCAAGGATTTCATTCCTATATTCTTCGGGCTTGACCGTGAAATCTTCAGCCAGTATATCGAGGAGGTTTCTATTGCTATTAATGATGACGAGGATGCTTATGCCAATGAGGACGCCTCCAACGGCAGCCGCAAGGTAGTTGACACGCAAAAGCTGGACCTCTTGCGTGAGGCCCTCGAACGCGGAATCCAGACCGACAACTCCACCGAGGCGGACGGCGCTCCAAGCAATGAAGAAACCCCCGTTGTCAGCGCCCCCTCCACCGAATCTGATGATGGAAGCTCCTTCAATGCCGCCGACCTACGATGGATGGAGCACCCGGGCCAGGGCAACTTCAACCTGGAGCACGAATACACTCTGAACGAGAGGTACAAGAAGAAGGAGCACCACATGTACTCCAACTTGAACATCCTTTGCTTCCTTCGCACGTTCGAGATTCTTTACTCCCGTCTGCTCCGAATCAAGGAAAATGAAGCCGAAGCCCGCGAGCAGGTCCGCCGCGGTCTTGTTCCCAAACCAGCTCATGATTTGTGCCTGATGGATCGCTTCCCCACTGACTTCTTCTATGATGTGGATCCCAAGGCGAATCTCTACAAGCAAATCGTTCGCATGTGCGAGGAGGTGATCAAGGGTGACGTTGATCAGATGCACCTCGAGGAAACTTTGCGCAGATACTACATGGAGTGCGGATTCCTCCTCTATAATCTTGAGCGCATCTTCTCCTCCGTCGCCAAATTCGTCGCAGCCATCTTCACCGGCGACTCCCGCGACCGCAGTTCCGATATCGCCAATCTCTTCTTCAAGGAACGCGAGAAGGGTACATCCACCCACCACCAGGAGATGCAATACCGCAAACAGGTTGAGCGTCTCATCAAGGATGGCGACATCTACCGCATTACTTTCGTGAGATATCCTCCAACCCTCGACTTTTTCCCGGCTAACCAATCCCAGGTCCCAACCACTCGCCGCGTCACTTTCCAGGTGATGACCACTGAAGAACCAACCCTCGCCGCCGAAGACCTCAGCCCCGAGGAACGCTGGTCCTACTACGTGACCGCGTACTCCATGCGCGACCCAACCGAAGGTGTAGAGTTTGCCAAGGTGAAAATGCCTCTTCTCAAGCGCAACCTCCCTCCCAAGCTTGAAGAAGACGAGGAGTACGATCGCTACTACCGCACCCTGCAGCACAGCGATGGCCTAATCATCCGCATCTGTGCCAACAACTATACCATGCTCTACCAGCCCACCAGCATTGACTGGTTCTGGCGCTCGACCGCCCCCCTGCACGAGAAGGATGCCGATGCCGAGACCATCAAGACTCAAGCCGAAGATGCAGACAAGGAGAAGGTCGCTCTGAAGGAGAAGCGGCACGATCGCTTCCGCGAGAAATTCGTGAATAACCCTTCATGGGCCCGCGGTCTCAGCAAGGACCAAGTCGACGAATCCAATCAGCGTTTCCGCTCCTGGGTCGATGGCACCATTACTTCCCCTGGCGCCGTTGACCCGAAGGAGAATGGAGAGCGTAAGGAAGATGATACTGAGATGACAGATGCTGAGCCCACGGAGGCTTGAGCTGGGCCAGATGGGAGCAAGTGTAACTATTACGACGGGCTGGTCTTTCCTTCCGAAGGACTGAGATGCATTTTTGTCGGCGTACACGAGGAAATTGCGAAATGAGATTTCACGGTGCTGTATTTGTATTTGTTATTTCTAACGGTTCTTTGTCAATGAATTTTTGCCCATCGTAAGATCGGGCCTTTGCGATTTAAGTGGTGTCTCCGAGTATACAGCTCGCACGGGTTCTGCTCTTGGATCTTGATTCTCTGTTTCATTTACTGTGCGCAGGGTATTCATCACTATAGATTGCACTAAGTTTTTCCCATCCCGTCGGACTGTTGGAGCTCGTCTTCCTCTCAGCCCTAATGGATCGGCATATAACGCTCGCATTATCCGGGAGCTTCGAGCTTGGATAGCTCGATATCGAGGTTCTTCCGTAAAAGGAATTACCACACGAAGCACTAGGTAATGACACAGCCATCAAAAACAATATCTAATTGAAGTTGGTCTCCAGGGCTACGGAATACGGAGTACTGGAAAGTCATGCCATGTCCATATAGTACAATGGCGCCAGGCATTCGCAAACTATTGACCCCTAGCTTCTACTAAAGCCTTGTCTCATATCGCTTCTCCCTGTTTCACAAGCCCTGATGAGCCCCTGTAGATCTCGGATAATTCTCTTCAGGATGTTCCGTCTGCACGAAGACCCAGTAAATCGACCCAATGAAGAAGAGGTTGTTCGCGCTGTCTACTACACCATTCTCAGAGCTCCGTGTGGCCGAAGAGCATAACCGACAGTACCGAGATGTGGGGTCGGAGGAAACTCGGGCGGATCTATGATCTCCTTTCTCCAGCTTCTGCTCTCCGGCTTTTTTTTCGGAGACAACTAGATCGTTGACGGTAGATGAGCATATAAATGCGTAGAAATATTCCCCTGGTCCCGGACTCCGTGACACCACGCGACGCGGAGAAAAGAAGCCGAATGGGGCGCGCGAGGCAACGCCGATGTTCAACCGAGCGAATGCCGTGGTTGACGTCAGCATGAATTAAGGCGCTGTTTTGGGCAATTGGTGATAAAAGTATTTTACAAGCTTAGGGACAGTCCAGGGCATTGAGTCTACCTAGGTAGAAATAGACTGCGAAGCTTCAATTGTGTGCTGCGGGCTACATAAGTAGTATGTATACATTGTGTACCAGAGAGAGAGCTCGACACGGCCAAATTGAAAGAAGCCTTCCATTCTTCCGGGATCCCGGTCTCGATTTCCTGTGGAGACCGGTTATTACCTGCCCGTGGGGTGGGAAGCATATTTAAATCCCCCAGGTCCCTTCTCTTCTCTTCACACTTGGAACCTCTCCCCTCTTCCTTTCCCCCTTCCATCATAATGAGTGCTTCAGCACTGTTGAAGAGCCGTGTGCGGCGGCCGTCGTACTTGAAGAAGCTTGCTAAAGCTGAAGATCTTCTGCACCACTTCCCCAATGGCGCCTACATTGGTTGGTCTGGATTCACCGGCGTCGGCTACCCCAAGTACGTGACATACCAAGGTGGATTAATTGTGACCCAGCTAACAATGGCCTAAGGATGGTGCCAGTCGCAATGGCCGACCATGTTGAGAAGAACGGCCTTGAGGGCCAGTTGAAGTATAACTTGTTCGTCGGTGCCTCCTCCGGCGCGGAGACGGAGAACCGTTGGGCCCGCTTGAACATGATTGAGCGCCGTAGCCCTCATCAGGTCGGAAAGGAAATTGCCAAGGGAATCAACAACGGACAGATCAAGTTCTTCGATAAGCACTTGAGCATGTTTCCCTCGGACTTGGTCTATGTAAGTTCCCCCCGGGTGTTTTCGCCGAGAAAGTCTAACGGTTTCCCTTTAGGGCTGGTACACCCTGAACAAGCCAGAGCCCAGAATTGACGTGGCTGTCATTGAAGCCTCCGCCATTACCGAAAACGGAGGTATCATCCCCGGTGCCTCCGTGGGTGCGTCACCTGAGCTCGTCCAGATGGCCGACAAGGTCATTATCGAAGTCAACACCGCCAGCCCTTCATTCGAGGGTTTGCACGACATTGTGGGCTCTGATCTGCCCCCCGGCCGCAAGCCATACCTGATTATGGCACCCGAGGACCGTATCGGAACCAACTACATCCCGGTTGACCCCGAGAAGGTTGTTGCCATCGTTGAGTCCAACTACCCGGACCAGACCCAGCCCAATGCCCCAGAGGACGAGGGCTCCCAGGCCATTGCGACCAACCTGATCGAATTCCTCAAGCACGAGGTTCACCACGGTCGTCTCCCACCTAACCTCCTCCCCATCCAATCCGGTATCGGCAACATCGCCAACGCCGTCGTCGGCGGTCTCAGCAAGGGTGGTGCCGACTTCAAGAATCTCAAGGTCTGGACCGAAGTTCTGCAAGACTCCTTCCTCGACCTCTTCGACAGCGGCAACCTAGACTTCGCAACAGCCACCTCAATCCGTTTCTCCCCGGATGGCTTCAAGCGCTTCTACGACAACTGGGAGAAGTACGCCGGCAAGCTTCTCCTCCGCTCCCAGCAAGTCTCCAACTCCCCTGAAATCATCCGTCGCCTCGGCTGCATCGGCATGAACACCCCCGTCGAAGTCGACATCTACGCCCACGCCAACTCCACCTGCGTCATGGGCTCCCGCATGCTGAACGGCCTGGGCGGCTCTGCCGACTTCCTCCGCAACTCCAAATACAGCATCATGCACACGCCCAGTGTTCGTCCCTCCAAGACCGATCCCACAGGCGTTAGCTGCATCGTTCCCTTCGCGACGCATATCGATCAGACCGAGCACGATCTCGACGTCATCGTTACCGAGCAGGGTCTTGCTGATGTTCGTGGTTTGTCTCCTCGGGAGCGCGCCCGTGTCATCATTAAGAAGTGCTCTCACCCTGATTACTACCCCATCCTGACGGACTACCTTGATCGTGCGGAGTTCGAGTGTCTGCGTAAGGGTATGGGCCATGAGCCGCACATGCTTTTCCAGGCTTTCAAGATGCACAAGAACTTGCAGGAGAAGGGTACCATGAAGATTGACTCTTGGGAGTAAATTTTGGAATCCATTGATTTTGGGTTAGATCCGTGGGCCACGGTTTGGCGTTGGTATATCTCATTAGCGTTCTTTGTGGATGATTATTCTTAAATATAACATACCTTATTTTGTGCATCATTTTGGATTTGATATTCGTAAAGTCTTATAGCAGTTTAACTGAAACCTGGCTGGAGGATAATAAGGATTAGGCTCAGTTATTTGATATTGGTCGTTTCCAAGGTTATCAACTTGAGGCGCGAGCTTTTCGTTCGAACAATTGAAGTATGCCGCCAACAACATGAATTATGTACCAAAATTAAGAGGGACCAAAAGAAAACATGTTCAAAAAGCTGAAGTATGAAGCAACCTTGGAAGGAGAAACCGTATATTCAGTCAAAGGTATAATCAAATGCTTAAAATCCAACGCCAACTCCAAAACGTATAATCATCTCAATCTTTATCGCACACGAAAGAAATATCCAGGGTTTCTAAACACCGAAAAGGCTAACACCCAGTCAGCTTATACTATTCAATAGCAACAAGGGAAATACATACCGACTCCACAGCGAGCCCAAAATTCCAGGCTGAGAATCTGTAGGCTTGCGTCGTGCCCAGCCACTCTCAACATTGTAGTGCTTTGTGTCCTGGAGACCGGCAAACAAGCCTCGTCCAAGGGTAGGACGCTGATGTGTGTTAGCAGATGAATCCAAAACCAGACAGGAGTGGCACATAACATACCCTTTGCTCTGCTTCAGGCTTGCGAACCCAGTAATCGGCGCCGAAGTCGTTTTGCAGACGAGCGTGCTCGCTTTCAGGAACTTTGCTTGAGTTGGCCATTTTGATTGTTGTTGATGTCCACGAGTGTATATAGTCTGGTCTGGAGAGATATTCTGAATTGATGGTGGAAGTCTCTTTGTATCTTTGTTTGTGATGATAGGAAAGGACTGTGTAACCATTCAAGTCTTATATACTCTAGCAGAGCCCCATTGCATATGCGAACCGACACGGAATGTCCGAGTGGTTTCGAGCCTCAGTATGGCCTGACAGCGCCCGAACTCTGGAGTACCCTGTCAGTTCCGAGAGGCTGGGTCGTGGAATAGTGCATCACCGCTTTGGTAGAGAAGGATTGGATAGCATGATCTCTGGCTCGTACGATGGGGTCCAACGGTCGGGGCTGTGGTTGGTTGAAGGCATGACGTTGGGGTGGTGTGGTGCGATCGGCAGAAACACTTTTCCTGGGGTTCGAGGCTAAGGTGTTCTTGGATGATGATTTGCACTGGTTCTCATATCGGGTTCTTCCGAAAGAAAATCGGAGCGTTGATTATTCGTTATCGTGGCGTGGGGTGGTCAGCTGTTGAGTGGCATGATGGGGTGGCATGGTGGTGGTCAGATCTATAGCCTCGAGAAAATAACAATGGACAACATTCGGTATTTTGATCTGCCGAGGGTTTACTATTGCAATTGATGTGATTATATATTCATCTTGGGCAGTATCTTCGAATTTGAAGGGTCACTGCATTCTCTACTTCATCTTTTTGTTTTCAAACTGGGCTATTTCGCGCATCGACCGTCAACTTGCTGTCCTTTCGGCATGCGATGAGCAACCCTTCCCAGCACACAATCCACAGAGATCAATACGGAGATCAGTCATTTAGACATTGGGGTATAAGTGTTCAGCTCACAGAGTAATACCTCTCAATATGTGATTTTGCCGCCCCGGTGCTCGGAATACCCCGATATCGAACCTTTTTCAATTCCCAAAATGCAAGCCAGGAAACCTTTGCCAACCAGTACTCACAGAAGCCAGAGCACAAACTGCGATATTATATGCGGATGGTGAGATGAAGGAAATTCGAGGGTTTTAGGTTCTCCTTTTCATTCTTCTGAGGCTGGAGTGTGACAGATGCCACCCGGAGCAGTGACACGGTAGAAAAACGCCGATCAAACCATAGAAGCTTACCTGGGCACTAGCACCAACTTTGGAAGGCTAGAGAATACAAATAACACAGAGTTTTGTGAGCTGATATGCATGTATGTAAATGCGTGATGTACATGAAGCAAGGGCGTGCCTTGTCTGTGCACCGGCAGCAGAAAACTTGAAAGTGAGCGAGAAATAAGTCAAGCCACTCCTATCTACGGAGTAACTCCATGAAGAAGAGCTCACCTACCGTGGACGCGGCTCATATGGCTCTCAGATAGGCAAGGTTTAGTGTCTTTTCCCTTGGTGGGAAATTGGACATGCCAAATTCCAACCTTGAAATGCTGTAGCGATTTGTCGCAAGCCCGGAAACCACCTGGGCACGAATCATTTCAAACTTCCAAGCTGCCCAGTGCAGGCTGGGCGGTTTTCTACGAGATAAAATCGTGTTGCGATTCGGAAAGTCCTTGGATATGTTTCTACACAGGTATACTGCAGCTAGACACTTTTCTTGTTTCAAGGTTATTGACCACTACCTACCTAGGTACCTAGTTAGGACCTAAAACAAAACCTCAAACCTTGAGAGTGTACTCAAATTACTTAGGGCCCAAATAGAAAAATATACATTTGTGCCTAGTACTTGCAACTTTCGAAGTTGAAGTTCAACCTTGAATCCATCTGGATGCTTGGGTCCGCGGGTGTATGTATATATCTTGATGACCAGCACCGGAGATTCCCGAGGTCAGTAGTGTACTATCAGTTTCCATGACTACCTCATCCCTCAGGTTAAGCCAAGCCGGTACCTAGGTAGACACCCAAGAGCAGTGTCCACCTACATGGAATAATCGATATATCTTTTCGGAGGAAAGCTTGGTAATTTCCGGAGAAGAGGTATCCCAGTAGCATTGGAAACATCCAAGGATGCGAGTGATTAACCACCTGGGCAGGACCTCTGCGTGAGATTCGGGTAGGAAATACAGAGCATCTGATACAAACACAAAGTCACAGGTTGATAGAGTTCACAAATCTCTCACTCCAGCTTTGAGAGGTTTTTCATGGACCTCGAGATTTGCTGAACACCACAAGTTAGGGTGATTGGATCCCCCGGCCCTCTGGTACTGCACTAGTACGGAGTGCTCAGGATATACTTACTCTACTTTTAGCTACTCCGTATGGGATGCACCAAATATAGAATTTCTGCTCCGTCCTGATGCGGTTCGGGAGGCACATTCCTGAACTTCGAAGTGGAGCGCACCGACTCCGCAGTGTCAGCCGCGTGAAGTGAAGAATGGACATCAGGACACATTCCACAGATCACGTTCCATGTGGCTCCGTGGAATATAAAGAATATTCGACCTTTGGTATGCCCCAAATTAACGATCTGACCGGTCAGAAAACTGACATCACATATGCAGGGAAAATGGTAAAACGGTCAGGGCTGTGATTCCACCAAAATTTCCCCAGAACTCATCTGGGGACCCATGGAACGTTTTATTCAGTGAAACGCGAAAAAGACCATGTGCAAATCTGACAGAAAGTCGCCACTCTGGTCGACTCCATACCTAATTCTCTAAGTCCCAATCCATAAGCCCCCTGAAGAACAAAGGGACGCCAAGGGTGATCCTTGGCGGCTCCATTTGTCCAACGCCCAGATCCGCTATCACTCTCGGGGATCCATTGATTGGAATCTCCAAATGAGGCCAAGAGTTGTTTGGCGGTCTGGACTGTCGAGTTGTCTTTGAGTTGGCTTTGGCTCCAGGGCTTGGCCGATTCCTTTATGGTATTATTGGCGTATTAGGTGTAATTGAAAGATACACCACTGTAAAATGGATGTCCAATCCTGCATCCTTCTTCGTACGCCGAAATGATCACTCCGTAGTAAATTACAGTACAGAGTAGGGTGTTGGCACAATCACTTGGCCGAAGTTTGTCTCCTAATATCGCAAGGCAACCCTAGAGCTACTATGTACAGTAGTATCGTTGGCCACGCACGCCACCAGCCATAGGTTCAAATTTCTCGACTCAGGAGTCAGACGCTAGTCATGTAGCGCGAATTGATGCGAGTAGCGTTCTCCACAAACAAAAGCACAACGCTCCGGCACCCCAACATCCGTGATCTACCCCGTGGATGAGTCGCGATCGCCATTCGACGAGATCCAAACTCCGGCACTGATTGAGATCAGCGACTAGGACGTGGTACGAGTCTGGTGAAGATCTCGCCGTGCGCTTGATCTTATTCTGCACGAGGCCGCCTTTCCGAGTGTTCCGTTATTACTCTGTAGCCTCTCTCATCCTTGTTGCAACCTTATCATCACTCGTACTCGCACTGTGGGGATATCGCTTGCATCGGGTATGTAGGCTACACCGTTATTTTTGGCCTGGTTACGATGGCACTAGTGGTGTTCTTCCAACTGCGTGTTCTCCGAGTCGACACGCGGACCTGCCTTTTTGCGATAGTATGAGTAGATATTGCAGGTTTCTGATAACTTTGTCGGATGATCGGCTGGTTCATTGCGAGTAGGTCCGGGTAGCTGGGGATCGTCAGGGGTGAAACCGCGCATAGTGTACTACTAATACCAAGAGGCGGCTCTTGATCTTCAGCTACGAAGTCTCAGGTGTTCCAGACGACGAGTCCGCGGAAACCCGCACGGGGAAAACAAACAAATGTCGAGGGGACATCGCATAAAATTGGAAGTTGCGTCTAATAATGCAGATCGGCATGGCGGAAATTAGAGGTCTTGGATGAACCAATCAGACCATGGAACGAGACACAATTGGGTTGACACCAAACCCCTTTGGGGACTAGCCGAGGGCGCTATGATAGGAGCCCCACTTGGTGCGGAAAAGGCATTTCCTGTTTTTTTCTTGTCTCGCGACTCTCCCGGGTGGAAATGCTGGCTGATTTTGCAGTGAGACAGCCCGCGGGGTACCCTCTGAGACATTTTCTGGCATAGCAGAGTGAGGTTGAGGCACGGGGGCGAGGAAAGCCACAATGGGGCTGTATGTACTCCGTACCTGGAGGATTGCCTTGCATTGTCTGACAGGACGCATGAAACCTTGGCCCCCAGGGACGTTGTGGCTTACAGCGCGGTTAGGAGTTTTGGGAAACTGACCAGCCCTGCACGACCCTCACAGCCCGTAAGGGGGAGGCTATTCTCGGTGTGAGACAGGATCACTATTTCCGACCTAGTCCGGGAGTACGAGAATAGGGCATCCGTGCGGTGTCAAGACGACTCAATTGGGATTCTGAATGAGCATTGGGCCAAACGGTGAAAGAGGTACTGTCATGAGTCTCGTATTCTTTGTACCTGCATACAGAATTGTATACACGACTTCTACAAAAACAAAGACTGCCCGAGCCGTGTGGGCCAACCACAAGCAGCCAACAATCGGGTCTATTGAGCTGGGCCAATGAGAACTGCAGGGTCCCTGAAAACACATCTAGACTCCAGGGGTAATCTCAGAGTAATTTTAAATGAAAATTCACGATCGGTGGACCTTGATGTAGTCTAGTGTACTGGGGCCCTTATATGGTGCTTTTTTCTCCTTTTTTGCCCTTTGCCCCTAACTTCCCCCGGTAACGAGTTCTCCAACAAAAGGCCTTGCGTGCCCATCTCTCCTTCTACCTTTTCAACCCACGTTCCTTGAGATCACTGACCACCGCTTCACTCGTTCAGCGGGCATTCATTCTTTTCCGTGGGAAATCTTATCTTTCTCATCATGAAGGGAACTCTTTTCGCCGCCGCCGCCATGGTCGGCTCTGCCATGGCCGACGGTGTTCACCGTCGGCATGACGCTTTCCACCGTCGCGAGGCCGCTTCCGTCTGGGCCTCGTCCAGCGTCACCCCCAGCGCCTCCGCTCCTCTGAACCCCGATGAGACCTGCGGCTGCACCACCAAGGTCATCACCCACTACGGTGAGCCTACCCTGGTGCCCATCGCACCCGAGGCCCCCGCCAGCTCGTCGTCCTCCCCCGCTCCCGTCCCGGAGTCGACCAGCACTCTCACCAGCACCGTGCACTCCACCAGCACTGCGACTCTGACCGTGACTGTGTCGCCCTCCTCCTCGGCCTCCCCGGTTGCCAGCTCGAGCTCCACCCCCGCTCCTGCTCCCAGCACCAGCACCGTGGACCTGCCCACCCCCGGTGTCAGCACCTTCTCCACCACCGGTGTCTACACCATCCCGGCCACCACCATCACCGTGACCGACAGCACCACCGTGTGCGGTGCCACCTCTACTGACGTCCCCAGCGGCACTCACACCTACGGCGGTGTTACCACCGTTGTCACCACTGACACCGTTATCACTTGCCCCTACGCCACTGTCAAGCCTACCGGTACCACCGTGACCAGCGTCATTGAGACCACCACCTACACTTGCCCCGCTGCCGGTACCTACACCGTTGTTCCTCCCACCACCACCACTGTGCCCACCAGCACCGTTCTGGTCTACCCCACCCCCCACACCATCACCCCCGGTACCTACACCCAGACCGGCACCACCGTCACTGTGACCAACACTGACTACACCTACGTCTGCCCCGCCGCTACCGAGAGCACCCTGGCTTCCACCACCACTGCTCCCGCTGTCCCTGCCACCACCGCTGCTGCCACTACCACTGCTGCCGCCACTACCACCACCGCTGCCCCCGTTGTTGTTTCCAGCAGCTCCACCAGCAGCGCCGTTGCCACTAGCACCCCTAGCTCTGGCTCCAGCGTCACTGGCCAGGGCCAGTACGGTATGACCTACTCTCCCTACACTGAGTCTGGCAACTGCAAGACCAAGCAGGAGGTTCTCAAGGACATCAAGGTCATCAAGAACAAGGGCTTCAACCTTGTCCGTGTCTACTCCACTGACTGCAGCGGTCTCGAGTTCATCGGTGAGGCCTGCAAGGAGCTCGGCCTCAACATGATCCTCGGTGTCTACATTGAGGGCTCCGGTGTCTCCGGTGCCCAGGAGCAGGTCACTGCCATCTCCAAGTGGGCCCAGTGGGGTATGGTTGAGCTGATTGTCGTCGGTAACGAGGCTATCCAGTCTGGCTACGTTGACGCCTCTACCCTCGCCTCCTTCATCAAGTCCGCCAAGTCCAGCTTCCAGGCCGCCGGTTACACCGGCCAGGTCACCACCACCGAGCCCATTGACGTCTGGGAGAAGTCCGGCGCCGCCTCCCTCTGCAGCGCCGTCGACGTCGTCGGTGCCAACATCCACCCCTTCTTCAACGCCGAAGTCACCCCCGAGAAGGCCGGTGAGTTCGCCAAGTCCGAGTTCGACATCCTCGAGAAGATCTGTGGCGGCAAGGACGTCATCAACCTCGAGACTGGCTGGCCCAACGCCGGTGACGCCAACGGTGCCGCTATCCCCGGTCCCGCTGAGCAGGCCACCGCCATCAAGGCCATCGCCAAGTCCGTGGGCTCCAAGTCCATCTTCTTCTCCTTCGCCAACGACAACTGGAAGGCCCCTGGTGACTTCAACGTCGAGCAGCACTGGGGATGCGCTGATGTCTTCTAAGCGCCTCGCCTGATGGATTTTGATCTTTCTTCTGCAAATACACATCTTGTACAGGAGACTAGGAGTTTTACCTTTCTCTGGCCTTTGGGGTCCACGGATCACATGCCATCTTTCTCTTCTTGGATTCTATTTCAAATTTTTTTTACTCCTGTGGTAGATACACCTTTTATTTGACGTTGTCTACTGACCTGGCTGCACCCTTTGATCTCTTTGTTTATGTTTCTAGTCCTGTGTATATTGCTCTATTTATGCCTTCTTACGAGTCTTACTGGTAGCGCATGGCTTCGTTGCCTTTTGTAACCCACATCATCTTCATTCTATTGTACAGATCCAGCTTCAGCTCGCTGAGCTATTCCAGTCCCCATTACCTCTTCCCGAGGCCGGTCTCAGCTTAAAGTGAGAACCCTGCCACCCCGTCCCCTGATGATTCCCGTACCTTACCCGGTTCGACCAAGACATATCTCGACTCTTCATCTACCTAGACCATCATCGTCGACTTAATCCCGAGCTCTACCCGCAACATCTGAGGCCTTGTCAACACCCGGATCTACCTAGGTAGTCTTCATCACGTTTGGGCAATGGTACCTAGGTATGTATGACATGCGCCGCTGGCCCAAAGCAACTATTTGGCCACACTTCACGAATTGGAAAAACAAAAACCATCATCTTTCGAATCATGGTGATTTATGCTGGATGCCAGCCGGCACGTACCTGAGATTTCATTGCGTATCAACAACTGCAGTACAACGTGCTTGCACCTAATTCACGGCGGTTGTATCCAGGGAGGGATATTGGGAGTGGACATCTCGAGATTGCTGCCGTTGTGAGTCTATACTTCACATACCTCCAGGCAGGTCCACGGGTGCCTTCCATGGATCAGGTGAAACCATTTCGACCTTGGGGTCATCATGACGCGGGCTCTTACCTGCTCAGGGCTCTTAGTGAAAACCACTTGCCCAGGAGGGCATGTCGACTCTACACCTTTCAAATCCTTCATCTCCAGCTTCCCGTTCCAATCCACCATGGGCTTCGCAAAATTCGTGGAAAATGTGTTGATGAACTATATTCTCCCTGGATTTTTGCTCGTACTCGTTGTGGTCGTGTCGATGTCAATAGTGGTCGGCATGGTCTTCTTTTTCTGGCTGTGTGGTTCTCATCTGGTGGCTTTTCTGCGGCAGAGCAAGGAATTCAACGAACAGGTTCTTTTTATACGGGAGATAAACAAGCGCATATGGAAGAAGTTCCACAAGAGAGTCTCCAAGTCAATTGGGACAGAGCTTTGACCTTGAGGCGCTGGTCGTCGAACACTCTACGCACGATTTCAACGATTCCAACGCCCTGTCCTATGACTATGCCTAGGTATGTAACTGAAAGCGAAAAGAAAGCGAAAAGCGGGCTCTTCTGACCAGTCGTCTGTTTCAGGCGCGGGGCCTCTCCCACGGATTACAATTATGATGCGCACTACGATCTTGCTTCGATAACTGGGCATGCTGGATTCGGATATCTGGTGCCCAGATGGCTACTCAACGAACATACGAACGTTATTATCCCTTCACGTCTTGAGATCTGATTTCATCTTCACAACCTCCAACATGGCCTCGAAAGGCTTCATCAATGCAGCTATTCACGAGATATACATGTTTGTGAGGGTCTTGGTATGCTTTTCGATACTACTAGCTTACATCGGCACGGCTTTTATGGTATCCGCTTTTTTGGTTTCGATTCATTATGCTTGCAAACTGGGGTCTTGGATTCGGCAGAAAGTCAATGTGCAAGAGGGACATCCAACTGGAGCTATTGATCTTGAGGCGCAAATTGTCGAATGACCTCGTGTCTGGTATTTGGGATGAATCGAACCTGTTTGCTGAGAGATTTGCGGAAGAGGGCGACAATGAATTTCTGTCGATGTCCTATCTTGGCCGCGGGCCTTACCTTTGGTCTTAGCTTAGTGGCGGTGCTCATAATGACGGTGCCATGAATTGTGAATGAATCGAACTGCTGAAAATAATGTGCTCTGATGAGTAAAATCTGTTGTGAGATCAAGAGTTTGTTGGTACTCAACCTTCCAAATTGGAGTGGTACTAGTACTTGAAGAAGAATGGTATCTTCAGTTAGCTACTAAAATTGCACCCTGTTTCAGTTTCTATGAGATGCCGGGATCATCGACAGCAATTGAACCTCGAAAGGCTTCGAAGTAGATCTAGGAAACCTAGTTATTCAACATTCATGAGGGTTGATGTATGGCCTCGAAGACCGGGCCCCGGGCCCGTGGTGATCGTGAGGTCTGCCCGCCCAAAGAACATAAGGCTGGACACTTTGTACGATACCGTGCATCTGAGCATGATGAAAGTGACAAATCAATCGGATACCACCTGACTCTAGCAAAGATATCGTGTCGAATAATGTGATTTCAGTTGGAATGGTGTAACGGATGGCGTTTCTTGAGTGGTGACTGATTGGCTTTACTTAGTCCACGGAGGAGGATAATCGGGATTCCAAGTTTTGACGATTCTAGAGATAACCCTAAGGTTCTACGAGAAGATTGTCGGCATCACTAATGTAGATCGGGTATAGGCATCCAGGTTCTTGAACTGCACGGCGACCCGATGCAGGTTCCAAGGTTGTAGGTAGCTCACATCGATTTGTCCGATCTGCCGGACATATGACTCCGGACAGCGATGCAAGCTTATTGGCATATGTGAGTTCGACCATGCATTAACTGGCGTTATGTCTTGCTCTGTCCACGAGTGTACTAGTAAGCAAGACAGGTCCCGAGTACCTTGGATTCTGGGACCACCAACGATGTCGTCAATTCCTACTCTGATCAGTTTGAAAATTGTCGTCAAACCACGGTTAACCTCAAGATCACTACCAATCAATTAGTAGAGTCCATACACGCGAACTAGAAACCCTGCAAAGTGCCCTGGGTATGCCGAACCGGTTTTACGCCAATGACGCGCGGCGCACGAGCCCTTAATATATCAGGTGTCGATCGCACTTGAAACGCTTCTAATTTTAATTTGTTAGGGCTGTCAACGATGTGGCAACTTGGACATGACGATGGTCTCGGCTTCTTCCTTGCCACGCTCCGATGGTCCCCACCATGAAAAGTGGTGCACCACTCAGCGACCACTGGGCGAGACCTCTGATAACCTTGTTTCGACTGTTTGATGTCATCCACGTTTTGGTGATATCGCGGGGAACAACGTCATCTCTACAAACAGGCGTCATAAGTCTAACAAAGATGTATAAAGGTATCTACTTCTCCGTAGCAAAAGCTTCATCAATTCAATCTTCAATCTTCAAGCCTTCTGACTACGAGCGAATCTCACTACACTCACAACCACACAACTTCAACCTTTCACATACCTCCAATCCATACATCAACCAAAATGTCTAGCATCATCCACAAGGTTAAGGACGCGGTCACTCACAAGAAGTCTGGCGATCACACCGACCACCACGACACCACAACCGAGTCCAACCAGTCCACCAACCACGGCCCCCATGACAGCAACGTTGCAAACACTGCCGATCCCCGTGTCGACAGTGACCGTTCCGCACACAACACTACTTCCACTGGCCACACCACTGAGCCCGTGGGCACCGGTGCAAGCCACGAGTCTGGCCTCTCTTCAAACCACGGCCCTCATGATAGCAACCTAGCCAACACTGCCGACCCCCGCGTTGACAGTGATCGCTCTGCACACCACACTACCTCCACTGGTCACTCTTCTGGACCTCTGGGTACCGGTTCCAGCACTGGTGCTTACGAGTCTGGCCGCTCTTCCAACCACGGTCCCCACGACAGCAACATTGCCAATACTGCCGACCCCCGAGTGGACAGTGACCGCTCTGCCTACAACACATCTTCCACTGGTCACTCTTCCACGGGAGGTCTAGGTAGCGGTGCTGGTGTTGGTGCTGGCACTAACGCTTACGAATCGGGTCGTTCCTCTAACCACGGTCCCCACGACAGCAACATTGCCAACACTGCCGACCCCCGGGTGGACAGCGATCGCTCTGCCTACAACACATCTTCCACTGGTCACTCTTCCACGGGAGGTCTAGGTAGCGGTGCTGGTGTTGGTGCTGGCACCAACGCCTACGAGTCTGGCCGCTCTTCCAACCACGGCCCTCATGATAGCAACATTGCCAACACTGCCGACCCTCGCGTCGACAGTGACCGAAGCAAGTACGGAACTGGCTCTACTGGCCACTCCTCTACTGGCCACTCGACAACCGGGGCTCTCGGTGCCGGTGCCGGCCTTGGTGCCGCTGGTGCCGCTGCTGGTGCTTATGGAGCCAACCACTCCTCCAACCACGGTCCCCACGATAGCAACATTGCTAACACTGCTGACCCCCGCGTCGACAGTGACCGCAGCACCTTCGGAACCGGTTCTTCTGGCTTGAACACCGGCTCCCACACCGGCTCAGTTGGCTCCGGCGGCCTTGGTGGTTCCCACACTGGCTCCACTGGATATGGCTCCAACCCTCTTTCTGGTACCCACGACTCCAGCCGCTCTTCCAACTACGGCCCCCACGACAGCAATGTCGGCAACACCGTTGACCCCCGCGTCGACAGTGACCTTGACAACCGCCACACCTCCACCGGCACTGGCTTGAACACCGGCTCTCACGCCGGCTCCCACAGCGGATCCACCAGCTACGGCTCTGCCACCCCTCTGACTGGTGCTGGCAACAGCGCCAACGCCCAGGAGTCCGCTCGATCCACCAACCACGGTCCCCACGACAGCAATGTTGCCAACAAGCTCGATCCCCGCGTTGACAGCGATAACAGCAAGGGATACGACTTCAACAAGGATGTTCGCCAGGGCAGCCTGGCCGGCCAAGCTGAGATGATGCACCTGTCTCACAGCTCTGGTCCTGACACTACCACCAGAACCTTCGAGGAGGCTCACGAGACTGGAGCCGCTGGTACCAAGGCTCCTGGCCACGGTGCTGGCAGCAGCTACAACCAGGGCCGTACTAGCCACTCCACTGCTGGTCCTCATGACAGCAACTTGGCCAACAAGGCTGACCCCCGTGTTGACTCCGATCGGGACGGATCCAACACCGTTGGTAACACCAGGGGCAGCACCAGCACCACCCACCAGCGTATCTAAGCTTCTGTATGCTAGTTTTATGAACATTAGTAACGTTTAATGAATAACGGGTTTCGGGTTTCCATTTCCGCGAACAGTCGTACTTGTAACTTTCAAATGCTGGAATTCCTCTTCTTTTTCTCATCTGTGTCTGCCTTGCATCAGGAACAGTAATTCATTACTCCAAAAATAGAGACGCAGTTCCATTCTAGTTCTGCTATGAAAATGGACAGAATATTTGGCCCCAGGGTGCAATTGATTGAGTCGCATTCTATACCTTGACCCAGTCGACCAAATCCTACTTGCTCAGATGGGAAAGAGTCGTTCTTATCATGCGCCTTCACCACTCCACTCCCTCTTTCTCCGCAACTTCAAATGGGAGATTCATCTTGAGCAAAGTCGAATTAAGCTCAGCAACTCCACCCTCAACGTCTTTAGTTACAGTCTCCTACCTCTTCCCCTCACGCTCAAGACAAGTTGCACTACACTGCATGCAAAGTCGTACCCAGCCCCCAAAGGACCGTGTTCCAACTTCCCTTCTCGCTACATGCTGAGCACGCAGATTTCTGTCCACCATGGCTTCCAAGGAGTCGAACTGCGATAGCATCAAACCTGCGCTTGTCGCAGGAGACGAAGAAATATGTGAAGGTCGTCTGGGGTACACCAAATTCGAGAAGGCGGACGAGGAGCAAGACACGAACGAAGTATACAGCTATGAATCAAACCGCTCTCCCTTCGCTCAAGGTAAGATCCTACATCTCCTCCGTTTGTCATGATATTGACCCACGATACGTACAGTCAGGGCCGTGGTACCCGAGACAGACGATCCTACTATGCCGGTCAATACACCAAGGATGTGGCTTCTGGGCATAGTGTTCACTATGCTTGGATCCGGGATCAACCAGTTATTTTCATTGCGCTATCCTTCGGTTCATATTGTGGCTCTGGTGGCTGAGCTACTGGCCTATCCGATCGGGGTGTTTCTTGCTAAGACACTGCCCATTGCGTCTGTTCGGCTTGGGCCCCTGGGGGCATTCGTGATCAACCCAGATAAGTCATTCAACATCAAAGAGCATGCACTGATCGTTATCATGAGCAATGTCTCCTTCGGATATCCGTCGGCCGACGCGACGAACATCATCCAGGCGGCTAGCAAGAGCTTCTACGACTTCAGGCTGAAGCCCGGACTCTACATGATGGTTGTACTCGTCGCGCAACTTCTTGGATTCGGTGTTGCAGGCCTTACAGCTCCCTGGCTTGTTGAACCGGCTCGCATAATTTGGCCAGGAGTTCTTTCCAACTGCGCCATGCTGGAGACATTGCATTCACGCGCGAATCACCCGGCGAATGGATGGCGAGTTACTCGCCTCCGTTTCTTTCTGTTCGTCATGGTAGTCGCGTTTGTCTGGTACTTCTTCCCCGGACTGACGTTCACCGCGCTGTCTTATTTGACCTGGGTCTGCTGCATTGCACCAAAGGATGTCGTTGTCAACCATCTCTTTGGAATGCAAACTGGCCTCGGTCTTAGTCCAATTACCTTTGACTGGACCCAAATAGCTTACAACACGAACCCACTCCTCTCTCCCGCCTGGGCTGCTGCAAATGTTTTTGCTGGCTTCGCTTTCTGTGTCTGGGTCGTTATACCTGCCATATACTATACGAACAAGTGGTTCACACCATACCTACCACTGATGACTGCCAATGTATACGATAATACTGGGGCTGTATACAACGCAACTCGAGTTGAACCCGCAGACAAGTCTATCGACCAGGAGGCCTACTGCAATTACTCCCCACCTGACCTCGGTGCAGCCTATGGATTTATTTACGGTCTTTCTTTCGCCACCATCACGTCAGTTTTCTCGCACGTTGCAATCTGGCATGGCCATGATATCTGGGCTGCCATGAAGGGTCGTACTAGACTTGACATCCATGCCCGGCTTATCCGCGCCTCATACCGCAGGACGCCGTGGTCTTGGTATGCCGCCATAATTATGATTACAATGGCGATGACAGTCACCATGGTCGAAGTATACCACACCAAACTTCCTGTCTATGGGGTGTTTCTATCGCTCATCATCCCAGTATTATACATGGTCCCATGTGGCATAATACAAGGCATCACGGACGTGAATGCCAACCAACTGAATTGCCTCACTGAATTCATTGGCGGATATATGTTCGAGGGTAAGCCGCTTGCAAACATGATCTTCAAGGTTCTTTCAACGGATATAGTGGGACAGGGTGTCTTCTTCTCCATGGACATGAAACTAGCCCATTATTTGAAAGTTCCGCCGCGAACCTGCTTTGTGGCGCAAGGGGTAGCCACCATCGTGAGTGCTCTCACACAAGTGGGCGTTACGCTGTGGATGTTGGGGAAAGTCTCTGGCATTTGCAACTCCGACCAGACTTCTGGATTCTCTTGTCCAAACGGCCGCACTATTCACTCCACACCTGTGAATTGGGGGCTGGCGGGACATCGTCGTCTCTACTCCGCGGGCAGGATCTACTCTCCGCTGTTACATTTCTTCTGGATCGGCGCTTTGGCTCCCCTCGTGACTTACCTGATGTACCGTTATACGAGACGCCGATTCTGGAAACTCATTAACTGGCCTCTCATAGTCATCGGCACTTACAATGTTCCCATTGGTATGTGTCGTCACCCATCAACGCATTGGCCTCGCATTTACTAACCCAAGGATTCCAGCTACGGGCATTAACTACTCTAGCTGGGCAGTTGTCAACTTTATCTTCAACCACTTCAAGCGCCGCTTCTTCGCTTGGTGGAAGAAGTACAACTATATCATGGCAGCTGCCCTTGACACTGGCCTGGCTCTCAGTGGTATCGTGATCTTCTTTTCCGTCTCATACCCTGGGGCCGTTTCCTCTGACTGGTGGGGAAACACTGTGTATTTGAAAACTGCCGACGCCCAAGGTATGCCGTACAAGCCATTGCCATCAGTCAAGTATTTCGGGCCTCCTAATGGAACCTGGAGCTAGTCAGATCGACTTGACAGGACAATCACTACGGACGTTTCACAACTCGGAGAATCACGAGGAAGAGAAGATAATTTGGCAAACTTGATTCCTCAAGCTCGATGAGAAAACCCGGTACTATGTACAGCGCTCGGCTGATGACTGGTATTTTCGGGCTGAATGGCCTCGACGAGTGACGCGACGACAAACAACAGTGAATTTATTGATAAGAGAAAAGAAACTATGAGAAGCCATCCGAGAGGTAACTCTATTCAAATGCCACTGACCGCAGGGACTTCGAACTTACTCAATTTCATTCGGGAGTGCCTTAATTTTTCTCATTCCTACAGCTTTATACCCCGTGATTTTTACTGACCAAATGCTTTGCACCAGACAGCTCTGATCTATCGATTCACAGGTGCTTACTGATTTATGGGTCAGCGCTAAAGTTATTTTTATGATATTTCTACTATGCTCCGTTTCTCATTCCGATTAGCATGACGTCTATGAAACCTTAAGAGCGTCACAGCCGTGCAGTCAAGCCAAAGTACGCGGGGATATTGGGATGGTCAATAAGAAATACAGCAGAACCGGAGTGAAACAGTTCAAGATTGGAGCCTTGGACGTAATCTAGGTTCAGAGACCAGCATCGTATCCATACTAGGTAGTTCCCCTGCGCCTATATTTGAGGGATCGGGGCAACTCATCGTACCTTTGTCCTGGAGGCGGCTCAATGACTGTATTCCAGGTTTCCTTTCAAACCTGACAGCCACATGTGCATTGAAATTTACCTTCAGAGTTGCTCCGAACCAGCTCCGAACCCCGGCGTAATCATAACCTAAAACCTTAGAATGGCCGATAACAGGAGTCAATATAACACATGCCTTCATTCCGACTTGCGCAAGAGATTTGTATGATGTTGAGACTGCCAATAAGTCTTCAATCAACAATTCATTTGAGCACATCGGGCCATAATGGGTCTATTTCATTCTCCTTGTAGTTGCAGAGACACATATTGGCCACTCTGAACCTACTCATGCATATTCTAACCTTGGAAGGTTGACGTCCGAGGCCCCAAGGATGTTTAAGCAGGAACTATATTCAAGTCTTTGTGGCCATGGCACTCGGCGTTGTCACCCACCTTCAACACAATGGCCTCGCATCAATCGCTGGAATCCCACCTCATACAGTGGGCTCCTATCTCTCCGGGAAGAACATATGTTGCGAATGGTGCCGGCCTTCCTGATCAGGCGTAGGGAACATCCAGCCATGGGTCAAAAAGGATATGAGATCAAATAATCCCGGGTAGTAATTGGAATACATGTAGAGCTCGATATCTTCCCAACTGCTGATACATTCTCACTTCTCGACACGATTAGTTTACTCTCTTCTTCACCTCGATCCTGACTTTCTCACATCCTCACCCTTCATCCTGACCAACCAGCCCCTAGCGAGCCCTCTTACAGTCCTTATTCCAACCCAAGACTAATCACATCGGGCAAAATGAACCTGGTTTCTTTTCTTCTGGGACTGTTCGGCTTCATCGCCACCGTTGGAGCAATCCCTCGTCCTCTCAATACTCGAGCCAATGGTGCTCAGAATGTAGCCTATTGGGGCCAAGATGGCCACGTCCGCGATCTGTCTACTTACTGTACCCCTTCTTCTGGCATCGATATTGTCGTACTCTCCTTCCTTTACGAGTTTGGCAATGGCAAAACCATTGCATCTGGCACAATCGGAACTCAGTGCTACATTTCCCCTGACGGCGCCCCACAAAACTGCCAGGGTCTAGCTTCCGCCATCGAGACCTGCAAATCGAACGGCATCAAAGTCATCTTATCCCTTGGTGGCGCTTCAGGCTCATACTCATTATCCTCCGCATCAGAAGCACAAGCAATTGGTCAAAATCTATGGGAGGCCTATGGAAATACTGGTGGAACGCCAAATGTCCCAAGACCTTTTGGATCAACCTTTGTCAACGGATGGGACCTAGATATCGAAGCTTGGGCTGGCAACAATTACTACCAATACCTCGTTTCTACATTGCGGTCTAACTTTGCTTCAGACTATGCCAACAAGTACTACATCACAGGTGGTCCGCAATGCCCGATACCCGAGCCCTTCATGCAAGTGATCATCAACAACTCGGTTTTCGACTACCTCTGGGTACAGTTCTACAACAATCCATACTGCTCGAATGGAGGAAATATTAATTTCGATGATTGGGTTCGCAATATTGCTGGCACTCCATCCTCGAATGCGAAGATCTTCCTTGGAGTGCCTGCTTCAACTCTTGCATCCACCGGTACTATGAGCGGTGCGCGTTATTACCTTGATCCTAACTCATTGGCGAATCTTGTTCGGCAACATGAAGGAAGCCCTGCGTTTGGTGGGATTATGATGTGGTCTGCTGGGTGGTCGGATACAAACGTGATCAATGGATGCACTTATGCCCAGCAAGCTAAGCGTATTTTGACGACGGGTTCCCCTTGCTGAGATAGATCCTATCTCTGGTATCTCAAGATTGGGATTGGACAACATCTAGAGAGACAGTCGATTTTCATATCAATTTGAGACCAACCTTATTCTGCGATAGTCCGAAGATACTTTTGTAGTTTAGTAGACGTAAGCAGTTCCGATTTTGAGATCCATTATGTTCACCACTTAATGCTACTAGGTATACACATCGTGACATGCTCTTCCAGTTAGTCCTTTTTGAACCCGCCCCACCTTTCAAACGCTTCTGTGTCCAAATCGAAAAGATCCAACATACGCCCAACACTATGGTCAACCAAGTCATCTATCGATGAAGGCTTGATATAATATGCAGGCACAGGAGGGAAGATGATAGCACCAGCCTCCGTCACAGTCGTCATGTTGCGCAGATGAATGGAACTCAGGGGTGTCTCTCGGACAGCGAGGACGAGTCTGCGTCGTTCCTTGAGAATAACGTCTGCTGCGCGAGAAATAAGATCGTCACAGATGCCGGAGCTGATTGAAGCTAGTGTTTTGACACTGCATGGCACGATGATCATGCCATCGACGCGGAATGAGCCACTCGCTATCGGTGCAGCCATATCATGGATGTTGTAGACATGGTCTGCAAGCGCGCGGATATTGGGGATGGTATAGTCTGTCTCATATTTGATGGTTGCCTCAGCCCATTTGCTGATGACGAGGTGTGTCTCCACGTTGAGTTGACGGAGAGCAATCAGAGTCTTGACTCCCAAGATCGATCCTGTTGCACCAGTGAGGGCAACAATGATCCTTCGCCTTCGCGGTGGCTGTTGTGTGTGACTGACAGCTGTCGATGGCGGATCAGAGCGAGATTTGAAGATATCCATCGCGAAAAAGAGGAGTGACAGGCCAGGAATGAGATGGAATTCCCGAGTAAAGGTATTAAAGGGGCCCCAATACACAGCACACGTATACCCAAGCTGTGGCACGAAGATGTCCCACCTGTGATGCTCTATATTCCCCAAATCGGGGCGATAGATCTGAAAAGAATCCACAGCATGGGGCACCAAGTACGTAAAAGAGTCGGCTAGAGATGCCGAGAATTGCAGAAACATCGGGTACGAAGCCGGGTTCTGTATCTCCAATTTGGGGAACCCCATCTTCGAACCATATCACGAACTATATAAAGAGTGGCAGGCGATGATACCACAAGCTAGAAATCCGTTGATTAATACAGAGATAACTGCTTCAACTCATCGCATCATCATGGCATCCAGCCAGAACTATTCCGAAGCGGCCGGGGACCTTCGCCAATTCTTGAAGGAACTCGATGATGAGAATGACCTTCTTGTCATCAAATCAGAGGTCGACCCCGAAATGGAGTTAGCTGCGATCACTCGCAGAGTCTATGAGACTGAAGATAAAGCACCTTTGTTCGAGAATATCACCGGCCGAGTAGGAAACGGTCTCTTCCGCGTCCTAGGAGCACCCGTGGGGCTCAGCCGTGTACCTGGTCAAAGATTGGGCCGCATCGCCAAAAGTCTAGGATTGCCTTCCACCGCAACAGGCAAAGAGATCATTGCAAAGATCAATGATGCCAAGCATCTCAAGCCGTTGCCCCCCAATGAAGTCGCATCTGGACCGGTGAAGGAACACAAGATCTTCGGTGATGAAATCGACCTGACCACTCTTCCAACGCCTCGCCTCCACCAGCATGACGGTGGGAAGTTCATCCAGACCTTCGGTATGTACATCGTACAGAGACCAAACGGAACTTGGACCAATTGGTCAATCACTCGAGCGATGGTTCACGGCAAGCAAACGCTCGTTGGTCCTATCATCCCAAAGCAAGACATTGGTGTGATATACCAAGAGTGGAAAGACCTCGGGAAAGATATGCCCTTTGCACTGTGTTTCGGCGTCCCACCAGCAGCAATCATGGTGGGCGGCATGCCGATCCCCAAAGGCGAGGACGAGGCTGGCTACATCGGCGCTCTCGTTGGCAAGCCACTTGACGTAGTCAAGTGTGAGACAAGCGATCTTCTTGTTCCTGCCAATGCGGAGATTGTGATGGAAGGCTTTGCTTCAATTTCCGAGACCGCACCCGAAGGCCCGATGATGGAATACCATGGCTTGGTGTATCCGGGCCGAAGCAAGGAATGCCCTTTATTCAAAGTCAACGCAATCACCTATCGGGAGGACCCAATCCTGCCAATTTGCATTACCGGAAGAGCGACCGAGGAGAGCCATACCGTGTGGGCGGTCATGATCGCCGCAGAAGTGCTGAATATCTGTCAAAATGCTGGGCTACCGATCCAGATGGTCTGGTGTCCGTTCGAGTCGCATGCTCACTGGCTTGCTATTCAAGTCAACCGCCAAGAATTGTTGAAACTCAAGACGAATATGCAAGACTTCTGCGTCAAGCTAGGCCATATCGTGCTGGGCTCGAAGCCTGGATGGTACATACCCAAGGTCTTCTTGGTTGGAGAGGACATTGATCCCACGGACCTCCGAGACCTCCTTTGGGCCGAAGCCACCCGCTGTGAGCCCGGAACCAGCGAGTTCCTGTTTGATGAATATGGGAATATTCCCTTGATCCCATACGTTGCCCACGGTACAAAGCCAGTCCGCAACAATAAGAAGGTGGTCAGGTGTTGTATGCTGCCGTGTGAGTTTGTTGACGAAGAGCTTCCATGGAAGGTCGGATCTTTCAAGGGCTCATACCCCCCTGACGTTCAGAGAAAGGTGGAACGTGATTGGGAAAAGTATGGGTTTGATGCACTGTGATCTCGGGATGTCGGGTCCACTCCATGGCTCATTCGGTAGCTTGAGCAACGAATAGAGATTTTCCGCATGCACAGGGTCGACAGACGTGTTTAGAAGCTCACAATAAATATCCTGCATTTTTTCTTGTTGGCCATTATCACCTGGGCATGGATCCCTAGTCAGGTGACCTTTTGTCTACCCAGCTCGCGCGCTCTCTCCCTTTCTCTCTTCTCTCTCTTGGGGAGAGAGAAGGATCCTCTTTTTCACCTCGAGCCAAGAGTCCACTCTCGTCAAACCAGGACTAGTGGCAGTTGCGCAGTCATTATATATTATTTCGGATGATCTCGACATCCGGTATCCGTCTCGCTGTTTCGTCAACACTTAAAGCCCGGATGGACCCGACGTATAGGAAAATTTCCAAAGTCAATGGGAGAGGCAACTAACAGACCTTATGAGCTAACTAATTTGGAGCAACACCAACGTGACCAACAGAAATCCTCCCGGGCGCACAAGAATGACCTTTCTCAAATACCTGTTTCTCCGAATAACAGCCCTCTTGCTAAGAGGTCTCGTGCGACTCCAAGGCAAAATAACATCTTCTCCGGATGCTGTCAACTACATTCCTTCTCGTGACCCCCAAAGAAAGATCAAAATTCATGTATATCAACCAAAGCATGAAGTGAAGGGCCCTGTTCCGGTTCTCATCAATTTTCACGGAAGTGGATACCTCATTCATGCCCACGGTAGCGACGATGCTTTCTGTCGAGAGGTCAACCAGCGCACCGAATACACAGTCCTTGACGTCTCGTATCGACTTTCACCCGAGAATCCATTCCCAGCCCCCATTCATGATGCTGAAGATGTCGTGAGATGGGTCCAGGAGCAACCGACTCTGTTTGACGCCTCGCACATTGCTCTCTCGGGGTTCAGTGCAGGGGGGAATATTGCCCTTGTCATTGCGTCGACATCGTTTCCAAAAGAAACATTCCGTTCACTTCTCACTTTCTACCCGGCCACCGAACCGTGTCTGGACCCAGCTACTATAGCCGCACCTCAAGCTGGTGGGCAACCTGTACCGTCCTTGATGCTTCGTATCTTCCGCGCTTGTTACGTCCAGTCAGATATTGACTTGAGAGACCCGCGGATCTCTCCTGGTCTTGCAGACCCTCACAGCATTCCTCGAAATGTTCTTGTCGTTACGGCCGGGTATGACTCTTTGGCCGATGAAGGCGAGCGGCTCGGCAGATCTCTTCAACAAGATCCTGATCGACACGTTGTCTGCGAAAGAATGGATAGATGCAATCACGCCTGGGATAAAATGGCCCAAAAGGCAACACGCGAGTGGGAAATGAAATGCGAAGCATACAATATGGCTGTTGAGATGTCGCGGCTATGATTATACAACTTTGGTATTCCGGCTGCTCTCTTGTGTCCCACAAACGAGAGAGGGAGAGGAGAAAGAGAAAGAACGTTGCAAATCAGATCGAAGATAGGTACGGTAGAGCACAAGAGACAGCATCAAAATCACCTGGGCAGTGATATAATTAAACAGATCTACAAAGTTTGTTTTGAGGTTTAACCCGTGCAGCTTGGTGAGGTGTCTAACACGTTTCTTATCCTGCATTATGTCCATTCGTACTCACCAACCTTCCAAGGTTGGAATTCAGTGGCTAGATCCCAGTTCTTGCGATCTGCGAATGTATACCTCTCGGCTACCCTTCCCAAAGAGCGGGCGTCAGGTGGAAGCGCACGTCCTCCCGGGAAAAAGCGGTCGCCCCGCCGTTCCCGGCTACAAAATTCAGGGTCGCTGAGCCCATTTAGATAGTCTCGGGGATTATTGTTGGCTAATATACCATGAAAGAAGCAGCTCATAATATGCCTAGGTGATCAGAAGTAGCCAGGTTTAAAGTCATTCCAAGTTATGGCCGTGTCTCTCCCGAGGAAGGACGATGTGGCAAGATCTCTGCGCTTCAATTCCAACATCGTTTTCTTCCATGAGCCGTTTGATGTGAAACTCTATATGGCTTGATGGAAGCGCTAGACACCTGGGCAGCTGCACATGTCACCACTTAGGGCAGGAGGTGGGACTTGGGCGCAGACCAAGTGCCCCGGCGCCTTGGTTTTCTTTGTCGCCATGCGTGTCTCCATGCAGTGCACTCGACACTAGTTTCACTAAACAGGGTCCGTTCAGGATCTTCATCGCGTATAAGTAATCTAGCACCAATGCAAATGCAGCATAGCCGGGATGTTGCTTCTTGAATAAGCGTGCTTGAACTAGCATATGACACGGCCAATTCCACTCCGTACATCCACAGGAGGGACTGTGGAGTCCCGATAAGCCGACGGAATTGTTGAACGTCATTCTTGGCGTAGACATACAGAGCACGGAGTGGGGTTCCAAGAAATTTGGAATCCTCTGACAGGTGCCTGCGAAGACTCGAGGAAAATACCCATGCATCCGCTCTAGACACAAGTACCTAGACAGGTATATAATTGACGTTGTATCCCCTCGAGGTCTCATATCTAGTGCAATTCCAAGGCTCTTACACCTCCGTTTTCAAAATGTCTAGCTGCAGTCATATGATATCTCCAATTCTCCTCTCTTTTTCACCGTTCCCCCACATTTCGCTCACATTATATCCATCGATCAATCATTTCAATCAGTCTCTCAACCCAAGTAGACTCAAGGACGCCTTTGAGACCGACCACCCTGCAAGCTCCCCGGTATATTCTGATACAAAAGGATCAGTCGCAAACTACAAGCGACTCAGAGAGATACCTGTGGTCAAATGCTGTCAAATTCAATTGGGAATCAGCGGTGTTTCTCTCCAGGTCAGTCAAAATCGAAGGGTACTGCTGGACTACATTGAGTCATAAACTGATGAAGATGAAAACAGCTGAGAATACCACACTTTGAGATTGTCCCCATCAACTCAGGAATGCCCTCGGCTGCCATTGATTCACTTTCCGGTTTCAAGGCTTTGATTCAACCTGGAAAATTTGGTGATACGAAAGGGTTTTACGAAAGATGCCGTGCAGAGGTGGCTGCGATCAAGCTTTTCTTCCCTGATGTTCAATCAGAAGATATACAGGTTTGCATGGCTGCATGGCTAGCCGCCAATTGTGCGGCGGATGATTTTCTCGAGAGCATGCCACTGCTATCTGGTATCAAAGCCCTGAAGAAAACAATTTTGAAATTGCAAGGAGGAACTGAAGATAGTGAGTTCGACACATCAAGTCTGAGACCACTGCGCTAACCGTGACAAGTTTCTGCGGACAATGGATTCGCGAAGATTCTTCTTTCCTTCCAAAGCTACTGCAGCCAACATCTTGATTTATCAGACGACGTTTGTACGGAGCTCAGAAGTGACATCCAAGACATGTGCCAGGGCCTCCTGGATGAATTGCTCTTTCGTCAAGGAGTACTACCAAACACCTTGGAGACATATCTGCGCTTCCGTGGCAGAACCATGGGTATCCATCCTTTCTTTACTCTCATTCGCACCATGCACAGCCCACCCTGCAGCAAATATCTGTCCGGTCTACGGGACTTGCAAACGCAAGTCAGCTTGGTGCTAGGACTGCAGAATGATCTTGTTGGGCTGGAAAAAGATCGTCGAAAGGGCGAGACCATGAATGCCGTGCTCGTCTCACTGAATGAGCAAGTAGGAATTGATGTTGAAAGCAAGGATAATATTCTGCCGATCATTATACAAGATGTGTGTGGGATCCACAATCGGTGCGTGGCAGCTGCTGTGGAGATGTATCACGGCCTGGCTGGATTGGATTGCGAAGAGCAAGATCCTGTTCTTGAGACCGAGATCCTGGCGTTTGCAGACACCCACTTGAAGTGGTGTGCATCATCTAAGAGATATCAGGCCAAAGTGCAGTGATTAGACTCTCATACTAGGTAATAGCGTTTTTCCTCATCCATCTTTTTTCCAATCTACCTTTTCCCATTCCATTTAGATGACTTGAAATATATCAGCACGTCTACTATGCAGGCTCCTGCATGCATAACCTAGTGGATCTTTAATGCGCGGCACTTTTCACCTCAAGCGCGTGCAAGCATACCCAGGTGAGCGAAACGCACCTTTGGTCTAGCTCCTGTTCACAGATAGCACATGGGGCTTGAAGGCTAAATCATAGATAAAGGTGGCTATAAGACAGTTAAAGAATAATTTACTACCTTGGTTATTCAATTCCACGCGCGATATGAAGGAATTGCGACCCCCAAGACATGATACGCGGTTGATCTGGTTCATGCACAACCGCCTGCTGTCAAATATGATTGGTGAACGAAAGCGGCGAAGAGGTTTGGGGATAGAAAAACTGAACAGTGAATCACTTCCTATTCAGGACTTACGATATCAGCGGTGACATGCGTGGCTTCGACTATCTGAAAGGGTGCGTTCACACAGTGGAACGGCGTGAGCGGCAATGGCTCGCGGAGTCATCTCTGACAAGAGTATGCCAGATGGTATGGTTCTTAAATACATCTCACATCAAGCGGAGAAATTACTGGAAATCCCACGTTGAAGTCCTCCATCTGTCGGCGCTCTGTTTGATAGACGCTATTTTTGGATATGCTAATCCCAAAGAGGTCTAGCTTTCCACACCTTCACCGCACTTCCCCCGCAACATCCACTCGTCACTCTCTACTCCGTACAGCCCTGGAGTGGACTTGGCACTGAGTATAGCAGGGATGGGGAAATCGTGGAGTCAGAGTGTGTGGATTCCAAGCCCTCCAATAACCGAGCAGAATGTGAGAAATCTTTATGGAAAGGCAAGCACATATTACTGGCTGCTATGTACTGCGCTCACAATATCCCAGGTCTTTGTGATAACTGGGGCCAATTCAGGCGTGGGTTTCGAGCTAGCGAAGATCCTTTATTCCGCAAATGCGAAAATCTACTTGGCTGGTAGATCTGAAAAGCGGGTGCTAGAAGCAATTCGACTACTCCGAGATGAGTTCCCTTCGTCGGAGGGAACACTGCTCTGGCTATCATTGGACCTGGCCGATCTATCTTCGATCAAAATAGCGGTGGAAGAATTTATGAGCAAGGAAGAAAGGCTAGATGTGCTTTGGAATAATGCAGGCGTGATGTACACCCCTACCACTGCCAAATCAGAGCAGGTAATATTCTGGATTTCTTCTCCCCACCCCAAGACTACATTCAATTGAACTTGATTTAACTTCTGATCTTTTTTCATAGGGATATGATCTTCAACTAGGCACAAATGTGCTGGGTCCTTATCTTCTTTCTGCCTTACTATATCCCATATTGAAAAAGACTGCAGATATCTCCCCACGCAACTCCGTCAGAGTGTGTTGGGCCAGCTCTATAACGATAGAGCTGGCTCCTCATGGTGGCATCAACATAGATGAAAATGGCTCGCCAGTGCTCTCTGATGATAGGCTCACTAACTACTGTGTTTCAAAGGCTGCAAACAACCTGCTTGCTTCGGAGTTTGGAAAGAAATGTCGAGATGGAAACGTACTCAGCGTTGTGAGTGAATGCAAATCGAACCTGCTCTTTTTTGGAAACAAAACACATTCTGACACAGAAATATTCCAGGCTTTCAACCCGGGCAACCTGAGAACAGGATTAACTCGTTACATGACATTGCCTTTTGTTGGTTTGATAGTGCCTCATCTCATGAATCTCGTTATGTGGCCAGCCCGCTATGGGGCCTACACGGAGCTATATGCGGGTCTTTCCCCTGACTTGACCCTTGAAAAACATGTCGGTGCATTCATCTGGCCATGGGGTCACGTTGGGTATCTACGTCCGGATATCGAGAGTTCTTTACATTCACAGGAATACGGTGGGACAGGAAAAGCCGCACAGCTGTTAGCATGGTGCGACCAAGAGACAAAAGATTTCATCTGAGTCTAGGGGTGGTCATAAGAACACTCTTGTCCAATGCTATTTCCCTGCTTTTTACGATCAGGAGATCAGGGGAAAGGTTTCCGGGGTCTTTGGCGCAGACTCTAGTGACCTTTGTACAGGAAGCAAGGCCCTTCCAAGGTCGTGTTTTAACAAATTTAGCACTGAACATACATAGAGCATCTCAGCCACACCTGATTTGAATATATTCCCGTTTCCCCAACCTTGAAATGAAATTGGAAAAGGGACCGTAATATGCAGCCACAAGGTTGCAGTTCAATTTCGCGAACATGCTGGGTTAATTTAATTGACCTTGGACTATGAAGATCGAACACGGCGATCGTATCCCATTCGGGCAGCTGTACAATAGAATGACGAGGATTGTTGAGTACAGTAGTACTGTACCAACCTTGGGGAGGTGTAAAGAAATATGCGACGATAATTTTGCGAAGTTGATCAAATTATGTCCCTATCTAGCTTCTTTCTGAGTTTCAAGCCTGAGCGTGCGCGTTGATTCGACTTATGAACGTCACCGAACAAGAGATTACATCCGAATCCTTGTTGGAATCAGCGGCTATTCGCCGATCGACAATGCTTGGGGTTTTCCATGTAATCGAAGTAACGCTGCTTACGGAAAATTTTGGATTTGATGATGTTAGGGTAGCTGTGGCGTCGTGAAAGAAGCCATCGCGAACCGGGGAAGGCGAACTTGGAAGATTGAAGCACATGCAATGTACTAGTACCTGGTAGGTGTCAGTCCCAAGGTTGAACATATCCCCAGTAGTGATATATAGCGACGACATGGCAATGCCATTCTTCCCAAGTTTATATTCCCCGAGTCTTTCCAAGGGTCCCATACCAACTAATTGTTGCCACAACTTCAGGTTTTGGCGTAGTCCAGAGTGAAGAGATTCAGAATACATACAGTTCCAAGGTTGTGCTGAAACCATCTTAGGGACTACGATGCTTGTTTATTTTGCTTGGATAATTTATATTAGGAGCTTTCAATCCCGATTTACTAGTACTGTTGTAGTACGAGAGCAAATAAATCGTCTCTTTACCAAGTTTCCACTTCAGCCGTTGACAAAACGCACGGACGACGCTAGGGGCAAATCTTGATTTCGGAAGTTGTTAACCGGAGATATACCTGTGGGCCAGTCTAGTGCGGTGCTGTGCTACTCCGTTCTATCGTATGTAGCTCTAGATCCACATTGTCGCTTAATGGATTTGTATGCCCATTAACCGTTCGAGGTTAAGCGGTGGGATTAAAGGTCAAAGATGAAACATGATAATGTCCTCTGCCTTGAATTGATGAGTTTGCTAGGTGATATCAGCCAATGACTTGTGTGGCTGAACACTCCACCCGAATAGATTAAAATGATCTCATCCGGCCGAGACCGCGCTCACACCTCTCGATCTGACATGCACTCCGATCGCGATCAGGTTTGGATTTTCCTACAAAGGGATCAAAGATAAATGCAACGCTTCATGCTCGACAAAAAAAAAGTCAAATGTGCTCGTGATATAGCGGGACTAGGTTATGGGAGAACAAGGCCACACTACAGCATGCTCTATCCGTCAAGCCCAACTCGGATTGAGTTCGGCATCGTTTCACAACGGCTTTTATATTCAGATGTGATGTAATAATGATTCGAGTGACAAGGGTAGCTCAACAGTGACAAGTGACAAGTGACAGCGGGGGGCAAATTTGTGGTGGACTCCCAACGTGGTTTTATAGATCGCTGATTCGCTCGCCCGTATTTTTCCACGTTGGATGTAGCGTGGCCCGGGGAGTACCCATGGGTCGCGATGCTTTGACAATTGAACCAGTCACATTGCTTTGAGGACTGGTTGGCTAGAATGTGCCTAGAACTAAAGGACGCGTGGATTCAGATCAGGAACAAGGGCATACGATGTCAGTATATTCTCCGACCAAGACGGGCTTGCTGGTATACATATGGTTTTCTCGTACGACGCAATCACCGATCTAGCAGGGAATAGGTATCGTGTACAACAAAATGGAGATGCCTCTCGGGAGGATAAGAGTACTACGATCATGCTATCGCAGCATAGCGCTCCACCCTGCTGCCATACCTCGATTCAGCCACACTTCACCCATCTGCCGTCCCGGCCATTTCATTCGTGCATCCAGCCTGCAATACTCTGGGGATCATCACTGTCTAGCCGCATCTTCGTCTAAGCAGGTTGTATCACTGACCCACCTCATGATGCTGATGATGCTCCTAACCGCCCTACCACTCTACAGCCACTGCACCGTGCACCCTCCAGATTAAATCGTCGATGATCATGGCTCGAACAGGGATCTGAGCCAAAAATGAAACAAAAAACCCAGTGCTATGATATCAATGGCCCATGACGTAGTGTACGGTGCAAGTATCTTGCCTGGTGAAGGCATATATAGAGAGCTTCAACGTAGAGTGTCGTTGTCACTGAACTCTTCATATATAACTCCAAACCCTCGAGCCCCTCTGAATGTTCCTGCATTCCATTCCATCTTTCTATTAATCTAGAAAAGTACCTATCTACCACATTTACCGAGCCATACCTTCTCGAAACCGTTGTATAATATCACCTGCGCCTCACGCCTTCACGAAGTATACGTTACCGAAGCACCAAACGGATATCTGTACGAAACAACTGCCAGATTGAAATCCAATCCATCTTATTGAGCCCAAACGAACGAACCATCGCAATACTCGAAATTCAACCGAATCAAAGCTCCACAACAATGTCATCTCCCACCGTGAGCAAAGCTCCCCCTAAGCTGGGCTCCAAGGCTGGCACACCTGCCAAGATCCGCAAAGGCTCTGGCTCAAGCGCAGCCTCAAAGCCCAGCAATGCTGCCCCAGCAAGCCCCAAGTCCACGAAGAAAGCCACGCCCCGCAAGCTCTCTCAGAAAGCTCCCGAGCCAATCGAAGCCGACGACCTCGACGAGCAGTCCATCCCAGAAACCCCCTCCCCAAAGTCGAAGAGAAAGTCCGAGCAACGCCGCCCTGTCTCCCCTCCCGATGATGCCTCAGAGGCCCCCTCTGCCTCCGGCTCCGCTGCACCCCTTGGCCGCGCTGCATCTGGCCTAGCCGGAAAGGCTAAGGGTCTTGCCGGCAAGACAAAGGATACTGTTGAACAAGGCGCCGAGACTGCCAAGGATACAGCAAAGGATGCAACTGAAAAGCTTCCAGTGCCTCTGGATTTGTCTGCCCTGAAAGGTCTCGAAATTGCCCAGGGCGGAGAGATCCTCGGACAGGATGGTAACCCAATTGGCAAGGTTGTCGAGGGTGACCCCGAAGACCTTGTTGGCCAGACCGTCGGCGATGACGGTGAGATTGTCGACGAAGAAGGCGATCTGATTGGTCGAGTTGATATCCTGCACGAGGTCGCCGACCAAGCCAAGGACGCTGTCCCCGAAGAAGCGCAATCCAAGCTCGGGGACGTTGATCTCGACAATGTCGTCACCGATCTTGCTCAGCTTGATGGTCTCCCAGTTTCTGATGGCGGTGTCATCAAGAACTCCGCTGGTCAGATTGTTGGCCGCATCGTCGAAGGTGACCCAGAAGATCTCATCGGATACACTCTCAACGACGACGGTGAAATTGTCGATGAAGAAGGTGATGCCATTGGTCGTGTTGATCTGATTCCTATCGAGGAGCAGAAGAAAGCCATTGAAGAAGCCACCGGCGATGTGACCGAAAAGGTCGACGGCGCAAAGGACGATGTTGAGGATCAGTACGAAGATGCCCAAGATAGTCTGTCCCCCGATGAGGCCGAGGATGCTGCCCCCAGTGTCGGCAAAACAGCCAGCCAGGCCAAATCCACTGTCAGCAAGGCCAAGTCCACTGCCAACGATGCCGTCGATGAGGCGGAGGATGCTGCGTCCGATGTTGAAGGCGAGGTCCCTGATGTCGATGACGCCAAAAAGACTGTGGATGATGCTGCGGACGATACCAAGATCAACCTCGAAGACAATGTCGATGGCGCCAAAGACACCGTCGAGGACACTGCGGAGGATGCCCAAGAGGACCTCGATGATCCTAAGAGCTCCGCCGAGAAAACCGTCGAGGACACAACCGAGGATGCCCAAGACAAACTCGACAACGCAAAGGAGACCACCGAAAACACCACCGAAGATCTGAAGGATGGAGTTGAGGATGTCGCGGAGGACGCTCAAGATGTTGCCGAAGACGCCAAGGACGGAGCCGAGGGTGCCGCAGAAGACGCCCAAGACACCCTCGATGAAGCTCAAGATACTGCCGAGGGCGCCACCGAAGACGCTGCTGATGGCGTTGAAGATGCGGTCGATGAAGCGCAACAACAGCTTCCCGATCTCTCGACCCTCGAGGGTCTGGCGTGCAACAAACGCGGCTACATCATCAACCAAGCAACCGGCAAGCCTGTCGGTGAACTCACGGAGGGCGATCCCAAGAAGATCGCCAAGATTGGCGCAACCCTTGACAACAAGGGTCAGTTCTGGGACAACCGTGGCAACGTGATTGGCAAAGCCCAGACCCTCCCCATTGAAGACGACGATGACGAAGAAGGCCCCTTCTCCGGATTGGAGGGACTCGTCGTTGGAGAAGACGGCTTCATTGAAGACGAGAACTCCACCCGCGTCGGACGCCTCATCGAAGGAGACGCCAAGAAGCTCAGCGGGCGCGGCGTCGATGAAGACGGTGAAATCCTCGACCGCAAGGGCAACGTCATCGGCCGCGCTGAGCGCCTGGAGCCTGAAGAGGAAGAGCCAGAGGAGGTCGGCCCCGACTTCTCAGCTGTCAATGGTCTTTCCTGCAACAAGGCTGGATACGTCATTGGGCCTGATGGGTTCCCCATTGCTCGCGTGATCGAGGGCAACCCCAAGGAACTCGCCGGAAAGAAGATTCAGGATGGCGAGATCTACGATGGCAAGAATGTCGTTGGTCGCGTGGAGCTCATCCCCGAGGATGAGCTTGAGAGCAAGCCCGAAGGCCCCTTCGCTGGAATGGAAAGCCTCTTCGTCACCAAGGATGGATTCGTCGAGGATGACGAGGGATCCATCGTTGGTAAGATCGTTGAAGGCGACCCAAAGAAGCTGCGTGGTCGTGCCGTCGATGAGGATGGCGAGATCACCGACAAGTACGGCAATGTGAAGGGCCGTGCTGAGCCTTATGAGGTCCCCGAGGAGGAAGAGGAGGTTCCTGAAGAAATCGATCTCTCCATTCTCGAGGGCAAGGTGGTCAACAAGTCTGGCAACGTTGTCGATCCCGCTACTGGTGCTGTCGTTGGACGCATCGTGGAAGGTGACAAGCGCCTGGCTGGCCGCAAGGTTGATGGCAAGGGTCAGATCTGGGGTGACAATGGCAAGGTCGTTGGTCGCGCCGAACTGATCCCCGGTGCCGAAGAGCACAAGGCCGAAGGTCCTTTCTACGGTTTCGACAACGCAACAGTCGGAAAGGATGGTGTTGTTCAAGATGGCGAACAGATCATTGGTCGTCTGATTGAAGGCGATGCGAAGCGTCTCCTTGGCCGAAAGGTCGACGAGGACGGTGATGTCGTTGACAAGAATGGCAACACGATCGGCAAGGCCGAGCGCTGGGAGCCAGAAGAGAAGAAGCGCGAGATCAACCCCATGTCTGGGCGCAAGGTCACCAAGGAGGGTGAAGTCCGCGATGCGGACGGCAACCTCATTGGAAAGCTGACCGACGGCAACCTTGCCACTCTTGTTGGCAAGACCATCGACGACAATGGATATGTTGTTGATAACGATGGCAACAAAATTGGCGAATGCACTTTGCTCGAGAACATCCCTGAGCCTGAGGAGCCTGAGCCCGAGCCCGAGCCCGAGGTGGAGGAAGAGGGTCCATCACCCGAAGAGCAAGAGGCTGCTGCGAAGGCCGAATCCGATCGCCAGCTGGCTGAGAAGATGATCTTCATCCTCAACCAGACCCTCGAGCGTGTCAAGCCTGTTTGCAAGCAAATCACAGATGTGAGTATCTGTATCTCAAATTCACCCCGAAGTATTACTAACGATGGGTTAGGCCATTGAAAAAGCAGACCGCACCCCCAAGGACGAACTGGACGAGGAGAAGCTGGTCCAACAGGTGAAGCCTCTTCTTGAAGAAGGTGGCCGCATTCTCCAAGAGTGCAACGGTTCAATCCGCGCTCTCGATCCGGATGGACGTATCGCTGCCACTGCTAAGGCGCGCGCGGCTTCTCGTGATGCCACGCCAGAGGAGTATCAGCTTGCCGACATGATCAAGGAGCTCACCGAGACGGTCGTGAAGACCATTGACAACGGCAAGAAGCGTATTGCTGACATGCCTCACGCAAAGAAGAAGCTGAACCCCCTCTGGGGCTTGCTCTCTGAGCCTTTGTTCCAGATCATTGCTGCTGTTGGCTTGCTGCTGAACGGCGTGCTTGGACTTGTTGGCCGTCTGCTTGATGGCCTTGGTCTTGGAGGTCTGCTGAATGGCCTGCTCGGCAGCTTGGGTTTGAACAAGCTGATTGACGGACTTGGACTAGGCAGCTTGACTGATGCCCTGGGTCTTGGTGGCAAGAAATAAAAATTACTGAGCCGGTTGCGGTTTGAAATTCTTGTTGGCGTTGCTTTTGTGTGTTTCTCTCTTTCTCTCTTGTTGCTGTCAGTGTTCATCGGCTCGGTTTTTTTGTACGGCTATAATTCATGTGTATGTACTATGTTCCTTTGAAATTAGTCCAGATGATGCTTCTCAATTCAAGAAGGACAAGGATTCGGATACTTTTCTTTTATGATCTATTCACAGATAATTAGTCTCGTAAGTACAGATATGCAGGTTTTCCCATGCACATGTCATCAGTATTTCTCGTCTTGTAGAATATCCCATCGGATTCCTCCAGATTGAGATAGTGATAAAAGATGATGGCGAGAAGAGGAGAAAGCTCATAATTACAATGGGAGTTTAAACATTTATAGGGGAATGCACCGCCCGGGGCGCTTTTGTGGCGACCCAAAGACGACCCAATAACAGTTGGGTCATTGATCGATCATTTCTCGAACAGTGCCGTGGCGAACCTCAATCTAATGGGTCTTGGAGGTGTCGGTCGAAGCACGGGGGTCATCGAGTTGAGTTTCACCGGCAAGGTTGCGGTAGGCCCGGTCACGAGCAGGACCACGGTCCTTGCGGATGGTAAGGCAGTTGATGCCCAGGAAGGTAGTGATGCGGTTGATAACCAACACAGCCCAGTGCATATAAATGACAAAAGCAAAGGCAAGGTAAACCCAGACGTAGAGAAGCTCCAACCAAGGGGCAATGACCGGGAAGCCGAGAATGGGAAGGTTAATGAGAACGGAGCCGACGACCAGCGGGGCCAGGAGAATGGTCCAACAAGGGAAAGGTTGTCTGATCAAGTGGGCCAGAATGATCATTGTGGTCATACGGCCGAAGACAAAGGCGAGGACCCAGCAGAACAGGACAAGGTGGTTGCCAGACAGGATAGTCGAGTACGGAGAGAACAGCCAAGCCATGTTGCAGCCAGTGAAGACAGCCATGGGGATCCATTCCTTGAGCAGCGGGGTGAACGGCAGGCCCTGCTTCTTGCGAGCAGCAGCGACGTTCATGACACACCCGGGAAGGTGGCCGAGGAAGAAGCCGACCAGCAAAATGGGCACCCACAGGTCCTTGATAGAGTTGGTACCAAACACCTGCGGCCAGTTGATGAGGTCAGTGATGGGTTGCGACCAAATGCCGGGTCCCCAAATTCCCGAAGCCATCATAATGCTGATGGCGATCAACAGGCCCTCAGTTGGGCCGTTGAAGTAGCCGAGATAAAGGGTGTGAGTATGGAAAGTCTCCCACGTAGAGAAATACATGGCTAGGCAAGGAACAAGAGCAGTCCAAGCACCGAGGTAAGTAGATCCGAAGCCCATTGCGGCGGTCGAAAGCAAACTAGCCATGGTGCAGTTCAGAGAATCGATTCCGTGACTGTGTACCTGATTAGTGGGACTTCCATGGCCAGTCAACGGGTGGTACAAACTCAAAAAGTTCTCCGAGTCCGCTGGATGTTCCAGTGCGACGTGCCTGCTTGCCGTCGACATTGTCGAGGGTAGAATACCTGGCTTTCCGTTAGACTCATTTCCAACATGGCGTTTTCGTACACTCACATCCACATGCCAAGAGCGAAGCTGAAGTAAATCCATCCGGGACCCTGCCGAAAGTCTGGTCAATTCGCCACTCTGGTGATCAGATGAAATAGAACTGCAAACTCACAGGTCCCACCATATCAGGGACAGCCAATTCAATCAAGAACACATTGGCGACAATCCACACGAATCCAAGCAGAGTCACCATGTTGGGGGCCATCCACATCGGTACCAGTTCGACAAATGCATTCCACTAAACGACAACTGTCAGTCAACTGTCCTTCATGCCAGTCCCATTCTCAACCGGGTTTCGAGAGTTTCGTACATAATGTCTCAAAATGTAGTTGGAAATAAATGACTTGTCGACACTCGAGTACTTGTAGGACTTAAGGGGGAGAAGAGCATCGTCGGAGAGCGAGTCTTGGGTCTCTGAGGATTGAGAAGTATATCAGCAAACAGCCCATCTCAACTAATTCAGTCTCATGTCACTCACCCTGGACCATGCGGAAGATTGCGCTCATTTTTGGGGTTGCGCCGTGTCACGCGCGGAGTTGGCGAGGGTTATAGATTGTATAAACCGGCCTTAGAACCAGAGGCCGGGAAGCAAGACAAGAGGACAAATGCAATGCAAATCAAATCATCTGAATGAAAGACCAGAAATGTCCCGAATACGTGGAGAAAGGGGGAAAGCCAATGTCTCAAGATGGGGTTTTCGGGTCGGCAATCACGTGCCTCCGCATCGGGAAACGCGAAGGGAAGCTCAACGGCCGCGAGTATTCGAGATTGTGTTCATCGTCGCGGTTCCCCTTCACTGCCCTTCTTTGTCGCCCGGAGTACTGGATCTTATTTGGGGTTATCGACGGACCATCATCTACGCTACTATTTCACTGCCCTCGATTTCCACAATTTGACCCTCCTGTCACTTCGCAGCTGGGATCCGCGCCAGCCCACCGTGTTTCTCGATTCTTCGCCGTCTTACTAGAAGCCCGTGCGCTGTCTTCGACGCTATATTTGAGACCTGGGTCTGGTCGGACATGACGGTGGATGGTTCGCACAGCGCTCCAGGCGCATTTCGTCACTGAGGAATCTTAACGATGCCGGGTGTTGTTGACCTAGGTGCTGCGGCACGCCCAAACCTGGGGTTCAGCGTCGGCCATCAGAAGGTTGAACTGGAGATTGACTTCGCTACGAAAAGCCTGAAGGGAAAAACCGAAATCACGATTCACCCTCGCCGCAAAGACCTTACAACCATCTGGTTGAATTTTCGACAAGGAGACATTAGGCGCGTCAGCGTTAACGGGAAATCTGCGGCCGCCAGATATGCCGATCCCTATGAATCGCTCCAACTATTCGGTGCTCAATACCATGAGCGTCTGACACAACATATCGATGGACTCCTACAAACACCCCCCACGCCTACCCTTCCGATCACGGTCCCCAAGAATGTTCGCATTGAAGAATTAGATCCGTCTTCCGCAGAGGCCCAGGACCAAATTGCGCTCCAATCTACTGGCGACGATGTCGACGGGGCTTCCGGTGGCCGGGCGCCAGAAGCGAATCTTCCGCGTTTCACGTCCTTGACGGTGAACATTGAGTTCGTCATAAGTAAGATCAGAGATGGTCTACAGTTTGTCGGCGTTGAGAACGGTGACCGAAGGTATCCTCATGCCTACACAACCAACTCCTTGGAGTCTGGTATTGGTTGTCCATTGTTTCCATGCGTAGATGATACGGCTTCGCGGCATACCTGGGAAATCTCAATCACATGCCCGAGCTCGCTTGGAGACGTGTTCGACCGGAAGTCCAAAGACCCTTCTGGCTCAACATCGAGCCGTCCGAAGGCTCCAAGTCGTCAACTCTCCGCTGATGACGAGGGGCTCGATATGTCAGTGGTGTGCTCTGGTGACTTGACGGATGACATCGTGGACCCTAAAGATCCTACAAGGAAGACAGTCTCATTCGCCTCGTACTCCCCCCTGGGTGCTCTGCAGCTAGGCTTTGCAATTGGTCCGTTCGAATATGTCAACCTTGCCGATTTCCGTGAAAGCGATCAAGATGAACAACTTGGCCAGAATGCAATTCCCCTGCATGCTTTCTGTTTGCCTGGCAGAGCAGACGAGGTCCAAAACACAAGCTTTCCCATGGCTCAGGCCATTGACTTCTTCTCGCTGTCGTACGGATCCTATCCATTCGGCAGTTACAAAATTTGTTTCGTCGACGATCTGTCCACGGAAGCCCTTCCTACTGCGTGTATGTCTATATGCAGCAGCCACCTACTATTTCCAGCTGAGATGATCGATCCCATGTATGATGCAACCCGGTCCTTAGTGCATGGTCTTGCATGTCAATGGACGGGAATTAACATTATTCCTCACGAACCTGCGGACACGTGGGTCACCGTCGGCGTGGCATGGTACATCACAGATACGTTCATGAGAAAGCTCTGCGGAAACAATGAATACCGTTTTCGGCTTAAACAGATGTCTGACCAAGTATGTGACTTGGATTACGAACGTCCTTCAATATATGACATGGGAAACATCCTTAAAGTCGATCCCTCCGAGTATCGATTTGTGGCACTCAAGGCACCCCTAGTGCTGTTCATCTTGGACCGTCGCCTGACGAAGGCAAGTGGCAAAGCCACGATGTCTCGCATCATCTCTCGCTTGTTCCTCAATTCTCGGATGGGTGATATCCCCAACGGTGCTGTCACATCGTCTCTGTTCCAGAAGACTTGTGAACGACTCGGGCACGCCAAGTTGGATGTTTTCTTCCAACAGTGGGTGTATGGTGCGGGATGTCCACGTTTCCAGGCTACCCAACGATTTAACAAGAAAAAGCTCGTTGTCGAAATGATGATCAGACAGGTCCAAGCCGAACCCCAAGCTCCTCGGGATCTGGCAAAGGACGCATTTCTGCGGGATGTGAAGGAGGAGGTTCGGCACGTCTACGCTGGTGCAGTTCAGCCGGTTTTCACCGGCTCAATGACCCTTCGCATTCACGAAGCAGACGGAACCCCTTATGAGCACATTGTCGAAATCAAAGAGGGCACAACAAAATTCGACATCCCATACAACACCAAGTACAAGAGGCTGAAGCGTAACAAGAAACAGAGAGAAAGAGCTGTTGCTTCCGGTGACGCTGAAGTACAAGAGGAAGTCCTACTCTACTGTCTTGGCGATGTTTTACAGACCGAGGAAGAAACACAGGCTTGGCGTTTGGCCGACTGGACCAAGGAGGATGAGGAGCGCATGGGACAAGAGTCTTACGAATGGATTCGAATGGATGCAGACTTCGAATGGGTTTGCAAACTGTCCCTCGGAATGCCAGGTTACATGTATCTCTCGCAGCTTCAACAGGACCGAGATGTTGTAGCACAACTCGAGGTGAGTCCATCTTTCAACATGGTGTTCAAAACACATCAAACTAACCCACTTAGTCGTTGCAATATATGGCCGCTCAGCGAGAACATCCTTTGATCTCAACCATTTTCGTCCGCACGCTCATGGACAGCCGCTACTTCCATGGTATACGTACCACAGCTGCACGCGCCTTGGTCAAGCATGCCAAGGACGAAGTCGACTGGGTTGGGCTGCATCATCTTGAAACAGCATTCCAAGAGCTCTTTTGTCTCCCAGGGTCACCGATGACTCGTTCGAACGATTTCTCTGATCGGGCTGCATACATTCTGCAGCAAGTAATTCCCGACGCCATCTCCAAAGTTCGTGATAATAGTGGCAAAACCCCGCTCAGAGTCAAACGCTTCTTGTTCGACAAGCTGAAATTCAATGACAACTCTAACAATGAGTATTCTGACAATTTCTACGTTGCATCGTTGATGAAATCCCTCTGCCATGCCATGCTTGGTAGGACTGAAGCGAGGGCAGAGGAGGAGCTGGACCACTTTGACATGGAGCGCGTCCTTCAGGCACAAGCCGAAGAGCAACTCGACAAAGACGCCATCGCAGAGTTCGATCGTTATCGACGGATGGATGAATGGTCAAGCTCATTCCAAAATCTGTATTCAAGAGCTGCACTTCATTGCCAGGCGCAATTGATGCAAGCAAAGATGCTGGATGTCGATTTAATGCGATTCATCCCATATACACGAGCAGGGACTTATGACCTTCTCCGGATGCAGGCATTCCAATGTTTGGTCGATCTTGATATCTCACAGCACTCTGAACTCCTTCGCTGGCTGATGTTTACCTTGTCGGCGGATTCCTCTGCTTGGATTCGCCATCAAGGATTGTGTCTGTTCGGCCAAACACTGGCGCAAATCGCCTTTGGGCGACCTCAGCAACAGGAAGCCTCGCTGAATGATGGTCTGATTATCGAACAAGAGTCCACCACAGATATCCGCAGGGATGACATTGCACGACGCAAGACCATCCCAGGAGCTATCGAAGCGCTGAAGCGAGAGCTTTCCGGCGATGCATCTTTCAAGGAATACATGTGGGCAGCGTGCAATTCTCCCGTGATGGGCTTGCTTGAGCTCTCAGAGCTCACTGATCTCTGCCGCGTTCTATATGATGTCAGTACGTCCAAGTTCGTACGCCTGAAACTACCACGATACTGGAACGTTCAAAACATGGGGCACGGCAAATTACGTTTCTTCAGATCCGCCAAAACACGCATGGGTCCCACTACCAAGCGAAAGCGCGACGACCACGGCATGCAGGCCCCCTCCTCAACTCGCATTACCTTCAAGCAGTCCAAGACCAGCTCCAGTGCGAATACCTCCGCCTCTACTCCCCTCCCCAAAATCAGCATCCCCCGGCCATCCCCTGCAATGGGCTCTACGCCCAATACTCCCGCAACAGGCACACCTAAGCTCAAACTGAAGTTTGGTGGAAGACCTGCATGAATATTCTAAAGCCTTGTTTTCTGGACGACATATGTATTTTACCTATTAGCCCATTTTATTATTGTCACATTGACCTACCACCCAGTATGGGGCCTCTTCTTCCGTAGCTCAGCGGGCGGAATCGAATCAACGCTGTGTTCCAAGATCAATACCAAGTAGACTATGATGTCCTGGTCTCGTCTGTGGGGTAGCCAACTGATGTAGCCGGTGAAAAAGAAAAAAAAAAATCTTCAAGGTAGATTAACGTAGCCAGAGTAGTCCTTCAGATGCTCCTCCGGTCAGACAGCAGAGAAATTGAAAACAGAAATGGTTTTGATTGTCCCCATATGAGAAACCGACCCAATAACTCCAAGTGGCATTATGATCTTTCCCGGCATTCGGTGGCAGAGTGGTAGCTATGTGCGTGCTTTGCGGATAGCAGTCTTGTCATTGTAGATTCGTCGCTTATTTGTCGGTAATGCGCTCGAGGGCCTCAAGCATCACCACTGAGTTACCGCGGATGACCTAGAAAGGCGTGGTTAGCGGGACGGTCTGAGGATCTTGGACAGGGCGGGGTACTAACGATCATGCCAATGGCGACCTTCTCTCCACCAGCCTTCTCTTCGAATGCCTCGTCGAGGACAATGTTCATGAAGACCTGCGCAACACCATTAGCCGACCCGCGCTCATCGCATATTGCCCCACAAGCTCCTTTCCAAATGTCATATGCACGGGTACAAGGATCGCGGTTGCAGGGCTTCAACTGGAGCAGGGGTTTGACGTACATCGTAGCCGCGGAGAATACCAATGACTTTGCGGTTGCCGTTGAGTTGGCAGAAGACCCGCTTCTCCATGTACTGCAGTCAAAGAATGTTAGAACGGGTATTCCGGGTAAATATCACATCTGCGATCAGACGCATGCTTACCTTCTTCAATTCAGGCTGAGCTTGAGGCATATTGAAAGATATTGTTGGGTATCTGGGTGTTGAACAAGATCGGAGTGTTGGTTTGGAGTTTCGTGAAAGCTGGACCGGACAAATGTTGTTCCTGATATGCGGCGCGATAAGAGCTCATTGCTTTCGTCCATGCCACTTCACTTGCTTTCACTTTGTGCTTTACTTCAGTGTCTTCGAAATCATGAGTGCCAAATTTGCCAATCGCAGAAAGCCCCGCAAGATTGGCGGCGACGATGAGCAGGATGAGGCTGGTGTGCCTGGTATGTTTGACTATCGCTTTTTCTTCCCTGATCATGATTTGCCCGCAGAAGCTCAAGCTCACCATTTTTTTTAGAACCTGTTGTCAAGCGCCCAGCCTCAAAGCCCAAAGCAAAGCCCAAATCCAAGTTGAACCTGTCATTTGGCCCCGGGGAGACGTCGACGAACGACGGAGACGAAGAGAGCGAAGTCGTTATTCCAAAACGACATGGTCTGGCCCGGAAGCCCGGTGACAACAGCGCCAACACTCGGCTACCTGGTATATCTGATAGTATATCTGCACGACTTGGCCAGGACTCAGACCGGCCAACCTACAACAACGATTACTTGAAGGAGCTTCGCAACTCAACTCCCTCGACGCCTAAGACCAACACCGATGATGAAACAACTAAGGCTGTGGATGTGGCCGCTAAATTTGGGGAAATCATGACAGTCTCCGGGCAGTCACATATTCCCAGCGAATCCGAAATTCGTGAAAAGAAAGCCCGACGTGCTCGCCTTGCTATGGAACACGGCGCAGAGGACGATAGCTACATGGCGCTGGATGACAACGATGCGGCACACGCGGATAATTGGGATGCGGTTGCGCGCGGCGAAAAGGAAGTCAAGGATACCCGACTCATTCGAGACGACGAGGATTTCGCAGAGGGATTCGAGGAATACGTGGAAGATGGGAAGATTTCCCTGGGGCGGAGGGCCGAGCGTGAAAAGAAGCGGAAAGATCGTGAAGCCATGCGTGAGCTTATCGATGACGCCGAAGGTATCTCGGATGAAGATGATTCCGACCTCGAGGAGAAGGCTGCATATGAGGCTGCACAAACCAAAGCGGCGATGGGTCATGGCAAAGATACTCTTGACCGACCGGAGGCGCCTGTCAAAATGACCTCTCTTCCTCGCTTGGCCCATAGCATTGAGCGATTGCGCATGCATCTGGCATCGAAGGAAGTTTCGAAGACCCAGATGATCAGCCGAATGGAGGAGTTGCGAAAGGAAAAGGCGGATATAGCAGTTCGCGAGGTCGAAGTACAGGCGATGATCAAGGAAGCGGGCGAAAACTACGAGCGGCTGAAGAAAGAAGCTGTTGCTCAGTCTAATGCAGATGATGCTTCCAACGGAGCCCTCACCAAGACTACAGGCTTAGAAAACATCGATGCGCCTGTGCCCAGATCAAACTCCTCCGACTCATCGGATTCCAGTTTCGAAGACGATGACGAGTCTTGATCGCGCCTTCTCTGTCTTGGGTCCTACCTGGCTCACTCATGTTCGATTGTCTCACCCGCATACTCTTGGAGCTCTTCTCTGCTTTTTGATACCCAATGAATTAATTTTCTTTTACTCTTATTGCTATTGCCCAATATGCGCATCCCCCGGATGCTTTGCAAAATCGTCGGCTTTTTCTATGAGAGAATATATCGCGAGCCCGATACCACCAACCGTCCGTTGCCATGGATTGATTCTCCAGTTGATGAAAAAAATGGCTTACCTCGTCTACATCGTCGATCCGATGCGACCCCAATTGAGTTATTCTTTGATCTCTTTTTCGTCGCCAACTTATCTACATTCACGGCGACACATGAGATCACTAATGTGAACGGTTCGTTCACACCAGCTCTCTTCTGACATGAATTTACCTAACTTCTGCTCTCGTTCAAGCCCTGGGCGCATACATAGGTTTTCTCGGGATAATCTGGTTTACCTGGTTACAAGTGAGCCTATTTGACATACGTTTCGCTAGAGATTCCATCTTTGAGCGCTTCTGCAAAGCAATCCAGCTGTCGGCTATGGTTGGATTCGCATCGACCGGAACTCGTTTTACGACTCATGTTCATGGAGATAATTTTTGGGCCTTTCAAAGCCTTAGCCTGATCCTATGTGCAAGCCGAATGCTGTTGGCTATTCAATACACCATCACAGTGGCTTTCATGTACACACCGATGAGGCCTGCTATCAAGGGCTTAGGTCAGACGGCTGCAATATTTTGGACTTCTAGCTTCCTTCACCTCGGGGTGAGTCTTTTCAAATTCACATTGCCGGAATTGACCGGGATGGGCACTGACACGATCTGATCGTTAGATGTATTTTGCTTTTAACAAGGCCAATCAACTTCGTTCACGGGTCTGGACCGTATGGTTCGTCCTTTTTGCGATTGAGATGTGGGCAGTCATGGGAGTCTCTTACTTTTACCCAGCTATTGGATTTCAAGAAACGCATCTCAACGTTCGCATGGGCCTCCTCACCCTCATCATCATTGGAGAGGGCGTTATTTCGGTCACTCGGATTGTCAACAAGACGGTGCGGCCGGGCGGGTGGACCAAGTGGTCGTTTGTTCATATTCTGGGGGTCACAACCAATGTGGTGGGTACCCAAACCCTTGCCGTCAACGGTCACGCTGACAAAGGACAGTATTTACTTTGGCAAGCCTACTTTGACGTGTCTCCCAAAGGAAAAGTGGGAAAGATGGCCCAGCTCCTATGGGTCCAATTGCACTTCGCGTTTCATGTCTCCCTCATCCTGCTCCTGGAAGGATCGCAGATTCTTGCACTAACGCTCGACGTGACCTTGAAGCTGGGTTATCTGGCAGAGACATTCCTGTTCGTATGCGAGGAGCCGCGACCACAATTAGACCAGGCAGTCCAGCTCATTCGAAGCACCATTTCCGATATGGAAATCCCCTTCAGTCGTGGCGCAACTCAAGAGTGGACCTCCATTTCGAGTATTTTGGAAGATATGGCAGAGCAGCCCCTGTGCCCAGAGGCTGGAACATTCATATATTTCTATACTACTGACCTCATCAATGATCTGATGGGCAACGTCACAGCGGCCCTGTTTTCCAGCATGGGGATTACCCCGAAAGTGAAAGGGGGGATCGGTCTTCTGGACAACAAACAGCTCCTTCATATGTATATGAAACTCCTCAGTTTTGTCTATGTGTATTTCTTCACTGTCGCTTGCATCACGATGTTGCTCCTTGGGGTCTTCGTGCGTCTGACACGCCGCCACAGTTGTCAACTTCACCAAAGTCTCTCAATTGCGGTCCGTGTTGTCATTGCGCTTATCTTAGCCGCTCTGGTCGCTTTTTCCCGGAATTTCTCTCTTGCCTACTCCTTCATGACGTCTCCAGTCATACTCTACGCCTTTACTCTTACGCTTTTTACTGGTCAGTGGTCAAACTCCCTGCCGGGATACTCAAGCTAATTGGTCGACAGTCCTCCTTGTTGACCGACTCTTAGACTGGCTAGCATCTCGGGACAACGCAGTTGTCCGACGGAAGCGGGAACGCGACATCGATTTTGAATGCCTAGACCTTGCGCCGGGGATGTTCGTCAGAGACTCGCCACCTTCAGCGACTCTCGCTAGGGTGGAAACGTCGTCAGAAGGGACCTCCATTGCCCACGCTCATTAATTGCCATCCATCATTATCTGGCACACTAGAGACTGGTTTGGCTCGATAACCGACTGAAGATGATCCACAATACCGTATGTGTGTTTTTATTCTGGTGGTTCTATTTTGGGTCACTGCAGACACATCATAAAGAAAGTGTTGATATTGAAACCCGTTGCATTATTCCCCCAAAGGAAGTTTGCAGTCTTTCTGCTCGTCAGCTCCTTGCCCATGGTAGCGGTCTGAGGTATCCTTGGGGATGCCGCATTTTTCCCGAAACCAGCGATGAATATCAACGCTGTGAGACCAGAATCAACTTGGGGACTCGCGACTAAATCCTCTCATTGGAAGTTATTGGCGCACTAGGCGCGACAGTGCATTGGTATATCCAGCCGTACAGACTACTACGGTGTTCAACCTGCACCAAGCCATGCCCTAGAACGCAGTAGACTGAATATTTCTCTGGACTCTTCTGTCTCAAAAAGAGAGCTAGGCTCATAACCTTGGAATATGCGATACTGGGCTGTGACTTCGTTGGGAAGGAGTCTAATTTCTAGTCGCCTCGGAGTTCTTGATATGTCTCAACCCAGGAAGATAAGTCTGTTTCATGTGTTCATGGCTTGAGATAAAGGTGTATATATTTACAAGGTATCGATCCTCCAGATTCATCGAACAGCATAAGCTACAGTACGTATCCGGTATCCTGGTTTTTCCTGACGCCCTCATCCAATCGGTACCCAACAACTCACCAACAGTTAACAGGCTGCCAGGGGTGCTCTTTGAAATTAGACACCACCACCCTCTCTTTGCTTTTTCCGTCAACGCCGTTGGCTTCCCTGCTCCACTGCTCCACTGATCACCCTCCGCCCCACAATTCACGCCAACGCAACCGAGTCATCCGTTGACAGTTTACATCCTGACCTTCCCTTCCCCGGACTGCGTTCCGGGTCCGATCTGGGCCTTTGGGACCCCCTAAGATATTCGACAATCGACCGATGTACGGCCGTGTCAAAATAATATCCGCGGATATGATTTGCATATGTGTGCAAGAGTATTACCCGGCCGATCGATCTTGATCCGGGAAAATAAGCCCAAACCCCAGTGGGGCCGCCAAACAGCGCTGTGACACCAACAGAGGTCTCAAAGAGACAGGCCCTTCTCGGAGGATTCCCGTGGGCTCCAACTGCGAGGATCGTATCCCTGGCTACAAATCGAAACAGGGCATTTCCCCGTTCGTGCGGCTGCCGACTCATTTTCCACCCTTCCGGTTTCAACGCTACCCAAACCATCCCAGCGGTCGTTAAAGAAGCTTCTTTTGAATATGTCCGACACTGGGACGTTGATCCGGGGAATACGGAAGCTGGGGATTCTCTGCGGGTTGGTTTGCCCTTATGTGGTTTACAACAGTTGAACGTTTTTACTACCCGTTGCTGTCTCCGCGAGCTGGAAATCGGATGTCTTTCCCGAAAAGACAGTAGGAGCGCCACCCCAAAGCAAGATTGACGCCAGGATTCTGTCGATCTTCAGTTCGCAGTTCCATCAAAGTTCAATACATACGCAATTGCGTCCCAATAATCTGGGCGTTGGACGCTAGTGTCTAGAACACGAAGCCAGCCATGTTCGTCGGCAAATTGATCCCCAACAGAGCCCCCGAACAGGTATTCCCTTCTAGCGCTGTGCTTTGCCTTTTGCTTTTTCCCCAGCAGGTTGGATCCGCGCTCCTAACATGATTGGCTCGGGGGCCACTTAGCCTCCCCCAGAAGCTGCCTGTAACCACCCGTTCAGGATGGAACATTCCAAAACGATCCGAGCCACTGCCAAGATCAGAAGCTCCAGGCAGTTTGTCGATCAGGTAGACGTGCAGGCGGATGCATAGTTAATTAGTTTGGGTTGTACACAGAGATGTCCGCGGGATACTCTAGTGGGACCGTTGTCAACGGGGATGCAGCTCCAAATTCAATCCACCCATCAAGTTCCCACCACACTGCAAAGGAGGGAAATTGTCAACAACAGATGGGTAAACTTGGAGGGGATGGAAATAAATCGAGCTAGGCCCAACGGCCGACGGGAAAATCATCTTCAGAAGCTCTGCACACCATGGGTCCCGCTCTGATCTTCCCTCAAAACGGTCTCCTGGATAATCGAGGCTAGACCGAGACATGACGCTAGACAATAGAGAAAAGATCTGAAACGCCCGGCAAGTGGATCGTAAACATACTGGGGGTTCAGACGATCTCCAGACAGAATCCTGGCCTGACTAGGGTTCAGATATCCTTGAGTACCAACCCAACCCATGTCATTTTAACTTTTATTCTTTGTTTTCTCTGCCCCTTGAGATATCAGCGAATATCAAGATACTTTAGTGCTCATCGAGCCATAGCACGGACCTCGATTGAGATTACCCGGGCCGTAACATTGGAAATGAACTGGCGGAATGACAGACATGGTTCATGCGTTTCTGCTTGGATCAGGCTTTTTGCTATTATTAAATCTTGGAAACATTATAGGAGCTATCTCCTCAGCCCTGCATCATCAGTCAAGACGTTGGTATAAGCTTGATGCTTTTCCATCCCGCGTACTCGACTTCCTATACCTGTCTCTTGAACAATTTCCGACGTGACGTCCTGATTCATTATCGACCTATCTCAATCCTCATTTTCTTCTCATCAGTTGCATTGCGGAAACATCTGAGACCACATCATATTCAACGGCTCAACTTTCGGCCCAATCCTGACCAAATCAAGTCATTCTATTCGCAGTTTACTGCAAGCGTACGGCTAGAAAAGCTCTCGGTTTGTAAACAAGAGTGCTTTGTGGATCACCGGAGCCGACTATAGACCCAAGTCAGCGTTGCCTTTAATTCGCAATCCGCGATAGCAAGTCCCTAGGGGCTATGTGCATAGGGTAAGTGAATGCCCAATGATTTCTAACCTTAGTGAAACCTCTCCATATAGAGCAGACTGCTAATCGATTATAACGGTCAGACCTGCAGGTCTCCTCGAATTATCCACACTCTATCCGTTTTACACTGGCCGACAAAGAGAGAAGAGCGGTCGTCCACACACAGCGACAACCCGCGTACAACACCAGCACGTAGTTGCGGTGAAGCGTGGAAGACACCAGTCCAGCCTTATTCTTCTATTTTGAGAATTTCATGGATTATTGTTCCCCGGAAGTTGATATGATTGACATGCTGGCCACTGAGGGCCCGAATCTATGGGAATACCCTCTAAAGCAGTTCTCTCTTACCCCAACTCATATTTCTACTTCTTCTCCGTCCTCCCAAGTGAGTTCCGAGAGTTTTGAACAGCAAACATCGGTCTCCTCAAGTGATTTACATTTCTTTCATTCTCCCGCAACGACATCTGTGTCCAATTCACTGCACTACCATCACCCACAATCCCATACGCCAGGGCAGCGACAGCTTCCTGGCCACACGATGAACCTCAAAGGTCTGACAAACCAGCACGGTCTGGCTTCCAGGGAAGATATCATTGATATGCCCCTCAAGCTTGAGAGCCAACACCCGGGTTCTTTTGGTCGAAATATGTCCTACTTCATGCCTCAACTTGGCTTCAAAGTGGCGCCCTCCAGCAGCGCAAGTACCTGTTGCGAGTCTGACATCGACTCTCTCGACCACTTCGAAGAGCCCTTCGCTACCCATACAGTCGGAACAAACTGTTGCCTTGTCCACCCAATCCCAAAGAGCAGTGCTTATGCTGCCGGGAATAATATCTCTTTCCTCACGAGCAGTGACGAAGGATCCCCAGTCTCCAAAGTCGAAGCACAAGACGCCCATTTGGGAAACTCGGTCTTTACAAGATACTCAAGCCAGGCGTCAACTACATCGCTTGACAACACTTGTGGATCCTCGGGTCCATCGCACCACACACACTCCATGGAACCCTTTGGTCTCGGAGACGCTAAATTTCCTCCCTATGATGACAGCCTGGTGTGGTCTGCCTGGAATACCAATACGCCCAGCGGCACTTGGCTCCCTGGTCCTAGCTTCAACGATGCTGCATACACAGGTGGATGGCACAGCCCAGCCTACCATCATGTATCCTGGGATGACTCAAACAATGTCTATCAATCAGAAGGAACATGTGATTCTTCCATTCATCACAGCGGAGCAATCAATGGGCTAGGCATCATCCCGTCAAGCTATCCCGCTCATGCTTTGTCTTCCTCATCTCCAGCCCATCCTCATTTGCATCCCGCAAGCTCTCCATCCGAGACTGCTTCGACTGGGAACCACCCAAGGCCTTACCCCCCAATGAATCCAGCATACATCTCCAGTTCTCACAATGTCTACCATGACACCGAAGTTGGATCTTGCTCACCCATTCCAAAGCTTGCCGGGAGCCTGAGCCCGTCGTCCTTCACTCCTATATCTACTACAACCGAAGAGGGACCATCTCCCCAGCGAATCAAGGATGACCAGACCCCAATCGAAGCCAATATGCATTACACTGATGAGCGAAATGCGTTCCTGATTGATTGCAAGCGTCGTGGTCTTTCCTACAAGGACATCAAGCGCGTTGGCGGGTTTAAAGAGGCAGAGTCTACCCTTCGTGGACGATACCGAACCCTCACCAAATCCAAGGATCAACGGGTTCGAAAGCCTAAATGGCAATCTCGAGATGTACGTCTATGGTATTCTCGCACTCCGTATATTGTGTTGAAACTAATCTTTTTGTGAATCAACAGGTCAAACTCCTTTGCGAGGCTGTCAGCATACACGCAGAAGCCCCAGACACCTACAGCTCGTTGACGCATATGGGCATGACGACGAATGAGCCTCCGAAGGTTTCATGGAAGAAAGTCGCAGAGCACATCTGGGACCAGGGGGGGTCCTATCAATTTGGAAATGCGACCTGCAAGAAGAAGTGGTGTGAGATCCATAACATTCGGATTTGAGCTTGAGCGCATTATTGGCGGTGATCAATTGCATTGGTTATTTCACTATTGGCATCTTCCTTCGCTATCTATCTGTTTTAATATGCGAAGCGAGTCTAACTCTCTTGGCGGTTCAGCTGGTCTGCCCTCGCGATTTGGTGGCTCTATGCATTCACAGTCTCGTTTTTGCTTGATACCTTTCATACTCTGCAACTAATGGTCTTTTGACTTTTTCTCTCTAATTCTTTCTCTTATTCTCTCGCCTCACTTCCAAAGTCGGCCGGCCTCCTTCTCTCCTCATACCCGTGATTACTTTACTGCCAAGTGATGATACCACTCCCAAACTAGAGCTCATATGGCATCAACCATCTCCGCACCAGCTTGTGCAGTCCCGTTCAATTTGCAAATTTCCGATTCTGTCAATAAAATGTTGATCGATTGCCGATTCCTCCAGTTTGTGGGGTGAAGATCAATGCCCCGGGGCCCCATGTTGTGGTGAGCTCGGATTTCATTAGCCGTGGTACACAATACCCGAGGATCAATAGCCGTTCAGCAATAGCCGTCCTGAAGATCACCAGCTTGGAGATCGTCTTCAATGAATATTTAAGTAATGATTGTGACTTATTTTGAATTGAAACGTTTGAATAATTGATGACCTTTTACCCTCAACCCCCTTACGTTGCCTAGATACCCCCATCCTTTACTCTAAAACAACCCAAGCACATATCAAAATGGGAAAGCCAGTTGTTTTACATCTCGGTGATGATATTCGCTGGGGTCATGAGCTTTACAGCAAGTTTCAAGACACATTTGACGTCCGTCGTTCATACAGCATGTCACGACCGGAGTTCATTCGCGCGCTAAAGGAGCGCCAATTTGGAGACTTCTTCGCGATGTATCGCCCATTCTGGAACACCGGTGGCGAGATGGGGAACTGGGATGAGGAGCTAGTCTCGTTGCTTCCTAGCTCATGCAAAGTCTTTGCCAGTGCAGGCGCTGGCTTCGACTGGGTTGACACTGCAGCCCTAGCAAAGCGCGGTATGTATACGGAACAATCGAGAGAACATAGAGAGGTGGCTGATTCAATTTTCTTCTCCAGGAATCACCTACTGCAATGCTGCCGCAGCTTGCACAGAGTCTGTTGCAGATGCTGCAATTTGGTTAATCATTTCCACTTTCCGCCTCTTCGCTTGGTCCCATGTCGCTGCGCGGGCTGTAGATGCAGATGCATTCGTTGACGCAAACCGCAACCTTGCAATGGTCTCCCATAACCCCAATGGTCACACATTGGGAATCATTGGCTTTGGACAGATCGGACGGCGGACAGCAGAGAAGGCTTACCTGGCGATGAACATGAAGATTCACTATTACGACATTGTGCAGATGCCCGCGCAGCTCGAGGCTGTGTCAAAAGCAACATACCACAAGGATATGGATAGTCTGCTTGCTGTGTCAGACTGTGTCATGGTCGCTACTCCCTTCAGCGGCGAGACACTTCTCAATGCCTCACTATTGGCCAAGATGAAGACCGGCGCGCGTCTTATTAACATTGCGCGTGGAAAGTTGCTCGACGAGAGTGCTCTTGTTGATGCGCTCAAGAGCGGAAAGCTTGCTGCAGCTGGTCTGGATGTGCACTATGATGAGCCTCGTGTTAGCCCGGAGCTTGCCAGCATGAAGAATGTGGAGATGTTGGCTCACAATGCTGGCGCCTCGGTCGATTCCCATATTGGATTCGAGAGGCTAGGCATGGAGAACATTTTCTCTTTCCACCAGACCGGGAAGGCAGTGACGCCTGTGAATGCCCAGCTTGTTGCCAAAGCAGCTGGCTCCAAGCTTTAATTCAAAAACGATATCTTATGTGGATCTGATACATGTATGCTCTTCAGGAAAGAATAAATTCAATCTCGGCTCCCCCGAGACTATACCCATTGGCATCTGCTTCAATTTAGTCTCTGTATCTCTTGTAAAGTCTTTCAGGTGTTAGCATTTTTCATGTTTCTTTTTTGTAGTTATCCAGTAGTAGTTTTTACATTTCATAGTCGCAAGACTTGTTGGGACAGAAGACAGCTCGAACTACACATTAATCAATTACGGAGTACATTATCTGATACTGTATGGATATCAATCATCAACGACAAAAGAGAGGGGGGATTTTGGGAATCACACTCCATGCGCCTCAGTCCTGGATAGCCCCCTCCCTTCCTCTCTCTCTTCCTTCTCCTCCTCCTGGTGCATAGACGCAGGACCAATGCAGCTTTCGGCCATGTTTTTAACGTCATGAAGGCCACTATATGCCTAGAACCCAGCCTCACTAATTCTTCAAGACAGCCTCGGGGGCTTGAACCGGCTTGGGTGGCACGGTAACCATCCCTGGATTGCTCGGCGAGAATACCTGGACGGGCGAGTCATGCGGGACAAGCGCAACTTTCTGCCCACAATTTGAACAGAAATGATGAGCATCATGGCACATCTCCATACAGAATGGCAAGAAAGCACAACAAATACCCCCAAAGAGGCAAAAGCCAAGAGCCGCCATGCTAGGACTTTAGTTAGTAGCTAGAGAACATGTATCTTGTTGAAGAGCGCATTCCACTTACGATGTAGAGCCTGTGCTCACCTTGTTCACTCTGGTCATGGCATTTTTATGACAGAATGGACATCCGATCAACCTTGGCTCATCGTAGAGCTTCTCCAAGGGTGTGAGGTTTGGGTCCACAGGCGGAACCTGTTCATTCATTGCCCGTTTTTCGTCGTAGCTGGGATATGTTGGCTGGGGACGTGGTGTGTCTATTGAGTCCACATTGCTGGTCACAGCCACTGGGGGTACTGTGACGGCCTCTTTTTGAGTACTGTGGATATCAGTATATCGATTTTCTTTACGGGATGTGGAAAACCTACTCCTCGTATGTTGGGGGCAAGATGGACGGAACGACCGAGGGGGAGTCAACGCAGGTTGTTGCTTCTGTCGCGCCTGTTTGAATAGCTGGGGGAGCTGTTTCTGCTGTGGTCGTTGATCCTTGAGTCTCATTGTGTTGGATTGAGCCTTCAGTAGCGGGCACTCGGGCCGCTGTTTCTTTGTCGGAACTGCTCATCGTCCTGAAGTTGATCTAGTAAATCCAAGATGAAGAATTTTACAATAAACTAGAAGAACACTTGGGGGCAGGCTATTTAAGTGCATGTTGGACGGAGGGCAATAGAGCGGGTCAAGAGGCAAATGAGGCTTAAAGCATTGGGTGCGGGTCAACGCGAGAAAAAAAAAAACCAAAAAGGGTCCCAATCCGAAGTAACCCAGGCAAACATGGCCTCCAGTGCCTCTTTAGTGACTCACATGGCCAATCAAGGCTAGTAGAATTCTGCGACTAGACTGGCTAGGTTCTGGTATTGGCCCCCGGGTAAAAACCTAGAGTCTTGGGCTTCGGCTTGGCCTCGACAATGAAAGCCACCGGGCTCTGTAGAGTTCAACAGACCAAAGTCAACTATGTCAAGCGAGGCGCAGTCCCGAGAAATCGCGTAGAAAATACGAGGGGAGACATTGCAGGTACTTGATGGGATGCGAATCGGGGTATCTGATTCTAATGTGCAGGTCTAAACCGTATAGCTTTACGCCAATCATAGGGAAGGGCCCCGCGCATCCGTACGGGGATAGCCAACAGTAGCCAAGACTTGGGTCAAGCTGTCTGGATTCTCGCGCAAAGAATCCCATTCGCCTTCGGCCTTGACCATCAGCGTCGCGGCGAGGATGGTTCCATTCAACGAGAGAACACCAGGGTCTGCGATGTCTCTGGCAGCTGCAGGTTCGATGGGAATGAGGGCAGTCTCCTGCCTGCGCGGACAGATCAGCATGGTTGAACGGGTCATGGCGAGGTTGTAGCTGATCGAAGAAGGCCCTTGCGAGGGTAGGGCTTCGGGGTCTTGGTCGTGTGCATAGCCACGGGTTGCGGCTGCCGCGGCTTTGTAGAGGGTCATATAGATGGAGTGGAGTGTATCGGCGGAGGGGTTTTGTGGCAGCGGGAGGGCGAAATGGGCAAAGGGGAGGCCGGACAGGTGTTGAAATTTGGGGGACGGAGAGGGAGAGGTAGGCTGGAGGAGGTCGATCAGGGGGTGCCAGCTGTCGGAGCCGGGTTGGCGCATAGCTTCCACGGGGAGGAATTGAAGATGGCGATGGGGTTGACTGGCACCGCTGTCGTCGCCAGAGTTGAAGAACGCGAAGAGGCCCTTGGACCCATCCCCAGTGTTCCAAGCTTTGAGGCACTCATATGTTGCTTCGAGGTCGCCCCTGTCAAGCAGATCTGTCTGCGCTTGCCAGTCCTTTGTCACAAGAAGGAAGTGATTTGGAATCACGGGGAATTTGTTGAGGATGAGATTGTAGACGGGCTTCTCAGGCGGGAATTGGGCGATCAGAAGATCTGGGGAGGGATTCTCAAAGGGATCGGGCTTCGGCGATTTGCTCTCATGGTTTGGTTTGAGATTCGTCGGTTTCTTTGCGAGGGCAGGGCAATAGCGGAGTTGGTACTGCTTGTTGTTAGCTACCGGAAGGCGAGTCTCGGAAAGGTCACTCACTGAGATTCCCGCGGCATTGATGATAGCTAAATGGGTTTGAGAGAAAACGAGATGGCCAGCATCTCGGGCGCTAATGAAGCGCCTTGAAACCAGAGCGGGCAAAGCTTCTGAAAGACCTAGTTGCATTGTGAGACGAGTGAGACGATGAGGGAAGTCGGGGGCGGGGAGATGGGAGGCTCCCGAGGTCCCGAGGGGCTTGGCGGCTACGTAAGGCACATCGAGGCTGTTACTAGTACGGAGTAGACAACAATTTTGGTATATGGTTTTTGTATTCATTATAGTCCAATTTCATAAACATCCTGTCCAGCAGGACGTCACAGTCAAAGGAGATAGACAAAGCCGAATCATCGCATATCCCAAGGTATCATCCATAATCCGTGTTCAGACAAATCGCTCGTAAAGACACTGCTATACGAAAGACATGGAAAATTACAAACCCCCTGAGGGGGTCGAAAGAAGTACAATGCAACAAAAGAAAGGACAAACACAAAGGGGTCTCGTTCAAGCCATTAATTCATTGATAGAAAGCTCATCATCATGATGGGCCAGCTCCGGCAGTAACATTGCCGGTTGACCCATGATGTGAGGCATGGGGCCATTCAGCCAAGGCCCGCGCTCTTCTTCGGTCGCGTTCAGCACACCTTCAGCGCGTTTGAGGGTTTCGACATCCAAATCGGTGATGTAGGCATCGCGGTTTGTGTTGTCGGAGCCAGCGGGAAGCTGGAGACGAACTTCGAACTCATTGTTCAGCATCATCTCATCTTTCCAGAGCCGGCGCTGGCCGTCAAAGACACATAGAACCCGCTTCTTGGTTTTCATGGTGCTGCTTGGGCAGCCCCAGGAGTTGGGGTAGTTGCCACGGTTGTTGCGCCGGCGGGTAGCAACAGTTCGAGGAGTCTTGTTCTTTGAGATCGCATTGCCAGAGCCTATGATTGGACGGGATGCGGGAACGGTACTCTTGGATTTCTTGATGCCGCGCAAGCTCGAAGCGTCGAGCTCGTCTTCGTCGAAATCATCACAGTCGTCGTAGTCGACAGGAGCGTCGAAAAGCTGGTGTTTCTCCATGGTCTTCTTGACTTCGTCGTCAGAAGCGACTTCGGCCAGGTGATGTTGGTTAATCGCCTCCGATGGCTCTTCCTGCTGAACCACGCGGAGGACACAGTCGTCCAAATGCTCATAGAAGTCCTGGGCGTTGCTGAAAGTTCCGGAGCAGGTCGAGCACTTTCCTGTGGCATCCGGGCTGTAGTTTGTGCCCTTCTTGGCGGCACCTGGGCTGCGTTTACGACAGTTTGGTGGTGTTTGCTCGACACCATGAACGGAAGTCAAGTGGCGCTTGAATACGTCGGCGCGATTGAAGCTTTTCTCGGCTGGTGAACCGGAACCTGGGCAGAAGCCACACACCATGGTACCCTTGTAGTGGGTCAGGGTGTGACGATTCTTGTCGTATTTACGAGCAAACCCCTTGGTGTGGTACTCGCAAGTCAAAATCGGACACTTTTCAGGACGTTCCGACATATGGGTCAACATGTGAGCCTTTAAGTCTTTGAAGACTCGCCCACATTCAGGGTGTGGGCATCGCCCTTTTTCTTTGACATCGTCGTCAGCTTCCACGCTGCTCAGTGCTGGACTGGGTTGTGAACGCCGGGACTGGACAGAGGAGATTGATGACCGTCGGTCATATACCGAGACTGGTCGAGAGTTCGAGGGTTGTGGAACCATGAGGGGAGATGGGCCGGGGTTTTGTATGGGGTATGAGCGCGGTGAGCGATCTGGGATATCATTATAAGGAACAGGTGAAGTGGCAGGAGATTGTGGGAGGTAGATTGGCGGCACGTGGGAGTAGGAAGAGGTAGGTTGTTCGGGATAAGCGGTAGTAGGGTGGACGCCATGGCTTGGTTGCACTGGCTGAATCAAAGAAGGGTCTAAATTGGGTCAGCATTTGCAATGGCTGCAATTGAGCTCTAAATCATACCGACATAGGTGTCCGGGAATTTCTCCTGGTAGAGTAAATCCATGTCCACCGCACCGCCCATGTACTCGTTGGGGAATATGTCATTCATAACCGCAGCTGGCAGGCCCAATCCGTGATTTGTGTTTACCCAGTTGTCGTGGAAAGTCTGAGCAGTGCCGGAGTACGGCGATCCCATTGCCGAGGAGGATGCACTGGCAATGGAAGGTCCCGAGGCGGCAGATCCAGTGGGAATATGAGGCTCAGTATAATGGGATGCGGACACTGAAGGAGGTGTGGTGGGTAAACCAGAGAAATGGGCGGCTTTTTGGAGCTGTGCGGACTCGAATAGAGACTGGGTATTATAGTAAGGATGGTGGAGACGGGCCAGATCGGTTTGTCCGTAGTGGGCTAGATTATCCACGGGGAAAGAGAACATGCCCGGGTCCAAGGTCATGGGGTCATAGTAGGATTGTTTAACCCTAGCTTCGGCCATCTTTCTGGATTGAGGAAAGAGTGTGAAATCGTGGGACTCGAAGGTCGTCATGTCGGGATATGCGCCTAGGAATAGGCTAGTCAGTATCCATCCAGTTTCTGTTCTTCCGCATGGACATACAGATGATAAGGTTTATGGATGAGATCGCGGCCCGCTCGGCTAACCAAAGATGCCAACCACGGAAGGCAACGTGCGCAATTGAAAGCCCGGGTAGGATGCAAGGAGGTGAAGTACTAGGTGTCGCAAGGGAGGTCGCATTCAAGTGACGTGCGTAAGTTGATGGCTCGAGGTGATCAGAGAGCAGATCGAAGAGCTAGACCGAGTCAATTCAAAGACATGACAAGCCGGGGGGGCAGGCAGAGTATTATAGATGTACGGGTCGAAGAAGCATCTCAAGTGGTGACGATGGGCCATACAGTAGTTAGTTATAGTCTAGAATTATATTATTTTGGAAAAAAAGGAATTAAATGGTAAAAGGAATTAAAATAAAATAAACATTTTGCGGAATTCAAAAAAAGAAAGAAAAACAAAAAAAGATTTTTGAAAAATAGAAAATGGAAAAGAGAGAAAAATAATTCCGGCACAATCAGAATTTATGACGATTACCGTATTTTTGGCATGAACCACAGTGCTGGGGCTGTGGGCAGGGGAGAAGTTAGCGTGCGGCTTCATTCGGGCTATTATTATCTGAGTATACGAAGTACGGAGTAAAAACATGGGATTTCTCTATTTATTCTACATTAGTAAACCCCAAACCTGGATAAGTAATCTTTGTGTCATATCTCAGCTTAGCCACTGTCAGGCCCCCTGTGACGGTCAATAGTCTATCTTCTGGGTTCTGACAGCTCTACGAGATATCCACAATGCCCTACAAGGTACCACTCCACGGTCTCCTCGGTATTTCTCCGGGAAAATCCTCACCAGAGAGATAATATATCGGAGTAGATACATTTCACATTCGCGATCATACAGTACTCGTGGGATTTTTATTGAATCGGGGTGTCTAATCGGCACAAAAAGCAATCACACCCGCTGTGTTAGAACTGTACTTTTGCAGTGGTCGATCTACCGACCGCGACGTATGAGAGTGTTGGAATAGTTAATAGTATGCTGCATTATATGCGCAAACACTTGCTTTTCCATGTGTTGGGAATATGTTACTTGTCGTCATCGGCAAGTCCGTTCTGCATAGCCGCAATGGCCTCCCCCAGAAACTCCTAATTAGTCTTGTCACCTCCCGTTTTGGGTATAACGACAGTCAGCATTTGGCTACCCATGCATACATGCCATTAATGAGTCTATCGCGGTAATCTCCTTATTCGTGCCAATTTCTATTCAACAATGGCGCTGTACATAGGGGGGAATGTGTACGGAGTATAGTACTGTACTCGTCAGAAGCCCATCCCGCTAGTCCGGACTTATTGTTCGTAACCAGTCCTTTGGAAAGACAACAGTGGGGGCCGTTACCAACTAAGCCTGGAGAGACAGTGATAAACCTACGGAGACAGTATGTAAATCTGGTTGCGCACCCTGTTACCAGTCGAATGGACCATGTCACTACGGAGTACGGAGTAGGTAAACGGGAAAGGGGGAGAGGGAGATACATACATACCCCGTACAAATCCTGTACCAGCGAGCCCATGAGTTTGGTCGATCTCTGACGGGACCATCGGCCGCCTCCCCACAGTCATAACTCAACACCCACAGTGTGAACGGAACAGTGATTGGCTCATGTGGCCCAACCCAATGAAACACGAAATGATGAACGAACAAATCCTTTCCAATCAGAGCCATCGAGGGCCTTCCGAAGGCTCGATGGGCGTTCCTTAGGGCCCTCGGGTCAGTGGGTTCGTGCCTGTATTGTCCCTTCCTGGTTGTCATGACGGGCGATCATTACGATGCTCGTACCGTGCCATCGTCTTTGTTTTCAACTCTCGTACGGAATACTAAGTACTCAGTGGGATTCGGCCTTTTCCAGAGCCTCATATTTTTGGAAATTATGATTAGGGCTGCGTCTCGGTCACGCTCTGTCTTTTTTGGTTTAATGCACCCGTGGACTCTGTTACAAGAGAAAGATACCGTTGCTCCCCCTATGAAATTTTGACCAGTGGATCATGGTACAGAGTACACCATGGGCGCGCCTCTACTCGGTACCCATGGATGTACTAGTTCAGAGTACTGATCATATTGTCGGTTACGGAGTATATTACGAAAATTGGTATGAGTAAGTGCTCGTGGTACCCGTAGACCCGGGAGGACCCCGTACGAAGTAAAGTCTGCGGAAGTGCAAATCCGACCGAGAGAAAAAAGCGCAAAGAGACCAAAAGCAAATACAAAAGTAAAAATCAAAAATCAATTGTGGGTCACAGATGATGCAGAAAAATGTCAACCGAGATTTTGGCGGATGTGCCGCGCAAACTGATAATTCTCTTTTTTTTGGGTCCGAGATCTGGATCTTGTTTCCCTGATCTTGCTTCTTCTATCATTCCAAAAAGAAAAGAAAACCCCCATTTGGGAGCTCCGCTGTATACCCCGTACTGTACATGTAAGCGAGATAAAACAAATCTGGATGTCAAGACCACTTTACACCTCCAGATGCCACATCCGCTGCGATACAATGTGCTTTATTGGCCCCATACAGCTCTAGCCGGTGCAGGGGAGTGACAGGGCGAGCTGTCACTCGGAGCGCCCGGGGTCGGTGAGCACCAACGCGCCAGGAGGTGACTAGCGCCACACTTCCAAATCCAAGCCACAGCCCTGTTTTGAAACTGCCCAATGGGAACTGAGATCAGATGTTGTCAGACCCCATCATTGGATCTGAAGTGATGAAAAAGCGGGTCTCAACCCTGACTTAGAGGCGCAGCCGTCTGCATTACACCGACCAAGAATCGTTCGTATCTGTCGGCGCTCCCGGTGATCGCGTATCCCACTAGTCGACACTTATGTACAGTCTAAATTCTAGATTTTGTCTAAACTGGGGCAATGAAGTCACCTCCCGCTTCTCGTATTTGTGTTGACCGATCCTTTCACACTATCCCACAATGCTAGCCTAGTTAAACTGGCGGTCGGGTTTTCTCCCCTCGCCCAGGTTTCATCCACTCGCTACTGGTACTACTACTCGATATGGACTATGTACATACATACTTGACAAGTAAAACTTCAACTCAAGCTTAGATTAATTATAAAAAGATTAAATCGAAGATTGCTGAACCCTTGACTGAAACAGGGTGGCCGTCTGATTCGCTCCTACCGCTCATTAACCATGATTACTTTCCCCTCAAACTGGCCATAGGCCATCAAAGCATGCAATATTCAACCTCTAACCTTCCGCGCTGTTGCATGATTTCAACGTGTCAAACTCAAACCCAAAACATGAAACTCGTGGTCCACGAGTTCATTGCTGAGATTGGCCAGCGGGCACCGGAAGCTAGCGTGAGGTTCTGCTCACACGTGTGAGTTGGAAGGTACCGGCACTGTGCACCAAACTCCGTACCCAATCTCTCTCTTGTCGCTGTCCCGCTTTTGGCCCCGAACCACTGAAACAAACCATACCAGCAAATTACATACTACCAGTACCCAGTACCCGGGGACTCCTTAGGGATTATTAGTGCTGACGATCCAGGCTCTCTTTTCCAAATGACTCGTACGTATATGATTAGGGTAGCCAAGAACTCTCCACCCCAGTGGTCACCACGGCCCCGGAATGAGATATTGGCCATTCAGGGTGGTCAAAGGGCATATTGGCTCTGCGACCCGTATTTGACACAAGTGGGCGGGTCCGGCGACCCCGAGGCCATTTTTCTCAGGCCCGCAAAAATGTATTACAAATGTAACGTTTGTGAGATGTGGCTTTGCCAGGATATGTAATTCTGCTCTCAACAGTGGAGGTAGACATGCATCGGCGCTTCCGTCTGGAAATTCCAAACATCAAAGTAAATTGTCCTAGCGAAAACATGCTGCCGAAATAAGAATGGTTGATCCGTGGGTACGTTGGTTGAAACCATGGGACACTTCCAAGGTTAATTTTCGCTTACTTCCTACTTCGGTCTTGACACTGTGCTCAGATCACTTTGGGGCCAAAGGAACTTTGGAAGTCTCCAGAGTGGCAAAACACTACGGAGCATCCAGGTAGTGCTTGGTATTTCCCCGGGTTACGGTAGAGCTAAATCTAAGAATAACCCGAGCCGGGTGCCCAGCAAAAAGACAAATTTAGTATACTTCAATGTTACCTAGGTAAATATATCTTTGTAACCGCCGGATCAACATAATAATCGCACATTGAGCTCTTAAGCCTCCTATGCTATTCATGGCAATACCGGAAGCGGCTCTAAGCCTTAAAGTGATGGGAGGGGGGACCGAGGGAAACCAAGGTTTAATCCCTGTCACCCGCGTGGTGTTTCTAAAAACAGAATTGAAACAAGCCAGGGTGAAACGCCGACGGGGAGGGAGCGAAGATCGTCATCCGTGGTGATCATACGGGTTGCAAAGTAGTACGGAGTGCCATACATTGTACTCCGTATACTTTTACTGCACACAGACTGTAGTCAGTGTCTAGGTACTCTAACCTTTTGAGACTGACCTAGTCCACCGGGGATCCTTGATAGGAACACACCCTGCACGGGGATTCTATCCAGAATATTTTGGGCCCAGAAACTCGCATGCCATGTTGTTAATCTTATTTCAAAGTCTGGTCTTTGGACCTGGGACCAGTTTGACTCTTGGTGAAGTGGTCGGTGAAATGGTCCCCATGGTCCCCGCTGATTTAATCGAAAGTAACACCAACATTTTAACTCGCCAAAATACACCTTTGCCCAACACACCTATGAAAAATAATCGCTATTCTCACTCCGGATGTTGACTCTACTCCTTTCTATTTCTAGCGAATTGCTACTCACTACGGAGTATGGAGTCGACATTCAGGAAAGATAAATTCTGTGGGTCCAACCCCCTTGGTCGGAAGATTTGGCATGGATGTTGGCTCCCGCATACATCTGTAGCTAACTCGACATCCTCGAGTTTTGGATCGCGACAGGCTGCCCGTTCGTCAAATC